TTATATATTTATTTATTATAAAAGCTATCCTTAGTAAAGTTAAATTATAAGATCTATAATAAGGAGCTACTAGCTATTATATAAGCCTTATATAAATAGAGGCTAAAGCTAAAGATAGTACCCCAATCTACTATTATAATAGACTATAAAAACCTATAATATTTTAATAAGATATAATATCTTAATAAATAATAGATAAGGTAGGCAGACCTCTTAATAGAGTTTAACTTTAACCTATAATATTTTTTATATAAGCTAATAATAAGGCTAAATATACTTTTCTATTAAAATTAAGATATATCTAAAAGTATCTCTAATAATAGATTATTAAATTACTTCTAAATCTTTCTTAAGAGGGTCTTAGTTAAGATTAGATAAATAAATAATAACTAAATATAAGGAAAGCTAGATTTCAAAAGAAATATCTCTTTATTTAAAGAACTAAAGCTATAAATAAAGTAAATAGAAATAAAAAGTTCTAATATAATATATTAATAAATTTTTTACGCTTTATTAAAGGGGGACTATTAAATTATAGCTAAAATAAAATATTAAGATAGGCTTATTAAAGTACTATTTAGATAATTAAGAGTTACTCTACTTTAGATAATAAATATAGATCTTAGATAATAAGGCCTTATAAATAAGTATTATCTAAAAGATCTATAATTTCTACATTATAGTGTACCCTAAATAAGATATAATATATCTAATATTATCTTAGTAATTCTTTTAGCCTAGAGTAATAAAGAATATATAATAATTCTTATAAAATTATATTATCTATAGATATAGCTTAATATAATGTAATATAAAGTATAGGCTATTAAGACTATTACTAATTCCCTAATAAATCTAAGCTAGAATATTAATAGATTTTATTATTAGCCTATTATTATCTAAATCTATAAGAGTAATAAATTATATAATAATTATAGACTAACTAATAAAGGGTATAATCCTTATTAGAATAAGAGATATAATAATAAAAGATATGATAAAAGTATTCCTTATATATTTCTATATATATTATAGTATCTTACCAATAATTATAAGTAATTATAGCCCTTAGTTTATAAATATAGTTTGGGGAAAAGTAAATAAAATATTATTAATTTAATAATAATTATTAATTATCTTTTACTTATAGACTAATAATATAATAAAGTAAGCTAACTAAAAAATTAAACATATTTTATATCTTTTTTTTACTTATATATAAAATAATTAAAAAAAGCTTTTACTAATAGTCGCTACTATAATTAATAATTATAATATAATATTAATTAAGATCTTCCCCTTTTTTCTTTATTTATAAATATTATATTAACCTTATTAGGATAAATAAGTTAAATTAATTATTAGATATTATAATATAGTTAAAAAAATATGTAAAATATTTATAAATTATTTATAAGAAATTACTAGCTAAGCCTAAGCTACTATTATTTTAATATAGGCGCTATAAAATAAATAAATAAATTAATAATACTAAGCTATCTTTATTTATAAAAAAAATAACTAAATATAGTTAATTCTTGGAATAAATATATATAATAACTATTAAAGAAATTTGACTAACTATATATTTAATTAGAGTTATAAATATATTATTATTATATATTATTAAGCTTAATATACCTATAAATATATATCTAGTCTTTTATTTTAAATTAGTTAGGCTTATAATAGCGAACCTCCTCTTATTATAAATTATAAATAATATATAGCTATCTCGAATTATAGTTAATAATAAAAAAAAGTATAAAGTTAAGAAAATCCTTATTATTTAATATAAGAAAATTCAATAAAGATATTACAATAAAGCTTTAATATAATAAATAAAGTAAATAAAATAAATATAAGAAAATTTAGACTCTATCTAAGATTATATTATATTAGAAGTCTTTAAGAAACGAAACGGCCCTATTTCGATATAATATAACATTAAATTAATACTAATATATATATTATCGCGACCCCCGGGAGGTTTAGGTTAGAGGGGGGATATTATTATAGGCCCATACTTAATACAGGTTACATAAACTATATAACCCTAATATATTAATATAACGACCGTATAGAGGGAATATCCCTTCTTTAAGCTTTTTATACACAGTTCGTGGCCTAGTTAGATTAAATCTAAGTCTTACTTTAGCCCTTTACACCTATCAGCTTACTACCACATCAATACCGTGGTCGGTAAGCGAGCTGCGCATGTAAGCGAGCTGCGCACCCCAAAATACCATAGTAAATGAGATATTTTAAACACTTATATTTCAACACCGAAATATTATCTCCCTTCAAACTTTGTATAAGACTATATCTGATTATTAGGAACACTTCATATAAGCTTGAAGCAAATTAAAGACTCAATTTATCGTATTACCGAAAAATACCTTTTATTTTGGCGATGTGAGGCTTAAATATATATATCTTGACCACGAAGTCTTACGAGGTCTTTGTACCTTGCTGATAGACTCGATGAGCTATATAAAGTCTAATTTCTTTGGCATCATCCTATAACAGCCTATCGTTGTTGAGATTCGATATTGTAATTTATCGCCTTTACTATGGTGTTTTGGGGTGCGCAGCTCGCTTACATGCGCAGCTCGCTTACCGACCACGTTATCAACTGTCCAAGAAATTGGGTTATCACCCGAAGCAGGAATCTAGCTCCAGGCAATCAACAGTTGATGACCAATTATAGAGGATCTGGGGGTGGTGGACTGCCCGTGTAAAGTTACATTGTACCTCAGCCTATAGCTATCAGATGCCTTGGGACAGATAGGCTTTGTCTGCTATACAACAGACAAAGTGTAATGGGAAGAGGCCCAAACTTGGATACGGAATAACCCGATGAAGTATCCGCTATAACAATACTCCTTGAATGAATTGTCCCTAAGACATAAATGGTGAATGATCTCATTAATTGCAGGCATTTGTGCCTGGCTGGCTACCTGGATGGCGAGCCGCCCCGGTAACACGATATGTACAGCGCCAATCGACTTTTATGACAAAGTCATAATATTTTCCATTGATCTATTTTCGATTAGATATCGTTGCCAAGCAAAATATCTATTTCGATTGCCGTGGCATTATTCAAGTCTTGCCTCACGAAAAAAACGACGAACTAGTTCCAGTCCCCGAGGGAATCTGCGAAATAAACACAATGCATGGTCACCTTAATATTAGATACATTATAAAACGTCGATCGTGTAAACCCTATCTCATGCAGAGTAAGACACGACAGATATGTTGAGTGTGAAAACCTCGGTCTTCAAGGTGTGGAAAAGGAAACATCAACAGCAAGACATCAAGATTGAGTAACATGCTGCAGTGTGAAGACGTCGAAGCGGGCTTACTGAGCCTTCTCAGTGGATGTTTTGATGTCCCTGCGACGCTTCAGGGCATCAGGAGTGTACTCGGTGTCAAGAACGAAGTCCCACCAGCGGAAGCTGCTCGAGTAGTTGCCAATAAACTTCTCGTGGTGGAGATCGTGGTGATCAGCACCAGCCCAGAAAGGAAGGAAGTGGTGCAGACTCCAGGGAAATTCGTAGCCGCTGTGCGCATCAATGGCTTGGAACAGGCGCAAGACAATCCAGACGTACATGGTCAAGATATGCAGATCCCCAGTGAGCGCACACCATACAATGGGGCAACCAACAGTTCCAAAGCCTAGGATCATGACCTCGATCGGAGACGCGTATTCCGCAGCCAAACCAAAAGGTGCAGAGTATTGATGATGAATCTTGTGGATAGATTTGTAGAGAGGACCCCAGTGAAGAGCCCGATGAGAGAAGTAGTGCCAGGTGTCCTCCATCACGAAAAAGATAGCGATCTGATAGGCCATGGTCCAGATGGTGGGGAAAGGAACGGAGGTAGAGAGACCGAAAAATTGAGCCATAGGGTGGAAGAGCCTGAGAAAGCCGCATTATTAGAATCACCAGTCACGCGATAGTGGCCTAAAGAAGGCGGCATGGAAAACTTACCAGATCTGAGGCAGCTCAACGGTGAAGTGACTCAGGAGCACGAATCGAGCGCATTCCCACTGTTCCCGTAATGAAGGGATCTTGCCCTGCATAGGAATTAGAATAGCACTGCCACGTATCGCTCTTTCAAATTGAACTCACGCTCTGAATTTTGTAATTCTTGAAAAGACCAAGACTGTCGATGAAGATCCACGGCAGCGAGCGACCGAAGTAGACCAATTCGTGCATGGCGAAAGACATAATTCCAGTGGCGAGGACATCGTTCTGCATCCAAGCATACCAAGCCGCCCAGAGACGTTCGGCCACATTGAAGTCGGGGTTGTATTGGCCGATTTCCTCGAATTGGCCCCAATAGGTACTGGAGGTTAGGGTGGAATTCCTGCGCCGGGGGAGGTCAACGCGTGTTCAAGTTTCATAGAAGATGGCAATCCTTACATGATGGTTGTGCTCCGTGTAAATTAGAGAGGAAAAGCGAAGAGAGGTTGAAGAAAAAGAAAGGGAGGCCCGGAGCAATTATTTGGCGAAAGAACGCAGGGCCGAAATCCGGGAGTGGCGAGATCCGTCAGGGGAGCCGCAGCAAAAAGAAGGGAAAGAATAAGACCACCCCGAGCCGATCTCCATCCGAGCCCCACGTAGGGGGGGGAAATTACACTAGTGGGCTTTGCCGCGTATGTGTATGGCTGATGCTCCCGGGTCACACCACGCACTGCCTGCTGTTTCCTATGATCTTAATTCGAGGGGAGCTGAGAATGGAAAGTCTGCTGATCTAGGATGTCTACGGTTGAGCATTGTATTGAATCAGTCCACCTCCGGGCCATTTTACTTTGTTGACCCCTTTTTTTCCCCCAATGGTATACGCGCTACGGTGTACTCAAGAGTACACACACCAGGTATGTCCTGTTTGCACATTTGCACTGTTTACCTTGTTTCCCTCGTTTGCATCCATGACGTCCCCCCAATTCTTCTCTCAAGCTTCGCGTAGCTCTGTAGCCGTGTCCGAAATGCGCCATGTCGATTGTTCAAGAGTATGTCGCGTGACTCGTTTCTGCCCCCCCCAAGTCTGAATGTTCCTGTTCTAGAAATGCATGCGCCTTGAACGCCCAACTTGATCGCCTCCAACAGCAATTCGCCCGCCCGGAGAAGCTTTTGTACACCGACGATGTTCCCACGCGGCATGTGCGCAGTCTACAGAATGTAGTCAACGCGGTGTCGGTGACATCGAAGACCCAGCCGCTCTTGTCTCCCAGTCGTTTGGTCGCACTGCTGTCGGATCCTGCGTTTACCGACACTCTCCCGACAACGGGGGCCGGGACGGACGATGCAGCCGATTATATGTGGCTGGTCGCTGCCAAGGTGGCTGTGCAGGCGTCCGGTCTGCTCATGAATACTTTGCTCGAGCACACTGTGCAGCTGCACGAGGAGACCTATTACTGGAATGAGATGCTCGGGTCTATTTGGTACAGTGGCCTGTATGCGGTTCAAACGTCGCCTGTGCGGCTTTGGCACTGGACCAAGGGTATCTCGCCAATAGGGGATTCCAATCATGCCCAAGAGTTCCTCTCGACATCTGTCGCCGCCACATGGGCCCGATTTTATCAGGTCGCCCGGCAAAGTATGCAGAGAATGTCGGAACATCCCCTTCATCTTAACTTGTCGTCCCCCATACGATCATGCCGGTCTGAAATTCGCCAGAAACGAGATCTTTTACTCTCCATGAAGGATATTCACACCAGCAGTCTGGGCCTGCTCATGGAAGGATGGCATTCATTCCAAGCGAAAGATCTCCTCTCCGTCAATTCTGCTGGAGAAAGGGGACAGTGGCAGGAGGCAGTGAACAGGACGGTTGTCCTGACCGAGGCCATCCTGCATCAGGTGGCCGTTCCGTCCAGTACCATTGGCTTCGAGCAGAGGGTGTATGCGACCATTGAGAAGAACACGGCGAGCCTGCAAATGCAGAGCGGTCTTCCCTCCAACCAGCCCATGCATCTGATCCAGCGACTCACTCACGTCCTTCATGATCAGTTGCCGAAGCACAAAGCCTCAATGTCCATTTTTATCCGTGATCACGGGCGCCCATCGAGACTTACCAGGTACTGGCTACCGGTAATGACAGCAGTTATGTCGAGTAGTGCTTCTCTGCGGCTGTTACTTCGTCGTCAGGATGAAATCATTCAATGGATTGTTAACATTGGAGCAACTATCGTTGACTTTGGCAGCAATTGGGTAGTGGAACCCATCCACAAACTCATCGGAACCATTCGACACGATGAGAAAAGCGAGATTGCTATCATGAGTAAGAACAGCCTGTTGGCTGATCGAGCCAGCCTGGAGAGGATGGTGATTGACTTTGTCCGTGATCGTCCCGACCCCGATCAAAGTCACATGCTGGGGGAGGATACCACCGCTATTACCAACGCTGTGAAGGAGGGGGATCTGACACCAGTGTTGAGAGCATACGAGAGGGATCTACGGTCACCTCTCGTCGGGACCGTGCGAGGCGATCTCATTCGCGCCCTTCTGATCCAGATCCAGAAAACCAAGGTGGACGTCGAGATTGCCATCAGTGGCATTAATGCGCTCCTGAAAAGCCAAGAGCTCGTTTTTGGGTAAGTATTTCATCTCCCTCGAGACGAAGTCTCGCTTTTGGGAAATATGCTCACCTGCCGTGTAGCTTTGTTGGCCTGACGCCCGGGATTCTCGTCTCTTGGGCCACTCTGCAGTGGGCGGTCGGGCTCTTCGGTAATCGAAGAGGTTTTCGAAGAGGCAAGCGCCAGCATGAGCTGCGACGTGGATTACGGTAAGCCGCAGAGGCGGAGAGATTGCACGGCGCTAACTGGAATATAGCAATGTCACTCGGGTTCTGACTTCTGCGCCGCTTGACAATGGGGTGATATCACACAAGGACTCAGGTCAACTCATCTACGAGGCTGAGGCTCTTCTTCAGCAGGTGCAGGGAGTATTTGGAGGCATGCAGTATCGAGAGTTCCGGGAAGATATCCAGGATCTGCTTGATGTGGAGCGAGGAGTCGACAGGCAGCTCCGGGTGGTGGAAAGAATGCGATGGGCGTATTTCCACTAGATCTCTGCAATGACCGCCTTTCTAGAGAGAATTGAACATCGACTGCTGTTATCATCATAGGAGTAGTCCAGTATCTAGTATCTACCCAACAAAGTCCGTAGTATTGCCAACCTCAAACCCGGCTTACGTAACGGGGTCATCGAGCGCAGTCCACCCCCGTCATTACCTCAACTCGTTGTTGACCACCCTATTCATCCTCGTGGCCGGGACTTATTTCTTTGCTCGTGCTGCTGAATACTGAATAAACTCCACTCTTGTATTGAGATATTATTCATTTGACTCTCTCTGTGCTCGTGTGTTCCCGTGGGTAACCTGCAACCTTGACCCCGACCCTTCAGATAAAGTCCCTGGAGACAACGAAGTCTGTCTACCTTCCCTCTGTCTCCGGTTTGCGGTAACCGAAGCGTATTTACGAGAACAGTGGCTCTTGTCAAGCCCTCCGATCACCGTCGCTGATATTACTTCATTCCTGGATCTGGTCACTTAATCTGATTTTCTCCTTTCCGGCATTACCACCCTCTCCTCACCGGTTCCACCCAACAACCACCTAACTCCTTCATCATGGCGGGTACAAGAAACTATGATTTCCTGGTGAGTGTCATTGAGACCGGAATGACCCATTCTCTAATCGAGCCCTGCGTAGATCAAGTTATTGTTGATCGGAGATTCCGGCGTTGGCAAGTCTTGCTGTCTCTTGCGGTTCAGCGAAGACTCCTTCACCCCATCGTTCATCACTACAATCGGAATCGATTTCAAAATCCGCACCATCGAGTTGGATGGCAAGAGAGTGAAACTGCAGATCTGGGACACGGCCGGCCAGGAGCGCTTCCGGACCATCACAACTGCATACTACCGCGGCGCGATGGGTATCCTCCTCGTCTATGACGTGACCGACGAGCGGTCTTTCCATAGTAAGGCCTCCCCAATACCCCTTCTCTCACGCAAAGGGAGACCATTCTAACCTTTTCTTGAAGACATCCGAACCTGGTTCTCAAATGTGGAGCAACATGCCAGCGAAGGGGTACACAAGATCCTCATCGGGAACAAGTGCGACTGGGAAGAGAAGAGGGCCGTCTCGACCGAACAGGGCCAACAGCTGGCCGACGAGCTCGGTATCCCATTTTTGGAGGTGTCGGCGAAGAACAACATCAACATCGAAAAGGCGTTTTATAACCTTGCATCGGATATCAAGAAGGGCATGGACACCTCCAAGACCGAACAATCTGCCCAGGGAGTCAGTATAGACCAGCAGGGCTCTGGTCTGAATGGTGGCACTGGAGGAAAGTGTTGCTAGACCTTGTACCATTATCTGTTCTTGTTTATCTTTGCGCAAGTTTCTCTTTATCTCATTTTGCCTTGGATCTCTATTCATATCGTCCTTGGTTTCCTATGCAACTTCCACATATCCTTTTGTTTGCCCGCAATATCATTTGCTAAGATCTGAATATCCAGTTTCCAAGGAGAGTTGGCGCCCCTTACAGCCCGAGTTTCGTACATAATCCTTTCCACAATTCGTGACAACTGATTCCTCCTTTCAGAATAATCTATCTCGTGAACAGGCAGAGGTCTAGAAAAATGGGTAAATGTCATGCCTGAGACAGCAAAGTAGCCGTGCAGCAGTTTCGCAAAGTACCGCGAAGTATTGGACTAGGCATGTCCCGGCCCACTTTTCTTTTTACTATCGATAAGATCTTCCCCCCACCATCTGAATTTGAATGCGAGCAACCTCCCCTCTGCAAATGTCGCTTCTTTGCACGTTTCAATGATCTTGTGAGCTTCTTCTTACTTCATCTCCTCCATAATGTCCACTCTGTCTCTTGTCCAGGACTACAGGGCGCGCCCCCTTTCGGGGAGCTTGAAGACCCGCATGTTCAAGTCATTTAAGCTTACAATATGATTTACAGGTTTTTCTAGTCCTGAATCGCCGATACTCGTATGCCACAAAGCTCAAAGTTACCTTTGGCCAGGAGTTGCGCGAAATGTCCGAGGTTCGCAGTTTCACCGCTCGGCCGTTGTCAAAACAGGCTCGCAGTGATTACAAGGATGCATTTCGGGTCTACCTATCCTCTTCGTCCCTGGCTGCGTTGAGGCTCCGCGCCGATGATCTCTGTTGTCTGACCTCTGCCGAAGGAGCCCCGAAGACCGCGATTGCCTGGACTGCGGTGGAAAACATCCAAAGCACCGTGGTGCAAACTTCGAGGGCTCTCCAGGACTGCTACGGAATTAAGATTGGAGAGAAAGTCGGTATTAGCAGGATAGACGGCGCTCTGGATGATCTTGAATCCGTTCTCCTGCTCGATTGCTCTGATTCCGAGAAAATCGCAAGGTATGGACCGATAGCTGCCGAGGAACGTTGCCACTGGGAATGGGCTTTGGAATTTCAACTTCTGAGATGCGAAGTCCTCGCTACAGGCCTCACTTTCGAGTTGGAACTCAAAGGCCAGCGTCGGTGCTTCCAGTTGATAAACATACACGCCCAAAATCCAAGCCCCAATCGCACCATCTTCCGTTTCACGAAGGATACCAAGGTCTGCATCGGAACGGAGATGGAAGCACCCGAGGAGCCTTCCGCTTCCGATATCACCGTTCGGTCTACAAACCTGGGAGGTCTCTCGCGACAGATTGAAGACATTAACGAGAGCCTGTCCGACTTCAATATCGATCCACGCAAACCGGCTATGCCGTCATTCTATGAGCACAGCCGGGGTATTCTTCTCTACGGACCAAAGGGAACGGGAAAGACGGCCCTGCTGGAGCAGATTGAGAAAGCTGGCTGGAAACAAGTCTTTAAAATTGGAACCTCATCGCTTGGTCGAAGTGTCAGCGAAAGTGAGCTGAAGATTCGCAATATCTTTCAGGATGCTGCGCGCTCAAAGCCTAGTGTAATCATAATCGACCAATTGGACTTTGTCGCACCGAAGCGAACCTCTCTAGAGTCTCAGTCACTGGCTTCCGTTCTTTGCGAGAGCTTGGACGCGATTCGGAGCGCGTCAATTCTGGTTGTGGCCGCAACCAGGCATCCAAACAACGTTGACGAGGCGCTCAGAACTCCACATCGATTTGGCGCAGAGATTGAGCTCCAGGTTCCAACGGCACAGGACCGTGCAGAAATACTTCGTGCGATCCGTGGGCCTGTTTCCGCTGGATTGACCGATGAGCTAGTTGAATATCTTGCAGAGAAGACACATGGTTACGTCGGCGCGGACCTCTTTGCTTTGCTGCAGTTGATTTGTCGGAAAGCCCGTCAACGGCAGCTGCTGGAGCAGGACATCACCCCTCAAAACTCCGTTTTGTCTACCAACATAGAAAATGAGGGGCAAATGAGTGTCGATCTCGTGATACAAGAGACGGATATTATGTCATCGTTGCAAGAAATTCGGCCAACAGCTATGCGCGAGGTGTTCTTGGAGACTCCTAAGGTACGATGGACAGATATTGGTGGACAGCACGAAGTAAAAAAACGCCTACAGCAGGCTGTCGAAAGGCCCCTCAAGGTAGGAAACATTTCCAGTCATCAAACTGATCGGCATCAAGGCTAACAATCTGTTGCAGTATCCCCAACGGATGCAACGGCTCAATGTGAAAAGCAAAAAGGGAGTTCTTCTTTACGGCCCCCCCCGGCTGTTCCAAGACCTTGACTGTCAAAGCCTTGGCCACGGAAGCTGGGTTGAACTTTTTGGCTGTTAAAGGGGCAGAAATTCTGAGCATGTACGTCGGAGAGTCTGAGCGGTCGTTGAGAGAGATCTTTCGCAAAGCTCGCGCGGCACGACCCAGTATCATATTCTTTGACGAGATCGACGCCATTGCCTCTCGACGTAGCAGCAGCTCCAACGGCGGTGTGAATGTTCTGACGACTTTGCTCAACGAGATGGATGGCATTGAAGAAATGCGGAACGTGCTGGTCATCGCGGCCACGAACAAGCCAGACGTTCTTGACCCAGCACTCATGCGGCCCGGTCGTTTGGACAACATTCTATACATTGGACCACCTGATTTCGAGGCGCGGAAGGAAATCTTGCGGATCTGGTCAAGTAAATCTGTTGTCGATCCGGAAGTGGACCTGGACGAACTGGCGACCCTTACCGACGGCTATTCAGGAGCAGAGATGGTGAGCATATGTGAAACTGCAGGAGATGCGGCCTTGGATGAAGAGGAAGAGACTCAACAAGAACAAAATGTGAAATCGAAGCATTTTGCATACGCCTTAGGTCAGGTGCGGCGTCAGATCACGGACAGCGTCATTGCGGAGTACGAGCAATGGAGAGATGGACAGTCCTAAGAGGACAGAAGATGAAGGAATTAGGATCCTCAAGTGTTGAGTCCCCATAAAGTAACAGATTATGTTTCTAGATAGCATTCGAATATCCCGGTCAAACTCACCTAAGGTGATTACCTCATGCGGCTAGCGTAAGGATCAAAGTGCCCTGGATTCGCGACTTGCGCCTGCAACTTCACTCACCTGCACACGTACTATTGCCCTCTTCACCTGAGCATCCATCCTTGTTGCTTCTCCCCAAGATATTCTCAACTCTGACATCCAATGTCCATGCCTTCACGAGAGCGCTCGCCCGTGCGCTCTTCTCATGGCCCGGCGCGTTCTTCCTTGCGTCGATCCGTACCCCCCCCGTGAAGACACGCGCAGCCCGTCTCCAGCTCGCGACCGTCCCAAGAGCCGATCGCGATCTTCTTCCCGTGGCCGATCACGAACTCGCAGTCGAAGCCGAGGTGGGCGACGCTACCGCAGCCGGAGTTACAGTAGAACACCCAGCCCCAAAAGTCCTCCGAGGAGCGCAAAAGTGAGAGCTGACCATTGCTCGCGCAAATTCTTTTGCTAATCGTAATTCTGGTAGATCGTTGTGGAGAAGTTGACCAAGAACGTCACGGAGAATCACATCCGCGAGATATTCGGAAGCTTTGGCGACATCGAGTACCTGGATCTTCCCATCAATCGTTCCTGTGAGAATTTCTTCCCGAGGGCTTGAAAGCATCGTGTCTGATCATCAATTTAAACTGATATGTCTCTGACTGTGTGTTCTAGTCATGACCAACCGAGGGACCGCTTACATTTTGTATTACGACCCGGCGGATGCTGAGGCTGCCATCGCTCATATGCACGAAGCCCAACTAGACGGGGCCAATTTGAATGTTTCAATTGTTCTTCCACGTCGGACGTTTTCACAATCACCCCCTCCTGCGTCTAATCGAGGCAATGGCGGTCGCCCCAGATTTGGCAAGGGATCATATGCGAAGTCCCCCCCACGAAGGCGCGGTCGGGCGCGGCCTACCGAGCGACATGATGTCTACCGGCCTCCTTCAATCTCTCGATCTCGATCGCCTGTGCGCTCTCGGTCTTATTCTCGTTCGCGGTCTCCACCAAGAAGAGGCAGCCTTCGCACCGAAAGCCCACGGCAGCGCCGTCGACGAAGCCCCAGCTATAGTAGCTACGGATACAGCAGCCGGAGCGATAGTCGGAGCCCGCAAAGAAGCCGGAGTCGCAATCGTCATTAGACTCCGCAGCAAGATCACATCATCGCTATTGCAATCGCTCCTCTTCCGTCTTTAATTTGCTCCATGTCTGACCTACTCGAACTCCAAGTCAACAAATGAATATTCAATTTGTCCCGAGAGCACCTAAAGACACCATAGTGGCTGAAAGACTGATATCTGTAACAATCATTGAGATAATATCAAGGCTACGTCGGAAAAACAAAATGGTGTTTCAGGCTCAGAAAAAGGCACACCATCCGATATACATGGACGCCAGGTTCTTCTTGTCGGTCGCCTGCATGATCAGCTCATCCACCTGACCGTCCACTGAGAGTGGGATCGGCTGCTTGGACATGAAACCCCGGAGTTTATTGCGGACATCTTCCAAGACTCCGGCGGGGGTGTCGGGCACACTTACGTGAGTGCGGCGCTATGATGAGATCGGCATCAGTGACTGGCCTTATGTGATAGGAGGGATCGTACTCACTCTCTTACCGATAAAGTCGGTCGTTGGGTCATGCAGAAAGGTTTCGAGGACGGTCATCAGGGCATCTTCATTCTGCCGCAGAAGACTGAGGGTGATCTCACAGGTTCTCCGAAAAGGCCCTATACGGCGAGGATCAGTTGCTGCTTCACAAACATAAGTTCTGGCAAGCCTACCATTGTATCCATAGGCACCAAAGGCATCAATCATGTTGTTCGTTAACCGGAATGGAACTACCTCTGGTTTTTCAAACGTTTGACCCTGCGTAAAATTAGCCCTTGTGTAGTACAACCCGGACTTTGGGTTCTCTTACTTTGTCGAACAGACAGTTGAAATCAACGTGCAGAATGCCTCCAGTCCCTTCTTCAAACGAAAGGTTCTCTCCGTGTCGATCGCCAAGCCTACTCCAACATTAATCCCTACATTAGAACAAGATCGTCTCGACGCAAGCTGGAACAGCTGCAACTGGCACAGTACATACCCCAGAACGTATCCGACCATCGACATGACCGCAGAAGACCTCGTATACCGTAACCTCGCCGAGAACCATGTCTCGGTCTCCGGGAACATTTCGATAAACCATTCATGAAGAACGGGGGGCAGCCTGTCTTCATCAGCATCAATTAGCTTTTCAACCAAGCCGAGTCTGTCTCACTTGGCCAAAATCTTTGTTGTAAACAATGACAACTTGGACATCGAACGGTCTGCACATATCTCATTTAGGTAGTGTTTGATCTCCGTATACTATTTTGTGAATTCGTCAGTCAAATGAAGCCGCGAAAGAGCCGAAAATCTTACGTTTGGTGCAACGCCGCGCTCGCGCAGGTTTTTGATGATGATCTCTCTCAAGGTCCGGAGGTTGTCAACCCACTCAATCAGACCGCATTCCTCATTGAGCGGTGTCACGGCATAAGTTTTGATGTCTCCGTTGAGTTAGACCTTCATAAGTAATAAAGATCCTGAGCGGAAAAACTTACACATTCGTCGCTTGCTCGATTCGACATCCCGTTTTAAGAACCGATTGATCATGTTGTTGAATTCCATGAGACGTTGGTCCTTGCGCAGATCATCCTTAGGTTTGCAAAGTGCATTGTAGATCTTTCCATCAGATCCTCGAATACTGATCTTCCGTGGCTTTTGGAGGGAGTTCAAGATCTGTGCCTCATCAAGTACGGCTGTTACCAGTTAGCTCAGCATTGCAGCAAATCAGTGAGGTTCACATGCCCTCTATAGTTGTCGGGTCTCGTGGGAAAGCCCTGAATCCCTTCAGGTACTCTGAATCATGACTGGTGGGCAGACTTGGAATTAACATTGCTTGAAATGGTACTACCAGGCGACACGGGGCAACTTTGTGGTTGAACCCAAGGTGACGAGCGAGGTTGACCCGGGAGGCTCTTTCCTCAACGCGTGCGAGGCACAGCTGGAGTAATTCTTCTGAAAGCTTTTGGCCCTGGTTTATCATACGGCGAATGTCAGATGACGATGACTCTGATCTATGTTTAGTCGTATAGTCCTGTTTGACTTAGTAGGATCTTTTGTATCAGGCAGAGGGTCAGAACTACCGTGATCTTTTGTAGGCAAGTATAGCCCCTGGACGCTCGATCCTTGTTGGACGATTTGACAACTGCCAGGACTGTCCATAATCCTTGCTGTGGAAAGCTATGGACGGCTTTAGCCACAATTCGCGTCAAGAGGTCATAAACTGTGCTGTTGGGATGACAAATGCGAGCGACCACCTGTGGCAAAATGGTAAAGAGCTGTACTTGAGTGAGCCTATTATCCCGAATAATGCAAAACAACGAGGTCTTGGACAAGGTGTTTGCTCACCAAAGCAGCTTGTAGGCGCGATGAGATGTATTTTTTCAGCTGGGCGTGCATCTCGTCTAAGCTCTTCTGTCGCTGAGCTTTTGTGTGTCTCTGGAAGTCTCTATTTGTTTTAGAAGACCATATTTAGCAACGCAGAACCATTCAATTCTATTGAGGACCACTTACTCGTTGTCTCCTCGTTTCGGATCAATTGGCTGATCGACGATAGAAGCATGTTCCAACCACAGCGTCAAAAGTTTGGGCAGCGTCTGAAAGACATATTTGCTCCCATAAGTCAGTGAGCGAAGATAGTTGTCAATGACGAGTTTGGTAGCTTCTCCACTCAGGCTGAAATGGATTATTAGTAGTTGACTTGGCCCGCCGTAGCAAAGGGTATGCATACTATATTTGAGCTTCCTTCCCCATGGGCTTGATCTTCTCCGAGTCAAGGATCTTGTTGTAATGCTTCCCTAAGTAGTAGTGTGCTTTCTCCCATCTGAATGCCTGAATTAGCCGGTAGTCCCCGAGAGCGAAGTCTTCAACTCACCGCGGGTATAGTTTGATAGCCTCCCGATACCGTTGAACAATGACTTGAGAGTGGGTTTGACCTGCTCTGTCTGTCCATTTAGCCAGGAGGAGATGGGCCTAAATATACCAATGAGCGTCTAATTTATCGATGGGATTGAATTGACGAGACGTACCCGGGCCGCTGTCACATTCGCGTTTTGCCCATGGCCAGAAAGGAATGATACCGAATCGGCATCTGCGGAGAGTGATGCTGCAGAAGTAGCCTCATTGGCCGATATCGCACCTTCAAGCGTTTGGATTGCTTTGCGATGGTGCCCATCTTTCCAGAGAAGTTTGGCGTGTTCAATGGTAGCCGATCGATCTTTTAGTAGAGCCGCGTTGAGCATTGAGTGATATGCTTGACTGGTGAAGTTCCCCTTTCGCGATAAGTGAGCACTTGTGAGCCAGGCTGATGCGATATCGGAATTTGCAAAATTGCCTCTGAAGGAAACGTTAACAAGTATTATGACGATGATGATTATATGCACTTACGCTAGCTCCATGGCAGCTCGCCTCAATCCCAGAAGGTATTGCTTGTCTGCAAGATAACCACCCAGCACATCCAAACGTCGATCCAAAGCTCCTAGCAAGTCTAGGCTCGGATTAGAACCCACAGCGCCTGCATTCGCAATGGATTCCATGTCAGCCAGGGCGTGTAACCGAAGCATATCATCATGACAGGTTTGGAGAGAGGCCACAGAATTAGCAGTCAATGATTTCGCAACGTTGAGCCTGAGCCCATTGATGATCTGAATAGTTTTTTCGGCTTTATTCTGCCGAAGAATGTTGAGAGCTGCGCCAATACCCACGTTAAAATCCCCAGCACCTTGTTTTGCGGATAACTCCAAATAGCCCTCAAGTTTATCCCATCTCCCCGTAATCCACGATGCCTCTACTGCGAAAGGCAAAAATCGGGACGCTGCAGATTCGTTGTCTTTGATGACCTCGAATCGGGTGAGAATCGCGTCTAATTATGATAAGCAACTAGTTGGAAAAAGAGATAAGAGGATATTGCTGGAGCTACCTTGTTGACCAGATTCCTTGAGGCAGGTGACAAGGTTCCATTGAGCATCGATATTATCCGGTTCTTTCTCGAGCTGGAGTTCGTACCAGCTTTGTGCAGTGGCCCACCTTCCCGCCTTGCGATGTTCCAGAACTTGCTGGTCGATGTTGAGTGCAGATAAATGGCTTGAAATGCCCTCAATGCCGTCAGGTTCATCGATTTGACTGTATATATCCTGTAGTCGTTGATAGAGAGGCTCGGTACTGGAGCGCTCTTGCATGTCCGGCTGCGATTTGCATTTCCGAATATACTGCTCCCAATGGAATAAAGCCCTGGAAAATGACTTGCATTCGACGGCTCGTTTAGATATGACCTCTGGAGGAATAGCAGCTAGAACAGCTTCGACAGATTTGACCTGTGATGTGTACTTTTCAAGAAGTCCATCTCGATTAGCATCTCTGTGTGAGCGGCTGGATTGGTAAGACTGGTGATTCAGGCTATTAAGCTGCTTTTTCTTCCCCTGAAGCCATCTCGACAAATAGTCCAGGACCTCAAAAACACTCTACACACAAACTGTAATCAGCATCCGGATAATTAAATTCCATGCCCGAGAAGGTCTTACCTGGCTACTACTGATGATAGTCTCACGGACACTCTTGTTAGCGTCAGGCAGGGGGTATGAAAGGACGTTCACCAACTCATGCTGAAGATCCTGCAGCTCTGGTTCAGTTCCCCCCACGATGCGGTTTAAGATGGCGAATGGCAAAAGAAATGAAGAAATCGAGATGTCTTGGCCCTTCACGACTCGGCTGCATACTGCGAATATGAGCTTTGCATTGTCACCATTCCCCGCCTGGAGCAGATCCTGTACAAGTGTTCGAAGCCACTCGCTATGGGTCATTTTGTTGCTCAACAAAGGATATGCGACTTTGGGGGTCGCTCCGACGACAGTGACCGTGTAAGTGGAGGTCAGGAATGGCGTGAGAGTGTTTCGGACGCTTTCCGGAAGCTCCATCCACCGCTGATATTTCTCGTCGCCCTGATCAAGATCTCGATTTCGCTGTGTCACTGCTGTGTTCAAATTGCAAATTTTGAGAAGATTTTGCATGGCATATGCCAGAAATCCTTGAGCTCTAGTGTTAGATGCTGACAAGAAAGCCTCAACTAGGACATGCTGGAGGAAGAACAGAACGAATTCTACCGTATCTTCCATTCGATCGAAGTTCGACAGGACAAGAATGTCCCTCTTTTCCTTGACTGTCTCCACTCGGTTCGGATCAAGACATCCGATGAGACCTAAACATCGCGAGGACAGCAGAGTGATCGAGTCCGAACTGGTGTTGAACTTCACACAGCAGTCGAGCAGTGCCCTTGTCAATTGAGCGATCACAGGATCCGGCTGCTCGCTGAGAACGGATACGTGTAAGAACTCCTCGTTTCCTGACAGAAAAGGCAGTAGTTCATCCAGAGCCTGTTCAACAACTGTGGCGTTCTCACTTTGACAACGCCGGATGAGGGCAAGGAACTGGCTTCGAACGTCCATTTGTGTCCTCAATTCGTTGATCTTGGTTTCGAACGAAGACAGTTCAGGAATCGAGGCAAGAGAGGGCATGGTGTTGAAGGTATCTCTCACCAAATTCGGATGATTTGTCAGAATATGATCAATGAGCTGGTAGGCATGAATTCGACTGTCTCCCGTCAATCTATCCCAGTACCTGATGACAATCGCCAATGTCTGGTCGATGAGCGGCTCGATATCCTCCTCACTAAGTGAGCTGATCAAGGTCTTCCAGGCCGCAAAAGCGTGGTCACAAAGCTCCTCAATATCAAGTGCTGATCGGAGGCAGGCACAGACTTGGGGCAGTGCATTGCTAACATGGCCTTGAGAGATGTTGATCATCTCTTCAATGGCTTTGAGATTTCGTCTTTTTTCCGCCAAAGTCTGTCTCACCTGGAAGTCGTTAATTGCATTTGCAAATTGAGTGATGATACCAAGAACATGTTCCTCAATAAAGTGGCTTAAGAGGTCTGTCTTTTTGGAAGAGCTACCATGAGCATACTTCCGCGGAACGAATGTAGCCAGGCGCATAAGTGCTTGATGGAACTGGATTGGCGAATTTAGCTGCAAGCCCACCTAAAGAGGGATCTTCAAGCAGATTCTACTCACTCTCTCCTTATTCTGCTCTCCAGCATCCCCGAGACTTTTGAGTAAGTCACAGGCGATAAGAATCGGCTCGATCCGAACCAGATCGGCTAGTGTCCGACTTCTGAAAGCAGGATCTATCTCAGCTAATAAAGACATGATCATCGCCTCTGGGTCGTTCGATTGCTGAGACAATAGGAAAGAAAGGATCGCAGCGAGATTGTTCTTTTCGGAGCAGACATCGAATGGCGATTCGCCTTCATTGCGACTTGCCCCGATCCTGCAAATGATGTCCCGTTTCCGGGTCAGAACCAAATATGGGAGGACATGTACCTCCGTCAGACGAAGGAAGCCATCCACTTTCATTCCAAGCAATTCGCAAAGCTGCTCGGCCATGTGTGGGCGAGTCTGGAGGTTTTTGACGATCACCACGGACAAAGTCCTCCAATAGGGCCGAAACAAGCCAGCAGGAGTCACTGCAAATTGCTGCGCAAGTTTAGACAGCTAATTCGGCGAATTAGCTTGTTGAAACCGTGTAAATAAAGCGCAAAGACGCAATTGAGGCTGACTGGACAATGCGACATCTGGAAGTGCTATACATACCTCATTGTAGGCAACGGCACAGACATAGGGATTTGGATGACCGAGATACTCCAGGAGACGAAGGAGAATGATGTTTTTCTCTTCATCTTCTGAGACACTATTTTGAACCCAGTGAGCGAGGGGTTTGAAATCAAGGCAGCACATAAACAAACCTGGCAAGTTGACACAATGTCAGAACGCATGCTTCTTGTAAAGGCATGTCGTCCTTCTCTGAGAGGTTTTTCAGCCATTCCAATACAATGACAAAATTCGCCCGACGGATGTCCGGTTGGAGATTAGAACGCACAAATGCTACCATTGAATAGCTGCCAGTGGATTAGCACATTTACAAATGACAAGTAGTGTCCAAGACATACCCGGTCGCGACCCGAAGCTCTCGGACAGAGCTGCGAAGGGAATGAAGACAGAATTCTCCAGCTGTAGATGATGAAAGATGCATGTGATTTGAGCCAGGAGAGTGCATTAGGATTCTCTTCAAAGCCACCATAGCAGTGATGCGTGGGCCAGGTGTGCGTGTAAGTTTTGGTAATATGAAATTGAATATTGACCATAACACCTCAAACTGAAGCGTTTCTTTCTCTGGAAGCATTTCAGGTTGGAGACGTTCACCATCACAGGCGTGACAAAAGACAGTCTCCCGCATTCCAATCATCGACGGCTTCTGCACCAAATTATTCGTCATGGAGCAAGAAACTTTGCCCATTAGTTCCATAATCTCCGACTTGTGGTATTCAGATAGACTTTCGAATGAGCTCCTATAAAATGTTAGTGTCATAACTGACGCTATTGTTGAGATTCATCAGGCAAGCCACTGGAACTCACTGAATTGCAGCATGTAATTCCGTCAAGCTTTCAGTAGGGTCATGGCCCAGTAGTGAAGATAGTTTTGCCATTAAACCCTGTTGAAGATTCTGGCCAGAGAGCTCGCCAGAAAGGCAAATCCGCTTTGATGCGCGCGCTTTGTCATTCTCTTCTGTTCTTTGACCTGTCGCACCGGGCTTGTCACTGGCAAGGGAAAAGTCTTCCACCAGAGCCACTGATGTGACCGCCGATGAGCGTCTTGCCGGTGTCGAGGTGGCCAACAGCTCGGCACGAAGAGATTGAAGAGAGGTCTAGAATTGTGTCAGATCATATTGATGTACTAAAGCTGAGCATGACAATTACCAAAAGGCAAGGATCCATGGACTGCAGATCAAGATCCCGGTCCTCGATCTCTGCTAGGGCCGGCAGAATTATTTCCCTCAGCAGCTGGGCAGAAGAACTGGAGTGTCTCGTTGATTGCACGAATTCGTCCAGATAGTGACTAATCTGACCTTGCATTGCAAGAAATGCATGGCTGATACTTGGATAGATTAATTCGCTTAAACAGTGAGCCCAAGTCGAGGCCAAGCCTATGTCCGACGCCAGAGCCGGTGAAGTCGACCTAGACACACAGAAACGGCGGGAAGACGATAAAAATTGAAGGCAGGTTTCCTCTTCGTTTGAGCTCAACTTCGAGCGTGCACTCTGTAGCCATTTGACTAATACTCTTCGTAGGCGATTGTATCCGTTGAGTACCCAAGAGAGATTCTGGCGAAGGATCAGGACTCGGCGCTTCTCGAGGCTTTCGATGGTCGCCTTGGGGCTAAATGAGTCCAGCAACAGTAATGCGAGCGTGAATGCTTGGGAGAAGGTACCCAGCGTTAGACTTCTTCCCAGTAAACCGCGAGGAAGGTGTAAGTGGTCCAATTCCGTCAGAAGAGACCCGTTGCATGCTGGTATTGATATCTTCACGGGGCGGGTATTTCGCCAGTCATATACCTGAGGTGCCCCCCAGTGACGATATGATATCTGCTTCCCGTTAGCCTCGTTCACCAAATCAATCGACAGAAGTCTCAAACAGACCCGACGTGCAAACTCGAATGAATACCGAAATGCCATTAAAGGAAGGAGATGAAAGAGCGTGCTTATATTGCAAACAAGCGATGCTGGTGAACACCAGGCGAATTTTGTCCTGAATAGCTTCGCATTGCCAGTTGCATGCCAACCTAATCAGTCGAAGGATCAACCATGCAAACAACGGCGCTTGAAGTTCCTCGCCCAGTATGAGCGGATCCGAGATGTCCCACAGAGCTTGTGGGGCCTTTTCGATGCTTGCTTGAATGATGTCCAGACAGTCAAAGACCTGCCCTTCCAGATCCCCTTCCGAGGCGCTGTTGGTTGGACTAGCCTCCAAGCCGGCCTGGAGAACAATACATACTAATTTGTTGATGTCGGTAATACCTTCATCAGCACGCATTTGGATATGCTTTTCACCAAGAAGTTCTTGCCGAAGCTGTGAAAAGGTGTCTCGCGACAGTCGCTGCGCTTCGTGCCCTTGGGATGCGAGACGCGGAGCGAAATGTGCCGCAAGGATGGACGAGGCTGGCTCTGCGGGCTTCCATCCATTTACAGGCTCGCGACCAGGAGGGTTATCTCCATTAGCTGCCATAGAGAACGAACATGGCCACTGGGCTGAAAAGCTGGTAGACGCGGGTTGGTGAAGAGAAGGGCAGATACGCGGAGTTGTACATAGACACCTGAGGCAACCAAAAACACCCACGACGTGGGCTTTTCGACTTGATCGTAAAAACTTGATATAGGTTAGTTGAAGCGGAACTACTACAACATTCTAATCCTATATAGATGCGGCCTTACGCAGGGCTTGCAGAACACAAAACGCAACACGAAAGAAGGAGACAGCAAATCTTTTGCCCGAGCGCATCCGAAGAGACATTTGCTAACTATGCGACATGATTAGTGATAGCATCAAGATGACTGGATTTAGCCATCAAATTCTTCTTCAATCTTTAGGCAGGAAATTTGGGGGTTTTTGAGGAGCATTTGCATTTGCATTATCTCCTTAGGCCGTACATCTCAAGGCCTTGCTTGGGCCCCCCGTATATCATTTTATTCCATTTTCCCCTTGAGTAATCTATAGAGAAATCTTGATCTTTCTGCGATTCAATACACTGAATCATAGACTTAGTCTTTGAGGGAATGCAATTAGGTGGGAAAGATCAATTTACCTTGGCCAGGGGCGGTCCGATTAAAATCTCGCGTGGTTCGGTTCATCTCTCACTTCCAGTTGCACCCCTCCCAAATAGAGCCATGGATGTTTAACCCCAACACCGACCCCCCTCACAAAGGATCACTTGTCATTACCTCTTCGTCATGGATCTGCTCGGCGCGGAATCTGAGTTGGCGCCCTCCGCTTTAGCGGAAGACTCGCGTCACGCCTACTTCATGCAGGAAGCTCTGTCAATGGTACGTGATGCCTTTCCGATACCATCACACTCAACGCTGAACAGATATCACAGGGTGAAAAGGCACTGGAGTCAGGCGAGACCCCCGTCGGATGTGTCCTGGTCTACAAAGACCAAATTGTGGGACGGGGCATGAATGACACCAATCGGTCCATGAATGTAAGTCTTCGACGATGCAAGGCTATAAATATGACATCGCTAAATAATCCAAGGGAACGCGACATGCCGAATTTCTTGCGATTGCAGAGTTGCTGCGAACCTATCCCAGATCCACTTTGCAAGAGACCGATCTCTACGTGACGGTCGAGCCGTGTGTCATGTGTGCTTCAGCTCTCAAGCAGTATCGAATCCGCCGCGTGTACTACGGCTGCGCTAATGACCGATTCGGAGGTACTGGAGGTGTGCTGAAGCTGCATTCCGAGTTGGTGGCCTCATCCTTCGTTCAAATCGATGCATTGATTGCTTGCTTACTTGATGCAGTCCCTCCCTTGATCCACAATATCCCGTGCACGGTGGACTGTTTCAAAAGGAAGCCATTATGCTTCTCCGCCGCTTCTACATCCAGGAGAATGACAAAGGTCAGTGTCTGAACAAGAGTACATCGAACCCTTTGCTAACGTTCGGACCATCCCACCAGCGCCCAACCCGCGGCCTAAGAAAAATCGCGAGCTTAATACGACTTTCGAGGACAAAGATTAACTGCGTCCCGGCAAAGCCATTAAGATTATCCTGAGTTTCAACCATGAATCATGTCACACTAGCTACAAATGCGCAAATGAATATTTTTATGTCTACACAGACCGATAGGAAGGGCAGACTATGCAAAGCAGCCATAGAGATCGCTTCATCAGAGAAAACGTTGTAGAATTGCAGCCGCGCCGTGGGAAAAGAAACACGAAAAGGGATATGTGTACAAAAAGTTTGTAACTCCAGGCCAAACTTTCGACCTAATTTCTGGGTAATCATGCAGACTTGACCCGCTCGGCTTCCAACTCCCGCTCTGCTTGCTGGTAATATTTGGCCGTGTCGACACCGTGCTAGACAGTAGCATTAGTATCGATTGGCTACTTCTCAAAAGAATGCGCAGAATGGGCAGGAGCTTACCTGGTCATGGTTGACGATGTTGAACCACGGCAGAACGTGGATGAACAGCTCCGAGTACCGAGAGTTACGTGCAGCCACACCCTGAATGTAATCAGAGACCTTCGAGGCACCGTAGAGGGGCTGTCCCTGCTTCACTTTGTCGACCATTTCCCTCATGTCCATCTCAACCTCCCGGGTGTTCTCGGTGAATCCGTAGAAACGTTCTGCAGTCTGGTGAGTGGCTCAATCGGTATTGTAGGGTCTAAGATACATACGGCAGGATCGCTGGTAGAAGACGTGAAGTCCACCAATAAGACCAATGGCGGTTGCAAGGCGCATCACGGGGGGAAAAGCCGCCGCGACCGACATGCGACGGGCTCACTCGCTCCATAACCCAAAAGGCAATGGGAGAAACGGCGGCGGCACCAGCACCGACCGCATAATCTGATGGACGAGCATATCCGAATACACGACGAAGATGCCTAGTAATATGGTGAGTTTGGTTCAGAGGAGATTCGGGGCAGATCGTACGGATCGGAATCAATAAGCTAATAGAGCACGGATTAGTCATTGGCAAACAAATGGAAATGAGACAGTTCTCCTACGGGATAATCAGTGACGGCCCGCTTAGGGGGCACGATGGCCGAGCTGGGAGAAGCCATGATGTCGTCAATGGAGAGCGAGGAGGGGGTTTGTCGTTGTGCAGAGTCGAAGTTCGGAAGTTGGAGGAGAGCGACCGCGCTAGCTTTTTGGGGCTTAGCGCATTCCGGGCGGACAGCTCCTTCACCGCCAATCAGATGCGTGATGACCAGTCGCGTTCTGGTAAACTAGACGCGATTCTGCCTTCTTGAGATCAAGATACAAGATACAAGATACAAGATTTAACCCTCGCCATGAATGATGAAAGAGCCAGTTCTCCGGTCAACCTGAATGATCTTTTTGACTACGATGTTGGTCTGGATGAGATCTTTCAAGATAACCACGCATCGAACGGCAACGAAGCCAAACCCTCCGGAGATCCCTCCTCTCTCGGTCTGGGACTTGACGACGAGGTCAAAGTCTCAAAGAAAAGACAGCCAGTAGCGAAGCTGGACGAGGGCCGGTGAGTACCTTGTCCGACCATTCTTTGACCACCATTAATCTGGTCTTTCTCAGTCTACTTTCACAGTCAGGCATTTCCAAATTACGACGCACCGCGAGGCGGAAACTCAAATTCAAGGGCAAAGGACATGAGGTTAGTCGGACTCTCCGGTACTCATCTGCCGACCTGGAATTGACGCGCCTCCTTGACAGTTCTCGGATGCGGCACGCCTTTTGAACTTCTACCAACTATGGCTCGACGAATTATTTCCACGCGCAAAATTCGCAGATGGCTTGGCGATGATTGAGAAACTGGGTCATTCCAAACGCATTCAGACCATGAGACGAGAATGGATTGAGGAAGAGAAGCCGAAGCCATTCGGTGATCACGAGGTCTCTAGACATATCGCAGACACCATTGACCTTCCAACAAGACTTTCCTCTGATCAAATAGGCGCAGCGGCGACAGGCCCCAAGGAAACGTTCGGCTCGAAGCCCTGGAAAACTGTGTCGGCGACTGCGGACCCGGAACTGTTTATCTCAGACCCCACGGGCGAGAGCCGATCATTAGCCAGCTATCCGGAGCCGGACGATGATGACCTGGAGGATCTTCTCAGAGAACAGGACCAGATCATGCCCGGAATGTCTGAACCAACGTCGCGGCCAGCAAATAACAACCACGATGACTTTGATGCCGAATATGAAGCCATGAACGAAATGGGGCTGTAAAAGAACTTAGAATATAATATTTTATGACAGCAATGAATTGAACATCCTCCTTGATGGCACTTGGCATTCAGCTATGTAACAGACTTTATTCCGATACATAGGATGAACGTATCGCAATTAGATCTTTCAAGGAGGCTCTTACTCATACAGAGTACTATCCGAGATACTTGAGACGTTCACGTGTGTCGTAGGCACTCGCTTCACCCGATATTTGGTCCTGGGTTTGAGAAGTTGTGTTCAAGATTACTATGACCAAGGTGGCTACACGAGTGGAGCTAATTTGACAGTTGATGCGCCGAACATTGAAGAGAAAATTGGGAACAGAAGATAACAGAGACGGTCGTGACCACCTGAATTTAGCGACTCGGGAGAGAGCTCAGGGCAGACCCAGATTACTCGTCGGCAGGCGATGTAAACACCGAGAATTGGCCACCGGCGCCGGCCCAGTTCAGCTGCTTCCCACGAACGGCAGTGTTGTCGATGATAGTGGCAACTTCGATATCATCCTGGGTACCCTGTCCAGTCTGGTACGTAGCAGAAAAGCCCCAAGACCAAGCACGGCCATCGGCATCAATTGCAAGGCAGTGGTCGGAAGCAGCGGAGACCACCTTGGCCTTGACACCGGGAACTGGAGTGGGTTCGATCAGAATGCGAGGACGTCCATGTGCATCCTTGATGACTGCGTCGTCGTGAAGGCTCTCAATCTTCAAGCCAGTCTGGAAGCCGTCCAGGCGGCCCCATACCAAGCACTTGCCATCCTCAGTCCGTGCAATGGAATGATGAGCGCCACCGCAAAGCTGGGTGATACCTTGCCCGGTGAGCGACTCGACGACAGTGGGTTGCAAAATGGCAGCTTCGTCATCACCAGCACCATCCCGAAGGGCTGTGGCACCGAAGCTGTTCAAGCCCCAGGCAAAGACTTTTCCGGTCGCGTGAACCGCGAAAGAGTGGTAGGAGCCACAACCAATGTGCGCGATATTCTTCGGGAGCCCAAACTCTCGAGGGAGCAGTCCATGGAGCTTGTTGCGCTCAATGATGCGGCGGCCAAGCTGGTTTTGCTGTCCAGAGCCCCACGAGAATACACTGCCTTTATCGTTCAGCGCAAGAACGTGGTTCGCGCCACAAGACAGGTGCTTGATCTTTTTCAAGGACGGAATGAGGATGGGGGTGTTCTGAACCCGATGGGTGGTGTCAAATCCGAGAATTCCGTCGTTGCTCTAAGCGAAGAAGAGATGGTTAGCGCGAGGGGGCTTTGAAAGAAGAAACAAAGAAAGAGACATTGTTGGACCTACTCGGAAAGTTCCCCAGCCATAAACCTGTCCATCGTCGGTAAGAGCAAAGCTCGCGCTATCCGCAGCAGCCACTTGAACAAAGACAGTTCCTTCGGGAAATGCGCCAGAAGGAATTGCGGTGGGAGTGGACTCGACTGGATTCAATCCGCTATCTTCATCATCCGAGTCTGAGTCGCTGTTGTCCTCTATGTCCTTGTAGCCGCCGTCCCATGTGGTGTCTCGTCCCAAAGCACCTTGGTCGTTCACACCCCAAGTGAAGATCTCGTTGCGGTGGGTCAGAGCCACACAGTGCATGCCGCCAACGGCAACTTGAACGACACCCACCTTGTCTGCCGCCAGGAGCTGGTTCAGACGTGGCCGCTTCACGTCAATGACGTTCTTGGCCGTGCCTAGGCCCAGCTCACCGGAGCTTCCTTCACCGCAAACATATACGTGCAGGCGAGACTTGGGGGCCTCGTTAATGACGACCTTAGCCTTGGGGACTTTGAGCGCTCGGGATTGGGTAACGCGAGGTTTCTTCACTGGACGAGACTTCTCCTCCTGCTCGCGCGGCTTCTCCTCTTCGTCGGACTCATCGACCTTGCGCTTCTTCGACGCGGGTGTGGTAGGCGCCGTAGTCTTCGCTTTACGCGACTTGTCAACCGGCTCTTTCTTCACTGTCTCCTCAGTCGACATCTTCTTAGAGCGACGGCCGGTCGCAGCAGGCTTCTGGGGTTGGGCAGCGGGTTTAGCGGCAGCCTTTGCCGGTTTCTTGGTAGCGGCCGCTTTAGTCGCCTTAGCTGGAGTTCCCTTAACCGGAGCAGCTTTCTTAGCTGGGGCAGCCTTCTTAGGAGGCATTGCGAGGAATGGGAATGTAACGGAGGAATTTCGGGTGGGAAAGGGTGGGAAGGGAAGACGCGACAAGACAAAGGGAAGCGCCACGGCAGGGAAAAAAAGAAAAGGTAAATAAAGAACAATGCGGCATTCCCGGCCACCCGAGACTAGGAAGCTCCCAAGTTGAACCTCGCCAACTTTGGACAGTCTGGATTATTATAGTTGTAAGTTGAATTTAATCTTTATCATTTCTCATTACATGAACAATTCCGAAACCTCGATCAGACAATCATGGGTTGTCTTGTGCGCGGATCTTACCACACATGATGACGTTTTGGCCTAACGGCGTCCACTTCACATCGCGTGGATTCAAAGCGGCATTGGGTTTACCTTCTTGGTCCAGTTTGGAATCGGGACTGACCCCGACACCTCCGCGACCGAGATAAGTTGGAGCCACAGTGACGATAATCGAGTCGATGAAGTTCGTGTACTCCGGGTTGAGTAGTTCGCTCAGAACGGTGCCACCCCCTTCAATCATGACGCTCTTGATACCCTCCGAAGCCAAGGCTCGGAGGACGGCTTCCCACCGCAGGCGCCAATGCTGGTTATATTCCACAATCCGCAGGAAGTCTCCACCGTAACCTTTAAGCATCATCAACCTCTGCGGGTTGATCTGAGCTCCAGGTGACACCACCACCCACGGCGCTTTTCCTTTCCCTTCCACGGCTGTTCGTAGCATTCGACATTCCGGGTGAATAGGCCAACGGCCCATGGGGTCGACAACTACCGGGCGTGGTTGCCACATCCTTCCCAGTCCGCCAAATCCTCCAGCTCCTTCGAGGCGGCAGTTCAGTCCCGGGTTATCTGCAAGAACGGTGCCGACGCCAATGAGAATCGCGTCGTGGCGAGAGCGCAGGTAATGGGTCATCAATTTGGCCTCTGGTCCAGATAATACCGTCTGCATCCCGGGGCATAGTGAGATCTTCGAGTCCATCGAAGACGCATAGGAGAGTGTAACATGGGGAAACTCGCGTTTCTCGGAATGGTCGGGAAGATAGGGCTGAAGGAAGTCGAGGGAGAATTGGGGGAAAGATAGAGTATCTGGGGGCAGCAGGCGGGATGACCTGGACTGAGCGGGCTTCTGTAGATTGGCGTCATTGCTACTATCTGCATTCTGAGACTTCACAATCCCGTGTCCTTTCTGGTATTCGTAGCCCTCGTGAGGAACAAGCTTCACTTCCGGGTTTTGAATGCGCCACTTGGCAGAGACGTTGCGCACGTCCGTCACGGTGAGGAACCGACCTCCTGCTTCCTGAAGCTTATCCGGTTCCTCTTGAAATTTGGTGAAGATCGATGAGGGCAGATAGCCTTTCACAGATTCCTTCCTCGCAAATTCCATAAGTCCAGAATTGCGCTTCACTCGGTCAATGTAGTCGAGGTCGTGAGAGTGGACACTGCTACTCCCCGGAGTTCTCGCGATCGTGACCGTTGAGTAGGCGCCTTCAAACCGAACAACTTTGATCTGGAAGTTGCACATACCCCCTTCTCGTACACGTTTCTTGCGGGGACGTTTTCCTTCTGGTAGGGGACGTGTATCGGAAGTGCGATGTGTCGGACGTCGTAACCGGCACATATAGTAATCGGTGGTACAGTGGCCTTCCTTGCTTGCGTTTGACCTCTGCTTCACCCATACATTATCAATAAATGGCCAGTATGTCTCGAATTCCTCGAGGCTGATTTCAATCGGATCTCGGCATTCGAACAAGACTCTGCGAATTCTAGACAGATTTGGTGGGTTGTTGAACATAGTAGGGGCAGAATCCGCATTGACGCCCCAAGCCCTCGGCCGGACTTCGCTTGTTTCACGGGATGCATCGTGAATGGGGGAATCGTAGACTTCGCTCTGTCGAGCTTGTTTCTCAAGCGCGCCAAACAAGTTCATGGGAGGCGTGGTACCCTCGGCCTGTGGAGGGTCGCTTTCCATCATATCCTCTCGCGCGAGCTCCTGCACATATTCGGCCCCGTTGTCTCCATTTTCCGATCCATCTCTCGTTCGTCCGTCTTCGTGTTGTGGGGAAGCAGAGCCACTCGTCGATGCCATCGCCGGCGGGCTCGAGGTCGACGCGCGAGAGACATGATTCATGTTGTGCAAGAACCAGCCACACGCCGGGATAAATCAGCGGAATCCCGATCGTGAGTGCTGGAACATCTGGGCAAATGCGCACTCCATCAGTGGTCAAGACGAATGTGGAAATGGCGGAGGAGCTATGTGATCTCGAACAAATCCCCAGAGGCTTGGCACACGCGGCACGCATCCGCGAAAATCGTGTGGAGACGATTCTTGCATTTTATGTTGCCGTATAACTTATGTTGCTATTGATATTTATTTTCATGCCTTCATTACTATGTTCAAGATGAAAGCTCGATTACCAGCAGTCCTGATCGGAATTAACGTCAAACTTTGACCCGTCGTGCCCAAAGCAAATACTTTATCTGAAGCTAGTTGGGCCGCGGAGCCCATTCGAGGTATTGTGTTTCCTTCGAACAAGTGAAAGATTGCCAGGTGAGCACAGTCATACATGGCGAATCAAGCATCAAATACTGTATTATCGAAGAAAGGTACATGAAGAGAGCTCATCTGCAATCTAATATGCACCAATGTCTGCCCCAGCGCGGGCGAGTGCCTCGTAGACCTTTGGCGGGAGTTTGTACTTAACCATTCCAGAAAAGACCATGAGGTCTTTCGCCATACTCAACAACTGCTCTGAAAATCCGTGGTGCATATCAGTCTCATAGGGCCCCGAGACTTGTTTATGACGCTCCTGGCCAATGCATGCAATACTCCACATGATGACATGTCCAATATTGCGGGATATGATCTCCGGGAAAGACGAGAATGCCTGAGCAGCACTGCGAATATACGGCATCGAGCCTTGAGCTTGCAATGGGAGGACCCCCAGTCGATCAATGTGCTGTACAACATATTAGCTTGGGGGACCCGGATGACTTGGAGTGAAGAGAACACTTACATCGAGTGCCGGCGCCCATCTACCTGCTTCAACCTCCATCTTAGCTTCCATCATGCGAAGGAGGAGCCCACAAGCGTCTCGATTAATCTGACGGATCTTGTCGAAGTACATCTGGTTGGAATTATAGAGACCAATCATGTTCTTGCCCAGGATGACGGGATCGTCCACGGTGGTCAAGCTAAGACTGCTTCCGGGTGCCACAGTGTCTGCTTGAGTCTGCTCGACTCTCGGTCGGAGAGGTTGCAGCTTCGGCATGGTTCCTCCCAGCTCAATTGCGATGGCATCCGACAGCGCCCGGTTCACAATATCGATCACACGATCGTAGTTCTCAGCCAAGTGATACAAAAGCACTGCATCGGTGATCAAGCCTTTGTCGTCTGCCACGCCCGCGGCCTGAATAGTGATATTTTTCAGGAAGTCTTGCTGATCCACTAAGTTGATCAGATCGAGGCGCTGCTCGATGGCGCCCTTGATCCTGGTACCGTTTGCATGAATGTCGCCCAACAGCTTGGCGAAATCCCTCGTCTCGAGGATGAACTCTCGCAAGGCCTCATGACAAACTGATGACTGAGACTTGCCTAGAGCGCCCGGTAGATCCGCGTTGAGACAGATCAAGGCAAAATAGTCAATGGCAGCTTCAACATTGCCAGTGCGGAACTCTCGAGTGTATTGAGTGATGAGATACCCGAAATTAATCTGAGGGTATTGTTTCACTGTGAAAGAAACTGTTGAAAACGAGAAGAAGAAGGCGAAGTCAGTTTCTCAAGTCCTGAAGCTTGGAAGCTCAACAGCTTGTGAAAAGGGACATAGTGGAGTTGCTTACGAATTTCTTCACCAGAAGCGTAGAAGTCTGACACACGCAGGAGACCATAGTACGCCAATGCGACCGCGAAATGGACTGCAGTGACTGGCGAATAAGTTCCTAGATAGGCCACAGCCTGCTCAAACATTCCTCCCAAGATCTGGAGCATGAAAAAAGTTCCATATCCGCCAGGTCCATCCTGATTCTTGTTGAAGTGCCTATGTCCAATTTCAGTAATATCGGTCTGAATGTCTTCCAAACCAAATACGTCGCCGGCTACCTCCTCAGAGCGATCATCCTCTCGAGCAAGACTGAATTGCAACCACATGAAATCCTCAACGGTCTGGTTCACACCATCCAAGCGGCGGCGGGAGAGGTCGCAGCGGCCAATGATCTTGTAACAAATCATCCGATAGGGGTCAATGGTGTTGTCAGGCGCATTTCGTAAACGCTGCTGGTACTCGCCATTGATCTTCTGCTGCAAATCCCGAGGAAGTCGTCTGTTTTGAGCATAGGTCGTCATATAGGTCACGAACTTGTGATCCAAAGACCGGAACCCGGGATCTTGGCTCACGTACTCGGCCGCCTCGGTGACAAAGCCGCACCGAAGGAGGCAGAAGATAAGGATCCAGCAATAGTCTTGCCCGACCATCTGCAATTCCATTCCATCGGGAGCAAGGTCTTTTCTCGCGGCACGAACGCGGATGTATGCTCGAATCTTGTTGATCACGGTCGGGATACCACCTAGTTGTGCCTCGCGCGGGTTTTTAGAGATGACACTCTCCACCTCCTGGAAGAATGTATGTTCCAGATATCCCCTTGAGCCTTCAATAATCTGCCTCCTCAGCTTGGTTCCAATTTGACCTTTGGATGACTCTTCCAGATAATCAGAGGCAAACTGCCGTTCCTTCACAGCACTCGGGTCAGAAGTGCTGGTCGTAACCGGATTCTCATGAATGATTCGGATCAAAGCCTGATAAGCATCGAAGAGCTGCCGAGGTGCCTGCACGATGTGATTAGCGACATTAGGTCAAGGCGAGAAATTGAGGAGTCTTACATCACCGCCGTCCTGCAGTTCAACCTGCGCGAATTCATGGAGGATGGGATATGCTTGCCCTTGTAGCCGAGCCACGTTCAAACTCTGAACCTTTTCTGCGTAGTTACCCATCTTCTCCCGCAAGAAGCGGAGATCGGGTGGCGGTGCAGCCAGCCCTTCACTTCGATCCGAGGGGTCCTCGAAGAGTTGTCGACTGGCCGGACCAGTTCCTGGTGTACCGATAACGGACTTTTCCAAAGCAGAGCGACCAAAAATACTGCGGCGGGATGCAGCTGAAGGCCCGTGGCTTTGACTAGCGCCCGCTTGTTTAAATTGTTTGGCCGATCGACCAAAGGCTCCCCGGCTTGCCGACCTCATGTCTCCTGCGGCAGATTCATCCTTTTGGGAGAGTCCAAAGTGCTGGAAGATCTTCCGACGTTGGTCCTCCCAGTCCATCTCCACTTTCTCTTCCAAGAAGGTATCGAAATCTCTCTGGGCCCTGGAGAGACTTTCCGCAATCATCACCTGGCGGCCACGTTGCTGAATATTTCTCAGAAACCTCTGATTATCAGGGTCGAAACTCTCAGTCTCTCTTGTTACGGCCAAAGATGCCTGGGGATCCAGAGAGCGGAGGTCTCGTAACGCCCGACCAGGGGAGATGCCAGAAGATGCGAGTAGGTAGCGACTGTATTTGACCGAAGTAGGAAGTTAGTAAAAAAATGAATGCCAGTGTGAGGATGCCAACTCACGCCTTTGTACCGTTCTGCTGAGGATCTTGGTTACCCGACGTGCCCAGCTCCCTTGCCTTTCTTCGGATATCATCAAGACCCAATTGCAGACTGGGAACTTCCTCGAAGTTTCCGTTACCATTTTGGCCAGCATTAGATAATGGTCGCTTCTTCCCGCGCTCCAATAAGCTATTGAAAAACGCTGGCTGTGTGGCCTGGGCGGAAACTCGTCCTTGAGGCAACCCGGAGGCATTCTGGGTCTGCCCAAGCATAGAAGATTGGGCAGGTTGCTGCTGAGACTGAGGCTGAGTTTGGGTTTTATTGAAAAGAGAAGAGGTCTGCGCAGCCTGAGGAGCTGCAGCAGATGTAGCTCCAAATGCACTTGTCGCATTACCTGATCCGAACAAGCTAGTGGATTGGGAGGTCGAGCTCCCAAGGCCACTCCCACCGAAAAGAGACCCCATTTTGGAGGCTATGCTATATCTTGGGTACAATCACGTGTATCGTGAGTTTCGAGGTGCAAGAGCGTGTTGCCGGGGAGGGAGAAAAAAAGAGAACGTTTGCGCGCGCGATTGAGGGGGATGAGGGCGAAGGTTCCAGACAGGAAAGCAAAGATGTCAGGTTCAATGTGAGAAGCCACAATGAGGATTGACCTCTGCAAACTGGTCCCAGGACGCAAGAAACTTGAAAGGGACTGACGAAGCTCAAGCTATGCGAGCCCAAACAATTCAGTCCCGGCCGCCGGAACATTGATCTTCCGCAGATCCCGGGGCGTTGGCCCATTCTACTTGTCTGGCCCAGGTTCTTTTCTTGGTCTACGGTGACGCATTTCGTTCACTTTCCCTGCACGGCAGCCTTTTGCTATCTGACGTGTTTGCATTGTGAGAATAAAAATGCCTGCATTTCAGTCCAAAACTTTCCGTCGGGCCCCTACGGCATCGTCTTCGCTGGGAGAACGGATAGGCGCGTTGTATCGAGCAAGACTTTCTCAGCACCCTTTCCTCCTCTTCGGACTTCCGTTCATTGCCGTAATCGTCGCCGGCTCCTTCGTGCTGACTCCTGCGGCGGCTTTGCGATACGAGCGTTACGATCGGAAAGTCCAGCAAGTCAGTCAAGACGAGGCCTTCAAACTTGGTCTCAAGGGACCCGATGGAGAAGAGGGAATCAAGCGAAACCCACGGCGAAGAGTTGTTGGCGATGAGCGTGAGGAATATTATGTAGGCAGATTTCCCAGCCTATGAGCTACAACCGAGATTGGGTGAATTACTGACCATGCTTGCAGAGGCTGATGGCCAAGGACTTGGACGACTGGGAACAAAAACGAGTACAGAGATTCAAGGGTGAGCCGGATGGGAGGATATAAAACGGGACGCCGTGTAGCAATCGAGTAGCGGATTGTATCAAGACCGTTTGATTACGCGCGTCACACCTCTCCGGCGCTCGCTTCGCACTTGTATCAAAACAGTCCAACCTCCAGGCTAAACTCATCACCATGGCCGACGTCAAGAGTGGCTTTGGAAAGTATGTTTGATGGGTAATAAGGATAGGAGCGCTTGGGTCACTAGCGTTTGCGGCGAGCGCACTCATCGCAGTGGCCTACGATCATACTGCTCAACCCCGGTTTTTCCATGGGCCGTCATGTTGACGTGTGTTTGTGGAGAGCCAGGGGGGATCCGCGTGACTTGAATGCCGGCCCCAAACGATTGAAGTGATTGTCCTGGGAGGGCCGGTGCCATCATTATGAACCCAGGTCGTTGAACTTGTCTTTGACAGATATGGCCTTGGAACCTGCCTTGACAGATCTGGTAGGGAGCGAGGGAGGTCGTAGATCGTCTACGCCTCTTCGCCTGTACATATATGATTCACTTGTAAACAGAAAAAAAAAAGAAAGCATTGTGACTTGAAGATTCGACCTATTTATATCCCCCGGCTGGTCGACTACCTAGATGGATGTTTGGGCGATTTTGTGGGATACAGTAGAAAACAGTGAACAAGAACTTCAATGAAAAGTCACGAAAATGCGAACGAAACTGTTCCATGTTCAAGGAACATGCTCTCTTACAATCCACCGGATCTGAGAAAGGTTGGAAAGCATAGAGCCAGGGACATAGTCATCTAGTGAACCGAGGGTTGGAACCCGTGATCCCCACACATAACGTCATGCGGTTCTCGAAGCCCCGATTTCATAATCATGGAATGACACCACCGATTCTTCTGATATCAGGTTCTCTCCCCTTCATTGGTCGCGGCTTTGGCTGGACCCTTTTCGCCTGCCTCTTTTTTCCCCCTCTCTTCGACCATCGACTAGATTCCATCTAACTGACGTCAGTCGGCTTACCCTGTCTTTCAATCTCTACCTTTATATTGCAATTGTGCCTCGTCCCGATGGTGTCCTGATCCGATCTTGATCCGATCTTGTTTCCCATAAGTCACTCGTATCGCGGTGGCCATGACGGGTGGGCGATCGCCTTCTTCACCATGGGTGCAGAGTGCACAGGGAAGTTCCCGCGACAGAACTGCACCCTTTCATCCAACTTTATCTCCATCCAACCCTGGCATGCAATCCAGTGGTGAACGTCCCAGTCCCAACTACTTCGGCATCGCAGTTGATAACTCCAACCCATCCACCTCGAGCCCGGGTCTGCATACACAAAAGAACTGGGGCTCATTACCACGAGCACATTCGGCCCTTCCCAGCCCAAAACTCCATCTATATTCACAAGAGTCGGTGTCAGAAGGTCTGGTCAATTTGTTGAGAACAGAGTCCAAGGTCGACAAGGGACGCCGAGAATCGGCGTTTCAAGGCCGTCCTTCGCATGGTTCTTCGAACGGTGATGGCCAGACGGCCTCAACGGGGTTGGATCATACTGATTCTCCCGGAAAAATCATTGAGGCCACGAGCCGAGCACAAGAACACTCCAACGGGTGTGGGCCAACGATGACGGAGACCACAGCCGCCTCACCGCAAAGTAGGTCCTCTTTCGCCCTGAAATTTTTAACAAGGATCTAATTAGTTGCTCGAAAAGCTACTTTACCCGGGTCATCTCAGTGGATCTCTGACGAGCAGTGCGCTCACCTACTTCAAAGCTCTCCGCAAGATATTCTGTTGCTGGATGTTCGCCCATACGCCCATTTTTCGCAGGCCAACATACATGGATCCTTGAATCTCTGCATCCCTACCACTCTTCTCAAACGTCGCTCTTTCGATACCCAAAAGCTTGCAGCCACATTCACAAGCGACGCTGATAAGAAAAATTTCGCTCGCTGGAAGGAATGTAAAACAATCATCGTCTATGATGCAGCCACCGCTGACGTCAAAGACGCTGGACCGCTCCTGAATGTGATTAACAAGTTTCATGCAGAGGACTGGAAAGGTCAAGGACTGATCTTGCAAAATGGCTTCAAGGGCTTCTCTGAACGATTTCCTCGATTGATCCACCGGCCTCAGTTGCGGACGGAAGTTTCTCCCCAGAAACGTTCTCCAATGAGCCTTGATATTCACTCTATTGCTCCTGTCGTTGGCGGATGTGCTCTTCCGGATTCATCTTCCGCGGCCAACCCGTTCTTTGGTAATATCCGTCAGAACATGGATCTCATGGGAGGCGTTGGACAGATCCCTCTGAAAGTTCCAGATCATTTGTCTGAAGCTAAGAGACAGGATCTTCCGCCTTGGCTGCGAGAAGCTGCCGACATCAAGGATCAGGGCCGAATAGTCTCAGAGAGGTTTCTGGACCTAGAAAAGAGAGAGTTGAACCGGATGAAACAAGCATTGACGTACGAAGGAAACTCAGCTGTGGCTGGCGGCGCCTCCAAAAAGTACCGCGTCGCCGGTATTGAAAAAGGCACTAAGAATCGCTATAACGATATCTATCCCTTCGATCATACCCGAGTTAGGCTAGAGGGGATCCCATCGGGTGCTTGTGACTATGTGAACGCCAATCATATTCAGGCAGAGCTTAGCAACCGACGGTACATTGCCACCCAGGCCCCTGTGCCCGACACATTCAATGTAAGTATCCTCCACCCCTATTTTCAACTAGCGCCGCTAACACGACGCCCATCAGGACTTTTGGCGTGTAGTATGGGAGCAAGATGTCCGACTTATTGTTTCGCTGACCGCCGAGCTCGAGCGAGGGCAAGTGAAATGTCATCCCTTCTGGAGATCTGGAGACTATGGGCCTTTCAAGGTCAAGGCTTACTCGGAGAGGTTCATTCACGTCGAGTCCAAAGGTCGGTCAACCGATCCTACGGCGAAGAGGCCTTTGCCATCGGATGCGCCGCCACAAAGTACCGACTCCTCCAACGAGAATCCCGTCATCATCGTGCGACACTTCAGTCTCTGTCACACTTCTTTCCCCTTCCAGCCACTTCGGGATATCACGCAGCTTCAATACCCTTACTGGCCCGACTTCGGGACCACTTCACAGCCCACTCACCTACTCAATTTGATTGAGCAATGCAACAAAGTTATTCGCTCCACCAGCACTCGAAGCTTTGGGAGTCAGGATGCAGAGCCGAGTGGCCAGCGGCCAATCCTTGTCCATTGTAGTGCGGGCTGTGGTCGCACCGGCACCTTCTGCACAGTTGATAGTGTGCTAGACATACTGAAGAGACAGCGGTCGCAGAGCGCCGGCACTGATGAATTGTCTGAATTGACTCGTGATGCCAGCTTGGACCTGATATCGAAAACAGTTGAGGATTTTCGAACCCAGAGGCCTAGTATGGTACAGAATCTCAGTCAATTTGTTCTTTGTTATGAAAGCGTCCTCGAATGGCTTGTCTCTCAGACAGACAAGAGCGGATGATGTCGAACCCCCCTAAACGATAGCAGATACCCCTATTTATTTCGACTCATACTCTTCATTGCATTTGTTGGAGTTCGGGCTTGGGCAGGTCGTTGGATAGATGCATCAAAGCAAACGATATTCTGCGTCTCTTCAATTTACTTCTCCCCAACTTCGTAGAAGAAAGATCAGCAAAATTTCCCAAGTCTTTCCTTTGACCAGCGCCAGGTGGGAAACACACGTGCGAATTCAGCCAAAGCACGGCATCTTCCTCCGCTATCTCTGATGGTGTGAAAAAGAAGTACGAACTAGAAAAGGCAACGCACATCTGAATAGAGCTGACTTGCACCTGCACGCTTGGAAGCAAACATTTGCTGTTAACTATGATAGGCTCAGGCTTTCCTCAATGCTGTATCGACTCCCAAGTGCCCGAGGAAGAACGGTCGCACTAAAAACACAAAGTTGTTCTCAAATAGCGTGAGCGGCAGAGTCGGAGGTGATGACCTGTACTGAGGATTACTTCCAGCTGCTTCGATCAGGGTCTTATAGCCCATTTCCTAGTCTAAGGTACCTTCAGGCTGCCAGATGAAGGCAATCCTCGACTTCCAGGTCTATGTAGGTGGAGATCTGGCTCGGCATGAAGTCCATGGGCTCCACTAGTCAGGTTTCTGCCTACGATCCAAGGCAACAGGGGCGCGTGCGCCATAAAACCCGACTCTATAAACCCCATGAGTATCTCCCGCAATTCTCAGACAATTGCGAGATGCTTCTCACCCTTCCCGTCGAGCTGGTCCGGCTAATTCTTCGAAGCTGCGATCCTCCGTCCTACCTGCAGACGGCCTTTTGCAACCGCCTTCTTTTCGGCATTGCATCACAGAGCCGTGATCTGGTCCTCCATCAGTTGCATCAGAGCCCCGGTCGGAATGATGGCGTCGAGTCTCTTACCACAGATGAGCTGTTCCGAAACCTGATGTTCCGAGCCTGTCGGGAGTTGTTTGGTATTGAACATGATGGAGATCGCAAGCTGTTCAATTTCCAAGGCCAAGTGATTGACGGCCGAGCATCAACACTAGGAACTGTAGGGACGCAGGGCCAAGCGCTGCTTGCCTTCCAAGGCCACGGGACAGTCTATCTTCTCACGGTAGGTGATCAAGGCTTGAGCCTAAGATGTCGAGTCGAGTCGCCTGCGAAGCGCTTTGGAGCCGTCCAGGTCCTTCATACCGCCTTTGATCCTCACGGTATTTATGTACTTCATCGAGTCAAACCATTCATTGATCGAGATTTGGACACCGAGCATCCTTTCGTCAAACGTGCTTTGGAATCCAATGCCCATGGGAACATGTTCCTGTCCTACCATGCACTGGGTTCCACGACGCAAGCCATCCGGCTCTATGCCTTTCCTAACCACCAAGATTACGAGCCTCTTGCTCTGGCTGTCCACGAGGGAAAGTTTGCCATATCGTGGCAACACTTGAATCATTCCCATGACCATCAAGTGGTACATTACGATGTGTCTTACGGAAACTATGACAGAGAGGGTGAGGACGACAAGCTGGAGAGCCGAGGAATGGGTGGTCCTCAAATCATCTGTTCGTTTCAACCTCATTCCAAGAGGTTGCATACTGACGTTACTAGGTTCTCCCTACGATTCTTACGTCCTCACAGAGGTGAACGACGAGGGGCCTAGCGACGCCGCACTGGAAGGAAATGGACCAACTGTGAAGTTGGCCTTCAACGATCGAGGCTACCAAATGCTTCACTATTACAGAGCTCATACACTCTATAGCTCTTTTCAAAGAATCCGCTTTCTCCCGGGGATGGGCGAATACCCTGGCGTGCGCGACAATGCATGTAACGTGCAGTTTTCGGACTCACTCACTTTGAATTTCTCAATCGGAATACCCTTTTTCGGTACCCATCAGCCCGATGCCGAGACTCAGGGGCTTCGTTGTCGTTGGAAATACCTCGCACTAGGGATTGCGACTCACAGGGTGGAACATTGGACCATAGCATGCCTGCTAAAGTCCGAAGCGGCCTGTATGGCTATGACCTGTGGGCATGTCCTGAACCTTGACCGTGGGAGACGGTATGACTCTTGGAAGATCATGGCACAGCTTGGAGGATTCCAAGAATCGAGCACTTCGCACGGATCTCTCATTGCCGCCTCGGCTCGCGGCACGCGTATCGCCATTGCTAGCTGGAAGACTGTTCACATCTGGTCATTGGAGCCGAACGTGGTGATCGAAGGCGAGGACGACTTCTACCCGGAATCGTGGCAATCACCCTACGGCTTCCCGGAATTGAAGCCCGCCACAGTCCAACTCGAGGCCGTTTGCCACCAACTGCAGTTCACGGATAAAGAAGACGAGCTCGTTGCCATCACTGACCGAGGGCTTCTGGTCATGAGTCTCAGGCTCAACGGGAAGGGACTACGGGTGGTTCATACTCAAAGAGATTGGATCGTGGATGAGGAGATCGGGCAAACTGTAGCTAGATGATTAAGGAAGCCGGCGAGGGACCTCGAAAGCAGAGGGATCCCTTTGATTCGTCTCTAGACATGGAGACCGCATGATACCAATTGCATAGCGTTGCTTTCGATCAAATTGCATCTCTCGTGATATACCTCCTCCGCGAATATCAGAAAAGGGATATTGAAGATCGAGGGCATTTAGTATGTAATATTTTCTCAAAGCTGGCTTTATGACGAACCCCTCTCTGCACTACCAGACATGCTCAAGAATGCGATGATCAAGAAGACCCACCAGTACCTATGCGAATGATTCACGTGAGTCTAGGAACGTATGGTTCATAGGCGGGGGTTGGGGGATTTTACTTCTGCAAGAATGACTTCTCCACCACCTCCTCTGTCTTCTCACCATCGGGGTTGACAACGACTGGGCGATTCAAATAGGGTTGAGCGCCGGCCTGACTCGACACTAGCTCCACTTGAGGGGTGGTGGCCTTGAATCCTGTTCCCGAGGCTACCGAGACATGGTACACATCGTTGGCGGGACCGAGGTGAAGTCGCAGGGTTGGTCGGTCTTCACCAATTAACGAGGCAACTGAGACGAGGCTTCCGATCCACTGCTTCGGATTGGTGGGAGTCGACGTGTAGAGGCCAACTCGAACAAGGCCGTCGCGGGTATCGGTGGGTGGGTGATAGGACACCAGCTCGGACTTCAACAAGGCCGGATCGTAGGCGACACGGGCGAGAACAGATGGTTTGGCAGCTCCCACGGGCCAGTAGTATATATCAGTCGAGATGTCGGCAATGACGGAGACGATCAGGAACGCGAGGGCGCCCAGGAGAGCAAAGAGACGCATGGTTGTGGAGGAGAAACGGAAGCTCATTCTTTCGAACTGCCAGCTTTCTGTTTTGCCCCGAGCGGTGGACCCTTCGACTCCACTCCTTTGTATACTTCACTTTCTACAGCCTGGGATGGCTCCTAGCTAGAGATCACCTAGGCTTTGTCTCTGGTGCTTCACAGTGGCACTATCCGTGCATTTTTGGCATCAGGCACGCTCGGTTCAGACTGTACAGGGATCACAGACCAAAGGAATCGGTCATCTCTGCTCCGCGTTCCCCACAGGCGTTCCATGCTGTCATCTCCCTGGCGAAATCCAATGTTTCCCAATTGGTTTGCCCCTCCATCCTTTCCATTCTCCCACTACTTTCATGAATTTCTCCCAACTTCTCTCACTGCCCCCAGTCTTCCGAACTCACAGCTCGCCAGATCTAAGCTCCGTACATTCCAATTCGAGCTGAATAAACCGGTGGCATCATGACCTCTCTACCATACCGTCGTCCCTCCCGTCAGGGCTCTCGACAGGCCACCAGTGATCCTCGGGAGGACTTGCAGGTGCATCTAGATCATTTCATTGGGATTGATGTGGGAACCGGTAGTGCCCGAGCTTGTATCATTGACGCCAAGGGTGACATTGTGGGCTTGGCCTCTGAGAACATAGGCCTCTGGCAGCCGGAACATGGCTATTATGTAGGCCACTCTACACCGGGGAGCCCCTTCCCCTCCTACTACCATACTAATTTGCTCAGGAACAATCCACTACTGACATCTGGCGGTGCATTTGCGCTGCAGTGCAGCGTGCCATCAGCCAGCATAACATTAGCCCCGAGACGGTGCGCGGGATTGGCTTCGATGCTACCTGCTCCTTGTCTGTTTTCAACCATGAAACCGATGAGCCAGTCTCAGTGACGGGACCGGATTTTGATACGGACCGTAATGTGATCCTGTGGCTGGACCACCGTCCGGTCGATGAGGCCGCCAAGATCAATGCCACCAACCACAATCTACTCCGCTATGTCGGTGGGAAGATGTCCATTGAGATGGAGATACCCAAAGTGTTATGGCTGAAAAATCACATGCCCAGGGAGCTATTCGACAAGTGTACATTTTACGATCTGGGTGATGCCCTTACCCATATCGCGACTGGCAACGAGAAGCGCAGCTTCTGCAGTGTGGTTTGCAAGCAGGGATATGTTCCTGTCGGTGTTGATGGCAGCGTCAAGGGCTGGCAGGAGGATTTTCTGAATGACATTGGTCTTGGGGACCTGACTGAGGACAATTTTAAGCGCATGGGCGGTGTTGACGGGGTGGTGAGCCTTGTTCCCTAACAGCCTAAGGTACTTCGCTAACCGGTAGTTCTTCTAGAACGGTGATTATTTGAGCGCCGGTGAGCTTGTTGGCCATCTGTGCGAGAAAGCCGCTGCCGAACTCGGCCTGCCGGCTGGTATTGCAATTGGTAGCGGCGTCATTGATGCTTATGCTGGCTGGATTGGAACCGTGGGCGCCAAGGTCAACTTAGGTTCCAACCAGTTGAATGACGAGGTGGCCAAGAATGATAAGGCACAGGCTTTCTCTCGTCTGGCTGCCGTTGCGGGTACCTCAACCTGCCACTTGGCCATGTCGCCCGACCCTATCTTCGTATCTGGTGTCTGGGGCCCCTACAAGGATACAATCATTCCTGGATATTGGATGGCTGAGGGTGGTCAGTCGGCGACAGGAGAGCTTCTCAAGCACGTCATTGAAACTCACCCTGCCTTCAATCAGGCTACCTCCATCGCCGAGTCTTACCATGCCAACATCTACGAATACTTGAATGAGCACCTCAAGGAGATGGCACAAGACCAGCAGGCACCATGTGTGGCCTACCTGGGCCGACATTTTTTCTTCTATGGTGACCTCTGGGGCAACCGTTCCCCCATCGCCGATCCCAACATGACCGGCTCCATTTTCGGTCTGACCAGCGATAAGTCTGTCGACGGTTTGGCGATCTACTACTACTCGACATTAGAGTTCATCGCATTGCAGACCAAGCAGATTGTGGAAACCATGAATGACGCAGGCCACAATATCACCTCGATCTTCATGTCAGGCTCACAATGCCAGAACGATATTCTGGTTGCCCTCATAGCCTCGGCTTGTAACATGCCAGTTGTGATCCCCCGGTACATCCACGCGGCGGTGTGCCACGGCGCAGCTATGCTAGGAGCCAAGGCTGCTAGCGCCGATTCTCATGGCAAGACTGAGGACCTTTGGGATATCATGGACCGCATGAGCAAGCCTGGTAAGAAGGTAATGCCGACTGAGGATGCAAAGGAGGTGGCTCTGCTGCAGGCCAAGTACAAGGTCTTTTTGGAACAGTGCTACAAGCAGCAGAACTACCGCCAAATGGTTGATAAGGCCATAAAAGGGTGGCGCGTAGCTTAGGTCAATATTATTTCGATGCTTACAATTGATAACCAGAGGATTAATGATAGATTCTCTAGATTACATAGCATGGTACTGTCGGTAGTCATGACCGCGGGAGCTACGAACCAAAGGGACCAACTCTGTTGAGCCTAGTAATGGAGTTCTTTAGCTTATTGGGTAGCAAACATCCCATGAAGGAAACGAGATGAGATAAAATTGGACTTGGGGATACAGCCATAAAGCCATTGGATCGTAATATCAGACTTCATTTCCGCTATGCAAAGATAGTCACGACCAAGACGGTCAGATCGTAGAGATCATTGGGTATAACAGTGCTGAGTAAGAAGATCGGAGCACAGAGTATGTTCATTTAGTATGCCACACCGGTGGTGGCCCGGCCAATGGTGTAGAACTTCTCGGATCGGCTGGCACCAAGGGCCAGAGTATCGAATCGATCCACGCCCATGCTGTCCATGTTACTGTAACCAGAGAGGTAAAAACCGACGATGATTACGAGATACGTAAGAACAAGGATGGACCCCTTGAAGTAGTTGCTCTTTCCTTCGCCGTACACGTACGACAGCAGGAAGACGCACAGGATCACGGTAATCATGTCCCATTGAGGGAAGATGAGGCTGCGTGCATTGATTAGTGACTATAAACTCGAATCATACCCCAAGGCAAAGGCAAGAGACACTTACTTGAAGGAATGACTCGCCAGGGAAGCTGCATCAATACCGCGAGTATACAGGGCACTGAACAGAACCAGAGCGGGCACCTGCAATAGACAGACCTGTAGTGCATACGCCGAACCAATTTCCATGGATAGCGCGATGTTGCCATTCATAGCAAATGAAATAGCATTCTGTCTGTAATTTAGCAAAGTAAATTGATTTCATCGGAAGTCCCACTTACAAGAAACTCAGTCGTGTTGGGCACCAGGGCAAACAAAGTGATACCGAGGAACTTCTCGTCGATATCAACACTCTCCAACACCACGTCCACTGTGTTGACCAGGATCTCTGCAATGATCGCATAGAGCAATGTCGCACCCAGCAGAATGATAGAACTCTTGGATTTACTCCAATTAGGGGCATCATGGCCTCCGCTCGCGTGGGTGGGCTCTACAACAAGACCAATGTCTTCTTGTTCTTCTGCCGGAAGCTTGCCCTGATCCGCAAGAGCGCGGCCGCCCTGTCGCCCGGCAGTATGCGATGTGGCATGCTTGCGATTCCGAACAGCATCTCGGGCATCACGAGCAGCTACTGTGGCAGCCGTGGTAGCAATCTCGGTAAATTGACGAATAAGGCTCTCATTATCTTCACCTGTCAAGCCGCGGATGGCCTTTGCTACAGGACGAGTTGTATCGTCACTGGATTGTGGGGGCACAAGGTGCGGAGTGTGGGCCTTGTTAGCCGTCGTTGAGCTGCCGTCCGTCTGCTCCCATTTTCCTGAGCTACCATCATCCAAGCCGACATGTCGGAGCGATTGGCCGAGAATTCGCTTGTACAGGTGGGATTCGCGAATAGAGTCTCTGTGACCAGAATTGGCGCCTGATGCCTCCGGGCCTCCGGATGGAAAGTGCTGCCTTGGCTCAAATGATTGTGAATCAGAAGCCATGTTGGCGGGCTTTTTCTCCTTCTCTTCATTTTCGGCCCAGATCAAAGCAGCATGAGTCCTGAGAGTAAACCAGAGGCCGATGACGTACGACAGAAAAAGGAGGAAGGCAGCGAACCATGCATAAGGCTGGACGGCTTTTTCGAAGAACGTGTCTTGAACCGCTGCAGTTTGAGAAAAATAACATTGGCGACAGTCCCGACTCTCTGCGCCAAGCGGTCCGGTGCACGCATGACAATTCAACTCGTGCTAGGGTGGGGAAGTTAGCTTGCAAGTTGATCGGCGGTGAAGGAGGAACGACACTTACACTGCCATAGACCTGGTAGAACAAAGTGGGCCCAAAAGCAGCAATCACGGCAAACAGCAGCATTGTTGAGGTGACACCGGCCGATTTTACATTGAACCGCTGTGTTTTGCGCTTGATGGCGCCAAAACACATGGATAGGCCGGGCAAAAACAAAACACCAGCAAAGATACTGCCGATGATGGATCCCTCGACGAGCTGGGCCTTGCCCTCGGTCAAGGCGACGCAATAGAGATACACCTCTACGATGGTTGAGAAAAACGCATTGATGGCGGCACCCAGGCCCATCGAGGACTGGGCTGAGATTGAGGCCACAGCCTGGCCGATGAAGTAGGCCAAGGGGATGATGGAGAGCAGGGCAAGAGTAAATATTAGACCCGGGTGCGTCAGCCAGCTTTGCATGCCCAAGAATTTGCTCAGGAAATGGTAGTCGACGATAACGAAGACGACCAGCCCGAGCAGATTGATGAAGAAAATGTTTGTACCGTCAATTGTGTACTTCCAGTATCTTGTACCGGCAGCTCGATAGGTACACAGCAGGACGGATGGCGACGATGCAGAAGTGCTCAGTCTAGCGTAGGAAGAATCGGAATGAAACGAAAGAGCAAGAGGATGGCGTCTAAGATGACTCGCCAGGATAGTGGTTACTCGGCCCATCGGGATCCAGAAGACCAGAAGCCAACAGACGAGGGACGCCACGAGCATCAACGGGCCCACAAGGAAGTAGAAAAACACGAAAAACACCACGCGGCCGAGGGTCCATTCGCCACGACCAAAGAGACGGCGTTTCGAATGATTGAATTGCAAGTCGTCGCCTTGCCCCCGCTGGGGCCGGCCCAGAAGGCTATCTTGTTCGCCGGCCGAATCCACGCTGTTTCGTCGACGGCCAACCAGCGAGCGATCTCTGCGAGGCCCGAAGAAGAGACGACCGTATTCTAGATCGCCGTTCTGCCACTGTTCATATTCACTAATACTGCGCCCTTCACCTTCGTCTTCTTCCGCGTAGTGTTCGTCACTTTCCAAGAGAACAAAGGAACCAAATGGGTAAAACAAATATCGTGCTAGACCCCAGAAGACTCGACCATACGCCACCGCACTGGATGAGTAGGCAAAGGAAAAGCAGGCAGCCGCAGCCAGCAGGGAAGCAAGAGCAAGCCACCATCCAAAAACCAAACACCACAAGAAGTTGCCCCAAAATACTAGTCCAGGGACACGACCGCCGGGGGATGAATGGATATCCCCGTCAGCAGTCTTTTCGACGGAGCGGCTCTTTTTATACACTGCTGGCTTCCAGATCCTGATACCGAATGGATGGGTTTCGTTGATGGCTTGCTGTCGGTCCTTCAGAGTAAAGCTTTCGGCATCGCTAGTCTCGCCTTCACCCTCCTCGACGTCTTCGACTCCGTTGGCGCTGTCGGCATCGCTTTCTTCATCGGATAGCCGAATAGAAGGCAGCTCGCCCGATGCCTCCATCGGGTCCGGCATGCCGGTCTCATCCCCGCTTAGATTGTCCGAGTCTCCCCTTGCGAGTGGACTGGGGCGAACACTCGGCCTCCGCCTCAAGGTAGAGCTCTGAGCACGTAAGGGACGAAGCCTGGGCGACTGAGGAGTGGTGGGAGCCAGCTGCAGGGATAAATCTTCCTCAACCTCTTTGACATCATCATCAGTGGAGAACTCCTGTCCCTTTTTAGGCACCTGTCGTTTGGACGACATGCGACGTGTCACCGAGGGTTTCCTGGGACGATCTGGAGCTGCAGTTGATGTCAGAGCGTGACTGAAGAAGTCGTCTTCTTCTTCCAGACGCGCCTCGGATGTTGTGTCGGTGGAATGCGCATCGAGGGTCCCTATCGTCAAACATCAAGATCAGCATCACCGTTATCTCGCAGGTTACACGATACAATTCTTACCATAGTTTCTCCGTACCGAGGGCGTCGGCTTTGCAGGACCCGAAGACCCTGCGACGTCGTCACTGCTAGTCATCGCCGGCCGAACCGGGCCTGGGTTCTCGAGATCTTTCTTATCACCCGTCATTTTCCTCGGGCGGATCCGCAGATCAAACAAAAAGTAAATCCTAGTCCCTCTCAAGATCGTCCGATATTCCGAGAATTTAAGAGCTCAATAGCATTGCGGGGTTTTGAAGCAGCTGAATCACTCGAGATCATCCGCGTCTCATCAGCTGAGATGGAAAATAAAGCGCTGCAAGCGCAAGGTAGCAAAAGGTAGCACACCCAGCATGGGGAGCTTCCTGATGACCCGATGGCAGCACAAGCCAATTACATCGCTCGCTGACTCATCCGTCGGGAAGCTGTTATCATCACGTGATAGTCGGATTCATGCCCTCTTTTTCAGGCACTAATTAGTCATGTGCTGGTTCCCGCAGCTTCGAGCTGTTCCAGCTACACGGACCCAGCTCAAACATCCTCATCACTGCCGCCACAATTCTTCCCCCTCGACTCTCATCCATCGCTTCAGACTGGGTGCTATCAGACCCTCGCGTACGGACCTTTCCCTTTGGATAATAGCCACGAACGCTTGACCTCCCACCGAGAGCGTCATCCTTTCCCCATCATGGCGTTGGATAACTACTATCGCAACAAGATTGAGGGGATGAAGCTCGAGATTATTCAGGGCCAGGCAGTTCTGCGTCGACTTGAGGCACAGCGTAATGACTACAACTCGCGAGTGCGTCTCTTGCGGGAGGAGCTCGGTCTGCTCCAGCAACCTGGCTCCTACGTCGGCGAAGTGGTGAAGGTGATGAGCACAAAGAAGGTGCTAGTGAAGGTACATCCGGAAGGGAAATACGGTACGGCAGCTATCTTGAAAGAAAGGGTGTGGGATAACGTGACTAATGGGTGACACGATACATAGTGGTCGATATCGCGGACAGCGTGGACATTAGCAAGCTCACCGTGGGCAAGCGAGTGGCCCTTCTTTCGGACTCTTACAAATTGGAAAAGATGTTGCCTTCTTCGGTTGACCCCTTGGTATCACTGATGATGGTGGAGAAGGTGCCAGACAGCACCTACGACATGATCGGTGGTCTAGACCAGCAGATCAAGGAAATCAAGGAGGTGATCGAGCTCGGTCTCAAGCATCCGGAGCTATTCGAGTCTCTTGGTATTGCACAACCGAAAGGTGTCCTGCTGTACGGACCTCCCGGTACTGGTAAGACGCTGCTGGCCCGAGCCGTGGCCCATCACACCGACTGCCGATTCATTCGAGTGAGTGGCTCGGAGCTGGTGCAGAAGTACATCGGCGAAGGTAGCCGTATGGTGCGAGAGCTGTTCGTAATGGCCCGAGAACACGCACCGAGTATCATCTTCATGGACGAGATCGACAGCATTGGATCCAGCCGTATTGATTCGGCGGGAGGCGGTGACTCGGAAGTGCAACGGACCATGCTGGAATTGCTGAACCAGCTGGACGGATTCGAGCCCACGAAAAACATCAAGATTATTATGGCCACCAACCGATTGGATATCCTGGACCCAGCCCTGCTGCGGCCCGGGCGAATTGACCGAAAGATTGAATTCCCTCCGCCCTCGTCCGTATTACCCTTCTTCCTCGTGATCTTGGAATCGTGCTGACAATTTCTACAGTGTCGAGGCCCGTGCCGACATTCTACGGATCCACTCTCGTTCCATGAACCTGACTCGTGGAATCAACCTGACCAAGATCGCGGAGAAGATGAATGGATGCTCCGGAGCCGAGCTGAAGGGAGTATGTACCGAGGCAGGTATGTATGCACTGCGTGAGCGCCGGGTCCATGTAACACAGGAAGACTTCGACCTGGCCACCGCCAAGATTCTCAACAAGCACGACGACAAGGAAGTCGCGGTGTCGAAGTTGTGGAAGTAAACTTGCATATATGCGGAGGGAGGAAGAGGTGATTCATCTCCGGGAACATGAGGGTGATCGACGATTCTGTACCACTAGTTCTAATCCTACCCTGACCATCTCTGACCCGTGAGTTGCGAGTCGTGAATCGTAAATTACGAATGGTATACCATCTCGAGTAACCGGACTATTGAGTGTCTGGGCCCGCTGGAGGAAGTTTGCGAGCGCGGCAGAGCGCGGCGGAGTGCGAAGGACCGGTTGACGCAAAGATAGAGGAACGGAGCAAGGGGGAACCCTCGTTCAATTGCTTGGCCTCTATCCCTTTCGTCTTGGCCCTAATGCTATCGCACCGCCCTGATCCTTGGCACCATTCTTTTCGATCCAAGTCGAACCAGGATCGACGAAGAGATGCCATCATTTGCTTGGCGTGGATCCGGCTGTGTTATTGTCTTGGCAGGATTTAGATCTACACCAGGGAGGCCAAGTAGACCGACGCCGCATCTGAGAATTGGAGATCCGGGAACCGGGGGACACAAGTACGATTTTGGGACTGTGATACATTGAAACAGTAAGAGAACAGATTCCCGACATGAAGGCCGATCGGAGGCCGATCGATTGCCACCTCGTCGAAGAAAAAAGAGGCAAAAGAAAAGGAAGGGACATTTCGAGAAGGAGAAGAAGGGTGGAATTCAACACTAGACCCCCGGCGGATCAGTGGGAATGGGACTCGGTGGGGGAGGGGGGCTTCGGGTGTACCTAGGGATACCTGGCTTGCTTATACTTCTGATCCCCAGGGACTTACATTCTCCGTATCTCCCTGTACCCCTGTGCCCTTGTCTCACAACATGCCATGCAACTGGACCCACTGTGATTGCTTTTTGCTTTTTCTCGTTTTCTTTTTTTCTTTCTTTTTTTTCTTGCCCTATTCGCGTTATTGGCAGTCGATGGTGGAATTGTGTGGCCCCAAAGATATTGTACATATATAACTCAGGTGTTGTCGACACGGTTTGAAAGTATAAGAGACCCGGCGAGCGGAACCACTCCAAAGTGGACTTCCCGCTTTTCGCTTTCCTTTTGCCATCTTATCGTGACTCGAATCATATCCCCAACTCTCCGCGTTCTCCACTGCGGATCTCGAATCCCGTCTCCACTAGAGCTGTCCAAAGTACTATACTCCTTGACACTTTCGGTCTTCGAATTTACCCGTTCCTGTTCCCCCACCCACGGTTCACCGGTGAGGCCCTTTGGGGGAACATCTATAAAGTCCCCCCCGGATCATGTCCGACCTGTGGTGCTCCTTGATCTCTGCCATTGCCCCCAACCCTGAAGCCATGCCTGCTGTACTCCAGTCCACCATCCATTTGCTCGAATCAGAGCTGGTGAAGGCTCGGGCTGCTCTTCAGGAAGTTCGACCCTATGCTGCTCTCCCGCGCATTGGGGACGAGGTCGCTGTCGGCGCCATGGCCGCCTACAGACAGAATCTCATCGGCCGTGCCCCCGACTTTTACGGCGCTCGTCGGCTGACCCTTGAAGAATTGGGCCTCCAGCCTGCTATGCATCAAAACACATCCGATATCGTGCCAGAGATGATGGCCCAACCTGCGTCTATTCCTCCGCGAGCATCTCTGGAGGAAACGCTCACCAATAGTCTAATTCTTGATCACATGGCACCTTATCTCTCCTGTCCCGTCCTTAATGGCTCTGTCGATGACCTCGCGACACCTTCGCGACCTGATTACCAAAACTCCTTACATATTCAGACATCTCGATCTGACTCGCTGCAAAGGCGCGCAGTTGCTCGCTTCGCACGACGACGACTCTTCAACGGAAGACGAGGTATACTCGGCTCCCTTACGCCATATTTTTGCTAGCCTCGGAAGAAGATCCTGCTACAAGATGTACGCACCTTGGTTTTGGACGGTCTTTCCGTACCCGCCGATCTTGTTGCAGAGATTATTCTCACCGATCGATTCAACGTCAACATCCTTTCGATCCGTGAATGTGCCCATTTGAATGAGCATAAACTCATGCAGGTCATTCAGCATGCAGTCCGGCCCACTCGCCCCCAGGGAACTCCACGGGTGAAGGGCGTTTATTTCTTTTCCCCAGTAAATCAACCGCCATGCGCCGTAGCGCGCCACCGTTATCGAGACTGGTGGGGCTCTCGGGTGGGTTGCTCACGGAGTCCCAGCCAGAGCTCGTCTACTAGCTCGTCTGACAACGAAGATGAGGCTACGGCTACCGTCACCCGCCCGGCACGTCAACAACAGAATGAATGGTACAGTTCGACTGGCAAGGTCTTCAAGCACGCCCTGGAAGAAGGTTGGGCACGGACTCTCCAAAAAGCAGAAGGTATCATCGCCTTTGATGCGGTGCTGTGTCGCGGGCCGCGACACGATGTCAATCGATATACATCAGTGACTGAGGAAAGCGCGCCCTCTGAAGGCCCACTTTTTGAACCGGCGGTAGCTACGGTCGCTTTAGGGCCCCATGGCTGTCATGGATGCCATAGTTCTCCCGAAGGCCCAGCCATTTGGGGTCAATCTCCCGATATGCACTTCCCACTGCTGAGCCCGATACCATTGCACAATTCGCGTATTGCTACTGCTAAACGACCGGAAATGATACCAGGCAAGCATCCGCTCCTAATTGCAAGCTGTGCGGATTGTCTCGCCGATCGCTGGTGCCAGCGCTGCAACAAGTGGTTCTGCTTCAACTGCCTGCCCAATCCGCAACATGTACGGGCCAATCTTTCCCCCCACCAAACAGCGGTACGGCAAGAAGACCACAATGGACCACGGACGCCCGATCGAGAAGGTGTGTGAAGCAACCCATGACCCGATGATCGATGCCATGTACTGACGGCGTCCATCAGAGATTCGAGCGAGGTGTGAGCAAAGACTGCTGGGAATGCGGCCCGACTGTAAGTGGACTCTTCAGCTAGCAGAGCTGTCAGCTGATGATAGATCTAGTGTGCCTCTTGTAAACGGGACTGCCAGCACACCTGTCAGAGCTGCCGGGGTGATTATTGCATCGAACACAATGAGGGTTGCTCTGCCACCATGGTGAGTTCTCGCTCAGCTGCGCAAGGACTATCACTGACATGGTCAGTGTGATTGGTGTAACACCAGTGCTCGCCACCGCATGCGAAGTGTCCATTAAAAGAGACTTGTGGTTGACATATAGTTGGATTTCTAAGCGGGAGTTGGCGGTAGTGGAATATGATCTGATTAAGCGTGGGGTGGAGAGAGTCTTCCAGAACTTTGGAGCTTCCCGCCTTCAAATACCCAAAAAAATGAACCTCTTTTCTTTTCCATCATGGATACCTTAACCTGGTCAGCTCAGCTGGCCGTTGCACCTCCGCGACACACTTCTCGTCTTCCTGGTGACAAAATCAATCTTCCGCAGTCCGCATTGGAACAACTCTTAGCGGCTGCCCCTCTGCAAGCGGTGGCGCCGAACTCGCGAGTTCACACCCCGTCCTTTGACCCTTTCAATCCTCACACCTTCGCCGCTGAGGCTCGCGCACGCCAACAAATAGAGCAACATCAGCAGCAGCTTCCGCATCCCCTCACGTTCCGCGTCGTAAACCCCGAGAATGGTCGGTTCGTCTATGCTGGGATCCGCGAGTTCTCTGCAGCGGAGAATGAAGTGGCGCTGAGCGCTCTGCTGCGGGAGTCGCTGGGAATCCAAGATGACGATTTTTCGTTGGGGAAAAACGGCGAGACGCACATTTCGGAGATAGACGGTCCTGAAGGGCAGTCAACACGGACTGGGCCTGCGGTCACAATACATGCAAAGCAGCTTCCCAAAGGCACATATGTGCGCCTTCGTCCGCTCGAGGCTGGCTATGACCCCGAGGACTGGAAACCCTTGCTAGAGCGCCACATGAGAGATAATTTCACAACCCTGACAGTCGGTGAGCTGCTGACGGTTCCTGGCACCCACAACGAGTCTTTCCGGTTCCTCCTTGATAAAGTTTATCCTGAAGGTGAGGGGATTTGCGTCGTGGATACCGACTTGGAAGTCGATATTGTGGCGCTATCGGAGGAGCAAGCACGAGAGACGTTGCAAAAAAGGCTGGAACGAGCAGCGCGTGCACCGGGCACTGCGAGTGGCAGCTCCGTTGGTGGGGTGCTGGCCCTAGGAGAAGATGTTACAGCCCAGGTCTTGCCCGGGGAGTACGTCGACTATGAGATTCGGGACTGGAATCGGGATGATACCCTTCAGGTCGAGCTCACAACAGACAATCCCTCGATGTGTTTATTCGCAAGCCCGCTTGGCGCTCGCCAAAGAGGCCGTCCTCGGGAGGACATGCATGTCTGGGGAGACTTTTCGGATGAGACGTCCAAGAGAGTCAAGATTTGTCCTACAAATGTGGCTCTTGAAGGGGCCGAGGCCCTCTATATCTCGGTCTATGCTGTAACGTCCCACATTGAAGTGCTATCACAGCAGCTGCCGGTGAAATATCATTTGCGGGTGACTGCGAACGACTCCAAAGAGGAACAAGATGATTTGGTAGAGGCTCATCAGCCCGGGGACGTGATGTGCCCAAATTGTCACCAATGGGTACCAGAGCGAACATTAATGCTTCACGAAAACTTTTGTCTTCGTAATAATGTGCTCTGCAATCAATGCCAAACCGTTTTTCAGAAGACGTCATCTGAGTGGGAGAAGCACTGGCATTGTCCCCTCGACTCATCTCGTGGCAACGATGCATCCAGTAAACTCAAGCACGACTCCATATTTCACAAGAATTACGACTGCACTGATTGCGGCCTTCAGTTCAAGGGCCTTCCTTCCCTTGCACAGCACCGGACTACCGAGTGCCCAGGGAAGTTGATTCTCTGTCAGTTCTGCCATCTTCTCGTCCCACAGAAAGGCGAATCTGATCCGGATTTCCTTGACCCCGAGGTCATGCTCTCCGGTCTCTCGCCGCACGAATTGGTAGACGGCGGCCGCACGACCGAGTGTCATCTGTGTGAAAAGATCATCCGACTGCGAGATATGAACACCCATCTCCGCCATCATGACCTGGAGCGCGTCTCACGCCCGCCTCCCCGAATATGCTTGAATCAAAACTGTGGCCGCACGCTCGGCAGCACAGGTAACGACTCTCTGGGACTGTGCAACATCTGTTTCGGTCCGTTGTACGTGGACACCTACGACCCTGATGGCAAAGCACTCCGCCGCCGGATCGAACGTCGATATCTTTCACAAATGATGACAGGATGTGGAAAGCCTTGGTGTCGAAACGAGTATTGCAAAACAGGAAAACAGAAGGTTCATCCCGATGCTGCCACTCCCGCAGCCATGAGCGTGGCCGATATCACGAAATTGACTCGGCCGCTTGCCGAGGGTGTCAACGTCCAGCCCGAGGCTTCAAACACCGCACCTTTCTATTTCTGCACTGATGAAACGGGCCAGCACCGCCGCAAACTCGCCGAAATGATCTTCGCAGAAGGACCTACGGCTGGAGGCAAGGTATATGACCTGGAATGGTGTGTGGCGGGTGCTGAAGCAGCTGGAAGCGATTTGGACAAAACGCGAGAATGGCTCTCTAGGTGGGCACCGGCGCGGGAGAGACGTCTCGATGATCGAGACATCCATTGGGGGAACCTTTTTACCGCATGCATACAAGATCTACGGGGAAACTAGATAGAAGATTTTTGACGATTTTAATAATGCATAATGATATATGACACAGGCTGAAGCTCGTAATATTCATGATGAGATGCAAAAGACACTCCGGCGTGGTCCAAATCGTTTTTCGAATGAACCTACATCAAGTAGTCGATAGCTCATCTCAGACATCAAGTCCCTTTTGAACTTGTGTCTCCGACTAGCCCTTCTTAAGCAGCACCAGTCTTGGCTGCAAGTGTGCCAGTGCCCCGAGAAGAGAAAATCCCCATGATACCGAAGACGACGTAGAACAAAGCCAGCGGATAAGCAACCAGACCCCGCATACCGCTCATACGAGCCACGGAACAGAACATTCCCGAGGAGCTGTAGGTGCACCAGCCGACCGCCGCGGTTGTCAAAAGGTAGCCGAACAAGGTATCCATGGGGAGGAGAATACCGATTAGCGCAGTCAGGACGAGCGGCAAGAAGCAGTAGCCCAAGACGCTAGCGGAGCGCGGAAAAGTGAGAGTCGCAGAGAAATGACCGGCGGCCGAGGCACTGGACATGGAGGGCTTGTGGTGAGGGTTGTAGTTTGTTGGGTCGGCGGCAGTCGGGGTAGGAGCAGTATCGAGGGCCGGGGACATGAGACTCAAGATTAGATGCAAGGCAACGGTTCCAAAGACTGCGACGCCGTAGATATACCCGTAAAAGACCTTTCCTGAGAGGAGGAGGAACGTGCCGTACAAGACAATGTAAAGTAATGCGCCGTAAAGGTCGCTATCGTCCATAAGGTGGTTGTCAATGGAGGCGAAAGGGTTAAGGACAGTCAGAGTCTGGAAGTAAACTAGTTAGCATCTCGCTCTATAATTGTTTCGTCTCTTCTAAAGTAGACACAGCCACATCTCCAAGGAGGGAGTCCAAAATGTTGCTTCAGGAACCCGGCGCATTCTCCCAGGAACAGCACCGTCACGAGCAAACTCACCTTGGTGCGAATATGCTCAAAGTTGACACCTAACTCCTCCAACAGTGGAGGCTCGCCATCATAACCCTCTGTGCCAAACGCAGCCAGCCAACCTGTCCGCAATCCGCCCTGTTCACCCATCCGCCCGCTCACACCACCAGAAGGAGATCCGAATCCACCATATCCACCACCGGGATAAGCCTGTGCCGATGGATTGGGGGCACTACCAAAGCCTGCGCCATAAGATGCTTGTGAAGGGGTTGTGTGGCCGGAGACTGAACCGTAGGACGAGGGGAAGAACTGGAGATTCTGGGTGCTAGCCTGGGGCGGGTAGCCCTGCTGTTGCTGCTGCTGCTGGGGATAGTATTGAGCCATTGCCGAAGGACGGCGAAAAAATGAGCGTGTATTCTTTCTTCTCGCTGTAGAAACGTGGGGTTTGCGAAAGAGCCGAGAAAGAGTTGAAGCTCGAGAGCTCGATGTGTCCGCAGCGCGTGCTGACTCAGCGCGTGGAGCGACGCGAACTATAAGATTATTGGAATTGACTTGATATTTCGCCAGTTATTCTTATATTTCACTCTCTTTGTCCTGGAGGATATATCACAGCTGAGATGGTATAATCGGACTCCGCTAATCTAATCAGGAAACATGTTTCTACAGGAAGTTGATGCCAATACCCAATTGAAGACCCTTTCGGCCTTCTTCGCCCTTCCGCAGGGCCAAAGGCAGCGAGAAGTTCAGCTCGAAGCGGGCGACCGGGTGAGCATATACGATACCCACACCAGCTGCAACACTGGGCAGGCCGTTTTGCAGTTCGGAAAGGGTGGAGACCATAGCATCTTGCACCTCGCCGCCGTTGGTGGGAGCATTTTTTTTGCGACGTACGAAGGGGCAGGAGTCTTCCGCCATTCAGGAAGAGCTGCATGCGGACAGGTTTCTCAGCACCCACCCGAGGAAGCGGGAAGAGCAAGTTAGCACTTCCAGCAGCGTAGACGTCACCGCCAAGTGCGTCGGGTCCTTCACGGGGGCCAAGGCCACACAGACGGAACCCACGGACATCTGTTGGCCCCCCAAGAAGGAAGCGGTCATTGACGCGGGACAGCTGAGGGCGTGAATCCGAGTCCAGTCCAAGAGGGTACAAAAGACCAGCACGGAATCCAGTGGTGAGGCTCACGCCACTGTCACCCTTGATACCAGGGATCGAGATGGGGATAGCACCCTGAGTCTCGATCTCAGACTTCCAGAAAGAAACATCGCCTTTCAAAGGGCCCCAGCCAGCAACTTCGTTGAAGACCTTCGCGTAGTACCCACGAGAAGGCAGCATGGGGTGGTCCCGCTGATCATTGACCCAGCTGTGGAAAATACTACTCTTCACGCTGTCACCTGCATCCGCACGAATGGTAGGAGAGGCATTCTCAGCAAGGCCAGTAGTCTGTCTCCAGAAACCATTGTAGCCAAGTTCATGGCGGTGTCCAGACTGGGACAACCAGCGGAGCTTGCTCCAACCTCCTTTGAGAACCTCCTCGTGACTAGCCCAAGTCTTCTGCGTGGCGCTTGCAATACCTCCGATCTCCAGACGGAAGTCAGGGTCACAGAAGATAGGCGTTTCGAATGCGGCCTGGTAGGCGGACCGAGTACGAGTACCCAGAGAAGCATTGAGGTTCAGCGTCTCGGCGCCACCGAAAACATTGCGCCAAAGAAGGTTACCATAGGCAGAGCCCTCAGCGTTCCCAAGGTCAGTTCCGGTCTTTAACAGGACGCGGGATTTCTCCCGGGTAGCTAGAATCACATCAATATCGCGCAGTCCGGTGGCCTGGTTGGTCTTCGATTGATCCAAGTGAACGGAGATAGGTTGCTGGAAGAGGTCTAAGTCAATGTTAGAATATCACACTTTCTATCCTCTAGCTCTGTAGTCACGAACCAAACCGCCCGAGCTTGTCGGCCGTTGCCGAGATCTCCCGCAATGCTTCGGAGAGAGTATAGGGCCGATCCTTGTTCTCGCTCAGAAGAGGGTTGACGATGCGCTCGAGGAAGCTTCGGCGAGTGTTAGGTGCACTGGTAACCTGGACGGACGAGATAGCGCAGGGCAGGGTCGAATTTTGGTCAAGCTGATTGCACTCGCGTTTAGCCGGGAGCTCTGCGGGTCTGACCAAAGTCGATTGGGGCCATAGATACAACCCTGATTGAGGCATATACATACCAATTCTGAAAGGCGAGATTGAGCCTTCTGGAGAATGGCCTGGGTCCGCTCATTCACGGCTTGCTGCTGCTCTTCCAGTACCTGCGGGTCCTTGCGCTGTTGCAAGCGCTCGAAGATCTACGAGACCAGTTAGCGGAGGCCATACTAAGCGGGCACCATAAGCTGAGCATCGGATAGACCTACGTCTTCATCTTCAGCCGAGAGGGAGGACATCGTGACGGCGGCAGTGGCCAGGATCTTTCGGGGTTCAATGAACGCTTGATCGCGTGGGAAAACGGGGAAGCACGTGACTTCAGTTGATCGCAATGCAGCGGCGGCACTATCATCTCCACCTTTCTCTTTACTTGCGGATTTCTCTTTCATTCTTTCCATTCTGAGTTTGTGTCTTTCTGTCTTCTTTGTTACCTCACCCGACTGGGCCGGTCCAGAATTATGGCGACTAAGGCAGCTTTCAAGCGGGTGAGTGGCCACACTGCGAGATATGTAATTGCGGAACATCTTCTAACGGCTCTGGCAGCTCACGCGCGAGTATCAAAACATTCAAAAGAACCCCCCACCGTTCATTGTGGCGCATCCTTCTGAAACGAACATTCTCGAGTGAGTAATTTCCCTTCTCAGCATATCTTCCGACTTGAGACTGAACGACGGCCAGGTGGCATTATATTCTGACAGGACCACCGGGGACTCCGTATGAGAATGGGCAATACTGGGGCACCTTGATGTTTCCCTCCCGAATACCCTTTTGCCCCTCCAGCGATTCGCATGCACACCCCGAGCGGTCGATTTCAGCCATCCACTCGCCTCTGTCTGAGCATCAGTGACTTCCACCCCAAGTCTTTCAACCCCGCATGGGAGGTTTCGACAATCCTGATCGGACTTCTTTCATTCATGACAAGTGAAGAGATGACCACGGGCAGCGTCAGCGCATCAGAGGGTGAGCGCAGAGTACTAGCCGCCCGATCGCGATGGTGGAACTCGACTGGCGGAGGCTCTCATGCTAGCGCCACACCGGGAGTGACCAAAACTTCCAAGGGCATCAATAATGTGAAGGCAGGAGACGGCGGGTTAAAGTTCCGCACGGAATGGCCGGAGCTGGATCAGGAGAATTGGATCTGGATGAAAGAGCACCGCATCGACACTACCACGGGCCAAATCCTGCCGGATCCCAATGTACCTACAAGATGCTCACCAGAGACCAGTGCTTTACGTCGGCGCCCGAACGGCAGTGCACCGGGAATCGGAGCGGTGATGGAGGGAGGCCATGTGGCTCGGGAAGCCGGACAGGGATGGGCACGTCGAAACCGATTATGGATCGGATTGGCGGTGCTCTTCGGATACGCGCTACTGTCTCGGCTATTGAGTGATGTGCAGGGATAGGGATAGAAGATATATGATAGTTGTTTAGCGGGACATTGATTTGGCACATTAGAGAGATATCAGGCGTTGAATGGATTACCAGAAATCAGAAGAACTTCAAGCTCCCTATGTAGGTAGGTGATGCAGGTCAAATAATAGCATTGCATCCATGAGATACACACTATTTATGGGTCTAGGCATATATACTTGGGTACTCTGGTTACACCGGTCATCACCGGATCGCGCCCCAGCTCAGCCGCTCAATTGGGCTGATGCTGGTCCCCCCGCATTGTCAACGTAACTACTCCTTTTCTTCTTCTAAATCCGCCTTTCTCCATAGCCTGTCTCTTTGCTGGGGTTTACGTCGCCTTCGGGCCCACGATGGATCAGCTGCAGTTCGTCGCGGGTGGTCGGCCTTCCCATTTAGGTTCGTGTCTCTATGTTTGGTCTATACTCTGTCGAGTTCCGACCTGTCCTATCTGTCCCAGGTGTTGCAATTGCTGAAAAGCTTCAAGAATCGCACAGACCTGCTGCGTCGCCGGATCGGCCTTCATTTACATTCATCGATCATGATGATGATTTGACCTCTAAGAGGATCAAAGATGTCAACGCCCGCAAGGCAATCCGCTCCCATGTCATGCGTGATGTACGTCGACGGGAAAGACTTGCTGGGCTGAAGAGAAGCTCCAGGCGTGCAAGTCGGACTCAGCCTGTGTCCAGGTCAACGCGAGAAGGAAACCCCGAGGAGCAAAGGCTGGACCTGAGAGCAGCCTCTCAGTCATCTGCTTCGTCTGGGGTGGAGAGTTCCGAGTCCGACGATAGCTCTGTCGATTCAAAATATCGAGGACGACCCCTTAGATGGAGTGCTGGGAACCCTGTGTCCTCCCATTGGAACCCGAGTCCACGCTCTCTACCCAGAGCATGGTTTCTCGATCCTTTTTGTTCTCTGCCTGGAACAACGGAGCTTCCTACCATGGTCGGGCACCTGGTATACTATTGTAAGATCCTTTTCCTTCTATACTCTTCGTGACTAGTCATTGTGAGGATCGACCTCAACTCCCGCTATTTCGATTTGAACCGTAGCTAACGATGAGCTTAAGGGAAATCCGTGTTTGTCCCCATGACGTTTCCCAGCGAGATCCAAGGAAGTCAGGAAACAAAAGAGGTTGAGCTCATGGTACGCTCTTCCTTCTCTGATCCCGGGAGCTTTTTCGGCCTGATGAGTATGTGTGCCGCACATCGAGCAGCTTTATCAAGTAATAGCATCGATGCCTCGGGCTTCCCAAGTCGGCCAGTTGAACTGACTGTCAATGACACCGAGTACTGCATCATGAAAGCAAAGTCAATTCGAGAAATGAATGCCAAAGTCAGAGATCCTCGCCGAGCACTGAGTAACGAGGCGTTTGACACAATTATCAACCTTCTTACTGGCGCGGTACGCATGCCTTCTTGATGCCTCCTCTTTGAACTTTTCTGATTCAGTGTAGTTAATTGCCGGCCTGTTCGATGAGGTAAGAATTCATTTAGCTGGTCTGAAGCGCATGGTAAATCTTCGAGGCGGCATCATGGATGAAAGTATCCGCTCTGCTTCGATGTTGGCTGCAATTATCACGTAAGTGTAACCGGGACCTTCCATCGGCATTGATTGAGTGACCTGTTAATAATATCAGCACCGATATCAAAGCTGCTACGGGCCTTCTGGTCAGGCCTGTATTTCCCTTGACATGGGATGCACAGCCAGTACCAGAAGCGGTTCAGCAGCGACTGCGGCCACCCATATCGGCACCCTCCCATCGACTCGGGAGTAGCTTCTTTGCCAACACTTTGCTGAGTCGCCCATTTAACCGGATTCTATGGGTAATACGAGATATCATCTATTACAGTGCTACCCTTCGTGTGACACCTGAACTCATTCATCCAGAGGACAATCATCTCTTCCGGGTCCTCAACTGCGAAGCAGAGCATCAGCTTCTGAGCTATATCTATTCGAAAGAACATTCACCGGACGATTCGAGTCCCGGCCTAGAATACCACCCAATCGAAGAGGTCGCTCGCGTGGCTTCCATATGCTTTCTCAACTACTTTCTCATCGTCTCGCCTCCTTCATCGGGCCTTGGTCGTGCCCTAACAAGGCACTTAATTAAGGCTGTGAGCAGCTGCAAACTCTCTCTCCTTCTTACACTATCCAAAGAAAACCTTGGACTCTTTGCTTGGGCTCTGTTCGTGGGAGCTCAAGGCTCCCTCGGTCAAATCGAGCGATCTTGCTTCGTGGAGAGTCTGGCCCGCGTTGCATTGATATGCAAATGGCAAACCTTTGAACAGGTTACGAATATCATGTTGGGCTACTTTTATGTTCCAGACACGCACTATGTGAACTGGCGATCTATTTGGGACGATGCGATTACTGGGTTTGTGACATTTTCAGATGAAGCATGAAGCATCAACCTTAAATATCTGCCACTTGTGTAAGGCTCTACTATAAGATTTAATACACGGATCTTGCTGGTAGTTACTACTATCATAGCTCAAGTCCAAGCGAATTGGTCTTTGATGGAATACTACCAAAGGCTCACATCCATATATGGGCTGCTTTCAATTCCCTCAAGTCCAGTCTCATGTTCTAAATCCATCTCTTCTTAGTTTTTCAAATAGAAGGTAATACCAGCCGTTTTGCTTGTTTGTATCAATTGCCGCTGCTGCATCGTACTTCAAACGATAGGGCGGTATCACGTGTGGATTACTCATCGTCTCCGTTTTCTCCCCGATCTTTTATCGCGCGGCGACTTAGTCCAACCTTTTTTCTTCCCTATTGTCATTTTCTAAAGTGAAAATGGGCTGGTTCTGGGCAGACTCGCAGCCAAAGGCGCCCATGGCGCCTCATCCCACCTCTTCCAGCGCGACTCCTCCTGTACGTTTCTCCACAATCTTCTCAAGTTGCGACTCAAGACTGACCTTATCTTTGACAGCCCGGATGTCCGATGCATGAGTCGGGTGCAGCCATTCCTGCTATTCCAAAGAACGAACCCCCAAGCGAGTGTCCGATGCGCTCATCCGATTCTCCCTTTTATGTTCCCCCGAAATCCTCGAAATCCACAAGCCCGGAGATTCCGCAAGTACTGGCCGCACCGGCAAAGCCCTCCACCTTGTCGAAGCTGAACCCTTTGAACTACATGTTCGCATCGATATCTCAGGAACGCGCTCCAAACCAGACTGTTGATCTCGGCGTCGACCGTGAGGTTTCCTCAATTCCGAGAGGCGACTCAGAGGGTAACTGGGAGTACCCGTCTGCTCAGCAGATGTACAACGCGATGCTGCGCAAAGGTCACACTGATACACCCCAGGATGCGGTTGAGTCCATGGTTGCTGTTCACAATTTCTTGAATGAAGGTGCCTGGAACGAAATTGTGAGCTGGGAACGTGTCTTCGCCAAGGGTCTGAATCACGGCTGGGAGAAGTGCCGCCGAGGAGAAGAGAACCTGAGTTTCGACCTGGCCAAGGCCGAGCTTATGGGCCAAATCGATCATGCTCATGAGCCTCGACTGATCAGGTTCCAGGGTCGTCCCCAGGAGCTGAGCCCGAAGGCCCGAATCTTCCAAGCACTAGGATGGGTGTACCCGTCCAAGTTTGAGTACGTATATTCTATTCATGGGCCTCTGTACCATAACTAACGTGAACATCAGGACCAACCCGCCCTTTGACCGCCACGACTGGTTCGTTCAGCGCCAAACACCCTCAGGCCCGAAAGAAGTTCGCTACGTGATCGATTACTACTCTGGTCCTCCGGAGCCAACCGGCGAGCCTGTCTTCTACCTTGATATTCGTCCCGCTCTAGACTCTCCTACTGCCGCTGTCGAGCGAATGATGAGATGGGGCGGCGACGTTTGGTGGAGAGCCAGTGGTGCTTCCGTCAGAGAGCAGGCTCAAGCCCAGGCCCAAGCACACCGGTGAAACCTACACTCGAAGTTTGATACTTCTCCACTCCCAATTGTATAGTTCTAGACATGGCACAGGCGTTCTGCAGGTCTTTTTCACGGTCTCTTGCATTATACTTCTCTCTTTGTCTTCTACCATGTGTTCTTTACCTTACCCCTGCACGACCTTATTGGCAGACGATAATGGCAAAATGATATCTCGATTCTGCGTGTATGTGACAGAAACCTGCAGGTGCTTTCAATGATGCTTCGGCTTCTAATGTACCATTGTCATTCATGTTAATTTCAATTCTGTTTCCACTTAAGCCAATTGTGTCTTCAGTGTATAATATATTATTCGGTTCTCACATCAGGGTGGTTCTATGCTAAAATAAAAAAGAATTATGTTCAAATATTTGGCGACAGTTGGTCGTATTTGACACAGTGTTCCACGCTCTCAATGCTGGCCTGCAGCAATCCGCGAGCTTCAAGACCAACCCAGACTCGAAGCATGGAGGTGTCACCAGAACGGACCGTCTGCAAGAAGGTAGAACCGGAGCCGAGTTGTCGGAGAATAGGTAAGGAACTGCATAAATTGGTTAATTTTGCTTTGAGGCGATTTAGCTCATGGAACCACGTACCTCTTGAAGATATCCAAGTCGGGATTAAGGCTTCGCCCAATGCCTTCAAGAAGAAGGCAGGAAACAACCACGTTCACGAAATCTCCTTCGAATCGGACGTGATGGCCCCGAACCATTGTCAGGACTTCGCTGAGGACGTCACCGATCTTGATATTCCCCAAAGCGAAGGTACGTGACTTGATACTCAAAATCAGATGCTGCATTTTGAGTGCGAAAATTTCCGGCTCAATGACTTCCTCTGGGGTACGGCAACGCTCTACCATCAATTGGCCTGCGCGATACCCATCAAATTCGGCAATGGCGCGGAAGAGATCCAGGAAGTTCCGTCGATTGAGATCGTTCAATTCGGTGACAAGGCCGGTGTCGATGAAGATTAGCTGTGGGCGATAGCCCTCGTCATTGAGTTCAGCGAGAGCGAATTCCCAAGCTCCACGGTCCTTGAGATATGGGCGAAGTCGTGCAAGTACGGCCTCTGTCACGTCCACCTCAGCCCGAGTGGGGGCATCTGTGGCTCGCGTAACTTTGCGAAGGGACAAGTCAAGTTCATTGGGTTTGTAGAATCGAACCATGATATTCCCTGGATGCAGATCCGCGTGGATAAAGTTGTCGATTAGGAGCATGTGCAGGAATGCATCAAGGCCTTCGTTGGCAATCTCACGCTGATAAACACCTCCTCCGATATCCAGGAACTTGGCCAATGGAATACCTTGGGCGAATTCCTCGACGAGGACTTCCCGTGTGGTGTAATCCAGATAGGGGTATGGGAACCAAGCTGTGGTGCGAGACTTGAACTTATTGCGAAATATCACGAGGTTGGTAGCCTCGATTCGTAGATCTAGCTGAAGCTTCATCATCTCCCCGAATTGCTGGACCTCGTCTGGGAATGAAAGCCAATGCATGGTTGGAATAGCATTGATTAATGTAGCAAAGAATCCCATTATCCGCAAATCGCGATGGATCATTTTCTCGACTCGGGGGTGCAAGACCTTGATTGCAACATAAGATGAAGGCACTCGCTGCGGTGAGCTCTTCACCAGCACATCAACATTCCTCCAGACTTTCTCGCCGAGAGTACTGGGACCCTGGCCCAGCTCCTGGGTACTGTTCGCCAAGCTTGGTTTGAGTTTCGCCTTGTAGACCTGCGCAATGGCTCCCACACCGAGCGGCTCTTCTTGAAATTCTTCGAATATCTCATCAAACGGCAATCCATTGAAGGCTTTTCGGATAGTGCGCTTGGTATCGTGGAGGGAATGAGCCGGAGCATTTGAATGGAGAGAGGACATAATCCTGCACATCTCAGGAGGGAAGATATCGGTTCGGGAAGCGGCCCATTGTCCTAGCTATTTTAAGAATGAGATGAGCAAATCGATACTTGGGACGAAGTAATGCTTGCTGACGACAATTTTACCTTGATAAAAGCAGGCCCCGCGCGCTCCATTGCCTTGACTAAGAATCGATACCACCACAAAGTCCCAGACTGCGCTTTGCTGTCACCACCGATCCTTTTACCAGCCCATATCACGGGCACAGTCACTACGACTGGCAGGAAAATCACGGCCAGATGCAGGAATCGAAAGCCAGTGGCAATGGGGTCCCAAACGTAGTAATACCAGCAGACCCAGAGAGAGTGGCACAGCCTCGAGAGGCCTCGTGCACCCGCCGGTACAGTCTTCCGGATTTCTTCGCGCGAAGCCTCGAGCATCTGCATCTCTCCGGTCTTTTCACCGCCGTCCGATTCCTCCGCGAGCTTGAGAAAGGCGCTCGGTGCGAGAGCAGCCATGACCACCCCACCGATCACCGGCGCCCGTCGCGGGATGCGCCTCGAAAAAGGTCGCCATGATAGAGTCGACTGATTTCGTGGAATACGCGGGATTCCGCGCAAGAAACAACGGCCGAAGACCGCCCTCATGTTGAGTTCATAAAGTCATTAGTTCATGAGAGGAGGAGGAGGAAGCGGTACGCGATAACTTGATAACGGCCCTGGCACGTGCTACGTCATCGTAAACAGGGTTGAGCTTGATCTACAAAAGTCTCGAATTATCTTTCTTTCCCATTTTCTTCAATATACTGAACTCTGTCATATTGTTTGAATGGATGCCCCTGCTCGTCACCAGTAAGCCACGCGATGAGCACGCCTTCACTTGTTGGGCCGAACTCGGCGGGCGCATTCCTGTGCACATTCCTCGATCGGCCTCCGGTTCCCTCAGCCCAAATCATTACCACTTCCGGTCGCGGGTAAAGCCATAGCGCAAGACGACAACTGTGTCGATCTCATGATTTTAAGTCGCTTTCAGTGCCACTGGCCCCGATAGCACGAAAGCGGTTCCAAAGACTTATTACACTACGAAAATGGTTCGCTCGTCTCCATCATTAAATGAGCGCGAGATGGCCCCTGGAGCTCTCTATGGATTGACCTCTTTCTTATCGCCGGAGCCTTGAATTTGTGCCTGGCTTGTTCATCATGGGTCGCCCGGCTTCCCAAGATGTGGAATCAAACCAAAAATCGTCAACTTGGCGCGACTGGGGAGCTGTCATTCTCTGGAGTGCGATAGGCTACCTGTGCATCATTGTGACCGTTGTTGGGTACTTCAATCCATCGTTACTTCTAATTGATCCAACCGCGCTGGTGTTCAATCCAAACATCTCCCCGTTCTTTGCTTTTTCGCAGGATCGGGCCATTACTCGAAACCACACGGAATTAAGATTGTCGCACTCGTTCCTTTCCACTATCATGAGCGAACGGAAATTCTAGATTGCTATTTGCAGGTAAGGTCAGTCCACTATAGAGTCACGACCCAGGTTCTCACGATTCGATAGAAAAATCTGGTTCGCAACCACGGCTTTCTCGACCAGGTCGTGTTCATTCCCCAGACGTCTGATTCAGTCAGCCTGGAATGGCTCTATTCATTGGTCAAGCAGACTCAAGGATATGCGATATCCCCGCCCGGCCACGGCATGGAGTGGCATATTGCCCAAGACAACGTCATGTATATTCGCATTGACGGTGATGTCGTATATCTGGAGGATCACACCATTCCCACAATCGTGAAAACAAAACTGGACAACCCCAGCTCACTGATGGTATCTGCCAACGTTGTGAATGAGGCTGCACTTTCCTCCCTCCATAGCCATCCGGGCATCGCCCTTCCATATCTCCCAGAGCTGCACCACACCAAACAGCCCTCCCGGTCCAAGACGCAGCTGAGCCAGGATTGGCGCTCTTCAAGTCTCCCCCAGTGGCGTGGGCCAGCGAGCTTCAGAGTTCCAAAGGGATTCAAAGCACCTTTCCATGGTCATCGCTGGCTTCTGCCCGCTGAAGCAGGTTCAGATCGCGACCCCATTGCAGGATCAATGTACACGGAAACTGGTCCCTCGCTTGAAGACTGGACCGTCAGCGCCCAGCAGCATTACTCTTTCCTGCACCATCTTGAGTATGACGAGTTGACTCGTTACAAATTCCCGCTGTGGATGGACCCTACAGAACCAATCAGCCAGAACTTTGGCTGTTTCTGGGGCCATGATGCAGACGCTCTTGGTGAGATTTTCGGTCGGATTGGCGAAGATCCATCAGAGTCGTGGATCAGACTTGATGGGTCTCGCCCACATGTTGCTATCGATGGCAAGGGTCTAGTGGCTCATTACTCTGCTCGCTTGGGGCCCGAGGGGTTGGACTCGACTGATCTCTTGGAACGGTACCGAGCGTACGCGCAGGAGAAGGTCTGCTTGCAGACAGCGTGATATCTACGATAGATACATTTCCACGGCCTCGATTACTTGGCCGTTCGTATCATGTACATAACAGAATAATTGACATTACCTATTTCTAAGTCCCTCTACTCTCTCCTCTTTTAGTTCCCGCTCTACTGGTCATTACAGCACTCGTTTCGCCCGACGAGATTAGGTGAGCAATCCGCTTTGAAGCACCGGGTTTATTGGTGTCTAAAACACGTTCCTTGGTTCCGATTTTGAGCATACGTGCATATCAATCGTCCGCTCGCGGCCCTTGTCTCGTCCATCTATTGAGCAGCAATTCTTATGTGCTGCGAGGCATCGCGCACCATTTGTTCCATCGTGTCCCGATAGCCTTCGGGAAGTGCACCAGACTAGACAAATCAGTATATTCTCATGGGAAAAGTCTCATGATACTTACCTCATTCTTCAACAATTCTTGTACCAGGACAAAAGCATTATCTCGATCTTTGGAAATTTGATCACGGTTTGTCTCCTCAGATTCTTTCTCACGAGATGGATCCGTACTGAGTGTCGCTTTGAGAAGTTCCATCACTTCATCTTTCTGAAGACAGTCGGCCACTGCAACGCAACCAGACTTGTTGTTCGCCATCAAAGCCAAAGCAAACCATCCTTCACTTCGAACAACAGGCCATTGGGTCTGTGTAGTCATGGCACCAAGAGGACGAGCAACCCCTTCGTGCAAACCGTACAGCTTGCTCAAGATGGAAACGGCCTGTTCATCTCCCTCGCGGGCTTTAGGACTGATAGTCCGGCATATTGAAGCAATAGTGCGACCAATCTCCGTCTGGATCGGCGCAGAATCCGACTTCTCAAACAAAGACAAAAGCAGAGAGAGATATGTCCGGCTGTGTTCAGGAGAATCCGGATCTTGAGACAAAGGCGCCAACAGACGAGCAATATTCTCAACGGAAGAAATGGTGATCTGTCGCATAATCGATGCAGCCGAGAATTGGACCTGAGGGACAGATTCATACGCCCACAAACGAGACAAGGCAGGAATGATTTCGGCCTCGGCAAGACTAACACGATTGTCGCCAGAGATAGCGAGATTCTTCAGGAATCCCAAAGCAGAGTGAAGAATCGCCCCACGCGCATCACTGTTAAGAACAGAGATAAGTTCCTTGTGGATCTTCAAGTCTCGCACCATCACTTGACAGACTTCGTCTGATCGAGCCAGATTGCCAAGCATGACACATGCACAGATCTGAAGCTGATCCTCGTCGGAAACAACCCATGACTTTAATGTTTTTGAGAGGCTAGAGTCGAGAGGGTAGTACTCCATAAACAGTGAAGAAGCTGAAACTTCAGCCAGGACTTGGTTGATCTTGAGACGTGTTTGAAGAAGGGCCTTGGTTTCTTCGGCCGAAGTTTCGTCGACTTTGATGGAGAAAGACCGGCGCAATATGGCCAGAAAATGGTCGACCAGGGAATTTGAAACGCAGATGCTCTGAAATTTTTCGTTTTCCATATACTTTACGAGAGAGCTAACCAGGGGCGAGAAGTATTCGAAACTTAATTCCTCATCCTGAGCGAGATCTGTAAGTAGCAGGATTGTTCCGCTAGGAGAATTTGCGACTCCTTGAGCTATAGCAATTTTTGCGTTAGCTTTAAGTTAGACAATGTCGATCATGCAGTCGGACCTTGTTCAGAAGCCAGCTCAATCAAATCGTAGGAAAAGCCCAGTAGAGCATCGGTCTCTTTCATGGCCCCATCTTTGATAAGTTTCAGCAAAACATAAGCTGTCATATTAGCAGCCATTTGAGAGTGTGCGGGCTCTGAAGCTCCAGTTAGTATTATTATAAGTGGTGAGGAGGAAAGATCATCTCACCATAATCCATGCAGATGTTGTAAATCACAGGGATTGCGACTTGGATCAAGTTCGGGTTCAAAAAGTGTCTTATAATAGCCAAAGTGTAGTTGTCCTTAATAACAATCTCCCTATTTTCATCTAATCGGTTATCAGCATCTACTGACAATTTGCGGGTCCTGTGAACGTACCTGTATCGGCGCAAGAATTACCAACGAGACGCAAAGAGTGGAGTAACAATTTGGGATCAATCTCCTCCTTTGACGAGACAATCTCCAAGAAGAATTTCAATATACCAGACTGGCCAAATGGAGTACGCCATGATGCTAAGAATTGTTAGTAAAGACATAATCTAGTGGTATCGTTCAAAACTCACGATCACGACTTCCGTTGGCCAAAACCTCTGCCGCCTGAGCCAGATATTCGGAATTGCAGGACCAGAGACGCCGGATTGTCGTAAGCACGCTCTGCAAAGTCTCGAGACCCCGCCCGCCGCGCCGTGCATCAGCGTCTGCTTGCTCCAGAGATGCGTGAAGCTCCTTCAGATCAAAGCTACTTCCAGCTTCAGTAGCTCCCTCCGCGGTTTCGACGATGCTCTTCAAAGAAAAGAACATCTTTTTTTGTTCATCAGAATTAATGGTTTCCGTATCTCTGGAGGGTAACCATGTGGGTATATGGGGTAGGCTTTGGAGAATCTGATCCACAGACGGCAATTCGAGCCCTGAAGTCGGGGCAGGGGCATCACAGGCATCACCAGCGCTATCCCCAGCGGGCGCGATGAATACTTCGCCTAAAGACATCGCTCCTGTATACAGTGGACCGAGCGCCAAGGTGGCTGTCTTCGAAATTGTGTAGGACGAATTGCAGAGTGGAGGCGTATCCCCAGTCTTGATTTGATCAGATAATACAAGCCGAATCAACAGATCTCGTATCAGCGGTGTGCTATGTATTGAGTCATGCAAGGCTTGTGACTTCACGGGTGGAGGTTCGCGAGACGTCGCTTGCAAAGCGTGCCAATCGCAGTTCTGCCTGAGGCGAATTCAGGCACTATCTGCCTCCACATTGGGTAACGCGCGTTGCTGTCAAGAGATGCTACCGAGCTGAAGATGGCGGTTATGGCAAATGGCTGAATGATACTATACCAGCTTAGAGTGTCTAGATATCAAGGAAATCACGTCTTTTAAACTAAACTTTGCTAAATGCCGTAAGTTGTATTTGGTGACTTACATACTCGGGCAGGGGACACTTCCGCCTTGCCAAGCATCTTTCCTCGAGTTGGCCTCTCCGTTTCGTAAACATTGACCCTCGACCCCGTCTCTCCTTAATACGATATTATTTGGGTCTGCGGGCTTCTTGATCTCATTCCATTTATCTCCTTTGTCAAAAGTTTCGAAATTCCATCCCTTTCCGCCACCATGACGCGCGCTCAGCAGACTCTCTCCGTCCTCCTCCTCGTCTCCTCCGTACGTTGGCAGCACGCCCTGAGGACAATTACCTCATGTAAAGCTCTCGCTCACATCGCATATAGCTCTATCTCTCCCTCTACCTTGGTCTTGTTCCCCTGAACGAGACCGTCCAGACCGAGGTCATCCCTGTGGTACGTCGCAACCCTCGACCCTTGTCTCCGCAAACAGCAGGAACTAACGCCTAATTGACTTAGCTTCCCTTCTACGCTGTCATCACCTTTGGATGCTATCTCTTGGGCCGTCTTGGCCTCGCGATCTTCACATTTAACGACGTGCCGGAGGCACACGCGGAGTTGCAGAAGGAGATCGAGCTGGCCAAGGTTGAGCTGCGCAAGGGTAACGTCGACGTCGACTAAATCGCGATAGCACTATGTATGTTGGACACGATAATCCGGCAAGATCGCGTGCAAAAATCTCAGACCTTGGACGCCCGGGTCTACTACAGTAGTAGAAGCTGCGCTGGGCGTTGTGAAGCTCGGTGCTTTTAATTGCTGTTCGCCATCAATAAACATCCGTTTGATACCCTTGAACATTACTTCCTTTCTGAGTCTGGAGCAATACGTCATGCAACCCTCAAGGAGACTGGTATAGTCTTGAAGATCAAGGAGATTACTTTTCTAGATTCATCAAGGATATCGTAACATTAACATGCCCGGTCTAATGCCCTACACCGGGATTTGGCAGCCAAAGGTGGCAAAACAGCCACGAAATAAATCAGAGCGCCGCGCAGAACGGAATGCAGTTCGTCTATGTAGCACACTCCTCAGATAAGAGGGTTCTCCTTGGCCAAAGCATCGTGCTCGTCGATGTCCCTTTTCGAAAACGTTAGTCTATCGCATCGCCTCGGCCGCGTCAATTAGATAATACTCACTTGGCCTCCCAAGGATAGCAGATCCACACGTCTTCGGTGGTGACAGAGGCGTGGTAACGACCGCTGTCCATCATGTCAGCGGGCAAAACACCCTTCTTCGACTTGTTCTTGTTCTACAGCAGACTATTAGCATCGAGCCAGTGACCAGAAACGCGAATTATGCGACGTACGTGCAGGACGTAAATGAAGAAGTTGGTCTTCTCGCCCTCGCGGCCAAGCTGCTTCTGAGCGATCTCAACATCCTTCTCCAATTCGCGCACGGCGTACTCCAGAGTAGTACGGGTATCGTCAACCTCGTCGACGATGAGGATGTTCTTGCCGATTAGGTTGGCCATTTCGAGGGAGCTCAAGTCGAGCCATTGTGTGCGGGTGACCTTGGTGCCGGGGACCTCCTCTGGGTCATCGCGGCCGAGGTCTTCGTAGAGGGAGAGACCGATAGCCTGGATGGGGATGTTGGGGTCACCGGAGCGCTTGAGGAAGGATCTATTGGACAGAGTGTATATGAGAGATGCGTTCCAAATCAGATCCCGCTAGGCGCAGAAGGATTCAATATACCGGAGAATGCGCGCAGGAACGTAGCCACCACCGCCAATAGCGATCATGAGGTTGGGGTGGAACTCCTTGAGGATAGTCTCGGCCGACTGCTGGCACAGCTTGTGCACCTATAGATATTTTCGATCAGCATATGACTCGAGATCCGATGCGACCAAAAGTCCATGATCCCATTAACATTTCGGACACTATGAACTGGGAGAGGGAACGCCTGGGGAGAGATCGTAGATCGGAAGTTAGATTCATACCTGATTGTAGGTGACATAGACCTTCTGAGGCATGTTGGCGGATTGAAAGATAAAATGACAAACGTGTCTAGGAATTTAAATAGAACCAGCAAAGGAATCTACCGGAGACTTCACTAGACCAAGAAGGAACCCGAGTTAGAGAAGGAGAAAAAGATGATCCCACAGAAAAAGAAAATTTCGGATCGGCATCTTTTTTATCGGTGCCCTCCGGCGGGGTCTTTATCTCCTTGACATCTGACTCTTTCCCGAGCCCCTTCTTTACGGGGAAGTATACCCTAGTCTTCTTTTTTGGTACCGATTGTGTGCTTTTGGATTGGTATTGCCATGGTCTCTCTCCTATATTCATCCGAATTCAATCCAAGATATTCCACTCGTTCCTATGTCACGGACCTTCACTTTCCCCCGCCAAAGACCCCCCACTCTTGAGTAAACCAAGAAGGGGCGGGGTACTCGTGCAAGAGCACGTATCGACCTAATTCCCGATTTTTATAGGCCAATTGGTCATGGAGAGTGTGAGTTCGGATATCTCTCCAGAATCGATCCAGACCAACTTTCAGCGAAGTTGCCCGAGCACCAGTAACCTCGAACACGCCCGAGGTGACGCGAAGCCCAACGTCCGTGGTAACCACCTTGACACTAGCAATCCACTCGGCAACGTCCCCTCGCTCTTCCGGCGTGAGCGCAAGTCGATTGCTTTGGTACTTGCTGTAAATTGCTGACAGACGATCTCCCGCACGATCCGCCAGGGCTTCGGTGGCGCGGAGATGGGCGAAGAAGTTGCCGTATCGCTCGAGAATGCAGAACTCGTCGGTTGCGGATGCCTTATTATCGCCTCCGAAAGGCCACGCGCGAGTGATCGCGGTGGTGTATTTTGAAGCAAATTCGAGGGCACCGAAAGCAATTCCCAGATAGAAATTGCTGAAAACGAGTTGGATACTAGTCGACGATGTTAGGAGAATTGGTGGCAGCTGGGTATATATGAATGTACTCACGTAGGAAGAAGCAGAGTTGGGAAAGCGCCGGCCAGAACATCTTCACGGGGCTGCTTGGTGCTCTAATCCCAGCCTAGAGCATCTGCCCAAGGCACCCGAATATTGTTCATCTTCACACTACCGGACTCGGTCAGACGCAGACCGTTGTTGTGCCAGTTGTGAGCAAATACCATGCCCTCCTGTTTAGTGGGGGCCAGAGCAAAGATGTGGCTATCGGTACCTTCGAGAACACCCTCCAGGACAGTCAGGTCGGATACGACACTGCCAGTGTTAAAAAAGTTAGTTTCGTTGAAGACAATCTGGTCGCCATCGGAAACAATCTTCAGATCGCTGTCTCGAGGGTTGACAGCACCACCGACGAAGTAGTTGTTGGTGATTATCAGCTCATGAATGCGCTCAATTTGTTTGGGCGAGCCAACAACATTCGCGGTGGTAGACCAGAGGAGATGATAGCCCAGAAGCATGCCAATGGAACTGTAGATGAATCATCATGTTATTTACTACCATGAAGCTGAGCATCGGGTTCTTACCCATCGACTTTGGCGTCCTCGCGAATGGCCTGGTATCCAGCACTCCAAGGCTGCTCTCCACCTCCGTACATCTTAGGACCGAGGAGCTTTAAGAGACCCGAGTGCTTAAGAAGAGTGATTTCAGCCCTGGGCGACTTGTTCTCTTGATCACGCTGAGCTGCATCCTGGCCCAAAACTTCAGCAACTTCGCTTGCTCTGGCCAACCATGCCTCGGCAGTATCTGGTAAACTGGCTCATTTAGCTTCGTATTGAGCATAGACTGCAGGATCTGTCTGCGGTACGTGTTCTTGCGCCAGGTCGGAATGGAAATGTAAATGTATCTAAAAGTGGGAATTGGTTATCTCGGGGAGAAGCTCATCAGACTTATGTCTGCCCGCAATTCACAAATTGCATGTTATCCATGGTTGATTATGTGATTCAGATCGCCTTTGGGCCTAAGATTGGGGCTTGCCATTGCATCAGGTTCGTCAAGCGGGGGGAAACATGTATTATTTGGGGCAGATCAAGCCCCGCTGCGGGAGAACTACATTTGCAAAAAGTACACTGCACAAGCGACTCATCGCGAATAATTATAGATTATTGCGCAACAAAGTATGCTTCTCAGCCTCTTAGAGCCATGGGCCACTCGGCCGACAAACCACAAAACGCCCCCATTCACCATCAGATGGCACCAGATCACCCCCTTTTTCTTTTTCTAGCGAAGAATCGTGAAGTATCGCCCAATGGAAGGTCCAGAAGAGAATCCTGCAGCAACGGATGAAACACAATATACCAACCCACTAAACCAGCCAGGAAACAGGATACACCACCTGATTTCTTGAGCGCAGTAGCCGCCGCTGCGTGACCATCTGCCGAAGCAAAGTAGCTGGCTGCTACATTAAGAAATCCAAGATCCACGAGGAAGAATACCAGGATATATGCAACATTGGTCGGGAGTGATGCAATGAGCAAGGTGAAGACGTAAATCGTCCATAGGATCATGAAGAACCCCACAGCATTATGATATTGAGCCGTGTCACTTCCGCCGTATGCCGTGGCTACACCGAACGCTGAGGTCAAAAGAGCGCCAAAACCCCGCGTAGAAAAAGCCTGCGATGTTCAGTATGAACGCTTTGCTGGTCGCATTTTGTTCTTTGTCTTAGCGAACGCGCTGAAAACAGTGTAGGCGAACCCATTGCCGGTTGACAGCTCCCACTGCGCTGTGATGACCAGACTAAACGCAGCGATAAAGAAGAAATTCGCAACAGACATTCTCGGTGGTAAGTCCTCGCCACTCCATTAGGCTCAGTGAGAGAGTGGTTAGCGTTGTTCCGAACGCACCCAGAGCTAGGGCGGACTATATGCGACATCAGTTGTCTGATCTGCCGCTCGACTCCAATGAACTTAACCCAGCGCCGAGGGTTCTAGGGGTCACAGCTGTACACGAAATAGGCAAGCCCTGTTGCACGACATCCAAAGACCTGGCAGCTTTATCGTTCTGACAAACATCTTTGGGGGTCCGTGGCATTCATCGTGGGCTTCATGGAGCGATTCAATGGGACCTTTACCACACCAAATAAGCAAATTGAGAATATTATTTCAAAGATAGCGGAAAGCTACTATTCCCTCTTTTGAGACGATATTTGTATCACCTGGTATCGAGCAAGCTATCGCATCATCGTAAGCCCAAGTGGCATCAGGAATATCTCCGAATTTCCCTTCTGTTGATCTGCACGGTCTCGCCATAGGTCGGGCTTATGTCGAAAATCAAGCTCGATCTGGAGACCATGGCTATTTATCGACAGCGACCATATGACGTGCGTTATATGACACGGTTGGATTCCAGATTATGTGCTTGTTTGGTTCTTTTGAGATTTAGTCGCAGGAACTCCACATCTGCAAGCTCTACGCAGATGCCGAAGTCAGCGCCACATGCGGATGAACCTAGCATATCATTCAGTAAATGCCCCTTGAGGGTATGTATATTATGGAACCTCGGGAGCTTCCTTTGTGGCTTGTTGATGGCTCTTTTCCGTGCCCGATGGCGTCTTTTTGTGAGCTGCCATTCTCATGCATCTGGAATTTGATCGGCTGAAAGGAGTCAGGTTTCATTTGATTCCAATTAATGACGCTATGAAGTTGGATTTTCCAATCCATCAGCATGTTAGTGGTGAGATCCCTCCGGAGCCATCGAAAGTAAGAACGCTAACCCAAAATATATTCATTTGGTCGCGAGCCCCGACCAAACGCAAATTTGGCTTCCCAAGCGAATGGTAATGGAAAGATGTTCGAATTTGTATAACAAAAATGTCCGAGACATCATACCTGCATATCACTTGCTTCATAAATCTGACCCTTGCATAGATGCCTCGTGGCGTGACTGCGCGACCGTTCTCCTGGAAGCGATTAAAGAATTGGTTAAAACGAACATTTTTCTTGTATTCAACATTGAGTAACTTTCAGTACAACAGGGCTTGTGGTTTAGGGGTATAATGCTCGCTTCGCATACCTAGAGCGATTCTGCGAGAGGTCCCGGGTTCGATTCCCGGCGAGTCCAAATTTTTTCTTTTTTCAAAATTTCTTCCAGTTTTGGAAGACTTCTTCTAAATTTTCCCACCAAACAATATACGGAACAGCTTTTTCGAAGAAGGAACAAGACAAGAGCACGAGCCATACCGGCATAGAAGGAAAACGCATAAAGTTTTTGAATTTTGAAATTTGACTGGAACCAACGTTCCTCAATACATACAATCTATTTCCCCATGATTGATATGGAACAGCGAAAAAAAATAGTGCTAATAACCGAAATTGAGAAGAAGGGGTTGTCTCGACGAGAAAGTGACATAAACCATATAAACAAAGAGACTCGAATAGTCCCCAGGCGAACCATCTAAACAACTGTATTTTCGTCGGAGGCATGTGCATCAGGGTTGACGGATAGAATCTCAAACCCACCCTCGTCTCGATCTTCGCCCCTTTGGGGCCACAGGATCTGGTGCGAAATAATGGCTCGAGCCATCTTGTAACAAACAAAGAAGTACATGAGCAGCAGAGGAGCAATTGCTGCACATCCAACGATGTTGATCGCCTTGCACGAGAACGCTTTTCCAATAGCAAAGGTAGCAGTGATCAGAGCAGTGTTCGGGAAGATGAAAGAATACCAGGTCATTGAGAATTGCAACCGACCTGGGCCGATTGCAGACCAGTGGGCCGCACTTGCGATGAGAAAGAAGAATATAGCCAATCTATCAGAAAGTCAGCCAAAGACTAGACGAAAGAAAAGGAAGTGACTCACCCCCATAACCACAGCATGGAGAAGTCAACCACCACCCTCAGGACATCCGCTGCCAAAGGACCATTGCTCATGAAATCGGCGGGAAACGCGCGTTTCGCTTCAGATGCCATGTTCACGAGACCTGCGACGGTGAAGCCACTAGGTCCTACAGAGACGAACATTCCCGGTCGGATATTCTCCTTGGGAAGCTTCTGCGTCATGAGTCGATATATAAAGGCAGAGTACACCATCAATGACACCAAGAACCCAACACCTTGAATGGTAGTACCTCCCACGATGATGCGCAGGGCGCGTGAAGGTTCCACTTTGGCGCTGAGAATACCAGCATGAGGACCGATGATGAGCATCGGGTACGCAGGAAAGATCCAGATGGGGGTCATTTGGGCGATGGTAAATGTCTGGGTGGACCAGCTGCGGGGTATCAGCGACGAACAAACCACCCAAAGTCAGCAGAACCTACAGAGTGAGGTAAATGCCAGCAGAGAAAACCACAGCGAGACCGGCATCTATCCAAAACAAGATACCAACCGCCTCGAGTAACCACGGACCGGCTTTTCCGGGTCCATATTGAGAAATGTTGATGAGGATTGTGCCGAAAGAGACCATTGAAGCAGGAATGAACAGGGACTCTGTCGGATGCAAAAAGGAGGCTTTGAATGTATAGGGATAATAATAGAATCGGGCAAGCAAAAGGCCCCAAATGAGAAGGTAAAGCACAATGTTGATCAAAAAGACGACGACTCCAATCGTCTCTAGACCACGGAAACGATAAGGTACTTTATATCACCGTGTTAGTCAGAGTCTCGGTATCAGATTGAAGGTTGAATTTACCTTCGTATAGAACATTGGCCAGACCACCCGTAGCCATAGTCAATGTGAAATAAGCCCAGGTAATATGGCGAATCCGCTTCTTCCAACTAAGATGGGAAGGCGGCGTATCGGTGAATCTCCGATTGAGCGAGAAGCCATCCTGGTCTTGACAATGGTTGAATTCCTTATTGGCAGTCGCTTCCGCCACCCGAGACGAGGCTCTCTGCAGCGCCGCCTCCAAAGCAGTGGTGTGAACCTCGCGCGCACCACTACTGGGACTAGCAATGAGCTCTGAGAGAGTGCGCTCGGCGTCTTCTATAGTAGGGGTGCGATAACCATCATCGCCAGGAGTTCTCATGTGCCGGGGCGTCTGAAGCTCATCCATGGCGATTTCAGCCTAGCGGGGAATATGAGAGTCCAAGCGCGGCCAATCTCCCGTCTTTTGCCACTTTTGTTTGTGCGACCCGCCTTGAAAATATCATAGATGGAGGCGAATAATGACTATAACCGCAGAAAGTCAGATAACCGAGGAGGGCATCGCATGGGGGGCATAGGCCTAATTCAATGACATAGGGCAAAATGCGGAGCCGAGTAAGGCAGGATTTAATTCTGGGATCGACGGTCATTCAAGGTGGAGATGTGCTCTAGTCGAGTAGAGTAGCCCTATTTTGTAGAGATGACGCGGAGCTTGTGCTCTGGGCACCAGTGGACACAAAGTCCTTTTAAGAACCCCAGTCGAATGGACATGGCCATTGCGTGGGGCGGGTGGTCGCTCTATCGCCGGATTCGATTCGTCGAGCTTAGTTTTGCTCGGGAATCGGCACGTTCTTTTTACAATTTACGGTAATTGCACCCGATCATTCTGTGCCCATTAGTATTCGCTGATGGCCGGCGTTGAGAGAATGAGTGTACGGGTGTCGATAATCTATAGCACATCTAAGTCCAGATTGTAGATCATTGTACGTGATTGGCATGTTTCGCAATACAATCGTGCCTTGCAGCCCGCGGTTTGATAGAGCGGGGCGTGACGCCATCGGCCCATCAGGAATAGCCTAACACGGCCTGGAAGGAATGCTTGGCTGCTATGATTGACAGGCCTGGGTAAAGATGGCTACAGGATCAGTCGCAACCGCATATTCCATGTATCAATGTCCCATAAATTCCCGTCACTTAAAAGACGAGTGGACGGGTCGGCGGAGTCGTACATGGGTTTCCCCGCCTTCTTGACAGGTCCAGGGTTAAGCCACTACTTTATCCTAGAAACAAGATCCAACCGGAGACTTTTCCGATAAACGTCTCTAGAGAATGCTAATCCTGACTACATTGGATCTTGCTTCTTCACCCCAAAAGAGGGAACGATGGCCTAAAGAAGAACTAGGGCTTAGGGTTGCAGCCTGTGACGTGCCGAGGTATCTGGCGATTTGTTCGCGCGTGAACACGAGCATCAACGTTCGTCACTGTTATCCTTCTAGCTTGCATGCATCAACCATGCCAGGAGTCACGGATACTCGCAGATCTGTGCTGATCACAGGGTAAGGTCTGAATTGGCGCGAGATACTGCGGCCTCCGCTTAGTGCTGACGACCATAAGATGTACCCCTGGCGGAATTGGGAACTCTCTTGCGCGCGAGTTCCATCGAAGTAATCTACGAGTAATTGCCACTGCCCGGGATGCTGCGAACATTGCCGATCTCGCTGAGCTTGGCATTGAGACCCTGAGTCTGGTGGTTGATGACCTTGAGAGTGTCAAGGCGTGTTTTGCAGATGTCGAAGCCAGGCTTGGTGGCGAAGGTCTGGACTATCTGGTAAACAATGCGTAAGTACTTGGCTTTCATTCATTCAGTTTATTGACTATATATGGCTGACTTTGGATCTTCAGCGGCCGCAGTACGTCTACAACGTGGAGGATGATGAGTATATATTTCAGAAGCTGACTGATCATAGACTACACGGTGCCTGCCATGGAGGTTGAGATCTCGGAAGTGCGAAAGACATTCGAGACCAATTTGTTCGCCGTCATCACCATGTGCCAGACATTCCTGCCGTTGCTTATCAAAGCCCAGGGCACCATTGTCCAGATTGGATCTGTGGCTGGGGTGCGTCCAGATCATCTCTGTTCTTTCAATGGATCAAGGGTCCATTTGCTGATACTTGACAGATTATTCCATACGTGTTTGGTTCAGTGTACAATGCCTCCAAGGCTGCACTACACTCATTCAGTGACACCCTCCGAGTCGAGCTGGCTCCGTTCGGGTAGGTTTGATCCAAGCTGCGTGTAAATTCGGAATAACCTAACCTAGATAGGGTGCATGTGACTACGATTGTGACTGGAGGTGTGCAGTCTCGCATTGCGCGCACCCAGCGCACATTGCTGCCAAATTCCTTGTATGCTCCGATTGAGAGTGAGTACACGCGCCGCGTCACTCACAGCCAGCACAACGCAATGCCTCACGATGCCTATGCTCGCAGCGTAGTAGCTCAAGTCCTGTACGGCCCGGCACCGTGGCGCTGGTTGTGGCCGTGGGCCAAGGGTCGCAAGGCATGGATATGGGAAGGACACCGCAGCTGGCTGATTTGGTTCCTGGTGGGAGGCTGGGCCTGGAACGGACTGTTTCAACGGGCGATGACGAAGATGTTCAAGCTGTGGGAGATCAAGCGATCCAACTAGATACCTAGGTAGCTGTGAAGTAACAGAATGTCCAAAGAGAGAGTCGCGCACCCTGTAGGACCCGAGGTCCTGCTGAGTCAGCCAGGAACGGCCGCTGGTTGGCTGCAACACCCGGTTTTACCGCGAGGCAATGTCATCCCGAGAAAAAGAAAGCTGTTCTCCCGAACCCGACCTTTCCTATCTCCCTTGGGCTTTAGACCTACACTTCCTCTCTCAACCCCTCTCCTCTCTACACCTTCATTCATCATGTTCAAGCTCTCCCGCGGTCGCCCCATTGCCGCGGCTTTCAAGGCTGCGACGGTGAGTTCCTCACGATGCCGTACTCTCGGGCCGTACCCGTTTTTGTCGGTTTACTGATGCGACGAACACGATCCAGGGTCCCTCCGTCCAGTCTCGTCTGGCTATGCAGCAGAAGCGAAACCTCTCTATTCACGAGTACCTGTCCGCCCGTCTCCTCAAGAGCGTATGTGAATCGATTCGCGTCCCCGATCCCTGCCTCGGTCGCGAGGATTGTGTTTTTATATCTTTTGGATCGGACCCGGTCGCTGATAAAGAATACAGTATGGCATCGGTGTTCCCAAGGGCGAGGTCGCCCACTCTGGTGAGGAGGCTGAGGCTGTCGCCAAGACCATCGGTATGTTTTGACCCTGCCACAAGCCCCCTTCCGGGAGGTTCTAATAAAACATATATAGGTAACGACGATATGGTTATCAAGGCCCAGGTTCTCGCCGGTGGCCGTGGTAAGGGTCACTTCGACAACGGTCTCAAGGGTGGTGTTCGTGTTATCTACTCGTGAGTAGCATGGAATTTGGGTTGATTGCCGAAGATTGGATCTAACTTGCCGACGAACTAGTCCTACCGAGGCCAAGATGTTTGCCGACCAGATGATTGGCCACAAGCTCATCACCAAGCAGACTGGTGCCGCTGGCCGTGACTGCAACTCTGTCCTCATTTGCGAGCGCAAGTTCGCCCGCCGCGAGTTTTACCTCGCTATTCTGATGGACCGTGCTCTCCAGACCCCCATCATCGTCTCTTCCTCCCAGGGTGGTATGGACATTGAGGCTGTCGCCAAGGAGAACCCCGATGCTATCACCACTACCCCCATTGACATCAAGACCGGTGTCACCGATGAGATTGCCCGCACTATCGCCATCGACCTCGGCTTCTCCGAGCAGTGCATTGAGGAGGCCAAGACCACCATTCAGAACCTCTACAAGGTCTTCATGGAGCGTGATGCTACCCAGATCGAGATCAACCCCTTGTCCGAGACCTCCGACCACCAAGTTCTGGCTATGGACGCCAAGCTTGGCTTTGACGATAACGCCGAGTTCCGCCAGAAGGAAGTCTTCTCGTGGCGCGATCCCAGCCAGGAGGATGCTGATGAGGTCAAGGCTGCTGAGTACGGACACAACTTTCTTTGCAATCGCTAGGGCAATCTGAACTGACATTCGAATCTAGGCACGGCCTGAACTTCATCAAGCTGGACGGTGACATTGGCTGCCTGGGTAAGAACCTCGAACACTTGACAAACTAAGCATAGCTAATTCGGTAACAGTCAACGGCGCCGGTCTCGCCATGGCCACCATGGATATCATCAAGCTGAACGGCGGTAGCCCCGCCAACTTCCTCGACGTCGGCGGTGGTGCCACCCCCGCTGCCATCAAGAGCGCCTTCGAGCTGATCACTAGCGACCCCAAGGTGTCCGCCATCTTCGTGAACATTTTCGGTGGTATTGTCCGCTGCGATGCCATCGCCCAGGGTTTGATCAACGTTGTGCAAGAGATGGGTCTCCGCACTCCCATCGTCGCCCGCCTCCAGGGTACCAACATGGAGCAGGCCCACAAGCTGATCAACGAGTCCGGTCTCAAGATCTTCTCCATGGAGGACCTCCAGAACGCCGCCGAGAAGTCGGTTCAGTTCTCCAAGGTCGTCAAGATGGCCCGTGAGATCGATGTCGGCGTTGAGTTCACCCTGGACATCTAAGGATCTCTTATGGGGCATGCATTGGGCCTGTGATTTGCAGAGACATTCTAGAGAACATCTGTTATGCGGCGCCCGTTCCTGTGTCATTTAATTTCTTTTGTCACTGTATTCTTGATTGCTTCTATGACTTTATATCATTTCCTAATTGGAAGGGGAACTGAGTTGATCTTGAAATCGTTCGAGACGTAGATTAGAGGCACTGTTTTCAAATTTGATACTCCATCATTTCCTGGAGTGCTTTTGAGAAGGATTCGTTGAAGACCAGCGCTTTCTTGGGATCTGCTCGTAATTCCTTTTTATAGTGCTTTGGCCAAGGGTTTCACATGTTTCTTGAACAGTAATAACGACTTTCTTTATCATCCCGTGAGAATATTGATTGATACTCGTTGGAGTTGTCAAGATGCAGCGATCCTTCCAATATACAAGCTGCACATGGAGATTTATCACCTTGTTAAGGTTCTGGGAACTAGTGGAGTGTATGATTGACAGGAGCTTGGGAGCTTGAAGATCATCGCGTCATTGCGTCATTGTGCCAAAGTTCGTGATATATCAAAGCTCCCCCGAGCACCTATGGCACGAATTCAGCTTGAGAGATTAGAAATCAAACCTTCACAACTAAAATTGTATCCAAAAGATCAACTATGAGAGAAGAGGAGTGATCTAGAGAGGGCACAGTCGTAGACCTCGCAGTACCTAATATCTCCTTTCTGCCTGTGATATATTTTTGAATGACTCGAAACATCGTCAGAAGTGAAGGCAAGGTGAAGGCCCATCAAAAATTCAGTCCTCGGATACCTCTCACTTCTTGAACCAGCGAGACAGCCGAGCCACATATTTTCTTGGAACTGTTCCTCATTGCCTTTATCTCGACTCTCAATTTTATCTCTCACATCATTTCACCGGGAGGCTCATAGTCCATCATGGGAAGCTAAGTGCCGACGTCGCGTCCATGATCGTAACTCAGGAATTACTATCTCTCGATGACCAGCCTCCCACTGAAATCGAGGTTGCGAACACTCGACCTCAGATTCCCGAGGATATGCACGTGTGGCCTGGGGCGAGATGATATTGACCATCGCTGACAAGGAGAAATGGGCCCATACAGAGCACAACGAGTATCGCAGAAAGTGCGATATCTTGGGCAAGCTACCCTTGGAGCTCGTCCCTCTTGTCGCAAGGTCCTTGAGGCTTTCAGAACTCCTTCACCTTCAAAGGGTATGTATGCCACATGTTTTCATCACTTCGAGACTCCTCTGGGGAGACGAAACTTATGTCGATAGGTATCACGCCGCTGGAGCCAGGTTCTATCCCCGTGCGCGGTACGTTTGGATGCACTTCGAGCCACATTGGGGGGCTCCGTGTTGGCCTGGATCAATGGTTTGGATGATGCAGCAGCTGAGGCGACTCTCTTCTCTTTCATGAGGAGAAGAGTCCGGCTAGAGCGGGGAATCCCCGCGCGTAGCTATACTGCCGGGTACCTGCCAAGTTCGTTGGTGACTGGTATGAGCTATTCGAACGGTACATGTGCATGGATCGATTGGAGCGGCCAATCTAGCCACCGAAATATCATTAAACTCTTGGACCTGGAGTCTGGTATGATAACGCAGCTGACCACAGGAGGAAACGGAACCGAGACCCATCTGGCGATCCTTCATCTCACCGATACGCTTATTGCAGCTACCGCGGAGGATGGGCCTTGCTATGTTTGGGGTCGCAGCAGCTATGAGCACAAGTCGTTTCAAATCCCGAGGCACGACCTTCCCGTCCACGTTGTGATCAATGGAACAAAGGTCATAGTCACTTGGATTCATCTTTCGGGTCTTACCCAACCACATAAAGGTGTTCACTGGTGCTTTGATTCAGGTGTTTGCGCGGCCCTTTGACATTGAAGGTAGTTTAGATCTGGTGGTGCTGCATCCCCAGGAAGATCAGTTTACCCTTGTTAGTTTCTCTTTCGACCCTTTGGCAGAGCTGCAACGACGCGTTATCTCTCTGCACGCCCGGCAGTTTGCCCTCGACAGCACGAAAAGATTCCATTGTTTTTACTCACGGGACGATCCTCTTCCCGCTGAGTTAGTCGGCAGACTCTGGGTTGAGAGGTGGATGGGGACGCCTCCGACATGTCCTGGCCAAGCTAGCGCTTTCTGGATCCGGCAGAGGGGCATCTTTGACATCCTGTATCTCTCCTATAAGCCAGAGACCGACCAAGTTATCGTCAACACGTTGTCGAGCCCTGACGCCTTTCAATTCACTTAATCTACCATTGTCCACGTTGATAAGGGTGTGGTCTATGGTGTAAGCATGGACTACGGTAAGATTTTGATTCTGGGCACTGAGACGAGGAGCGATCCGCATCCCTCTGAGCCCGTGGTGTGGCATTATCATCCCATAAGATATCAACAGACCCTCAAAGAATGCCGCTGGATGTCTGGAGATCAGCGTTTCGTAGTGTATGCCCGCCATCGTCAACTGAAGGTGATGGTCTTTGAAGATTCCTTCCTAAAGCATCCTGCCCCTCCAAGCTAGATCGTATTATGAGCAGCAATTGAAATGTGGTTCTAGAGACTCTCAAACAAATCGTCTGAGTGTCATTCTAGATTGACCCGAAAAGAGGTCCTAGCAGACCCGTCATCGACGATCTTGCGAGAGATCTGGATCAATGTCTGAATAGAGATCTTAACAATCGCAAGTGTACAGTGTGTCCCCGAAGAATCGATAATCGGGATAGACAGAGCAAAGGAGTTGCTCCGGGAATGATGGAGGGCAAAGATCGGGAAGCTAGCTTAGAGCTATCGGGACCGGGACAGAAATAGTGCGGTTTCTGCAACGAGCTCGGGAAGTAAAGTTCGAGTGAGATGTGTGGAGCTGCTTCTCATCCCTCTTCACCAACGGGCCCCTTTTTCCTTCTCCGTCCCGATCTGCTCTCGATATCTCAGCCTCATCTTGTGTGCAACTTTTCTTCGACCTACCCGTTGAGCTTCCCAGAAGCCGACCTGGCGCCTTTCCGCCCGCGCCCCCCTTCCCCGCAGCTTCAACCTCCATCCCTGGACCTCAATTCGTTGGCGCAATGACTGACTTGATGTGCATGCTTGGGTGTTGATCTGCGGGCTCCGCGAGACTCCCTTCTTTTGCACGTTCTCCCCGCACACGAGCGCCCAACCTTAGCGCATCCGATTTGCATCCTCTCCCGACGCCCTCGGCGCGACAGACGGCGATACGCATTGGCGCTCATCGCAGTTTCACATAGCTTCGCCCCCTACCATCCATTTCGCGCGACATGAGTGGTCTAGTCGATCCTCCATCCTCAAGGCACACCTTCACTGGAGCTCCAGACGCTCGCGGTAAGACACGGAATCTCCCGGTCCTTCCATCTTCTGCGCACCACTCCGCCGGCGCAATGGAGATCACCACTCCTTCTTCCGGGCCAACAGGCATAGTGGCCGTTCACAGTAGCCCCGATGGCGACCGGGGGATCAACACCAATGGCCCCGAAGCCGGAAACACGAGCAATCCCCCCAACCCGGCCGTTGGGGCCGCAGCGGCGGCTCAGCAACCCAAGGTGGTACAGACGGCCTTTATCCACAAGCTATACAAGTATGCTCCGGGTCTCCTGGTCCTTAGAACTATTCGAGGCAGCCGCTAACCTTGCAAAAAGCATGCTTGAAGATGGTAGCATCCAACACCTCATCTCTTGGTCAAGCACCAATGACAGCTTTGTCATGTCTCCAACCTCGGAGTTCTCTAAAGTCTTAGCGTCAGTCTCAATTGTTTGCTATTGATATTATCTGGTTGCTGACGCCCTCAAAGCACATACTTCAAGCACACCAACATCTCGTCGTTCGTCCGACAACTGAACATGTACGGATTTCACAAAGGTGCGTTCGCCTAGCCCGATTATACTAGATAGCTGTTAATTGGATATTGACAGTGAGTGATGTATTTCACACGGGATCTCCGGACTCTGCATTGTGGGAGTTTAAACATGGGAATGGCAACTTCAAACGAGGCGATTTGGTTGGTCTCCGCGAGATCAAACGACGTGCATCGCGACATGCCTTGATTCATCGTGACTCATTCCCTGGTCACAAAGCTGCTCCTTCACAGCCGGGTACCCCGGCGGAACCCGTTCCTGATGCCACTGAAGCTCGACTCATGAACCTTGAACACACCCTATATGATATGCACAATCGGTTGGCTCGTGCAGAAGAAGGCAATGTTGCGCTTAGTTCTCGATGCCAGAGCATGGCTGAGGGCCTTGTAAAATGCTATCACGTATGTCAAGACTTGCTTTGCATCTGATCAAGTTGTCACTAAATCATTCATTAGTGGACTCATTCCATTTCTCGCTTCCTCTCCGCAGTTGTCCCTGACAGGGAATCTCCTCTATACCGTGACAGTATGGAAGCCCCCGTCTTGCTACTGACGAAAGTGATCACTAATATCCGCTTTAGTTTCGAGCATGCAAAGGGAGGTCGAGAAGCACCTGGAAGCGGTTCGCGCCATGGAAAATGCCTCTGACACTCTTATGCCACCCCGCCAACCATTTTTTGGGAACCTGCCAGGGGAGGGTGGACCACCATTGTCTCCTCGTCAATTACCCCAAGATGATAGCCGACGGCCGTCCATGATGGACCCCTCTCGAACGAACATGATTCGGCCTCCTGTACCGCCGCATCTAGCGTCGCCACGTCGCTATGGTTCCATCGGAGGCGCGAATGCGCCACCTAATTATAATCGACCCCCAGCTCCTCCAGTTGCACCGCAACGGCCAACACCCCATCCTCTATCAGTCTCCACGCCCCCAGGGCCTAATCTTGGCCGTCGTCATACCTTTGCCGACATTCGGCAAGCCGACTGGCCTCCATCTGGAACCTCTCCCTTTCCCCCTGAAAACACCGGAAATGGTCCATGGCCCCCATCGCCGAACCGGGCGCCGGCTTCTAGTGACCAGCAAGTCCGGGATGTTCTCGCCCAGTACGAGATGGGTGCCCCACGACGTCTTCAGGACCAATCTCGTCACGCAACCCCACCAGCCGGCGCCGAGCCATCCCCCTCGATGCTCAGCGCAGACAATGGCTGGACGCTCGGAGGGTCCAGGTATCATCGTCAAGAATCATCCCTTCCAGCCACCCGCCGCTCTAGCATGGCCAGCAATGTCCACTCACTGCTAAATCCCGCTGATACTGCCGAACGACCCGATGAAGAACAGCAAGAGGATCGCAAGCGGAAGCGCCTGGAGTAAGGATCATGACACTAAGAATTGAAAATACGGCGACAGTGCCATGGCACTGCCGCCTCATCTCTATACCATGTTAGGCTCCGCTTGATCTTTAAGCCTGGCCATACAACCAACAGATTCCCAGATCTAGCTTCCGGCTCTTGGACAGAGCCTGTATACTTGAATTAAAATCGCCAAGGCTACTTTCTCCCTTGTTCGGAGGATATTGACTGCGAATTGTTTTTTTTTGAGTCTGTAGATGTCCATGTTATCTGTCCTCTGTTTCTTTTTCCTTGGCTTTTCCCGGCTGAGCACGCTGTCGGTGCTGAGGGAGAAGTCTCTGGGTGATATTCTCAGCAGCGTCTCTGGCAGCATCTTTAGCCGCATCTTATATACCCTGGGTTGACAGAACCGAAAAAAAAACATTGTGGCATCTAGAAGAGATTGGAAAGGAAGTTGTATTCTATACCTGCGCCAGTTTAATGCAATTGAGGAGATTATATGCAATTGTCATGTATCATGTCTGAGTATTTGTACAACACACTGATCGGTGTGCTCTCATATAAAAATGAGTGACAGCCAGAGCCGTTTTTCTGACCCTTCGTCCTGCGTAGCCCTGGGCTTGCCTGGACCGATTCAGGCCCCCTGAGATCCGACCAGTATTGGGGTGGTGATAGTTCTCCAGAAAAGAACGGAGGTCCAAGGAATAGAGAGATGTTTATGCTGGGAAGATACGATCACCTCTTCTTTCTCTTCTTGGATCGTTCCGCCAGTAATTCATCTAAATAACTCGTTGCCTTTCTCCTCCCCTTTGACGGAGCCTTTGAAGGCACCTCCTGAGCAGGCACTGACTCATCACCATCTGCCTTGTCGTTATGCTCATGATCAACCACAAGTGGCTTCTTGGTTTGAGATGTTCTGGCTTTTCTCTTCTTTCCCACCATGGCTGCACGCCCTTCCTCCTCGTCATCGGATTCTTCGTGAGCTGGTGTAGCGGACAATGTCTTCGCAGATGCAGGCCCAGCATTCTGTGTCGCAGGTTTATTTGCTGCTGCAGCCTTCATAATCTTATCATAATTCCTTCCAAGCAATTGTTTCCGTAGTTTATCGTTGGAGCTGAGCTCGGTTCGTTTCCAGCTTCCGTCGGCAGCTTTTTCAGGGAGGGGGGCGCCGACGCCGAGTCTATAGCATGTCAGGACCAAGGCAAAACAAGAGAGGGAGTGTTCGACTTACGTCTCTGGCACCGCAGTGAAGATTTCATCTTCTTCGCGCTGCAATTCTTCCTCAGACTTGACGTGGGACAGTTCGTCGTCGGTCTGCGCGGGCAGCCATGATGAGACGAGCCGCTGGCTGCGCGCAAGCGCGACGTTTGCGCGATTGAGAATCACGTCCGACTCAGCCTTTGATGCAGCCATGCTTTTGGAAAGCGAGTTGAGAAAGAGCAAAAAGCGATGCGCAACATTTTTTGCGATAAGCGTATCGAAGGCGGTGAGAGCTACGATAAAGAGCAGGCGCGCATCTACACATCTACACATCTGCTCTGGTGGACTGCACAAGCATGGACATCGAGGTGCATAAAACCTTGGAGCGATTCCGTGCCCTTCGAAACTCGAATCGTCGAGAACTGTACGTATTTCCGTCCTTTTATGGGCAGCGCTGACTATCTAGCTACCATGGACTGCTAGACCAACTACGTCGAGATGAATGGCGAGAGGTTAAAGCACGTGCCGATGAAGTATCTTTCAATTGCGACATATTGGGTAGTTCACCGCTTGAGATTGTTTCATTGGTGGCTGCCCATATGAACTTGGCTGATCTGGTCGTGCTCCAACGGGCAAGTATATCGCCATTTCCACATAACATCAGTGGGCTAAATCTCCCCAGGTATCACGAAGATGGAAGGAGATTCTATCTTCTCCTACAGTACAATCTTCTGCCATTCAATCGGTCATGGGACACAAGTCAACAACCCAGCTTGATGACGATGCGTCTCCTGCCCAGCTTATCAGGAAAAGAGTTCGCATGGAACGAGGTCAGCCCACGTCAAAATTTAAATTACGCTCGCCTTTCTCAAAGGAACACGATGTGTGGATGGTATCAGGTGGTGTTGGATACTATAATGATACCTATGCATGGCTGGAGGGCGCACTGGGTCGAACGTCTATCTCACTTCTGAATCTTCGGACTGGAGTGAGGAATCAGCTAACGACAGAAAATCGCGAGAAATTGTCGGAGCTGAACATCTCAAAGAAAGTCATTGCGGCTATCTCAATTCGAGGGTATTCAATGCATATTGCAACTCGTGTCTCTTTTATAATCCTAACTAAGCGCTGATAGGTATTGCCATGTTTGGGATCTCGAGACCCTGGCACACAAGGCTTTTCGACTGCCATCACGTTCCTACACACATTTTTTGATAACCGGAATCCAAATTGTGATTGCTTTCCAAGATCACATTGTCCACTGGGACTTTGATTCTGAAGCAGCTCGCACACTCAAAGTCGACTCTAGCGTCGCCTTGTTGGCAATGGGTCCTGCCAAAGATGAGCTAACAGTTGCTTCACTGATCGACAGCTCTGGGGACATTTCTAATTATCCCCCTTGGCGACATTCTTGTGACAGTCGACTTCAGCTGCGCATCAAAAGATATGTCGTTGGCACTTCCAACAATTTCCATCTCCTGCATACTCAATGCCAACGCCTTCCTTTTGAAGCCCCCTTCGAGTGGACATGGTCCCCTAGTGAGGCATTCGAGCACATAGGTCGTGACCAGAGCAGCGTTGTGTTTCATAGATGTCCAATCGCAGAGGAACACGACGATACGCCTCTTACCGGACTCGATCAACAGGAATATAAAGTCAACTTTTCATTCAATACGACCAGGGACCACGTTGACGTGCACGTGGCCCCTGCTGGCGCAGCTTACATTGATCAGGATCTGATCTATACATTCGGAAAGATGGACCCCTCGCGTATACAAATTTGCACTGCAATATCCAAGAGGACCCTGCAGTATTACCCAGTCCGACGCAAGATACCAGGTATGAACTACCAATGGATTCATGGAGATCAAAGCTTTGTGGTCTTCGTTGGCATGGAGGATGTCGAGATATGGAGCTTTGATGAGAACTGTCAACCCGCTGAGATACAAGGGGCTTATTGAGAGTAATACAATGATGTATGCAGATAGTCTATTACATAATGTACAAAGTTTTCGAATGTGAAGAATCTATTTCGTAAGATCTTCATCTGGAACGGTTGTTTCCCATCGAGCTGAGAGTTTCTCAAGCGGGAAAATGCGGTGCAGGTCGCGACTCAAGACCTCAGTGACAGAGTGTATCAAGGCAGTGTATAGATCGTCGGTCAGTTTCGTGATGAGTTTATCCTTTTCTTTATCGGCCGCAGACAAGTGGCGCTTATGCACCAATAACGTGTAGTAAGCGCGTAAGGCCTGTAGTTGAGTACAATGTTAGTAGTGGAACACAAACGACCTTCAAGTGATGAAGACTTACCGCGGAAAATGCATGGCGGAAGTGAACGACACGCTGGGACACAACTGCTGGTATATCATCCATATCCTTCATGATGAAATTTATTGGCATGAAGTCCTCCACAAGAAGGTCGTCGTCCTTAGGCTCTTCCCACTGGTTTTGGGTCTTCCCTCCGAAGAGACTTGCGGCCAGAGGACTGACGAGGGAAAGGTCGGACATGAGCATCTGACCATGGGAAACTTGCGTCTTTTTGCCGTACACAGCCACAGACCCGGAGCGGTTTCCATCGCAGCTAGGGCTCACGCCATACACAATTGGCTTTCTGTTCTCCGTGTGAGTCTGATATTCGTGAGCATTGCCGTTCTTGTAGGTCTTGGGGAATGCGATTCGCGGAGACAGGCAATGTAGTAGCAAGGTTTTGATCAGAAGAGTGTTTTCCGAGTTGACGTTGAGCTCCGCGCCGCCGAACTGATCATCCTTGTCGTCGGCTTTGATTTGGATCCCCATCCGACCCAGCCGGTCAAGGACAATCTCAGCCGCCTCTTGACTGGCACAGAAATTGTTGAAATGAATGAAATTCAAAAAGGCGAAATCAGATGCTGCTAATTTGCCATTCTCCTTCCATACTTTCCGCGTAGCTTTGAAAGCATTGATCGATCCAATCTGGTCGCTGGATGATTTGTTGGCAAAGGCATAACGAATATTTCGGAGCGCAATCTGTTGCTCCTCAAGCTTAGGCCGTTGAAACAGACCCCCATCGACACCGATAACCCCTAAGATCAGCAAAGGATCCAGGCAGCGGAAGATAGCGCCAAGGATTACCAATTTGCCAAGGACGGGATGAAGAGGTAACTGGACGAGGAGTTCGCCGAGGGGCGCAATCTCCTCGTTCTGCTGTAGTGCACCCAAGTGGTCCAGAGACTCCACGGCTAGGTCGACATTGTCTCTGTGTGGCGACTCACTGGCTTCATCCAAAATGTCCGAAATGGATAATTGTGGGACCATGTGCTTTCCACGTAGGCAAATGTCTTGAAGATCGGTACGCACAATCTCTGGAGTATTGGTGACTCGGAGAGAATCAAAACAACGCTGAGTGCCAAGGAAGAAATACTGCCCGTTCTTGACTCGACCGGCTCGACCTGCCCGTTGAGAGGAGCTAGACCGACTGATCCAATTCAGGGCCATCCGGTTGGAAAGCGACTTGTGACTGGAAAACAATTGATTCACTCTTCCAGCGTCAATCACGTACTCAACGTCCGGGAGCGTCAGAGAGGCCTCAGAAATGTCCGTTGACAGCAGGATCCTCCGGCATCCGCCGGGCACTTTGAGGCTTACTTTTGCAAGTTCCTCTGGGAGTTCGGAGTGCAACTTCAGGATGCGAAACAGTTTTTCGTTTTGAAGGTCGAGTTCCATGCTACCTGCGGAACCATGAAGCATGCGCTCTACACCGAGAATGTGAGCCATGCCCGGGAGGAAGACCAGAATGGCACCGCTTTCGGTGGTTTTCAGGATGTTGAGAATAGTCGCACAAATCAAACCAATGGGAATAGTCGGATCTTCACCGGGAGTCCTCACGACAACCGAGTCGGGAGAAGATTCGAGAGAGGCCTCTTTGCTCCGGTCCTCCATGTTGGCGCCCATGTTGGCGCCAGGAACTTCCAGATCAGCCTCTTGAGAATCCTGGGCAACAGATGAAGGGTAATGTTTGTATTGATCCTCGATGAAAGTCACGGTCTCTCGTTCTTCCAACAAAGCTGACAAGGGTTTTGAATCAGGTGAAGTCTTCAAAACCTCAAGCAACTCGTCAAGGTAATGCCTCTTCACAAAATATTGGCGCCCGGGAATGGAAATGTGTGGAGCAGGAAGAAGTGTTCCATTGGGCCCTTCATTGAGGAAATAGGATGAGAAAAGATCAACGTCCAGCGTTGCACTCATCACAACAATCTTGGGCACAGGGGCTCCAATCTCCCGTAATTGATTGATGCGGCGCTTCAGAAGTAGCATCACGAAATCAATCCCAACATCGCGAACATGGACCTCATCGAGCAAGATGTGGGAGTACAAGCTGATAGGACCGTTGGGATTTTGCAACATGTTCAACATTATACCCGTAGTGCAATAGGTGATAGCACCGCTCTTGGCTGGCATCTGATGGTCGAATCGGACCATATGACCAACGATTGTGCCTGTTTTGTCATGTCTTTCCTCGGCAACTCGTCGTGCAAGCATTTGGGCTGCTACCCGCCTCGGTTGAACGCAGATAACATTGCAAAGTCCTCCCTTTCCCTTGTCAGTTGCATCATCTAAGATGATTTGAGGAACCTGGGTTGATTTTCCAGAACCAGTCTCAGCAACAATAATGCTGTACGTGTGATCATTGACGAGTTTCAGGATGTCTTGTTTGAGCTTGTTCACTGGCAAGCCAGCCTTGACCGATCGAATGGCAAGTGTATGCTTGTCGTTGGACTTGCGAATGGATTCCAGTAAATCTGTCAAGGCTTTGGACCTCTTCTCACGATATGAATCTGACACCTTGACTCTCTTATCCTTCGAAGGCGAAATATTCGGGCTCTCCCCCCAAATACTTTGAAAACGGCCTTTCTTGCCGAGTCAAGCTTCTTCTGCGAATGTCTGATGTGAAAAAGAAGGTCTTCATTCATGCGGATGTCAATTCGAGGTTCAGCGTTGGGCGGACAAAGCCTTTCCCAAAGTCCAGTTTCCTTGAGCTTTACAATAAGGAGATTGAAAGCATTCCTCTCTGCCTCTTCCTGGTGGTCACTCTGTTAGAATATGCATTGCATTGAATTATAAGAACATACCTTTGTCGGCGCTGAGCACGTCACTGCCACTTTCTCCTGGCCCTTCATGTGAAGGACAGCACGGCAGGTCTCCTCGCCGAATAGTTGGGCCAATTCGGAGAATTTGAACTCCAACCATAGATTGCGCGACTGCCGACACACGTGTTGGAGGAACCTCATTTCCTTCTTCTTGACTTTTTGCTCAGGTTCAAACAAGTCTTCGTCTGTCCCCGGATATGCATCTTCTAATATGGCCTCTAGAGGTTGGTCAGACTCCACGGTGGCAGTCTGAGATCTCGACACAGACGTAGTGACAAGCCCCCCGAGCGCCGGATGAGTGTATCGCAGAGGACAGAAAATGGCCTGCTGCAGACGGCCACAGTTCTCGCGCGGGTTTGGTTCTAACGCCCCTTCCATTGTGTATCTTCCGATCTATCGAGTTCCAAGTTGGGGAGATGGTCCGGCAGTTGGCGTGTATCGCTCGTCTAAATGGCGAGAAGTGTCTAAATAGACGGGTAATGGACTGGGGTAGGTCGACGGAGCGATCATTTTGAGGGGAAGGGCGGATTCGTTTGATAGAGCGCATACAGTTGTATGCGCTCATACTCGTCGACATTTTGGGATAGGAGTTTCACTAGAGTCCGAAATCACGGGCCGTACATTGTGGAAAAAGTCTCTGAACGGGCTTCAGAGATGTGATCGAGCGAAGGAGTATGGCATCCATGCGATTCCAAGCGCCGGTGTAACGCAAGCGCGAGAGTTGTCTTGTGGAGGAAAAAAGTTGGAACCCGCGATTGAGGCGAACGGGCTTGGCATCGCCGTAATCGCCGTCGGGTATGCTTGAACTATGAGATACCGAACATTTGGAGTGATAATATCATCGTGGCTCCAGTACCGATCCAATCATGACTTTACTGAGAAGCTCGAGGAGTCCACTTGTAAATATGATTGCAATCATTTATTGCGTCGTGGTCATGTTCTATGTACACTTTATCTATATATCTGCTATCTTTGGCACGACATCCACAAATCTTCTCTGAAAGCGCGCCCCCCCCCCCCCCCAATATATGGCATAGGGTTTAAAATTCCAGAGCCTGAACAAGAAACAATATTCACAATATCAGGTCGAAGCTTCTTTCTGGTGTTTTATCCGCAATTTCTTCTCCGTCTTCATGAATTCTCGAATGCCCACTGGGATACTGGAAAACAATTCGTCATCTTGACTCGGTGCAGACCAATTGGAAGCACTCCCTCCCCCATCGTCATCCATACTCTGGCTTGCCGAATCAACTTCTGCTCGGGGCGCAGTGTGCATGTCCGTTGTTCCCTTCTCAGGCCCTCCCTTGGCCTTGGCCTTACTGAGTCGTGCAGCCCAATCCTCCATCTCATCTCTAAAGTCATCCCACACGCAGTGGACGCAACCACTCATACAACAATTGTCGGGTTCGTCGGGACGGGGCGGTATGGGCACTCCATTGATGGTCCTCCACAGATGCTCTGGCGGTGTCTCTCCAGGATTGTAGCGTGATTGGCGCCCTGGACCTGCAAGACGTGTGCCAAACACAATTGCCATTCTGTCTCGGGGTGTATCCGCTTCGCTCGGCGACGCGGGTAGCGACTTATCCTCGGGCTTGATGGTGGTCAATCGTTCGGAAGCGGCGCGGCCTTCATAAGGAGAGCGACCATTTAAAACCAGCTTGTAGTATCCAGACAAGGGATGCGCCTGGGTGTGCTTGAGTTTTGTACTGGTTTTGGTGTCGGTTCCCTCCGAGGATTCATGCGTATCATGGGCGTCACCTCGGTCATTGGCGCCCATGCGCCGAGGAGTCGGAATCAAAGCATATTGTCGATGCGGAGAAGAGTAAGACAGTAAGCGATGTGAGATAGGTGAAGAACAGGCTTTCGCCCTTTGAAGCGAGTGTCTGCCCGCCGCAAGACACTCCATCGTGTGTGGAAGAAAGAGGATCCCTCGGCGTCGGAATTGAGGTCATAGGTGCAAACACTGCAAACGCCGTTGTTTATCGTTTCCCGGTGTGCGCGAGTCGAGAATAAGCCCGTAAATATAATTGATCGCAAGTATGGACTCGCCGCCAAAACGCAGGAAGACTGGCGAGAAGACTGGCCTCGCTGTTAGTGCGTCGCAGTCGCTTGCGACTCGCGAAGGGACGCGTTCTTCAAATCGTCCATCGTTTCAATCACCAACAAGATCAAGCCTAGCCAGATCATACCCCGAAGTTCTCGAACGCGCACTCAGCAGATCTCCTCCTCAGCGACCAACAAGTAGCGGAAGTCAACGGGGTCGGTCAGAGCAGCCGGACCCAAAGGCTGTCGGACTTCGCGACCGCAAAGCTCTTCGACCTTCACTAGGTCCTTCAAGCCCACTCAAAGCGCCTCGAGCTTCTGTTGCTGCGCCCACGCTGTCTCCCAGCAGACGCGCAAGTGGAATTGAGGCATTTTCGAAGCCTGCTCGCCGACTGTCCAAAAAGATACTTCCTGGGGACTTCACATTTGGGTCCCCAGTCAGAAGAGAGTTGCCGCCACCGGAGCAGGATACGCCCGAGAGCCAATTGGCGCGAGAATTGGGCAGCGCGACAAACGAACGAGAGGTTGAAGAAGAGACGGGCATCGATATAGGCAATGCTTTTGATGACGAGGACCCTCTCGAACCTGAACTTCCCCCGACCCCGACACAGCTAGGCCTCGAGAAGGCACCCGACAGACCGATGGGGCCATTGAGCAGCAGTCCTACTACCAGACATGAGAAAAGGAAGAAGCGACGGACGGTCGAGCATTTCCACTCAAGTCCTTTGAAGTCATTGAAATTTCAAAATCCTAGCACTGAGGAGAGCACCGATGACGATAGTATTGCCCCAGACGAACTGACACCGGCGATTCTCGAGAAGCAGAAGCTGCGCAAGAGTCTTGCCGCGCAACTCAGGAGCCTCAAGGATGACGTGAAGGAATTGATCAAGTGGACTGGGAAGGTCGAATCTGACGCGAATCTGATGGGCAACACCAAGGAGCTCGGCAAATTCCTGGCCCTTCTCGCCGAGGAGTCCTCGCATATCAATCTTCCAGCACCGAAACAAACTCCAGTTCCTGTGTCATCCCTTCTCTCGACATTACTTCCATTCGCTGCCAATATCCCCCGCCAGACCCGTGAAATCTCGCCTTTACCGACCAATCCATTTGCGTTAAAGGAATCTTCGCAGTCGCCGCCATACCTCACAGCCTTCGCTCCATTAGCTCTTCGAGCCCACACAACTTGCACATCGTCCGAAACGACCGGCTTCACCGAGACTCATACACTATCATTCACAGCCCCATCTCCCTTCCCATCATCTTTGTTTAACGTTTCCGTCGTATACGAAACCCACCCGGAGACACATTCCCTGACATCCTTGTCCGTGCCAACAGGCAATGAGAGCAAGAAGCGCAAAGTCCCCGAGTGTCTGCGTCAATGGATTGATTCTCGACTAGCCAATCCACTTCTCAAACTCGACGTGGCAACGCTATGCTGGGGCATCAACAGGTACTGGGAAGCATCAGTATCTCGCGCCCAATTATGGGCCCAGATCGAGCATAAGCATGGCACAGAAATATCAGCCCGCGGACGGAAAGACCTAGGTGAACCCCAAGATGGAGTCATCACGGCTTCTGAACTCCGACGACTAGCCCCTCACCTCGAGCGCAGCACCATGGTCATCAAGTCCAAATCCTCCGACGTCGGTACCCATGTACTTCTCTCAAACACATTGGTCATGGATGATTGGACCGGCGAGCCTCAGCTACGACCAGAGCTCAGTGTCTCAGTTTCAGATGGCAACGGCGGGTCTAGTAAAAGGATCAATAATGAGGCTAAGAAATTGTTCCATGGACTGTTACATCAGGGGGGGTGTTAGCAGTACGAAAGGCGTGACGGGTACTGTGCATATCAATACTATTTTACGGGCCACTAATGGGGCGCTTGGTGCTTTGTTCGGAGTTTGATGTCTTGTTTTTCCTCTTAGCGTTGGCGCAAGGGTGTGGATATGCAGTAATTTTATGATACCAAGCAGTATGATGAAATTTAGGATCCGCGTTAGATGTTTTAAAAATTTGCCTGTCGTTCTTGGCCAGTCGGAGATACCCTTTGAGGAAGCATTTGAGCTCAGGAGCACTTGTACGATGGAGCGCTACATATAAGTGGCAGACATATATCTAGGCGATAAAGACTACGCATAATCATTAAAGAGTATCCTCAATACAACTACGGATGACCCGAAGCAGACTGGAACATTGAAATCTTTTTGTTGTCATTCATGAGGCAAATGAAGCTCTCTAATGAGCGACAAGCATGGGTCTCTCCAGCCTCTCAGACCAAGGTTCCAAACCTCCTCAACCCTAGATCCTCCATGAGAAAAAGACCGGCCTTTTTGGGCCGATACCAACCCTTACAAACACCGAACAACGAAACAGCGAATGAAAACTTGAGAAAATTGGGCGGTTTTGCATTTCAGAGGATCTTCCAGTTCTTTTTTAGAGACAAAGGGGGCAAAGGGTAAAGGAGGGGGAAGAGAGGGAATCAGTTTGAGAGAAAAGGAAGAGGCGCAACGCCATGCCACAGTACACTCATCCCCGACCCGAAAACCGACCCGATCATCATCATCAGCAGCGGAAAATTAACACATTTATTTCTTGGCAGCGGACTCCTCGTCGGCCTTGGCCTTGGCACGCTTCTCGCGCTGGCCACGGTTGCGGGCGTCGGCGCGGGCGTCACGCAGCTGGCGGTAGACGGAACCCTCGACCTTGGGCATGGAGTCACGCTTGACCTCAGTGACGGCGTTGCCGGCGGAGAGGTTGTCGATGGGGAAAGTGGCCTCGACACGGGTGGCGAAGCCCTCAGTCTTGCCCTCGGCGAGGGAAGCCTTGACGGCCTTGACGTCCTCAGCGGAGGAGTCGAGCTTCTTGAACTGACCGCTCTTGCGGGGAAGAGGATCAGGCGGGCCTTGTAGTCCTGAAGACGGGCAACGTTGGCAACCAGGGACTCCTTGGAGTAGTTGGTACGGCGGTGGTCGACGGAGATACCAACGGTGGGAGCGAGCTTCTTGGGATGCCGGCCTCCTGTAGTTCAAAAAACATAGTACATCAGCAGATGTTCTCCCACACAAAGATTTCAGTCGAATTTACCTTGAGCTCAGCCAGGGTGAAACCACGACCAGCACGAACACGGCGGTTGTACTTGTTGGTGGGGCAGCGCACAACAGGACGCAGCTTGTCGACGGGACGGGGAGCGACGGCAGCGGCCTTGGCGATACGGTTCTCACGTCTGCGGTGCTTACGACCGGGCTAGATGGGCGCATGTTAGTCCACCAAATTCGGTTATGAAAATTTTCTCCTCAAAAAAGCCGGTCGTTTGTAATATCGATTGGCGAGAGGGGAAACCCATCAGGGGAGTAATCGAAGTCGTACCTGGTCGAAGTGCACGCGGACGCGCTTCTGCCAATCCTTGCGGAAGTCTGCAAAAATGAATTAGCATATTGAAAAGTCACTATTTTGCGAATCCATTCGTCGTTGACAAGGTTCAAGCGAGCGCAGGGATCGTGGTCGTCAGGGTCACTCACGGTTCTTCTGGATCTGGTTGTTGTGCGCGACCTATAATCCCACAGAGAAGTCCATCAGCCAACATTGTTCCACGTCCAGCACAAAGATGCCGCAAAGATTATCGTCCAAGCATTCAGAATATCAGGCCAGTCCATCTTCGCAGCACAGAAATCGAGGGGTACGCACCATGGTGACGGTTGGGGTCGAGCCGGGTGGTGGTCGTCGGAGGGTTGCTGGTCAAATCTCCCTTCACGGCAGAAACTGAAGTTGCTATTTTTCGTGTGGCACCCGGTCCCCACTCACCGCCTCGCTTAGCGAGCCCTAACCTGCCTCGCTGACTCAGCTCACATTTCACCACGTGACAGACCCGATGTAGACTAGTCCAAATGAAGCTGGACCAAAGTAGATTAGTGTGAATATTGACAAAATTGCGTAGTGAATGCGTATGACCGACCTGCTGCGGTCGGATCGATCATGAGAGTCTACCAGATGAAAGAATGAATTAATGGTGATGGTTTGAATTTCATTCCTACTTTACAGCCGCTCTGGGTATGCATTTGCAAATTCCCATTGTGTCCGAGCCCTAAGGCCTTCCCGGCTGCTGATGCAACTCGATCCGAATCGAGTCTATCAAGGCAGCCTATGTTGCAAAGTTCCGATTGTAAACGCCGTCCCAGTGGATGATACCCTTGAATATGAGAGGTACCACCAAGTCCCAGAAAAAAGAAACACGCAGAAACAAACGAAATTCAGTCGCTATTTAACAGAGGTGCCATAATCATTCATCAGTCGTAATTTGGAGGCAAGTCGTAGCAAGTAAGCCGATGGGGCAGCAGCGTTAGGTCATCAATCATATGCAGATGCAAAGGGCAAGTTAAGAGTGGATTCCGAGACCCACTGCGCCCTTTCTGGATCTCTTGACGGTGCCATCTTCTTCGGAGCTGGCCTTGCGCTTGTGTGCTTGAGGCCGTGACACACCGGGCTTCTTTACTTGACCAAATAGCTTCGTCTGAAGCAAAGTGCTCGTTCTGGGGGCGGTTGTCCGCATCTGAGGGTGTCGCATTTCCTCATCTGCCTCTTCGCCCGACAGAGAGACAGTGCTATCACTATCGTACTGATTGTTTTGAGCAGGTGTCATGAACGAACGCTCCTGACGAGCAGAGCGAGGGTGGCTTGGAGTGACAGGAACTGAAGAGGGAGGACCATATGTACCCTGAGGCTCAGGGATGTTATTCGTGAACTTGTCTGCGAAAAGGAGGGCAGCAAGTCCGTCGGTGTGTTCGCCACGGCAAATAGTGTGCAGCTCGTTCTGCATGCCAGGCGACAAGCAGCCGTAGCTATAGATTTGGGAGAAGTGTCGACGGTTTTCCTCGATTCGCTTCTTTAACATGTTGTTCTGATCGGTGAGTTCCGCAGTCTGTGCAGCGGCATCATCGATCGCGCGCTTGGCATTCCGCAGTCGTCGATCCAAGACGGCGTTCACATTCTCCAAATCTTGCGACCGCTGCACGGCGGTCGTGTAGTCAGCAGCAGAGAAAGACTGCTTTGGTGTGATAGGCTCAGCAGGCCGCGAGCGGCTGCGGTACTCTGCGCTCTGAAGAATCTCGACCTCGCGCTTAGCGAGCTGGTGTTCAACCTCGGCGCGCTTGACGGCTTCATTGCTGGCGAACGAGACCAGGCTATTCTGAAGTTTGAAGTGGAGCGCGGACATGCGGGACTCTTGGGCCACAGCGAGGAGATCCTTGGCAATGATGCGCAGTTGTGTCTCGTTGGCTTTGTCAATGTCCTCAGCTGTGGGAAGGTTCTCCGATGCGCCGTAAGCATCGCAAAGAGACTTGCCCAAGTCCACGGGAGTGATGAGAGAGGGGCTGAGAGACCGAGAATGGGATCGGCGGAGAGGCGCACCCGGAATTTGAGCAGAAGGGGGAGGTGTCATGTCGGAGGATGAAAGAGGTGGCGGGGAAAGGAACTTCTTGTCCGACTGGGAGGACCGGTTGATGGCGGCACTCAAGTCGGGGGACGGAGACAAAGTTGCTCTCTTGGTAGGTGTCGCCGGGGCGAGAATCTCAGCCGGCGAAGCGAGCGGACTTTGAGAACGGTGCGTAGGCCGAGACATGGCCGATGATGTAGTGGAGAGAATAAGACAGCAAGGGTCGACCGTGGGGAACAGTCCACGCACTGCAGTCGTAGTTAGTTATCGGTTATCACTAATGGGGCGGTGATGAGTAAGTCTGGCGCATACCGGAGAGATAGATAGAATATGGAAGACACTGTATCAATCCAGATCTTAATCGGAGCTTCAGAAATGACGGTCAACAAGGTGGAGAGTCAGGGATGAGTGAAAGGGAGGAACTCGTGTGGGACGTTTTGGGTTGATATCGTGGAGGAGGGGGGCTGGGAGGCTGGGAACAGCCGATGCGAAATGCGGCTGGGTAGAGACCCAGCCTCAGCCAACCATTTATAGAATGGACCCAATCAGGACCTTCAAAAACGGATCCACCAGGCCCCATGCGGCTAGACCAGTCACGGGATCTTCAGGGCAAGTAAACAGCCGCTGCGAACGACGACGTTGGTCTGGCAACCGATAAGCTTTGCGTTGTACCTACATCATAGCCCTCAAGTTAGGCAGCCTGGTGGGTATAGCAATCTAAGGTATCTGGCACAGAATGTCTAGACATCTTCGTTGGATATGAATTGAACTAGACGCCATGGAACACATTTCAAGGATCGTGGAGGAATGTTCACTAGGCCAGAAGCGACAGAGGTTACAGTGCTGGACTTGCAATGGGACACTACATGGGCACTCTAGCAATCTCAGTACCGGGCTCAGAACCTATCAATTCATTGTTCACTATGAGTGTGGCTGGACAGGTACCGAAATGAAATCTAAATACATGTTCAGACCAATTCCCGTAGCTGTCGGGGCTCTTGTGAACGAGAGCAAAGATCGAAAATCTCCGTGTCGTCATCATGGTTGAAGCATCCAGGCACTCGTCTCTTATTGTGGCTCGTGCAGTCAAAATGACATAGCACTCATCGTGAGCTCTTCCGATCTGTGGAGTCTCAGAGGCAAACGCGGTGTGCCACGCGGTAATGGGTCAAACAAGATGGATTTGACTCCTTGACAGCGGCTAGGACCCATGCCTCTAACCTATTTCCACTAGACTCAACAGAGTGAAACAGATATGCAAGGTGTGACAGAAGCTATCATGAAAATGGAAACTGGAAAAGAAAAATTAAAACGAACCATATGGAGTTGCTGCCTTAGGCCGCTATCGCGTCAAATGTAAACAATCTTTGGCTTCTACTCCATTCTCTGGCTTCGCTAGCTTCTCTAGTCTCCCCGATTTAGCCTTTGGGAAGGTGGGATATTTTGGTACTTTGTGCTTCCCCACCTACACTGTTCTAGTCCAGAGGTGACTCTGCTTTGACATGTGGCGTCCATAACTCTGTCCTATCCCAAATCCTCGCCAGAATGGACGGTCAGTCCAGGACCGCAGCTCGTCCTGCGAGTGGTCTCCCGCGCCCGACTTCGAGACTACCTCTGCCGATCTCAACAGCATCAAGAACTCTCCGGCCATCACCATCTCGAGACCGGCTGCAGGCGGATCCTGGTTTGGACCATAGCCGGCTGCGAAGACCGTCACGCGAATCCCTTCTCAAGAAGCCCGCTCCACGCTATTCAACCCCGACGAAAGTCATCCGCGAAGACCTGCTCACGCAAGTTGAGCTCGAAAGACAAGTGAGCAAAATAAAAATCTCAGACGACGTGACTACCGGGGAGGAAGAAGATGACGACGAAGCCCGTGGTCGTTCTCTGTCGGATCGGACAATCGAGACACTTTCGAGTATTCCTCCCTCACCGGCTTCCATGAGACAGTCAAGCTTCTTCAATGGCACCAGTCCAATTCGTTCTCCGTCAAGGACACCATCAAATGTGTCCTCTTATTCGCGATCGCCGTCACAGTCATCCTCTGGACGGACCGGCGACGTCTTAGCCCAGCCTGTCCCCAAACTTCGCTTTCCATCCCAATCTCACATGTCGGCAGCATCTGCTTCGTCTTTGCCGACGAACCACATTTCGGATACTAGTGAACCCCGCACGAGACTCAAGTTGCCGTCGTCGAGACAAAGTATTGCGGTTGTAACTGGTGGCTTCGACAACAGTGTTACGCCGAAAAAGACGATCCCGGGCAGAACAAGCATGCTCAAAGCGCCCACTCAAGCTTCGCCCGCTCGTTCTTTCCCAGGGAAAATGTTGTCAAAACCCACGCTGTCAGACATGGGACCTCCAGAGCGACCACTCCAAGTACACAAGACGAGAAAACCTCGGACAGACTCACCATCAGCAGCAAGATCTCCCTCAGCAGCTCCACGAAGCTCCTCACGATATGTATCGGCTGCATCCATACAGGTTGAACTTACCCCAGAACAACAAGCGGAAAGTGAAACGAGGAAAGTTTCCAAGTCATCGAACGCTCTTCGCGACACCATTGCCAAGGCAAAGGCTGCGCGAAAGGCAGCGGTCTCGAAAGAAAAGTCAGAGGCAGCACCTCATAAGATGGCTGTTGCACCGTTGGACAGTATCGATACCGAAGATCCCTTCAATCAGTTTTCCGATGGCTCAGACACTTCTGTGCTTAAGAAACGCGTGGAGAGCGCACGGAAATCGGGTATTTTGAATATTGCAGCTCTTTCTTTGAAGGAAATCCCGAGAGAGGTGATCGATATGTATGTATTCGATCCCGATGCAGAAAATTGGTTTGAAAACGTAGATCTGGTCAAATTCATCGCTGCGGACAACGAGCTACAAGAGGTGGCGGATGCCACTTTCCCTGACATCGATCTGATGGACCTCGATCCGGAGAGCGAGGAGCGGGGCCCTCAATTTGGTGCTCTGGAATCCCTGGACCTTCATGGAAACCTGCTAAAGTCTATCCCAATGGGAATTCGACGACTACACCAGCTTCGCTTCTTGAACCTGTCCAACAATGCCATGAGTATGGACAAGCTTCACGTCATTTTGGAGATACCATCTCTCACGGATCTAAAGTTGGCCAATAACCAACTAAGTGGACCTTTCTTCTCGGAAATTGGCCGTCTCAGCCAGCTGGAGTCTCTTGATCTGCGTGGCAATGGGATCACATCGCTGCCTGATGGGTTAAAAGAATTGACAAGTCTCAAAACGTTGGACGTAGGTGGGAATCAGCTGACAGCTTTGCCTTTTGAAGCATTGAGCAAACTCCCGCTGCGAACCCTTAATGCTCCCAAAAATTCGCTCCAGGGGACACTGATACCGGAGTCTGTGGATCGCCTGGAGACTCTGCAGTCTCTCAATATTGCTGGTAACTCTGTGGAATTATTAGCAGCCAACGGGGCGCTTGTCATGCCCAGCCTCCAGAACCTTTACATGGGCGTGAATCGCATGAAACATCTACCCTGCGTCTCTTCATGGCAATCACTTTTGATCTTGTCAGCAGAAGACAATCGTATTACTCAGCTCCCGGAAGGACTCGTGAAACTCCAGAGCCTCAAGAGCGTTGACTTTACCGCAAACAATCTGGTTCAATTAGATGAGAAGATCGGGCTCATGGCAAGCCTTTCATCGTTCAAGGTCGGTAACAATCCACTTCGTGACCGCAAGCTCTTGAGCATGGGACCGGAAGAAATCATACAGCATCTCCGAAACAAATGCGAACCTGAACTGCAGGACACCGATGACGAGGGCTCGGTTGCGACCCAGTTTACCCTCGCACCGGAAACCCCAGAATGGGAAAATGCCTGGAAGGTCAAGCCTGGAGGTATCATCGATAGATCATATTCGGAACTTACAGAATTGGATACCGAGAATTTGGAACTGATCAGCACAGACGATGTCCGCTGCCTTTATCTGCAGCATAACGCATTGTCATGCTTCCCCATCTCGGCACTGGGGCTGCTCGCCCAGGGCTTGATTGATCTTGATCTTTCTTATAATCCATTGGACAGCTCTAAGCTCCTGTCTTCATCGCTTGAGCTTCCAAGATTACAAACTCTCAACTTGAGTGCCGCTGGTCTAACCACGCTGGACTCTCTTTTGACCAATCTCCAAGCGCCGTTGCTCAACTTCCTCGACGTGGCCAACAACCGCCTGAAGGGAGCCTTGCCGCATGTCCGTGAAACTTTCCCAGGTCTCAAGACATTACTAGCCTCCGACAACAAACTTGAAAGCCTGGACTTCGAGGCAGTGCAGGGTCTTCAGGTTCTAGATGTCAGCAACAACGATATTGACTATTTACCACCTAAGATTGGGCTTCTTGGTTCTGAGCACAACCCTAAAAATTGGGGCAACGGAACGGCTTTGAGACGCTTTGAGGTTGCAGGCAACCGTTTCCGGGTTCCTAGATGGCAGACTGTCGCCAAAGGGACCGATGAAGTTCTTGACTTCTTGATGAAGCATATTCGCGAGAATGACCTGCCCGAGTGGGAGCGTGAAAAAGCTCAGGCTGAGGAATACTAGACGTGTCGAGGAAAAGCACTCTCGGTAGAATCACTATATACACGATGGTGCTTCGTATATAATTTTCCTTCGTTTCATCCCTGTATATAACCTTTCAAATGTATTCTACTTTCTTGATCCATCACTCAGACAAGCATTCGTTTTGAGTATGCAATGTATTCGCTCCATGTACATTATTATCTTGATCTATGCAGTTGCAAACGCATCGATCGGCTTGCTCACTTCAGCCATGACCTTGAACCACGCACTCGACCAGATCGAAAACTTGTCCATCACTTTCTTGTCCCCGGCTTCAACCTCATTCCATGGCGAGGCGACTGATGCAACAGCCTCCGCGGCATGCTTCTGAGCCTTCTTCAAGAACTTCGCCGACTTGGCCATGTTGGCTTCATACAGGGCTCCCGCCGCCTCGTCGACCTGATCTGGTATACTTTGCAGATTCAACATCAGTGCCTCCAATTTGGCGACACCGCCAGCTGAAGACAAAGGCGCGTCCCCAGCATTCTTCAACCGATTGGTAGCGATGGAAGGGTAGACCTGAGCTACAGGCTTCAGGAAACGAAGTGTGTTCGTCTTCTGCTCCTTCAGCGCAGCAGTATCCTCTTCGTCATCTTCGTCATCGTCATCATCATCGTCGTCCTTATCCTCATCCTCCATCAGATCATCAAAGGAATCATCCTCTTCCTCCGGATCCCAATCCTCAATCTCCTGGACGGCGTCCCTTACAAGATCCCTCCACTGTTCAACACGATGCATAACAAAACCAACAACACCCTTTGTCGCAACCTCCGCAACAGCATCACAGGAATCCCACACGCGCCCCGTAGCACGCGTAACAGCCTCCTTCTCACTCTTCACCAATTCTCCTTCCTTCTTCTTCGGATCCTCCAATTTCTCTTTCTCTTTCTTCTCGAAAACCTCCTTGACAAGCACAACAAGCGCTTTGAGCTCACTCAGTGCCGCGCGCACAAGTAGACAAACCTCCGCCTGGAACGCCTTTGTATAATCCGCCGGCGTCACGAGCATCGCTGCCGTGACCAGCGAAGGGAGGACGGAGTCATTGCAAGCGCGCAATACACCGGTCACAGCCGAGTGGGTGAAAGGTGAGGTAATGGTAAGAAGCGACAGCTTCGTCACCTGTGCTTTAAGACCGGTGGACGAAGCGGAGAGGAGGGGTAGGGCTTGGGCATCTTTGGAAGAGGGTTGGTCGGTGCGGACGGATGACGAGACAGTTTCTTGGAATTGCTCGATTAGGTTGAGCGTTGTTGATAGAAGAGTGGCGAGTTGTTTGGCCATTTTTAGGAGGCGTGGCGCGGCCACGGTGGTTGTTTCGAGAGTTGAGGAGCTGGGAGAAATTTTAGGCGCAGAGGCATCAAAGTCCGCGGGGCTGATTAGGGTTCTGCGGGGCCACTATGGGTTATGTGTATATGACGCGAAAGACTCTAGTTTTTCGATCTATTCGTCCTGTTCAAGAAAAAGCCCAGGGATGTTTGTCAATTGAAATCTCGTATTCGGTGAGTACATCATTCAATTTATAATGAATCAGAAAGATCACAGAGTTGAAGTATATTCCTACGGTGGCCTAAGGCACCAATATAAACCAAACTTGGCAAACACCGGAGCTTCAACTGTCTTCGCGCATCATCGGTATTCACCATCTTGCAAACATGGGAACGACAAAAGCCAAAGCCCCTGCGAAGGCAGCCGTGGCGTCTCCAAGCATATCACGCAATTTGCCCAAAAAGACATTCGTCCTCGACAATGGCGCGTACAATATGAAAGCAGGCTATGCGCCTGATCTCTCCTCCGAAGACATCCTATCCGCATGCACCTCAATCCCGAATGCAATAGTCAAGACCCGCGACAATCGGATTGTGATTGGCGCGCAGCTCGCAACACACGTCACGGACTGGAACGAGGCAGCGTTTCGACGACCAGTAGAGAAAGGATATATCGTTAACTGGGAAGCGGAGAGAGAAATATGGGAGCAGTCCTTTTTCGAGGAAAAGGCAACGGCCCGGAATAAGGCACTGCGGATTGGGGCGCCAGAGGAAACTACACTTGTCCTGACTGAGGGGCCGAATACGCTGCCGGTGTTGCAGCGGAATACGGATGAGATGGTTATGGAGGAATGGGGATTCGGAGGGTATGCGAGGTGTATAGGTAAAGCAGCTGTGCTTTTCTACTGTATTTTTTTTGTAGGGAGGCTAATCTTTTGCTGAACTCACAGGGCCAACGCTCAACGCTTGGAACGAAATCCACAGTCTATTCGGAGACACTCTCACTGGGAAATCCGAGTCTGAGATTCTGCCCGCCGACTGCCTCCTTGTTGTTGATTCAGGGTACTCGCATACCACGGTGACACCGGTCTATAAGGGACAAGCTCTCCAGCGCGGAGTGCGCCGTCTTGACATCGGTGGGAAACACCTCACCAACTATCTCAAAGAAATCGTCTCGATGCGACAATATAACATGGTGGACGAGACCTATATTATGAACGAAGTCAAAGAAGCTGTGTGCTTCATTAGCAACGACTTCAAAGGTGACATGGAACGTACCTGGAAAGGCAACCGAAAGCTTCAAACCGAAGAAGGCGTGGTGGTGGATTTTGTGCTTCCTAATCCGAATGCCGGCAAGAAGGGCTTTATGCGGCCCCATGATCCGCTTTTGCATGCAAAGAAAAAGAAGGGTGCGGCATCTGGGTTAAGTGCTGAAGTGCTCTCGGAAGATGTACTAGTTCTGGGCAATGAACGCTTTGCTGTTCCGGAACTTTTGTTTACTCCGGGCGATATAGGCATGAAGCAGGCTGGTATTCCAGATATGATTATGGAAAGCTTGTCTGTCTTACCGGCTGGATTACATGTTGCCTTTTTAGCAAATGTGCTGGTTGTTGGTGGCAATGCTGCTATCCCGGGCTTTATGGAGCGACTGTAAGCCTCCTGGTCATGCGATGATGTCCATATGGCGTTACTGACCGTCTTGCATAGTGAGACCGAATTACACCAAGTTGCCTCATCGGACTGTGTTGTAAGGGTGCGTCGGGCTACTGAGTAAGTTGGCTTGGTTTCTTGAGTATCCAGTCACTTCTGCATACTAACACACATGTAATAGTCCTGTTCGCTCGACTTGGCTAGGCGGAGTGCGCCTTGCCAATAACCGAGAGGAGCTCGGTCGAGTTGCCATTACTCGCCAGGATTATCAGGAGCATGGATCTGGATGGGCGGGACGACGTTTCGCTGGCACTATCTAAACCTTTGACTGAGCAAAAGTCATGATCAATCTTCATTTCAGGAGTTTGGGAGCCTTGATCTCGAAGGCAAATTTGAATGTATAATGATACCCTTGCTTAGGTGGTGGAATTCAATTGAAGATTTATAGCATTGTACCGTGGCCTTTACAAAGTCTATCCCTGGTCCATCAATAGTAGTTCTGAGGTACATTTTAAAATCAGAAACGATGCCTGAAATCTTTGTAAACTATTCCAACGGTATGACGCGATGCTGACACGTTCACAGTCTACAGTGGATTACAAGACGGTCCAGCTAACGATAGTAACCATAGTTGAAGAATGAAGCTCTTACCAGACTATCTGATGTTATCAGGGGTTCGAAGGGTCATAGGATAGTCATTGGCCAGAATTTTTGCTTTTCAGGCACGAGGGCGGTCTCGTTGAATTAATTGCAATGGCGATGTGTCTTGCTTTGCTATGTGATTGTGAGACACTTGGACATCTGCTAGCAATCTCCATACATGAAAAGCTAATGAATGAAAGCATCATTTGATGGAAATAACCCAGTGACAACCAGCGGTGAAATTTGATCAATAGGGTGAAAATGAGCGACGGACGACCTACGAGTTCATTGGCCTCGATGCTCCCAGCATGCGTTTGTTCGGCCGTGGCATATCTATCACCGATACTTCCTAGGAGATTGAACACAGAGCTGACCGCGACAGTCAGACCGATATCTGGCAGCAAGACTATCTACAATGCAGAAATCTTCAATGCTGCAGACACTGAACGACGAACTGCATCGCCTACTTCGAAGGCGACTATCGGCCGAGGCAGCCCAGGACACACCCAACATTACCGAATGGCATTCTACGAAAGACTCAAAAAAGTCGTCAGAATCGTCGTACCTAATAAAGAGTGAGTTCCCAAATTGATTTTCCCATAGCCACTAAGGTATCCAGAAACTGCATAGCCTGCGACAAGCAAGTACGGTCGACGAAGCTCACCACCGCACCCTGCCAACACAAATACTGCCATCGGTGCATTCGAAAAATGGGCGAAATAGCCTTGGAGAACAAAGAACTATTTCCAGTCCGCTGTTGTAACCAAGTAATCCCTGTCAAGCGAGTGGCGATGAATATGGAGGTCTATAAGAAGAAGCTCTATACATCCCGATCAGCCGAGGATGCCGTTCCACCAGCCGAACGATGGTATTGTCCTCAAACCACCTGCGGGAAATGGATACCCCCACATTATTTGAAGCCCGGTGCAACAGTACATAAATGCTGTCACTGTCGGGCAATGATCTGCTCACAATGTCGGGATCTTGCCCACGAACGCCGAGACTGCTCCAAGGATCCTGGTTTGGAGGCGGTACTAGAGGTCGCTCGACATCGTCATTGGCAACGATGCCACAATTGTCACGCCATTGTGTCAAAGAAAACGGGCTGCAACCATATGAGATGTATATGTGGTGCGGAGTTCTGGTGAGTGATGTACAAAACCAAACCTGGACGTCATTAATAAGGAACAAGTTACATTTGCGGTGGCCCGTGGGGATGCAACTGCAGACAGACGGTCGAGATCTTGAACCATGTCAATGAAATTGACGAAGATGAAGACCTCGCCATCACGATTGTTGCAATGGAGATGGCAGAAAGACAGGAGGATGAGATTCCGCGCGGCGGAAGTACGGCAGAAGCAAGGCCAGCACGTCAGACCCAATGTACTCGACGAGAATTCGAAGATACCGCATTGATGATCCCCGCGAGAGAGATGGCTGCAGAACAAGAAGCCGAGAATGAGCACGCTCAAGTGAGAAACTTGGAATTGGCCAGATCGCCCCTAAAATCACAGAATCAACAATCCTCAGCGCAGGATCTACAATCTCCGAGGTCTTTTAGGTCTCGATCTAAGCGGCCCATAAGACCTGTTACATCGACCATGCCTGCTGGACAGTCCAGAGCTGGACGGGAAGAGAGACCTGAAAAAAGACCCGCGATCGATCCAAGGTTGGCAAGAGAGTCCTTGTTGTTCGCTATGGACTCTAATACTTCAGCTTCTGCGCAACCGTCAGCGGCGACTCAACCATATAGCCCACCAGGTACTACTTCATCAGCCTCCGACCCACCAGTGAATGATTCAGCGGGTTCTGCAGCAGTGCACCCGGCGCGGTTTTACGAGCGACAGCAGCTTTTGAACGGGAGCGGCGCCACATGTTCTCGACGAAAACTCTTGGGAAAGGAACAACCAATGAGCTGGGAAGCATGAAGAATTACTGTTTAAAACAGCGACTTGAAACCAGATTGACCGTGTATCGATTGAACCAGTAGATCTAAGACGGTAGCATACAGAAGGTATATCGCAAAGTGAAAAGTATCTCGTCAGCATCATACCCAAGGCATGACAGCGATCAGTAGTCGTAGAAGCCCTTGCCCGACTTCTTACCCAACCAACCAGCATCTACCATCCGACGCAGCAGACCGGCAGGACGGTACTTGCTGTCACCGGTCTCCTGGTGGAGAACATTCATAATGGACAAGCAAGTATCCAAACCAATGAAATCCGCCAAGACCAGAGGACCCATGGGAACGTTGGTGCCAGTCTTCATGATATTATCAATATCTTCGCGACGACCGACACCAGTCTCCAGACAGATGATTGACTCGTTAATATACGGCATGAGAATACGATTGGCCAAAAATCCAGGCGAGTCAGCAGAGACCGAGGCCACCTTGCCCATGCGCTGGACAAAGGCAATAGCAGTATCCATGGTCTCCTGGGAGGTCTGCAGACCCCGGATGATCTCGACACCCTTCTGAACAGGGACAGGGTTCATAAAGTGGGTCGAGATCACCCCGAGATGGAGCCTGCAGGTCCGTGGGGTCGGTAGTCGTAGCAGCCGCAATCTTAGTAATAGAGATGGACGAGGTGTTAGTCGCCAGGATGGCATGCTTGGGTGCAATCTGAGCGAGATTGCTAAAAATCTTCTGCTTGAGATCGATTATCTCGGGTACGGCTTCAATGACAAAGTCAACCGAGCAAAGGTCGTCGATCTTCAGTGTCGGGATAAGAAGAGACCTCGGGCCGCGTCGGCGGCCTCTCGGGTAAGACGTTGCTTGGCGACATCTTTCTCGAGGAGCTTGTCTGTAGGATGGCACCAGATTAATACAGTTCATAGGGCATACAGGTCATCTCAAAAGACAAAAGGTCTATGGATGAAAGGAGGGGCTGTGATTACCGGCAAACTTTAGACCCTTATCCAGGGAGGCCTGGTTGCTGTCGACCAGAGTGACAGGAATTTGGGCCTTCTGTGCAGCAACAAGAGCAATTCCAAGGCCCTGTGTCTTGTTAGATTCCTCGAATGTCGTGCATGGAACATACGACTCACCATTTGACCGGCCCCGATCACACCTAGCGATTTGACCTCGGCAGCGCTCGTAGCGGCGGTAGAGCTGAAGCTGCGAGCCACCACGGGGCCACGACAGCAGGCAGAGCGAAGGGAAGAGGCGAACATGGCTCCGATTGCAAATCAATAATGTGCTGAAGAGAAAAGAGAAATTCCAAACCGTATAGATGACTTATTCACATGTTGGTCCGACGTCATCGGCTATTCTCGGCAGAAGCGGGCGGTGAGTTTCTCCGAAACACCGCCGCGGCGCGACGCGTTTCCCTTTCAAGTCCTTTGATTCTGAGATTCTAGATTCGAGATCTGGTATCTGAGGTCACCAATTAAACCCACAATGGAGCAGGAGGTGGTTGCTCTCGGCCACGATGTCCAGGTTGTCGATCCTGATGTGCGCGGCTACGTGTACAGTTTGGTGACTGCCGTATGTGTTCTCCTGATTCTACGCGTACTCTCACTTACGCGACTTATCTCTAGCTCGGAGGCTTCAATGGTGAAGATGCGGATATATATGTGCTAGGTGATGATGCGCTAGCATGTTTGCGCGATATCAAGCGGTGGCTGAAACTATACGATGAAAAGAACAATCGAATGGACGTGGCGCGATGTCTTGGAGAATCGAATCTGGTTAATGGCGATCTACTTCCCATTCTCTCAGTCTGGTGGAACAGCGGACAGAAGAGCAAGCATATGACTCGTGTTGCTCTAGCATGCTGTAGGTGATAGGACCAATCGATTTGTCAGGAATCTTGATGCTAACCCGCACAGTGGAACTTCTCGTGCCTTTGACTTGGCCGGTGGAATTTCATAGCCAGATGACCGTCAATCACCATCGTCACACCCCATACATCCAGCAAGTTCAAGTTCAATACAAGCGTGGTGTCTTAAAATATGGCGGGTCGAATCTTCTCCGTGCTGTCATTCGAATCGCTCTCCCGAGCATGGCGATGCCTAGATCCGAACGCGAGTCACGAGACGAAGGAATCCTCAAACTGATGCTCTACTTCCTCCGCAACATCACCATTATATCAACGAGTGCTCGTCTGGCCGCTGAAGGCGAAGAGGAGGAGACCTCCAGATCGGCCACAATCAATGCGTTCCAGGAACAAGACGCCTTCGCCCTGATCTTAACAATGTGCTCCAACGTCGGAGACGACTTCAGCATGCAGGACGTGGTTTTGCTTGAGATCCTCTTCCATCTTGTCAAAGGGGTGAATGTGGAAAAGTTGTTCATGGAGGAAGATCAACGAAAGGCCAAGCGGACCGATGAGCTGAGCGATCTTCTGCAAAAAGAAAATCTGGTACGACGAGAATATGCTAAGAATGCACCAACCCGACACGGACGATTCGGCACGATGATCTGGGTAAAGCGGGATGATGCTGGCAAGGTGTCGACTGTCTCTGGCCAGGACACTTTAAGAGATGACCAGACCACCCTTCGAAAGATGGACCAGAGCAAGAAGTGGAACAAACCTCGTCCGCAACGACGGAAGGAAGACGTGGTCCAGAATAATAACTTCAATATGCCCTCCCATCTTTCCTCCCTGGCGTCCAAGAACTTGAGAATGTTTGTGGAGGAGTTCCTAGACTCAGGCTTCAACCCTCTATTCACCCACCTTCGGAAGGCAATTGAACGCGAAGCCGAGAGAGTCTTGGACATCAACGCGCGTCAGTTCTTCTACACAGTCGGCTGGTTCCTAGAAGCGGAACGCACTCGGCGAGCGCAACAGGCAAGGAAACATGCCGAGGACGGGAAATCGGCCAAGATTCTGGAACCGGATAGCTATGGCTTGGTAGCTGGAGTCTTGAATCAGGAGACATTCATTTCCCTCAATCGGTCTATGCAGAACAGCTTGGACAACAAGGAATGGGAGGATCTGACTGCTCAGATGCGTTGCTTTACTCAGATCTTGTTGACTGTCCAAGAGATGACGGCATCTCCGATTGAGGAGGACCAAGAAATTGCTGAAAATATCCAGAACCGCATATTCTATGAGGAAACGACACATGATCGGATTATTGCCATCATCCGCGGCTACAAAGACCAAGGCTTCGGCTACTTGGATGCTGCTACAGAACTCGTGCATGTGTTCTTGCGCATGCTCGAGCGTTATTCCAAAGAAAATGCCGACATGCAGGTACGATCTCGCCGTAGGGCCAGGCAGAAGAAGAAGAATGCAGAGCAAGACGCTGGACAAGAACGCGAGGACGACGAAGCACAGAACTCCGAAGATGAGGATCTGGAGGATGCTGCTCAAGTCACCAAAGAGCGTTCGTTTGACTTCAAACGATTTGCTGCCAAGTTTTGCAATCAGAGTTGCGTGGACAGCTTTGTCACCTTCACCAGCTATTACAAAGAGTTGAACACGGCGCAGCTCAAGAGAGCCCATCGCTACTTCTACCGTATCGCATTCAAGCATGAGATGACTGTTCTACTTTTCCGCTTGGACATCATCAATCTCTTTCACCGAATGATCAAGGGACCAGGAGCGATGGACTCAAGCAAGTCCGTGTTCAAGGAGTGGGAGGAACTGGTTCGGCAAATCCTTCGCCGATTAACCAAGAAGATCGAGCAGCGCCCTGCTTTGATCACCGAGTTGCTTTTCAGCAAGATGAACTCGACTGTCTTTTACCTCGAGTATGGGCATGAAAAACAAACGATATCAACTTCCAAGCGTCCGCCGGCCGAGCTTCAATTCGTTACGAAAGAAGAAGCGACACCAGAGGCCAAGGTGGGGATTGTGGTTAGTGCGCTCGTCCTTGATGGGCGGGCCGACCTTGCCAAGTGGGTTGCCGATGTTTTGAACTCGGCAGCTTCTGAAAGAGAAGATTGGGAGATTTCAGAGTCGGCTCGTCGCGCAAAGAAGGAGGAGGAGAACCCGGACGAGGAGTTTTATAGCACTCCTAATCCTATGATTCGTATGTCTTTCAATCATCGCGTATTGATTGTATGAGAGGTGAAACTGACCCCTTTTTTTACAGCTGTGAAACCCTGCGATGATTCTTGCAAGAGTGCCATGTTTTCGAATGCGAAGCTGCGTCTCCTCATGGGCCTTGTCGGATTTGAGCGAGTTGGCATGGAGGATGTGCCTGGTGCTACATGGTTTGTTCCCGCACCTTTATCCGGCAAGGATCTACGAGAGACCATGTCGATTGTAAACCGGTCTTTGTTAAACCCAATGCCTGAGGGCGGCGAAGATGACCCCCGAAAAATGCTCCAAAAAAGGGAGCCAGGTAGTGGCCGACAAAGCCTTGCGCAAACCACACTCGATGTCAACTTTGGCTCAGACTCAGAGGGCGAAGACATTCCTGATGGACCTCTTTTCCCTCCAAACCCCCGCTCCAAGGCCAATGCATTGGACGAGTTAAAGAAGAAACGCAAGACAAAGAAGAAGTCAAAGGGCGATGCGGATACTGAGGCTCTGGATGACGAGACTCTAGAAGCACGTCGCGAGGCACGCCTCTCCAACGCCCTGGCTCGTCAGGCGAAGATTAAGAGCGACCTCTTCATTCACGCCAGTGACGAAGAGAGTGACGCCGAAGCAGATGCAGAGTTCTTCCGTCTGGAGGAGGAGCGACGAAAGAAGCAAGCAGAGAACGTGAAGAAGGCCCTCCTTACCGGGACTTTGGAGAAAGTTCAGAACAAGAAAAAGGGCAAACGTAAGAGAGGAGCTGGCACCTCTATCGCTGAATCCAAGCGACAGCGTCGTGGGTCCGGATCTGGATCTGGATCTGCCAGCGATGCAGCCAGTGACGCCGATGGTGACACCCTGATGGCCGAACTAGACGCACCGACACCCGGGTCCCTACAAGAGGCCTCGACCAGCCGAGAGGCACTGGAGGATACGCCGATCACCTCTGCAGCAGACGAGATGGACTTTGACGATGACCTCGTTTTCAGTCGAGATCGACAGGCAAAGGCAGCGGCGGAAGCTGATGCAGATGAGGAAGACACGCCCGTAGCCCCATCTCGCCGGCGTACGCGAGGTGGATTTGTGATTGAAAGTGACTCTGAATAGGGCATGGATGATGTTTTTTTATGAAGTGATGATGAGGCGTTTGGTGGGGTACACATGGCATGGAAGATACCTAGTTGGAATGATCATATTACATACCCCCTCTGTTATTTGCACTCTTCATTACGCTCGAGCCGTCAATTCTCTCGGAGTATAGCAGTTTTGCAACCATTTGCCCCCGACTGGGACTCGATGAAGTTGCAGTTGGCCGATGATTCGAGGCGAATCGCATAGATGGAGATATCTCTCGAGATCCCTGTTGATTGGACTTCGTAGGAGGCTGTTGCTGAGCAGTACATTTGCATCAGGCGTTTGCAAAGTATGACTTGAGCCAAGGAATTGTAGAATTTCTGAATTTTCGCAGCTCAGGGTTGAGACGGAACCGGCTCAAAATTTTCAAGAAGGTTCATCCATTCGAGGCTTAGTCTCCCAGCAGAGCCTCACCGTCTCCAAGCGGGGGTGATTCAGCCCCAGCTCTTCGTATTTCAGATATCAAAAGGAGGGGGGCGCATTTCCTTTGTCTCGTTATAAAGACCGACCTTTAGGAATAAAATTCATCACGATGTCAGTCATCCCAGAGGATTTCCTGAGGGGTCCCGCCTCCGCGGCGAAAGTGCACCTCATCGACTTCGAAAAAACAACACCTCCGATTCCAGCCTTCAAAAATAGCTTTGCAGCGGTAGTTGACAACCTGCTGAGCCCCGAAGAATGCAATGAGCTCCTTGTCCTCGCGGAACAATCGACCACCGAACCCTCCAAATGGGAACGCGCCTTGATCAATGTCGGCAACGGCAAACAAGTCATGTCCGTGAATTCGCGCAAAAGCGGCCGAATAATTTGGGACTCTTCCGAGATAGCCGAGCGTCTTCTTGCCAGATTGATGCCGTATATGCGAGACTTTGGCATTGAGCATGTTCAGAACCAGCCCATGGTGACCGGGCTAGGACCTGCGCGACGTGGGGAAGTGATGCACTTATCTCGTCTGAACGAGCGATTGCGATTCCTACGCTATGAAGGGGGGGACTATTTCCGACCCCATTGGGACGGATGCTATGTGACGCCTGACGGGAAAGAAAAGTCCTTGTTTACAATCCATCTTTATTTGAACGGGGAAGGTGAACAGGATATGGACGAGTTGATGCCTGAGATTGAGCGTGCGGAGAAGAGGAATTTTCTCTTTGCGCAGGACGGAGAGGTGGACCTGATGGATCTTCAAGACACGGGTGATGCGGACCAGCCCATCGCCACGACGCAAGGACCTTTGCTGGGTGGTGCGACTTCGTTTACGGATAGTTACAAAACGAAGGCGGCTGTGCGGGTGTTTCCTAGGGCTGGTTCGGTGCTGATATTCCAGCAACGGGATCTTCTTCACGGTGGAGATGACGTGTTTCGAGGAATCAAGTACACGGTACGGACAGACGTGATGTATACCACCGAGAACCCGAATCAATCGTGAATCATTGTGATGCGGGGAGGAAGACGATGGAAGGGATCATATAATCAAATCTGCCTTAGATTCAAATCTCCGCGCTCGGTCTTTCTTAGCGCCGAGCTTAGCAACTTTAGTCCGCACGTCACTACCTGCGGAGCTTCCGATTCCACGGTCACGACCATTTCTATAGCACACCCTTCGTTCATACCATTCACACTATATCCTACGAAGTCACATTGCAATCAATTGAAGCCACTTCTGCCCACCAGTCTCATCAATCCTAAAAATGGCCAACAACATCGCCTTCACCGCACCTATCAACCCGCCCGGCGCAACCCCACTTTCGCCCGACCAGATCTGGGCCGGTCTCCTCCTCAAGATTCGCTCCGCCGAGACCTTTGTATCGGCCGCAATCTCATCCACAGATGTGTTGAGCGAAAGCACTGATTCCTCCGGCAACGCTGTGACTGTGCGCGAAGTGCTCTTCCGCGAAAATGGAAAGAAAGTCAAGGAGACGGTGACGGCATTTGAGAAATGTCGCGTGGAGTTTGAGCAGCCGAATGGCAGTCGCATTAGCAATGTGATCAGTACTGGGGCGGGTGGGGAGTTGTACATGACTTATATCTTTGAGTGGAGGCATCCGGGGGTCAGCGAGGAGGAGCTGAAGACCTTGTTGGAGAAGGAGAAGAAGATGAGTCAAATGGCGGTCGAAGGGACCATCAAGGTGTTACGGCAGTTGGTGGAGGAGAAGAAGCTTTGATCTGATCTGACTGTTTTGTATCACGATACCTTTCAATGACATGGAGAGAACTTCTATTTTCAAGTGTAAAATCCCTTCCTGGTCCCCCCATCTTATCTACTCCTCAGGGACTACAATATTTCCCTCCGACACCTGCACGGCGGTGCCCGTCAGTTCGACCTTTTCAATCTTCCTCTCATGGTTGAGAGCAACGACCACCCCGATATCACTCCGTCTGCCCATCTCGACACCCTGCACGATTTGATACTGATACTCCTGCCCCGCCTTTCCCTCGGTGAGCGCCAACCAAGCCGTCAGCCCACTCGCCGAGCTGCCAGTGGCCGGATCCTCGAATCCACCCAACATCATCCTCGTGCGAATCACCTTCTTCCCCAAAGTCTCATCATCGACATCTCTCACAAAGAAATACACACAGATCAACCCGGACCGCCACCCCTCATCCAGATACGACGGATGCTGTACATCAAGATACTCACCCCCATTCGCAGTAGTCACGGCCGCGAGCGCTTCCAAACTCGGCAACTCAATAAACGTCTGACTCATCCCATTCACGATGGAAAATAGTGGGAAATCCGTGCCCGCCAGGAAGAATGGCTTCAAACTCGAATGCAGTCTTAGCAAGTCTGCTAACGGGAACCGATTCTGATGAATGCGCGTATTATGCGCAATGCGGGCCGCAACCGCCTGCGTAGCTTGATCCGCGATAGAAATGGGGATCTCGCCTGATTTAGTCACCAGCGTGTCGACCCCGCGGTTGGAGGCGGCCGCATGGGCAAGGAACCATGAGGCGGCGCCGATGGTGGGGTGGCCGGCGAAGGGGATTTCGCATTCAATGGTGAAGATGTCAATGGTGCGCTTATTATGCTCAGTGACTGGGTGGACAAAGATCGTCTCAGAGAGGTTGAATTCTTTACACATGATATGTTTTTGGCGTTGAGTGAGCGAGGCAGAGGCGGATGTTTCGGGGAGGAAGACCACGGCGAGCGGGTTGCCGCCGTAGGCCTTGAGGGTGAAGACGTCGAGAGTGACGAATTTCAACTGCATGATGGGTAATCTTGGACTTAATTGAGTTGAATATGGAGGGGGAGGGGGGGCTCTAGAGAGAAGAGATTGTATTTATAGTTGACAGGTTCAGTTTTTGACTCATGCAAAGGCGTAGGGCGTGGAGTCAGCTTATGTGGGTCATTTATCTGCCGAATCCGCTTGGAATCGGCACCTGCCGATATTACTCCAACGGATTTGCTTCTTACATTGCTCACGGCATTATGAAAGTCCTCAAGATCCCCTCTCGAAACTCCCCACTCCTTTCATCCCTTCGACCAATGCAGTAGCAAACCCCTCATGATACTTCAATGCATCCTCTAATCCCGATGCCCAGCCCGCTCTCCACACAGCCCAGGACTCTGCCATTGCACCCTCAGAGGCCCGCAAAAGTCCAACGGCAACATCCATGGTAGACCGGAAGCTCTTGGAAGATTCGATCACCAGATCCGGAGGTGGAGTAGACGAGATATGATCCAGAGGCACAAACATTCACCCAATGACATGGAAACCGTTGACTAGACGATAATCGTGTCACAGATATCCAGACATTGCGAGCCATCGGGGCTCGTCGGGCGAATGAATCCAGCCTTGGCTATCTGAATTCTTGATGGAAAATCATCTCTCAGTCGGTGGATCATAAATGATACGCCACCACAATGACACTGAGCTAGAAACTTGGAATCTCCTGTTATGGATGTAGATGGAGATGGGCTTAGCGTCAAGTAATTGCAGCTGCTATTAGGGTCTTGGAAGAGGCCATGGGGGGGATCTCTAGACTTTGGAGCAGACAACGAGAGGGGTTATCAAGCACTATGCTTAATAGGTATATGGCAGTGCACGGATCAGCTCGTATTGTTGTGTCCTCAATGCAGAGCCTCATTGTCAAACCCTGCCATCTGCAAGAGTTGAGTGTCTCTACTAAATACCTCGAGAGGACATCTCTGAACTTTTTGAAAATTGCATCCGTTTTCTGGGCCACTTGTGATAATTTTCTGAAGCTGAAGTGTTCATCGGAGATAACAAGTTTAAATAAACGGTTTGAAGATATTGCGCACGTTCCAGCATATTTGGCCCCGGGGTCGTAAATCCAGGAATGTTTTTCTAGGTTCCAATGGTCTGATTCAAAGAAGGTTGTGGGCCCAATCTGGCGAGAAGTATGTTTTCCATGAATTGGTATGTTTGGCCAGCAGTATTTTCAAGTTTATATACTAGGCTTTCACAAGAGACACAACGTACACTAAAGACATTACTGGAGAGTAATTCCCTTGTAAGTGACGGAAGCTCGAATTTGGACTACTCGTAGGTTTTACTCAATACCGGGCCAGGCACTATAGACGGGATCCTTCAACTAGTGCGCCCATCAAGACCTTACAACAAATAGTCTCTTGAAAGCCCCTCAGTACCTATCAAATCATAGAAGTCGGAAAATTAGCTGTGACGTGCTCCCAGGCATGCACGGTCGGGTAGGACATCCGGCTTCTTTTAAATAGACCGGTTACTGTCAAAAGTTTGACGGTGGGATAATGTTCACATTGAGCTAATGACCCAGAACGGACCCGACAAAGTGTGACTCAGCGAGTAGACCAAAAGTTTGAAAGTGGAAAGTGGAAAGTCACCAGTTGAGTTGGCCGGTGCAGACCGAGGCCAAGCGCACAAAACCGGGCCGGTGAATCGGGAAGTCGCAGTGGGGTTGATAAACGATAAGGTCTCAGGTCTCACACAACCCAAAAATACGATGGAGGGGGGTGGTGGACACGGGAAAAAAAAAACAAAAAAAAAAAAGGGGTATATTGTTCTATATATTCTATAAATGAAAAGGATGCATGGCTCATGAAGGGTTGCGGCGCTCATCCAGCTGCTCGTGTAGATAAAGTCGACCTTCAGTATTGACGAAGCCGCCGATACCAAAGGCGGGGATAATGCGACACATGCGTAGCAGTGAAGCGCCGACCCAATCACGACTGATTCGAGCGAGTCGCTCCTTGGTAGGCATGATCTGGGGTCGATTATAAAGGTCCAAACCGAAGAGATGAATAGGGGTACTGATGAGTTGGATGGACGCGGGGATGGCGAGTTGGGCGATAAGGATTTTGAGATATTCTTGGGAGGCGACGGAGTCGGGAATGGCAGTTGAGACAATCGAGGGGAGGGTGAAGGAGCCGAAGATGGTAAGGCCGTCGCGGAGGAGGAATGCAGAGTAGGTGGCTAAGGGGATCTTGGTGCGACCGAGGGTGCGTACTGTCTTAGGAGGTGGTTTGTCTGCCTTGGGAGGGTCGACTGGAGGGGACGTTGGCTTTGGTGAACCGAACAATTGGGCGAATTTGACGTCCTTCCAGATTCCGACAGAGGAATTAACAACGAAGGTGGAAGCGAAGGTGGTCATGCTGGCAATGGCGTGGTCGACCTTGGGGTAGACCTTTTCAAAGAGAGTCTCGGAGGCATTGGCGGTTGCAAAAGTGGCGGTGTAAAGAGACCAGACGAGCAGGGCAGGTCGTGAAGTTAAGAAGGTTGATGGCTGTGTAAGGGAGATCCATAGATGCTTGCGGAACGCTGGAAGAAGTGGCTGGTTGTAGAATGACTTTTCAACGACGAGTCTGCCATTCGAGTCAGATGCTGTGCCACACAACGGGGCAAAGGAGTACCAAGTTGGAAGAACTCACCTGTCAAAGATCATGACCGCTGGGGTAATAAGAGTTGCTGAACCGGCAGCAACGAGGGTGTCTGCCGCGAGGAGCTCACCGAGCCGGCTCCGGCTTCGCTGAATGCCCAATGGCATAGGCTTCTCTTGCATGTTCTGGGTCATGATCCGTTGATTAGGGTAGACAATGCTACCCTCATCTGATTATAGGCTGCGAAGCCGAGAGGTCGGGGTTATAGATGTAAAGACAGGTAAAGACAGACAGGGTATATGCAATGGTTGTGGGAAGGAATCTGCAAGCCTTGAGCAAGAAAGAAGATTAGACCAAACGAATAGAACGCGGGCAGTGTATCATTGCAGAACCCAACTCACTGTGGATCGTAAATCGGAGGATAACCGAATTCTGTGGTCCGGTGAAGAGGCGAGAAAATTTGCACAGATAAAAGGAAGGTTGAGAGAGGTGAAGGAACAAAAGAGGAAGAAAACGTCCAGAGGTGAAGTCACGACAATTATACGATAGTGTAGCGAGGGGATCAAGTGAGTGATGGACACCCCAGAGCTATAGATATCAATAACTGATAGAAGATCGGCCTCTTCAAAATTAACCCCTCGTCGGTGATGGCGCCCAATTAGGGGGGCGACCGGGCCGGGCACCGGTGCTGAGTCACGGCTGGTAATTGGTTCCCATCGCCGCAATGATCGCCCTCAGATTTCAGGAACAGACGCGTTCTAGAAGATCGGTGAGTCTCTGCTCGCCTTCTCCCAACGCGTGGGATTGCCCAAAGTGGATGTCGTGCCCTCCCCGCGTTTCCCCGATGGCCTTCCCCCCTCCATGATGTCTCTGGGGGCCACGACCATGGCCGGGAGTTTCTCTTGCATTTGGACCGAGTGGAGTCTCTCCTTCTTCTTTCTGTGTGGGAAATGGCCAGTGATAGGAGACCGAAGATGGTTGAACCCCAGCTTTGTGGCGTCTACTTTTACCGAGCTTAGCATTTCTATCAAGTAATCTATTTCTCTGCCACAGGAAATGCCTGAATGCAGCCCAAATCTCAACACACTGGCGGAGGTGCTACCCGACTTGCTGCAGCTGCTTCCTTATCTTTGCTGTCTCGTAGCGGGGTATTCGGTGACACACCAAAACGTTTCCTTGCTTTCGTGGCAGGCTATTGACTTTGGAACCTTTACCGAAAGCCTAGTCCGGAGCCAGCACTGCTGAAACCGTGACCGCCTTCTTTCTACTGACACGTCTGTCCAGATCATATCATGTTCATAGCGTTCATAGCTGCAATCGAAGATGTCGTGGATGGCCAGGTCCAGGCCTACGTCACTAATCGCGCCACTGAAGTCCCTGACTTGCCCGCGCTCAACTTTTTGCCACACTGAGTGTGTTTTTAAAGTATTGAGCACTCTGTGTGATGTTCCTATGATCGCTGCTCTGCCTTGTGAGGATTTGTAATTTTCCAAACTTGAGTCATTGTTAGTGAGATGCCTGACTATTTTAGCACTCAAATTTGCCATATTCATCTGATTATGTTCCTCAGAATTGATTTGTGTTTTACAATGACAAGTTCTTGACATTTCATTCATTGTATTTCTCTTTGGGCTTGCATTGAGCTCTTTGTCTATTCTCCAGGGACTAGTACTGCCTCCCACGAGTCGCAGAAATTCTCGCGCGTACAAAACATCTTAGGACAACATGATCCGAGGTCCCCTCCTTTTATGTGGCTCGTCTCTGCGCATGAATCATCCCCCAGGAGATTCATTCTTGGCATTTCTTAGTCTTCCCAAATCTCGAAGAGTCAGAGAGGACTCATGTCTTGATAGATCACCATTGAACAGTGGGAGTGGTTCAGAACCAACGCCCAGTGCCTAGGGCAGAGATCGCACCCTGATATACCAGACGATGCCACTTTCGTCCGCAATAACCAATTATGATACTGACGCGTCAGTCAGGGAAAACTTTGATCTCCAGCCTTGTAGGGCTGACGTAGAACAGAGCGGGGCCTGCCAATATGTTGGCCCAGCATAAGAATAAATGCCGATATCCTTGAGCAGTTCCTTGGGTGTTAAATTCTTTTAGGCTCACTGCGCTAATCATTGTTGAGTGCCCGGTTTGCAGGCGGCAAATGTGTACATCTGTCTACCTGAGAAACGTTCTTCCTCGGCTGCCTCCAGAAAACGCAGAACAACAGGATCACCGATGCCTGGAGGCACGAAGGTTCACAGGGGACTTCTCTGCGCTGATTTCTGCTTGGAACTTCTGGGGATGTCAAGAGTTGGGCTACCTGTGCAGACATGATCAAAGAAGCCAACGAGATTAATCGGAGAAACCCTATAGATTGCTCTGGTTTTAGATAGATATATGATATAGATTGTTGCTTGAATGATCAAGTCATTTCGAATTCGAAGCTGGGGTCTTGGGTTCACTATTGAAGATGTCACAAGACACGGTAAAGCCTATCAGGAATCTGCTGTGAAAGAATCACGGCTTGGTATGCATGTTCGTCACGTCGCGAAATTGGCAACTCGCATCGAGGACCAATCAGCACAGGAACATTTCTTACATGTACCTGCAAAGGGACTCCGCAAATCGGCCGCTCGGGAGGCTTGGGTGTTTCGACACGAACACCATGAAATAGCGGGGTTTGCACCAGTGTCACTGCTCCTAAGCTATGCTTGGGCTCCTCATCATGTGAGGATACTAGCTCAGTAATCCATTTGCAATGATGCTTATAGTCCTTCTGTGAATGCTTCACTGTGCAGATTTCATGTTTCACAAGCAGGCTCTGGCCGTCATGTCGATAACTGGTGTCGCGCTAATTAGCACGGAGCTGATGGCGATGCCAAGATCTCCCAAGTGGTGATACCACATATGCACTCGCTGCGATTATGGTAGCGGGAGCTCGGCTGGCTGAATCAGTGCACAGAGATTGGACCTCATATTCCTGTCAACCTTCAGCTAGCGACACTAATGTGCAGTCTCTGCTCAGAGATTGTGATCGCCCAGTGGATTGCGGATCTCATACAGTTTTCATGCAGAGTTAGGATGGGGGTTAGGTATCGTGACAGGTGATATCGACACCGTGCGTGTGGGCGATGCTTATAGGAATTTCTGATGGATTTCATGGCGTGGTGTGCGACCGTTGTGTCTCTATTCAACCATCTAGAGGAAGCATGCAAGACATGTTGCATTAGAGCTTCTTAGCAATCTCTCCATTCATTTACACGCATCTTGTACCACGGATAGCCTGGCCGTTGAAAGCCATAGGAAGCAGCCCCTCCAGGTACGCTCGAGGTCCCAATCTTCAAGGTCAGCCCTCAGGTAGTCCAGTTCTCAATTCAGTGACGTGTCTCAACTTTATGCGGCCAGACTTTGTCGCAACAGGGATGAGTGCAGGCATTACGGGCCGCTCGGGAGGCACAACGGGGCATCTCCAACGGGTTTTATGATCGACCTATCGCCTGAGATTGCCTATTGTCTCAGGAACGATCGATCATGTCGCATTTCCATCCCAAAGTTGGGTCCAGCTCGGATGGGGTCGCCCATTTTGGTGGGGGTTGTTGGCTGGCGCGAGGCTGATATTGCAGGAACTTGGAGTGGCTGGCCAATCTTTTGTTCAAGCTAATGCATCCACAGAGGCAATGGGGTCATGATTGTCTTAAAGAAGCGGTACCCTCCTCGAGCGCTCACCATTCACAGACCAATTTCAATTTTGGGAAACCGTCGCGAGGCTCAGTCCACCAGCTTCATGTCACTCAACATCCCTCAGCCACGTGGGGTTCCGATACTAGGAAATATTCTCGATGTCAACCCCAACGAGACATGGAATTCCTTGATTAAACTCTCGGAGAAGTACGGTAGGGTGTGACCTGTTCTACCCCTCAATGAGTTGCTTATTCTGAACAGGGCCGATATTCAAAATCAACGCACTGGGTAAACAAATTGTCTTCGTCAGTGACGTCGCCTTGCTCGAGGAAATTTGCGATGAGAGACGCTTCCGCAAGTGTGTCACGGGCCCGGTCGTGGAGATGCGCAAGTGCGCAAATGACTGCTTGTTTACCGCATACGACGACGAGAAGATCTGGGGCGTCGCCCATCGCATCATGAGCCCGTACGTCAGCAAGACTGCAACAGACCAATGCTTCAGCGATATGGCAGATGTGATTCCAGACTTGACAAAGAAGTGGACATCAGGATCGAAGAAACGGGTTCTCTTCACTGACGATCTCGATCGCCTATTGATGGCTTCTATCATGCAGTGCTTCTACGGTCAGCGCGTGGAGCTCCTCGAAGGGCCCGAGCCTCCTCTTATCAAAGCTTGGGAGCGTATTACCATGGAAGCAATGAAGCGTCCCACACGACCGAAGATACTCACCTGGCTTCTGTATCAGCGCGGTTGGGAGAATGATATCAAGACGATGCGTGACTTCGCGACCGAGATCATCAAGAATCGGAAGGAGCACCCTGATTATTCTCGCAATGACCTACTGGACGGACTACTCAACAACACGGATCCGCAAACAGGAGAGAGACTCAGCGACACGTCAGTCATCGACGAAGTGGTGACAATGTTCATCGGCGCCGCGACAGCACCAAACCTTGTCGCATATGCACTGTATTACTTGATCAAGAACCCCAAGAAGATGGAGAAGGCAAGAGCCGAAATCGATTCAATCGTCGGTTCAAGCGAGAGAATCCAGCTAGAGGACCTCAAGAAGATGGAATACTGCGAAGCCATCATCCGCGAATCCCTTCGTCTATCTGCCACAGCACCTGGTTTCAACATCGAGCCTATTCCATCAAAGAACCGTAGCCCAGTCATGCTTTCAGGAGGGAAATATCAAATTCCGCACGACCAAGCCATAATTGCCATTCTCCACACAGTGAACCGTGACCCCAAGATCTTTGAAGACCCAGAAGACTTTATTCCTGAACGCATGCTCGGTGAGAAATGGGATAATCTTCCAAAGGCAGCGAGGAGGGGCTTTGGAAATGGCAAGCGTCAGTGCTTCGGTACGCAGTGGGCATGGCGATGGTCGATCTTCACCATCGCTAGCATTCTCAAGGATGTCTCGTTCGAGTTGGAAGATTCGGACTATAAGCTCACTTCTAATGGGGCGTTTAGCGTGAAGCCGTTGAAATTCTATAGCCTTGTCAGTCCTAGGAGGTAGTCAAGTGCTAGGAACATTTGAAGTCGGACTTATATGTTTCTTCTTCTTCAGTTTTCTCCTCTCGGGCACGTATACGATCACAGGTTGTATATTCTATTGTATGCCAGTGGTGATTGTTGGATGATGAGACGCGCAGTCAGTAGTTGATCATTGGTTCAAGTCTGCACGTACTGCCGCAAGCTCTTATGACAATATTGAAAACAATTTTTGCATCCTTCTCACAGGGCGAGGTAGGGATTGTGGGTTCGTCTGACTTTAAATGTCCTACGCCTTGGGTGCTAGCGCATAGGATAGTCAATCGAATTTCCGTAGCAATCCATGCTCACGAAAGCCAGAAATAAGTGTGCCATTAGTGTAACTGGCAAACAAAAAGAAATCGTCAGCACTAGGGTTCGAACCTAGGATCACGAATGAACTAGATGTCAAATTGAATTCAAGTCTAGCGCCTTAACCACTCGGCCATACTGACAGATATGAATTTGAAACGCAAATAATGAAATATGTTCCAATTAAGAAATGGCCCGATCCATCGTTCGAAAGGTTGTCTTCCAATTAATGGCCAGGTAACGAGCGCCGTCGTTGAGATTACGAATGAAATGACAGCCATCACTGGTCCCGAAGCTGTCTCCGTCAAATTCATGTTCGCATATACAGTTAATGTCTATGGATCACAAAAGATTTCGACTGAAATTGAATTTTTCCTGTCATCACTGACAGAACGAACGGACCAATGATCGCGCGGGTCTTACCAGCTTATTCAATGCGGACGAGTTTTCCGCACTCAACCGCATTCAAGAGCCGAGGAAAGAGACACGCGTTCGATATTATCCAGGCGCGAGGATTCATTCATCAGAACATAGTTGATTACTATGACCTCCGCGGCTGATAGTGCCCCACTGCGCGTCTCGCAGCGGCGGCCCCTGGCCTGTCGAGGTAGATCTTTCCCCCTCCATTGTGTGGAGAAACGGGCTGACCCCAGATTAGAGTGCACCAGGCGAAAGCGCAAATGTGACAAGCAAATTCCCTGTACCAGATGCAGACGCCTCAATCTTGAATGCTCTGTGGAAACAGTCCGGCTGCGCCGGGACACTGTGCAACATGCGTCTGAAATTCAGTTCTTAGGTTCCCTTTTGGCGGATTTGGATGCTGTTTCTGAAACAGTGCCTCATGTTGCTCAGAAAATCAAAGATAGGATGGACCGGCTTCAAGGTGGTTCTGGCGATGCGTCTGATCAAGTGAACCTGGATTCAGTTCAGGAAGATAGGAGATCTTCTGAGGGTCTAGATGAAAAACCGATACACCATCGACTACCTGACGTGCTCCCGGAGAGTACAGATCCTCCTATTTTGACTGCGATTGAACATCTTGCCTGGGGACGAAACTCTGCAGGCTGCTTCCCACATAGGAGATGCGCTTGTCAATATCGCCGAGACAGCCCGGAGCTGTTGTCGATGAACGGCGGCCCATTTCAGATACAGGGCTCTGCTTTGGAATCGATGGTTCATATTCCCAAGATCTCCGATGCCCAGAAACTCATCAGATTCCATGTTGTCCATATCTCATGGCACCATAATTGCTTTCACGGTCCAACATTCCTCGAGCAATGCGAACTTTTCTGGAGAACCGGAAGATGTGACCACCCTCTCTGGATGGCGCTTTACTTTGCTGTCTTGAGTTGCACTGTCAATTCTATCCAGAATAGTGGCAAATTAAGAGCGCTCGTCGATGTTAATCTTTACCTTGCGACGCAACCAGCTCAGCAACTTTTCTCATCCATGATCCAAACTCTCTACAGTTCACACTTCCTGAACGACCTCTCAATATATTCTGTCCAGGCGATTGTAATATCAACAGAGGTTGCCCACAATCTTGGTCTCAGTCAATTGAACGCGACCCTATTTAATGCCGCTGTGCGTATCGCTGAATGCTTGGGAATCCACAAAATCAAAGAACACACAGCAACCCTGACCCACACTAAAGACGAATGGGAAGAACGAGTTGAAAGAGAAGTCGGAAAACGGGTATGGTGCCAGATGGTTATCCAAGATCACTTCGCCATCCCCTTCACCGACACTTACAGCATTTCCCCGATGCATTTCTCAACGGGCCGGCCCCTGAATGCAGATGAACGCAACCTAAACGAATTGCCAACAGAAATACCCACGGTGAGCACTTATGTTCGTGTTCTGGTGGATCTGGCAGCATTGATGCCAGGCCTCGCAGATGGACTGGGTCCATTGACGAAAAGAAAACCCCGTCGTGAGCAATACGAACACATCCTGCGGGTTGACCAAAAGATGCGAGCGGTCGTGAACAACATACCGCCGTTTTTGCTACGGTCGGATAAGGTGAAAGAGGCACAGATCCCATGGCTCGGCATCGCCCGCCGCAGTCTTGCCATCACTGCTGCCGAGAAAATCATCATGATCCACCGGCCGTTCCTCTTCCGCTCATTCCACGATAAAACATATAGCCACTCTCGACGAACTTGCGTCGCGGCTGCAATGACCATTTTACGAGAACATGAGGCAATCGTCGAGGAAGATGACCTCTCCATCTGGACTCACACAGCCTTTGCCATCACGGCAGCAGTCATTCTCTGCTTTGAAGGGAATGCCCTGCTGAAGGAGTCCAACAACGCGAAAGTCAGCATCTACAGGGAGGTTATAGCAGCTGCTCGCGACCGTCTAGCAGTTCGGAACGGCGATATCATGGCTCAGCGTGGTGTCGCTCTTATTGATGCGATCTCCATTGCCGAAGGAGCAGGGTACGATGCGTCTGATTTAAATCGGGGCTCATCAATCGATGTCAACCGAGTGTTTGCCAATTTCTCAACACTAAGTCGATCGAATCTCAATGTGAACGCCGAAGATATAATATTTGGGAAAATCCCCGGTGAAAGTCCCCGAGGGGCTTACCGGCTCAGCAATTGATGCAGACGAAATGCAATTGGCTTGGAATCAAGAAGAAGTTGATTTCGACTCCTGGTTCAACGAAGTATTCCACAACTTCCAAGGTCCTACATTATGACAAGATACGAAAGGGAAGCTCATGTTAATGTACCTGTTTAATGATCAACGATATACCATCACACGTCTGTATTATCCACATTATTCAATCTAATCGAGACTATACTTTTTTCAAGCCCTCACATAGCCCGTATCATTGACCCCATCGTATTCCCGGAACGGCTTTGGCGCACTCGTGCTCGTCATTGTGCACTGCCACAACATTCTCCTCTTGTCCTCTTCTTCCTTGAACTTGGCCAACTGACCAGTGATGCTGTGCATAACACCACGATTATGGAAGATGACCAGGTCGCCCTCCTTCCAGCGATGCGCATAGATATTCTCGGCTGCGTAGATCTTGCGTTGCATGTTGTAGACCGTTTCCCGGACCTGCTCAACGTCGTTCATTACTGTTACTTCTCCAGTGGCTGGGTTTCTGGTGGTGAGTCTGTAGACGCAGCCGTGCACTTGCAGAAAAGGTCTATCTGGGTTCATGGGATTCCTCCAGACCATCTTTGGATGACCTGTTAGCATTCAATATTCCGAGCTATTAGCCAAAGGAAGACTCACAGGATGTTCAGCCACTTTAACCCAACTCCACTCCGACATCTGCTCAGTAGAGACTTCGCGGCCCATGGTGGGTATGGTAAGACCATCTTCGAAAGCTTTACACTGCCTGATGTACTCGTACGCCTGAGGCTCATATGTAACAGTGGTATTAAGCGCAAACTCCTGCTCCTCAGGTGTCAAAAAAGCGAAAGCACGAGCGCCGGAGAAGACTAGGTATTACTATTTTAGTATTGTGCCGAGCATGAGATTGTATTTTGACGTACAGGCTGTAGCTCCAGCGGCAATTTGCTTCTCCCCATCAGGGAACTCGATCTTTTGATCCGGCAGGTTGGGAATCCGGATAGAGTGTAGGATGGTGACTTCGCCCGGCAGGCGCTTCGTAGAACGGGGTGTCCATGTGCCATCTGTATGGACGAGTATATCCATTGTCGAGATCTTTTTCAGCGAGAGGAGTCTCGTGGAATAGTGTGTGGTCCTATCGTATCGGGTTAGCGCTGTATTTGACTTGCTACATATGATATACATACCAGGTGAACAACTTCAATCTCCTTCAAGCCTTCATAATCCTTGAATCTGCCAGATCCAATTATTCCCACTTGTGGGGCTTGGGGTGCCGGCCAGCTTTATAGGCTGACAGAATATTCTTCGCTTCGCTGACGGCTTTCTCGCCCGCAGAGTGAATGACTGACGCACTTGGATCGAAGATTTTCGCGAGGTTGGCAGAACAGTCGCGTCAAAGCCCTTTTGCTTCCGAATGACAATGACTTGATTTTCAAACAGCGCTCGTCGGAGAGTATTCTTGTCCTTTTCGGTCAAAGCTATCCAACTCCAGAAGAGTCATTCCTGGAGGAAGGTGGACTTCAGCGCCGATGGCCGAGCTTTGTCCGATCTCCTTTGAGAGGAGATCAAATGTCAAACTTGTGGATGCGGGCATTTTAAATGTATAAGGCACAATGATGGAGATTGTTTGAATGTTGAAGGGAATGTTTACTACATTGATTGCTTCGCATCGCATTGTTATAGATCAGCGCTGTGGAGGCAGAGTGGGTGGGAATGGAAATCTATCCGCCGGGGGATCTCGACCGCACCATCACGATTAGATTGCAGAAAGTGGGACTATGGGGACATTTTATCTAGAGAAGAATTGATTGATGTATTCTTGATTCAATTGAGCACTATAAGTGAAGATGAAAGGGGGGTGACTTTCCATAAGTCGCCCGCATCTATTAGGGTGTTCGACAAAGTGCAAGGAGGTTGGCTTCATATAAAACATGGCTCTCTCCAATATTTGCATAGCAACAAACATTTCCTTATAATTCCTTTATAAATCTGTCTCTATCATGAGTACCACTACAGTATGCCTCAATCCGCTCCCCAAGTCTAGTGTGTGTCAAGTGGACCTTGGCACAGAGCTAAGTGGACTTGATATTGAAAAACTGAGTGGTAAGTGTGTATGCATAACACTTGTTATTCCTTAAATGACTCACAGACTCAAAGATGACGACTTTGCCATCCTTCGCAAGGCCCTATATGAGAACCAAGTTGTTGTGATTAAGAACCAAAAGAGCCTTTCCCCCCGCGCCCAATATGAACTCACTCGACGCTTTGATCCTTCTGCTGCTGTCTACAGTCATGGCAAATCCATCGACAAGCGTAGTGTCCTCCACGCCGACTTGACTACAATCCCTCATCAGCCGCAAGTTCAAGTCATTGGAAGTGGCTCTGTCGACGAATACGAAGGACTGGGCAAGCTCAAATTGAAGCATCCTCATCACAAAGCCTTCCACAAAACCCCAATCTCGCCCGACGATGATGCTGAATTCACCCATTTCTATCGCTGGCACATTGATTCCGCGATGTACAATCTCGATCCGCCCCTCGTCACCTCGTTGCTAGCCGTGCAAGTGCCCCAAGGGCGCCGTCAGACCCTTCGTTACGATGACGAAACCAACGCCGAGCTCAACGTTCCCCTAGGAACAACCGCCTTTTTCAGTGGTTACCACCTCTACGAGATGCTCACCGAAGAAGAAAAACACTTCGTTCTCACCAGCAAAGTCGAGTACCCACCACACCCATATATCTGGATGAGCAAGGCCAAATCCCGCTCCAACGGATTGGGAATCGTATTCGAAGGCCTCGAGCTCGCCATGGACGAGTTACCTCCCTTTGATGAATCGAAGATCAAAATATACCCGATGGCGTGGAAAAATCCCGTCACGGGGAAACTGGCGATGATGGTCTATCCGACTTGCGTACGGAAACTCCATCTCGAAAATGGGGAGGTACTTGATGACCTTGTTGAGATTCGGCAGCGCTTGTACTCGCTGCAGAGAAGGGCAATTGATCCCCAATATGTCTATCCTCACGACTGGGACGAGGGTGATTTGGTGCTGTTCAATAATCATGGGGTGATGCATTCTATTGTTGGGTCGTTCACGGAGGATGAGGTGCGTGTCTTCAGGCAGTGTAATATGGCTGCTAGTCGGCCTCCTGTGGGTCCCGAGGACTCTCTACCTGCTCCGTGACAGTGTGGTAATCAGATTTCGAGCTTCATTTCTCGGCCGAGGTATCGTCCTTGTTCTTTCTGGTATATCAACTAATGTAAGAATGATACATGAAACGAAATGTGCAACTTCTCAAAATGGGATACTCCGAAATGACGCCCACGCTTATTACCTCAAGCCGGCTGTATGATCCTACCGTCTTTGATGTCATAAGTCATCTTCCTGTTGAGGGGATCCTTTCTAACAAAAAGTGGCCTTCCTGCGTTCAGCAGGGATTTATCACCTCCAATCTTAAGTCCGTAATCGTTCTTGTCCGCCAAGGTCGCCTTCCAGTTCCGGGGATCTCCGTTCTTATCTTCAGATGCAGAGAGCTTGAGCTTCTCAGTCTCGGCTTCAGCATCAAGCTTCTGATCAATGCAAAATATTTTCGGGTCCAGGTTGTATTTCTCGGCATAGGTTTGTTGACAGGTGACATCATACGGCTTAATCAGACGCGACGCGACCAAGACTTCATTTGGGGCTTAACGCTGAACATCGAAATTTAACTCTGAACATCGAAATTTAACGCTGAACATCGAAATTGCATGCAAATGGACATAGATCAATGAGATACGAGGCTAGCAAGAAAGTGCTCCTCGTTTAAGAAGAGCCTCATGAGTCTTCTAGTCAATGTCTCTGCATTCTCCCTCAATGGGTGACACTGGTCCGTTCTTTCGTGAACTGTGAACATGGTCACTTTGTTAGGTACTGTGACCGCACGGCCGATGCGCAAATGTTCTGGCCGGGTTGCAAGACGCTGAGTGGGGCAAGAAGCCCGACCGAAATGGTCCGGAGCCCCCTTTCCACAAGGCGCGGGGATCCTATTCGCGTGGCGCACTTTCATCCCTATTTCAATCGCTGAGAGGCGACGTCTCCGTAGAATCAAACCAATCTGAGACTAGCCCCAACTAGTCCCCAGAGGACCTCGCGACTTCTGCCTAAAGATGCCTAGACTAAGTCGCTACCGAGAAAAGCCATCCGAATTAGAAGTGACTACCTACAAATGAAACTGGACACCCTTTGACAGATTGTAAAGTGGTCTTCATTGCTGATCAAGGAATTCACCTCAAATGACGGAGTTTACAGAGCTTCCCCCCGGAGTTGTTGACGCTTATTGTGTCACTTGCAGACCTAAAGTCGCTGAAATCTTTGCGACTGACAAATCACCTGCTATCCTCATATGCTAGCAGATGTCTATTCCGCGTCATTCATCTCTATTGTGATGAGGAAAGCTGCAAGAACTTCGAGGCCGTTGCATCTCACCCGGTCTACAAAGGTACGGTGCAGAGAATCCATCTCAATACCGTGACAGTTGACTACGTGAGTGTCATCAAAGTGAAAAGGGGTACGCTGCAATCTAAATTGAATCCTCGACTAACAGAGAGCGAATTAGGACACTGATGATGAAGATGAAATTCCACCTCCTACAGTGTGGCAAAAGCCTCTAAAGAAGCTGGAGCAATTTTCGAACCTTCAAAGCGTGGTTCTTCGCTTTGATAAAAACTGTGCTGAGGATCCTGATTTTGCGGATAAGCCTCAAACCGAGCTATACCGGCGAACAGTCATGCAGTGGCTCTTTGCAGAGTTAGCATCTCTAGATCAGCCCCTAAAAGAGCTTGCCATTCAAAATCACCAGAATGTTTCACCGAGAAACAACAAGCTCATTAGCCATATAGAGCAAGTTCTGCAGCACTTGACGTCTTTACGACTGAATGTCGTTCACGAACTTTGTGATGCTGCCCCTGAAACAGAGATTGAGGTATTTTACGTCACAATACCGTATTAAATGAATTCCTTCGCTCACCCCAAGACTAGAAACCCGCTCCACACGACTTCTTCACGCGAGTCCTGCCATCAATATGGCTCAAGCCAGCAATGGCGTCCCTTGAGAGCCTCGCATTGTACTCAACCTTCTATTGGGGTGCTTATCCTAAAGTGAATCTAGATGGAGTTCACTTCCCTCAATTGAAGTCATTATCCCTTGGTCATTTCTCGTTTGTCGACGACAAGCAATTGGATTGGATCTTGGGGCATTCGGCAACCCTTCAAGAGCTCTATCTGGATGACTGCCCTATACTGATAAGCATGAGGCTATTCGAATTTGAATCGAATCTTTCGAATTGCCAAATTCCAAAATCCAACATGGAGATCCAGGATCGGAATGGCCAGCAGGAATTCCATTATACCTATCCACGACGGTGGCATGAAATTTTTTCTTCTATTAAGAGGGGGCTTCCTCATCTACGTCGATTTGGTTTTGGTGTCAGTGAATCTTGGCATAGATTTGTGTTGCCATTCGAGAGTGAAAGCGAGATCGTACAGGCGTTGATGCAAGACCGATACCTGGCATTTGATGGCGGTACAGGGCCGAGTCCATATCTTGAAAAGGAAGATTATCTCGAATTCCATTCCGACAAAGAATGGCCGCAATGTGATGAGGAAGATAGAAGTGCGTTGAAAGAGTTGTATGCGAAAATTGGACAGCGAGTGGATTATGGGACGATCGAAGTTCGTTCTAACCGGACAGTGGAGAATTTATTACAGATACCGAGAGGATATTAGCAGAAGGATAGCAGAAGAATCTTGGAGATGCTACGCGATGAATTGCTGAACCCTTGAGCGGCCCTATGACAACTCTTGTCGTCATACCTTGTGAGAGAAGAGTCCTTAGACTACATTCCAATAACTAACGACATGATCCCAGTTGGATCAAATACCAGTCCCATGATTTGAGAGGCAAATGCTCGGCTACTTCAACCCCTTTCATGTTGTACGCTGTTACCGGTGGCAGTGCTTCCCAAGCCTGTCTAAGTACATTCACGTATTATTGCTGGCACATTCCGTACCGAGTAAAAATCAAACGCACATGGTATTCAATGTAACTTAGCTTGCCATCTCTCGGCGACTGGTGAGCTTTACTAGGTCAAACCAAAAGCCCGATTCGAGTGGGCTTGAACTGGTAGAGACTGGTTGGGATGAGTAGAGATGGGAGATTTTGCTTCAAAGTTCTGAAGTCGCGAACTTAGGCCTACAAAAAATGACGGCTTGGCCATTGTTGGAGGGTAACCTCCCGTGTGAGAATATAACCACTTTTCAGATTGTGAATATAGTTTCGAGCAATTCAAAACAGATATTATTCCAGTCCTATTCGACTATTTCAAAGATGCGAGCTGTTCTTACCATGCGCAGTCATCAATTGACCAATGCGCGGATCGACTTGACTAAACATTCCTTTAACGGCTTCCTTTAGCTCCACAGGCACATCTTCCAAGGTCTCCGAGACATTCGCCACCCATTGTCGTCTTTCATTTTCATCAAACACATCATTCCACAGTGCCCGGGGCTGAATGAAATCTTCTTCATTGACTTCGAGCTCGTGTTGACCGAGTAAAGCATTTTGTTCGATGCGCTCAGTATGTCGTACGTCTGAGGGCACCTGGCTGGGCACACCGCGACCTGAGAGTACTGCGAACGTAATTTGGCTCACCACCATAGTTCCGCGTCACAGTACCCATCCCATCTCGCTCAAAGGGATGAAAGACCGGGCAGATGGCGCGATTGGGAGGAAGCTGGGTATAGTTCACTCCCAAGCGGTATCGTTGAGCATCTGGGTAAGCAAACATGCGCGCTTGCAACACTGCATCGAGCAATAAGTTTGGTTGCGCTAGCCAATGCTCGGAAATCGGATGTGTACGTACTGGGGTCAGGGGTCATTGCGATTCCAGGAACCATGTTCGAAGGCGAGAATGCAGCTTGTTCAATCTCGGCAAAGTAGTTCTCAGGCTAAGATTCTTGTCAGTAAATAGGTCCCTTCTATAACCGGTACAGAGTGGACTCACGTTTTGATTCAAAGTCATTTTACCGACTTCAATCAATGGGAACTCTTTGTGTGGCCAGACTTTGGTGATATCGAATAGAGCCCGACCATAAGTCTCAGCTTGCTCGGGCTCCATCACCTGCACACATAATTTCCAAACTGGGAACTCTCCACGAGCAATACCATCCGCCAAGTCCTGATTGTGATAATCGGGATTTACGCCGGCGACACGAGTGGCTTCCGGTCCAGAGAAATGGGTCATGCTCTGGGCAGGCCGAAAGTGGAACTTACAGTAACGGAAGCTGCCATCTTCAGCCACCATCTTGAACGTATGCACGCCAAAACCAGTGACACGACGGATCGAGTTCGGAATGCCACGAGAACCAAATAGATGCATAAGTGCATGCACACTTTCCGGCTGATTGACGTGGAAGTCCCAAAACTACATCGTTAGCGATATTAGGCGAGATTATGATGGGGCATAGATTGGCACACACCATAGTCCAGTCCGGCCGATTTGTAGCGGGGTGTCTTTTGTGGCTTCTATTTAGGGATGGGAAGCGAATTGGGTCTCGTACGAAGAACACAGGCTGCGGCATGACATGTTATTCTTAGATCATCACCCTTGCCAAGCAATGTGAGACTCACAATGTGGTTGCCGACGATGTCGTGATTGCCTTCCTCGGTATAGAACTTGACGGAAAAGCCACGGACATCACGGACGGTGTCTGCACTTCCTTTTTCACCACCGGTTGTACTCAGACGGAACAAGACCTTCGTCTTCTTCCCAACGCCATTGAGGAATTTCGCTGACGTGAGCGATGAAATGTCATTAGTGACCTCGTACTCACCCCAAGCACCCGACGCTTTCGCATGGACTACTCTATTATTAGGTGTCAGCAATTGACTTTAGACGAATCAATCAATCAAAGCGATCATCCGTACCTCTCCGGAATGCGCTCGCGATTGAAATGTGCAAGAGTTTCGAGCAGAAGGGTATCGCCCAGAGTCGTGATGCCTCCGCCTCCAAAAATAGGCAGCGTGGTACTAATCGAAGGGTCGGAGATTGGCTGGCCTTTACAGCATGTCAGATTGGCAAGCACAAAATGAATATTTAGAACTGACCTTCTGCCAGTGTGAACTTGGGATTGGACATTTGATGGCTTTTTCAAAGGTATTGTCACGATGTGGTGGGACTGCGTTGTTCTGCTAGGGGGATGACCCGGCTTTTATGATGCTATGCATACTTTTTACACAGGAGATCTATGGGAACAGACCAGTCATGGGCTCCGGATTGTCGGCTCATCATTGACGGGCGACTCTGTGTTGTGATTCCTATCAGGGCATGCGGTAAGCAAATGCGGGACAGACCAGCCCGTGTTGGAGCTGGTACGAAATGGAAGCCGAGATCCCGAACGCCAATCTGCGGCGACGAGACACAAGATGATGCACAGTGTAGTTGGAGACAGTATGCAGTATTTACTGTGTTCATACGTCAGCCCTACTGAAGCTCATGGCAAGCTAACCCATTAGTAACCGAACGCGGCCTAGAAGCTGTGTCCCTGTCATCGGCATAAACTCGGCGCTCTCGGAAAACAAGAGAAAACTTGGCCAAGCGGCAGTAATTTCGATGATGATAGGCTAATTGGGCTGTGCGGTGTTAACTATAGCTTCCCCTCATGAGGGGTAAACCGTTGGAGATTCCGATGTCTCGTGTGGTGTTAAATGATAACAATCCATTCAAATGTCTGAGGTGCCGAGTCCCCGCTTACCACAACAGGCAATACTACCACTCTGAGTGCTGGGTTGACATCAATGCAAGCCACTCCACTGATCTTACAATAGTTACAACTCACTTCCGAGATATTCCCGTCGCATTATGATGACACTCGGAAGACGGCACGGTCGCGAGACACACCGAGGTAGAAAGACTGGTGAGATGGGAAGTATAGATATAAACCAGAAGAATGGATGCTGCTTTTCCTCTGTTCTGCACACTTGAACACAAACTCACTTCCTTTCTCTTTCCCCGTCCATAAACCAACCAATTGCAATCATGGCGATGGTATCCAATGGCTCCGAGTACGACTTCATCATCGTGGGTGGAGGCACAGCCGGCAATGCGGTCGCAGGTCGCCTCGCCGAGAACCCCAATGTCCGCGTTCTAATCGTCGAAGCTGGTATTCCGAATCCCGATCAGATCGAGGAGATCACCACTCCCTCAAAGGCCTTCAACCTTCGTGGGAGCAAATATGACTGGGCCTACAAAACAACCATGATCAAGCGCGACGACTACGAGCGCGTAGAAAAGCCCAACACTCGAGGAAAGACTCTTGGTGGAAGTTCATGCGCCAACTATTTCACTTGGATTCCCGGCTCCAAGCCAACCTTTGATGACTGGGAGTCTTTTGGCGGCAAGGACTGGACTTGGGACAGCTGCGTCGACTACCTGCGAAAGTGTGCAACCTACCACGACGATGAGAAGTTGTATTCGACCGATTTGAACAAGATCGGAACTGGCGGTCCTCTGCATATTTCCCATGCTGAGTTGGTACCGGAGATGAAGCCTTTCCGCGATGCGCTCACCCAGGCATGGGTCTCCAAGGGTCATCCTCTGAATGAGGACATCTTCTCCGGGGAAATGAAGGGACTGACACACTGTGTGGACACAATTTACCAGGGCGAGCGTCAAGGTAGTTTCCTGTACCTGAAAGGAAAGCCCAACGTGACCATTCTCTACGGTGTGCAATCCAAGAAGCTGATCATTGACCCGATTACGCACATCTGCTCAGGTGTCACTGTGATCAGCGAAGCTTCAGGCACCGAGATTAGTATCTTTGCTAGTCGCGAAGTGATCTTGTCCCAAGGTGTCTTTGAGACGCCCAAGCTTCTTATGCTTAGCGGTGTTGGCCCGGCCGCGGAGCTGGCTAAGCACGGAATCTCTCCCGTGGTGGACTCTCCTCATGTCGGTCAACATCTTTTGGATCATCCTATCGTACCATTTGTGCTTCAGATCAAGGATGGATACAGTCTAGATGACCACATCCTCCGCCCTGGCCAACTTCATGACATGGCCGTGGCTGAGTACAAGAAGAACAAGACCGGACCTATTAGCTCGGGTCTTTTGGAGCTTGTCGGATTCCCTCGTATTGATGAACGCCTGGAGAAATATCCCGCCTACCGCGAGGCGAAGGCTGCAAACGGCGGTTTGGATCCATTTGGACCCGCTGGCCAGCCTCATTTCGAGCTTGATTTCGTCGGCATGTTCAGCACCGCCTTCCAGTGGCACTTCCCTGTGCCCGAGAAGGGCAGCTACATGACCGTCATCGTTGATCTGTTGCGGCCTCTTTCTGAGGGCGAGGTCACTCTGAACAGCGCGAATCCCCTGATTCAGCCAAACATCAATCTCAACTTTTTCGGAAATGATCTGGACATTTTGGCGATGAGGGAGGGTGTCCGCTGGACATACGATGTCCTGACTAAGGGTAAGGGTTTCAAGGACCTCGTTGTCGCAGAGTACCCCTGGAGAATGCCTCTTGAGTCTGATGATGAGATGAATCGAGCTGTTCTTGATCGAAGCCAGACTGGATTCCGTGAGTATTTCCCTACAAGGAGAGAGGAGAGTGATTTTCGAAAGCTGACTCCCATTAGACCCCTGTGGAACCGCACGTCTGTCCAAGAACATCCATCAAGGTGTTGTCGACTCCAAGCTCCGAGTGCATGGAGTCAAAAATCTCCGAATCGCGGATGCCTCGGTGATCCCTGTGATTCCAGATTGCCGGATACAGAATTCGGTTTATATGATCGGCGAGAAGGTCAGTACTAATTTCCGAGAAATTTCCTTGACAAGGCTGACGATTGTGATAGGGTGCGAATATCATCAAGGCCGCGCATGAGGATATCTATGGGGGAAAGAAGTTCCCTCACTTTGCTGCCAGATTGTAGAAGATTCCCCTGCAAGTTCGCGTCGAAATAGTCAGCTACTTTACTTGGACATGAATTTTATTGTCTAAGAATAGCGAAAATCTAATTGCGATCCGTGCGTGTATAGGAATTCAAATGCAGTATAAATTAGTGACGATTAAAATGGACACATTCAGCGACCACAAAATTTGCCGTTGGTTTGGCTGTTGCTGCGACCGTTAGAGTAGCCGTCAGAGTAGCCATGAGGGTGAAAATTGAATGCACCATTATCATCATCATCATCAATCTCCGCCTCAATGATCATCTCATATTGCTGAGGATCAGGCCAGAAATTGACAATTTTGAAGCCTGCATTGTTTAAAAGACTTGTCCACATCTCCTGAGTACGCTCCGAAGCCGACAGCACCAACATCATGTTCACGTCCATCGTGGTTTGGCTGATACTCGCTCCCGTTGGCGAAAGGACTATATCATAGACAAACAGCTTGGAGTAACCCTTCACCATTGCAGCTCTGGTATTTTCTAGCAGTTTTTTGGCCTTCTCATCTGGCCAGTCATGGAGGACGGCGTGCATGAAATACGCTCGGCTGCCTGTGATATTCCTATTAGCAAAGGTTCGTATACGCTGGCATATTCTCTTACCTTTGACAGGCTAGGGTAGGAAAAAGGCATGAGCTACCGCGGATATCTTCTTATCGACCTGAGCGTTGGCAATGATCTCGGGAAGGTCTTGTAAGATAAGTGATCCAGCGGGAAGTTCAGGGTGCTTGTTGAGAACATGCGTGATATAGATACCAGTTTTTCCACCAACATCAACCACAAAGGGAGAGCCGTTACTCAGATCAGCGTTCTCCAACAGCTTGGTCGTATCATAGACCTTGGTCCAAGGGGTCTTCCATGTTGTCCAAGCCTCCATATGGCCAGTAAAAGCTTCGAAAGAAGCGGGACTCTTTTGAAGCCTCCCAAAGAAAGTGAGACCATCTGGGTCACTGTCGGTATGGTTGTTCTGATTCCCGTCGGTAGGTTCTTGATATGAGATCTTGGCGAGGTAGGCCGGCAAATTGTGACCAGCAGAAATGTACTGATTAGTTCTAAACAGGTTCTCAGTTTGATATGTGGAGTTATCAGAAAATTGATCCTTACGCTGCTTGAAGTGAGGCGCGTACTTTTGTCTTTTCGTCGCCAATAGCATAGGAGAAAGGCGTCGGCTTGAACTTGTCCTCGCCTGTCTCTTCAACAACATTGAAAGCCGCCAAGAGGCGGAACAGGCGACCTTCATTTACTTTGTAAGCTGAAATGTTCATGACACGGTGGAGCTAAAGCCTTACGTAGTAGATTGGTCGCAACAGTAGGAGTGCTCATCTTTGCGAGTTGGTCGATGGTTTTCTCACCACCTCCAATTCCAGTCCATGCTTTCCACAGCCCTACATCAATGCATGTCTGCAGAGCCGCGAAAACAGCAGGATGCTCAAAGCAAAAGCCCCAGGCGCGTTCATAGGGTGATTCGAAGAGTTGGAACCCCAGTACGCCAGGGCATTGTTGGCTTGATTTCTCGAACGTTGGCTATACCGTCGGATGTGAGTAATAGACTCTGTCGCTTCTTCCTGGCGCAGAACTCCCATATCTGATCTCTCTTATCTACAGCATGGTTCGTGGCTGCCGACTTTTCTTTCGCAATACTGCCGTGGTTCGTTGTCTGGGATCTCAACATGAAGCAGAAGGAGAAGATCACCGTCGCATGTGGTTTGAGCCTTGGTATTTTGTACGTCTCCAAGTCACTTCCGTCGCTTGATACCATCTGACTTCCACTCTACAGCGCCGGAATTTGTGGCATCGTCCGTACTGTCGCATTATCAGGCCTGAATGCATCTGAGTACAGCTGTACGTTCCTTTACCCCTCCTACCAATGAACAGAGATAAAGACAAGATCCAGACGACACCGTCCCGATGCTCATCTGGTCTGCCACCGAAAGCTGCGTCACAATTATGTGCTCTTCAATCCCCGTCCTCCGCCCTCTCTATGTCCGCGTCCGCACGGAAAAGATGGCAAGAGCGGTTCATCTGGCAATGCCGACTACAAATTACCGAAGTACCGCAACCACAGTACTCGCAAATACGGCAAACTTTCAATCTCCGGCCCTGACCACTCGAACTGCGGAACCTACCCGAAAATGGTCATCTCGTACAACACGAGAAATACCAGTGATGAGACGATCATTCGCGAGCCGAAAGGTATCGCTAGGACGGATGAGATATCTGTAAGCTATGAACAATTTGGAAAGCTGGGCTAGATTGAGGCACAAAAGGGCTCCGATCATTCTTGGTCGCGAGCTTCATGTATGATGGAAATGCTGATGTATATGGTCGGGCTAGTGGCAATGAGGGCACTGGACGCTTGATAAATGCTTATACAACATCTGTTGTCACCCAAAACTCATTTTTCTCACCCAAAAAAATGTAGCGCTTATCATTGGGCTGAGGCTGGCCAGCCTTCGCATTGTTTCTTCTTTTCCTTTTCGAGTCCTAATTTAGCCACTAATTACCAAAACAGAAGCCTTGTACACAAGCTTGCGTTGTTTCTTATTCATCAGATGACTCAGTAAGATCTCTCTCTGCCTTATAAATCTTCCCACAAGCGCCTTTCAAGCAGAATGGCGCACAGAGCACATTCGACAAAATGAGAATTTTTGATTGGGTATATGAAATGCATTTAGATGCTGAAGGTGCTGCAAACATGAACGGTGTGAATCCTGAATCATGCGGGCCCCGATTCGAAGCGCGATACGTAGAATCACAGTCAGACTATAGATTCCTCGGCACTTGCCTTTGCTGCAAGCTCCAGCACAGATCTCTTCTCTCTCTCGGTTCCATTTCGCCGCTGAGCGGTATCGCAATGTTGAAGATTGCCACACTCACACTCGCCCCCTTCCCGAAGCCACCGATATGTGATACTCCATCGATTCTCACGTGGTCTCACAGTCCCATTCGGAAGCGTATCATTTTTGCGCTTCTTGATACCATGTGTCCAATGCAGCCTTGAATCCCCTGACATCTGCATCATGCTCCTTGGTTTGAGATCCACCTCGATCCGCTCCTCGCCCCTGCGGAACTGCATCAGAGCTGGTGCACCAAGAGAAAGTGCGTAGAGCTGATCATAGGGTCCGTGTGCATCTACATGGGCGGGATGCCGGCACCTGGCGGGTAATACTGCAGACAGACCTGGTCCGGAGGTCGGGATTCCGTAGTTGGGATAAGAGGCTGAAGCCACTCGGGAAACTCCTTGTAAGGGATCTCTGGATCTATGCCGAAAGTTTTATAGTCGAAAGTATAGCCGTAGTGAAGAGATATCCGACCGGGGCGATCGGGCCATTTCAGCTCGTTAAGGAAGATGGAGATAAGTCGCTGCTCATGTTCAACGTCGATGAACTCATCTTCCCATATGATGCCATGTGGCTTGATGGGCAATTCTTTAAATTTGCTCCGCTCCTCCATGCCCCTAGTTTCTTTAACACAATGTTGTTTCGAGGAAGTTAAGTTGCGATGCTGACCACGTGACATGCAGATTCTGGTTTTTTTTTTCTTTTCGAGGTTCGGCGATTTTCACGCGTCGCGCGGCCCCACCACGTTACAAGTCAGCTGTTAATCAAGATTGTGAGGGTTGCAAAGCATAGCTTTGTGGTAAATGCTGCGTGAAGGTGCAGCTTGCAAGATTGCAAGATTTGATAAAGACTATATAAACGAGCCGAGTCTTGATTCCTCATTTCCTATGAATGTGTGCCTTATTTTTTATCTCTCAGACGATGACCATGCATAATCAATCTCCCTACAGAGCGTGCTGTTCTTATCATTGTGTAGATCCAAATAAGGGCGATATTCAGTGTCCAGATAATCAAGTCTTTGTCAGATTCTTTTTGCTTACCAGAAAGTAATGGCGAACCTGTTCATCGGCACTGGTGATGAACCTCCAGGGGCAGGCGGAGTCGCCCTCGGCACCCCACACCCACCCAGTTAAGCCCCCGCTCGACCCTCCGAAGCTTACCCCGGACAAGGCGCACTTGTTGCAGGCCCTCGGTCATGGTCTTGAGAGGGTGTTCTCAAGCGGGGTATTCACTTACGCCTCCGAAAAATCTCTCAATTTAACACGCGACCCGTAGATCAAATCTAAAGTTCAATCTTAGCCGGTTTGTTATTACGTTTTCTGGCTAGTTCTCAACGCTATATTGTACTCATGGTCTAAGCCCACCAGTCACCCTGCATTAGTCCCGCATGAAGCTGCGGCATTAAGGCCCCGAGGTACCTAAATATGGAGATAATTTCACATGGGGTCCCCGAAATTGCAAATGCTCAAGGTGATTGGCACTTTTGTGGTCTCCTCCGCCCTCGTTCGTTTCGAAATAGGTTGATCTGTCATTGCTTTTAAAGTCTAGAGCACGCCCCCTCATCGCTTGCTTGATTTTCACGCGACTAGTTTTGAAGGAACTCCAGGAGCCCAAACAGAATGGCGGACATTCCAGAGAAGTCTGCCCCGGGATATGTAGGCAGGCTGGATGCCTCACAACAAGAGAAACTTCACCAGTTTTGGAGGATTTTAATGCAATCCTGGGATTCAACTATCTCTGGTCCCGATCCTAATCGCAAACTTCACTCCTCTTCTAACGGTACCACGAAGTCGCATCGACGTTTCTTCTCCCTTGGGCGATCACAGACTCAGCCAACGGGAGAAGAGACTACAGCCATCCCACCCAACTTACTCTCCTCATTGAAAAGCCTAGACGCAGGCTCAAATGAAATCAAGACCATCAACACGCTTTTTAAAAAGCTCCCAGGGGATAAATTGCGCGCAACTTTTATCTCGACTCTCAAACAAGATCATCCGGACGCGCTCTGCCTACGCTTCATCCGGGCCGAAAAAGGGAACATTCCCAAGGCATGGATCAAGCTTGTCTCCGCCCTGAACTGGCGAGTCAATGAGTACAAGGTCGACGAAGAAGTTAGTCTCAAAGGCGAAGATTATCATCTGGAGAAATCACGCCAGAGTGGAGACTCTCCCGAGAAGAAAGATAGCCAGGGTTTTGTACATCAGCTGAGAACTGGCAAAGGTCACTTCCATGGAGCTGATAAATGGGGTCGTCCCATCTGCATCGTCCGCGTACGGACACACAATCCCAGTGATCAGACGCTGAAGGGATTAAACGACTACATCATTCATTGTATTGAGACGGTGCGCTATTTGCAAGTTCCTCCGGTGGAGACGATGGTAAGTTTCAGCAGATCTAGAACTCCTCAGAATAGTGTGGACCGACTCACATTCCGTTTCAACTAGGCTATTATCTTCGATCTGAGCTCGTTCAGTCTATCTAATTGGGTAAGCATGACATCGCAGACGACTTTTATTGATAGCTTGGAAGCTAATCAACAATCCAGGATTTCCCTCCCGTCAAATTCATCATCGACAGCTTTCAAGAAAATTACCCCGAATCTCTCGGAGCCCTGATCTTCTACAATGCTCCTTGGATCTTTTCTGGTACGCTTGGATATCCAGTAGCTCGTCGCAGATGTCAACACTAATCTTTTACTGAAAACAGGCTTCTGGAAAATCATCCACGGTATTCTCGACCCTGTAGTCGCCGCAAAGGTCCACTTCATCAGCGGCGCCAAAGAACTTGAAAAGATTGTGCCACGATCCCGGATAATCAAAGAACTTGGCGGTGAAGAAGACTGGGAATACGAATATGTTGAACCTAGTTCAAATGAGAACGAGAGATTGAAAGACTCAATCACGCGCGAGAGCATCCAAGCAGAAAGAGAAAAGCTCGGTGATGAGCTTTTCGCGTTGACATCTAAATGGATATCAATGTCCCAGAGTAATCCATCGCCGCCCTGTCGCGATGATGTGATTAGAAAGCTGCGCGAGAATTACTGGCAGCTTGATCCTTACGTGCGCGCGCGAAATATTTTGGATAGGACTGGTGTTATCAAAGCAGATGGGAGTATTGATTTTTATCCTGAGAAGGTTACACCGGGGGTGAATGAAAAGCCCAAGGTTGTGACGGAGCGTTTGGAAGATGCACAGGTTCCTGCCGTCGCCGCATAGTTTTGTCGCGATGAGGATTATTGTTCGAGATATCGAGTTCTACTTTTTGTTCTATACGTATAGGGACATGTTGAATGAACTTAAAGTTTCTTGTTTTTGCTTCCGTTAACCACCCCCCCCCCCCACCCCGGCGCGTGATTTGTAGAGAAAGTTCGAATTCAGCCTTCTTCAGGTAGAGAGTGCCGGGCATCTCCACGAGCCTGTTACTGCTGGCTTGATTTTTTTTCATAGAGTTGATGATGCGGATAATCCTAATATCGGTCACTTCACTACTACCAAACGGGGAGACCTTGGCTTTCAGCGGGGTTTGAGAGTGACCTCGGTTTCGAGACCGGATTTCAGGTAGTTTAAATTAAATTTGTAAAACTATCTAGCATGGCCTTTGAATTAGGATTTACATGATTGCTTTCGACGCCCACTCAGTAATACTTTCAGCCTCCCAATAAACTTCCCTCAAGCTACCCATCACCTCCAAACACGTCTGGAAATCCTTGACCGCCTGGTTCCTCTCAGGTGAGAGCGAAGCCTTCAACTGAGACATATGTATAATCAGTGCCACGAGAATCGACGTGACACCAGTAATGGACAGCCTGTTGTGTAAACTTTTTTCAAGAAGCTCAGAAGCTATTAGCGTGATTTGACTCGCAGCATGTTGAACGCAGAACCTCGATGACGGGAATGGTTGTAATTGGTGAAGGATCGCAATAGTCGTGTAAAACTGTAGATGGAGAAGACTGCGCTGAACGGCGATTGTTGGGTCGTCCGCATTGCTACTTTCTGCAGAGGGGGCGTGGCAGGATGATGGTAGTGAGTTGGCCCAATCAGCTAGCTTGTATTCTGAAATAGATACCCGCGCAGCATGATCAGTTTCGTCTGTGTTGTTTATTTGGACTGGTGATCCGGCGGATGCGTATATGTGGTTGGTCTTGCCTCTGAATTCGAGGACTTCACTGATGCAGATGCATAATCGGGTATTCGCGATGTACATACGGGCCAGTTCCTTTTGTGCATCAATATTATATGCTATCGGACAGTTGGGTAAAATGCTCTGTTTCTCTGCAGCGAGACTGTAAAACTCAAAGTCGTCTTCGGTCAAGATCTGGTGGCTGAAACCCAATTCGTGGATATTTGGTCGACATCGTAATCTCAATGAGATTAGACAGTCAGTTGTGTAACATGCCCAGGCGACCCGCTTCCATAGCCTGGAACTATGGTCGAAGTTTCTGGTACCGGCCGGATCCTGGAGAAGGCCGATGGATGTTGCCATGGAGATGGCGACGCCGATCCAATAGCTGCTGTCGTCGCCGTCTTTCGCGTCAACTCGGTAGGTCAAGAGAAGCATTGCTTGCACGATGGTGAGTGTATCTTGCTCGTAATTTGCTTGATAGAGAAGCTGTTCCTTGTCAGCTGTACAACATGATCAAAATTAAACCAGCCTGACTGACCTTAGCTTTCTGGAAAAAGGCTTCATGTGCCTCTCGCCTGCTGGTGTAACCCGCAGCGTGAAGATGTTTCAAATCAACAAAAGTAGTCGCAGAGAACATGACGGCATGGAACAGAAGCAGACTGATCGAGCCGTGGCCATGGCTACGTCCGTAGATCGCATTCAAAAACCCTTGCAATTCAAGGATTGGCATGGTCGGTTGTACGCATTCAACAAAAGCTTGCAAGAGAGCACCTTGGAGGCGTTCACCTGGAAGCGAAAGAACACTATTTGCATGGAGTGAATCAATGGTAACCGAACCCATGCTTTTGGGAAGCGGATTTGCGAAGTCTGGAAGCAGTGATGCAAGGCTCAACGTCGAGGAAAGGGACGAAGGAGAGCCCTGAGATGAGCTCTCGGAGCTGAAATCGGTGAAAGTATTCCAGAACTCATCCTCTGTGGATTCAACCATCGGCTGAGTGTTCAAAGAGAGGGGTGGTGGAACTATTTTTGAGGATCAACTTGATTAGCGCCGCGCCAACATGCTTCAAACAAAATCACAGTCGCTTGTATCGAGGAAGCTCACAAGATGAGTCAAGTGGCAAGATCGTCCAGTCAGTATCAAGGTTTCTTGCGATACCCGAGTACTTGTCGCCATAGGCAATATAATGCGAAGATAGATCTGCTTGGTAGGTATTGTTTGTGGAACTTCCGAAAGTCCAGAGCCCATCCGGAAGAGGGGAAGACATGTCCGAGATTTTGAAGTCTACTCTTCGTCTGTGATTTTATGAGTCCAAAGAAGCCATAGAGTCAAGAGGCCGTTGCTTACCTTTTGCTATTCCGTTGGTCAATCTCGTCGAAAGCTTTATGGTTCCAGTTCGGGCATGGTACTCCAGGAGCAGCTGCGCAGATGATCTTATTCACTCGACATGAGTGACACGCCTTGTAAGGTACCTCTAGGCGCGGCATATGCTGATTTTGCGGGAACAGCATGGTGACTACCGCCTAATAACGCCGGAACAGGAAACTAGAGAGTATAGAGGTACAACGAGGCGTATGGAGGGTGTCGAGTCAGTCCTGGGGTGGCCAAGTGCCAAGTTCTCGACGATATCTTTGGGTAAAACTGAGGAGATATTCCAACGTGAGAGTGAGGAGAGACCTGGATGATCTCAGAGAGCGTATGCAGCGATTTGCGAAGTCTGGGGTTCGCACGCTAGTTTGACTCGGGCTTGCTCATTATCATCAAGGAGCTAGATCCACGTCTTTCATTCAAAATCTGCTACTCTCATCCGTCATGAAACATTGAATTAGAAGCGAGGCAGACAAGACCTTGAAAACGACCGGACTTGCACCACCTTAAATGCAAGATCGCTGGGTCTCTCGACGTAATCCGGGCTGTTTCTTCTCAATCGGGCTAGAGTTGGCGTCGACCGCACGGTAATACAATCTCCTGTGATTGGATAGCCCCGGATGCTTACTTCCAGATTCGCTCAGCCCCGGATTTTCGGATGCTTCTGACACCGGCGTTCAGATCCCAGATCAGGGATTGGCTACGGCGGGGAAGATCATTTGACGCACGACTCCATTTCAAGGCCAAATAGGCCCAAGATGAATCCCGTGGGGTCAACTTTATCGGCTATATGCCTCTATCGGTGGGGTAAGATTCGGAGGGATGACCTCATTGTAAAGATTGGACATGAATTAGTGGCTTGGTATAGTTACTTAAGTGGAAGAGCATAATTAGGATCACGGAGGCATTGCTGCATGAAGTTGTGTTTCGACCAGTTCAAACCATAATCCCCCCGAAACCTGTCTCTCGGGATGCTCGCACTCGCTTGACAAATTCCTGAAGTCTCAATGCACTTGTACTTTGAACAGTAAATGATGACAATCGTTCCAATAAAGCCTCTCCGGGGCCCTGGATCTCAAACATGGACACCGTCAAAGGAAACACAATAGGCAAAGCGGTGGTCTTCTGGGTTTCTGATTTGGTGAAAAACGACATTTCGGCGAATATACTGTTGGCAAGGTCTCGGCCTGCGCCATCTTGAACGCCCAGGGGATACCGCAGGCGGTGAATGACCAACAGAGCCGCAAGGCGATAAACATTTGCTTGTGTCACCATCGCCAAGATCTCATGTTGAGCAAAATCTTCGAACATTTGAGGGGACGTTCGAGGTTTCCAATGCAGAATTTGTTCTTCAATCTCAGCTAGCCGCTGAGAGTGTCCCGGGCAGAAATCCGACCCGAGGTCTGTGACATCCCTCTTCATGTCGTGACTGCATACACAGAGATCATAGAGAATGGGTAGAAGGGAGGTACAGAGGCCCGCATAGCGATCTATGATGATTCTTTCTGTGACGGGCAGTTTTATTATAGGAATCTCGCGACGCGCCAAGCATTCCACCGTGTCGATTAAGATAGGAGTCATGATGATTGTGTCCATGACTGGGTATTGGAGGAGGGTCGAAAACCATGATTTGGTTGACATCAGAGAACTTCGGATGATGGAGTGGGCGGTGGAGGAGTCGTGTGCGGTGAGCACGTTGAATACGTACATGGTTTGTCCCAGAAAGAGGGCGCAAGCCGCATCATAAATTTGCGTTATTTTGACGCTTCGTAATCGCTGCAAGCCTAGGGCCGCTTTCTTCATGTCGGGAGCATCTCGTCGCATAATGAGTGATCTTTGATAGCTCGTCATCAGTCCGATGAATGCCAAATAACCTTCGGTCAACGTCGGCGCAGAAAGCTGTAAGATCGCATAAACAGTCTTTTGGGACTCGGGGACGAAACTCGTTCCCCACATGAATGGCATATGAATCGCAGTAAATTGATCGACGTCCAGCACTGTGCGTATGGCATCTTGTGTGGTTTGAAGTTCGGTGGGGTAGGCGAGCAGCTTCTCCGGCCCTAAAAGCATGGAGTCATCGCTGTCGGGAGAGTCGATTTTTTGAAGAGTTCCCAATTCTTCCGTCGTATCGGAAGGGACACTCGAGATTGATCTTGATCGAGGGACACTCGGTGATGCCTTGACGTCACAGGTATCGGACTGGCGTTGATGGGGCTCGACGCTCCATATCTGCATCTCGCCATGCGGGAAGGCTTTGGCGGCAGGGCGACGACCGATGCGCCTGTTGCGCCTGGATGTGGAACATGTGATTTTCAGGCGCCGGCACCTGGTGCATTGCTTCTGTTCATCGGTAAAAGTGCATTTTTCCTTACTCAAGTGGCACCGGTCGCATGCCCGTAACACCATCTTCTCAAGAGAGTAGAGGTAACCCGAAGGAGACGGCAAGGCGACCGGGGTCAATGGAGCGCACGAGAATGAGGTTAAGAAGAGGGGAGATTGGAAAGATGAAACACGAATGTCGGAGAACCGATCTCCCGGACGCAACTTCCCCGCTTTCCCCGGGATTCTCCCACGGGCCAATAACCGAGCGCTGATCAACGCCTCCAATTGCCATTTCAGGGGCTAGAAGTCGACTCGGGCGAGTATCGGCTCTCCATAAAGCTGGACAGAGAGTGAACTGATCTACCCCTAGGAAGATAGCTGTATTTTGCTTGTGTTTGATATTCCCAGCTAATCTATGGCCGATGATCTAAGGGGCGCCACGAGCATAGTCCAGGGCGGGGGTTGACGCTACCAAGTATCAACACTAGGGAACCGGCTATCTCCATCTAAGCTGTAAAGTGGGTTGACATGCATAAGCTGATGTCTATGTGAAACAGGCCGGACGTCTACAAAAGACTCCACGTACTTGTGCGATGTTCGCAACTATCACATCTCGTGGAAAACGTGAACACCGGATCTCAGGTAATGGCTTGGCGTCATACTATAGAATCCGATGCGATGAAACTCATTAACATCGAAGGAGAAAATCAGACGTATGTTAATGTAACGTCGAACCTATTCGGTCGCCCCTCTTCTTCTCCTTTGGATGGAGTATGCTTTGGTCTAATGCATATACACTCGTTCCTGGGAAATGCTATGAGTTATCCGTTGTGGATTTATGGTACCAGGCAGTAGCTTCCATGCCCGCTACCATCACATCCACAAACTTGAGGGAGCTTTTCATCCGACCGAAGGCGTGGGAGCCTCCGTTTCGTCATCGATCATTTGAAAATGCCAGCGGGTCATACTAATGAGCAATAGTCATTTTGGTGGATCCACGCTAGCTTGAAGCTTAGGAGATGCGGAACCCCCCCAAAAAGAAGAACGGTTAGCGGTAGATCACAACCCTGAATATGAGTTCTCAACTCTGATCAAATCCGGGCGAGACAACTCCCGCACTCGGAGACACACTCTTTAATATGAGGGATGATGAAGAAATTACACTAAACGACATAAGCCTGATGTTGTGTGGCGATTAGGAAGGTCTCCCGAGACGAACTCTTTCTATTCAACGCTTCGAGCCACGGTTCGATGAACAATCGATCATTTCAATAGTGCTTGCTTTTTCTGTTTTCTGATGTGAAAGGCTCGCTCGGCCAGCATCGCAGCGACAGCCATAGCGTCCACGTAAGCCGCGACACGGACGGAGTAGGGAGCGAATTTTCAGCTATTTTGTACTTATCACAGGCCCTAGAGATGGCTCATTGTGTGGTCACACGCCCAGACATTCTTTTGGTCCAGTTATTTGATAGATCATATTCCATTTTTCTGGATATGAATGTTGCGGTGTGATAAAATCGGTCGCAGATGCGTTCCTACTCGTGCTTTTGTGGAACTTCAAATTCCTTCAGCTCAGCTCGTGCATTGCACGCTTTTCACAGCTCATGGGCTCTTGGCTTTCCTGAAGTCTCAGTTCAATGAAGCCCGTAAATACAGGGGATGCCCAGTACTATGTCTCACACTTTACACCTAGTCTGGACTACGCTTGTTCTCGGGTTAGGCATAGGAGCCATCGGTGGTGAATGGGCCTGAGGCCATTACTTCAAAACGTAACTTTCCGGAGCCTTTTAAAGGCCTAGAACTATGAGAGATTAACAGTGTCCCATGTGGGACGATAGCTCGGCTTCTCCATTCGTCTCCATTTGTCTCGGTTGGTCTCGGTTGCATCAGGTGAGACATCGCGTCAAAGCGTCTAGGAAACGCCATTTCACTTGGATTTCTTGGCAATGCGTCACTGCCACAGAGACTCGCCTCAAACAACTTTTGAAGTCGTGTGTGGTATTGAATGCTGTTGATTTCAGCAAGGTCTTTGCAAAACTTATCGACAAATACAAAGGCCGTAATAGTTACCATTCGACCTTGAAAGACCTGCCAGAGATTATGGTTGTATTGATATTTAATACCCTGAGAAGGCACCTGATATTTATTTTCACTATGTTTCTATCTCATCCGCCTGTTCATAGATGATCAACCCGAGCATGCGGTCGCGACCAAAAGGATCATCCGAGCTCAATGATTTGCTGCCAACTCTCTCCTTTCCTCATTCGAACCTCTAATTTCTAGGTATTTGTGTGCCAATAGTTTCCAGTGAGTATTTTGTCCGTAATGCGTCCGTTAAACCAGTCGTGTCTTGTTCCTTGAACCCATGTTATGTCGGGTCAAGGAAAGCATTCGTTAGGCCTCTTCCGGGACCGCAGCCAATGAATTTCCGATTTGATTATTCCTCTCTCTGCGACGGAAGTATACTCGCTTGGCCCATTTCCAGGCTTCGACGCCCATGAAGAAAAGAATAGCCTCCACTGCCACAATTCCCCATTCCCAGGTGATTGGCTTGTGTTTGAAGACAACGTCGTTGAGCACCGGGATGTAGAGAATGGGGAACATAGTAACCCACCCAGCCATGATGGAATAGAACAGGAACTTATTTCGCCAGACATCGTACATCCACTGAGTGAAGTATTTCTTGGATTTCGGTTGCATGCGGAAGAACGAGCGGCGCATATTAACCATTTCCCAAGCCAAAAACAAAGCAAACCAAGTCAGGCACACAAAGGTGGTGGCTCGGGCTCGAAAAACTAGCTCACAGTCTTTGATCTCTTCGGACCACTCTTTGTTGCAGCCACGGGCCAAGTTACCATCGCCGAAGCCCCATATGCGGATGGAGAAAGCTGCCAAACAGAGGGCTGCGGTCCAAACGCCGTATACCATGATGTCGATAATCACCTCCCAGGTGAAAATACCTTGTTTGCTCTGTGGAGGGCGATCCATGATATCGGGGCAGCGACCTCCATTCCCAGGCCCATGTCAGGCATGCCCGAGGTGATCATGATGACCCAGAGGATTTCAACAGGTGCAAGCGGGAAGACGGACTGATTGTCGGCATCTTTGAAGGCTAACCCGATAAGCAAGGTGCAGGCTTGAGCAATGTTTTCGGATAACAGGTGCAGCACAAATTTCTGAATATTGTCGAAAATGCGTCTACCCTCTTCAACAGCATTGAGAATCGAGGCAAAGTTATCATCCGTCAGGATGATATCAGACGCGTCTTTGGCCACATCTGATCCTGCTTGCCCCATAGCGATACCCACGTCGGCATGCTTCAGCGAGGGAGAATCATTCACACCATCTCCAGTCATGGCTGCGAAGCGGCCTCGGCGATGGAGGGCATCTATCATGCGCACTTTGGTCTGCGGAGCGCAGCGAGCAATAACAAGAGGTAATGTGGGAAGTGCATCTATCTGGTCCTCAGTGAGTTTGTCGAATTGGCCGGCAGTCATGACCATGGCATCTGCGACGTCGGCTGCGACTGTACTGAAGTCAGATGGTAAAATTCCGACTTGCTGTGCAATCGCCTTTGCAGTGCCGGGATGATCACCAGTGACCATATGAACAACTATACCAGCCCTGTAACAGGCTTGAATTGAGTCTGCCGTTTCAGGGCGTGGAGGGTCATACAAGCCAATCAGCCCAAGGAAACAAAGATCCTTCTCCACGTCCTCACGATCCAGATCAGAGCCCTCCAAGACTCGTGCTTCCTCGGTGAACGTGCGGTGCGCCAAAGCCAAAACACGAAGTCCCATCTTGGCGAGTTCCTCCATGTTCTGAAGAATATTTTCACGGTGATAATCGGTCATTGGCACGGCGATGGATGAGTCTTGGTCCCAGATCACCGAGTTGCAAGAATCTATGACACGTTCAACAGCTCCTTTGGTGAATACCATTGTGCGAGTCTCTTTAGGTGTAATCTTGCTGAAGATAACGGACATTTTCTTGATAGTCGAATCAAATGGGAACTCTGCCTTTTGATGCCAAATGGCGTCATGTCCCTTGGTCCAGCGGTCACGGTTCCAGTTGAACCTCGATGCGAAGACTTCGATCGCAATTTCCGTTGGCTCGCCTCGTGCTTGCCATTCGCCCTCCTCGGACTTGTACACATGAGAGAGGTTGGCCATGGCAGCGACGTCTAGGAAATCCTCAAGCTGGCGGTTTTCAGTGACTAAGCTTTCCGGGTTGTCTGTAGTAGGGCCTTCCTTCTCGTCATCAAATCGAAGAGGAGGGACGGGGGTGAATGAGACATCAGCGACCGTGGGATTGAATGGCTCGTTGGACGTGCCCACAGAGTATGTTCCCCGAGACGGAATCCAAGCTTTCTTGACAACCATCTTTCCTTGGGTTAGTGTGCCGGTCTTATCTGAACAGATATCCGTGACAGCACCGAGAGCTTCCAGAGAATCCAACTTGCGAACAATCACATTTCGCTCGACCATTCGCTTTGTGCCCACCGCCATGGTAATAGTAAGTACAACAACCAAGCACGCAGGAATCATACTAATGCCAGTCGCGACAGCGTACATGATGACCTCAGTGCTGTTGCTAAAGGAGTTTGCTGCCATACAAACGATGGCGAACACCACGGCAATTGCGAAAAGCAGACAAGCTAGTTTTGAAAGCTTTCTTTGCAAAGGGGTGCCGATATTGACGCCGAGAAAACGACCCACAGCGTCTGTGCCAGTGAGAGTCCATGCTTCGGCATACCACCGCTTTTTGGTCTCACCGTTGGGACCGCGCTTAACGGGGCGGCGTTTGTTGTCACTGGCTCGCAGTGCGAGAGCAATAGAACCAATTTCCGTGAACATGCCTGTGCTGACTACGACCCCACGAGCGCGACCTCGAGTGACGGTGCTCGAGCTATAAGCGATGTTGAGGCGGTCTCCAGGACCAGTGTCTTCTTTGAAGATCGGATCACATTCCTTCTGCACAGGAAGAGATTCGCCAGTCAGGAGAGCCTCGTCGGTTTCGAAGTTGACTGCTTCAACCAGCCTGATATATTCAGCAAAATGTACAACCCCACTGCTCCAACGCTGTCGACACATGACACTTACCGGATGTCCGCAGGGACAGTATCTCCTGTCCTCAATTCGACCATATCACCAGGAACGATCTCAGCTGACGGCACTGCGAATGTCTGTCCACCTCTCGAGACAGTTCCAGTCGGCGAAGACAACGAGTGTAAAGATTCCATGGTCTTTTCAGCAGCATACTCCTGGAAAAAACCGACAATAATATTCAAGACAATGACCGCGCAGATAACCCCGCCCTCAATCCAAGATTTGATTCCGAAACTCACAGCCATAGCAAGAATCAGGACCTGCGACGAGATTGGATCAGAAATGGCGTATGCTCAATTTGTTTTACTCATCACGGTGAAGAAGAGTGGTGCCTTACTAGCATCATTGCATTGGCCACTTGCCGGATGAGAATTCGAACCACCGATACACCTTCGCCTTCATCCAGCTTGTTGGGTCCATATTGCTGGAGACGACGGCTAGCTTCATCAGGGTTCAGACCCTCATCGATGCTGGTGGTGAGTTCCTTGATCACGGCTTCATAGGGAAGCGTGTGAGCGGGCTGGCTCAAAGGGCTACCACCCGACCCGAGGTCTGAGGCGAGTTTCTCGTTTGGCATTGAGGCTTTCTACACCGGGCGACTAGGTGGTTGTGTAGCTTCCAAACGGGTGAGGCTTTTGACCAAATTGGACAGAACGTATCTCTGCGCGGGGCACATGGTCTCTCTTAAGGCCTCGAACCGACAATGCAGATTTTGCTCGCACAAATGAGTCGGTGTGGATATCCAAGACTGCTAACATCATGTCCTCCACGCTCGGAGGTTGGCAAATGTTGGTCATTGGAAGAGATGATACTGAACTTGGCGCCGAGACGCGGGGCGCGACCTGGGCACTTGGCCCAGTTCCATTGGGCAGGCGTTGCGGCATCCAGTCTGGAACCCCAAGAGCGAGTTCCTTGGGGTGCACAGTGAAGAATGAAGGGCAGACTCGAAAGGCGACGAGTTACATTGTCATTCTCCAATGGGTCAAAATGAACTCGAGGTCTTCTCGCACTTCTTTGCTACAACAGTAATGGATATTCGCGCGCAAGACTGGATACGGCAGGTCGTACCAACCTCGGAACACGCATCATTGGCAATAGCCAAGCCAGCCCTATCAGTAGCGCTCAGGCCCATGGGTCGAAGAGATGATGGACTGGCAGTCATGATGAGTGGCGAAATCCCACTCCGGGCCTCCGGGGTTGGCATGCCTTGGCGCCAAGTTCTAGGCACCTCCGCGCCCGGAACGAGGACACGATAGCCCCGATCTCAACCGGTGACATTGTGAGGCAAGAAGATTTTCAAGATTTGACAGCCTAATTTTGAAGAAAAAAAAGATTGATCTAAATCTCTATTCATAGATGTACATTCGCTAAAATCAACACAACTTTTGCACTATGTCAGACGAGACCCAACGGCGCTTCCTTCATAGCTACATGCTTGCCTTGGTCCTGACTTATGAAGTGCTCTTCATGATCGCCCTGTGGATGAGGAAAAAGGGCGGTGTGATCAATGATAACAGAAAGGCCACGATGCCTTCCTCGCAGTGATATTGCAATGAGCAATAGCTTGCTGAATGTATGCCACGCGCCACAGAACGCGAAGCTCTGACCGGGGAATCCGACCGTCACACCAACACAGCTGTATGCAGAGATCGATTCAAAGATGATGTTGAACGTGGAGAATGCCAAGGGATTGGTGTTGAAGTGATCGGATTCCGTGACAGTTATGAGAAGGATGGCTAGGGAAAGCCACCAGATGTCATGGCTGAACTGCGAGCGAAGTTGATGGTAGACGAAGCGACCCCGAACGAAGCTCGAGGGCCGTGGGCGATTTTCCTCTTCGTTGGTATCTTTTCTGGTCCATATTTTTGTGATTTCCGTGGAGCTGATACCTGTGAGAACAGACGATTGACTAGCGGGCTTGAGAGAGGGAATACCTGATAGCAGCTGAGACTGGGAAGGCCGATAGATACTGAAGGCTAATTAACTTTCAATACTTGTCTCACGATCATATCAGAGCGCTTACCATCATGAAAGCTAGAGAGGTCCATTAGTATAGATAGCAATGAACAGATGGAAGTGAGAACGCACCGTATAGAATGAGCTGGCCTTGTGGTAACCGATCGAATGCGACGACTGAGAAGCCACCACCGCGCACCGCTTCACCCCATGATTAGTTTGACTCGAAAACAGACGTCTGTAAATAAATACCTAGTGCTTGGAAAAGACCATCAAGGACTTGAAACTTGGGTGGCAGAGAGCGAATCTCCTCGTTGTGAATCGCAGAAACCTCAAAAGCACCCCACATGATAGCATTGAGAATAATCACAGTACCAAGTAAGAACCATGTGTGCCAAGCTGGATACAAATAGGCGCAGACCTGTGTCATCTCTTAGTCTCAAGTTTGTCAAAGAATGACTGACAAACCAACATTCTGCGACTTAGCTAGAGTAAAATCGAAAGTTCGCCGCAACGACTGCCAATTAGGTGTATCTGGCATCATTGCTCTTGGGGCCCAGATGAGTAGTCGCAAAAGACAGGGAAACAACGTGTTTCCAGCGAGAATGAGAATACCGCAGACAAGAAGCGGAAAGGCCCTATGCAGACGTGGGTTTAATTGACCAGGACAGTAATGATTGCGTGAGAGCAATCAACTTACTCTTTCTGATATGGACCCATATTGGTGTCGATGAGAGACATGCCGTTATTTGAGAGTGCGGATGTGGCTAGAAATGCGCCAGCCCAGAATGGGTTGGTGTGATCCTCTTGTGGGACATCCGGACGAACAAACTTAGACCAGAAACCAAGGACAATGATTCCGAGGAGAAGGAAGCTAATGAAGTAAAGTAACACCAGCCCTGAAATCAACGAAAGCGCCAAATACTCCAATCCACCAGGTCCATCGTACTCAATCGAAATTTGACGGGTTAGACGGGCCGCTGCACGTCGAATGATGCACTGGATCCTGCTAGCTTTATGTGAAGTCGATCCCTTGTCATTGCTGGTTTTTTTTTCTTCGCTGATGATAGTAATGGAAGTGAGTTGTTGGCTTTGTTCAGAGTGTGTTCCATCCGTGAGAACAATGAAGCCATAGTCATTCCATGGAGCCTTGGGGTCGTCTGGGGTTGAAACGTCCGCTGGAATCTCTATCACAGCTGTGATGGTCGTTTCCTTACTCTCCATTATGGAAGCAAGGGCATCTATTTTGTCATTGAGGATAGGTTTTTCCAGTGGTTGCAAAATCGGTGCGCAAGGTGCACTCGACTCTGCTTTGTCCTTGTTCGAGTTGCCGTGCAAGGTATATCGCAACGCCCAGAGGCGTATCAAAGAGACGACTCCGAAAATGGGAATCGAATGACCAATGATAAGGAGTGTAAAAAGAGTGCCTTGCTGGAGAGAGTTGAGTGTAGACAGGTCCATCTACGTTAAAGTCAGCGATGACTTCGTAATTCGATACAAGTTTGCTCAAACATACCACATTCAGTCCCGTCCCCGTCATAGCACTGAAACACATGAACAGAGCATCAACATAGTGGAGCTCATGGATCTGCGTCGAAGCCGTGTAGAATATGACACTGGCAATCGTCGGCACAAGAATAAAGTAAGCATAGTGAAATCTGAGTGGACTGAGCCCCAAGAGATCAGCCATGATCGGCATACTCAATTGGGAGTCGTCGTAAGCATTGTCGAACCTCCTGGGTTGGGATTCCCAAATCCATATAAGGATCACGGAAATGCACGGCCCAACAGCAGAAGATCTGGTCCCCCTGTCTGTTCAATAATGTCTTGGTCATACATAAAATACTACGTGCAACCCCTTTGATCGGGAATGTTGGCATGGTGTGGTCTCGACCTGGCGGTCGCCGCTTCTTAGGACGGCCGCAGTGGAACATCCGGGCACGTTCCAAGTTTACTGCTCTCATTAGGCATCATCGTATATTGGGTAGTGAAGGAGCCAAGCTATAGGATTTAGCGGGATCTAAGGCACGGCACGCTGCATTCTGCGTCTGCAAGGGGTCAAATATTTGGTGGCAAGCTATCCGGAACTTTTCAAGCCTCGATAGGCCTCGATAGCCTATAGTATCAAAAAAGACCAATTGCGCTCGAGGAAAGAAAAGTGCAAGATATGAAATATATGAGATTCGCAGGTATCTTGTGTGGGAACTATGTCAATGGGATGATTGAGATACGCATTCGGCTTTCACGTTGATGGATCCTAGTTATCATCCACTTGCAAGATCGCGTGGCTAAGCAGGGTGATACATGATAAGAGAAACATGTCAGGAGGTAAGTTTATTGAAAGTTGTAGTTGCAGTTGCACTTGAATGCCCGAGAACTGTACCTCTTACTTTCACTCTTGCAACCATATTTTGCAAAGACCGGCTGTACTCTCAGCAGATCGTTACTTTCGTAACGTCATGCCTGCTATGATCATCAATTTGAGATTTGAGACTAAATTGAGCAAGGGATATCGCGAGGCGTTCCAAACTCCTGGAGTACGGCTGTGGCGCAGTTGAGTCTAGGGTGTTGAAATAGGATTGTGGAAATTGGCGTCTGCTTGCCAAGAGGTCCAGATGTCGGCCAAAAGACTCTTGATAGGGATGAATCGACCCGAAACAAAGTTTCACCAGATCTTCCAAGCTGACATTCTTCAAGTCCTGCCACCTCGGGCATTTTACGCACGATCGGGACAAACTTGCCGAAATTGATGTCATTAAACGACAATCCCTTTGCACTTTCGACATACAGAAAGGCATGCAAGCAAATTCGAGGATCCTACCACCCATCAGACAGGATGATCAAAATGTATCGATCGAATGTCTTTGTGCCCTACAAACAATCATCGCCCGACTTCACAACATACATGCTTCCGACAAGGGATAACAAAAAGCGAAAACACAACAAAAACATACAACAGCAGGGATTCGCTGGTGGTCACCCACCCAACTACTAACCTGCCGGCGTGTGGCTTAAGTACGGCTGAGCGGACGGGAAGCCCTGTTCTCCACACCCTATGGTCGTATGTACCAGAATATGTGCTGGAGTAGTTTATAATTCGTAGCTTGTTTTACGAAAGCCGTTGCTTGAAAGAGTATGTAAACAGAGCCGCTTCTGATTGGCGGTATCCTGCGCACCCACAAAATCCTCATAGATTGGCAAACTCTATTAGCACTTGGTCAAATTCTTTTTCTCCTTGCACTAATACTCAAATTGCTGTTACAATGATGTCACTATGCCTTTCCTCTCCACCGGCTCCGAAAGGGTCTCAATTTGGCTGTCTTCTCGTTGACACCATGAAAAGAAAATGAGCAAACCACTGATAATGCCACCAGGTTCTCTCAATCTCCGTAATCAGCAGCAACAATCTTACCAGCTCACGTGAAAGCCCATCGGTAAATTCCAGTAGGCAATCCAATGATGGAGCGCTTGAACACAGCACCAATAACGGGCCGAGATCACGATAGCTAGCGGAGATTCCACTTCAAACGACTTTGATTGGTTTCCCTGCGGTGTTATTGTAAGAGTGAAAGACTTCAGCATGCTTTTTGATGCTGTTGATCGATAAGGTAAGTAAGACGATATCCATCGAGATCGAATACTGTCCAATATATGTCTGTTGTAAAACACAATACCATTGATAATTTCTAGGCCAAAAATTTGTCCACGTGTCTGCTTTCATTTTAGTGTCTCTGTCGTTGTCATTGGGGGGGTTTTCGCTCCAACCCAAGTACGTCAAGTGATTGGTATCCAAGGTCGAACTTGATTATCGTTGCTCATGATGACCATATTTGAGTCGATTGAAAAATCACATCGGCTTCACGGAGCGAATCTTCGAGGAAGTACTCATACCAGCAAACAAAACCTCAATATTATGGAGCGCATGGCCGATGCAGGTCTATCGGATGCAATTAGGTCCTTGCCAAATTAGTTGGGAACGTTGATAGAGCCACCCTCAAAGACTTTCCAAAGAATGATAGCCTGACGGGCTATTAGGAGGGCGGGAGGATCGAGGTGTCAGGTCTTTCTGATATATTTTCTTGCCCCTACTTTAGAAGAATGAACAGCATTTATGTACGATATAAAATGCTTTCAATTGCGCTGGACGGGGCAGGAAGCAGCTTATCTTGTTTGGTAGCACATTTAGTAAGGCTATCATGCAGGAGAAGCCCTAAAGTGCACTTATGACAACTAAGTCGTTTGAGACCCCCTTACAAGACCTGTTCACGACCTTGCGTGCGAGTTTGCACAGCTAGGAACGGTTTTCACAGCGCCCAACCCACAATTTTATCGGTAACGTATTCTCCATTGATTCTGAAAGCATGCCAGTAGAGCGAGGCTTTTTGATCGAAGCGCTTGCGATGACCGTTCTGGCGGTCATCCATACTGGATTCGGTGTGAAGAGCACTGGCGCCCTCGACCACCTGGTATTCGCAAAAGCGGTGCAATTATATCCATCGACAGGTTGTTTGCACACTTCGGCCGACCGATCGGATTGTACGAAGGTAATATGCATCAGCCGGTCATTGTCAGACGTTAGATGTATCGACAAGGTGTTCTTTGAAAATAATGCGTAGTATCATGCGTACAACTCATGTCATATCATCACATTCGATGGCCTCAAATGGAGTTGCACGACCCTTAGATCCCTGACTTGTGCCAAGCGAAGATTCAGGGTGGTTGAAGTTGGATTGGATGCGGGTGGGGTCAACAAATGAGGGGTATTGGCCACGCTCGGTATTAGATCGCCAAAGATGTTGATGAGCGACCTTGACCAGTTTACCCAGAACGGCAATTTCCAGCTTGAGTTTGACACTATAGAGCATCGCCTTGAGTGTCGTTTGGTAGATGTAGAAATCCATAAACTCGATGACCATGAGGGCGATATCCATCAAGATACAAGAGACGTTGACGGCGAGCAGCTGCATAATAGTCTTGCGACTACCGTGATCGGGATTGAACTGTAGCATGCGATGTGTCTCCCACATGTATAGACCAGAAATAATGACTTCTTGGACACAGAATCCAGTAAGTTGGATCTTCTCCATAACATCATACCCCGCAACGGATGCGGAGGAGCCCGAGAAATTCGCAGCATAGGTAAGAACGGTTGTGGGAATATGCAAGAGGAAGATGTTTGTGATAATCATTCCCTTGACCATGCGTAGAATGCGCAGGTTGTCAATTACCAAATGCAACCGCGAGTACAGCACAAATGACTGGCCCGTAACCATAGTCCACCAGCCGACGGTAAGCAGCGTGATAGGGAGCCAAATAGCGGAAGTGAGATCGAAAAACTTCATCAAATAGCCGACCGAGTAAGGAAGAATGCCGACCGCTGATATCAACATGCTCCAAAAATAGGGACCCTGGTATCGCTTGAAGGTCAAGAAAATGAGCACGACCAGCTCGATAACATTGTACCACGCGACGCAAACAAAGGTGGCGATCGTGATGCGCACTCCAATGCTGCCCCCAGTATAACTACCGGTGATCCAGTTACCGGGACTAGCCTCGCTGGTCGAGGACATCTCCGGGTCCTAGGGTTGTTTGTCAGGAACAAAAACCACGGAACCCGAGAGTTTTCGTGGGGTCGGGAGGGGGCCTGGTGCTGGTGTGGTCCCTTGCAAATAAGAATAGCCAAAAAAACAAGGGGAGTGACCCACTTCGTGATGGCACGTATATGACTTAGCTTCGTAGATTGGAGGAGAACTCGGACGTCGATCTTTTTTAGCTTATCTTGGACAGTGGTGATTCGCAGGAATTGTGAATTCTACATCTGATATTGATAGATGGAGGAATCATGACCATAGGATTGTGCGGTAAACGGCTCTTCGTCATATTTTTGGCCCCCTTTTTTAGGCGTGACTCCGCTGTACCTTGGTGGACAGAGGTTTTCTTGGCTGACGATCACTTGACTTTTTCGGGAAAATGGATGCATTATTCTGTGCTATAGCTACAGACTACTGACTGAGCCTCCTGAGGCCGCTTCATAATGCCGGAGTATCGGCTAAAGTAGCTCCGTTCAGCCTGTGATGGATCAGCTTCAGCTCCCTTGCGTGGAGGCAACAAAACTTACACTTCCGGATAACGAGCACCAGGGATCTCAGTGCGCTCAACAAGCTCACGTATTTCCAACACTTCCTTATCGCTCAATTTGAGCAGAGCAGAAGCGGCATTCTCGTCCATTCGAGATGTCGACTTAGTTCCGGGAATGGGGATGATGTCCGGACCCTGAGCCAGCAACCATGCGAGAGCAACCTGGGCCGTGGTGCTGTCATGGGCCTTGGCAATACCCTGCAATCCTTCTACCAAGCTCAAGATCTGAGGGAAATTCTCCTGGGAATACTTGGGTAGCATTTGGCGGAAATCGCCATCGGGAATGTCGGCGGATGACTTGATCTCGCCAGACAAGATACCGCGTCCAATCGGACTATAAGCAATCACGGCGATTCCCAAATCGCGGCAGGTGTTAAGTACGTCGGTGGTTTTGCTCTCGATATCAAGAGCAAAGGGACTGTATTCCACCTGGTAGGCACTGATGGGGTGAACAGCATGAGCGCGACGCAGAGTTGCAGCTGAGCACTCGGACAATCCAAGATATCTGATCTTTCCCTTACTGCAAACATATGGTTAGTGGGAAAATCTTTTGGGTGCTAGCAGCACTCACTTCTTCAATTCAACCATCGCCTCAATGGTCTTTTCAATGGGAGTCTTTCCATCCACACGGTGACAATAGTACAGGTCAATGGTCTCAATACCAAGTCTCTTCAAGCTCTTCTCACAAGCAGCCTTGATATACTCAGGGTCAGATCGGACTTCGATGCCGGTGGCGGTGAACGTTAGCGCAAACTTGGTGGCAAGGAAGATGTCGCTCCGTTTGCCAGATCGCTTGAACCATTCGCCGATAATATCTTCGCTTTCGCCATAGACATCGGCGGTATCCCAGAATCGTTGGCCGGTGGAATGGGCATGATCAAGAAAGGCTACTGTCTCGTCGAGGGAGCCTGCTTTTCCGTAGACACCGCCAATGCTCATGAGGCCAAGGCCCACAGCATTAACTTGAGGACCATCTCGGCCAAGAGTACGGAGAGGAGCAGACATGATCTTCAGATGAGTTATCGAAGATGCTAGTATAGGATTCAAAAGTTGGGATTTAAATTGAGAATTGTTTCGAGGAAGGACTTGGTCCTTTTATACCCTGAACCGGCCGAACTTTCATCTCCGAAACAGCGTCATTAGGGACGGCGGAACGATGGATCGCCCTATCTATTCCATTAACAGTCATAGATCGGTCAGTTAATTGGAATAGACCCGCGGAAATAACGAGGTTGCGGATTTAAACCCGGTCTTAGCAATTAGTCATATCCAATCAGACGATGTAAAACCTCACGATCCACTAGCATGGCAGTTGATCCAATAGAATAGCTTGAAAAGCGAGCCGACCAATGGGTCGCGGACGTACAAAGACCAATTTGACTCGTAGCTCGAAGTGATCTTGGATGTCTCAACTCACCTCAACCCAATGTACATTGAAGCTAATTAACGAGTTATGTCCGAGTCAATAGCAAAGCCGCGGCGTAGGGTAAAGTCTGGCTGCAAAACCTGCAAGTAAGTGCCACGGGTTTAGTTTCTAATGCCTAAACTGAAATGTGCAGGGCCCGCCGTGTCAAGTGCGACGAGAGCCGCCCAGCATGCCGTCGCTGCCTCTCAACCGGTCGAGCATGCGAAGGCTATGGGATCTGGGGAGGGGGCGGTAGTCCCTATGGTCAGCCCCAGAGTAATAGAGCCTTGTCAGTCTACTGCACGCCGATACCAGCTGGCAGTCTCACGGCGGACGAGCAGGTATCATTCGACTGGTTCATGGAAAGGACGGCCAAGAAGTTTGCCGGCCTGTTCACCTCTGATTTCTGGGAGACTCTAGTTTTCCAAGCCAGTGCACAGGAGCCAGCAGTCCGGCATGCCATTGTGGCCTTATCAGCTGCACATCGGTACGATTCAAATTATGGCCCGTGGATGATTCCCACAATGTATGGGTTCGATGCCGAACAATTCACGCTCCAGCAATACAATAAAGCTATCAAATGTCTCCGTGCACCAGGCGGAAATAGCAAGAAAACAACCCGTGTGGCACTGATAACTTGCCTGATTTTCGTTACGCTGGAGTATCTACGTGGGCAATATCAAATGGGCGCTGCACATCTTCGCTACGGCATCCAACTCCTCTCTGAAATGTCCAAATTATCATCGCCCCGCTCCTCAATCTTCCCGAAGATCCTCAGCCCAGCCGAGGACTTCGCACACAAGGCCATAATCGACTCCTACGCCCGCCTCATAACGCAATCCGCCTTGTTCGGCTATATCCCACCACACTTGTGCGTCATGATACGGGACCCCCTCACAAATGCCCTCCCTTACAAATTCTCGTCCATGGTTGAAGCACGCCAATCCCTCGACGACCTATTAAACAGAATCCACTGCCTAGAACAGCACTCCAACATCCTCAAATCAGCCAAGCAAGCCGAAATCAATGATCAAGAATTGATCACGATCCAACAAAATATTATCTCTGACCTCATCCTCTGGCGTAAAATACACACAGCTACATACATCCGGCAAACCCAGGTAGCCCGACAATACCAATTTGGGTCTATACTCCTTCGCGTCTACCATGAAATGGCCACAATAATGGCCTTGGTGCTTCTCTCCCCGTCCAGTGAAATGGCATATGATGACCAAACACCACACTTCCTAGCAATCATTACCGGATTCTTCGAACTATGGAAATGCTGGACGACAACCAGCAGCATCCAGCGCCTGGATATCACCGAGCTGATGAAAAGTCCAGAATGCAAAGGGAACGGATTCACCGTTGAAAGCGGATTTATTCCGCCAATTTACTACACGGCGCTGAAGTGTCGTGTTCCGAAAATTCGGAGACAGGCTATTCGGACATTGAGGTCTGCGCCGCACCGTGAAGGGGTGTGGAATGGGCTTTTGCTTGCGGATGTTTTGGAGGTGGTTCTTGCGATCGAAGAAGGGGACTTTTATGAGGGTGACAGTTTTGAGGGTTTTGATGGGCCTATGGAGGAGATGATAACGGAGAAAGAGTTGAACGTGCCAAAGGTTCCCGAGGAGAGAAGGCTCTCGGATGTAAAGGTGATTTTGCCGGACAAAGTTGCCAGTGATACCTTTGTAAGTTATAAGAAGATTGTGGACGGGAAGTGGGTGACGTTTGAGAAGAAGGTCGAGCCCGGTGTTTTACGGGGTTGGAAGCTTCATCGTGAAGGACCAGAGGTGACAATTGGAGGGCTTTGGAAAGGTATGAGTCAGTGATTGAGAGATTTTTTGGTATTATACACATTTTTGGTTGAAGCCTGTATGAACTGGAGAATCATAATTTCGTGATATGCATTTTCCCTCCAAAGCCAAACGCCATATGGATGACACATTCTGTGTCTAAGAATCTCAGTCAATGCGAAATAGGAGGAAAGTGCTATTTTCTGTTTTTCAAGAAGGCTGCGACCTGTTCGTGCCTTGTGACGAAAAACATGCGTTTCCGGTCGGATTTCCATACGAGCACGCCTACTTCCGCGGCATACTGGCATGGGGCTTGGTATTCGGCGAAGTTGGTGAAGTCCTTGAAGAGGAAGCCTGCTGTGGCGCGCAGACGGTCCCGCTCAAGTTGCCACAGTCGAATTTGATCTGTGACAGTGGGTGGTAAGACAGACGGAGGGACGCCTCCCGTGTTAGAGGTGGAGTGGCCGGCATTGTGCTTGCGCATTTGGGGATGAGCGTGAGTGAGCAGATATGAAATGATTTGGTCGGCTGTGATGCCCATCTCGATTGCTCGGCGGACGGACTGTCTGGTAACTTTACCAGTGACCAAGTTAGGAAAACGGTACTTGAGATTTGTGAAAAAGGGAGATGAGGGAGATCTGGAGCGGTGATGATGTGTATGCGTAAAGGCGGTAATTCGTTTCGATGATGATAAATCCGGAGCCTGAGCTACCGGGCTGGCCCGCAGGTCCCATGGATCCAGTGACAGGATTACTCAGGGCACTTGAGTCGGAGGTGAGTGTAGTTGCAAGGCGGGTGGGATAAAAGTGGGTGGCTTCAGGCGATTCCTGGTAGACGATGCCAAAGTCGGCGAGACCATTCAGGGTGCGAACTTGGTCCGGTGTGAGATGCTTCTTCTCATAGGACCGACCGAGCTCCAAGCTACTCAATAAGAATAGGAAGGAAAGAACCTCGACGCTGTCCATGCCAACGGCCTCGGCCGTTTGGACGTAGAGAATCAAGATGTGCCAGACCTGGGTGTTGACATCCTGTAGCACAAATCCAAATCCGTCTTTGGTGATATCTACACTGCGACCGCGGAGTTCTACCAGATGGCCAGCTTGAAGTAGCTGCTTCACACCTTCGCTCAGGCTTGCTCCATCTCTCGGTCCTCGTTGCTCAAAGGCACTTGTTCCAACCATGTATCCCAAAACTGCTTCCCACTGCCGTCGCGCAAATTCGTCGAGGAAATCGATCGAGATCTTGTATTCATTGGGGGCGTTGGAGAGAACACCAAAGGACAGGGTATCGGCGGAGCCCGTGAGAGCTTGGCGAAGGGAGGACGCGAACGGATCAGTAATGACATAGGTACGGACTTTCTCGTCGCTTAACTTCGATTGCAGGATATGTAGTCTGCCCAGGATCGAAATAGCATTATCGCGTTGTCTGCGTCTTTGGTCAGCGGTGGAGCTCTCACAGAAACGCAGGAGGCATCTTTACTTTCGACTCTCAGCTTTGACCCAAAGCTCGAGATCTGCCATCGGAAGAGGATCCTTCAAGTAGAGAAGGGCCATGACGAAACATTTTGCTGTTCTCGCTGTTAGTCCGACATTTGCGCATGAGGTGAGAGCTCCAAGTACCCAGATCAGGAAGCATGCGTCGAAAGATGGCAAGGGCAGTGGATGGCTGCTGGTACAACTTGTTGAACGTTGTTCCAGGGAGACCCTCCAGGTACTCTAGAGGCCGCGACGTCGATGCCGCCATGTTGGTAATCCGAGAGACCTGGCGTCTCTATGGTGAGGAAGTCAAGGTCGCGTGTGAAAGTCATCCCGATGAAGTGTATGGCGGACGAAGCGGCCAATTCGTGCAATTCCGGGGACTAACGCGCCCGTTGACTGCCGAATAGCTCTCTTCCTCCCCAACATCTCCGTCGCGAGTTCAATCGTCAAAATGACTTCTCTTCGATTTGTCAGGTCGGTAGGTTATTGATATTTCTAGCTGACATTTTGATTGATGTCTTGTTGAAACCTTATTGTCGCAGGTTTGGGAGTCCTTTCGGGCTACTTCGGGTCTAGAGCCTCGGTAGGTGATCTGTACCCAAGCCAACATACGGAGGTAGCTGACCTCTGTGCGGCAGTCTCTTGAATAATGTGAGACATTGTAAATTCGGGATGAGTCATGAACTGCCCTCGATCTAATCAATTTCATGTCCATAGCTTCAGGTGACTGCTGCGAGACCCGGCACTGTCAACTTCGAACTGGAGATCCAGAAGGAGCACACAGTAAGTAGCTGAAAAACGGCCCAGTCATTCATTACAAAGACCTATTGACTCTCTTTTTGCATTCACGCCTACCGCCTACGTGTTTCTTCGTATCCCCTTGCTAAAGTTTCCTCTAGAATCGCCTGAACATCCTGCATGGAGGTACCATTGCTAGCATGGGTTTGTACCTCGAGAGGGAGAACGCCCCGAATAAGCAACGCTTACAATCTAATAGTGGACCTTGGTGGTTCTCTCGCTGTCGCTTCCCGAGGTCTGTTTGCGACTGGCGTGTCAACCGACCTGAATGGTAAGTTATCTGGTTGATCCTAGCCTGGGTGAACCCTCACTCATTTTACTTGCATAGTGACCTACCTTAACTCTGGAGGCAAGGTTGGTGACAAAATTCTTGCGGTATGTCTAAATCCATAATAAGGGTATTCTTTCTCATACTAATTCCATCTAGGAGGTAACTTGTGATAAGTGTATGAAACCTTTTGACATTGACTTGGACCCTATGCTGACTTTTTATAGTTGGGAAGACTTTGGCCTACACGAACATCAAGTTCATGAATGCAAAGGGTGACATTGTAGCCAGAGGCAGCCACACGAAGTAAGGTCCCCTCTACTATCATCGGAACTAGGTACTGACTCTTGAAGATATGTCACCCTTGCTTGGAAGGATCCTCAGAACATTGTCGAGGAAATCAACAAGCTGAAATAATTTTGTTCATTGTGCTGTCCAAAGATCTGTACAGAAGTAGAAATGAAGCATACAGTCCAGATATTTACCGGCCTCTTTTCCAATTTTATATCCGGACATGTTCAAATGATACCATTTTGATGAATGTCATAGATTGATATTTACCCTGCTGGCTTGATCTATATCAACCAATTCTAGGCGTGTGATTAGAGCAGCATTTAGAGTCCGGTAGAAAGGGCTCTATTTTATGCCTGGTCACAGCACTGCATAGCACCTCTTATCTCCCTTACTCAGAAGTCGAGACCGCGCCGTTCAGCAGCGCTCCCCTGCTGCATTCCTGATTTCAACCTAGCGTTGCACTGAGTGAGATACTCCGCAGCCAGGGGACAAACGCATGACACATTGGTATTATCGTTTCATGGCCCGATCACAGACTTTGGTGAGAGATCGTGAATGCGTCGAAATACACTAGAGGCTCGCCATGGATCAAATTAGTCTTTGCAAAAGACAAGGACACGAATTTAAAAGGAGGACCATGTATCAAAATTGCAATATCATTCACACGGAACCACGCCTGCTATGAAGCCATTTGCTTGAGTAGACAAAGAAACCACTGGTCATACAATATCCTCATCCTCATCGCCCAGCATATCCTCATCCTCATCCAACAAGCCATCTTCATCCACAGGAGCCGCATCATCAACAACCATCTCACCATCACCCATAGCCTTAACCTTGGCCTGAGTCATCTGAAATACATACTGACCAAGATGCTCAACGCCTTCCATGGGGGTGCCCTCAACATCGGCGTCCAGCGCTCGCGTGGCGGGGAACATCTCGCCCGCAGCAAGTATTAGCTTATCCGGGCGTTGAAGCAGAAGATCGAAAGCGGACTTGAGCTCATAGCAGGGTTCGAAGACTTCGCGGCGGCCGAGTATGTACAGGCCAAGTCGGGCACGAGACAGAGCGACTGTGAGGCGGCGAACGTCGCGAAGGTAGCCGACGGTGCGGGTGCGTGTTAGAGAGAGGATTACGTCTAAAATGATTAACATGAACTCGAGTTGCTGGGTTCGAGGAAAAACTTACAGTCATTTTGCTCTCCCTGGTATCTGTCGACTGTCGTCACAATCTTAGGCATCCCGAACAAGCTATTCTTCGCGCAGCGATGGGTCAACACATCCCGAATCAGGGCTGTTTGTCCGGCATATGTGGCTAAAATGGTGATCTTGGAAGCTGGGTAGCCAAGCAGGCGCATGTACTGGTACAGTGCTACTGCGTATTCGGCCTCACCCAGATTCTGAATGAAATGAGGTGTTGGCTCCCGCTCGCCGGTTCCCTGGTAATCAGGAACGTTGATAAACTGGTAGTCAAATTTGAAGCCGGCATTGGCGCGTTTAAACTCCTCGTTGGTTTCGACGGATGGGAGATCTCCTAATTCCGGATAACGCCAGCGGAACAGCTCGGCAATGCTTGGACGAGACCGGCCCTGCTTGTCCAGGGTGATGACAGGAACACCCAGTCGTGTCAGACGAAGGAACAGACTCTGCTCGAAATGGGCGTACTGGCGGAACGCAAGGTTCTGGATGACGGGAGAATTTTGGAAGTGATCACCACAGAGCACGACACGCTTCAGAGGAAGCTCACCGTTCTTCATATTCTGAAGAGCGGTGGGAATGAAGCTCTCGATCTCGGTGATTTGAGCGGCTTCTTCCATGACCACATTGTCGTAGTGGAAGCCAAGGTCTGCAATTTCCTGACGACGCATGGCCGCATGTGTGGATGTCATTGCGATCACGCGGGCCTCCTTGATAAGAAGATAGTTGGCTTTGTCTCGAGGTTGACGCAAGATCTCAAATGGTCGAATATCTTCAAGCTCAGAGAAAATTCGGTCAATGTGTCTCTGGCAGCCTGAGGCGATATCCAGAATGGCCTCCTTGGAAGCGCCAGCATCAAACAATGGCTGGGGAGCATTTGAAAAGTACACGTGGAAGGGGAATGATGCAATGATGTCCTCATTAGAGGCTCCCTCTGCCTGCGCTTCGTCCCAGAACTTAGCCCATGCCGGCTGCACATACACCGTGTTGAAGTAACCCGCTGTCTCGCAAGAATTGCCATGTGCCCCCTCCGCACCGATGGATGCTGCCAACCGCATCACTTCTGATAGATAGTAGTGGCGATTGTCAAGGAAGGACTCAACACGACCATATTTGCTATAGTTGGAATCGGTGTCCAATTCTTCCTCGCCGTGACCCAAACGCAACAAGTGACGCGGATCAATGTCGAGAGCAATGATCTTTTGGAAGAGTTGATTGAGCGCCTGATTGCTGTGAGCAATGAGTAAAGTGCGCTCATTAGGGAAGTTGTGATAAATGTTGTTGATAATTTGTGTCGCCACGTCAGTCTTGCCGGTACCAGGAGGGCCCACAATGACAGACAAACCAGGCTGCGTACCAGAGGCGATTGCCTCGACCTGGGAAGGAGTGAAGCGAACAGTGTTCAGCCTAGGTGCATCAACCGGATAAGGGCCAGGGTTGGGTGGCTTGTATGTCGAAACACGCATTGTGCTAGAGGCGTACTCTGGTTCCTCGGCCTGGCCGCGTCTGCGCTTTTTCACAGGAGCAGTGGAGGGCTCGGCAGGTTTTCCCTCGACTGGCTCCAGAACGTAAGGAGGCCCGAAGCTAGCGGACTCCGACCCTGAAGGCTCGATGGTCTTGCCGGGGAAGCTCTCTACTAAGTGAGGCCAGTCCAATATGGTGTCTCGGAAGTCAATTGAGTTGAGTTTGTTGGGCAACCGAGTATACTGAGCACCTGATGGGTCTCCGTATCCAAGGAAAATATCCTGCAGCCAAGACGGAAGAGTGATATCTGACACAATGAGTTTCTGCATCGTTTGAAGAATTGACTTGAAGTTGTTCTCCCTGCCCTTTCTTCGAGCCACAACATTGATCAAGGGGTAGATATCTGGCTTGCCGTGTGCTTGACGGTCCTTATCCGCCTTGAATGCTGATGCATCCATGTTGACAAGGAGTTTTCGGACTCGCGGACGTCCAGCATGGCCATTCACTTGACCAGCAGCCTGCTGCCGCAACGGGCGACCTTGCTCATCAAGAACTTGCACGATCTCTGCGGTGCGAAGATAGGTCATGCGAGGACTCTCTGCGTTCTGATCATTACCACCTAGATGTGCAGGTGCGGATGACTGAACAGCTAAGAGGTACACAACATCATCAGGGCGAAGAGAGTCCCACTCCTTCCGGATGTGATCTGCAAGTCTGCCGACTTCAATGGCAATTTCGGCACGAACGAAAGCAGGATTGAGGGAGCCAACCTTGGCCGGCGCAACTTCGATGATGGCTGGCTTGGTGATAGGGATTGCCATGCGGGAGAATCCGTCAAAGGTGAGACTGCCGTCACGGTTTGCGCGAGGCTGCATGCGCTTGACAATCGACTCCATATCCTTGCGAATCTGGAAGAAAGCCTCGGATCGATAGAGCAAGAATGAACGCCACAGGAAGTCACCGATGCTCAAGTACTGAAGGTTGAGCTTGGGGATTGCAAGAGGCCTTGAGCCATCATAAGTCTCATTGCGCATCAAAGCGGAGTCGTAAAGGCTGTCTTCGGTAGGAACAATGTTCAAGTTCGCAGCACTATCCTGGAAAGAGAGCCTACGCTCGTAGAAGGTCACGAGGACTTCCAACCAGAATTGACGGCTTGGCTCGACATTTGACGTCTTGGGATAACTTGTGCGGAATCCAAGTTGGGAGCATAGACTTTGAAGTTCCGACTCGTCTAATGATGAGAGCTGGCTCTCCAACTCTGCGCGTTGCTCAATTGAACCTAAATTCGACAGGGCAAGAATCATAAGCTTGTCCTTGAAAGACTTCATGGCGATTCTCTGTAGACGGGCCAGCTCTTGGTTGTGCAAATCGTACACAGTCTGGGGCGAAAGAGCCTCTCCAGAATAGTCATCTATGGCAAAATCCATGAAGTGCTTGAGAAGGCTATACAAGTCGCGAAATAGCGCATTCTCAGGCGAGCGATATAAGTGCGAAAGACGAATGACAGGAAGTAGATTGAGGTCCTTCAGGAGTGTGTTGACGTAACGACGGGTCGGGAGTTGACTCAAGAGATCCACCATGAGCTCCAGGAATCGTTCGCAGTAAAGCAAGTTCTCCTTTTGATCCTTCTTCGCGCCATTCAACTTTTGCAGGAAGTCCAGTAGCATCGTGTAGAGCCAAGACCTTTCAAAGCGTAGTTTCGCCTTGGCGGGTTCATCTCCGGCATCATATCGCTTGCCGGCAGCCCTCCATGCCTTCTTCAATGACGGAGACTTTGCAATAACGCGTTCTCTCGCGTCATCGCTGACCAGGTTGTGCCAAATGGAGATGGAGACGAGCGGGGCGCATTGCTGGCGGATCAAGACGTTCTCGAGCGATTGGAAGGCACCAATAATGAATGAGATGATGGACAATCGCGAATGGGTCGACAATGAAGGATCAATGCTCATCGAAAGAATACGGTAGAATAAGCTCGAGAAGTCGTCGCCACGGTCAGAGAAAATGTCTGCGCAAAGGTATTAGTCGTTGTTCTACCATTGTCTCGGCTTTACCTGTCGCATTCACTCACTCCATATCGGCAAGTGTTCCCGATACTTGACGCTGACGATCAAGGCGATCAGGAGAATGTGGTGATTGGAAGCATCCTCGGTGTATGTCGGCCAGAGATACCTGCGATCGCGTCAGCCTTGCGGGGATCAGAATCATCGAGTGCGGGCAACTGACTTTTCCAGAACATTCAAATTCTCCAAGATCAGAAGCGAGCGACTTGTGAAGCCTTCGGCTTCCAGCGGATCCCACAATTGCTTCTTGATCACATCTGGTTTGACCTTGCGCACCTTGGTGTCCAACCAGTGCGCCTTGGCCAGCTTCACCCACGGGCTATCCTCGCGGAAATCCACGACCGTTGGCCTGGACTCCAGACTCTGCGCCATTACCGCAGTTGATTGTCCCTTATCCGAGTAGATGAGGGGTGAGGGGGTGGATCGAAAGGGTAATGTCGCAATCGAATACCGAAGCCGAAGCTGGGGGGGAGCTTTTTCAGAAAGTCTTGGCTCTCTCTCTCTCCGCCGAGCCGCAAACCTTCACTTCGCCCAACTTCTCTCTTTTGTCGCGCCCACAGCTGTCAATCCAGCCTCACATCGGTCGAAGATGACAAGCGTGGATATCGAGGCGGTTCAGGTTTACAAGGGCCTGATCGATGGTCTGTTGGACCGCGCGACGCAGGTCAAGCCTGCCCAGATCGAACCCCCATTGACCGAAGGGCTCCTCGGCGATCGAATTTGGGAGGTCCCGGAACACCAACAAGGGGTCGTGAAGCAGCTCAGCCAGCAGACGCGCTACGCGTCGGTAGAAATTGCTTTCCGCCAAAAGTTCTACCCTCTTGTGGTGCGCCCCGCTTACCTCCAAGTTCACCTTGGCTATGACGATTGAAGATGACCGCTGACAGTTCGTGATTATCCAGAACTCTACCGCCATCGAAGACCCTGCCTTCGTCCACATATGGAACCTCCTTGACATCGTCTCCATTTTCTCCGATAATGGTTCGTCGCGCGCCAAAAACACATATTGATGTCTTCTAACGATCACCAGAACAATGCGAGCCCGGCTTGATATTCTGGCTTATTGAAGAGCTACTCGACAGACAAACCATTAATGCCTGCCGCAAAGTGTTTGACTACTTGGAGTCTCGCCGGGAACGGAATATTAAGGTTTGCAATGATCTTCCACGGGTCTTTGCCGCGCTCCATTGACTGACTCCGTAAAGAAACATTTCAAGCAGAAAAGTCTCGTCATCCTCAGATCATGCAACGAGCTACTCCGCCGACTTTCCCGTGCTGAGGATACTGTATTTTGCGGGCGAGTTTTCATCTTCCTCTTCCAAAGCTTCCCACTAGGAGACAAGAGTTCAGTCAATCTTCGCGGCGAATTCCATACCGAGAACGTTACCACATACGACGATATTGTCAAGCCCATACACCATGCCCCAGAGGAGGATATCACAATGACAGATGGCGACTCTACACTGACAGAAAGCCAAGCGGATAGCACCAGCCGAGCCGAGAGTCGTGGGACAGGAGTCGATGAAAAGTCAAATGTTCCCAATGTCCTTGTATCTCGGGATAAGAAGCGAAACGGGCGGGAACCGAACGAATACGTCGATCTTGATGTTCTATACCCAATTTTCTGGAGTTTACAGACCTACTTTTCAGCTCCCAGCACGTTGTTCGACCCAGACCGTTTGGTATCATTCAAGGCCGGCCTTGAGGCAACATTATCTGCTTTCAAAAACATCAACACCGAACTCGACAGTCAAGGCGGCGGACGATCGTCAGAAGAAGCGCGCAAATCTCATAAGCGGAAGCGCGTAGCCGACGGGCCCGAGATCAGCAGCAACTTCAACCCAAAATATCTTACTAGTCGCGATCTCTTTGATCTCGAAATCAGCGATACGGCTTTCCGCAGACATATCCTGGTCCAGGCTCTCATAATTCTGGACTTCTTGCTATCATTTACGCCACAAGCCAAGAAACTCCAGGTTGACTTAACGAACAAGTCCGTGCTCTACGGATTTGTCCTGAATGAAGACGATGCGAACTGGGCCTCGAATATCAGGAAACGCATTGAAGGGTATCTACGAGATGGACCTGGAGGGATGTTTTACTATCGCATGGTCGATACCGTTCTGTCAAGAGACAAGAACTGGGTGCGGTGGAAGGCCGAGGGTTGTCCACCAATCGAGAAGCCAGCCATCTCTGTGCCTGACTACGTGGCTGCACGCAATAATGCGGTCAAAACCTATACCAACAAACGCATCCGTGCCTCGCCAATGGGAGCGCTGGATTTCAAATTCTTATCCGACAGCGAAGCATTGGCCAACATCGAACGGCTCAAGGAAGCAGATCGATTCGCTGTTCCCGATTCGAAGTCATTGCAGGGGGCGATCCTAGATGACGAAATGGACATTGACATGGCACAGACCACAGACGACAAGGAAGCCGCGCTCAGCGCCAAATCTAGTAAACTCTGGCGTATCCTCCGTTTGTCCGCAAAGACGAAGATGGCCGTTTTTGACAAGATCGATGATGGCAACAATTTGAATCTCCTCTTTGAAGCCCCCGCGCCGGCAGGGAAACCCCCCAGCCAGACGGAAATGATGACCACCAAGACAGCCTCTCTGCAGAGGGCAAAGACAGCGGCGAAGAGGAAGCAAGACAGGACACGCAGCCACCTATTGAGGGAACGAACGTCATCGACGATACCCAACAGGAAGACAGCATCGCCCCTGCCGAGAACCGGAGAAGCGAACAAGACCCCGCCGTTGAGTCTAGCGTGGAAACCGGAGATAACACCAAGAAAGACTCGGCAACCTGACGGCATGGCGCAGACCCAAAGTTTTTTGCAGAATGCTTATGGCTTTGGCCCCTTTCCTCGGGACTGCGGAGCAATACCCGCAATGGGTAACGTCTGGCGGCCAAGGCATCTCTTCTCATCCATCAACCTCTTTTTTCTTTCTAGGGCGCATGCGCCCCAGCCCTGTTCAACCTAGCAGACTGGATCTGGTAGCACTTCCCTGTATTTATCGAGCTAGACGCGAATGAAAACCTAATACCATCGAGTACGAATTTCGAAGAACCCAAGAGCTTTGGTAGCTGTTCCATCAGCCCAGCCACAATCCAAGGGACCGGTTCGCTTGCGGGACATCGAACATCACGATGGCGATACGATCTTGGTCTGTATGATCTTTCCGGCCGCTTGCGTCCCGGCTACTTCCACTCAAACTTGTCCGGTTCGCATGACGCGTTCACCTATGGCTACAAATACATACAGAAGTAGAAACACAGGGTTGTCTCCTTCCTATGCTGCTATTAGTATTCGCAGGCATGTTCGTTCTAAAGGCCCACCGAGGCACACTATGGAAATTTACTTCATGTCGATCAGGCACGAACGCAACCACCCTGAGACTACGGTAGTAATTCATGTTCCGAGTGTCTTTGATTGGGGGCTTAGTGAGGCAGTGAAGGACCCTCTCCTTGCCCCCTTATAAGATCAGGAGTAGACTAGGATTGGGCCTGTCAGCCAATGGAGGAGGAGCACAATCTTCACGACGAAAGCGATGGGAGCGAAGTGGAACTTTACATTTTTGCATGCTGGATTAGCTACCGACGTGAAGAAGGGAAGATAAGTTTTTATTTTATTTTATTTTAATTTTTAATTTTTAATTTTTTTTGCCTGACCGATCCGCAACTCTATTGAGGTTGAGAGCTGTTCCTGCATGAATATGTCAAGAAAGCCATGGTTCGGGGAATAATTCTCCTTAATTTATTTTCTCCGTCTAAATTTTAGTCTTTTCTTTCTCATATGACTTATGCCTAGTGTCAGCGGGGAGATTTCCCCTGGAATATCTGAGCGTCAACCCGGAGCGGTAATAGCCAGATTGCAGGGCGGGCGAACTGTCGCAGCCATGTTTCACTTTCTCGTGCACCGAGGCTAAGAGGAGTTAGTTAGGGCATCGGCGTCGGAGGATTGGAGTTGCGAGTACGAGAAATTAGTGAAGTTTAGTGAGCTTGTTAGTGAGTCTAGTGTGATGAGGGTGGACACAGTCTACCCCTTGATAACTTGCAGCTATACAAGACATCGACGGTTGGTGGAATTCTACGTGGTCCCGGACCATGCGGCGATCGCAGGAGAGATCCTTCTCGAAGCACGACGCACTGATCGCAGAAAGGCACTAGCAAAGAACGCCTAGGGCCGGAGAGTTGCAAACTCCACGTGTGGAGCACAAGGTCGACGCTATACGGGACGCGGAAGGAGACTTTTCCTTTCCGTATCGATCTCAGCACTGGCCAGGTGGGTGTGAGAACTATAACATCTCCATCGAGTCAATAGATCGGGGAAAGAGGGAGAAAGAGTGGCCCCCCCCCCTATTCCAAATCGGGAGCAACGTGCGATCCGTGGAAACAACACGGCCGTCACTGTCAGACCGAGTTTCAGGAAAATTTTGACCCGCTCTGAACAACGAGGATGACCATGGAATGTGGCTTGAGCAGAGCACTTCCAGCCGCCTTTATACCGTTGTCGGTAAGTGCCGGTCATAGCAGTAGTAAACTGCTGAACTGTGCAGGTTCTTGGATCTGCAGGGCACACGATGGCCATTTCGGGCCCAATGAATCGGCGTGCACGATGCAAGAGGGGCATCTGGGCCAAGCGATCGGCTTGCGTCACCCAACTCTCCCTCCCCTAATTCTTCGACTCGCAGCACGATGACGACGTACATCTGGAGGGAAATGAGCAGGGAGACCGTGAGTGGTGCTTGGCATCTGCGAGAAACGCCGAAATTAAAGTTGTGCGCAGTGATTCCACGATCGATCCCCGCGGTCATTCCAGAATGTACCCTCTGCCACACATGCTTGACACACAGTTGACACGGGACGGGCTGAAGTCAACCCGAGGTCAATGGAAGGCATCCAGAACAAGCTCCAAAATTCAGAGACGACTCCACCAGGCTCCAACACGGAGAATCCGATCGAAACCAGACCTTCCGCCTCGGGAGACGGGCAAAAAAGAAGATCGGACGCGTGCAAGGCTAAACGGGCTTAGGAGACGATCAGCAAGGGCTTCGGCCGTAGCAGTATGCTCTACGCAATATGATTCGGGATCGTCTCTAACGGCCCCGAGTTTTCTCCCCTCCGAAAGCCGTGCGATGGCAAAAAGGAAAACGGGCCCCAGTCTCCAACGTTCCGATCAGGAACTTGCGCCTTACCAACGTAGTCCTGCGTAATTTTGCTCCACTATTGAGCAATGCTACAGTACAAGTATTCTTCAGGAAAATAGGGAAAAATAGAGAACTCTCGTGCGGCGGGTCGACCAATGTCCCGATCGGCTTAGATTCCGCTCCTTCGGGTTCATGCAAAGGCCGGTGGGCCGTTAGCTGCCTAATTGTGTGTTCTACCCGGATTTTCAAGCTTCTCAGATGGTTTCCTGGTTATCTCAGGTCTTATCTCCGTCATTGTCCTCACGGGAATCAAATTAAAAAGGGCCTGGAAGAGTCGAGGGACACGGCCCACCGTTTACTTGGTACTCATATTCCTGGTTCAATCATACGTCAGGTTCATAGATCACAGGCCCTAGGGGGGGCCACTAAATAAGTCCCTTCATTTCCAGCCGTGACTTGGGACGTTTCATGGGTGATGTGGAGATTGGCCCAGGAGCTCTTCTCCTCTCGGTGGAGAGCCCTGACACGGCGGCTGAGCCACGGTTGACCCCGAGCTCTTAGCGAATGTGCAGAGACCGCCGTACAGCATTTGCAGGTATCTGTGCACCAATTGGTAAGAGAAAGTATAGGAAATATCAAGAAGATTGTAGGTGTTACCTGCAGGAGAGAAAAAAAAAAAAGGAGACAAGATTGAATGAAACTCCCAAAAAATCAAAGTATACAAAATGACTTGACGGCTGTGGCGGAAGTAATTCTCCGTACGGAACCAGGAGTCGGGAAATTTCCACATCATTCTTGCTGGAACCGTGTAGCCGAAGCCTCCGTCCGGGTTTCAGGGCCTAGCAAAGACCAATGGGCTCTTGTATAATCCCTACTGGACAGCCTGTCCATGGATAATCGCGGGGTTGTTATGATTCTTCTTGTCAGATTGCGGATTTCTTTCTCGCCTCTAACCACTCCATTGATACAAGACTCCACTCTCGCAAGCCTCTGAGGCCCTCTATTCGTGCGGAAGTGTGGCGGGCAGCCTGCTGAGTGGCTGTTCCAAGCCATTCAAAGACCCCCGAAGGTCCGGCAGCATAAGACCGACCGTCAATGGAGCCAGTGCGCCACTAGCTCAATGTAGACTCCCACATGGTCGATAGAAAATACGCATAATAAATCAAAAATAAAGTAGAAGTCCAAAAGAGAAAAAAGGAAAAAAAAAAAGCAAAAAACAACAGAAAGTGAACCGGTGAGCAAAGCAAGGGTCTCATGGCCCTTCCCACGCGGTGGCCCATGCCCGATATCTAGCCTTCTTACCATCTAGCCTGTAGCCACGCTCATCTCACGGACCCTACAGATCAGCCAATAGATCCACGTCGGAAACTTTTGTATCGACAAGAGTCTACGTCTTCAATCACATACAGTGTGCCTTGCTGGAGTCCGATGGAATCCTGATACCGGGCCCAGTGCCAGCCGCCTAGTTAGGGCCCCCGGAGGACTTGTATTCTAGAGCTTGTCTGGATCCTGGTCTGAGGATTCTAGTCCTCACTCGGTTCCCACTTGTCCCTTTGATCCAGCTCGGGCAGAACCGCGATTTGCCACAGACCCGTCGTGGGTGTGGGCTTGTTCCTTCTGCAACTGGGCGTGGCCATACCTCTGTGAGAGAGGCGGCGCTCTGTGCACGGGCAAATAATTATTACCAGGCTGTCATGTACCTTCCAAGCTTGTAATCGTATTCGGATATATGCTAGTGCGGCGTCTGGTTTGTGCCGTCAACAATCTTAACGATCTTTTCAGGAGCCAAGGACAGCAATCGGTCTTGTATCGAATCGGAAACATCAAGATCTCAGACTACCAATTCCTCTGAGCGATTTTGGTGTTCTGATACTTGTCTTGGAAAATTGTGTTTGAGAACCCGGGGTTACATCTATGGACTCTGCCGCATGGGGCATCAGTAATGGATCGTGGTCTTGATGCTGATCATTGCCGAGTCCCAATGCAGTGGTTTGACCTGTTCTCTCACATCTCTTATTGCCCGCATCCCCTCTCCTCCATCCGGGCACACAACTAGCAGCGTTACAAAAATGGGAAGAAATAGAATGAGAAAAAAAAAAACACTCGTTGTTCCAGTGTACTCGCTTTTGACTTTGACTGTTTTGACCGTTGCAGAGATCGCCGTACGACTCCGCGTGTATATCATTCCTCGGACAGTGCTAACCAAAAGCTAAGTCATCCGGTGGATCAAGACGTTAGTCCTACTGGGTGTTATAGACGGTGGACCCTGGGGGCAATTGCGGGTGTCCGTTTTAATATCCTAGCCCGTTTATTTCCACACATCGCTTGGGTCGTCATAAGGAGATCTCCGGCCGATCCTGGCTGACCCAGTCGAACCCAGTCACCTTCAACCCCATTACCAGTCAACCCAGTCAACCCAGTCACCCAGTTACACATTTAACCGGTAATAGGTACCCAGTGGATGCTCAGTGCTACTGCCGAGCTGCGTAAAGATCTTCAAAGGGCTGGACATTAGCGATCTGAGATCTCCCGTTGGACGTATCTTCGAGTCTTGGTCCAGTGGTCCAGTGGCGGACACGCATTTCCCTGGCATCAATCTCCCGGCGCCTACTGAAATACACGACCCCTCCCTTTTCTTTATACCGAGGCCTGCAAGTTTGATTTGGCTTCACCCTTTACTCCGTTTAATTGAAGACACCCTGAATCTGTTGCGCAGGCGTCCCCGGCACTTCGATCAGACCCACCCCTCCTCTTGTCTCATCTCGGGGAAGACGGCGCTTTTTTAGTTCTTTTGTCCTTTCCTGGATTTTTACCGTTTCGTTTCGTGTCGTCGGTGTTGTGGGTTCGGTGCGTTTGATTCTTGGTCAAGTTCGACTCGTATCTGGTAGACTAGGGACTTGAGTCTTCAGGTATTCTCAACTTTGCAGACCCCCCCGTGAGGCTCGAGATTTACCATGTCAATCGGTGGCCCTTGTCTCTGGGTGCCTTCTTTAACTTCGCCCGTCTCGTCGCCTCTATCGGCAGGCCTATCTCATCTGTCCGCAGTTGCTCGTCACGGAGACCGCTTTCCTTCAGCACCGAGAACAGTCTCACCGCTACTGTCACTGTCGAGGGGAAAAGAGCCTGGTGCTTCTATCGGTACTTTTATCGATCTGCCATCTAACATGCAGCGCGCTGGTTTCAAAGCTGAGAATGCTTCGACTACTCCGGTGCCTGTGAGCACCGCGGCATCCGGGGCGTATTTTGGGAGAGAGATCTCCCATCAGCGACCTGGCATCAAGAGGGACGACATGTTACCCCGAGTGAAGCTGGAAATTCCCGGTCTTAATGACGCGAACTTCGCGATGGCAAGGCCGCACCTCGGTGCTAGTCACCTCGGAGATTCGACGAATGATTCGATGAGCCTTGACGAAAAGGACAGCCATGACCACGAGTCTACTGTTAGTCCGACGGATGAGAAAGAAGGAACGACCGGTCCCGATGATATTCAAACGTCGCCGTCGCTGGAGAAAAAAAAAGATGAAGCGATTCCGGTAGGACTTCGAGAATTCTTCGTTCCAACTTCATGCCAGAGCTGACTCGGTATTCAGTTTGACACATAATCAGACTCGATTCTTAATGAGCGAATTTACTCGTCAGGCTCATCCAGACGCTGCTCATCGAGAGCGCTTGTCTAAGGAAATTCCCGGATTGACGCCTCGGCAAGTGCAAGTGTGGTTCCAGAACAGGTAGGCCTTGAAAGTCACCACGGATAAGGAAGGTCTCGTCTAACAATGACTCCCAGACGGGCGAAGTTGAAGCGTCTGACCACAAACGATCGCGAAAGAATGCTAAAGTCAAGGGCGCTTCCCGATGATTTCGACACGACGAAAGTGTTGAGGACACCGTTCGAGAACAGGTCGACAGGGCAGACACCTATTGCCTCCCCTCAAGACTATGGAGCGCCAAATCCAGATTTTGCAGCCCTGAGGGGGCTTCGCACTGACTTTGTTCAGCGTCCGAATGAAGATGACTATCTTGTCTCGCCTCTCAGCTCTGCATCGACCGCAGGAACCTACATGTCCTCTGCTGGGCAGGGACGGAATGATGGACTCTCATCGCAAAACATGATGTACGGCCGACCTGCTGCTTCTGCGTCCATGTCCGATCTACAAAGAACCATCCGCAGCGACTACTCCATTACCAGATCAAGCAGTTTGTCCGAGTCGTCCGCACAGCCCCCATCGTTCCACCATGGGATGCAACTCCCCAGTCGATACGGCGCTCCCAGTCAGCCCGGTCTCCCTTACGGACAGCAACCGTACGGGGTTCCTCAACATCACAGCAGAATGATGCCGGCATATGACCAGCACCACCCGTTTGAGGGTTCAGTGTCACCAACAGACTCACAAGGAACACAGATGCCCTACGACATGAGCACCCTAGGTTTGTCCTTTCGCCCATATATCTTCCACAGCAAGTCCTAACAAATCGAATCCATGCAGGCACGCAACCTCAAAGCTACCAGTCACAGCTAGCCATGTCGACACAAAAGGACTACAGCGGATTGGGAATGAACACGCATATTTCCCCCCACGCACGACCGATGTCCACCCTGCAAGGCATCCCCGTCTCCGCAGCCCAAGAATACCGCCCCTATCCCTACGGCGCCACTTCCATCCCATACACCCATAGCAATAATGCATCATCCATAAGTCTGCCCTCAACCTTCGCCCCGTCCGACTCAGAAACCGGGGCCCAGGACCACATGCAACAGAACCCTCAAACCCTCGAGTCCCTTCGGGGCAAATTCGGCAACCCATCCTTCAACTACGCAGGCTACATCCAACAATAAAAATGCATTTGACCGGACCATGACCAAAACAACTCTGCAAGTCACCATATATCAAAATCCGGCCTTCTCTCCTCCAACCAATCAGTAATCCCTGATCTGTGCTTCCTTGCCCTCGGTTCAGCTCGCGGGCGCATCCATACCAGCGTGTTTTAATTCTAATACTTTGACAGCGCCTAGCTATATCTTTTTTTTTCCATCTTCATTTTCTTTTCTCTCCTGTCTATATTGTGTGTCCATTGCCAAGTTGTTTTTGTTATACTTTCCGCATATCAAGGTCATTTAGGTGGTCCACCATCCGCCACGGGTTTGCAAGGTTGTTCTGTTCTCTTATCTTTACCATGGGGGTCCAGCGTCTTCTGTTATTTACATTTGGACCATCGTCGATGTTTTGTCTCTGCAATGCGGAAGTTTGGTTCCAAATGTCATTGCAATCCGTTGCTGCTTTCTAGATCGAGAGCGGCACGTGATTTGTTGTGGATATGATCGACGCAGCTATTGCCTGTCTGGGTTCAGGAAAACTCCGAAGTTTACCCTGATGTCTTACTTCCATCTACTCCAATTTACACTGTAATTTGGCAAATCTGAGCCAGAAGAAATGAGACTTCTCATATTGATTGCGCAGTTGTAGTATGTATGTGCATAGAATCCCCTATTTCGATAGTGTCAGACAACTTGCTAGCTCGAATACTCGCGTAGATACTGAGACATATGTTTATCGGCGGATAGGGTGATCAAAATAGACTCGTCGATCTCGAAAATTATCGCCGGGCAAGAACCCAAAATAAGAGGGTAAATCCCTACCCGAAACCTAGTCGCTCTGCAAGTTTCAGAAACAAAAGATCGCTGCCTAAATCGAAGATGCCGTATGATTATTGCTCACCCGCCCGGGTGAAAATGAGACCCCACCCGGAATTCCCAAAGTCCCTCATTATCAATATCAAGATTTTCCGTTCACGAGACCCATCTTCTCAGCTAGGTCAAGCATATGATAATTTAAAAATGTCGGATATCCCAAACTCTAGCCCCCTTTGATCACAGTCTAACCGACCTTGGTTCCAACGCCGCAAAGGCGGCGTCGGGTTCCGTCCGACTTTCATTAGGCCTGTAGATAGGAGGTAGTCTCGTGTCATCCCTTGTGAGAAATCATCACAAAGCGTAGAGTTGACCAGAAGCGCCGTCCATTTGCAAACCATAGATCGTTCTTATCGTCCGGGAAAGAGAGCATGACGATCATATATCTGATCCAAACATCCGATAACATTACGTGCGATGACTTGAAGCCAAGGTCTAAGAAAGTTCTGACATCAACCCAGCGGTGGATTGGCTGGTTAGTAGACACAGACATGCTCAAATTTATAGTAGGTCTAGTATTGCTGCTTGCAGCCATGTTCGCACTTTTATGCCCAATTCCAGGCACAACGCCGCTGTATGAAGGCTCTGTTCCACTGATGTTTGTTTTCTTCACATGCGAGGAGTGGTCTAGTGCCAGTCTCAAAATTGAATGGAATTCCTGATTTAGCCTCATCAATGCTGGTTGCAGTGGGGCTTTTATCCGAGATATGGTCTGTTGACTTTCATGTGTACTACTTCAAGTTCCACCTTTAGAAACTACTCTTGAGAGATATAACTCATATTATAATACTCATATCTAGTAAGCGATTGAACACAGGCGAGAGAATAGAGTTACGGAGTTTGTTCGGCGTCTCTAATCTATGGCCAAGCGAGGTTATATTGAGGTAAATCATTGAATTGCTGATCATGGCATTTGACTGACCCCTTCAAGCCAGAGTCCTATAAATTAGTTCCCTTCCAAAATTGACCAAGCTACTTTGCGTTGTGCTCTTTGGGTCCTTCAGTAAGTCTCCTTGCACCCACCGCACTCTGGGTTCCTCAACATGCCCGCTCGGCATGCAGCCATCATAATTTCTACATTAAACGGCTACCCTTCTGGGTCTCAGTGCTTGTCATTATATCCATTGGACGTATCTCAGGAATTTCAGACGTACAAGAACATCCCAGCCGTATTGCTTGGGCTCTGATCATTGAGCTTTGCGTGTTCAAGCAGTCAGCCGCCATGTAACCATGATAGAGAGGACTAAAAACCCCATTTTCACATCACTTCATCCATGTTGGCGATATTTTTATCTGGCCTGCTTGTGAATCTCCAGCCTGCTTGCGAGGAGATAAGATAGAATTTAATTAGGAGCCTGTTCCTCACATGTAAGCACCTGGGCTTCGTGTTAATAAAAAATGAATAGCCATAATTAAATGGTCATGATAACCGCACTCATCACATGATCATTGATTTCCTTTGGTCCAAGGTCCGCCTCATGGGCGACGATTTCCCAGATACCTTAGAGGGGTACGTGGTAGCAAGGATACGGGGAGAATTCTCATTTGACACCATTTTGTAGAGGTACAGCAATGATAGGTCTTCCCAGTCCTTTTCCAGGTGCTCAGACACATGCAGAAAAGGGTGCCCGCATGAAAGCCCTTCGAAATAGAAGATGTAGTTTCGCCAATTTCAAAAGTGGAAATCGCTAGCTCAGAATAATCACAGCCAAAAATCACATGAACACGATTCTTTTCTGAGCGAACAATGAGTTGAACAAGGCAGCAATATTTGGTCGCTCATTCAAATTCCTTGAGCTTTTCGCGGAATGAGCTATTTATTAGACTAGCGATTCCGTGCCATTCTCCTTATGGATAAAATATAATTTAACGCGGAGGTACTGAAGTCGGCAACATCAAGGCTCTTGCGAATTTCATAACACAGGAGCTAGGTAGGCGCTGAGCTTCTGAGATTACATGGATAATGTTGAATTATCGCGAATTATCACTGTGGCAAGCAGCGAAGTAGTCTCGAGATCTCTTAAGGCCCTAAAATTTGCGCAGCAAGCCTCACCGGAATATCTGGAAGTCCGGAAATTGTTCCATGATTTTGAGGTGACGACCATCAGACGACTGGTCTCAAGCAGACTTTCGGACCGCCGTGAGCTGAATTATGATGTCAACCAATAAGGTTTGATGACATGTAAGGTTATGTGCATTAGCTTTGCCGGTCTCAATCGAAACTGGAGTTGCCCTCAACCCTTGGCATCACTTTCCGCTGGTTGCAGATCTCATTAAATTTGAGGTTAGAATGTATTTCGGCCACAACGCGTAGAAAGGACACTGGATAGAGCTATTTTCGTCCTTTGAAAGGCCAAGACGATTGAGACGTCAAATTTCGTGAATTGATCATCACTGCGACGAATGTATAGTTCGGCTGGGCCTTTTGAATTTCTTCACTAGGTCGATCTTTGCCGAATCAAGCTGAAGCAACATTCAGTTCAACTCTCAGTGTTAGTTAATAGCCGCGACATTGGGTCTATGTAAGAGAACCTTAAACTATATGCGATCAAAGCTTTCCTGCCCTATGGTGGAGGCATTTCCCCGACTAACTGCAATTCAATGAAAAAAAATTTGTTTTATATCCTGTATTCAGACTCGCTCTTGGGTAACTTGCATTCTAACCGTTACGTTTCATATACAAATCCGCCAAGTGAGTATGCAATTATAAAGGAACCTAGCGTGAAACGAGCTTATTGATACAAAGTGCCTGTCACTGAAGTTACAAAAGTAGCATATGGAAGCATGATCGCTTTTCAAGCTTGCCCCACCAATGCTTTAAGCCTTTGCAGCTCGCGGCGCAGCTACCCTTGCTGTTATCAGGAATGGCAATTGTTCAAAATAGAGGGTTTGCTTCAGATCCCGATAGCGCTCAGAATCTAACTGTGTGTTCAGGTGTCTAACGGTAACAGGCTGGAAGAAAGGATCAACCCGAGATATAACCTACCGATTGAGCCTGGACACTTTTCTTCGCTGTGTGCCACGTTACTTGTAAGGGTGTAAGAGTTACATTTATGTTCTGTTGAAGCGCTGCGTCATTTAGACTCGCGCGAATTTCCAGCTCTCCAAATTTCCGATCAAGATCTCTGCGCTTTGTATGGATCAGCATCTTCATGACCGAAAACTTCGGTACATCAGTGTCCATTTTGCCTTGTGAGGTTCTGCTTCGGCCATAGAATACGAGAAGTACGCCAAAATTCTTCTGCCGCACAGCCAATCCGCGCCGCATAGGATCAACGCCATTACCTCGATGATATTGCCAATGGTGACCTGATTAAGGACTTGAAGTCCCACAATGGCTGGAACAGAACCCATTAAAAATAGGGTTGTCAGTTTTTGAGCAACACTCTTGTGATTTGGGGAAACATAATCCATGCATTTCTATTTTTTTTGGCATTGCTTGAAAAATGTGGTCGTATTTTGGATAATTGATTTGCATCAGTCATACCAGCCGCCGCAATCTGAAGATACCTCGCAAATCTCGCGCTAACAGACCGCCTGGGCGATTTTGTATTCGCTGGCGGACATGTGCGGAAAGAAAGTTGCACATCTCCAGGCCCGAAGTGATCTCGCGCCGCATTTTTGCTACCGCTGGATTATCAGCGGACAGTGTCTCTTAGGGTGTAATAGTATGATGTCTATAGTTAAAAGAGATAGCGTTTGCCTTTCTTGATTGAGAGGAAGAGGTTATGGAAGAAGAATTTTCAGTTAGAACGAAGAATCATTTTAGCGCTGCGATACCTTGAATCCCATTCAGTAATGATCCTCGATTTTCCTTGAGTGAGTTGAATTATTAATCAGATACACCATCATCCACCTGGCTCAGGGGTAAAGCTCATCTTCTTATTTGCAACGAGAAAGGTCATGAGCCATGGGTCTACATTTGGATGTACAACCACCGAGGCGGCAGACGAGAGAGCAGCCTTGCCACGATAAAAGCTGAGGTCTTGAATTAAATCGCATCCTCAGACCGGTGATCTCGAGTTGGGTATAGTTTCTTCGCATATTGTTGCTCGGGCATCTCATGGCCGCACGGCCACGGCACGCTGCTTAAATGGCCGTTTGAGACACAGCTTGGAAGAACAGTCTCGCCGAGTTACAACAGAACGCTTCCTATTCGATTATGCTTGCCAATATCTGATCAGACATTCAATAGAATTATATATAATTTCTGGCATCCAGTGGTAGGTCTTTGGCTGACATTGTGCATAAATACCTATACCAGCTATGCAGGGGTTCTGGGCGTTCTGGCGCGGACTGTGGATCAACGCCCGAGATTTCTCAGGGTTCATAGCCAGGTTTTAGAGCAACTTATCTTACATGCATGTTCTGCCATCAACCACGTTGTAGGGATGACTGGCTCTGAGTGAAGCCGAGGCCGGAGTCAGTGGGGCTGTCAGGGTCCATGCTTAGCCCCCACATGCCTAGCCAAAAGCTTCAGGGTCCTGACGTTCAATAAGACTGTTGGGAAAATTGAATGTTGCCGGATTTGTTCGGCAATAAAAGCTTAAAAGCCAGGTACAACCTTCTAGATGCAGAGAATGGTTCAAGCGGTGCATGAAAACTTGGAAGTCATGAAATTTTACCGATATTAGACCGACTAGGAATGGTTTACCCGGAGTAGATATAAAAGCCTGTGATGGGAAGTCCTGCTTCATTGTTCGTATCAATCTCAACGCAATCTTCAACATGGATCGTGGATGGACCAAGTCGATGCTGGTGGCTTTTGCTGCTTGCGCCTCGACCTCCATTGCTTCCCCCACCGAGTTCAAATGTACCCATAACTCCGCTCCGATGCAGGCCCATTTGGCCTACTCGGGAGACCGTGGTATGACTGTGAGTTGGAACACTTACTCCAAGCTGGATCATCCCTATGTTCGCTACGGTCGCCACCCCAATGCTCTTTGGCAGTGGGCCGAATCAGACGTTTCGGTCACCTATCCCACTTCGACCACCTATAACAACCATGTGAAGATTACTGGTCTGGAGCCGAACACTATGTACTATTATCAGCCGCAGTGTGGAAACTCCACCCAGATCTATACCATGAAGACCGCCCGTGTGCCTGGTGATAAGACCCCCTTCACCATCGCGGTTGGCGGTGATTTGGGCTTGATGGGTCCCGAGGGACTCACTACCACTACTGGTCCTAATGGAGGTAACGCACCTTTGGGTCCCAACGACAACAACACAATTCAGTCTTTGCAGTCTATGAAGTCAGAGTGGGAATTCTATTGGCACCGTAAGCTCTCCCTATGACAAGGCTGATCTCCCTTATATCATACTAATTGATTGCCTGACAGCTGGTGACATTGCCTACGCCGATTACTGGTTGAAGGAAGAAGCCCAAGGCTTCCTTCCTAACTTTACTGTCAGTGATGGACCGGCTCTGTATGAGTCTCTCTTGAATCAGTACTTCGATGAGATGATGGCCCTGACTGCCGATCGGCCGTACATGGTTGGACCTGGCAACCACGACTCGAACTGTAAGCGACTAAAATCTCTTCGAACCCTGTCTCTTGATTGTTTCGAATGCTCATCAAGTATCCAGGTGATAACGGCGGTACCACCGACAACGGCGTTTCTTACAACGTCAGCATTTGCCCCGTGGGCCAGACCAACTTCACGGGCTTCCGCAACCATTATCGCATGCCTAGCGATGTATCTGGTGGAGTCGGGAACTTCTGGTACTCCTTCGACCACGGCATGACTCACTTCATCCAATTGAACACCGAGACTGATATTGGTGATGGATTTGTTGGCCCTGACGAACCCGGTTCTTCGGAAGGCATGAACTCTGGTCCCTTTGGCTCTTACCCCAACGAGCAGATCGATTGGCTCAAGAAGGATTTAGCAAATGTGGACCGTGAGAAGACACCCTGGGTCATTGCTGGTAAGTAACTTTACTTCCATACCTGAGCAGACAAAAACGACTGACGGATCTCACCCTTAAGCCGTACATCGTCCTTGGTATGTGAGTGCCAAGAACAGCAGCTCCACGGTTTGTACCGAGTGCAAGGATGTCTTCGAACCTCTGCTTGTTCAGTACAACGTTGATCTGGTCATCCAAGCCCACACCCACTTCTACGAGCGCAATCAGCCTTTGAATGACTATGTCATTGATCCCGCCGGTCTTAACAACCCCTCATCTCCGTGGTACATTACCACCGCCGCCCCCGGCCACTACGACGGATTGGACAACTTTGTTTCACCTTTAAAGCCTTACGCTGTCTACGCTGAGGATACCGCTTACGGATGGAGCAAGATCACATTCCACAACTGCACTCACATGACTCATGAGTTCGTGTCTAGCAGCAACAACACTATTCTTGATACTGCCACTCTGTTCAAGGACCGCAAGTGCGGCTCTGAAAATGAGGCTCATGGCTGGTTCTGAGAGGCTGAACAACTTCAAATTCGACAAAATGCTCCCGTTTTCCTAAGTGTACTTTCTATTTGTTAAAGTAGAAGATGGTTTTCTGATAGACTCTTCATCAAATCAATGACAGTTTACTTTTCGATCATAATCTGTGCAATCATCAGGCTGGTACAAGTTTGACCCGATTGCCAACTCATCTTCTATACATCTGCTCTCTCCAAGACTGGCCGCGACACTGAAGCGGGGCTTATCTCATTCCGGAGAGACAATGACCTGGCATACTTTAGGGATATTTCTCAAAGGTAACACTTTATGTATGACAACGTACGAGCTACTTCCGAGTACATACAGCTTTTAGGTGCGGGAAAAGGGCACTCCTGTCCACTAAGGTGAACTGGAGCCACTGATTTTGTACAACCTATACACGCCGGCAGGTCGGTAGTTGGGCGGGTGACCACCTGTGAATTCCTGTTACGGTATGTTTGTTTGCGAAGCTTTGACTTGCGATCCTTATTTTCATCCAATCGATCTTTTCTTTACAATATATGTCCTTCCAAAAAGGCAAGCAGAGATCGACTCTCAGTTAAGTCTGTTCATGTGTGCCATGTTGGACGTATCATCTCGGTGGAGCCGAGTTGATCGTAGATATCATTGGGAGAGAAAATGTACAGAGAAGAAAACAAACGCCGACCCATGTCTGCTGGTACAAGAACTTGCAACTCCCAGATCCCAATCTTGGAAGTGTAGAACGCCAAAATCTGTTGGATGCCCAGGGCAGAAAGCTCAACCGCCCATTACAGTCCATCCCATCAAACCGACCCAGCCAATAACAAAAACTACAGCCAAGATCCCGGCACCGGCTTTATCAGCAGTGGTTATTGTCGGGAGGTTATCAGTGCTGCTGTGCGTATCGTTTGTGCCAGCTGTGGGGTTTCCAGTACTGTTCCCGCCAGTTGTCGAAGTGACCGGGGCAGAAGTTTCGAAGTTGATCAAGTTAGCGACAAAGATATTGGTGGCACTGATCTGCTCCTCCATACCAATCCATCCGTCGTAATTGGATTGGTACCAGCGCACACCACAGGTATTGTTGTTATGACCTGTACAAGACTTCGCAGCAGCCTGCGCTGAGGTTTGTAGCTTTGGCAAGATGGTATCAAAGGTAAAGGGCGCCACCAGAGCGGTGAATGAGAGCCACCCAGACACAAGTCCCTTGAAGAGGACTTCGTTGTTGTTGCATACCTCCGATGGTTCACACACGATCTCCTCCAAAATCCCGCCATTGCTAGCCGGAGCAAATTTGTCCAATGTCTGGTTCAATAGACCACTGACCGCTGTTTTCCATGTCGCTTGCTCGGTTCCATTTGTCTGGTAGAGCGCAATCGGGTTAGCGGTCTCCAATGGCTGTAATAAGGCACATGGAAAGGCCAAAGGGTGCTTCAAGGATAGTATCGAGGATGACAGAAGCGAAGGCATCCGATCGACTTACCGAGTTATACATGTATGAAGCGCCAATCAAGTATGTGCCATAATTGTATGACCACTGAGTGTTTCCTTGGGTGGTACAATCGTTCGTCATTTCGGTCGAGTCTGCCACGTTCCAAGTCGAGTTACTAACAAGAGGTGAGCTTACCGACCAGTCCCAGATTTTACGAGCCCAGTTGCCATATGTTTCTGAGCCAGTATAGCGATACAGGCGCGCGGAGAGTTGAAACAAGCCGCCATTCGAAATGGCATTTTTCATCGTATACCCTGACTCCCAGCTCCAAATCTGCCATCGCAATCCACCACCACATTTCGTGGTGTCCCACCGGGCAATCTGCGTGTTGAAAACACCCTGAGCAAGCGACAGCCATGAGTATCCCTCGCCAACAGTAGAGTCCGGGAATTGTATTTCGGCGGCGGTCATCGCTGCCAGGCCCCAGAACATTTGATCGTCGTTTCCCTGTAAGCATACTTCAGCAAATTAAAAGCATTATTGGTATGCAGCTAGATTTCTCACGAGGTAAGCGCTGTAGTTGCTGGGCATGTAATCGCATTCTCCTGCCTGCCATTCCAATCCCACACTCAGTTCGTCATTATAGGTGGTGTCGCCGGTGAAATGCCAATAGTGTAAAAGGGCCAAGAAAAGTGCGGCTCCTTCCCACCATTTCGTTGGGAAGGCTCCAGGGATTTGACCTGTTTCATTGCCATGATAGTATGTCATCATCGCATAGACAGACGTACTGGCGGCATTTTTAAGGGAATCTATAATCCAATTGCCAAGGGGTCAGCCCGCCAACGCCACCAATTGCCAAAAACGGCATGCCAGCATCTGCGATTCAAGCACATGGTCGATCTCACATACCCTGATCGGTGACATCAAGATCAATAGCATTGGCACGGTTGGTCAAAAGAAGTGTGACCAGCAGGCCCTTCCACAGAGACCGGACGCCTGGCACGTGCATCGTGACGGTGAAAGGCTTCCAGGCGGTGAAAGTGGGTCTGACGAAGATGGAGATTTGTCGAGAGTAACGCTGAATCCAGATCTGCTGTACAAATCTCTAATAGAAGAAGCCAGGGGACGCCATTAGGGACAGACGGCCATGAGCAAGTCGTGAACAGCGAGGGGAACCAGCGGAAGCCCCATCGTGCGCGAAAGGGAGTTTCATATAACGTCAGGAGTACGCGTAGGCATTTTGAAAAGCAAATAGGACAAGCGGGCGCCCCATTTCGCGCGATGGGGATTTTTAAATATAGCGTCAGAAGCATGCGTATTCATCGACGCTAGCGCCGGCATTGGGTGGTAAGGCGTCGAAACATTCATCCGAATGGTTGCGACTAGTGGGGCAATCCACCAAGCTCAACCAAGCATTTCTGTGTCTTTGCTCGAAGGCGCCTGATGCTGTTGATATGGAATCTGATAGGAATATCTAAGGCCCAGATTTACTGTTGTGATCCGCGCTGTGGAGGTCTTCGGATCTGTGGAGGACTAATGGCCCTGGCAGTATCGTGGGAGCATAGGAAATATGCCTCGAAACAAGTCGCCGCGGATCATCTTCCAACAGGAAACTCAACACGAGGAACTCAGTTAGAAGTGACCATAGGGTAAGATGCAGGCCTTCGATGCACTCTTTGCATGCTCTTCCTTCCCATTTCAAGTCAAATCTAATTTTCTTTGGCCCCCCACCGCTTCACGGAGGATGTCCCACTTACCTCCGGGCTATCGAAGGGTGACAGAAAGACTCGACCTTACGAAAGCCCCTAGCTCTTTTTCTGTCTTAGGCAGCCGGGTTAAACAAGCCACGATCCACTTGCCTTTCAGGGGCTGATGCCTCACCCCATGCCATTTCAGATTGTAATGACCTACTAAGCTACGTACACCAATGGCCTCTGTGCTCTAAGACAGCCCGAGTCTACGCTGAGGCTAACAGTCAATGATTGCCCGGGGAAAAACGCGGGTTGTATGCAAGTGTTATCTTCATTTCCCAGTTTGTTGGACTCAGAAATATCACCCACTCTACCCACGTGACTCGTATCTCCTTTTCCCCTTGAACGATTCCGCCGCATTCCGGAGCTTGAGGCGACGCACGCGGCATTTCGAAAAGGATGGGAGATCATCAGAATGTCCAATTGCCTAGTTGCAACATGAATGGTATTTTTGCATATTCTGACACTTTGCCATCATGTTTCTGAAAACAAGCCGAAGCATGCCCATCCGAATCATGCTACTTTGCCGATGAAGCCGACTAAAAGACCGCGGCCAACACTCGCACTTAAAATAGATTTGATGAATTTGATTTGCTTGTTCATGATGGCCAATTGTCGGAAGAGAAGCATGTAGTAGGTCGATCGAAATCTAGCCATCTATCGACGTGTATCTTACCTCGCCGACGATCTTATGTGAGGGATTATGCGAAGGTACCCTGGATGTGAAGACGGTATTAGAGCAGATAATGATGGAGTTCAATTTGTCAGGAAGATCAAAGGCAACGATTAAATCTCACAAAGTGAATGTACATGACTTTCTTGTCCACATATTTCATCACCGTCAAACAGCAATTGCCAGGCGCTCGTGGGAAAATGAGAGAAGGTCGTCACTGGCTTCAGCCTTGCCAGCCCCAAATGACTGCAAGTTCCACTTATCGACACCGTCCACTCCTTCGAGATCATTCGCGAATGTGCGGAACAGGTCATTGCTAAGTCGCTCGTATTCAGAATACTCCTTGGGCCAATCTCCGAGACGCTCGACAGCAAGTTTGAGCATGTGCAAGTGCTGCCGAACATGTTTTCCTTCTTCCCCGTTTTCACCTGGGCTGGAAGAAGACGAGGACGAGGACATGCCGGAGATAACCTCGACGTCCATCTCGGTCGGAGCAGCCGAGGACGGATCGATGAATACGCGCAGGGCGTTCTCATGCAGAGCGGCTGCTTTTCGATAGTAACGATAGGCCAGCTCGCGGCGACTCTTCTGGTTCTGGTAGCCTTGGGCGACGCTAGTGTACATTTGCGATAGCAGCACTGTCATCTCAACGGTACTCGGGTGGCGAGGTCCATGGACGCGTGCGCAATTGTACACGATATCCTCTGCGAGCCGGACGGATGCAGTGTAGTCACCGGTGAGGTAGCGTGTGATGACCAGCATGCGACCAAGAGCAAGGGTATACGCGTGTTGGGGTTGGGAAAGGGCATGAGTGTCCCGACTTTCCCACAGGGAACCGAGGACCCAGGCCAAGGTGTGGTAGTCATGCTGTTCATCGAGGACCTTGATCAGGCTATTTACGTGAGCCAGATCCAGCTGTGCGAGCTCGACATTGTGTGACTTGAAGTACGCCAGTGTATCACGCAATATAGTCGCCGACACACTAACCATGTACTTCTTGACTGAAGTCGTTAGGCCCGAGTCCAGGTCCCGGCCCGCGATAAGAAGACCCAGTTTGAAGACCAATTTAAGGGTTGCCTGCGCCGAAAGGCCGTGGTGGGCTTCGATAAACTTCATCGACACGAATGCGAGATGACAGGCGGACTGGTATTCCCCAGAGTCGAGCAGGAGGGCTGCCCGGTTGTAAGCGGCGATGGCCACTGAACGAATGAAGTCGCGCGAAGTGTGGGTGCTGAAATAGTCAAGAACTGTTTCGATAAAAACCTTCGCCTGGTGAAGGTCAATCTTCAGGCTGGAGCCCTGGGTCTTCAAGAAGAAGCTAGTATACTGGTCCACAACTTGACTGGCGGCGGACTGGCGGCCGCGACCGAGCAAGAACGCGTGCAGGTGAGCCACCGTGGTCGCAGTCTTCTGGAGGTTACAGGTCTCTGCTCCGATGACATTCCGGAACTGCTCAAAATACATGTACTCTGCAGTGAGGGCGGCATATATCTCGTTCATCGTTACCGAAGAATCCTCGAATTCTTGAAGGCTGTAATCGAGCTGGGCCAGGAAAACAAGGCCAAGTCGCTGACGCAAAGTCTCATTAAAACCAAAAGAGCTGGCATTGCTAGTGTCCCTGGTGATGATCTGGCGGTACAAATCGTGTGAGAGCTCCTTGGCTCGCTGTACCTGACCGGCCGCGATGTAGCTAGATGCAATGCTTTTGGCTGCTGCCGCCAGCTTGACGGAGGACCTCTCGGTCGACAACACCTGAGTCGTAGCTTCCTGTAACATGGAGAGAACAGTCTGTGAGTCCCCCTGTTTGGTTCGCAAAGAGACGATCTCTTCCATCTGAGAAAGGGCCTCCTCGTGAGCCCACCCGTAGCTGGAGCGGATGGACGTCAGGCGTTGAGAGCGAATAGAAACTACCTTCTGAAGCTCTTTGGCAGTCATGGTTTCCACTTTTGACGCGGTCAATGAGGCATTCTGCTGCTCGTAGATAGCATCCAAATTCTCGCGGATGCCGTGGCGGTCGATCTCAACATCGCTGGATTTAATCTGCAGAAGTTCTTCGTAGAGCTGGATTGCTTCGCCTTCATACTGCTTGGATTCTTGGCAGAGATTGGCCAGCGTCTTGGTCGCCTGAATGGTGATCGAAGAGCTGACGCCGAAGATGCTGGTGCACGCTTTGCGATATTGCACAGTCACATCGTGGATTGTTGAGGTTTCGCTATGAGCCTCACGCAGACAGTGCACATAGCGCTCATAAATAGTTTGGACGAACCCTGGATCCCGTAACTTTGGGCTAGTCTTTGGGCTCTGCAGGCTGTTAAACAGTACCCGGCACGGCTTCAACGCGTCCGCATATCGACCTTGCTTCAAATATTCTGTCGCCACGATGAGGAGTGGCTCGAACGCATCAGGGTGGCACGTTTCCGATCCCTTGTTTAAGCATTGGACGATCTGAGCATAATAATCGACTGCAATGGGAAGCGGTCGTGTCATCTCGGCCAACGTCCAGAGTTTCTGAATCACAGTTGGATGCTCTCTGCCGAATCTCTGAGTATAGTCATGCAGCATGTCTTGATGAATGCTGATGATCTTGTTGTTCTGGGAGGTCCGCTCGTACAGACGAAGCAGGCTCGATGTGACTTCCGTCAAGACTCGATCTTCACTCGCAGCTCGATCACGTCGAGCTGCTCGATAAATCCGAGTTCTAATATCCTCCTCCTTAATTGGGCGACGGCGGGAGCGGTAACAGCTAGCCAGGCGCTCAGCAAGCTTAAAGCAGTACTCAACATGCGCTGACGGTCTGGTCACGTCTTCAAGTGAAGGCGCAAATAACTCAGGCCAAAGGCTTCGCAATACACGTTTGAGCATGCTGGTTGCATCGCGCCACCGGTGCTGGGACAAGTACATTTCGACCAGCGTGGTGGTTGCCGTGGTGGACACCTGATCGACAATGGACGAGTTAAATACCATTTCATTGAGGCTCGACTCCGTCATGATAGATGTTGATGATTCAGACGACGAGCTGGCGGCCATTTGCATAAGTTCCTGGGACGTGGACTGGATGGTCTTTTCCAGCTCTTTGTGGATACTCTGGCTATTGGTGCTCTGTGCGCAGTGTTTGAAGACCTCAAGTGCCATCACGGACAAACCCACGGATTTCATCATTTGTCCAAGCTGCATGAAGTTGGACACCAACTCCTCTGCACTGGAAATGGTTTGCTCATGCTCTCCCCAAAAGCTGGCAAGAATCGAAGCCACTTCATTGTCTCGTTTTTGACCTTTGAGGAATTGGGCATACATGATGACGGCCCGCAACATCATGACCTTATGTTCAGTCGAGTGGCTCAGTCGATATTTCTGACTAGCCTTCTGCCAAAGCTCCACGTATGTGCGCTCGGCTTCTTCTACCCGACCCGCCGACATATGTTCTTCGGCATTGGCCATGAAAGTCTCCAAGTCAAGAGACCAGGTAATCAGCTCGTCAACTTCTTCTCCATCCAATATGAAACGGTTCCCTGTACTTGTTGTCGTATCTTTGCGGCCGTGTAGTTGAATCAACAACGAATCGTCCGTCTGCTGAGATCCGCTCCGCTTGTTGCTACTTTCGGTTGTAGATCCCTGCAGCAAAGCAGTGATTTCTTGTGCTTTGCTTTCTTCCTTCATAAGAGTATAGTGTTCGGACAATTGAGTCAACGTGGAGGTGACCTTTATGTTCGTTGCACCATAATGTGCCTTGTAGCATTCTATCAGCAGCTGGAGCATCTCAACCCTTTGGATCATAACTTCCGTCTTCGACTCCGTCATTTGATCTCTTGTGCATTCTAAGAAGAACTGCGTCATCTCCATAGTGATGAGGTGCCGAATAGACAACATCGTCTGACTGAGCTTTGCCGCATTGTAGAAGATCTGGCTGCTCTCAACAGGCAATGCGGTCTGGATCTTTCGGTAGAACATGGCCTGAGACAAAATGGCTTGCAAAGTGGCCGGATGGTCGTTGTTCAAGATTTGACGATAAAGTCGAGTCTGAATTCCGTGTATTGACCGAAGCGATGGAGTTGCCTTGCTCGCCCACACAGTCATCTCCAAAAGCGGTAAGGTGGGACTCGTTGGCCAGACAGATCGCAAGTTCTTTCCAGCAGTCGTGATCTCTTGATCGCTAGTACTTGCGAACGCAGTTTTGGCATAAGCCGCCCAGTAGCGAGTCGCGAAGTCCAGCAGAGGATGTTTCTCCAGCAGGTGTTCCGTCAGCCGCTCATCCAGTGGGGTGAGAGATAGGTCGTGGCTTTCTGACACACACTGCTTCGTGTAAAGCAGGAGTCTTTGCGCAAAGTCTGCATCCCTGTTTTTGATTGCCGGCAGGAACTTGCCTTTGGAGAAAGTATCCAGAATCGCAGTGCGCACCTGCCCATGCCTCAGATAGATCAGGTGATGATGGAAGAAGACAAGCGAGGCAACCGGCTTGAGCAGATGATACAAATCGATATCGCAATTTCCTGCGACAGCTGCTTTCTCGGTCTGAATGGAGAGAAGAGCAGCCAATTCCTGCTGGGTAAGAGGGCGATCTGCAGTGGCCAGCCAGATTAAGACCTTCTTCGTAGCCTCCTCAAGCTTAGAATGCAGGGTGTGTGCAACAAGATCGTTGATTGTGTTGCCCATCCGAACAATGCTATCTATGGATTTGGAAAGCGCAGCCTCGTTTGGTGGGTGTTCATCACGCAAACGTTTGGCAGTCAGTTTTGCCCACAAGAAAGAGCTTTCGGAGGCCTCCGTGATGCGGGCGACCATGACTTCCTGATCCTCGGCGGACATGGCATTGAACGCGTGGCTCTGATGGAGAATCTTACGAGTCACGGCTGCAACATCGTCGAAGGTGAGTTCCGACGTAATTCGGACAATTGTCTGAGAGGCAATAGAGTCCATCTTCTGTGACGCGAGTACCACCAGCTTCACGGTAGAGGCTTTGGCTGTAGCCTCATGGAGTCGGCGCAGTAAAGCTTTCTCTCCACAACTTGCCTCTTCCACGCCATCGACGACCAGAACCAGCTCTTTGGCACCCGCAACACTGGTACTGAGGGCATTCGCCAAAGCGTTCCACAAGAGATCATCATAAGAGGTTTCATCAACACATCGCTGGCTCTGATCATAGGTGCTGGCTAAGATCTGGTACAGCTGCAAGTTACCAATGCGATTGCTGAACATCTGGGACAAGATCATCTTCGCGACAGCGGACGGCGTTGTGTTTGCCGGAATTCGACCGTCTAGTGTAACAAATTAATAAAGCTGTGGGGTGGTAAACCGGAGACGCAAATTCTTACTGATAGGTGCTAGTATGGATGTGTATCTTGTTCCTCCGACAGGATGCTGCAGGTGGTCATTGACGACAGTCGACAGGACTGTCTTGCCAGAACCAGGTTTGCCGATGATGGAAAAGACTTGATGTTCCCCCTTCAAGAATTGCGTCAGGTATGGTTTTACCCACAAGCAGGTGGCTTCCTCTCGTTCCTGGGCCGAAGAAGCCGTTGCTTCAGTGGCATTGGCAAGGACAGGATCCTCCGGCTGCAGCCAGCCTTTCAAAGTGTTTACTTTGACAGCTACATTGCATCAGCCTATACTAAAAATACTGAGATCAAGGAAAGGATGTGCGCGAGTATACCTTTATCACCATCGAGACCTTCCCTTGCTAATTGATGACGCCACATGAGCTCTGAAACATACTCGCAACGGCCGCGAAAACTATCAATTGGACCAGGAAAAGTACTGTAGATGTCGATTGAGACTGACTGCGAGGCGAGCAGCGATTTGTGGAAGTGCGTAGCCACGCAGACAACGAGGGTGACCAGATCAGCTAGCGCCAGGATGAGTTGATCCTTGATATCAGGCGAGACCACAAAGAGCTCAGCACGATCCAATAAATTGCCGAGTCCAGCTGAGCAGCGATAGAAGAATCCAAAGAGGTCCATAAGTGCCGGGGCGTTTTCCTCTCCCAACTGTACCTCGATCAATAAACCGTCTCAATAGGCTTGGGTATCCTGGACGTACCTCGAGCAGGCTTGCGCAGTAGCAGTACGAGAGCTGAGCAGCGAGATGACTGTCACCTGCAAACTGCTCGATCCCCAAATCGAACGAGTGCACGCGCTCGACGAACAAGGCTGCCCATACAAGAGCCTTGTCGTAGCTACTTCCCTCAGGTGGCAGCTTTTTCATTCTCTCGCACCGAATCCACTCAAGCAGACTAGTATAGTCAATATCGGATACTCTGGAAGCCCCAATGTCGTCGCTGTCTCGGCGTGCAAGCGAGCGAACTACGTCAGCGAGTGTGGCATCCCCTCCACTGGATGTCTTCGTCGTCTGCTGGTATGGGTGACTGAAGCTTTTGGCCCCAGTGCCGGAGACAACTGCATGTTGCTCCATCAGATCTGACGTCCTTCGCAGACCGAGAAGGGAAGTGGAGGCCAGAGGAGACACGCCATGTTGGATGGAAGATGTCATGTTTTTGATTGATTGTTTGTTGTATTATGTCATCTTAAGATAATTGAGAAGTTGAATAATGTAAGAAGTTACGGTGATTAGACTAAGGGAAGAAGTGAATGTTTTTATATTTCATCGTGTGTCCTTTTTTCACCACTTATCCGTAACGCTTCCGCCGCTTCTGCTTGAAAGTCTACGACGTCAGCATGAGATATTGGCATATTGAAAAGATACCCCGCCGCCAGATAGTACTTTCCTCTCTGTCCATGGGAGAATTTTCTCCTTCGCCAATGACAGTGGCATCTCTAGTCCGGACCGCGGCGCTTCGTATGGAGTCTGCGGAGCTTTGAAACGCATTGTGTCATGTATGAGGATTCCAACAGACGCAAGCAATGTGTGGATGGGTATATTGGAGCTACGGCCAACGATATTGGAACTCCCATCGGGGAGGAAGCCCCCCCCTGTGTCAAAGTCGAGAACTGCGATAATATGGCCGCTGTTGAATTGAGTGCTATTTGACAATTGAAAGCAAGGCAGGTATTTTGCTAAGTTGGTCCAAATAGATGCTCAGCTCGGGGACTCTCAATTCCTTGTTATGCTAGCAGAAATTGACTTGCAATGCACACTAATGTCTGGATTGGGGTGAGGTAGACTGAGCTTACGAGCTTCGGTTATCAGAATAGTATCGGAATGTCCGGAACGCGTCCACTGATAGATTATTCGCACCCATGGGACATGGGTTTAGAATCCTCTGCATTCGGAAATTAGTTACGAAACAAATCGCCTGAAGTTGATCAACCCAGATCTACACTTTCGGTTAATATGAGCAATGATTTTCTCTTGACTTGCCTGTATACATATCAAGCCAAAGTTATGCTTCTTACCCAAATTGAATAAATCATTTCCGCTTATCAAACACAAAGTGTGAAGATACTCGTCTCTGGTTATTGTTTTTTGGCTCGGGAGGTCATCATGGTGGTCAAGACCCATGGAATTATTGATGGGTGGAGATCGGACGTGCCGAACCGAATGCTACTAATAATGGTCCCCCAATAGAAGACCATGAGCGGAAATGGAAATAGACTGCGAGCATCGCTTCCTTTGGATATCAGAAAATACGAAATTGCACTCGATAGCGCTTGTGTAAGGTGCGAGGTGAGAGCGGGGTAGATCCAGTCAAATTAGTTCCTGGTCAAGCTTTGACAGGGGGGGTCGGTGATTCACCACATCATTTTTCATCGTGATACGATCCATATGTGGAGACCGATGTTATATAGGGAAACATTATGACTATGCACAAGGTTGCGATCGGCGTCGTCTCGGGGATGTAGCAAGAATTTCCTTCTCACCTCGGAGTAAAGATAACATTGACTTTCTCATTTTATTAAGTATCTAATACAAAGGCAACAGTGACAGTGAAGTGACTGTTTAGATAGTCGGTAAATGCCGTACTTCATGAAGCTTCGAACCATAAACTAGCAAATGAGCCGACGAGCTCATATTACGAAAGAGGACTGTCCGCAGGTCTATCCTTAAGCGCTGCCGCATTCCACGAGAATATCGCATCGCCTCTTCCCTCAATTTTCCGTTGGAATCTATCAAGCCACACAAATTTCTTTTCGCCAAATTGTGTCAAAGTAACAGCGCACTGCAGGTCAGCGGAGCGGGCACGTCCTCGGAGACTCACTTCGTCTGCCTGTTGCGTTCAGTGAGTCGATGCAACCGCAAGTGCGGTCATAAGCGATACAAGAAGCAGCGGTGAAGGGGAAAGAAAGGCGAGCCGACTAAGTGGCTCATCATTGCGCCCACGCCGCAATTTCTGAAGCTGTACAAAAACTCATCCAAGCCGCATGCATCGATACTCGTCTGAATGAGTTCAATGCACATTGTCCTAGATAAGTTCTGGTGCAGGATCAAAGAAATGGATCTAGCGCGCTGTGGTGGTGATGAGTTCAGGCCATGCCAGAGAGCTTCATCGTCACGACTTAGTCATAAAGAGTGATTTCCCAACATACATGCCCAAGGCGATATGAGAAAAGTCTGGAATCATCAGGGCAAGACTTCAGGGCACATGCAGACAGTCAGTTAGGCGATTATGGCGAAACTTCCGTGAGAACTGCACATATGATTGAACAATCAAAGCAATATGCTCGTTTGTAGTGGAAAAGTGGCCTCCAAACTCCGAGACCCGTATCACTGGTCAACACCGAGCCACCCAAAGCAAGATCTTAATATTACAACAGCGATTTGCTCTCAGGTGGGATCAGACACACCATTCTTTTACTTTGTCGAGAATTACCACATCTTCATCATTTGTTTTTCACGTCAGATCTCACTCGATAAAGATAGCCGATAACTCATCCACAGTAGCACGTCCTACTCCTTTCCTGGCTGCTAGAAAGACCTAGAGTTTAAATCTGCAGATGTCAAAAAAGCCGAAGGTTCAAAAGGGGACTGTACTACCTGGACGCAAGGTACCCAAGCTCCAGCAACAAGATGCCTGGGTCTTTTTCCGATCAGTAAAGTTCTTTAAGCTACTCTCAAGCCGGTAAAATGACGTTCTGATTTAACCGCGCAGACATCGATCTTTTTCCTCCTCCGATTTAATTCTTCTGAATCCTCTTACAACCTCAGCAAGTCTTGACATTAGCTGCGACTGACCGTGGGTCTGCGTAAAACAAGATATCTATCCAGGACTCTAATAAGAGAAACCCTGTTCCCTACTTTGAAGACATCGATGCCTTGTTTGGTCTATTTGGCCCCACTTTGTGTGCAGTATAGCTGGCATCGAGAGTTGAATTGGTGGGTCTCTAGAGTTGACGCGTCGGCGCTAAACCTCTATTGAACCCAACTCTCGAACTCAGGTGACGAAAGAGTATTAGCGCGGTATGGTGGCCAAGCGAACTCAACAACTACAGGGTGACCAAGGAATAAATGTAGGTTTTCTCACCGCCTTCCTCTCATAATTATATACCGCCTTACGAAATTACTATATATGACGAAATCAGTATCTTTATTCTACAGCGTTGGCTGGCAATAAGTGGTATTTACATAAACTTAATATATTGGTTATTTACAAATTGCCAGCAGAATAATAGTGGAGACCTACATTTATTTCTTGGTCACCCTGTAATTCCTGGAGTCACTAGAATTGGCGCTAAGGCGCTAAACCACTTTAGAATCCAATTCTCGAACTCAGGTGACAAAGAAGGTTTAGTGCAGTATTGTGACCAACCCTTACGCAGACCAATTTTTCTTACCTTTACCCACACTTCGCAAATCATGAATCCTGGTCAATTTAGAGGATTGGAGATGCACGGACCTTGGCTGGCGCGCGTGGAAGAAGGTAAGACTGAAAGTAATGTGTATGCCAAGGTATTAAAGTGGATGCCGCCAGACTTGGATGCTAAGCCTAATATGGAAGGCGGTCACTCAAGTCTGGCGTCAGCTTTTCCAATTGTCGTGCTCAACTATCTCTTGAAACCCCCTTCAATCCAATTGTCGAGCTCAGGTGGCAAGAACGGCTTAGCGTGGTACAAACAGATGCCCTTACGCAAATACCATTCGCCGTTTGCCTGATCCTCGTGTATCGCCTTTAGACCCAGGCTCTCTATGCCAGACTTGAAAGCCAAGCCGAACTGGGAATACGGTTCCGGGAGTCGTAAAAGTCAGGCGTAATATACCAACTGTCGTGTTCAACTAATTCTTAGCGCCCAGTTCGTTGTGCAGTCTGCTTATATATTTCTGTGATTCACGCTTTGTTGTCTATGGTACTGAAATACACTTTACGTCTCATGCAGATAATGAGGAGCTAAGTCATCATTTTAGACTATTCATGGCATTTGCATCAGTCAAATGAGGCTTCAAATTTATCACAACATTCTTAATTTGATATTGAACGATGGAGAAGAAGAAAAACAACATACAACAGCAGGGATTCGCTGGTGGTCACCCACCCAACTACTAACCTGCCGGCGTGTGGCTTAAGTACGGCTGAGCGGACGGGAAGCCCTGTTCTCCACACCCTATGGTCGTATGTGGTGGAAAGTTAATTGCAAAGCATCTTGAAAGACAATCTCGTTGGTCAATAAAGAAGCTAGGGGGCGATCACCAGACCGGGTCAAGGCACGTGACACGATTGGCAACCAACGACACCATAGAAATACCGCCCAGTCTTTCCAAGGATTCTGAATATATAAGAAGAGAATGTAATTTGGGAAAGAGAGACTGAAATAAAAGGTCTCCCGCAAAGTATCCAAAGCCAAAGTCGAGTGTTTCCACGGATAGCCCTCTCATTGGCCAATGACATCACGAGACCGACCCCGGTATGACCACAGCATCCCATTGGGAATTGGCCTGATAGATGACATCGTCGAGTCATCACACGACACGCCGTCAGGCAATCCCCGCAACTCTCGGAATGCGGGGTAAATTCTTATAAAACCCGGCTGATTCACTCCCGTCTTGATGAGATCTCCCACCTTTCTTAAGGTTACATCAAACCCCTTCTAACAACTCATTTCACTTCACTATGAACGATTTCAACAACTACAACTCCCAATGGGTGTCATTCCACATCCGGGACCATCTGAAAGATGAGGTCTCCGTGCACCACACTGTGATTGAAGGGTACATTCAATGACTCCCCAGGTCATCCATACCACTACTGACAGTAAGCAGCGGGGAGTTCTACAACCCGGAAAACCGCCGCATGTCCCTGACCGAAGAAGAGGTCGACGAGATCAAGATCTCTGGCGGCGGAGTCGGGGAAATCGGAGCCCAGGGCCGCCGAGGCAGTGAAGGCCGTCTCGACCTTTTTCGTGGCGATGATAAGATTTGTGAGCTTCATTGGGAGAATCGTGGGGAGAGCATGCCAATCTGGTCGAGACAATTGATGAAAATGATAAATATAGAGTCGTGCATGGGGGATGGAGCCCAGAGGCTGGCCCTCTGGGACATGTCTACGTTGACATCACGGAGAGAGAAAAGAAGGCAAAGGAGTAGAGGATTGCGGATACAACAGGGGGGAGGGCTGGAATGGTTTCCGTCCTCCCCTACAACTTTTCTATTGTGCAACTGTGTTCTTCTGGAATTCTTGTCTAACATAATCACTCTTCAAAATGACAAAAAAACTTGAAAAGTCGAGATTGGTTTCCGAAAGAGGGGTGGTTGAATCTATCAAGTCAAGGTTTCGGGCTGAAAGGGAAGGTATTGGAGGATGGCAATAGCATCGCCCCTCTAGGATTTAAAAAGTTGCTCAGTAGCTCGGAACATGCCCAAATCTCTCGAATGAACAGAGCTCTTGCTGTGCGGTTTTTCCTGTGACCCGTCAGCAACTGATCACAAAGAGTAGGGGCCGAAGCGATGCGAACCGACTTTGTGATGAGAGGTACAACCCATCACCTTAGACTTACCATCCCGATTATCCCCTAGATCGGTGATACTCCCGGGGTCACAGTAGAAAGATCCTTGATGAATTTACAAGGAATGACTTTCTTTGTAGGAGACAGCGGGCTAATCCGTGTCAAGAGGAAAATTTTGTCATCAAAGCGAGACTGGAGTGACAATGCCTGTGGGGTAATTTACGGAGATTTGAAGTGAAGATCGAAGACGACATATCAGTCGCTCCTAGAATTAATCCCATCGACTGACACTTTGCCCCAGGCTCAAAGACTCGTTCTTTTAAGAATCATCGGGGCAATGTGGATGTGGGGAAAGACACCGATCCGCTACTGCAGCCAGGCGGGGTACAAGTGTGCCTCGACGTCCTGGTTGCTGCAAGCTTATTGCCATTGAGAACCTCCAAGTGTCGAAGCTGATGAGCTATGGGTACTGGGACCGATGTTTTTCTTATAACTAAGCTCCACCGCAAATAGAATAGGCTGCAACCTGCCAATAATGAGAAAATCCGACTAGCTCCTTGGCCCCGTATTCAGAGGCTCACAACGACTCGCAAAAAGAGCAACACGGCTTTCACGTTCCTCTTCTCGCATAACTAGTATATATCAACCATGACACTGGGGAAACTTCCAACCGAGATACTTCTCTTGCTCGCGTTCTATGTTGACTCTGAGGCGGATCTCTTTTTTCTCGCTCAAATCCACCCTCACTGGTACGAAACACTCATTCATTGCTTCTATCGACGGAATCCGCAATGTTACAACGGATCCGCCCTTTACGCCGCGGCTCAGAAAGGAAATATTTTAGCTTTCAAGAGATCACTCCTAGCTTGGACAGACGTCACGCAGTCCCCCGAGCTTCCAATTCGGGGTCAATACACGCCTCTATTCACAGCGGCGCATCATGGCCACGTCACTATAGTCTAAGCGATACTCGCTCATGGAGTCGATCCTAATAACCGCAACCAGCGGGAACGGACGGCATTGTATGGTGCTAGCATCCGTGGGCATATACATGTGGTAGAGGCACTTGTGGCTCACGAGCAGATTGACGTCGACGCGTATGACTCGGATGGCTATACTCCGATCTCAGTCGCCGCACGGAATGGCCATGTCGAGGTCGTGAAGATGTTGCTTGCCCGTGGCGCCAACCCCGGGCTAGTGCGAAGGAAGAATTCTCAGGTTACAACTCTCCATAGCGCGGTGGAGAGACAAAAGCCTGAATTGGTTCGTCTACTCGTCAATCGTGAAAACGTGGATCCAAATGCACTACATGCAAAGTCAACTCCCTTGGAATTAGCCGTTGACCGAAATAATGAAGAACTCGTTGAGACTTTGCTCACTGATCCGAGAGTGGACCCTGATCTCACGGGTCATTGTAACGTCCAGAAACTCCTTCTACGGGCAACGTTGAGAATTAACGCGGCAATAGTCAGAATGCTGCTTGCTACCAGGGGAAATAATGTTTACAAAGATCAGACGGGTTTTCCGCCCGCCATGTTGCTTGAAGTAAGCGCGGAGGCTCGGGAGAATCTCATTCGCGAGCGGAGGTGGCCTGGCTCAAAGTCTCTCAGTGGGCCCGAAAATACTGTAGAATTGATCAACGCCAGAGAGTCTCTGTCACAGCTTTTATCGCAGATAGAGATATTGGATTCATACATCTGACCGGGGGAGGGGGGGGAAATCGTGCACACTGATATGCCGCTCACATCAACGCCAACTACTCGAAACCCTTATTGTGTGTTGAAATCAACTTTAAATTTGTGACATTTCCATAACCCTGTGCAAGATCTCATTTCAATCAAAGTAGCCCTCTCTTTTCTTGCAGTATCACCTTTTATAAGACAACCTTGAAAGTTGAGCTACAAACCCAAGTGGCAGCTACCATGACTAGTTGTGATATGCCAAAAGTGGTGGATGCCTGGGGGTTTATAATGTTTGTAAATTTAATGATGAGAGGTCATGTGAGGATCAGGGCTAAAATTATATCGAGATAAATAATAGATAAAACCCAATTGAGGAAGGATCAGCGGGCCGGAAAGGCACCAAACAACTCAAGAGAGACAAAAGGAGATTAAGCAATTAAGAGCACTTAGCCGTCTTAGTAACAGTCGCAGTGCTGGTCGAAGTGCTGGTCGAAGTGGTTTTGACCACCTTAGTGGTAGTCGCAGTCGCACGCTCAGTGATGGTGACTGAGGGAGTATTGCTCACAGTCGAGGTTTTGGTCACTGTGCTTGTGGTGGCTGGCAGAGTGGTAGTGTTCTTGACCGTCGTAGTCTTGTCGTGGTGGTGGTGACTGCAGGAAGCTTGGTGGTGCTTTTGGCCGTCGTTGTCTTGACACTGGTGGTTGTGACGGTTGATCCGGGGAGAGTGACAGTGGAAATTTTGCCCACGACGGAGGTCACAAATTGGGTGACTGTGGATGCCTTGAGGGTAGTGGTCTTACCAACAGAAGTGGTCTCAGTGACAGTCACGATCGAGGTGACGGCTGCGATGGTGGTCGAGGAGACCTTAGTTGCAACGGAAGTAATTGTGTCAATGACAGTCGAGGCCTTGATTGAAGTTGTCTTGGTAGTGATATCGGTGATATAGTCGGTCGCGGCCGGAATAGTAATAGTGGAGGTCTTGGATATATAGTCGATCTCGGTGGTATACACAGTGGCAGTGACGGTGGAACCACCAGCACGAGGGAGGAGATCACCGTAACCACGCTTGGCCTTAGCCGCTGTGTTACAGGCGACAATTGTTGTCACAGACTTGGTCGCACTCTTGATTGACGTGGAATAGACGGTTACAGTGGTGGCTTTGGTGGAGATGGTGGTGGTTTCTCCCTTCCCAACTGTCACGGTGTCGGTCACCGTAGTCGTCCCAGCCTTTCCACTGGTAGTCTTAAGACTGGTGGCAGTCTCCATATCGGTGCTAGTCACGGTGGAGGCGGCAGCAGTGATGATAGAGGTCTCGGTGAGAGTACTCTTCGCCGTGCTGGTGGTGTCTTTGCCGGGCACGGAGATCGTGACGGTAGCAGTCGCCTTGTCAGTCGAGGTGACAGTCTTGGGATCTGGGGTAATCATGCTACCGGCATCAATGTTCACAAGAGAGGTCTTAGTGGAAGTCTTTGTAGGCTCAGTGATTGTCTCAACAGTGGTGATAGTCGACTTGGCTGTGGTGATCTTGGAGACAACATCAGGAGTGATGGTGAGAGTTACAGTGGATTTGACGATCGAGGTCTTATCGATCGGAGTCACGGTAGCATAAATAGCTTCAGTCGAGGTTGAGATGACATCGACAGTAACGGTCTCGGTGATGGGAATAAGAGTCGTTGTCGAAGCAGCACTGGTGGAGGTTGCGGTTGAGATAGTGGTGGTAGTGATGCTTGCGCCTGGAGCAAATGGAGTGCCATCAACGTGGGTCAAATCGATCCAAGAAGTAGTAGGGAAGAAGTTCGCAAGCTCGAATTGCACGACACCAGTGTTGTTGAGCTGCGTAGCAAACGAGGCACGCGACTTAGTGCTTGATCCGGGCCCAGAGTTGCCATACTCGGCAAAAGTGACTCCATCGGTTCGGGGGCTAGAAGTAGACCACTGGTTCCATCCAGCGGCCTCGATGCAAGAGTCGAGGTAAGAATCAATGTATGCGACACGAGCGTACTGGTTCCAAGGTCTGCCGAGGGAGATATCGGACATGGTCCCAGCGCCAGTCGACGGAGTAATAGTGCACTGATCGAAGACGAAGCCACCCGCGGTGGCGGAGGTAGCGCGCTTGTCGGCGGTAAGATTGATGCCATCCTCGTTGGGTGAAATCGTGGTGTTGAGGAAGTAAGCAGAGCCACTTCCCCAAACCATGTCAATGTTACCCTCTACATAACCGTTGCTCATAAAAAGGTAACCGTTGATCAGAAGAGCGTCCTGGTTACCGATGACCTGGCAGCCTATTGTCGTTTGGTCAGCATCCTTGTGAAATTGGGATGAGTTATGAAGTTAGAGAGACTCACCATGAAGACTGGCGTACTTGCTCGACTTGACAGCAAATCCCAGAGTAGCAATGTCTTTCTGAGTGCCGTTGTTGTTGATGAAGTTGATATTCATGGCCTTTAAAAACTGTCAGTAAATGCAGTCACAGTCTGTCAACGTGGAATGGAACTCACAGCGAAGTAGTTACCAGTCGCATACACAGTAGCACCATCAGAGTTAGACTCGTCGGCTCCAGTGTCGATACCATGGTTGTACTGAATGGTGACCTGGTTGCTGCAGTAATCGTAGGTGGACTCAGAATAGCCCATGAAGATAACAGAGCCCTCCTTACTGACGACAAGCTGCTCCTCATATGTACCGGGGTCGATGAAGATGGTGGGAGTAACACTAGATGATGTGGGAATAGCATCAAGCGCGCTCTGGATGGTGTCATAGTAAGTTGTGCTGTTTCCGAGGCTAGTCTTGGAGACAATGTAGGCACCCGTAGGAGGAGCAGTTCCGTCATAAGTGGCAGTGGCAGTAGCTGTTGCCGTGGCGGTCGCAGTAACAGTAGCAGTGGAAGTTCCAGAGACTGCAGTAGGGATGTCGATGGTGTCCCAATAGGTCATATCAATCCAGTCAGTCGAATCCATGACGGTCGCAAGCGAGTAATTGTCCTCGGTCAGGAGAGTGCAGTAACTGAACGCCTCGCGGGCAGCCTCGTTGTTCTCCCAGTTACCGGGGCCAGAGCTGTTGTACTCGGCAAAGGTAACAAAGTCGGTGCGAGCATCAGAGGTTGACCAGACCTTCCATCCAGATGGGTTGATGACATCAGCAAGGTAGGAGTTCTTGATAACGACAAGCGCGTACTCGGAGTAAGGACGGCCAAGGTAGACAGTCTCGGTGAGATCGACAGTGGCATCGGCGGCAGCAGTGAACAGAGTCTGATCAAAAATGTAACCGCCAATGGCACTGGCAGAAGCACGGCTCTGGGCAGTAATAGCAGACTTGGCGCGCTTAGCTCCGATGGTGCAACCCTTGAAGTAAGCCTTGGAGTATCCCCAAATGAAATCAATCGCACCCTCAATGTATGATGACTCATAGTATTGGTATCCAGCAGTGGCTCCGGTCAGGAGAGTGTCTTGCCAGCCCTGGAAGTAACACGCGTAGAATGCAATGTGATTCCCGTAGATGGAAGCCGCCAGGGTCACGTATGATGACTCGGCACCATCAAGATTGGCCGAGTTGATGATGTTGATGTTGTAGAAAGCAATCTTGGTAGATGCGGTAGCAATGGTGGCAGTCTCGGCATCGGAGTGACCGGTCGGCAAGGGGAGACGGAGAGACCGCGATAGAAAGTGACGGTAACCTCATTGCCGGCATAGCTCTGACCGGGATTGCCAGTAGTGTAACCAATGATCATGACAGGGCCATCTCTGTTGATGGTAGGAACCTGCTCGGTGTAGGTACCAGCGTATATGAAGATGACCTGAGTGGTAGTATCGTCGGGCAGGGAAGACAAAGCATCGGTAAGGTTACTGTAAGATCCCTCGATGGTTCCTAAGGGGCTGACCAGGACAGCACCAGTAGGAGGGATGGTACCGCTGGATGGGTGAGTCCAAGTTGCAATTGCAGTGGAGGTAGAAGTAGTGGTTGTGGTGCTAGCCGAGCTAGTCGAAGTTGTTGTGGCACTAGCTCCACCAGTGAGATCATACGAGGGAGCAATAGCGTAGGTATCCATGTCAAGCCAGGTAGTGTCCCCGATCCAGTTGGCCAAAGTGTAAGCTTCGGCCTCTGCCTCGGTCAGGTTGGTGGCGAAGGATGCGCGGCTGCTTGACCAAGCGCTGGGCCCTGTGTTGTTGAATTCTCCGAAAGTGACATAGTCGGTTTGAGGAGCGCTCGTGGACCAGATATGCCATCCAGAAGGGTTGATGTGCTTGTCGATGTAAGAGTTCATGTAAACAACAATACTGTACGCAGAGTAGGGCCTGCCGAGCCAGCTATCCTGGAAGGTGCTGCCATAGGTAGAGGTGTAGGTGACAAGGCAGTTATCAAAGACGTAACCTCCAGTCGCGGTAGACGACGAACGACTCATAGCAGCAATACAAGCACCGGCGGTGTTGGTCACAATGACGGACTGGTAAAAGTATGCAGTCGAAAAACCCCGAATGAAGTCAATGGAACCTTCGATGTAGCAATTCGAGAAGACCTGAGTACCCTTGTTTGCAAGCAGGGTATCTTGGAAGCCAACGAAGGAACAACCGTAGGCTTGCACGTTGCCGTAGAAGTCAGCTGCAAGCGCAGCAGTGTTGGATACCTGGGCATGGGCATTGTGGAAATCGATGTTGTAAATAGCCAGACCTTTTCCATCGGTGTTCTTGGCATTTACCACCATGGTGCTCTCGTCCTTATTGGCACTTGTGAGCTCTCCGTCGTCGTATTCAAAAGTCACAGTGTTTTGGGTGTAATCATTCTCAAAATTGGTCTCACCACGTAGAATGGTCAGACCTTGGCGAGTGATGGAAACCTGCTCATTATAGGTGCCGGCCCTGACATAGATAGTGTACTCGTTGCCGTCGTTAGGTAGAGCAGCAATGGCGGCGGTAACGTTTTTGTAAGGTCCGTTGGCAGCATCAACGACGTATGTGGATGTGGCAGTGGCAGCGACAGAGGTCGAAGTGCTAGTGTATGTGGTCAAGGCGGTAGAGGTAGTAGCTGAGGCAGCGGTGGCAGTAGCAGTAGAGGCGATTGAAGTAGATGTTGTGATAGCATCGGTATTCTCAATAGCAGCCAAGACGGATGCGTCAACCCAGCTCACGTCGCAGTCGGCGTAGGTAGAGAAGGCATCTGCGAAGACTACTGTAATCGGAAACTTGCGATGAGTCCAGAAGAGAGACATACGCGGACCGAGAAGCCATATTACTCCCATAAGCTCCAGCACCAGTATTAGCATATTCCATAAACAGGTTATAGCCATCTTGTGTAGTGGAGTCGACATGAGCACCCGTAGCGGCAATCAGGCCATCACGCGGGCAATATGGCGCTGGCCATAAGCACGATCTTCGTTCTCGTTTGCCCAAGAGGCAACTCAATGACGGCGGAGACGAAGAATATGTGCCACGCAAGCATAAAAGAGCACGTGTCGTAAGGAAACCGAATGGAAAGAGCGGGAATAACGCGATGTCTGCAAACACTGAGGAGCTTGCGAGCTACGGAGAATGGCGTCTTGCCGATGCTATCCTCTAACGCGTCTAAGTCGATGGTATAGCCACGTTCCAACTGCAGTTTACTTGGCCCACTTCAGGTCACGGTCACAGATCATCGCAGCATCCTACACTTGGAGCCGGAAACAAGCAATCTGAGATGTGCACAGGGAGCATACCAGGACAGACGAGCCAACCAGATGATACTATTCCTGATAGCGACATTTGCGGAGTGGATTGCTTGCTTGCCCGGTGGGATAGAAACACTTTCTTGTTGAAGTGGGCTGATGGTACCATTTGGTGGGTACCAAGGAAAGATATTCTGGACAAGGAAATGCTTCGTGACTTTGAAGCAGCATATCAAGGTATTGACTCGGGAGTGAAAGTCTTGGATACTCGGTTAACGGCCGGAAAGAGTCGAAAGGCCGGGAAGAGTCAATATCTTTTACATTGGCATGGCCGTCCGTCTGAAGAGGATACTTGGGTGGACGAGAAGCTCTTGAGTCCGCAGCTCCTAGAGAGGATTCGGACATGTGAAAGCGGCTAGGACGTTGCCCGTTCCTGACAGTGTTCGGTCAGACTGTAAGGAACACAGCCCCCCCTATGTCACGTCACGACCACAGGTCACGTGGAGCTTACTGATACATGCACTAACACATTTATGTAAAGCAGGAGGCCTCGCTATCGTCTTGCGAGGGGCTAGGTTGAAAAGAAGTGCTAGTGGTGAGTGGAAGGGAGGCGCGTCGCGTGGAGAGTGGTCCGTTCGTTTGTCATGGACTTGAGCAGATAGTTTTATATAGTGACCGTGTCTTGGTTACAAATACGGCAGTAATAAATAAGTAACGTCGTTGCTGACTTTATCTGATTTGGACTGTCAAAGTTGCGTTGACGCCCATGGCATCCCCTGGGTTGGAAGATAGCAATGATATTGTCACGTCTGTGGCGCGTCCGTGATGGCCGATGCTAACATGATAACCACGGATACCCGTGCCTTGGACTGTAGGCTACCACTCCACCCAGTTCGGCGGTGTCACGGCTTCACCATGGCGGTATCGCATCTACTCTATTGTAAGTATGACTTAGGACATATGAAATGCCATTTCGACTGCCAATGCGATATATGTGCGACTTATTGTAGTAGCTCACCGGCACGTCCGTAACAGACAGGTACGTACCTTTTCTGCCGGACATAACAGTACGTACCGTTTCTGCTGGACATAACAGTACGTACCTTTTCTGCCGGACATAGTACGTACGTACCTTTTCTAGACTCAGCCTGAGCAGCTTGTCGGAGAAGCCAAAACCGAGGTGGTCGGCTAAAGTTGCCTCAGTTGAATTTGGATTTTCGTTGCTGCAAAACTTACACGTGTAGTCAGCCGCCAGTTTTGTATACAGCGCCGTCTACAGGCGATAGCACCCTCACACCTTCCCCGTGTTTTTGCGGTCCTTGGACACCCTTCGCCTGTTGTTAGAGCCATATTAGGCTCCTGCGGATGTTTTTTCCATTCAGGTTAGAGTAGGTTCACCCCTGAAAAAAACAATGCAGAGTACAAGAGCTATATCTGGCGCCTGCAGCTGTTTGATGCAACCCTAGCGCTGCCGTATTCTAGCCATTATTAGAGCCAGTACCTTCTTCTCCTTTACTGACCACGCAGGGTGCCAGCATTACTGTACCGTACCTGTCCACAGAAAAGCTTTAGATTTCACGTTTTACTTCTTCAGATCCGGCTCTTGCTGTCATGATGCGCTGGTATGTGTGGGGGCTCCGTAACGGGCGCTCACCGGGATAAAGGCTAGGTGGTTTAAATTACTTAACTGGAGCCCGACCCTTTTGCTTCCGGAACTATCAGTCACCGACAACAATGGCTACACGCATTATCGTCACAGATTAGACACGCATAGCTTTGCTTTAGAGAACATAACAATTAACACTTATTTCCTATCAGCGAAAGATGTCTGTGGTTCAGCGCTTGGAGCCCAAGGAGGATGAGCCGTTCAACGCCTACCAACCACAGCACGAACCGACCTGCCTGCCCGACACCCGCGTCGACCTCCTCCACGAGATACACGACTGGGCCGATGGCGAAGACTCGCCAGCGGGTCCTATCCAATACGGGCTTACCCAAGTGCGGAGGGACGAACACCGAGACTTTGCGCTTCACGATATTAGGCCCTCGATCATAGAACACGATATTGCCGTGTTCTTAAGATACCAGCTTAGACTCGTCGGACAAAAGTGTGAGTTCAAGGCTGGCTGGCCAGAGGAGCAAGCTGTTGCACGTCTGGTGCAGAACTCAGGTGGGCTGTTCATCTGGGCTGCAACAGCCTGTCGATTCGTCGGAGAAGACAGCCAGCTTGCAGAAGCACGCTTGTCTTCGCTTCTTCATCATGGAGGCAACAGGATGCTTCCGCCAGAACGCAAACTTGATGAGATCTATACCACCGTCCTTGCTAGTTCCGTCCAAGGGGATTACAGCGAAGCAGAAAGCCAGATGCTTCACGAGCTGTTTCGCCAAGTTGTTGGACCTATCGTCACGCTACAAGATCCGCTGTCTGTAGCTAGTCTTGCGGAGCTGCTTGGGAAAGATGTCGCAACTTTGAAGAGGACCTTGGCCAACTTGCATTCGGTTCTCGATGTGCCAGAAGTCGAGTCAAATACCGTTCGGCTGCTCCACCCATCGTTCCGCGACTTCCTTCTGAACCAGAGTAGATGCTCGGATCCGCGGTTTCACATCGATGGGCGACTGGTCCACTGTGAAATATACAAGCGCTCCCTCCAAGTACTGTCGAAGCACCTGCGGCGTGATATGTGCAATCTCCGACATCCAGGAGCTCGTACGGCCGACTTGAGCAGGACCGAAGTAGACAGACACATTCAACCTCATGTCCGGTACGCTTGCCGGTTCTGGGTGTACCACTGTAGAAGAAGCGACATAGACACAAGCAGCTGCAATGATGTCGAAATGTTCCTCAAAAAGCACTTCCTTCATTGGCTTGAATCGCTTGCATTGCTTGGTCGTGTGTCTGATGGGGTTGATATGGTTCATATACTCGATTCGATGTTTTCGGTAAGAGGTCCTTCGCCTGGAGGGATGACAACTGTAGCTGACCTGCAAGACCAAGCAAACGGGACCACCGCAGATACGATCAAAACTGCGTGACAGAATCAAATCAACCTTTCTGTCCCCCCTGAACCTCGAGACCAATAGCACTTCAGTAATCCCTCACGGCGTAGCACGCTCAAGTTTACAAGCCCTAATTCATGATGCGGCACGCTTCGTTCTCGCTGTTAGGCCGGTTCTTGAAGAAGCACCGCTTCAAGTTTACTACGCAGGTCTGGTATTCAGTCCGAGGTTCAGCGTTATCAGGGGAGCCTTCTTAAAGGAAGCCCCACCTTGGCTCCTATGCATATAGGAGGTGGAGCTGGGCTGGCTCCGTCCTTCATGCTTCGCCTTCGTACCCTGCAGTGCTCACGTTTGTCGTCCTTGCCGCCTGATCCTACCGAACTTCCATGAGCCTGACCAGTTGGCAAACCTCCAACGAGCTTCATCATGAGACTGGGTGCCTAAAACAGCCCCTTGCCGAAGGCCTCTAGGAGCAACAGGAGTAATTGTGCCGGTATGAGCCTGGGTTGAACAGAAGACCTCCCATGCGAGCCAACTGAAGGGATTGTGCCCTCATAAGACTGGACGTTGAGTCAGTACCATGCCGAAGGCCTCTAGCGAGCATAACTTGGAACAAGTAGGGTCACCCACCCTCCGAAGGCGTCGTCATTGACGTCTGCTCGAGATCCTGATTAGGTGTAATGACTGCTCTATAAGCGCCGAGCTCGTTACTTAGCAGATCCTTCAGGCTTGTAAGAGGCGCGGGTCGCAATAGGCAGCCTAGCGGTTGCGAACGAAGACATTACTAGCCAATAAGCGCGAACGGATATTGCAAGACCCCGAGGCAGTCATAGAACCCGAGTCTGCCATACCTACACCTTCTACACCACCCCGGCAAGCCGATCCGCCCGAGGAATTGGCCAGATTTGTCCACCCTTGCCTCTCCAATATCTTCGTGTCTACGGTTCACCAAGAGCGAGGACGGTAACAAGGTCAGATGTAGATAGTGAGGAAACTTTACGAGAAAGAATAGATACTTAACGATCCTCTATACATGCAGGATTGTGACGGGGCAAAGAGGCTGCCGTCACAGAAATTTCGTGTGGCGCAGGTAAGGTACCATTGATTGTCACTCCCCTGTCCTGGAGCCCTTACAGAGACAGACGACAGCACCCCATGAGGAAAAGGGGTTGGATTCATCCGCCCACCCTCTTAGCACCCGCAGTCAACATATCCGGCAACATACAAGTCATGTCTGGCAATAATGCGGGTTTACTAGTGCCGCTCGCCAGTTTTGAAGGACGCCCAGAACGAAGGTTACGCGTTTAGGCTATTTGGGATAATTAGTTATGCGAAAGTACTGTAGGAAATGCGCAAATCGAGCGGCAACACTGAAATATATAGCGAAGCTATTCCTTGAGCAGCAGCAGCTTGGCTTCCAGTAACCCAGTGTTGCGGGCGCCGAAATTACGACAGGCACTACTTCCCTAATGGCACGAGCAGAAGCGCAACCGCCAGGCCAAAAGTGGCTCCTACTCCTTATAAAGGCTCTATCTGAACTTAGGGTTATTGCTAGGATTTACTGGATGTACTGGCCAGATGAGCTCCCCCCGAGAACTCGAGACGGGAATAGGCTTGTGCAGGGCCGTCAGCCGTATCACGGCGCACTGGAGCTGATCGCCTCCAACCACAGTAAGTTACCTACCCTGTGTTAGACCGTAGAAATCACTCTAAGCCTACTTAGTGGACATTATCAATGTGGTCAGCGTGACCGACAAGGCGGAGGTAACGCAAATGTTCGAAGAAAACGAGGACGTCCATGAAGCTCTCTACTGGAGGCAGGCGTATGATGTGAGAACTAAGGAGCTGTCGGCAAGTAATTCTCTTTCTCCTATTCTGGGATGTCGCTAACTCTGTTGTCCTTGTTAGTCCCTGCAATCTTTCTGCAAGTGCCAAAAACCGAGCAACCCAGATAAGATATTAGTTGGGTGCAATGCGGAACAATGTCTCGTATGGATGCACAGTGAGTGCATCATATATGAGAGTCTCCTGGAGGTGTACGAACGCCTAGGAACCGGCAAGCCACATGTCTCAGCCCGGCCCGAGCAGGAAGTGATGCTAGACAAAGCAGTGGGAGAGGGCAGTCCAATAGAGACCAGGGTTGCGGAGTCAGCACAGAACTCGATCAATGATAAGTTCGACGGCGAAAAGGTATCGGAGGACAACGTCGGCGTCGCCAGCCAAGGCGCCCCAACACCGGCGCCACTAGCCGATGCTGGCGACAAGAATGGGACGGACACGCCGAACACGGCGACCAAAGCGACTCCTGGAAGTAAGTTTGAAGCCAATGGACAGACCGTACGAAGGGCTGTTCGAAGCATCCCTACATTTAGGAGTCAGCCCGCCGATGCTCGAGGTCACGGACCATCGACGCAAACCAACGAGGGGCTGACACGTGGTCAGACGGACAATAAAAGCCATCTTTGCAGCATGGCGAAATATCATGGCACCGCTTAATGCATCCTTCCTCAGGTAGAATCCGCCGACGTGCAGGGGTGCAGGCTCGTACTACTTGCATGAGATCACGCAGTCCACGCATTAGTTAGGGTTCGCCGCCTCCGCCTCCGCCTTTCTTTGGAGGCTTTGGCATTTCCGGAGCTTCAGGTCCTGCCTCTCCAACGCCAACAGCGCCCCTCTCCCACTCCAGCAGGTGTGGTCACACTCGCCAGATCCGAAGGGAATCGATACGAGAAAACAATCGTGGCGTCGAGCAGTCGTAGCTGAGCTGCACGCGTCGCCTTGACCGCTGCCTCTCTTATGCAGATGGACCGTGTCCAGCTTCACAACGAGGAGCGGAAGATGGAAGCGGACGCACTGCCCAGGCTTCAATTATAAAAAGCCTTCTCTCCTCCCTGTCTTGATCACTCATCCTTTCTCAGACTTCACACTTGTTTGACAGAACTCTCTTTGCAGAGAATCGACACTGTTGACCCTCACAACCTACTGCACCCATACCTTTTGATCGTCGTACCGTGGAAGCGAACGTTGGAAGTCACGATGAGCACCTCCTTGATCACATACTTGAACTACATGTCCACATGGGACTCGGAGAGCGACGGCAACATCGACAAAGTGATTGACGAGCACAATCTGTTCGTCAACCTTGGCGACTTCGATTCGGACACCGCTGTCAATAATGAGTTCACAGCCCTCGTCGACCTGGCAATGACGGTGCGTGATGAGACTATCGCCGCAGACGCCATACAGATCAGTGCCGATGCGGCGGCAGTAGCGTCCATTTGGTCATTCGGCTTGGGCATGGCTGCGTTCGCAGCACTTGAGGCTACGCATGCGATCATGGAGAAAATCATCTCCGACAAATCAACGGAACTGAACAACAAGTTGACAACCGCTGATACCGATATCTCATCTCATATCAATGACAATGTCAACCTTTACGTTGTCTCATACAAGGCGAACAACACCTTGATCGCCTCCAAAGCACCGGCGGGGCTCGACACAAGGACATGCCGATCGTTGCTTATGCAGTTCATGGCGGAAGTGCAAAAACGCAACAACGGAAATCTGACCACAGGCCTTTTCAAGCAGTACGCGGAGTCGGCGCGGATCCTCTACAACAGCCCTGAAATCAACAACGTTTATGACGCCTTCGATACCCTGAATCTCAGTGGGAAGACGGATCAAGATATCCAGCAATTTATGTCGGCCATTAACGGATTTACGGGGTTCGATACCACCGCCATCTCACTTGTTCGAGGCGCTGCGGTTGTCTTGATGTTCTACAAGCTGCGCATCGCCAGTTCAACCATCGAAGCAAACGCCAGAGAGGCTGGATTCGAGGTTGCGGAGGTGGAGACGAGCACATTTGGCATGCTTGATGCATTCGGGAAATTCGTCGCGGTGGTCGCGGTGGTGATGTCGGTAGTCGATACGGTGTTGGAAATACTTGACATCGTCGATGTGGTGGAACAGTGTAAGACCATGTGCGACAAGCTAAACGGTCCCATCAAAGCCAGCTACATCGACTACTTCAATGGCATTAAGGAAGCATCCAAGCAATACAAAGCCGCGATCACTCCTGGTCCACCTCCACCTCCGATCGGCCCCACGGCGGACTTCCAACTGCCCTTGAATCTCGACCAGGCCCTCGAGTTGTCGCTCAATGTCCCCAGCAGAGCCAATGTCCCAACTCTTTTGGCGAACTTGTCCACTAATGCTAACCAGTGGGAGCCAGGAGAGTTCGCAAATGGAGTGCAAGCGTGGTCTCCCAATGTATTTGGTCTGCACAATGCCGGTGCCAACCTAGGCAGTGCCCAGCGCTTTGCTTACATTGGCGTCGCGTCGCAGGCTCCATTCACCCTCAAGCAATTCCAAGTCCAGATCGACACAAATGCGCACGGGGCTTCTGCAGCAAACCCAGTCGTCATCGCCGTGGAATTGTCCTCTGCGAACGATTTCGCTGGTTACTCAACTATAGGCACTATCCAGTCTCATCATACGAATCCGCAAAGCCTGACGACGAGCCAATCCATTCCAGCTGGCTTGACTTACATTCGACTGCGAGTCACCTCTCCGATCCCAGATGGATCCAACTACATTGCCTATTCCAAGATAGTCCTTTCCGGCTCCGTTCAGGCCACCGGTTCTATACCCGCACTAAATCCACATGCCCCAATTCCTACCGCAAAGGGTGCCAGCTTTGCTTTGGCCTACGATTTTCAGCACGCATCCGACAATGCCTTGCTCGTCGGAGTGACCGCCCCAGCACCAAGCGAGCTGATCAGCCTCCTGGCCACCAACGCACAGCAGTGGGAACCTGGCGAATTCAACAATGGAGGTGAGTAGCAAGCGAGTACTGCATGTCCGAAGCTAATATTCGGACCAACCTTACAGTAACATCTTTCGGCTCCCAAAAAGTGTTCATCCTGCACAGAAGCGGCGCTGCAATAGGCGCAAACCAGCGCTATCCCTACGCCGTCATCGCCACCCAACACGCGCTCGTGGTCTCGTCCATAACAGCGAATCTGAGTTCGAATGCCAGTGGCTCCTCTCCGTCAAACCCAGTAACCATATCCATTGAAGGCTCGACCTCTCCAGACTTCGCGGGCGCAGTGACACTGGGCTCGTTGTCGAGCGTCACGCCGACCTGCAGCACGAGTATTCTACTTCCAAAGGGAGTGTCCTATTTGCGATTCCGGTCTACTACACCGATCCCGGACGATTCGAACTATATTGCTTATAGTAATATTAGTATCGCTTGCTCCAAGGTGCAGGATAATTAGGCGGTTCTGTGGTCGAGGCAGTGTGCTGAAAAGAAATGAACCCGACACAGACACTGGTGTGACTTGAAGTCCGACGAACCGAGGCTCATTCTGTTAGAATGTTTGGATTCGGGCCAAGTGCATGACCGGTTAGTCATGTCACTCGTGTATATAAAGACTGGGAATTTCCCTCATCAGTTTCGGTACCTTCAATCAAGCAACGACTCCTTTCTTACATCATGCAGTTCACGCGTCCAACGGCACCTACCTTTCAACAACTCTAGTCTACCTCACCCGACTCAAGGCCCGCCTTCAACCAATGGCCAAGGGCCTTCGATGCACGACTCACCGCATCTTCCTCGCCACCTTGATCCTTTCGGCCAAGTACCTCAACGACAGCAGTCCCAAGAACAAGCACTGGGCCAACTACAGCGTCATTTCCAACTCAATCTACAACTTTGGCTTCTCGCGGACCGAAGTCAACCTGATGGAGAAGCAGCTCCTGAACCTGCTGAACTGGGAGCTCAGGATTACAGAGCAAGATCTCTACCGGGAGCTCGATGGATTCCTTGCCCCTATCCGCCTGGATATCGAGGACCGTCACATCAGGAGACGGCGCCGCAAGGCCGAGGAGCGGGCACGGAAGAGGAGAGAGGCTGCCGAGGCGGATGCTTGGGCTGCTATCCAACAACAACAACAGCAACGCAGCTACCCTACTCCACCTTACAGCCGGGGCAACTCGCGGAGTCCGGTCCGGGATCTGTCCCCTCCTGCACTTAGCTACAGCTCCGGGGCCCCTTCATATGCCGGTAGCATCGCATCATCGAGGATGCAATCCCGAGCTACCACCCCGATGTCTCCTCCCGATGTCGAGGCTACCCAGCCATACATCATTGAAGCCCAGGACGGCCTTTACGACTCGCCGGCCGAGATCGTACCACCCGCTGTGCCTGCCAAGGACATCTATTCTCACCGCCAGGGGCTGACCAGTAAGGGTAGCAACAACCTCTTACCTTACGAGATCAGTGCCGATGACCTACAGGCAATGCAGGACCACCAGACTAAGACGAAGAGGATCAGGGGTGTCTTAGGACGGGTCTTTGGAGGCGTAGTCACGGTGCGATAATGCCGGCTTTACCACTACGACTTAATACGGAGTTTTTCTTGTTTAAGCGAGGTGTTCATCATCCTTCGTCATTATCATCATCATCGGTTATCAGTTCGGACTGCATTAGGATTAGAGTTTTGGTCTATCTTTTTTTATATCCCGATATTGTATCGAGGATAGTGTTAGGGGGGTATAGTATAGACATGACGGATAGTTTGGATAGCGGTTCACGGCTAGAGTCAGTCGACTCGCCCTCAGTTAGGTAGTTTGGGCCAGCCCACATGGGCACATGCCTCCTTAGTTGTCGCAACAACAGGAGGACATTCTAATGGAATAATATCAACATTCCACAAAAGGCATGTAAAAGTTGCTGTTGTCGTGTTGTCGTGTTAGTGAGGCTCTACAATCAACAACCCGACCTAAAGAGGTCATTGCTAGCGTACAGCTTACCCTATCAAGTCGGGGTTAGGGAGTCAGCTAGGTTCGGATTAGGGGGCCGTTAGCTATCTGCCTATACGACCTTGACACTAATACCGATCGGGGATAGCTGACGAGCTTTTGGGCTCGAATGGCGATCACAGCTTGCATTCAACCTCCAGAAATGGCTCCCTTGGCTATCCTTGCAATGATGCTTTAGGTCTAGCGTGCTATGGCACGCATGTCGATTGCCTCTTGGCAACCTTCAGAAACGGTTTCCTTGGCTACCTTGTACTGATTAGGAAATGTGTGTATTAGTAAACAAGTAATAGTTGCCCTTTTGGGTTAGGCCCACCGGGCGTAATAAATTGTGACACGTGTTGCCGTTCTACGCATTGCTCAAAACAAGCCTGGTAACAGTCTATTTTACCTTCCTCGAGAAACGGCTCCCTGTCGTCCGGAAACAGCTCTTCGTTATTGTAGCTGCCAGTAGCTTCTGGTGCTAGTGGCCCTCTTCCTCCAGAAACGGCTCCTGTTGCCAAGAGACGATCGACATGCGTGCCATAGCACGCTAGACCTAAAGCATCATTGCAAGGATAGCCAAGGGAGCCATTTCTGGAGGTTGAATGCAAGATGTGATCACCATGCGACGTTACAGTATCATGCCAGGGTAGTCAAGGAGCCATTTTTGGAGGTGCCAGTTGTGCCCGTGATGATCACAGTCAGGGGGGGTGCATCAACCTTCTCAATTAGGACTAGCCGGCGTGATACCTTGCTCTCTTGACACCCCGCACCGTTGACCAATCACTGCCAAGATCCGCAGGTTACCACTAATACCTGACTGGTGCGTCTTTATATGCGTAAGCCAGATATGGCGCTTATATCCTGCACTACTGGGGACCTGGTAAGGATTTAGGTGGAGAGAAGTAGCTACCCCTGCAGAGAATCCTCCAGATCTGGCTCCATGAACGAAGAGGGACTCAGTGTTCCTACTTCTCAGCTACAGTACCCAAGCCACATCTGGTGCGAACTATGACAAAGCTTTGAGCGAGCTTTCTGGACTTTCCAAGCACATGGCATGGTCATGTTGCATCAGACAGCTGTAGGCGCCAAATCTGGCTCTCGTATCCCTGCACTAGCTTCCTGCGGCTGGAACTGCTCATTATGTGGATCTCATATACCCCTGCCTCCAAGGCTTTTTAAGGACCCAGTTAGCGAATATACACTCTACCCCGTACATGGAGCCAGATATGGAGGTTTCTCTGCAGGAGTAGCTGCTCCTCACATCACAATAACTACAGGTGACCTTGTTCGTAACAGCTGTCTTATTAGGGCAGGCGGTGAGTGATAGTTTAGTTTGGGAGAGCGGTGGGGGACAGGGTCCCACTCAATGGACATGCCCACCGCCTTCCCAAACGGAACACTCGATCGCCTGTCCCGAGGGTAAACGCTCACCGCTGTCACGGCGTTAAGCTATGAGCTGACTAAGTTGTGGATCTGATACATGGATCCGCGTTATGAAGACATCTTCACGACGACACTGCTCATTCGTTGTGTAGCTTTTCGAGCTACGTCTTTTCAATTGGCTTGTCTGTAACCACGAAATAGAGCCTGTAAGTAAGGAGTAAACATGACCTGTTGAGTAACATTGCACCATCCATCTTCTTTACCCGTGACAACCGCCCGTAATAGAAAATACGTTTAGCAGTGACTTGCAGAATCGGCTTCCCTGACCTACATAAAAGATAAACTCTGAGCACAAACCCCACATCCAAAATTGACGCCCCACAGTGCGCATTTGGCCTCGTTATGTACTTACTGAGTCATCGACCAAGAGCGCCAACAGCACTGTACACTATGTAAGTGTCACAGTACTAAATAGTACCTATAGATACGAGCTAGCGTCGGAAATACCATGATGACTTACTACAGTACTTCCGATACATACGTGAAGGCACGCTGTGATGCCAATTGGACTGAGTGCTCTTCCGCAAGCGTCCCCTGGCTCACTGACCACATGTTTAGCAACTCAACCGCATTCTTTATCTGTCCGTTCACCCCGTATGCGCGAGCTTGTTGCTATGAGATTAGTCGGAACGGGCGTATTCCTGGTACAGTATAGGATAATGATCTGACCTAGCCATATTGTGGTCAACACAATAGCGAACGTGATCTGGCGACTGCGATTTGTAAGAGCATATACAAGACGATTCGAGAAGCTTCCTCGGTTAGGATCTTGGTCCTACAAGAGGGCTATAAATTTACCCGTCCTCCCACACCCTTCCCGTTACACGCTATGAAAAGAAAAATAGAGAAAGAGAACTTAGAATAGAAGCCAAGATGTCAACGATAAGACTACCTTCGCTACGAAATCGGATTGCTGTCTAAGAGTGTCAGGATTAAGATGCGGCCTGAAGAACAGCCTATTGACACAACCGTTCCGGATATAGCTGAACATGATGCCCGATGCTCGGGCGGCAGCCACAGGAGTTTTTGTCCTTGATATGTGATCCAGTCATGGTTGCTGCTCAAGCCATATCCAACGGCGAGTGGAGAGAAACGATTGGGAGAGGCAGGGTCTAAGACTGTAGAAATTACGACGGTTCGTAAGTCGAATGTGCCACGCTCGGTATGCAAAAGGTCAAAGCTAGATGCATCGAATTGAAGATAATGAGGAGTTCGACCGACATAGAGCGTCGACAGGCACTGGCCCGTCGCCCGATCCCAGATTTTGACCGTCTTATCGGCCGACGCCGACGCGAGCCGCGCCGCATCGTGCGACCAGGCCACCGACCAGACCGTGTCGCTATGGCCCTCAAGCGTTTGTAGGCATGCGCTCCAATCATCTGCAATAGCTGGTTTTCTAATGATCCATTCTGGCTCCTCCTTTTTAAACTGATACCTTGTTATACTGCGGGCCGGGCTGAATACAAGTGCTGAAGCGTATACTTGAAGAGGGCTATTCTCGATTGCCCACTTATGATATCGGATAAATCGACTAGCATCTCGGGCTCGGTCGATAAGAGGTGATATTTCTTCTCCTGCCTAACGAAATATTAACATAGCTCCCAAATCGCGCCAGTGAAAGCTAACCTGAAGCAAACCCTCAAGCCTCAACATAGAAGCTACTCCTTCTGACATGCTTCTTAGCAGGCTAAGAGCCTCGAGCCAGTGGAGATATTTCTGGCGTAGAAAGCTATCGATCAAGCTACAATCCTGGAGGTCCTTCGCGTTCTTGCTGGGATCACAGTCCCGCATATGGTCAATCCAATAGACGCACGAGTACCGGGCCGTAGCTAATGGATCTGGATTGGGTTGTGTGACTTGGTCGATAGGAAATCCGGGAGCGCCAAGGTTGTAGATGTCGCGTCGCAATGTTTCCCTCATGACTCGAAGGGATCGTGAGAAGATGGTACGGTGTATGTCTTCTATCCCAGAAGGGAAGATCTCCTCACGGGTCTGTTTGAGCAAATAGTCTTTTGCGGACTGATGGACGAAAGATATAGTATAGTACGTTCGCGAAGTGTCAGAAAAGAGCCGCAAAACCCTACAATCTCTGCTAGAGCTTCGTAATTGCCAGAGACACCGTCAGGCATATCGACGAGGGCCGTTAGCTCATCCAGTGTGATAGGCCGGTACACGACCGAGAGGATGGCGAGTATGTCTTTGCAAAGCGCAGCATCTTCGGATTTGCAGATCTGGTCCATCATCCGTCCGTAGAGTGCATCGAGCCCTGGCGGACACACCGTCAGCTTCTTTTGTGCCTTCCATCCCGGGGTAGTGGCGAGTTCCTGGCAGACCAGGGCCACCCAGAGGAAGGTGCCGTGTGCGTTGACAGACAAGTAGCGCTCGACTGCGTCCTGCGTATCCTTGCTGTAGTTATTTCGCTTCGCTAACCTCTCAACCTTGAACCGGACGTATATTGTAACAGCTGCGGAGACGGAATTCTCATTCAGCTCAAGTCGCAGGTCTACTCTCTGCGTAGCGGTGTCAAGATCCTTCTCGATGCTCGGCCAGTTGCGACTAGAGACGATCCACTTGACGCGCGGGCATACGGATGACTTCTGGACAAGGAGGTCAAGAAGCAGGCTCAGGTCTCTGGTGCACTCGTCGAGCGCATCGATAACCAGGTAAGTGCTCTGTAGACGCTCGTCGTTGACAATGTTGGTGAAGATCTTCGACAAGGCCATCCATGCATTTGCGTCCTCAAAGAGCTGCTTTCCGGAATCGTCATAGCTTTCGCGTACATAGGAGATGAGAGATCGCTGCTGCTTCACAAGCAGGTAAAGTAGGCCTCGCAGGACAGCCGTGGCGTTGTTGATACGCACATCGGTAGCCTGGCAGAAGAAGAAAGAGACGGCCGCAGTGTTGGTCGACTTTGTCAACTCATCAATGATTCCGCATAGGAGCATTGTCTTGCCCTTGCCAGGATCACCCTTGACCCAGAGCAGACGGCTCTTTGGGTCCTTGCGCCAGTGTCTGAAATCGTCGTTGTCGAGAATCCAGCGGTACGAGTCTTTGAGCAGGCCGCCTTTATCCTTCTCAATACGGTCCTTGTCGTCGCGGGGGTTAGTGGTTCGGAGATGCTGCAGACAGATTTGGTCCTGGGGATCCGTGATATGTTGGTCGATTCTCTGCAAAACGCTCAGCTGCTCTTGAGAGATGCGAATCAGGCTGCTAAGGCTTGCGCGCTGTTTACTTGCTTCCTGGGCAAGTTTCCGTAACTCCTGGAGACTACTTCTAGAGATGTCGAGACCGGTGCCAGACATAGCTGTCTCGAACTTCTGCACAAGAGCAGCGTCGTTCTCCTTGATGTTCTGGATCTTCTTGTCCCAGCCGTCGTAGTTGATAGTCCCTCTAAAAAAGTTCTTGGTTCGACTCCGATAGAACCGTATGACGCTCCGCACCTGAAAGTCAATGATAAGTTTGTACAGATCGATAAGACGGTCCGTAAGATCGGCCTTCAGGTCGGCTTTCATATGCTCGGGTAACAGCAGCGACTCCATCGCGACGTAGTAGCGCATCTGGGAGGTAACGTATGTGAACCCGTCCTGATTGGCAGCTTCGACTGCGGGCGGGTTCTTTAGGAGTGGAAGGACAAGAGAGACGCCAGCCACAATGATGGACGCGTACGGTAGGTCCTTGACAGCATCCTTGATGTAGTCTTCGGCCCATCCCACAGCCCCGGCGACGTTTGCCACGACATCTTGCAGGACAATCTTGTGTCCCAACAGTGTTGTACTGACATTCTTATCTTCCATATGTTTCAGACCAAGCTCCGTTATTTGCCTCAGCTTCTCACGGCGTGCGATTGCATCGTGCTGAGGAGTTAAATTCTTGACATCGCTGGCGTCGTCTCTCTCTTGCGGAGATGGTGGTGTTTTCGACGGGGCTGTGTTGCCTCCAGTCAGTATTGGCAAAGTGGTTTGGATAGATCGAAGCCTTACCTCCGATGAGCACCCTAGACAAAAGATCCTCATATACGTCAATGAGGTTAGGCTCTTTGTCTTTTTCGCCCTTAAGATCATCATATGCTCTGTCCCAGAGAGAACCGTCTGTGGCCAAGTCCTCTGCGTTGCCTGCCGCTTTTTCGCTTGTCGCTTTCTGGGATATCTCTGTCGCAGCCTCGCCGCTAATATTGTTTGAAGAGGTGTGGAATGCCGTGTCGGACGTAGGAGGCACGGCCGTAGGGAGCGAGGCGGAGGCACCTGCAGTCAATCGCCGGATGGCTAGGACTGCTGTGGTCGATGGAGCGGCTTGCTCAGGGGGGACGGAACATCTGCTAGAGCTTGTCAGCACGAGAAAGGGAGAGCTTCATCGCTGTTAAATATCTTGTGATGTGTTCGCTAACGAGGAGACTGCGCCAGATTTTGGGGAGCCATCCGGCGTCTTCGACTTCGCCGGATCTATGCCTCCACGTCTGAACAATTGTTTCACCCGCTCCTTCATACGTGAAGCGCCAGCCATGATCTCGGCGAGCACTCAACCAGGGACGGACTCGTTCGTAGTTGCGGAAAAGATCTCGATGAAATTGATGTCAGACTGGCGAGGTTTATCGCGGGCCTGAAAAGCGAAGCGCATCGGCCTATGGCGGCTCTGGCGCCAATCGAAATTCACGAGATATCGTGGCGCCGCCATTGCGGGCAAAACTTGGTAGGGCCAAGAGTCGGCGGAACGTACTCCGTACGTGCGCTTGATCCCTACAGCCCGTTGTTGCGCTCGGTATGGAACGTGAATCGCGACACAGGATATCGTTGTCGGATGCAATCGACGGCTCTGTCTGTTTGCTCCGGCTTTGGGGTTTATGAAAGTTCAAAAACATGTCGCGGAGCCAAAGTATTGGCCCCAGCGCGTGATAGGATCCGGCAACGCCTTGGCGAATGCGACTGCCACGTGACGAAGTCGTGCACGGACTAATATGTAGATCTGGTTGAGCCGCAAACAGGCTATTCTCGCGAACACCACGGTTGACAGCTGCTCTACCCACCGACACGTGTATTCCACGACCGTATTCTCAAGGCAAATGCGCGAGTATCATCCTTCGCCAACTGACTATCACTAAAGCCCTGCCAAACCCGCGTTTAGATCCGTACGACTCCTTTTCAGAATCGGATTACGAAGCAGAATATTCGCGAGTCGACGAATGCGATCGAGACCCAGAGCGAGCGATCATGCACCGAAACATCCCAAGTCCTCGATGCCGAAAGCAGCTGCGACGCCGTTTCTTCTCATCAAGATCGACCACGCCGAGGCGCCTTACTGCGACTACAATTAGCTGACTGGAGCGAGGACAGAGCTTACGATGAACAGACCTACATCCACTACGACTTCAAATGGAAGTTGACCGTAAATAAGAAACGCTACGCTGCAACAGACAGTACGCGCAATCTCAGCATTTTTGAACCCACCGTGAATCATGTCCCGAATCTGGTCGCGGATAGCGAGCGCAAGATTTGGTGCCATTACTGTCACTGCGCGATCGACGTGATGCCTGATAGACATGAACCTTAGAGTAGCGGGGCAGTTTTGCGGCTCTTGGCCTTAACGTCCACATGGCCGGAGAGGCTTGGCTTAGCTTGTAGTCGCCGCATGGTCGCTGCGTGCCCCACCCACTGGTGTCAGTTTGTTTCAGCCCAGTGGTTGTCGAAGCTTCTAGAATGAAGCCCGTTACAGCGACACAGCCGCGGAATCACGGGTGCCGAGCCAGACACCACACCATTCACCTTCCTCCGCATCGGGACGGGATTGGTTTGGTTAGTCATGACACGGCTGCTGAAGCAACGCGGTCCTAATTCAACTATATCCGAGATCATCAAATGCCGTGCTTGATATTGTCAGGGAATGATTGTTTTAATGGTGGAAATGGGGGATATATGTAAGGTCGGATGCTCTGCCACTGCGATGGATCCACTCGGTAGTACCTAGCAAGACTACGGCGGTACCTATTCGATATTGTGGTGGGAATAACATATCTAGATAAGTCAGCCATTTCCGACGTCAGTTTGTATCTCTGGGTACTGTTTAAGTGCGACGTTCTGCTTATACAATTGCTGTCAGCATTCCTCCAAAGTGATGACTGGGCAGAGTACAAATGGAGACTTGATGCGCACTGTGGGGCGTCAGATTTGGCTGTTGCGTCTGTGCTCAAAATTTATGTTACATGGAGAGTAGGGAAGCCGATTTTGCAAGTTACTGTAGGAGTAGTTACTATGACCGCTTTCCTAATATAGAATACCCACTCCCCGAACTGCCCACCGTGACCGCTGATACTCCGAAAACACCTCCGCACCATGACCGCCTTTTACTGGCAGGCGGTGAGCAGATATTCTTCATTTGGGAAGCGGTTACGAGGGTAAGCATGTCCTGTGGGTAGTTGTTGGTGTTCTATGTTAGGAAAGCGGTCATGGTAACTAAATATTTTCTTTCGAGGCAGGCGGTGAGCCGCCATCTCTTTCCGGACAGGCGGTGGGAGTTCTTTTTGGGAAGGCGGTAGACTTGTTCATGGGGAACGGCGGTGAGTGGGCGCCTTCCATTGGCACAGTCTTGGGCGATGGTCCCATTTTGAGAAGACGATGTGGTGCAGCCATTCACCTAAGATGTGCGTAGGAACCCCTGGAACCTATGTAAGTGGAAACCGGATTCGAACATATGGTTCTCATCAGAGTAGACCTCGGAACCGCCCGCGAGCCGCCCTCTGAGGGCCGCCCACGGAATATTTCGAGGGCCGACAAACATGACAAACATAGAAAGCTCTATAGTTGCATAAATTATGCTAGTTTTGACTGTAATCTTAGGTATTTGATATACAGCTAGGTCCTTTAGTATAGATTGTCATGACTAGGGAAAGCGTGTTAAAATAATCAAATAATTGCTTTAAATTCATGCTGTTTCATACTGTTTCTAGGGCTAGATACTATAAAATCAACTCTTATATCCTTCTAAAAACCTTGAGCGCTTTCGAACCCTTCCTGAATGCCGAAGTTGTGTGTTTGGTAAGTCAGGCTCGCCCTCTTCATGCTCTCCATTTTCTGGCCCTATGGACGAGGGTTGTTGTTGTTGTGATTGAGCTATGATAACTGCAATCTGCGTAGTATCAATAACTGTTGGGATATAAGAGGAAAGCTACCACGAAGCAGATCGTGGCCCCTTAAGTCCGTGGGATCAACCTTAATCCGGCTGGGTCAGTCGGTGCCAGACAAAGGTAGAAAGTCAAAGGTCGTAGGATAGACTATAAGCAGATATAGCCTAAACGAAGGCAGAACCACAGTCCTGAGGATTAAAGGAAGAATGTAGAGATGACTTTTTGGAAAGTAGAACTAACTTGATTCTTTCTGCTAGAAAAGAAGGACATATTTATAGGCTAGAATAGCCTAGAAATGATGTCTAGAATGTCATACAAATACTAGGCAGCAACATAATAAAGGTGGCAAAGAAGGGAACCGAAGAAAAGCCAAAAGAATGATGTCAAGGATCGATGGTTTCAGCCACCCCGAAAGCTTCCCCGCAGTATCAGGTTATGCATACCCAAAGGTGGACCATTTTATCCTTAAGGGAAAGTGGTCCGCCTATCCTAGAGGGGACTGAGGGTCGAAGTCTGTTCATCGAGGTTCGAAGACCATGGTCGAAGTCCGCGGGCAAGATATGCCCGAAAGCACCTCCGAAGGAACGGACCATTCATGCCTGAAGGCGGACCATTTACCTCTGAAGGAAAATGGTCCCGCCTATCTTTCGGGTGAGGGCCGCGGACCAGAATCAGAAGTGGTCAAAATATCATTTTGATAGAAGGCCCCAAATTGGTCACGTGATCAATGCAATGCTGATCTTATATGTTGAATATAAGAATAGACCTTTCTATGTAGCATTGGTCTATATTCCAATAATAACTAATTCTGCATCATCAATTTCCTCGTTGTCACTGATTGGCTTAAGGTATGGAGTATTTAGATCTTTCGCCTCCTGGTTAGCCTGTACCTCTTTATGTAAGAGATATTCGTTGATTAGAGCTCGTTGACCTTCTTCAATCTCAAACTTTGATGTACACATGAACATCATTAGATCTTGAATTGTTGATGGTTTTAGCGAGCCTCTCCGGTAGTGATAGACACCTCGGGCAGAGTTAAAGAGTCGCTTAACACCTGCTCCTGTTGCAGGGATCGAAAGCACGTCGCGTGCAAGGTTTGTAAGAGCTAGAAATTGATACTAGTGATCTTTCCAGAACATACAGACAGGAGTTCGTACAATACCTAGAATATAAGTTAGTAAAGGCTCTAATAAGTGAGATATTATTAACTTACCACTATCAAGATACTCCTTAAGCTCATCGAATTCAGTAGATGCTAAGGGCTGGGACTCTTCCGCTCCACACTCTATCTTAAGCTCTGAGATAGCGATAGTGGGTGATTAAGCTTTAGATATTGATTGTGTATTGGCATGGCGTCGCTTATAGGATTGAAAGTAATCCTTAAGACTTGCTCGGTAGATTGCACGCTAGTTATTATCTAGATCATCCTAGTCCTTTCCTTTAAAGACTTGTTGCGGCGAAAGTATCGTGCCAATGGTATAGAGATTGCCATCAATTGTATCCGTTATACTATAATAAGTTGAAAGCTTTCTCTTTGCGGCCTCGAGAGAAGAAAGTATAAGCTGCTTCTAAGTAACTTTCTTCCGTCTTAACGCACTTATTGATTTTTCAAGATGATTAAAGAGCTTGTTATAGATGCTGAAGACTAGGTGAATACTAACATCCTTAGTTTTAGAAAGAAGAGTGGTGAATTTGAAGAAAGGCTGGGTTATCTAGAGAAGATACTCAATCTGTCGCCACTCCTCTTAACTTAATGCAAAGTGGTCCTGATTATACTGCGAATAAAAGTCATTAAAGGTTAATTAAAGCCGTTTAGCACGTCGGAGCATCAAAAACGTCGAATTCTAGCGAGTTCGAACATCCTGGATAGGAATAAGCTTTGGTTCTTCCTTCTAAAGGTTATAGAATGACTCGCGCCATTACGGGCTTACGTTGATATAGATAGCAAGGTTTCGGACCTATATAAGAGTTAGTATTATTAATAAGGTAAGAAAGTAGGGGCATACCTTATTAAGTATATTAATAATCTCTCTTCTTTGTTGCCTTGCACGAAGAGAACGGAATCGTTCGTCGGACTAATCTATCTCCGCATTTTCATTCTTTGGAATTACCTTTAACTTCCTAAGAAGATCATTTAAGCTAAGCTGAATCACATAGGCAATGCAAGGAACTCGAACGATCGTAGAACCATTATTTAGCTTAAGTGACTGTAATAATTCTTGTATACTTAACATTAACGTGTTGTTGTTTGATACATTATCAGTTGTCACTATAAGCACTCGATCTGTGATTGTATGCTATCGGAGAAGCTTTAAAACCACATCACTTAGATTCACACCAGAATAGGATCTAGATAAAGGTTCAAATCTAAGAAGCACCTCTTGATATTGCTAGTGTTAGTCTAGGAAGTAGCTAGTAACGGCTATAAAAGCCTGTTGAAAGGGAGATGTCCAGTAGTCTAGTGCTAGTGAAAGCTTTGCGTTTGGAGGAAGCTTCTGAAGGATAGATTATTGCTGCTCTTAGACGTACCCTTGTAGCCGAGATCGTATTGTTTTTGCTGAAGGGATATAGGGTTATGTAGGGGCAAGTCGGGTAAAGGTAATAACGTCACGGAACTCTGGATGTTCAATAAATTAGAAGGGAAGACGTGATAAGGTGATTAATCGTAGAAGCTTCTGCTCCTATGCTTCTTGCGTAAAGACTTTTATTGTATTTAATGCGTTCTGTGCCTATTATAAAAGAGAATGATTAGTATAATATTAGGCTATATATCCTAACTGATATATACTATATTTATGAGTAATCCCTTGATATTAGCCTTCTGGCTAGTAGATTTACGACAGGTTAGACTAGCTAAGTGCCGATTAAGGGCAATTGTTCCATACCGCCCGCTTGCTGGATGATTAAGGACTTTCTGGCATTGGCGACACTTTACCCCTAGTTTGCCAGTTTTGGCGTTGGCAACTTGGTTAAATTGCTCCTAGCATACCGCTGTACGGTTACCACCCTAATTAAGTCTTTTCCTCTTCCTAAACTTAGTCTCTAACCACCAAGCGACGAAGTCATCCTTTGACATTTCGGAGTATAGGATATATGCTAGTGATCGACTAGGACCAACACGCTGAAGTGAAGCAGGAATCAAGGGTGGAGTAATTGGAGTGAGAAAATCGGGATTTAATGCGGATTCAAGTGTGTGCTAGCTTCCAGAAATATCAGGCGTTGGGAATTGATCATTCGAAAAAGATAGAAGAGCATCAACAGGGTCACCATCATATATCGATGAAGAATAGATATCTGAGAACTGGGATATTTGGGACATTGTTAATTAGATGATCGCTAGTAAAGCATGATTAGAAAAGGGAAAAGTGACTGGTTTTTGGAGAAGGTACCTACTAAGAAAGCCCATAAGCTCTGGTGAACAGAATTATTGACTAGCTTAAGTAGCTTTCCGATGCAGCTTGACCATTATCGAACATATCACCTATTGACCCACTTTAACCTATTAATTTTCCTTTGATTAGTTATTTATTAAGGGCTGATTAAGGGCGGCCCCCAAACGGCCCTCAAAAATATGGGGGCCGCCCTTAGATCGCCAATCTGCCCTTAATTTTTCGCTGACTTGTGTATCCCCTCAAATTTAGTGATGCTTTTAGTTCAAAGAATATTATGGGGGCCCTTTTGTTAGTAAATATAGTATGATTAGACACATATTGGGGGGTTCACCCCCCGATAAGTAGTTATATAAAGTAAAATTACATAATATCAGGTAAAGAATTAAGACTTTATGAGATATGTTTAATATTCTTGTTATTCCTACCAACATGACGTTGTAAATATATATATCTAACCCAACCATGTACAATTAATATATTCAAAAATCATCTCCTTTCTATTCACCCTCTACCATTTACTTTTCAAGATTCAAAACCTGTAATATAATCATTACCTACTATGCTTTATTATAATACAACTAAATTTCTTGTAATTTCATAAGAATTAAATAGTGATACCATAGATAATAAACTACAAACAGGAACAGGCTTAAAAAACAGTAATTAAATAGAATGAATCAGCAGGATTATACATCTAAATGAGGAATGGTCAACTTTTTTTATGCAAATGAGGGCGGATAAGGGCCGCCCGCGAGCCGCCCTCTGAGGGCGGAGGGCCGGGCGGAGGGCGGGAGATACCAGCCCTCGAAATGTTTTTGACGAGGTCTACATCAGAGACAGTAATCACGGGGTCACCCTAGTGCAGAGACCCAAATCCGAAATCACAAGGGAAGACCAGCTAACCATCACACTACCTTAGTATTGGGAGGCCAGACAGCTAACTGAAAATTGCAAATAGAACTACACTACTCCAATATTGCATATTACTATTACGCTACTTTTGGTCCTGCCATGTGCGTTTAGGCAGCCTCTGATGGCGAGCCATCGACTTCGAAAGCTTCTTAGACTTGGCTTCACTATGGGCGGCTAGTCTCAGGCTCAGCCAGTTAGGCGTAGGCGGGCCTTGTACTACACGGGCCCCAGCTAACACTCCTACGGGACTCAACGTTTCAAAGCTCCTCCTAATTCTCTCATGGGTTTCGGCTACTATTAAGGCATGAATTACCACCGGTTGTTCTAGATTCAATCTCGGGAGGTGAATGATGAATCTCCGTAGCTTGGCTTCCGTTGCAGAAATCTAAAGGTCTCCTTCTTCTAACAACGGGATATAGCTTTTCCTTTCAGACATTAGTAACAAGGCTTGAATACCATGGTTCAAGTACGTACTAGCTCAATCTTCGATGGTGGCCACCAAGCAGCGTCTTTCGAACTATATTCATAATGTTGTTGATTCCGGCGTATCAAGATATAAATGTCAGCTTCATACTGGCGGCTTATCCTATCGCAGCGTCTGATAATATTCTCTCTCTAGACTTTGCAAAGTTTTCGCTTGTCCTATCTCGCTTCTTTGGTAAATGCTGGTCCGTCATTATTACCAGACGGGTGTTGAAGAGTGTTATCGATAAACACAATCTGCGTGCCCGTTCTTATACTATTCCGAGCTGAAAGCCCTCGACCCTTCTCCGCATGTGCCACGGTAAAAGCCTGGATGATTATGGCCACCCATCCTTCTTACAGTCTGGCTCTCATATACCCCTACTTCTAAAGCCCATGAAAGGGCCATACACTCTGCTCGTTCGTGGAGCCAAATCCAGAGGTTTCTTTGCATGAGTGGTTTAAGGAAAGTGGTAGTGTGACTGAGGCAGCTTTAGCCGGACGTCAATTCCGGCTCCCAAACAACGGTCAGCTGCTTTAGCCAATCAATAAACCTTAGCATTTGGTGACTAAGCAAGGGCCTGCTTTAACATTGGGGCAGGTGGTGAGCGGTCGTTTCATTTGAGAAGGCGGCCAGGGTCCATGTGCGGCCTTCCCCCAACAGCGAGGTAGATACCTTGGTTAACTGTAACTAAGATCAGAATAGTTATTGATGTCGTGTAGGTGTGCATGTAAATGTTCCGGTCAACCATCCCCGGAGCCCGGTGTTAGTCCCTTAAGTAATGACCGACGTCAATTGCACGGAACACGGCCGTGACGACACACCACTGAGCTAACGGGCAGGCGGTGAGCGAAATGGCGGTGAGCTTGCGTCTCCTTTGCGGAAAGGAGTGAGTGAAACTTCCACTTTAGGAAGTAGTGGGCGTTCGGACTGGTGAAGAGGGTTATTGTTGAAAGGCGGTGGGGAAGTTTCATGTTTGGAAGGCGGTGGGAAAGCGGTAATGGGAAGGCGGTGTGTTAGTTAATTACCTATAAGGCCTTTTAAGGTACCGAGGTATGTTTCTGGAGCCTGCCGAGGTAGGACTTTAAATCCTGTTGTTGCGAGGCAGGCGGTAAGCGGGTATCTTTGTTTGGCAAGGCGGTCACGGTAAGTGGGCGTTTGCTTTTGAGGCAGGCGGTGAGCAGGTGGCCCATTTGGAAGGCGGTCAACTCACTCGGAGGTGAGGATGCCGGCATTTCCAAAGTGGACAGACTGATGACGACAACACACCTAACCAACTGATCAGCCTGGCTACCCCGCCTGACATGATCCGGACGAAGCTCTGCGCCCTGCGAGAGTTCCCGTTCTGTGCCACGGACTCGCCGCCTCAAGAGAACGCCCCCCTTCTAAGTACCGTGACCGCCTTCCCGAATGAGAACACCGGCTCACCGCCTGCCTCAAAAGAGAATGCGCAGGTACCGCCTTCCCAAATGAAACACCTGACAGGCATAGGTTAAGATCTGTAACGATCGACCTATCTTTACCGAATGGATAGAGCCAATGGTTGGTTCCTGTTATCAGTTGGTCAGGTGTGTACTGTAGACTGTGCTTGCTGCTAATCCTGCAAAAGAGATTGGAAGATCATGCTTAGCCAAAAGGTGAGCCAAAGTGTGGTGAAGACTTGTACTTAGCATTGATCGCTGGAGAGCGATCCGACTATCTGGACTAACCATCATGGTAAAGACTGTATATATGGAAATGGGAATTACTTCCTTTGCTGCCCAACCGTGATCCCTTTTGGTGAGGATCACTGGATCACGCTTTTCCGACTGATCCAGCGCTCCTTTCGTGATTGGTCGGTTGCTTGGCAGATATTCCATCCCGGTGACGCATGTACAGCCAATCGTTTCTTGGTTCGTAACAAGATCCGACGTTGAACATAGCCATTAAGCCAGCCTACTAACAGCCTAGAGCTCACTAACCTGTGAGATCCGCAGAGACAGGGCAGAGAAGAGATTAAAAGATCAGGACACATGAAATGTATTGCTTAATTCAAAGTATAGTTACCATGCAATAAAATGCTATTTATCCGGGCCTTATCCTTTCCTTCTCTCTTCCGTCCCACCCACCCCGGCCCATTGAGTGACGTATGTGCAGGTCGACGGCCAGCTCAACGTACTCCCTCCCTCCTCCTGCGCGCGCGGGGGCCGCGCAGGAAGCCAATGTGCGAAAGCATTCCGATTAGGCTGTCTTCGGTCGTGACCGCCGGAGCTTGTGCTTTCGAGCCCGCCGCTTCTGGGCTTCATCGGACGGCCGAAGCTTGATTCCGTGGACCAACTGCACATGGGTCCTGAAATGATCCACGCTCTCTAACATCACTTTGCAGGAATTACATAGGATGCGTTGACGAAGCTGTTCGGCAAGCTCCTTGCCCTGCAAGTGTTGGTCATCGAAATGGTCATTTCTTTTTGTTGGTCGACAGTACCGGAACTTTCGCTGCCCTGGCGTCAGTCGCTCATCTCCAAAACACTCGGGGCACTGGTTGGTATCCATAAGGAGCGGAAACGGGTCAGGCGCGGGCTCGCATCCGGCTTCAGGTCCGGCTTCATGTCTGACGAGTCCTGTAGTAGGCACTTCGGTATGGGGGGGCTGGCGGGTTGCACTTGCGCTTCTCCCTTTTGCCGCACAAGGCCACGTACAAGTCCAAAACCTCGACTCTTCGCTGGAACAGCTGCTCGTTAGTCAGGTCCTTCGGTTGGTGACACAGAAGCTCGGCTAGCCTCGCACGCTCGGGGATGAGGAGATCAACAGCTGGTTCTGCATATTCTTGTGTCTGTTCCCCCCGTGCTTGCCTCTCCAGTTCCCAGGTCGGACTGTGATAGAAGTAGTACCTCCGATACTCCTCCACGATCTTTTTCTCGTGCTGCGCCCGTTTGGTTCTGATCGTGTCCGTGAGTTTTCGAATTTGTGACTCGTTCTCCAGGCCTCGAAATTGATACTGGCCCTGCTTGAGCTCCGCTCGCTGCTCTTCCGGAGCGGTGATCTCTGGGTCTGGCGGCAAGTTTGCCCATACCTCGGCGGGGACCATGTCTCTGGTGGCGCGACGATCCCGGGTCAGGCCGACGTGTGCGAACACTCGAAACAGCTGGTTTTCCATCTCCTCCTCGAGGAAGGCATTTTGAAGGTCGAAGTTGGCGATCTGGTTAAGATAGGCGTCTTGGAACGTGTAGAACTTAGGATCGTGCCTCATCATCTGATCGCGAACAGCATCCGGTGCATTCCCTAGGAAAGGACTGTTAACTTAATGCTCGCCTTCGTCTCGCCAAAAGAGCAACCTACCATTAGCAGCGTTAGCAGCACCTCGCCGTCCAAATCTAGGCGTCCAAGCTTTCTCGAATCCCGCTTCTAGGCTCTGCCGACTCATATTATCCTTAAGCGTGGAATAGAACATAGCCTCATCTTCAGACAAGATGCCATCACGGACGACCCGGCGAAAGAACGGTGTTTTCAGCTTGGACTTCTTCCATCGCAGCGGCAAGCACTGTCTACCATTTGGAACTTCCGTTCCAAGCAGAGACTTTGCATCCTCCAAGCACTCCGCGTCAAATGCGTGATCAAACAGCGCAATAGAGAGGAAGAGTAAGATGGGACAGAAGATCACCTTTCTAGCAAGGGTGAAGAAGAAGATAGTCCTAAATCCATTAGCGTGCACAACCACGAGCGATCGGGATCTGACATACGGCTTTGGCTTGTTATCACATCCCTTGTGATGGATAAACTTGATGGACATGGCCGGGACACATCGCCCCGTCACGGGGTCGCGGACGATCATCATGAGAATATCCTCGTAACAGAGGGCTTTCGGACGGTCTCGTCCAATGGTCTCTTTGCAGAGAAGCGAATCAAGCTTGCTTGAACTTTCGTCCGTCGCCTCTCCGTCTTCATTGTTGGACATGATGACCTTCGAACCAAAAAGCTTCTCGAACGAGCCATCTTTGGGCCGCTTCTTCTCATTGTTCACCAGCTCAGCAGGCCGCGCTCCAGTATAGCATAAAACCATGTAGCAGCCTGACAAATTCACACGCTGTAGCTCGAGCGGAAAGGTGCCGGTGTCAAACGCAATATTGAAAGTAAGGATCGCCAGCAACGAGTCAACGTTCAGGACCGGTTTACCATCGATGTTGGGTGCCCGCAGGCCAAAGCGAGGGATCAGAACGATTGCATGGTACTTCTAGCAGTCAGTTTCCACCGGGCAAGGAAGTGGATAGGGCATGTCCGTACCTTATAGACTTCCTTCATGTCATTTCGATCGACGAAGCTTCCGGTGACGTTGGTGTACAGCTGCTGAACTGGCGAATATATACGTGTGATGTACCCCATGACTTGATTATGCCCTCTGATTTCTCAAGGACCCAGAGGAAGAAGTCCTGCATCAGGGTCCGGTGTATTCTCTTGATCTTCTCTTTCCAGTCTCCAAAATTCATCTCTTCGCAATACCTAGGGTCGAGTGAGTTTAGCCGAGCAAGGGGGATAGTATATTAGAGTAGCAACGGACCTCTGCCATTTCCTCTGTATGGTACTAATGTTGATCTGCGTTTCGAGTGCATACTTCGGCTTGATGTAACGGACATCCTCCATCTTCTTCCGATGCGCGGCATGTTGGTCGACCGACAGCGGAGCCGGCCGGTTGGTTACTTGCTTGAGCGCGGCTACATGACTGAGGAAGTCGGCATGGACATTTGCCAAACCACGGTCAGTATTTGTCGTTCTGGATGGCATTGGGGCATAAAATTGATTGGGTTGTACTACAGGTACTGGTCCAAAGCGACCGAAAATGGTGGAGGTACAAGGAGAGAACAAGGCTAAAGAGCGGGTCGATGGGCTTTCGTGAGCGGGAACGACAACTCGAACGGCACGGGTGCTCGACCTGAGAGTTCGAGAACCCAAGAACAGGTGGCGTACGAAGACATTTTATGTTGAGAGCTCGCGGAGCCTGAATTGATACAAAGTAGCCTGTCTTTTGGGGTTGCGTTGAAGTCGGTATAAACGGATCCCAGGTGGGGCGGGGGTGCACGTGCTGCGCTGCAGGTACACGGTACTTACCAGAGACTCGTGTCTCTAGGTGTCGAGGCCGCCTCAAATGGCGGGGCGCGCCAGCCAAATCCGGCGGGCCAAACACCGTTTTCTCGCTTTTAGGAGTAGGAACAGTAGGATATGAGCTGATCAGTCATAGTAGATTTTGAGAGTGGGTTGGATGTCTCTATTGATACGATGTACTTTGCCGGGGCAAAGTTCTTTTGTTCACATGAAACCTCTCAATAGATATATCGTGTGAAAAACCTCAACGGAATTTTGGAGATCGCCTGAGATCGATGAGAACCACTAGTGTGTTCTGATGGGGCGCGACCGGTGGGCCCCAAGCGGGAGGGGAGGGCTTTTATGGCAACTACAAGAAGATGGTCTTCGCCAGAGTCTATCAGACCAGTACCAAAAGCAACGTATTCTCCAGCTAAGCAGAAGTAGGCGTTGTTCCCCAGCCTATCATCGAAATAGACATCAGAAGGGGAATTTCCACTTTCTCAAGTAAGCGTTCGAAGTGTGTCTTGAGCCTGCCTGGATCAAGATCAACATTTCTTATATGTTGCGATTCTCAGGCCAGATTTTAGGCAAAACAGGGCCAAGAACAAATGGCAAGCTTAGAAGAAGCGCCTGGGCTACCCAATGCCGAAGTGGGCCAAAATAGGTCGGCTAAAACATGCAGCTATCGGAACAAAGCGTGATCGGCGACAGTACTAAACAATCGCCCGCGAAGTAGTATAACTAAGCAATGAACCTAGTGACCAGGAATTTGAGATTCTATGTCGACTGAGATAATTGCTATGCCTGGGAGAAGGAAAGGAAAGCGGAAAACAATAAGCTCCCCGAATAGAATTTAAGTGCTAATGATAAACTATCGATAATCCTTGTAGATAATAGAATTATAGTTGCAATGATAAGATTAGTAATACCAAACTTGAACTGTAATCGGAATATGAGGTCGGTATGTGGTGATGACTTCAAAGTTAATTTTTGAAGCCTTCGGGTCCTGCGACAGACTGACCTGAGATGGCTTTGAAAAAAGGGTTACCATCAGATTGAGGAGTCTTGAATTTGCGAGAAGATATTATTGGCAGAGGGCTAAATAAACTTCGAATCTTAAGAGAGGTAAGAACATTGCGAAAAGAAGATAGCTCGTAAACCCTAATTAAGAGTCGAAAAGCATCATGATTCTTGATTCTTCTGGCGGATATCCAGCACTATCCAGATAGAAATGATCAAGGACAAGAACACACGCAACTAATGATATTTTTTCTATTTAGAATAAACCCTAATATTCCTGTAATAAACAAGATATCCAAGCCCCCCTAACGCAGCACTATCATGTTTGAACATAAGCCAAATTCACTCATTCTTTCCAGATTTATAAGAAATAAGTTACTGCAATTCAGCGGCTTATTTAAAAATGTCTTTGAGAAGTATAGGATCAATAGGAGCGTTATTACCGCTACTGTTATTCATCGCGTTTGATGTTATAGAAAAACCGACAGCGTTACTTAGCACAGTAAATAACTCATCTGCGAACCTCAATGTACGATGGCTCAGAACATTTTAGGTTTGCACGATTTTTCAAACCGGAGAATGATGAATCGCGAAGAACTCGCAAAGCTCGCTTAATCTTACGAATGGCTTATTCTTCTTAGGCTCTTGGTCGTGACTTTACATTTTGGAATCAATACGTACGGACACTCTGCTAGGGAGAGGTGAAGTCTCCTGTTTAGGACCATGCATAGTGTTGATTGGGGATAGCCTAGAAACACAATTCAGGTCTCGGGGTGTGCTCCCGCATCCACATGCACAAACTAATCTAAATGAGGAAATGACGCATTGTCTCATCACAACTCCAGAGTTCAGGTAATTCCTCGCAGCACCGAACGAGTTAAACTATGAAGTCTTTCAATACAGTCACATTCGTGTGTTTTGGGAAATATATACAAGGAAAAGTATCTGTCCTAGGCATTAGGGTTGTGGTGTCAGAAATTGTGTGACGCAATCAAACGGCTTCGGTTGGTGATATAACTTCGAGCGTACCCGATGAGGACTCATTTGTTTTTCCTGACTTTATTGCCAAAATGCAGTTCGGTGGTGGAGAAGGGTTCAACGACACCGTCAAAATCGACGTGCCTGAAGGCTTCGTGCTGGAATCATTCCATTTCAATATAGAGGTCACCACCAAGCGCGAGAGCATGACCTTCGTTCTTATATTCATCCAGTACCACAGCGGCAATTGGTCGGAAAGCGCACACCCGAAAAGCACTGCATTGGCAGCGCTCGAGAAATTGACTAGTCCAGAAGCCGGTAGCTGATTCAGGCCTTTGAACAACACGTACTGTGTGGCAGCCGGTCTGAATGTCGAAACTTTCAAGATGCTTATGCTGGATGCCATCGTAGTCGTCCAGTGCGTGAGGTGCATCAAATTTGGCATTTTTGTATTTGCTGATGCAGATATCCGAACTGAAGAGTTTCAACCCACGCAGATCGAGCTGGGCATTGCCATCGAAGTCAACTGACTACGGCATCCTCAAAGCAGAGACCCCGCTTCCGCCAGACTCGTATGTGCTGGACTCCAGTTGCCACATTACGGGCGGATCTAGACTCTACTACTGGCTCGAAGCACCTCTCACTGGCCAGAGCAAAGTAGGCAACTTCGTCTTCAGACATGGCTGCTAACACCGCGTCTTCGCGATCCCGGATGGCTATCTTGTATTCCTCAGTCCGGTGAGCCTGCCACAAGGCTCACCGCTCTTCTAGTTTCTCGTTCTCTTCCTATTCCTGAATGCAAACCTGGTGGAGGTCTCCATCACTAGAAGAAAGGAAGCAATCGCTTTCGTCACCGATTATACACAATGGACGGTGAGCTCATCTGCTTAGACGAATACAAGCGTACTGCAGCGGAAGGTCATCCCACGAGCGTACAGGCTGGCTGAAGAGATACAGGACTGAGATACATATACGGCGTTAAAGAACGGAACAGTTGTGGTCTGGAAAGACGGACCAGCCAAGTATGCTGAGAGGTTGGCGAGGGCGCACCATGACCCCATCTATTATTTACCATTGATTGTCACGTGCATGCAGTTTGTCGCGGCGTGTTTTATCTGGTGGAGGACGGCCGGCCATGGGAAAGAATAGTGGGAATGATTGACAATGGCGAGTGAGCGCAGGACTGGCGAAGAGGCAGTCGAGCAGATATGCTACAAGTGTCAGATAATTTATGGGGAATCTCCCATGAGGCCTTCGGTTATTATTTGTTAGCTTAGGCGTGTGGCTAGCGCTCGAAAAAGCATATATGTCTCGAAAAAGCATATATGCCTAGAAAGATATAATCCTCGATTGGTTTCAGAGGCGTATCCTACTCCACATTACTACATCATCGAAGATATTTATTTGTTTCAAGTTGTCAAGTTTACTAAAATCGAGTTACTAGTTCTCCAAAGTTGACGATAAACCATTTCGAATAAAGAGTGACGGGGTTTAATCTCCAGACTAGAGCCAAAACCTACTTAGCAACAACTTCGAAAGCCACTTTACGTGTCAACCTAAGTCCCGTAAAGACTCCAGCCCTTCTTCTCTACCATCCTCTTCCTCCACGACCTCCACCCCATCCTCCTCCACGACCTCCACCCCATCCTCCTCCACGGCCGCCGCCTCCCCAACCGCCTCCACCCCGTCCTCCTCCTCCCCATCCACCTCCGCGTCCACCACCGCCCCAACCGGGGCCGCCACCCTCCTCATTTTGAGTCGATGCTTCGTTGGCCTCTGCCTCCAGGTCGCGGTCCATGATATCAACAGCTGTCAATCTCATCAGAAACCTGGGTCGACATAATTATGTTCATTGTGGAGGATTGCAAACCAGGCTCTGGCGCGCTAACTGCAAGAGCAGTTCCTGCAAGGCCTATTATAGCAAGAAGATAGGTGAGCTTCATGGTAATTCAATGATCTTCAACTGTGTCATCTAGTTAGCGGATGTCTAGCGGCGGTTGAGAAAGTGTTGAAGAACTGACTGGAGTGCCTTCAAATCACCACAGGTATATCTCCGAACAAACTTAGGGAATTGTGCTCCCGTGTGGTCTTTTTATATTCGCCACCTCTATACTGGTGATAAGAATATCTCTAGGGTCTCCCCTGTGCGCAATGGTTGCTGAGATCTGGATAATCCCCGAAGCCTGCGTAATTTAGACCAATCATGCCCCTTCCGTGACCCCCCACAGTCATTCCATGGTTACTGAAATGTTGTTGTTGGAGTACTTTGCTCACATCGGGTATTCACAGAGGATTCTTAGTCAAAAGCTGGTCCGCCCAGGAGATGTCCTGAAGATTACCTTCATTTGACCCTCCTTCTTTGGTCTTGTTTTCGCCCGAACATGCGTTTGCACAAGGTGAATGGTTTTTCATAACGTCAAAAGATGTACTTTGAACGTCCTCGGAGGATTAATCAGAACGAGCCAGTCACAGAACATCCTTCCAGTCCGAGCACCGACTTGGCAGCATGGACCAGCCTCGTATGCATACGAGAGACATATTCTAGCAGATCGCTGAGCCCTGCAAGTGACATCTCGGTAAATTTCTTGTTTCCTCATATGTGCGAAGCAAAGTACCATGGTTCCCACTGGTTACATCACAACTCCCCCACAAGAAGCATTGCGAGTCAACCCTCGGCATTTTAACATTCCTGTTGTCACTATGACTGATCGTGATATTCCAGGTATTGAATTGAAGCAATCAATGATAACAGAAGACTCTTCATGGCGATACTTAGAGCAAGATTTTGAGTGTGTCTGTCGTGAGCAGGGAGCTTTGACACGGCTCACTTTCCATCTCAACTGACCACAGAACCGGTAAGTAAGCACGGTAACCGGCATCGCATTCGCAATTGCAAAAATTACGGAACAGACCAACGTGTTTTCTGTTGTCTGCCGACCTGCGACCTGCCTTTTGATGAGGTTTTGTACCACAGCGAGTCATTGAGCTGAACGACCTAATCAGAGAGGAAGCTCTTTAGGGGTGTCTTGTTGAGGTGTAAGCTGAGTATGATACCTCTTTCCTTACACTCGCACATAGCCATCTCACATAACTCACCAAGCCCTGGGTTGTGTGTGATGCAAACTGGTGGTCTTCCAACTTCCCAACCCTCCCTGTAGTCAATCCTTCCATAAGAGTTACCATGGCTCTCTCTCTTTCTCCATCATGCACAAGAGACTATGTAAGCAGAAATCGATCAGACCTGGTCATCATTCCCATACATTTACCTAGGGATCGAGTGGAGCGTGCGAGTTCTCTGCCCCATTCGGTCGTTTTTTATCGGATGATGATACTGGTATGAAGAACGACGAGATGAAGTCAGCTACTTTTTCGACTGAGGACGTAATGTTGGACCGTAAGTTGTACTCGCCGAGTTTCAAATTGCCGCGAATACAGGAATGCTTGAACTTCTTGGCGAGACGTGGGCCGCGATCGTCAGTGTTTCGGGTAAGCCAAGAGTTGATGCATACTCTTATTTCGCCGAGGAATGCTAGGGTGTAAAATTATGTCACCACCGTAGATTTCCTACTCGTTGAGGCGGGAAACCCCCCCTGGTGGAGTTGAAGCGAAAGCCACAAGATTGCAATTCGACCAGATTATCTGACTGTTTACCGCTAAGTCATCCCGTCGCTATCTTTCACTCCCTGATAAGTGTACACTTTGAGTCCTACCTGATGGGATCATGGCGACTGATGAGTTGGGGAGGCGGGGATCAGTACCGATCGCAAATGGACTTAACTAGACGCGCTCAATGGCCAACGACGTCTCTTTACGCGGCAGCAAGGACGGTTTTAAATTCATCGACATGGCCAAGCCTTGAGTTGGGGCTGAGCATTCTTGCAACCGAGTCAGATGTGGTAAGCGTTCTACTGTATCATTGCTCTTCTCTCTTGTGCGACATACGCGACACTCACTCTCCATATTCTAGCAATCGCGATCATCCTCATGATATCTTTTCTGCCCCTCAAGCCCGTAGACCAGTTGGTTAGTATTCAGAGGCTGTCAATCATGCGTTCCAACCCGTTTTCAGTTGAGAACAGAAGACTCTGAAGTGCGGTTTAAGCTTTCCGAGCGGATAAAGCGGCGCCACCAAGTGGATAACGGTCCGTACCCGGTGAAGAAGCCATTCTATCAATCGTGCCAAATCCAGATTTCTCATGCAATAATAAAACCCTATTGAAGTTCCATGGCAGACTGCAAAGTATTGCTGAATTCTTGTAACATGTGCGTGACGTGGCGCGTAAAACCTGACATCATAGCGCCCTCAGCGTAGTAAGGGTCTACCTAGAACAAGTGGGAAATGCAAAGAATGTGTGTGCAGGAGAGGTTACGCAATCAAGGAAGTCATCTTATCCAGACTTGACAGCCAAGCCCTTGAAAAGAGCTCATGCAGGTGCTAGGGTGCAAGTGCTAGGGATCAGCTCTGACATGTTGTGAAAAAAACAACGCACTGATCGTCCATTCAGATTTCTAACTCTAGACCGTGTTCTTACCCTTTGTGGGTCCACAAGCTAATTTTTTTTTCCCTCAATTGCACCTGACTCCTTATCTTGACGGGGCCACTGCCCCACTATAGTTCGAGGTCCAGGGCGGTCGAATCGCCATTAGAGCCACATCGTGCAGACGCCAGTGGCCAATTTCACTATGCCCGCCTCGCATCCGTTCTTCGAACAAAAATGTCCGTAGAATCCAAGATTGAGATGAGGTAGGGGGCAGGAATTCCAATTCTGTCTTATCATCATCTTTTTAAATCCAAGAATAGATAAGCTTTCCGAAAGCTCGGTCGAGGTCGGGTTTGGAGAGGTGTGGTAGATGTGGCTCTCGGGACCGGCTTGCCGACTAGATCCACTCGTGATGCTAACGACCCGATCGCACCGAGGAAAACACCAAGAAAGGGAGCTTGGCCAGAATTTTCGCCCTTACGCTAGAGAATGTATCATGAGAAAGCGTTCTTATCAGCCCACTGTCGTGACATCACGCTAGGTTTCAAGAAACCTATATAGAGCTTTCCCTTCCACTCGTAATTTCTACTCTCATCATCTTCCCAATCTCTCGTCTTTACTATACAACCACTTAACATAATCAAACCATCATCTTAATACTATCCATCTACCAACCAACCTACGAACCACGCAAACTATATCACCCACCATGTCTAAGAGTTTCTTCCGTTTCGACATGTTCAAGCGCCAGGACTCCTTCGACTCTCTGAAGTCGCCCAAGTCGCTCTCTTCCAAGCCCTCCTCGGCTGCCCCCTCAAGATCCCACTCAATCCGGAGTGAGCCTGTCGACATTGCCGCTACACCAGGTACGATTTCCTTCCCCATCCTACAATCCAGCCGAACTTTGCATTCTAATAACCCTCTAGTGACCGCAGCCCCCGTCCGCCCCAAGGCTTCCCGCAACTGGAGCTTCGGCCGTGTCCTTGACGAAGAAGAGAAGAAGCGCCGCCGCGACAGTCAGGATGAGCAGGATCGCCTTGCCTTTGCTGCTACTCGCAAGTACTCCAGCTGCCAGCGCCGTAGCCAGGGAGCTGGCGTTAACTTCCAGGGTGGCTGGCAATGATCGCGATTCTTAAACTGAGTCTTCGATAACGGGATACGTGTCATGTTGGATTGGGGAGTTTATAATTTATCATTCATGTTAATATTTTAATTTGATAATTACACTTTTCTTCTGCATCCTGAGCAAATGGGATCTTATGATGATGATGAGAATTAAGAATTATGGTAGTTAAATCCCGCTACGATTTTCATCTTGACTCACACTACCGGTGTAAGTGACTGAGTCTAGAATTAAGCGATTTCGATGTACGAATGGGTAACCAAGTCTTTGATTGCGCCTACTGTGGACGTGACTTCAGCAGTGGGCGTGCTAGCCACAAATTCAGGCGAGATGTATGTTTGCCCATCATTGCGATGAAGAGAGCGCACGGTACGTGACTGACACCTCGTGTCGTCTTCAGGAGCGAAACAGGATGATTTTTCATGCCGAGGTTCCATGGCAGCGATCACACAGTCCCTGCCTCCACTTCCAGTGGGTCTTCTCGGGCACTTGTGCGACTAGAGACACCGTGATCGTGCCGTTTTTACTGAGCATTCTGGCCGCTGTATCCGACCTTTAGTCCGTGATCGGAGCGCGAGCATCCTTGGCAAAACCGAGTCAAGCTGCAAGATGATTTTAGCAAGTGATAAATCACCCCTTCATTCGGAGCCCGTGGTCGATGAAATTCCGTGAAGGCTCGCCTACATTAGAGTAGCCAAGTGAGTTCATACACTTGTGACAGGCCTCGTCCTCACACTGGGTCCGCACGGTCTCGCCTGGATCGTGACTACCGTGCATGCGAATTTGACGGCACGCTCATACCCCCTGGTAGACCCGCACTCGCACGCCCTTTCGAAGTGGGTCAACGGAGCAGTCCAGCCGATTCTTAAGTCTCCGACTCAGCTCAAGTACGCCACGTACTGAGAAACACCTGCAAGCCCAACAACTCTCGGTCTCGAGTCCATTGATGCGCAAAGGTAAATCTGAGGCTCTCTGGCCTGCTCCACCATACCGCTTTCTAGCCTAGTGTAAACAGGCTGCACAAGCGTGATATATCTGCCCCAATCAATCTATTGTGTGGGAGCAGCTACCGAGAGAATAGCAAAGTTAACATTGTTATCCTCAACCATGGTGTCCTCAAGATCAAGGAACTTTTGATATCGTAACTCATCGAGGCACAACTTCCAAGTATCTCAAGCAACTCTGCAACTGTCATGACAAGCAATTGCGTAATCTGTAGTCTAACGCTATTACACTCTTGAGGTTTTATCAGTATCTCGCTGTCAAAATCAAAGAAGCAAAAAGTATTCCTTACTTGCTGCAAGCCTTGGCCTCTGGACAGACAATGAGATGACTAAATACTTGAGTTGGCAGGCTGCAACGACAATCCATTTACAACTTCGTAATTGATCTCAAAGATATTATTGCCACTGACAACCCGGAAGGCGTTTTGAGAATCGGCTCAGTTACGTCTGGCTAGCAACCTAGGATATTCCTTGAACCTCAATCGTCTTATGGGTGCAAAGGGCTCCGTGTATCTCGCGTCATATTGGACCGCGATTCGGGGTCTTTCCACCCACAGGTCTTCGATGAACTGGTGAAGCGTGACAGCCACTGTGCTTGGAAACATTCATGATGGTGATACCGATCAATGGGATGAAATTTGAGGCTCAGGGCCGACCCCGGGTACATCCGCAGCTCGTTCAGCCACCCGCGGAATCCGAGCGCTTATACTCACTTGTTCCGACCTATAACTGTTGTTTCAAACTATAAGGCGTTGGCGCACCGTGAACATGGACACATATGTAGAGTCGAGTGTGGTGATTTTGTGCAAGTGATTCTGAAAGAAAAGCAAGAAAATATCTCTGAAAGACGTATCTAAATATGAAAATTTATTAAGAGGACGCCTGGGAATCTCTCTGGACCTCATTGTACAAGATAATCAGAAGATATGAAGAAAGCACCATTGGAATGGAGAATCGAATGGGTAGGCCAAACTAGACTATATTCTCGATCGGGCTGCGATAAGACGTACAGGTGTGGAGCAACCCGAACAGGTCAACTTTACATGGAGCAACTCCGACGGCCGTTCTTGAATTGATCCTCGCATCAGTAAATGTAGCCAAGAGAGGCTCTAGTGGCCTGATCGATCTCTATCAAATCAAGGCAGAGGGAAAGGTCAGCACGTCGCCAGATTGCTCAGCGCGACCAATCAACTACGCGGTATTCGGTCACTGCTTACCAAGATGGTGTTACCTTGGCCAATCACAGCCCACCTATTGTTAAGCTTGCAAGTTGAGAGTGACGCATTCATCGACTATAAATTATTAATCCTCTCTGTTATTCACTATCACAGTATTCTCTTCATCTTTGGTCCTCTTGATCTTCAAATCTCATCTTTGTGATTCTTGAAAATAATTCAACTTCGTGCGATCGACTACCTTTGAGCCTCACGCTTATATCTACATCTTACGTCATCCCAGACTTTCAAAACACCGCCAAAATGGTCCACCCCAACACCACCTGCTGCAAGTCCTCCCAGGGCGCTGAGTGCGTCTGCGCCGCTCAGGCCAAGTGCTCCTGCGGCAAGGAGAGCGCTCTCCACTGCTCCTGCAACAAGGCTTCCACTGAGAACGCCGTCTCCGGTCCCCGCTGCTCGTGCCGTAAGTTTGCGCATCAACGACTGTACTTCCTTTCCAGCGGCTAATCCATTTACCAGGCGCCCGTCCCGCTGGTCAGTGCACCTGCGAGCGCTCGGTCACCGAGAACAAGGCCGTTGAGGGCGCCGCCTGCGCTTGTGGCAGCCGTCCTTCTAGTAAGTTTCATTCCAGCTATTCTTCGCGGATACCCCAATTTACTTCGAACAAATTCTAACGGGCAAATAGCTTCCTGCACTTGCGAGAAGGCAGAGGGTGTCGAGTCTGCCCTGGAGCAGGATTTCACCACCCGCGCTTAAATAATTCTGTCATTTGCTTGTTCCCGACAATTTTTGCATTTTTCCTAATGAACCACGCTGCAACACGGTCGGTTTTAGGAGCTTGGCGTACAGGTGGAGGTCACTGGGTTTGCTTTTGTACACTAATTCGGCCGCTGGAGGTGATGGCTACGTTTTACGCGACATGAAATATCATACTGCATGATTTTAAACACTTCAGGACCAATTGAACGTTTATGAATCATCACTTCAGTAGAGAATCTACATGAAAGTAGACCTTCACATCATAAATAACACCTTGATGCTGTGGACGTAACTCACCCTGTACGTATTGCACAGCCACAGCGCAAGAATGTTCCTCCGACGCCACAGCGGAAGCCGGGCGATCTGCGGCGGAAATAGTCCAAGGCCGGCGCAGTTGCAGGATTATGGAGATCCACGCTCCTCCTGATCCAATGCTTCAGGGACTTTAGACCGGGTGCGTTATATGTCTGGTGGCCATGGTTGATGTCGGATCATTCGGTTGTTTAATTCCGTTGCTGACTGCCTGCAGAACTCCCCGCGACCGGAAGCCCCCTGTTTCTAAGCTCCCCCGAACCCCCCGAATCTCCGTCGTGGACCCGGAGGGGCCAATGTACTACTGTCGCAACAATTCAACAAGGAAATGATTGTGTGACAAAACCTATCCGATCGAGAATCTCCGAACAGAGCACCTCCGCGAGGCATGCGAGCTTGTACCTCGAACCTCCACACGACCCCCGACATCTTCATTTGAGTGTGCGATCTTAAACGAGACTGCCACGGCCCATACAAGCAATCAATATGTCGTCGATGCGAGGACTGGTGCAGTTCATTGCGGATCTGCGCAATGCTCGCGCCCGAGAATTGGAAGAGAAACGCGTGAATAAAGAGCTGGCAAATATTCGACAGAAGTTCAAGTCTGGAAATTTGAACGGCTACCAGAAGAAGAAATACGTCTGCAAGCTGCTCTACGTTTACATTCAGGGTTACGATGTTGATTTTGGCCATCTCGAAGCTGTCAATCTTATTACTTCGAGTAAATACTCCGAGAAGCAGATTGGGTATTTGGCTGTCACCCTTTTCCTGCATGAGGAACATGAGTTGCTTCATTTGGTTGTCAACAGTATTCGGAAAGATTTATTGGATCACAACGAGTTAAACAACTGCCTGGCACTGCATGCAGTGGCTAATGTTGGTGGTCGAGAGCTCGGAGAGGCTTTGGCGAACGAAGTCCACCGACTCCTGATTTCACCGTGAGTGGAACTTCTTCATTCTGACTCATATCAAAATCCTGACACGTTCTAGAACCTCAAAAGCTTTTGTCAAGAAGAAGGCTGCTCTCACACTACTCCGACTCTACCGTAAATACCCGGCTATCGTCCGCAATGAATGGGCCGAGCGCATCATCTCGATCATGGATGACCCCGACATGGGTGTCACACTCTCCGTCACCTCCCTTGTCATGGCACTGGCTCAAGACCTACCGGAAGAATACAAGGGCAGCTACGTCAAGGCGGCACAGCGGTTGAAGCGGGTTGTCGTCGATAACGATATTGCCCCTGACTACCTCTACTACCGCGTACCATGTCCGTGGATTCAGGTTAAACTGTTGCGTCTGTTGCAGTACTATCCTCCATCGCAGGACAGCCACGTGCGAGAGATCATCCGCGAATCTCTATCGCAAATTATGCAATCCGCCATGGAACAACCCAAGAACGTTCAGCAGAACAATGCTCAAAACGCCATCCTTTTCGAAGCCATTAACCTCCTCATCCACCTTGATTCCGAACATCAACTCATGATGCAAATATCTGCTCGTCTGGGCAAATACATTCAGTCCCGCGAGACAAATGTCCGATACCTTGGTTTAGATGCGATGACCCATTTCGCTGCCCGGGCAGAAACACTTGACCCGATCAAGAAGCACCAAAACATCATCTTGGGCTCACTGCGTGACCGAGACATCAGCGTGCGTCGTAAGGGATTGGACCTGTTGTATAGTATGTGCGACACTACTAATGCCGGGCCAATCGTCAACGAGTTATTGAAATACCTTCAAACCGCCGACTATGCTATTCGGGAGGAAATGGTGCTCAAGGTAGCCATTCTGACCGAAAAATATGCCACGGACGCGCAATGGTATATTGATATGACCTTGAAGCTGTTGTCTCTTGCTGGTGACCACGTCAATGATGAAGTATGGCAACGAGTGATTCAGATCGTGACTAATAACGAAGAGTTGCAAGCATATGCTGCTCACACACTTCTCACTTACTTGAAATCCGATTGCCACGAGAGCTTGGTAAAGATTGGCTGCTACGTTCTGGGGGAGTTCGGACATCTCATTGCTGATAACGCTGGTTCAAGTCCGATAGAACAATTCATGGCACTCCAGGCCAAGATGTTCACAGGCACTGACAACGCGCGCGCCATGATTCTATCCTCGTTCGTCAAATTCGTCAACTTGTTCCCCGAGATCAAACCTCAGCTCCTGCAAATCTTCCGCCTGTACAGCCACTCCCCCGATTCTGAATTGCAACAGCGAGCATTTGAATACCTCTCGCTTGCCACCCTTCCAACTGATGATCTGCTGCGGACGGTTTGCGACGAGATGCCCCCCTTCTCTGACCGGACCTCTATCCTCTTGTCAAGGCTTCACCAGAAGACCGCCGGCACCAGTGAGAAGAAAACGTGGGTGGTCGGTGGCAAAGATGCCAATGCCGACAAGCAGGAAGTTCTCATGGCGCAGAACACTGGCCTCAAGCGCACGTTCACTACGATTGTCCATGGCACTCGAACAGGCTCGAACGGAACTCCGACCAGTGCAACCGGCGCATCTGCATCCGCGTCGGGTGATTTGGCTGGCCTGGATTTCACTGGTCCAACAGCACCTGCCCCGAACATGGCTAGTGCGGCACACTTGACGCCAGATTGGGATATTGGATTCAACCGACTCTACTTCTCCAACGAGGGTGTTCTCTTCGAGGATTTACAGATCCAGGTGGGAGTGCGCTCCGAATATCGTGGCCACATTGGTGTTGTGAAGCTGTACATCAGTAACAAGTCGACATACCCCATTGGCTCGTTGACTACCACCGTCGACAACCCTTCTGCTCCGAACCTTAAGATCGACACTAAGAACCTTCCGGAGACCAGCGTCCCTGCTGCCGGTCAAACACAGCAGACTCTGTTTTGTGCAGCTCATGGTCCCTTCATGGAAGCACCTACCATTCGTATCTCCTACCTGGCTGGTGCTCTCCAGGCATACACACTACAGCTTCCTATTTTGATGCACCGATACATGGAGCCTTCTTCCCTATCGGCCGAAGAATTCTTCAAGCGATGGCGCCAAATTGGTGGTGGCCCGCTGGAAGCACAACATACCTTTGGCCCTAACGGCAAGAACAAGATCATCAACGAGTCATTCACGCGCGAGACCGTGGAAGGATTCGGCTGGAAGATCCTGGACGGCGTGGACCCGAACCCGAAGAACATTGTCGGCTGTGCAGTGTATCAGTTTGAGGGAGGCAAGACCGGCTGCTTGTTGCGACTGGAGCCCAACTACGAGAAATCGGTATGCATTTTATTTTTCTCTCATTCAAGAGGAGACGGTACTAACAGGCTGCAGATGTATCGGGTTACCATTCGCGCCACAAAGGAGGGCGTTCCGCAGGGAATGGCGCGACAGATGGAGCAGAAACTGTCGCAAGGAACAGGCAACCTGCGTTGAACCGGTTGTGACGAGTAATCATGGTGTTGCAGGGTGGAGTATGCATGTATATCTTCCAGCTCCCGAACCAAACATGAGCGAGTGGTCGAGCTGCGATCACCCAATTGTTCTTGTATATTCTTCGAGTTCAGTAGTAGTGATATACAGTACAGAAACCTTCCCTTTCCCAACTCCACCAATCAAACTCCGAATCAATTCATATGCAATCGACATCCATTTATTTCTGGGAAAGGCCATGCGTTCGCAATACCTTGACATCGTGAATCATAACAAATTCCACCTAAACCACCCTCGCCTCCGCCTTAGGCGGCCTATCCCCAAAGATGGTAGTCCCAACACGCACCTGATCACTCCCCAAAGCAATCGCTCCCTCAAAATCAGAGCTCATCCCCATGCTAAGTTCCAACTCAGCCTCCTCCCCGCTCAACCCAAGCTCAGACACAATGCGATCCCTGGTCTCCCTCAAACAAACAAAATCCTCATTCTCATTCTCTGCTGTCGTCGCCTTCGACCTCGCAATCGCCCCAATAGTCATAACACCCTGCAACTTCAACCTGGGACATTTCTCCCGAATGAAGCGCGCCAACCCAGCCGCTTGACCAGGCTCGATACCCGCTTTATTCTCTTCGCCGGATGTATTCACCTGCACGTAGATACGGAGCCTAGTATCTGTTTCCCCGGAGGCACTGTAGGCTTCGAGTTCCTCAGGTGAGGGGGTCCGTTCGCCCCGTCCTTTATCGAGGAGAGAGGCTTTTTTCTCCGTGTCGACGCTTTCGACGGCCAGAGGCCGCGGACGTCGCGGGCTAAGGTTACGCATTTATTTGATTGGAGGCCGCCGATAAAGTGCCATTTGATTGTTGGTGGGAGAAGGCGAGATTTCTCAAGGAGCTCTTGGACGTAGTTTTCGCCAAAGTGGAGGTGGGATGTTGGGGGTTGGTGGAGGGATAGGATGTCCGAGGCGGGTTTGAGTTTTGAGACTGCAACCAAGCGGACAGGTTTGTTTGGGGTTGGAGATGTTTTTAGAGCCGCTGTGATGCGGGCTGTCACTGCGGAGAGGTTTGCGATCAAGGTCGAGGTGCGCGCGGGGATGGTGGCCATGGTGGGTGCGTTGGTGGATGGGGTGGTCATGGCAACGCTCCGGTTGATGGTGGGCTTTGCTGGAAGTGTTCAAATATAAGAAAGCCAAATGTACCGGTGGATTAGCCGAGGATAGCTGTTTTGACACGGCAGCAGACTCAATTGGAGAAGAAAGAGAAACGAGATGCAAATAGACGCGACAGGGCTGATAGAGGCCTGAGGCATCACTCCGCGGAGATTCCCGAATCACGTGGAGCTGTCAGTGCCAAAAGCAGCTCACCGCCTTTGCTAATGGTTCGACAGCTTTGCACGTCCAACCACCGCCACAACCGTACGCTTTCCGTTTGCATCTGGGATCTGCACGGTGAGATCATATCGACCCATGGGTTCCATGCGACGCGAGGAATGCTGGGCCAGAACTACTACTCTACGCTCACCTGTAGGACTGCAATGGCTCCGGCTCCTGGCGGCAACCCAAACCGAGGCATGGCCAATCAAGCCCACCTGGGCCGGAATTAACACCCCAGCTGCGGGTCATCGCGGGTCCCCGCTCGTCGCATCGGGTTCAGGCCCTGGCCGTTCGGCAGCCCTGTCGATCAGATGGCCGCCGTTGAGTTTCCAATCGCTAAGGTGCAGCTCTATCTTCAATCTATTTATATTGCCGCAGAGCCGCCCGTCCTTGACTCATCACTTCAATGCAGGCTGCAGCTGCAGCTACGTCAGGATATTTGGGATTTCTGTCTTTGATTAGTCGCGCCTCAGTCAGCCAAGACCGATAGATCGGTTCCATTGACTACCAGTCAGAGGCCGTCGCCAAGGACTTCCCAGAGCAGTCTAGGGGGGCCTCTTCAGCTCCGAGCTACCAGTAATTACCAGACTAGCAGGCAATTGTAGCGGGTCCCGGAGTACAACCTGGGCGCGAAGATGTAACCAGGTCGAGCGCTTGCTGGACGCATAGGGCAATTCATCAGTCAGCAACCCATTGGAACTATCATTAGGCTGCTCTATCGGAGTTCATAGGATAGAATTGTACTGGTCTTTGACGTCAGCCCCACTCATCTTCAGTTGTGACACGGTTGACGATTCGACCCTTTCACTTATAATTCCGGGGGGGCGGGGGGAGGGATGCTTTTCCCGTAGATCTAGAACATACAAGTACACTGCAGTGCTGCATCCATTCCCTCGCTCCTTCTTGCCTCCTCTCCCCGTAACCTTCACTCTCAGTTTTATCTTCAGCTGGTCTGAATATTCTCATTCTTCTCCCTGCTCGTCCCTGGCTGGACAATCACCATTCGGCGCACCCGCCATAGTCATATTCCTGAGCTACAGAGTCTCACTCAACCTCACCACTCAATACTCGCTCAATTGGCACGGGTTCAGCAAACCTCCCCGGAGAAATCAAAATCAAGCCCACCTCGTCTTCAGGATCGGCGAAACCGCATTCGAAAGCTCCCCGCGCTCATCACCCCCACTAGACCCTACTAGACAGCGGGCCCGCGTGGATCCAATTCCAACCCTGTCGATCATAGCCCCAACAATAGCAACCCCTCCAAAATGTGCCGCCAATACTTCACCCTCTACGAATGGTGTCATTGCAAAGAAGACGCAGGAACCAGCGTCTGCGCAGGTCACCGACGAAACAACTGTCCCGGAATTAGCATTGAAACGGTTCACATGCACTGCTTCTGCAACTCGCACGCTACACGTGGTTTCAAGACGCAGAAGCAGACGAATAAGGCGGAAGAGAAGGAAAAGCGCCGATCACAGGATTCCCTGGATGAGAAGACTTCCCTTGGAAGAAGGTGGTTCCAATGGTACCAGTGGAGGGTGCCGAGGTTGAGGTAGTTGCGGGATGGGTTTGTTTCTTTTTGTGAAGTCTTCAGCTTTGGTGTTTCAGGCTTTTCTCGGGGTTATATGAGTTCTTTCGTTGGTGCAATCGACGATTGGAGGTTTTGTGATTTGGGGGCGTTTCCAAAAGGTTCTGATCTTTTACGAAAGGCTTCTGGTTGAGGATCATGTTCCGGTCTTGAATTATGATGGTAAATGATCTGAGGTAGAATAGATTACCCATGGGTAGGATCAATGTCATTCTTAATTCCCATGGTGTTTGTGGGTAGATCATAGGTCGACTCTCGCTAACGATTGAGAACACTGGTACAATTGTATCGTACCTCCAATAACTGAGTGGTCTCCTTTTTGGGTCAAAAGGGGGAAAGGTAAAGAGCATAAAGGTGATGAAGTACATCTAAATCAAGACTTACAGCATTTGCTAACTAGAGTCAGGGCTCAAGGGAAAATATCCAAGTGAGACAAGACGATAGTTCGATATAGAAGAATGTCTATTGTTTGGAATGGAGCGATCGGCCAGCCCCTTGCCCTATGAAGACCGTCAACCACCTACTACACTTTCGCATCCCACTCCTTTTTTCTTTCCCCTGTCACTGGACTAAGACCTTCCGTCCTGGTTTGCGTTCTCTTTGTATTTCGCACGTCTATGCTTCGCATGAATCATGGACCCTTTCAAACCCCCTCATGATCCACCTCCGCCGCATCCTGTTGATAGCCAAAAGACACAGCCCACCATGGACCGGTCCTCTGATCTAACAGACTCTTTGAACCGTCTCACTCTTGCGAATGCCGCTGCGACTACTTTACCCTCCTCGCCATCCCTCCTATCCCCCGAAGATGCCACTCCGCGAACCGCCCTCGCAAGCACGCCCGCGCCGCGCTGCACCTCCAGCTCCAGCTCGCTGCGAGACGAGCGTCGCAAGTCGACCCCAACCCTCCAAAAACGACCATCCGCCGCCTCCTTACGATCTGTATTGAACAACGGTCCTCCATCTCCTCTCGTAGACTCGTCGCGTCGCTCTTCTACAAACTTGGCGGGGTCACCGACCGGCGCCGCGTCACCCGCGATGATGCCCCAGCGGCTCGCGCTCCCACCAGAGCCTCAGCTCCCCACGGCGGCGTCGATCGCGGCAGAACATTTTCAAAAAGAAGTTGATCTGCACCAAGTCGTTGATCTCAAATCCAAAACTGTTGTGATCATTCACGATGCTTGCTATGGCCACCGCTTCTCGCGCCCGCGCACTTCCAAGGTCTACCTTTCTCAGATTGTCGAGAGACCAGAGCGCATTCGCGCATGCGTCCTAGGAATATCTGCGGCCTATGTTCGTCTTGGTCGTCGACATGCAGGCCAGCTGCATGCACCGCGCCCCGATCTAGATGTGCATACGCTGCCTCCGCCGCCTTTCCAGATTCGCAAGACCTCGCGCAAACTGGTTCTGTCCGATAGCGCTGTGACGAACGTTCATGGGACTCAGTGGATGACCGATTTGAAGAGTATGTGCGATGTTGCCGAGTCGCGCCTGGCTTTGGTGGGCAAGGAATTAGTCAAGCCCCCGGGCCCTGACGGCCAGACGAATGGCCCTGCTCTACACGAGGGAGATCTCTATCTGTGCTCGGAATCGTTGAAGGCTTTTGAGGGTGCTCTTGGGGGCGTTTGCGAGGGTGTCGACACCGTTCTTGGGCCTGGTCCGACGAAGCGCGCATTTGTATGCATTCGACCTCCAGGCCACCACTGTTCGGCGGACTGGCCGTCTGGGTTTTGCTGGATTAACAACGTCCACGTCGGTATTTCGTATGCGGCATTAAATCATGGTCTGACACATGCTGCGATATTGGATATCGATCTGCACCATGGTGACGGCTCCCAAGAGATTGCCTGGCACCACAACTACAAGGCGTCGACTGCCCCGCGCCATGCTGCTCCTCACAAGAAGACGGCGATTGGGTACTACAGTCTGCATGATATCAACTCCTACCCCTGCGAGAATGGCGATTCTGATAAAGTGCGGAATGCGAGCGTGTGTCTTGACGGAGCGCACGGACAGTCTATTTGGAACGTCCATCTCGGCATCTGGGAGACTGAAGATCAGTTCTGGGCCCTCTACCAGACAAGATACCTGGTCTTGCTTGAAAAGGCGCGCAAGTTTCTCCGTGAGCAAACGGAAAAACTCTCCACAAACCTCACTGGTCCCCGTCCCAAAGCTGCCATCTTCATCTCGGCAGGTTTCGATGCAAGTGAGTGGGAAAGTACCGGCATGCAGCGGCACAAAGTCAATGTACCAACTGAGTTCTACGCACGATTCACTGCAGATGTGGTCCGTATGTCTCAGGAAGAGGGACTCGGTGTCGATGGTCGTGTCATAAGTGTGTTGGAAGGCGGTTACAGTGACCGAGCCCTGATGAGCGGTGTCCTTAGTCACATCTCTGGCCTGGGAAGCGAATCAGCTATTAACAGTCTAGCTTCTGCTATGAGTAGTGGGATGAATATCTCCGGATCGAATCCCGATCCTACTCTTCAACAGTCCTCAGCTCATACCGAGTACGATAAAGAGTGGTGGTCTTCGTCCATGCTCGATGAAGTTGAGGCCCTGGTGTATCCTCCACCGAAACCAATCAAAGGTGAGAGATCGTCGACTCTTTTCAAGGAGACGGATTCTTTCAAAGCCAAAAAGGTCAATGTCATGGATCGCAAATCTTTCAGTTCCCCAGGGATGGGTACACGTCCAATCATCCCAACCCCGCCTGAAGTCAGCTGGGCTACTGCAACGCACGAACTATCCAAGATTCTCATACCCGAACATCGCCAAACGAAGAGCTGCCGACCTGAAGAGCTGAACGCTGAGGCTTCTCGCCAGCGCCGCGATCGTCAGGTCGCATTGGACGGCGGTGTCAATCCTGCCATCGCCCCTCCCCCGCCAGAAGTGCCCAACACTGAGGAAAAGCGACAGCTGCGAGTTCGAAAGGCGAAATCACCTACACCGTATTCCCCCCAGACCTGCCACGCCACGCCAGCAAGCGATGCGCAACAAAAACCGCCGAAGAACGATCGATGCTAACGAGCTCCCTGACCCATCGCGAGAATCATCTCCATCTGTGGATGCCAGTCGCAGGAAGAGTTCAGCCCCTGCGCCCATTAGCCATGATATGAGGGCTACCCTCGACGAAACCTCCTTAGAAAAAGGCCCCACAACGCCTTCAAAATCTCCCGCAAAGCCCACCGCGAGGAAAACAAGCGGTAGCTCCCGCCCAGGCACACCCAGACGCACAGCAACTCCCCGCAAAGCCCCGCCAGTGCCAAAGGTTCCAACTTCATATCTGCCTTCAAGGCTCGGTGAAAGGGCATCCGCTCCGAAAGACGACAACATGGAAAAGCTCACGAGTGGTCTCCAACGAGTCAAACTGACCATGCCGAAGCCACTCCAAAATATGCACGACCCTGCAATAGGCAACGGTCCCTCCCGTCCACCCCCAAGCCTAGCATCACCCGCGTTCCCTTCAGCCCATATTGGTCAACCTCAGGGCCCAATGCAAGCCCTCCCAGTTTTCACATCCACCAGCCCCATCCCGTTTGCTACACCAGACATGCAGACTCCCAACCAGGGGCCGTCTCGTCCTCCTCCCACCGCCCCTGAGACTCCTGAAAACCAGAGCTCTCAGGACCCTCGCTCTTTCTACCCGTAAAGGTTTCGCAAGTGGTCTTCCTCAGCTTAGTGCTAATTGTGTTTTTGGAATTTGGCGCCATAGGTAAGATCCGTCGGCTTCGTGCTTTGTCTCAAATACCCCTTCTGTATGGAGTTTCGAGTTTCGAATTCTTGTTTTTGTCCTGTTTTACTTTCGGATCCATTTGTAGAAATATATGGTCTCATATCCCTGGCTCTTTCTTTCTATGCAACTCGAAGCATGATGATTTCTTTCGACGGACAACGCTCACGTTTGTCATCAGCTGCGATCATAGACATTCAACTTATGAGCAGATGTCCGTTCGGTAATTTAAATTATCTTGATTTCCACTCATATCTGTCTTCCCTGGTGTTGCACAAGTATACAATTTCATCTTTTTCCAGGTTTGGATTCGAATACCTCATTATCCAAAATCCAACACTCTTCGAAAAAAAAATAAAAAACCAGCCAATCACCCCGCATTTCACTGTCCCCTATTTGCGTAGCCAAATAACGAGATTACCTATTTCTTATCCAGTAGATTCCCAGTAGAGTAACCCACCGAAACCAGGGCCTTCGGGACATTGACCCACTTATCCTGGTCCTTCAAAGCTACATGCCAATCTGGATCCGACATTATCTCCTTGATGACCTCCAGATTAGGGAGTGTGTATTCGATAAAGCAGTCGCACGAAGCGAAGTCCCAAGTAGGCCGAAACCCTCCAATATCTTGTTTTAGTGCATCATTCAAAGACGGCGGCGTAACGAACTAGAGCTCCATGTTTAGAGTCGCGAAAGCAGATAGATAGCATAGCGGTAAGTACTCACAAGAGAGTAATTGATGACTCCATACTTTTCAAAGACGGGTATAGCGAGAGGTAGGTGCTCCTCGACGATCCAGTTAATGAATGCCTCGTGAGAGTGTTGTTGTTGGCGATGGTGAGTGATTGTGAACTTCACAGGTCGGCCGGCCGGGATTTCGGACATCTTTCTAGCAATTTACTGTGCAGAATATGGCCTGAGTAACTCTCGTTTGTTGTTGACATTGGGAGGGGATAGAAGGGGTCATCTATGTCTCAACACTTATTCTCAGGCTTACTCGCAGACCGCCCTGACGTAAGCTTAACTGAGATCGATTGACGTGGTCCCTCTCTCCAAACTCTATAGATGCCAAACGGCTAATGAGTTAACGTGGGAGTATGCGTATTGCGGTCCTTACAAAAAGCCTTGATCACCGGTGCCTACTCGAACTACACGATAACAGGAAAAGGGGTGGAATTGCAGCCTTGGAGCGATTCGGCATCCATCTCCTGAGGTTTACCGGCTTTGAGGCCTCTCAGCCTAGGGAGGGGGTACCGGAATACTGGGAACTGCATGTGATTAGGACTAATGTCAGCACTAATTCTATCGTGGAAACCGGATAAGTCAATCATCCAACGAAATGTTATGTAATCAGGCGTCCAAACAAATTGCAAATCAAGTTTATAGCAGCATAATTCTTGTTAATCACTGAATGGTCACTTAATATTACGCTCTCGGACGATTTCTCTCCAGGGAAGGCAGCCTTGACGCAACAATTCTTTGGACGGTCACCTTTCGTTGATATCTATAGTACCATTATCCACTGGCAGGTAATGGCGCGGGGCGAGCAGCTGTAGGGAGTACGATATAAAACCAAAATTATCCACTCTCCAGACACTAACGTTTGTTTCCTGCCCTTTTTCAGAGCCAGAGCCACCCTAATTTATGTAAAAAATTAAAGGGAAGAAAAATTAATGCTTTTCTGAAACCAGGCCTTTCTCAGATTCAAGAACGAACGTGATTGTATCACTATGTACAAAGAATCAATAGTCCGGATCAGTTCAAAAATAAGTTGTTATAGAACCCCAAATTTTTTAATCCTCATACGTGCCAAGTACAACTCGTGCCTGAATCTCGATGATAGCCTTCTAAGGCTGATGACACATGTCAGTTCAGATTGCTCCTGTTCACTGTCACATGTTTCATTTATTACTAGAGTCTGTCTAAAGCTTACACTTGGTTGGAACCGAAATGGGTCTCTAGGACAAGTTATTGCTTGGAAAAAGCGTGGAATGCTGCACTTTCCCTACATGTCCAGAGTCTTAGATAAGACTACAGCTCTTTCACCATGTAATCTCCTTTTACTCCCATCCCATCCTATGGGGTTTAGAAAAGTTTTCAATTTGTACTAGCATACGTTGTCCTATTTCATCTGTGGTTAGCCCGTCACGAGGTACGAACTAGAAACTTGCATGATGTTGCGACTCGGTGTGACATTTCCCAAACGCCCTGAAAATTGCTTATTGAGCAACTGGCGGGTTTATAGCCCCAATTTGCAGCATTATCCCAAACAAATCAGGCAAACCAGTCTCTTCCACAATCATTCCATCCCTGAATCGATAGATGTTCATAGCTCGTGCCTGGATTTTCTTCCCGGAAGCCGGAACACCAAAGAATTCGCCTTCGTGAGTTCCACGTAGAGTAAACTGCGCTACAACTCTATCGTCCTCGATGACAGTATCGTCAAGTGTCCACTGGATATCTGGGTAGGCGGAGCGCATCATACCAAGGATTTGCATATACCCAGACAACCCTCTCAGAGGTTGATCCGAAAACGGAACGTGGAACACGGCTACTTCGGAAACAACCTCCCGTCCGATGGTTTCATCGCCTGAGTTGATGAACTCAACAAATCGATGCATTTTTTGCAGAAGAGGGCGAGCCATGATGCTATTTGAGGGGAACATCAGTTTTTCTTCCAGCCGAGAAACTGACTTCAAGCTTGACTCACATGTAGTGATTCAGTTCTGATGAAGTAGAAGAATGTGAAAGAGTCTTTTTTTCTGTTAATTTTCTAGAGGCAGAGATCAGCAAACATTGAACAAACTTTAACTAATTGATGACTTGATCTAGGCCAGATATTGGATCTAAATCGGAAGAATGTGGGGTGCAGTCAAGGCCCCTTCAAAGACGCTTCTCAAAAGGTTTCAACGGGTAGAGAGGGATGGTCATTTACCTTTTGATTGCGGGGTTCTCGACTTCTTCGGTGAAAGTTTTTGTTGTGTCCTTACAGATCTCATCTGGGACTCGGGCATTCTTATATCCTGACCACTTTAAGAGCCTCACATATTCATAGTATGATCCTTACATATGCAAACTCAAGGCAATCTAGATTATCTGTTTGGTAAGTTTGCACAGCACGAATCAGGCAAGATCTATCTCTTAACTAGGTGGTCCATCCAATTAACGCGCGGTATTTCGCAACTTCCGTGCACGGCTCCTGTTTGGATAGTTTGTATTAGAGCGGAAGTTTGCCTATTGTGTCGAATCCGCACTATGATCCGGGATTTCCGACGTCCGCGCTACTGTTTGGTCTATTTGTACAGCTTGCAAACTTCGGCACAATCCGAACTGCCGCGCACTGCCTCCAATTGTATAGTTTGTATCAGAGCGGAAAGTTGCCTATTCTATCGAATGCGCACTATGATCCGGGATTTCCGACGTCTGCGCTACTGTTTGGTCTATTTGTACAGCTTGCAAACTTCGGGCATTGTGCCGATTAGCCTGATGTATCGATGGGAACAGTCTTCTTTAACCCCCGCTACTTGTGAGCCAGCCGAAATCAATGGATCTTGTTTAAGGTCAAGACCACGAAGCGATGTTTACCACCTGTGTTGCATTTTCAGTACACGGTCAAAACTCAGGTATCTGAGGAACGTATCTGTGTGTGACCCGCCAGCAATTATATGTGTTTCGCGTGAATCGACGGAGTTGCTGATATGACGCTGATCGCATCTGGGTGAGTGGTTAATTCGAAAGAGATGTGTTTCCAAAGCTTGCAAACCCCAAATTCTATCAATATCGCGATTCAGGATGAATGCGAGAATCATAATAAGCAAGGGAATTTCAGGATCAGATTCCTCATTAATAATTGAATGAATAAAAAAAAGTCTTTAAACCCCCAGAAACTAGCACAGAACCAAGCGCACCTCCAATATTCTGACCGAAACCGCATCCTGAAGAGGCCCTCCCCTTCAAGACGCAGTAACTTTCCCAACCAACCAGCAGGTCAAGTATATCATTGGCAGCATGAAGCAGATGATCAGGTCATACAAAAAAAAGAAATTCATGTGGCAAGTCAGCCTTTCAATCATATCCTCCACTCTCACCGCATCGCTAGGGTAAATAGATGGAAAGCGGGATTTTGCCGAAATGAAAAATGTGCTTCGAATAACTTATCCAATTTGGGCTTGTCGCGAAATTCCATTGTCGAATGCCAGTTCTCAATCAGACAGAAAAAAGAGAAGAATTTCTCGGATCTTGTTAATTAGGCGGCGCCTGAACAAGACAGAAACTACACCCAACTAGGAAGTCATGATCCCAAAAGGTTTAGTGGCTGCCGCGTGGGGCGATCTCCGCGGATGTCCTTACTAAGCCGCCTCCGCATTAGTCAAAAGTGCCAGCACCTTCTACTCGATGCCAGGCACTCTTTGCATATATCTGCTCGTCACGTTCGCGTTACTCTCGCTTGGCATTTCATCTTTTTCGCATCCGTCAGCATGTCGCCAGTCAGCATATCTAGAGGAGCCGGCACCTCCACGCCCAATGAATCTTTCACTCAAATGGCCGACACAGACCTCGAATCAATCGGCCGCCACTGCCAATACGAATACTGCGGCCAACTGGATTTCCTCCCCTTCCGCTGTGAATCATGCCGCAGCACCTACTGCCTCGACCACCGCAGCGAAACCGCCCACAAATGTCCCAACGCCGGTGAATGGGCAAAACGCCGCGCAGGCAACCACCAAGAAAACCGAGCCGCGCCTGAGAAACCCAACATCTACAACTCAGCTCAGTGCTATCATGTCTCGTGTAAAACACTTATCAACACACTCAAAGACCCCGGCGTGCGCTGTCCAAATTGTAACCGCCAGTACTGTCTGAAGCACCGTTTGCGCGAGGAACACGACTGCGCCAAGGTTGCCCCGCTCGGCGCGCGGCAGGGCGCTGCGAATGAGACTATCAAGTCGATGTTTGCGCGCGTCAAGAGCTGGGGGAAAGATAAGCAAGCGGCGGGCGCGAATCTCATTCCGAAGCCGAAAGTCAAGCCAAATAGTCCTGCGGCGCGCATGGCGAGCGTAAATGCTATGAAGCGTTCGGCAAAGGGCGAGGCTAGTGTTCCGGCTGAGAAGAGGCTGTACTTGCATACAGTTGGCACGGCTGATACTCAGGCTGCTGAGCCACCGGCGGGTGATTTCTACTTTGATATGAGGTGGAAGGTTGGCCGGGTGTTGGATGATGCGGCGCGGAGGTTGCATGTGGAGAACTTGAATAATCGTGTTGGAGGAGAAGAGGCAAAGTTACGCATTTTCCATGTCGAGTCTGGGGATTTTTTGGAGTTCTCGGAGTCAATTGGGGGTGGGAAGGTCAAGTCGGGAGACACGATCGTTTTATTACGAGGCGCTGGACTGGTCTTGGAGAACGCATGATGCATATTTTTTTCCTTTATTGCTAAAGCGCGCAGCATATACCTTGATACACCCGGAGTATTAACGACTGATGATACTTTGCTTACTTACTTTCTTCTAATCATAGAATCATTTTTGTTTGAACTTGAAAACATATCTAACTGCGGCATTAGCACCATTAAGACAGATATCGTCTACATTTTATAACATAGCAATCAATCATCACAGGATTAAACGCTCATGTTCATCTTGATAATCTTGTGGGGCTTGTACCCAATCACCTCAAAGTCATCCTCCTTCCAGCCGTCGATAACAGCGCTACCCCGGTCATCACGCTTGATGCGCAGCTCGGGGAACTCGGTAGGCTCCCGTGTCAGCTGCTCATTCAATGCATCGACGTGATCAAGGTAGACATGGGCATCGCCCATAGTGTGAATGAGAGTGCCAGGGTTCAGATCCGCGGCATGAGCAAGAATGTGAGTAAGGAGAGCGTAGGAGGCGATGTTGAAGGGCACACCAAGACCCATGTCGCAAGAGCGCTGGTACAGAAGACAAGACAAGGTACCCTTCTCAGTCGGCCGTCCAGTCTTCTCATCAAGCTTCATGCCCGGCGGGAAAGAAACGTAGAACTGGGCGAACATGTGGCAGGGCGGGAGAGCCATCTTCTTTAGGTCCGCGGGATTCCAAGCACTCATGATAATGCGACGGTCGAAAGGGTTATTCATAAGTTTGTTGACCACTTCCTTGAGCTGGTCGACGCCCTGTCCAGAGTAGTCCGTTTTGGCGTCCACGTATTCTGCGCCGAAATGCCGCCACTGGAATCCATATACGGGGCCCAGATCACCTTCCTCCCGATGTCCCAGTCCAACCTTATCAAGAAACTCGCGGCTACCGTTACCATCCCAAATTTTGATGCCGGCTTCGGAGAGGGGTAGAGATGATGTGGAGCCTGCGATGAACCACAGGAGCTCGGCGACGACGGCGCGCAAGAACACTCGTTTGGTGGTAAGGAGGGGCAGAACGGGAATCGGGGCGCCGCCCTCGGGGTTGGGTTTTGACAGGGAGAAGCGCAGCTGGGGTGGACCGAAGATTGACTGCGTGCCAGTGCCTGTGCGATCAGGACGGTGCTCTCCTTGGGACAGGATTGTCCGGATCAGATTGAGGTATTGGTGCTCCTCGTGTGAAGGATCATGTGCGGGCTGCGCTGCCGGAGCAGGCGTGACAATTTGTTCTTGTGTCATGCCTGGCGATGAGTCAAGGAAAATTTGAGTATATTAAGTTGAATTTCCCTCGATCTCTTCCGGCAATGCCTGGATGAATGAGTGGTGGGTCAATCCTCGATGACCCCATTCAATCTGAAAGTTGGTGCGCGTCGACGCGACACGCTCTCACGTGATCCTATCTAATCGCGTCCATCTGTAGAAATGAATCAATACCTGTCTAGGCTTAAATAACCGGAGTCTAAATCGAAAGCCAGCAATATTATCAAGAGGTTTACAGGCCCGCTCAACGCAGAGGAAGTTTGTAAGTTCTTCGCCGGGAGCAGGAAAAAAGCAGTAGTAGATGGTAGAGAGGGAAAGTACTGGCCTCAGAGAAGAAAAGGCGACTGTCCACCATGTCGCAGATCAGATAGCAAAGCGGGCGTCCTAAAATTGCCTAACCCCAAAGTAGATATACATTGCAGCCGCCAGGGTTTTAATCTATCAGATCTATTATCTTCGTCGCCTGTACCTATTATGCGACGTCACCTTACCTGATCGATTGGCTTTGGTCTCTGTATGTAGATTGGTGTTCAACAGAAGTGAAAAAGGGTTCGGGCAGTCTAGGTGGCTATAATTTCGAACATCGACTTTGATACTGTACAGCAGCTAATGTTTCGAGGAGTGCTTTCGTCATCGCCCAGGTTCGATAAGGAGGGTAGAAATCAACGACAAATATAAAAAGAATACCATGGAATGAAAGTATGCAAGCCAAAATCTTCGACAATTCCGCAGTTAGTTGGCACTGGTCAACTTATTCCTACAATTGACCGAACTTTCTCCCACGGCTTCGACAATCGTTAGAAGGGTGGGACATCTATGGAGGGAATGTACTGTCGCGGGCATGTGGTGTTGGACGATGGAACTATGCCTTGGAGGTATGCCTGAATATGTCCAAAATAACAGTTCGACGCACCCTGTTCAATGACCGTATGCTGTATTTAAAGGAAATAATCACAAGTAAGCATAGACTCTTGGTCAAGGTGGCTGTAGGATTGTGATTTACTAGACTTACACCAACGGCTTCTTGCATTAAAAGTACCGATCCGGCAAACCGAGAAGACATCTTGCGCGGCTCTACGACAAATAATTGTCAGCTAGTGGCATACCCAATGGCGATGCGATTTGGTGGAAACGTACGAAGTCAACGGCGTGATAGGGTCGATGGTGTTACTTGCAAAGAGGATCGGAAAGGACGTAGGCATATTTAGTGCACTTATTTCGTCTGCATCGAACATGATTAGTCTTTGTGACCAATGCAGATGGTCGCCTCTTTTGCCGCGAACAATAATTATAGAACAAGGAAAAAGAGAGAGAGACAAAAGAAAAATTGCCTACCTTGGACTACCATGCTATCGGGTAACTGCGGTCGGAATGATCGGCACAAGATACCTTCTACGAAGATTGGGTAGATGTCACCGATGTACTTGCTCTTGAAAACCATGTACTCTGCCCGAATCTTGAACTCCTCAATAGTAGTCAGTCTGTTCCTCCGATACGAATCGGTGCATGTGATGGCGAGGCGGGCATCGGTTATAGAGTTTGACTGCTTATACATGCCTGCAAGGGCAGACACATTTCCCCGCTCGGCCTGGTGTAGGATGTCGGCCATGCTTGGAAAACTTGCGAGTGGGGTGTAGAGTGTGTTGAGAAAAAGAGACTTCAGATCTGAATAGGTGACCATTGTCGGCAGGTCTGCATCTTCGCCTCCGCTCATCGGAACTGGACGGTTCTGAAGCTGGCGCATGATGCCATCCATTCTCGCCGTGATATCGGCCGCTGTCGGTCCCCAAAATGAGCACTTTCCGGGCCCAGCGGAATGGCAGAACGTTGAGAATGCTTCCATGGCCTCGTCCATTTGATCAACATTGTCCGTCCAATAGTTGTGATAATATTGCTCTGCGTTCAGAACACCATCGAGTATTATTCTCCCAACGCGGTCAGGAAACATGGAAGCAAAAGTGCTGCCGATGACAGTGCCGTAACTGATGCCATAGCACCACAATTTGGCGTTTGATGGTGACTGACCGGTCATCTCAGCCTCAGCTTCGATAAAGGTAAGCAGATCATGGGCAACTGCTGTCACATGATATGAATGGGGTGAGTTGTTCTCGACAGCATGGTTGGACCACTTGCCGTAAATAGAGCTCGAATAGTACTGTTCCTCGAGCGATGCCGATGAGACATTGGTAACGCCTGTTCTGTGTAGTTGATAGAAAGCCGATCTTGCTTTGACGTCCTCCGAGAAGCAGTCGAGATGCAAGCCACTGTTGCTCACACCACGAGGGTCAAACGAGATGAAGTTGTACTGATCTCCAAACATCTGCCCAATAAGATTCTGATATGTGAGGAGTAAGTCGACACCAGAACCACTCGGGCCGCCTAACAAATTATCAGTCCATTCGAACGAAGACGTGAAAACGTTGCATGATCGATAGAGATGAGATCTTACCCGGAATGAGGACAATGCTTGGAGACTCGACTGTGGCATTTTTCCCAGCAAGCTTGATGAAGGCAATCGACGTTGTGCCAAGACTTCTGTTTGAATAATCCAGAGGAACTTCCAGTCTCGAGCAATTAAAGGCATCGAAACATGGTGTCCATGTGAGTTTGGCTGATGGTTCAATCTAGATGACTCGTCAGAAACTTGAACATCTGAGCAATATGGTACCGTGAAGTCCAGGACTCACATTTTCAAGTCCATGGACTATGCCCCGATCATGCAAACTGTGGGCTTTTAATCCCAAGCTCATGAGAAGGATAAGAGTATTTAAAAGTCGGCTCATTGTGATCCCTGTGGATTTCTGATTGATATTTGTGCAGTTGCTTTTAGGGGCCGACAAATTTGCGATATCTGGGAACTATTTATGCCAATTGAATTTCCTTGGATAGCAGTATCAAGTCTGACTGTTTCAGTAGGCAGCTGCATTCTTCCTATAAACTCCCAAAACCTCTTCCTGCCTACAATTGCTTTCTGTTCTGCTTGTACGAACCAGCCAATCAATATTTATTTGATCAACATTTAGTATGATCAAGTACCGGGGTCGGATCATACCCCGTAAGTATAGTAGGGGGGTTCAAGGCTTTGATCTAGGTTTCAAATTTGATTGACGCTCTTGCCTATACGGATACTTGCATGCTTAGCCCACAGACTTCCAGTGATGATCACTGATATAGCCCATCCTTATCCTGAATAGTTGAATAAGAAGAGGCTTGCCTTCCTTGGCGCCCCGCTTGTACGAGCTAACCAATCAGTAGTCATCACGATATGCATTAGTCTCTTGAAAAATAAGCTCTATGTTATGCCGATCAAATATCTTTCTAGCAGTCTCGCGTGTACGAACTAGCCAATCAATACTCATCATGCAACGCACTAGACTATTTATAGAAGGATTAACGCTAATTAGCCTAATTAGCTTTAGGCTTCCAAACGAATCCTTCCCTATCACTGACAACTATCCTTAGATAGTACCCCGCTTATAGGAGCCAGTTTTAGAAGCGCGGTCTTTCTCCAAGCTTCATTTTTTGTGCTCTATACCGTCCATCTTTTCTCACTCCGCTGTCCACCGCAAAAGGTGTGGCGATGACTTCCTCACTGGCATACAAACCGACAAACTGATCATCATCTTGAACTTTCATTGGCACCCCAGAAGTTTCCTTCTGAAGCCAATGCATGCAGTTGCTGCTGAGGGTCGTGGCGCCCGCGAATTGACCTCTGCCTGAAACGGTGCGTTTTGCGAATTTAAGCCAGCTTGCAAACCCGTGATGGACGGGATGGAGGACAAGAACAGAAAGGCGGGCAATCAAGCCTGGAGAAGAAAACCTCGCAAGTTCGCTCCAAAGTCAAGACTAGGCTGTAAGACTTGCAAGTATGTCTTGTCTCTACGTGATACAGAGTAATCTTTTGTATTCAACGACTTCGAATTGACATCGCTTAGGATAAGGCGAATTAAATGCGATCTATCTCGGCCTTCATGCTCAAAATGCCTCTCCACCGGTCGCACCTGCGATGGCTATAGTGAAATGCCCCTCACACTCAAGACCAAGAAGACTGAGATTGAATCGATTCATTATCACAAGGAGATCGTCGAAGGGGCGGATAGATGCGAAAATCATCAGCCCTGTACAACTATAGGTGCATACGAGCCAAAGCGATGGTGCGCGGAACACAATGGCCTCAATTTGCAGAATCTCAGATCCTTGATGATCTTACCAGTGACCGGGTCAGCTCAGGCAGAGGCAATGTGCTTTTTCAAGGATATTTCGATCAAGCATCTGAATGAATACCGCCCTTGCAAATCATGGCGGAAGACTCTCATGCTTTTTTCCCAAACGGTGCCACCAGTGCGGCATGCTGCTATTGCTCTGGCCATGATTCACCGTGTTTACCTGAACCGTCACTTTAACGATCGGGTATATCAACCGCCTTCCTTGAAAGACCGGCTACCTGATAAGGCTCCTCTGCTTCACTATAACCGCGCCATTCAACTTCTGTTGAGCCTGAAAAGTGCTGACAGCACCGAAATAACACTTGTCACCCTTTTGGTCTGTTATCTCTTTACCTGCTTTGATCATCTGGCGGGCGACGATGTACAAGCAATGAAGCACCCGCGCGGAGGTGTGGCACTCTCACACTACATCGACAACGCTACATTGAACAACTATATTTCCGACGACGCATCAACCTCAGGAGTTCACGCGATTATCTGCCAGGTCACAAAACAAATTCGCCGTCTTGACATGCAGGCCAGCATGTTTCTGGTCGACTGGAGTCCAGCCAACATCCAAGAGACATTCATGTCCCATCTCACACTCTTCAACAACACCTTTTGGTCACTCGAACAAGCTGCCGACCGTCTCCAGATTCTTATCGCTCAGGTCATGAGGTTGTACAACACAGAGCAACAAATGTCCCCGGAGGGTTCAATGCCGCCGTTACCTTCTACACTCAAGGACATCGTTCTAGGGCATTTAGAAACGTGGTCAGATCTCTTCGAACACCTGCTACAAAAAGGCATTCCCTCTGAGTCTGTCTTTAAAACTAACTCTCTCGTATCGCTCCTTCGCTTACACCATACTATCGCATTGACTCTTCTCAGAAGTTCTGGACCTGGCAGAGAAATGGACTATGACAATTTCCTAACCCAATTCCAGCAATGCGTTGCATTGGCAGGCGAGGTAGGGACGGCACATCAGCGGTATTCGGGGTCGTCGAGGTCGACGTTTACGCCGGAGATCGGATTTATTCCCGTTCTCTACCTAGTCGGGATCAAGTGCCGGCATCCTATTGTCCGCCGCGAGGTCTTGAGTATTTTGCGACGGCAAACAATACGGGAGGCGGCTTGGGATAGCATCTCTACTGCCAGGGTGGTTGAGCGGGTAATCGAGATCGAAGAGGGTGCGGCTGGGAAAGAGCAAACGATACAGCGCATGGAACAAATTTCCGCATGGCAGAGGATTGAGGCATTGTCTTTTATACATATCCCAAAGGGACAGTCTGCGGCCAGGTTGGATATCAAGTACACATTCTGCACCCGGGTGGAAATACACATTGAATCGCTTTTGACAGAACGGAGTGAGCATCTTATCATGTCAAATAATCGATAACAACCAGTATGATGTGATAAAGAACCATATAGAAACTGATTCCCGTCCGTACTTGTGTATGTAGCTGGCTCCACACCCGTACAAGATATACATCCACCGCCGCATATATAACATCCAATCTGGATAGGTTTGCCTCAGATGTACATAGACATTGCCATCGTCCAAGCAGCCGAGCACCAGATTGACGGACTACAGAGGGTACAGAATGGAAAGAGAACACAAGATATGGGCCCCTCTTGATCATCGTTCATATTCTAGAACACGTGATAATTCGAAGTTGTTCCATGGAGTTTTATGGTACTGTGACGATAAGTCATTGCTAGAACAATCATTACGATAACAATTCTGCCAGAATTGTAAGGTGGTGAACAAAGCCGGCCAAGCACGCGTCGGAATTAGTTTCTCTCAATCGACGATAAAGAGTTTAGAAGTATAGCAAATCTCTAAAAGTACTGTCCCACTGCGACATGGTTAATCCCATGTGCTAGATAAAAGGCAGAATGACCGCGCTAGGGTATTCTTCGCTACAATGGACTGTATGTCTTCCTTTGTTCAACTCGTGATCTGGTCGCGGCCGTGAAAACGTCTTGTACTCCGCGATGCTCGGATATTGTCCACCAATCTAGAATTCTAAGTTAGGCAAATGAACAAGAAAGTACCAGTCCAGGGCTACCAACCTTCACGCTAATGGATTCGCCAGCATCGAAGTCTACACCCATCGCCCAAATGCCGATTTCCAATTTTACAATCGTACCCGGAGAAATTTTTGCTTCCGCTTGTGAGGATGGAACGGGAACTGCGGATGAATGCTTTTAAATTCAATCTCTAGACTTGAAACACGCAGAATGCCGGTTGATCCCAGCTGAAGATTGAGACTGGCTTGTTCCGCTTCCGGAATATCATCGATTGACTTGACTGGGGTCGCGTGGATTGGGAATTTGAGATGCATCAGATCTTTGCCAGTTTGGTCTTTCTTGCGTAGTATCACGAAGACTGTGAAGTCGTCGTGATCATCACAAGACATGTATAAAACTGCCTTGGGCAGGCCGATGAGACGTGCCGGCTTGCTGAATGTATGATTAAATTCGGCGACACTGTGTCGGTCGTCAGAGTCATAAGATATTTGAAAGCCCTTCAAGGTCGGTTGGGTGCATAGATTATTGCCTTGCCCCAAGAAAAACTCTCGATACTCAGTGTTTGGAGCAGGAAAATCTTCAAGAACGATGTCGTCAATCGCTTCACGATCTCCGAATTGCAGAGCGGACCATCGCACTTTCGGAGTCTTCTCCCAACCATTGTCCTGGCCTTTAAGGTATCGATCGAAGAACAGATTTAGCTCGGTCGTCGATTCCGGCACACAATAGAGCTCATACCACTCCTGCTTACTTCCCCATTGAATCCATTGTACCCGCCTCACGCCATGATTTCGACTCAGCTGAAGAACACGCCAGCTCAGAATCAGAGCCAAGCGATGGACCAAGCTAGTCCAGACCTGGTGTCTTTCACACCTAGAACCTACGGTGACTGGCGTGATGAGTTTCACAAGAATGGCTACGTCGCGATCAAAAACCTGATCAGCCCCGAGCGCGCTCAGTATTACCGCGAAAAGCAGATTCAGTGGCTGAAGAACTTTGAGCTTGGCTTTGATGAGAATGATGAAGCTACTTGGTCGGCCGAACATCTGCCTGTTAGGTTGAAGGGAGGGTAAGTCATCTATTAGAACTTTAACAGGAATTATTCTCAACTCGGTTACGGAATGTACTTCGTTTACGGCGCTTGTCATGAAAAGATGGCCTGGGAAGCTCGTACTGAGCCAAATGTTATCGATGTCTTCGAAAAGCTCTGGGAGACTAAAGAGCTGATCTGCTCATTTGATGGAATGAATATTTCCCTCCCTCGCCGCGAAGATCTCAACTGGAGCCCATGGCCACACTGTGACCAGAACCCAGATCGGAAAGGGTGACATTGCCCCTGTCATACACTTCACATTTTCTAACATATCTTAGAATGCAAGCAGTCCAAGGCCTTCTGAACTACGCTCCGAATGGCCCCAATGACGGCGGATTAATGCTCATGAAAGGATCATCGAAGGTTTTTCAATGAGTTCTTTGCTCACAAACGTGAATCATTCAACCACGAAGATGCACCACCGCCCGAGATTCAATTCATGGATCTCTTCTTGTTTAGCGAAAAAGACGTGCAGTGGTTCAAAGATCGTGGTTGTGAGCTAATCAAGGTGAATATGGAGCCTGGTGACTTTGTGCTCTGGGACTCTCCGGACAATGCACTATGCCTGTCTACCAGAGGGTAACCAGATTCGACACGTACGGTATATCTGCATGACACCTCGTCGATTTGCGACACCAGAGGCATTGGACCTGAAGAAGGAATGTTTTGAGAATTTCGTCGGGACTACTCATTGGCCTCATTGCAACATCCGTCCTACAAAGGAGAAGCCTATGCGTAATGGGGAGGTTTGTCCCAAGGATCGGAGTGAGCCTTTTGAGAAGCCCGAGTTGACAGACACTGTCTTGAAGTTGGCGGGTGTCAAGGCCTATTAGAAGTGTTGTAGTTCAAACTACTTTGAGATAGCGTCAAATTGAATACATTGATTTTTTTTGGACAAAAAACCTTTCCTATTCCGTAGTTTGTCGACTCTCGATTGGGTCTATTGTTGACCATATCTAACAACAATCTCCTCGCAGCGCTCAATGCTCATTCCTTTTGCTCACAATCATCTAGTATAGTATCAATATCGGGCCCTTGCTTGTCTGATAACATGATGGCTACAAAGCAGAAGCCTCATTCTAGTTTCAAACCTTCATCTATCATCCACACAGATCCTCCAGTTGGTAAGGGGACTTTTTTTCCCCCCAGGAGATCAGCATGATAATTCCATTTCTTCAAAGTCATCATACAACAACCTAAACACCCTTGGCAACTTGTAGTAGGCCGGTGGACACCCCATTTCCCGGACGCCCACTCGGGAGACCCCGCGCAAAGTTCGACCTTTCCAACGCCACAACTACGAAACGAATCTGGGGAAGCGGGGAAGCTTTGTGGGTCAGCTTTCACTAGTCCAGCGTAGAAACTAAAACCGGGCCCACATGGGCCGGGTAATATTGACGATAGCAGGCTGCGCATAGTCAGTGATCTCTTAGCTGGTTCTACGTATATAAGTCTCGAGATGCGGGGTGACACAACCAGTGGACCCGAAGTAGGAACTTCATATTAAAATCACGGGCTGCTAGGCTTATTAAAGCGCTGAATCTCTGAAGTCTAGTTGTGACGACCTGGCTTCCCAATCAGTATCCACTTTGTAATTGAATTCAAATTCATAAAGGCGAGGAACACAATCCACGACTAAGTGTCCATACATTTCTTATTGATATGATGAAGCCTGGAAAGGTCTCCGCTCAGCATATCGAGGTGGTGGATGGTGGTCTGCCTGAGCACCAGGAACCAGATGGCGTCAAGGTGATGGGGACAGTGAAACTCACTGAAAGCTCGATTGTCTACATCCCCACGCCGACTGCGGATCCACAGGGTACATCACAGAAGAAGTATGCTAAGGCTTTGAGGCATTACTAATTGATCATTAGACCCCCCTTAATATGCCTCTTGGGCAAAAGACAGTGGTTCTAGTCTTGATATCTACATGTAAGACAAAAGTCGAGAGTAACGATGTTCTCCATATGGTTCCAACTAATCTGATGAAGTTTTAACCGTGGGCATATCTCTCGTGTCTGGCTTTGGAGGGTTGTTGAGCTTCTACATCCCTGAATGCGCCGCCGCCGGCAAGGGCTATGCGGCGATCTCGCAATTGATGACATATCCGACACATTTCATGTATGTTGCCTGAATATCCTGATATTGGAGAATTTCAACTACTAATAGGAATAGGGGGATTGGCAATCTAATAGGCATGCCCCTTGCAATCGCAATTGGTCGTCGTATCGTCCTCCTGGCCTTACTGTGCTTCTTATTTTCGGATTTGTCTTATGTGCTACCGCGAAATCATATGAGTGGCGACAGTGGCTGCATACTACTTCTGCTTCGTTGGAGCTAATATTGTCGCGATCACACATTTACTTGATAGTTATCCAGCAAGAGCGGGCCCGTTGTTGGTCATCATCTGCGCTTTTAGGGGTTCCATCTCGTTTGGCACAAGCTATGGGACTACTGCGTTCGTTGAGAATAACGGTTATGACGGGGCTTTTGGGATCTTCGGGGCTCTGACTGCAGTGCTGGGGTTGCTTGGTGTACCGGTCTATATCTGGGGAAAGAATATTCGGCAGTTCACGGGGCAGTTTGCTAGTAGCAAAACTGATTGAAGTCCAGTAGATCGATTCTGGTACGTTGTTTTATCATGAGATTGATTGCTTTTTAACTATATGCGTATCGATCATCAATGCCAACACCACTCGAATGCATACGCTTATTTGAAACAATAATGCAAATTTCATCGCGTGTGGAGAGATCCCATCCTATCAGATCACTGTGTGATGCAGTACTGATTCATTCATCAGCCAGTAGATCCATACCGACCCCACGCAATGCGCCCACAGCCCACTCAGGATATTTCGACTTGTCGCCTTGGTAAATGTTGGAGAAGAATTGGCGGACGAAGGCCGGGTATCGGTCCTCCATGATAGCCTGTCGGGCATTTTTCATCAAGTTCAAGAGGTAGTGCACATTGTGAATTGTAAGTCTAGCGGCTGTCAGCAAGGGAAATGTAGAGAGGGAGAAACGGGGTCCTACAGATGAGCACCAACGGTCTCCTTGGCCGTAATGTGATAAATGAAGGCCCTAGTCACACCGAGGCCACCCTCTTCTTTCGGGCGGCAGCAGGCACAAGTGCAGCCTTCTTCGATAGGACCAAAATCATCTGCGAATTGTCGGTTGCGCAATTTCAGGGTGCCGGAAGACACAATAGCATCGCCGAAACGCTAAATCCCATACGTCAGTATGACCGACCCAGTATATGTAAATCGAAGCACTCTTTAATTACCGCTGTCCGTGTTGGCCACACGCAGTCAAACATATCAGCACCAAGAGCAACTGCTACGATGATATCTTCGGGGTATCCCTTGAGTTGGATTAGTACAGATTGACAAGAGCAAAAGAGCTAAACATACCACGCCCATCACATATCTGGGCTTGTGTTCAGGTAGAAGATCAGTGCACGTATCCACCCTTGAAACAGTCAGCGACGCTTCTCCGAAGGGGCAATAATCACTTACACCTTGCAAAACTCCTCCTTGGCCTCGCCACCAGATAACCCACCAATGGCGATCCCTGGAGTATCTCGAGCCACCATCTCTTCACAGCACTGTTTCCTCAGTTCCAAGTCAAGTCCACCTTGAATAATGCAAAACAGATTTTGTCTCTCGGGATATTTGTGTGCGTCGATACAACGATCTAACCATCGCACAGAACGCTCCATGGCTTCTTCGATACGGGCATGGTCAGGGGACGTAGTCGCAATCACATCATCCAATTGCATAATAATATCCGATCCAATAGAGTTCTGAAGAGAGATTGAGTGTTCTGGTGTAAGAAGCCTTTGGAACGGCGGTTAGATAGATTTCGGCGCGACAGAGTGCGGGGTTCCATACATAGGTGAGCCGTCGTGGGGACTGAGGAACCGCACGCCTTCTTCAGTGACTTTGGCTAGTTTCAGAAGAGATACCATTTGGAAACTGCATAGATGCCCTTGTTAGCTTGGCCGTCGGGTTCGCGCATTAGGCAGATCATACCCTCCGCTGTCGGTCAAGAGGTTGCGGTCCCATCCTTGCAATCTATGCGCTCCGCCAACTGCGTCTAGCACCTCTTGTCCCGGTTTCAGGCCAAGGTGGTATGTATTGTTCAAGCAGAGCATACAGCCCGTATCGCGCAATTGGTCGTATGTCAGGCCTTTGAGGGCGGCTTGGGTTGCGACAGGCATGAAGATCGGCAAAGATACGTCGCCATGAGGAAGTTTGAGGGTACTCGCACGCGCTTTGGTAGTCTAAAGAGAATAAATTGGTCCTGTCAGCATGCAAATGGTCATTTTGGGAATCTGGAGGGGCAAAGAAAGCGTACCGAACATTTCGCGTGACGGTCGAAGGTCAATGCAGAGGGCATGGCCCTCCGGGCAGGCTCGGCAGTGGTGGACATATTCGCAAACGAATACAGCGAAAGCAGCTTTTTAGGACGAAGTCTGGCCAACGAGCGATGGCATTGCATGGAGAAAAGTCGAGGCGTCGTAGTGGCAGCGTTTGCGATGCGATCAGGCACAATCTACCGATAAGGATGTTTGTGTGGTTTGCACTGGCCCATGGTAGGCGGCTGTTTAGTACATCGCCCTCACTTCAATTTCGGCATGTCAAGGGCGTTAGAAGATCCTATAATGAAGTAACTGGGATCTGAACAGGGTTTGATGTAGTACATGCATCTATTCAACGTTTTATCCAAAGGGGCATCTCCATTGCGTCAAAACGTCCGCTGCCCCCATGCCGCCCAAGTACAGGGTTGCTGGAGTAGGAACCCACTAATGATCGTTCGAATACCTTGCTAAGTAATCTTGGTGTGATTCGGGTCGAGAGCATCTAGAGCTATATTGAATCCTGAGGGTCAGAAGGTCCTCGTATTTAAATTGAAAAACGCTCAGATCTGTTGAGAAACGCCTGCCAGGAAATATGCTGACTGTCTTGTCTCTTCGCTAAGGAGAAATTCGAACCTTCTTCCGTCAAAACATCTAGAGCCATCTACTTCGGCATCCTTGAGAGAGGGCTTAACCGTGCTTCAGCGGCTTTTCTCCCAGACAAGGTGCCCCCAGATCGGAGAAGAGCCGAGCTGGCCAGTGCGGCCCAAAAGGCGGGGGACTCCATTCCCCGGCCACAGCTCCACGCCAAGATACCACACAAGCAAACAAAAGGGATTTCGTCCTAATTTCCTCAGCCTTGAATGTGTGATCACCGACCATTTCGCCTGAATCATGGCCGAAAAGCTCGCACAAGACGTGGAACGTGCTGTAAGGACTCTATTTCGCCCTACGTGTTTATACATACTAAAATAGGGTTCGGAAAGTATCCCGATGCCGAGACGGAAGCCAGTGGCTTGGATGGAGCTCTTGGGGAGAGGGAGAGGGCATTGGTCTGGAAGCAGGATCTGAGGATTGTGCCGCTTTGTGCGGGCATTTATTTGTTGTGCTATTTGGATCGTTCGAATATTGGTACATCTCATCCTGAGGAACTTCCTCCATGACCACTGATGAAGACTGATTGGAGATAGGAAATGCCAAGATTCTCAATGAGGATACGAATGATGATATGCTCTCGGAGACGAAGATGACTTCGTACCAATTTACGTGAGTCGCGCCATGTTCCACAGGACATGACAAAACTGATAATATCAGGATCGCACTTATGGTATTTCTAATCGCTTACGCGCTATTTGAAGTACCTTCGAACTATTTCCTCAAAAAACTCAGACCAAGCGTAAGACCCATCCTCCCATCCAGACAAGAAAACTGACTCCTCCAGCGCTGGATCGCCTTCCTGATGCTCTCCTGGGGCGCCACAACAATGGGCCTAGGTGGCGTCCACAACGCCGCCCAAGTTACAGGCCTCCGCTTCCTTCTAGGCGTAATGGAAGCAGGACTATTCCCGGGTTTTGTCTACTACCTAACATTCTGGTACCGCAATTCCGAACGCTCGATACGCGTCGCACTGATTCTAGCCTCTGCGACGTTAGCGGGAGCATTTGGTGGAGCTATTGCTTACGGCGTTGGGCATATGAATGGCGCTCAAGGGCTTTCAGCGTGGAGATGGCTGTTCATTATAGAGGGTGCACCATCTTGCGCATCGTCGGTACTGGTTTGGTTCTTTTTGCCTGATTATCCGGAGTCAGCGCACTGGTTGACCAGTGGGGAGAAAGACCTTGCGGCAGAGAGATTGAAACTTGAGGGATCCAAAGGGTCGGCGAGTGCGATGTCTTGGGAGGATGCGAAAGGCATTTTGATGGATTGGAGGCTGTATGCTCATTATGCTGTAGGTTGGACCTTTGTTGAGAGTCGCGTTCATAGCCTAACGAAACAACAGGTCTATTTTGGCATTTCAACGCCTTTCTCGAGCCTTTCTCTCTTCACGCCGGCTATCACGTCTGGTTTGGGCTATTCTAACCTTCGTGCCCAGCTAATGACTGTGCCTCCGTATGCAGTGGCTTATGTCGTGACTGTTACCGTGGCATGGTCCGCAGATTATTTTAATAGGTTGGTTTTCCAATCTCAGTCTCCCTCATTTGTATCCGCCAAGCTAACACCACACCAGTCGCGGACTCCACTCCGCTATCTTTTCCTTCATTGGCGCTATGGGCTTCCTAGCGTCAGCAGTCCTCCCAGCTGAAGCCTACCTTGTAAGCGACCCCCCCCCTCATAACCCATTCATTAGACACCCCTCGGCTGACAATCCCAATTTCAGTCTCGCTACGGCTGTCTCATCGTGGCCGCTAGCGGAGCCTTCGCTTGTATCCCCCCACTCCTCGGCTGGCTATCTTCGAATCTGCGATCCACTGCTGGAGCGGGCCTGGCCATTGCGTTGAACGTATCATTCGGCGCCCCCGGTCAGATTGTCGGTGTATGGATTTACAAAAGCGATGAGGCAAAGAAGGGATACCCAACCGGTCATTGGACCAACGCAGCACTGCTTCTCTTCGTGACGGCAGGATGCCTACTTTTGCGGGTCTATTACGGATGGAGAAATAGTCGGGGAAGTGTTGATGGGAGCGGGAAGAAATTTGCGTATTAGACAACTTTGCTGCGCGTGGGCGGGTCTGCATATTGGATGTATAAAGCGCTATATTTGGATTTGATGTAGCAGAAGCGACAGGGTTGTGGAAAGTGGGTGCCGATGCAATGAGAAGATGATTTTCTCCACAGTCTTATGGAAGTGATGAGTCAATCTGGATCAATTCACTGGATATTTACATGAGATCTGAGGGTGTCAAGCTAAATAGGAAGAACTGCAAGGCCTTCAATGATATCATTCGATCGAAGCCTCACCTCATCATCTCAAGATCCATTCACTGAACAAAGCTTTGTGACTGTCGCTCCAAAGCAGAAAAGATGCATCTTTTGAGTAGCGCTCTTTCTTCAACTTGTAAATTCCTCTTGCTCCTGTCGCCTGATCTCACGATCGAAGTAATAGCGCTCGATGTTGACCCAAACCCGGCTTAGGTAAGGTCGGGGGTAAAACACCATTGCATCTGCGCTGCCACCTGTCTCTGTCCTTGCTATAGCGCTGACACTTTACTCATTGGCAAACGGAACATGTAGCGGCGTTTTCATCGCTTAACAGTTGGGAATATGGAATTCTGAGTGCGCTTTGAGTCTCGTCGTAAAGACGATTGCACTTGCCCGTTCCAAGGACCGAAGTCCATGTACATTCAGTCATTTTGAGGGCAATGCGGGGGGGTCACTGCTGAAGCAATCTGCAAATGAATGGAGATATGGGACTAGAGAAATAGCTGATAGTCAACAAAAATGAGCAATGAAGCAGTCTCAAGCATTCCTCCGTATTGATGACAACACAAGATCTGCTTTATCATTAAAAGCCAGACAAAATGGTGAATCCAGGTCAGGTGGTTGTCACAACAAGCGCACATTCATAGTCTTCATCGACATTTAGCACCGTTTAGCATCCTGCACCTCCCATCATAGCAGTATTTGAAGTGAAAAGGGTGGTGTTGCGATTACGCTTTTTCTTTTGCTTCGCTTTCTTTCCAAGCTCTTTCTGATATCTGTCACGGTCTCGAAGGTAGCGATCATATTCGTTGCCACCTTGAGCTGAGCGTGCAGCAGGATATTTGTCGTCATCCGATGAGCGAAAGCACATGATAAGATTTCAATGACCGGTTGAAGATTGCAGATTGTTGTTTCAGTGCTGTGGTATCCCAGTCGCAAAAGGCGAGACAGAGACGGGTTTTGATTGTACCGTAGAGCAACAGATATAGATCGGATTCCGCGGTGATTGGAATTGAAGGGTCTTTTGGAAAGGGGAAGATTGAGTGAAATTGCAACTGAGGGGCGATAGCAAATATATAAAGGAATGTGGTCGCTGGTCTCGTAGACCAAGTCTCCCTGTAATCGAGTTCGATTTGAAGTGATATCAATTTGGGTACGCCCTACACAGCCGCGAAGCTGAACTTCATGGCGCGAGGTTATTACCACTTAAGGGTAGGGTGCGGCTCAATGCGGTAGGCTTGTGGATCAACTGGAACGATGTGCCGTCTAGTGCCAGGCTGTCGAATTATACTCCATAATGAAGTTTTGCATCGCCGACTAAGATCCATTACACAGATTTCAATTGTGGGGATCTGATGTCTGAAAATATATTGGTAAAGGATGGTTGCCTGAAGACATCTGCCTCTCCAGGCTGACGCCATTGCTTCACGCCTGAAATCTTTCTCGGCGATAACCCCAGAGCATCCCGACTTTCAGAATAGGGATTAATCTCTGCAAGCCTATGGTCCCACTCTATGTGCTCTGTTCTTTTACCCCAAAAACAAACTCTCGGAGAAAAGTTACTCGCCCAAGCACATACGCATGGTGAGGTAGCACAAGGCAAGCCTTGACCAAAGCCCGACTACAACAAGACTACAATCGTATAGTAAGCCATGATATGATAGTATGAGTAACACTGTTTTGAAAACGTCCTGTCGATAATCTTGTAGACAAAAGAAAAGGCAATCAGAGCCATCATGGTAACCCCAAGTCCCGACCAAAACCCAACGCACCAGACCAGTCCAAGTCCCGTCCAGTCCCAGCCTCAGTTGAAGCAAAGGAGAAATATAATCAGCCCAAAAGAAAACTCCCGAGAACCCGCAAACAGATGAACCAATCAAGAAGTAAAGATCAAACCAATCCAAGTTCAAAATCTGAAATCTCCGAATCCCCTTTTCCTTGCCTTGAATCCGGTGACCAACCAACTTCCCGCAGGTGATACAGGTACGGGCACAGGCACAGGCACAGGACACTCCAGGGTAGGCAGTACCAAAGTACCAGGATGAGAGTTTTGGCCTGATCGGGTGGCTTGACGGGAAGAGCCCCACAGACCTCGGCTCTCTCCACTGTTTCCAGCAAAAACCACGGAACGCGGGAACCCAAATGAGAGCTGTCATAGACCATAGGTCAACATCCACAGAGGCCATTCTGACTCTCATATGTCCTGGAACATCCCCACCGTCTTTAAAGTATAGTGTTCCCGCGAGAGTTCGAACATTGGGTTCCGTTCCTTGATCATTGGCTGCTGGCATCCACCATCGACTGGGTATCACGACTCCAAGTCGCACAGCCAAGACCGGGTGCAAGGGTAGTGACTCGTCACGACAGAAACAGCATGCCAGTCTCGGCCCTGAGCATCTCCATCTCCACACTCTCAGTCCCAGCTAAGATGGTGGTGTGTAGTGTGACCAAGCCGTATCGAGGGATCGGAAGCAATGTACGAGCTGCATCGATTCGAAGCGGGGGGGTCGCAGTGAGTGTTTTTGGTTCCTGCCAGATCCCAGTGAGGAAGCAAGGAAACTAGATGCTAAATTCTGCGCGTTGCTGTGGGACCCGCACTGGGCGTGCGCTTGCAGGAGAGCGAGGGAAAAAAAAAAATCGAGAAAAAAAGGATAGGCGCACACAACGGAGGAAAAAAAAAAGGGGAAAAAAAAGAATTTGAAGATAGCCACCCAACATAGGAAAAAGCAAGAGTCACAGTATGTTATTCAGACGCCTCCAGTGCCTCGACCGTAGGTGGACTGGGTCGGCTGGGCGGGATTATCCCTGGCCAAGTGGCCGAGGAGGAAGGACGATGGCTTAGCGCCCCCAAAGCGACTTCGGCTGCGTCCTCTTTAGCATTGTTGATATACTGACCGTCGTACCAGTAGCGGGCGGAGAAGCTTTGGCCCTGGACGATGACGGTACTGGACCAGGCGGTACGACCTCCTGTGAGTAATCAGCTGTCAAGCTCAAGCTTAAGCTCAGGAGTAAAAGTCGGTGTAAACTCTTGCAAAAGCTGTCGCCACTGCAATGAAGAGACACGCAAGGACGTGACAGGGAAATATGGGAGGAGACCGGAAAAGAAAACGGGGAATTACCTCTCCGATCGGACACAATGCTAAATGTAGGAGCGGCTATTTTGACCATATTGCAATGGTCTTGGATAAAGTTAGATGTTTCCAATTGAAACCAACTGTCTTCAATTGCTTACCACCGAGCTTATCCTGCCAACTTTTCCGAGTGGCGCTACTCCCTTGGGGACTCGTCGGCTGGGACATTGTCGAGCTAACGCGCTATAAAAAAAAAAGGCTCAATTGGGGACGAAGGTAGCAGAAGTAAAAAGTGTCAAAAAAAGTGCAAGTCGGAGCGGGGGTAAAAAGGGAAAAGATTTCGGGAAAAAGGAAGTAGATATAATCGAAAACTCAATGGGTCTCCTCTTGCGTGACCTTTTAAGAGGTATGGGGAGCGGGGAGGATCATATAAACGGCTCCAGAAAACAATCCAAAAAAAGGACCGTTCTCGGGTCCTCCTTATTTTAAATTTTTTTTTTTCCTCCCTTTGATTTTGCAATTTTTCCACAAAATTCCCCGTTTAGCAGACAAACGGAGCCTAACCGTCAAACCTAACGAGAACCGGGCTTATGCATCATGCGTGGCCGTGGGTACCAACCAAATCCCCCTCTTCACCCCTTCCACTCTTCTTATCCACCAGTTACAGACGTGATGCGGGAGAGAACATGCGGATCATTCTCTGAGGCTGCAAGCTGGAACGGCCCGGCGCACGCCGACCAGACCAACTAGCCTTGAAGAAACGCTAAGTAAGGGGAGACAGGGTTCCCACTTCCCATTGTCCATTGACGGAAAGGTAAGGACCCACTAAGAATGTCGAGGCGAGAGAGAGAGAGACTAGGGCCCAGAATAGCAATGGGGGATTTTGAATTGGGAAACAACTCAGAGTATCGCACGTTGATATTCGATGCCCCGTCCCTGCCTCATCGGCCAGGCAGGTCCCGAACCAGCGGACCGGCTTCCAGAACAGCCTCAGCTGTATGAATTACATGGCGTGGTGGCGGGCGATCTCTGCCCAACGGCGGAGGTGAGGCCATAGCTTGGTGTTGTGCATAAATGGCGCCCAAAGTACCTCTTTTCCCCATCCGGGTTGCACTTTCATCGCGCATCCTTAGGGTATAATGTGGGTTGGGCCGTATTCTGGGACTTGCTTGCCAGCGCATCACTGAGATGAGATCATTCAATGAGGCGAAATAGTTTACTGGAGTTTGGTACGGAAAGTCGAGTAGTGCCGCGACTGGGCCACCGGGCCGCCCTGCATGAACATCCTAGGATGAACAGGTCTTACTAACCGAGGTCAGAGCTCAACGTCATCCAAACCGAAGCCTTACTCAAAATAAGGTACTTGTAAATACAAGAGTCAGAGTGAAATCCACTTTCTTAAAATGCAAAGGTTGGTTTTTTGCCGGGTGGGATCTAAATTATGGAACGGTTCTCTCAAATCGCCTGCATCAACAATCGTCCCAACTCAAATTCCTCAATTCCCGAATTCCACACGGAAGGGACGGATGAGAAGTCAGTGAATGGTGCATTGGGCATACCTGCAGCGTTGTAGCTTCACTTGAACCCTGGAACGGCTCTCTAAAATGCAATGCGCAATGCGGCTCGTACTCTCGACTCGTGGCAAGCCGTTGCAAGGAGAGTGTGCAAGTGAGCAAGCTTGAAGAAGAAAGAAAAGACAAATAATAATCCAGGCAGGAAAATTCCTCCCAGGGTCTTGGGCGCGATGAATGTCAAAAAAGATTCATCCACAGCCAATCGATTGGCACTCTAGTGCATTGCATATGTGTATACTTGACTAACTAGCTTCCAGCAATATCTAGCGTGAATCCAGGCTGTACAGAATTGCATGTTGGGCGTAGCTAATGTAAGTCGAAAATCATGTAGAGGCAGGTGCTTTTTCTTCACTGACGCACGAGTGGGGATCGACCTGCCGGGGTAGAACCACTCGCATTCTCGTATTAACGACACGAGTCATGTCCATGTATACATTGCCCAGCTATCGTGTTGTCAAAAGAAGCAAATTGTCAAGGTGAAGCGGCGGTCAGGCTCAAAATTTAGCTCGGGGTCTACGAGATATGCATCGCCAGCAGAGCAGCGCAGAGCCACATGAATGCGCTGCGGAGGATCTTTCAGCGTTCCATCTATACCCCTCCCACGCAAGCACATGAGCCTATGAACCCATCGAGACCCATGCAAAGACTGAAAAGAAGTACTTCTGAAGTCCCGAGAAATGCGAAGAAAAAGTAAGCCTGCATTGCTCGTGCTTGAACTGTTGTTGAACTGTCGATAGCCACCATATTTTCCGGGGGTGGTTCATGCGATACTAAAAACATGGCAAAAGATAAGAAAAAACACCACTGTAATGTGAACGCCAACCCCTAGGAATTCCCGAGGTGCAGGTCCACTAAGCAACGCGAATCTCTCTCGGCTTGATCTTAGACCTCAATGCAAGCCCCAAAATCCCCCCTCGAACAGAATCGGCAACATAGACAACAAAACAACTCACCAGAACCAAGAGAAATCGACGAAGCGAAACGCAACCTGCAGTTCAGTGGAGCAAGAAGAAGAAATCATTGGCAGATCATTCAAGTCATCAATCATGCGAACCATGGCTCAATTTCCACTCTAGCCAGCACAGCGCCCTTTCCCGAACCGGGTTCGAAGATTGCAGGCATTAGATCAGAGCATAGCTCCACAAGAAATTTACGCGGATCCCCGACGCTGCAAGACCTCGCCGATCAGACGACGTGGGCCTAAGCGCGCTGTCTCAAGGCCCTTGGAAAAAGAGGAACGTGCGGGGGAGATCCATGGAACGCGACGGGCGCCATGCCAGCGTCGACGAATACAATCGTCCACGAGAGACACTAGCCCCGTAGCGACGATTACGCTAGACCACGTTAGTGAAAGTGTTGTTTCGTTTCGCGACCATTGTACAAGCACAAGTGCAAAAAAAAAAAAGCCCCAAGTGGAACAAAGTACAAATATAGAAATCTCAACCAAGGATGGGATGGGGTTCAGGTTCGGTTAGGCCCTTAAAGGCTTACTCGGCAACATCAGGCATCCGCTCGTACACGGAGGTATCATTGATCCACATCGAGCACGGCGGGACCCAGCCACCTTTACTTTCTTCCTCGACTGCTTCGAGCGGGGTGAGGATTTCAGGAACCAGGTGGGCGATTGTGCGGGATGTGCGGGTGTCGACGAGGTAGTATGAGACTTCGCGAAGATCGCCTTCTTTGCGAAACTCGCGACGCCATTGGTATTTCGTCGACCAGTATTCAAATTCGTATCGCTTTGCGGTTCCCGGCCCGCGGCGTCTAAGGTCTACGTGAGCGTAATTGGAGAATTCGAGGAGGATTGAATCGGATAGTCTTTTGTCGCTTTTGCAAGGCTCCTCTTCGCCAATGTCGGAGTTGGCTGAGATGGATGACGCTTGGCGCTGGAGGGCTGGTTCGGCGGGGCCGTGAGATGTTGAGGTTGGGCGGAGACTGGCGAGAACACTACTCCATGAGCGGCGAAGGATTGGGCGGGAGTCGGTTGCACTAGGTGGGGGGACTTCTTTTCGAGAGGAGTGGAATACTTCGCGGCCTGAGTCACGGCAGTAGCGGCGGAGGGAGAACTTTCGGGAGAATAGGTCATACATGCGGAGATGGAAGAGGGTTACGTCTTGTTGATATCCACCTCGGCGGGGACGATGGTGTCGACGCGGAGGTTCATGTTGCCGTCTATAGTTGCATCGTCATGACGGATGAGCAACCGCCTGAGATGAGGGGAATAGGCCTGCGAATGATGAGGGTGTGGTTGCAAGCGCATCTGTTGGGAATGTCTCCTGTCGCTCATCGACTTCATAGCGGGGCTCTTCTGGCGGATCGGCCAGGGATCGAGTGGTGGATGCATATGTTGAAACCGAGTCGCGCGGGCCATCGTCCTCAAATTCTAGCCAGTCCTGCTGCTTGATTGCGCAGGTTGTATGAGCACTGGCTACCGTGGGTGCAGTACTTTTCGAATGCACCGATGCATCAGTATCCGTCGAACTGGAACTGCCGCCGCTACCAGCGCGGTCTTGGCATGATTTATAGGAGCCCATGTTCACTGATCTACAGTGACGAGCAGTAAGGAGGTGAGTTGAGGGTCAAACGAAACCAACGGAACAATTATAAGATCCAAGGAATATTGAATCGAATCACAATTCAATCAGGATGTGAATCGGGCTAAGTTATCGAGGGAAATTAAATTCCCATGACGCACCGTGAGCCAAGGGGTAGTTATTCACGTAGAATGGTGTTCGGACAGAATAGGCGGTTATGAGAGGAAATCATATGACGGCCACAGGAGGACAGGGATCGGGGAATTTCGACTTTGCAGCACACGAGAAAAGTAGTTCGTACTTTGTAGCTTCCAGTTTGCGGTTTGCAATTTGCAATTTGCAGTTCCTCGTTCCTAGCTCTACTCATCCAGGCCGGGAAAAATTGTTCCCATTGTCGAAAGACCAAGATCGACTCAAAGACGAGAATCAGGCACAGCCGAGTCGTTGGGTATGAAGAACCGTGGGGGGGCCCGAAAGGACCAAAGAGGGGCACTCGTACTCCCGTTCCTCAAGAAAAAGAAAAGAAAAAAAGAGAATGTGGAAAACAACTAACACTGAAACTCGGTTCAGGGTTGATAGTAAGAATGAGGCAAGGAATGCGCTCCTTTTGTTTTGGAGCAAACCGACGATCATCCACCTCACTCCAGCCTATGTAAGATACGTTCCAAGGTTCTCTACCATAGCCCACTGCCAGAAAACCCTTCTTAACCCCTCCATAGCCCTCCAGGCGTACAGCTCTTCGGGCTGCAACACAGTCCCGCGAATCACCAGAGCCGGGAAGCACAACCCACGCCTCGCAAACCGGGCCTCCAAGTTGTGCGGTGACCGACTTCGTTCGGGCGAGAATATTCGTGAGCTTGTGTGTCCGGTCGTCATTCGCTGCCATACCACCTTGAGCCACCCCTCCAACCTCCCCGTGCCCCCACCTGCAGACTAATGAGTGGCCGGTCAGTGGGGATGTGCGCAGACCCGGTCTGGACACGAGGTGCCGGCGCAGGTGGTATTCTGAAAACAGTCTGCAACTTGGCTTTCGCTGAGAAGAGCGAGGGTGTTATGTCATTTGAATGACGGGTCCGATCGCGCGTGAATATTTGCGATGTTGGGCTCACGATGGAATGTAGAGAGACATACAAGAGACGTCATGATGGGGAAACAGTGGGGTGGGCGGTCCGAACCGGATCCGATCTTTTTGCAGTCTGCGACTTGCGGCTGTCGTCTACGCCCTGTGATTATGCAATATTGCCCCCGTGCCCCAGCGGGATCTCGGTATGGAGAATCAATATGGAGACTAATATCCATGAGGCTGAGCGCCATACTGAGATACGATCGGACCACGCGTTTCACCGGGTCGAACAGTAGGGGGCCGTGGCATGACGAGGGGTCGGATCGGGATCTAATAATCCCCCTTCCTTCGAGAAACATGACGACATGAGATCGTCGGTGCACAGTTCGGAATCAAGACAGCTTGTTCTTGCTGATGCACTCTCGGAGAACATCTACTTCATAAGGTTCTACGCAAGGTACACTTGATGCCGGTGCGAGTGCCACTGACGAGGTGGTGAAGGAGCGGTCTGCACAGTTCACGTGAACTGGTTAGGATGCTCTTCAGGACGGTGACTCTCGATGCGCTCATGCTCGTGCTTGTGCCCTCATCGAGCACAACCGAGGAATCGAAATCGAAACATGTTCAATAAGAAATAATAATACTAGAGCCGATCACGCCGAAAGTGGATTCCCGCCGAGATCGCACCATCAAAATTGAGAGATACCCGACCAACCGACAAACATTCAATATAAAACGTCTATATCATTCAGCAGTGAAGATAGCCAATGTCTAAACGAGCGTATAAAGAGGCTGCGGGAGCTCGTCGCCCGGTTTGATCAGCTCCTCGGCACGACAAGCAGGATGACTGATGAGACCGGCTCGGCTACCCGGCGTGGGTGGACGGAAGCCCACATAGGCTTCCCGTCGAGCAGGGTCGCCCACCGTAACAGACCAGGTGTGTAGACCATAGTATGAGGCGATAGAGTGCACCAGCCAACGACTGGAAACCTTGGTCAGCACAAGCAGCAGCAAAACCTCGAGGTAGACTTACCCGAATCCAGCAGACCGGTCCTCAACTAAACTCTCAAAGACCATCTTCTCGCCATCTCTCTCATGATGCAAGCTCATCTCTTCACGAAGCTGCTGGAGCTTCTGCTTCCGCTCCGGTGAATCGTGCATCTGGCCATTTCGGCCGACAAAGACAATTTCGTCTTCGGACTCGTCACTGCTCGACTCCGGTGCATCCTGTAGACCCTCACTTCGAAGGAACAGCTGCTTCTCATTCCACTTGCGGATGAACAAACGGATGTCATCTTCCAGATCCTGAAGCATACCGCGAGCAGCACGAGCATGCTTCAATTTCGTCCGCAGCTCCCTAGGCACACGGTGCTTCTCGGCAACGGTCTTGGGTGCGTGGTCAGCCATCTTGGAGTAGTGAACGTCCCAAAGCGGAGCAAGATAATATGGCATAGGATCGTGCCGGGTATAAGTAGGCGTTATATCCCAGTCCTTGGAGGAAGGAGGTTCCGCCCACGGGTTATGTAGTAGACGGTCTTGTGATCATCAGCATTCGACTCATCCTCGTGACAAAGTCCCAAGGCACTGATGGGCCATACCGTTCTCCCATCGCTGTCTCCGACGGCTTCCATCCTTCCCCTTCAACACTGCCTCGCGGCTCTTCGAACTAGCCCGTCGTAGTGGCTCGCGACGCCGGAAACTGACGGTTGGAGGGCGCGTCTCGGCGCTAGCGATCTTGCCACGCGATGGAGTTGCTGGGGGCTCATCGTCAAGGGGAATCGAGATGGAGACATTTGCGCCTTGAAGACCGGAAAGTGATGATCTTGATGGTGTTCCCTCGAATCTTGACTCGGAGAGAGTCAGATTCTCGAGCGAAGCCGAGGCTTGCTCTGTCCACGCTGAGATGGCCACGGCCTGCTGGGGAGACAGAGTTCCTGGTGCATTCTGAGGCCGAAGCTGAGGGTGAATAGCCATATTCTAACGATCTAGGTAAGGAAGAGTAGGGGTATAAGGATGACGAGGATATCAGGCAAGGACAAAGGTGAAAGAGTAGATAACGAGATAAAGGCGCGCAATCGGACACGCCGATCTCCCCGAGCCTCGCGCACGGGAGTCAATCACCGTCTTGATTGGCGGAATGTGAGGTCATCCATTCAAGGCCCTAACCCTACTTCCCTACTTAGGTCATATCGTCCCTTGGCATTTGATTCACACGTGATATTGCAGCCTAAATGGCCAGGCATCCAGTGACTCACGGCAATCCGACGGCGATCCGAGGCTTAGACGAGTCATGGTTCGAGGTGGAGTTGCTGCTGCTCCACTCTCTCCAATTCCCCGCGCGCGCTACAACCGATACCCGTGACTCAGATGGTGTAACAGATTCTCTACTTTTGTACACAGGCTGAGAACCAGGGGCGTAGTGAAAAAGGAGAAAAGGATAGGATCAAACAAGCCGTCTCAGGATGGACAGGCAAGGCATCTATTAATACCCTACTTTAGCGCGGGGTCCAAAAAGGGCTAGACGGCTGCCAAGGGCGCGTGAGAACAAACCCTGCGGCTGCGGCTGTGAGCTCTCAGAACCTACAAAACCCGAGAGGCCTGCCGTCACTCAATTTTCATCTTATCCTTACCCATTGTAATCATGAAATTCCTCGGCCCTATTGCATTGGGCGCTGCCTCTACTGCCTTCGCCGCGGTCCTGCCCCAGCAGGCCCCTCTGGTCCCCTCTATTGTCCAGAATGCCCAGACCACTAAGTGGCTGATCGAGTTGGCCCCGTACCAGACCCGCTGGGTGACCGAAGAAGAAAAGTGGGAATTGAAGTTGGTAAGTTGTCCCGACTATTTCAAGTGCGACCTTATTTTGTTGTCACTGGCTAACAATTCCCCTCCTCAGGACGGTGTCAACTTTATCGATGTCACCGATGAGTTTCAGTCCGGCGAATACGGTGCTCTCCACACTAAGCGTATCGTCCATTACCCCAAGTCTATGCAGCATGGGGAAGACATCGCGCCCTTGACCGAAGACTTATCCAAGTCCAACATGAGGAAGAATTTAGAGCACTTCACCTCCTTCCACACCCGGTACTATAAGTCCCAGACCGGTATCGACTCCGCCGAATGGCTGTACGGACAAGTCAGCGACGTAGTCAATGACTCCGGCGCTAGCGATCACGGTGCCACTGTAGAAAAGTTCAGCCACCCCTGGGGTCAGTTCAGCATCATTGCCCGCATCCCCGGACAGACCAACAACACAGTTGTGTTGGGTGCCCACCAGGATAGCATCAATCTATTTCTTCCTTCCTTCCTGGCTGCCCCAGGTGCGGATGATGACGGCAGTGGAACAGTCACGATCTTGGAGTCTCTTCGGGCCCTGCTGCGGTCCGAGATTATCGCCAAGGGCCAGGCTGAGAACACGATCGAGTTCCATTGGTACTCCGCCGAGGAGGGTGGTCTGCTCGGTTCTCAGGCAATCTACGGAAAATACAAGAAGGATCTCCGTGAAGTCAAGGCCATGCTTCAGCAGGACATGACCGGCTTCGTCCAGGGTACTTTGGACGCCGGACTCCAGGAATCCGTCGGCGTGATCATCGACTACGTCGACCAGGGCCTTACCAACTTCATTAAGGAAGTCATCACCACCGTAAGTGGTTCCCTCCCGCAGTTCCTCATCTCAAACCGAGCCTCCGGCTAATAATTCTTAGTACTGTGACGTCCCCTACGTCGAAACAAAGTGTGGCTACGCTTGCTCCGATCACGCTTCCGCCAGCCGATTCGGCTACCCCTCTGCCTTCGTCATCGAATCTCAATTCGAGAACAGTGACAAGAAGATCCATACGACCGAGGACAAGATCGAGTACCTCAGCTTCGATCACATGCTGCAGCATGCGAAGATGAGCCTTGCGTTCGCCTACGAGCTTGCATTTGCACCTTTCTGATTTTGTGTCGCTTTGTATCGGCGTTTGAGGTATACCTTGGGGGTTTTGTTTGCGCGAATGGTGAATCACTGCATCGATTTCGGTCATTGGATAGATATGGGCAATGCCTTTAATTCATTGATTATGAGGTCAATTTTTGCATCGATCTTTAACCCTTTTATGTAGTCAACATGTCGCAAGGCGATTACTTTCAAAGGCAAAAACTGCGTTGAAAGCTTCGAATAATTATGTAGATTGGACGGCATCTCAACACCACTACCGTACATGGATGTAGTCTCACCCGAGTCTTAGGGTGGTGCATTTCAATCACTCAGCCATTCCTAAGTTCTGAAGGGTTCCCCATCAGCCTGTGATCCAGGGCCGTTTTGCGTATTCGCAGGTTTGCGAGAACTTCCACTTTCCAGAACTCATCCAAGCGAATGCCCTGACTTGGAGACACTTGATGACTCAATAACGTATTCCACGAACTAATCAAATCCTCATACCTTGTTATTTGATAATTTTTTCCCCAAATGTTCCACTTTAAAAACACGATGACGATGTCCACGTGATCCTCTCTCAGCTTGACCGATCGCCGGAAATATGTCTAGGACGAAATTCAAAGCCAACACTCACTACATTATATTCTACGGGGACACTCAATTCCCCTTCCCCTTCACCCCCACCTCCCCTTCCGCGACAAGCGTCGCCTTCTTCACTGCGCAGAATGACCACCCACGCCTACACCAAAGAGCTTCAGCTCGCCCGCCTCGCCGTGCAACGCGCCGCGCTCCTCACAAAGCGCCTCCTCTCCGAAGTAGACAAAGGTTCATTTGACAAAGTCGATGCGACACCCGTGACAATCGCTGATTTTGCCGCGCAAGCGTCCATCATCGCGGCAATCCACCACACCTTCCCCACGGACCAAATTGTCGGCGAAGAAGACTCCACCGCCCTTCGCCAAGACCCTGTCCTCCTGGAACGAACATGGGACCTGGCTCGTTCCGTACACCTGGATGATGAAGCCAGTGAAGCGATGCTGCACACCCCGTCCACGAAAGACGAGATGCTCGCACTAATCGATCTGGGCGCGCAAGGCACTACAGGGCGAAGTGGACGGACGTGGACTCTTGACCCAGTCGATGGGACGGCTACTTTTATGCGCGGCCAACAGTATGCTGTGTGTTTGAGTTTGATTGAGGACGGGGAGCAGGTTGTTGGTGTCCTGGGGTGTCCGAATCTACTAAGCGACCGACGTGTTGCGGAGGATTTGGTCGACAAGGATGGCTACGGACAGATGTTGTCTGCTGTTGTTGGACATGGCGCGACGATCCAGCCATTGGGCACGGGCAAATTACTAGAAGGGACGATGCTCCCGGGCGTGACGCAGATTGAGGATCCCAAGGAAGTGCGCTTCATCGATACGCAAGCTTCCGAGACGGCGAATCTGGAGGTGCACGGGAAAGCTGCGGCGCTACTGGGTTGTCCGTGGCCGAATCCGGTGGATCTGTGGTCAGCGCAGATGCGGTATGTGGCTATTGCGGTTGGGGCGTGTAATGCATTTGTCAAGGTGCCGTTGAAGGATAGTTATCGATCGAAGATCTGGGACCATTCGGGTGGGATGCTTCTGGCAGCGGAGTTGGGGGTGAAAATCACCGATTTGAATGGAAACAGTGTTGATTGTGGCCTGGGAAGGACGTTGGCTGGCTGTCATGGGATGGTTGTCGCGCCTGCCTCTATACATGGGCAGGTTTTGGAGGCAGTGCGTGTTGCGAGACAGTCTTGATTGCGGGGTTATGTACCTTTGCTTTCGATTTACGCGGTCTGACCATGACGCTGATACCCTTTGAACATTGTATGTTTATGGTTTGACAGTGGTATATTTTAGAGGCTTTGGCCCCTTGTTCATACCCCGCACGTCCAGGGTCGCCGGGCGCTTGGACTGGAGGACGTGCTAGATGGATAATTCGGTTTAATGAAAAATTGAGAGATCGAGATGATAGACAATTTGTATTTATGCCGCTGCCATTCTTTTCCTTATATATAAATATATAAATATATGAACATAGAAAAAAAAAAAATATTCGCTATACCCAGCACCGGGGTGTTCACAGAGCCTGGAATCCCTGCGCCGGACCGTGCACAGGATCGACGGCGCAGAAACCGCCATGGAAGGATTTGGACACCCGGGTACCCTCGAAAGGAATACAATCCTCCATCGCAATCTCTGATAGCTCACCGAAGAGTGGACACACTCAACAAAATGGCGCACTACTTGCAAGAAACCGGGCTTCCTTATGGATCCCCGTCCCCACACGGGCAAGCCAAGGCAGACTAAAATGACTGACATCACCGAAGTTGACCTCATCTGCAGATGGCGCCACCGGGGAGAACTGGGACTTGACTGGTTGAAACCCCGAGTCATACGACACATGACTTTGCCAAAGGTTGGTTCGTGTTCCTCTAAAATCGACAGTATAAAGCGCGCCGTCCCCGCTTGGTGGACCAAGTGTTGTCACTTTGATTTTGTCAGTTCCCGTTCCAAGGTTCGCCATGGCTACCTACAATCCCTTTGCCCGGCGTGAATCACACCATGCGTCCGCCTTGAACACTTACCGTGTGCTAGTGCCCCTCACCTGGGCGCTGGTCGTGATCGTCGGAATATACTATTCTGTCCACTCGCCGGATGATACGAAGCATGGTAAGAAGATCTGGAAGCAGGCCCAAAAGCATAATACGCCCTTCAGTCAGAATACCACGGTGACCGGGGTTTACTGGTGAGTTTCCTGACTCCTTCGAGATGCGAGGGATCAGAAAGAATTCAGATGGGATGTGGAGCACCGAACTGACCGATCTCAGGATCCTTCTCCTCCTCTCCCAGCTGAGCTATGTTTGGCATCTGTTCCACAAGGACACGGCTATCGTGGCAGCTGCCGCGAACGTCGCGACCCATTTCATCCTGAACAACGTGTTCATCGTCATCTGGATCCTGCTGTGGACTCGCAACTACTTCTGGTGGGCTGAGGTCATCCTCATCATCCACTTTATTAATCAGGCTGTTACCTACTGGCGACACCGCGGACTCCCCGCCTTTGTGCATCTGCCTGCTGTCGCGGGTCCGTACGCTTGGACTTTGACGGCCCTGTTCTGGAACGGCGCCGTCGCGGTGCACAGTCACAACCTGCCCGGTCGGATCGTGGCTAATATCTTCATTTGGGTGATTCTGTTCATTGGTTTGCAACACATTCTGCTGCGGAACGATTATATCTTGGGATACTGTTTGAGTTTCCTGACTCTTTGTAAGTCTAGTCTGCCGGGGGGGGGCGATTTTGGTACACTTTAGCACGAGGATACAGCTAACATGGTTACAGCACTGGCTCTCAGGCAATTTGCAGTCAAGATCATCGCCCTTCAGTGGATCTTCGCCTTCACCATCTTCGGCGTCTTCACTGCCGTCTCTCTGTACGTCTCGACTACTACTTACACCGGTCGCGACAGCTTGTTCCGCCGCGTGGCGCACCCCGAGTCGAGTGATCGGGAACGGGAGCCGCTGCTCAACGACGCGTAGGCAGTTGCTGCTGCAGCTTAGTTGTCTGGTGGAAAGTGGGGGATTTCCAGACCGATTCTTTTACGAACAAGTCGTGTTGCGATTGAGCATTGGAGAAAAGGACGACAATGTGGAGGGGTTCGGCAGTTGGCATCTTACGTTTCATGTTTCATGTTTCATGTTCTATGTTTTATGTTTCATGTTTCAACAAGCCATGAAGAATGATCTCTTGCGCTCTCATTTCTGGAGTTAATTGCACTTGAAATATCAATGAAGCTAACGCACTGATTACAATCACTGACGTACTGCGACTATGACCCACCGGGTGGAGCTGGGGCCATTGTTGAGTCTGGCTGCCAAAACGCTGGAGAACAACAATTTGGACTTTGACGGCGAGGGAGCAAGGATCATAGGTATTAATATTCGAGCCCAGTGTAAATAAAATTGAACGACTAGACAGACTTATGGTTGCACCCTGGCCACTTCTCAATGTTTGAGGGTGCCCCCGTGCAGATACTCGCGCCTTGCAAATCGGTTGCCTTGACAACTCAACTCCACACTTTGTTGATCCCGGATGAATCGCTTCTCCTCTTTATTCTCGATCCTCGACTCTTAATTCTTAGTTTGGTTCCACGTTCTTGCATTCCTCTCCGCATTCCATTTTTTTTCAAATCGATCTCAGTTCTCAGTATTGTCCCTATCAGACGTGGTGTTCTGTCTCGGCCCAGTTGACCTCGGTCTCATTGCGCACCTTGTCTCATCCAGACCGCGTCAAATCCTATCATGCGGAACTGAATGATCAAAGACAACATTCCGTATCATGAACCGTCATCCACCCTCTAGCTACGGGGATGAGCCCCCCGCCTACTTGGATGAGACGTCTTCATTCTTATCCGACGCCGAATCTCCTTCAGCGGTGTCTCGCAATGGGCCGACCATGCGCCTGTTGCCAACCACCGGCAACGAAAGCGATCTAAGTGGTACCAGTGCTCCTTCATCCTATCAGCCATCCTCCTACCAGCCATCCTCATATCAACCAGACTATGATGAAACTACGCCGTACGTACATTCCTTCCCAAAGTACCCTTATTCCTAGACACATTCCACCGTTGTCCGAACGACACAAACCACATGCTGCTCGCCAATTCTGGCTCCCCCTTTCAAACGATGCTTTTGGTAGACGCGCTAGGAATGGGCACGCGAGGTCCATCCTGGGCGAGATCGTGCTTATTTGGCGATCTTCCTTTACGTCGGCCATCAGCATTGCACCTAGTGCTTATTTCCATCACATTGGTTCTCGTCCCATCGCCACTTTGAACAAGACCGACTTTGTTCAAGATGGATACGGACGAGCTGCATTTTTCCCCCAGTCCGTCGCGACCGCGTTCTAACATTCGAATTCGTTTTTATAGGACCGGCCAGGCGCCTCGGTACGATGATCGATTCTACCAAGTTCCCAGCGCGGTTTCTCCAACGCGCCCATCTTCCAGTGTGGGAACTATTCCTAACATACCGCTTCCCGCTGGTAGTTTAGCGGACACATCTGTTTACCCGTCTATTCCTCCGCGTACGGGGTCTCCTACGCGTCCTTGGAGCCCCGGACACGTTCGCCCTCCGTCTGTGTCGAGTGTCGGTTATGAACGAGCTGATCTCAATGGTAGTCCGCGACCGGGTACCCCTAGCTCACGATATGGCGGAAGTCCGCGACGACCGTTGCCTCCTGCTCCTCTTTTCTCAGGCCCTGCTCCTTCAATGGGGGCCGATACAAGCATTGATATTGGAGACGGGGTCGTTGGCGAAGATCCATTCGGTGGTGGTGGCCAGACCATCAACCACGGGTCTCGCGCCAGTGTCCGCTCATTCATGAGCGAGTCGACCATCATGGGTGACGAAAAAGATGACATGGCCAAGGTCAATCTGGACGAGGATGACGACGAAGCCAGCATGATTGACCCCAACCTTCACTACGGTCCCGCGCCTGACAAGCAGGGCCGCCGGGGCGTTCGCGACACCCAGATGGTCAAGAAAGAAGTCCAGTTGATCAATGGCGAGCTTATCCTCGAATGCAAGATCCCGACCATTCTACACAGTTTCCTGCCGCGTCGTGATGACCGCGAATTCACCCATATGCGATACACTGCCGTGACGTCTGACCCGGATGAGTTCACCAACCGAGGATACAAGCTTCGCCAGCAGATTGGTAGTACGACACGCGAGACTGAACTGTTTGTCTGTATCACGATGTACAACGAAGACGAGATCGGCTTCACCCGTACCATGCACGGTGTCATGCGGAATATCAGTCACTTCTGCCAGCGTACTAAGTCCCGTACCTGGGCAAGGATGGCTGGAAGAAAATTGTTGTTTGCATTATTGCCGATGGTCGTAAAAAGGTCCACCCGCGAACCCTGAATGCTCTCGCGGCTTTGGGTGTTTATCAAGAGGGCATTGCCAAGAACATTGTCAATCAGAAGCCTGTCACTGCACACGTCTATGAGTACACTACCCAGGTGTCGCTCGATGCGGACCTCAAGTTCAAGGGCGCTGAGAAGGGCATTGTGCCCTGCCAGGTCATCTTCTGTTTGAAAGAGCAGAATCAGAAGAAGCTCAACTCTCACCGTTGGTTCTTCAATGCCTTTGGTCGCGCCCTACAGCCCAACATTTGCATTTTGCTTGATGTTGGTACCAAACCCGAGCCAGATGCTTTGTACCACCTGTGGAAGGCATTCGACCAGGACTCCAACGTTGCTGGTGCAGCCGGTGAGATTAAGGCTGGAAAAGGAAAGCACTGGCTTGGTCTATTCAACCCGCTTGTTGCCAGTCAGAACTTTGAGTACAAGATGTCTAATATTCTTGACAAACCCTTGGAATCGGTCTTTGGTTACATTACTGTGTTGCCTGGTGCTCTCAGTGCTTACCGTTTCTTCGCATTGCAGAACGATGCCGATGGTCACGGCCCACTCAATCAGTACTTCAAGGGTGAGACTTTGCATGGCCAGGATGCCGATGTCTTCACTGCCAACATGTACTTGGCTGAAGATCGTATTCTTTGCTGGGAGTTGGTTGCTAAACGAGAAGAAAGATGGGTTTTGAAATTCGTCAAGAGCGCGGTTGGAGAGACCGACGTGCCTGACACTGTGCCCGAGTTTATTTCGCAACGTCGTCGTTGGCTGAACGGCGCCTTCTTCGCTGCCGTGTACTCCATGTTCAACGCCAAACAGATTTGGAAGACAGACCACACTTTCGCTCGCAAGGTTCTCTTGCATATTGAGTTCGTGTACCAGACCCTCAACCTGCTGTTCACTTATTTCGGTCTCGCCAACTTCTACCTCGCTTTCTACTTCATTGCTGGTTCACTCACCGACAAAAAGCTTGATCCCTTCGGCCACAACATGGGCAAGTACATCTTCATCGTCCTCCGTTATGCCATAGTCTTGGTTATGTGTTTGCAATTTGTCATCTCCCTCGGTAACCGGCCTCAAGGGTAAGTCCTTCACCTCTCCCGTCTCCTCATTCTATAACTCACAACCCCAGTGCCAAAAACCTCTACCTGGCTGGCATCATAATCTACGCCATCGTCATGTTCTACACAGTTTTCTGTGCCCTTTACCTCGTGGTGATAGAACTCTTATCTCGCGCCGGCGTAGGCGACTACAGTCTTGACGTCTCCAGCTCTCTATTGATGAACATTGTCCTGTCCATGTTGTCAACAGTTGGCCTCTACTTCTACACCTCCTTCCTCTACCTCGATCCCTGGCATATGTTTACCTCATCCATCCAATATTTCCTCCTCATGCCATCCTATATCTGCATCCTCCAAGTCTACGCTTTCTGCAACCTCCACGACGTAACCTGGGGCACAAAGGGAGACAACGTCCTACACACAGATCTCGGCACCGCCAAAGTCATCAATGGCACGACCGTCCTCATGGAAATGCCCTCCGAACAACTCGACATCGACTCAGGCTACGACGCCGCCCTCCGCAACCTCCGTGATCGCCTCGAGGTCCCTGAACCTCCTGTCGCCGAATCGCAGTTGCAGGAAGACTACTACCGCGCCGTGCGCACGTACATGGTTTCCATCTGGATGGTCGCAAATGTAATTCTCGGCATGGCCGTTTCAGAAGTCTACGGCATCGATGCAGGTGGTACGAATATCTACCTCGCTATCATCCTCTGGTCTGTTGCTGTCCTTGCTGCTGTTCGTGCAATTGGATCCACGACATATGCTATCCTGAATTTGATTCACAAGATTGTTGAAGGCAAGACCAAGTTCGACGCGGGCAATATGACGAACTTTGCGCCTTCATCTTTCGGTGGAAGTTCCACAGGTACTTCGTCCGAATCAGGTGGCTCTTCAAAGCCAATTCGGTATTCCGGAAAACCTTCCTTCAAGGATCGTATTGCTGAGACGAAATGGGCTGCCAGTAGGACTATGGGGAAGGCTATGTTTTGGCGCAAATAATTGATTTGATTGTGGAGTTTCTTTTTCTTTTTCTAGGAGCCATGAACACCCCCATGCTCTGATTGTTCTCTTTTTATGATGGAAATATTTGTGATGGAAATGTCTGTGATGATATGGTTCTTTTTTCTGTTTCCTTTTTTCTTCATCCCATGTTACCCTCCTAATGGGGGTTGGACGGGCGATAATGTGTCTGTGCTTTTATGGATGTATGTACGTTTCTGAACGATATTCGTCATTTCTTGAAGAAATTCATTTGAGAGCGTACTTACAGACTGAGTGAGCTTATCTATCACTGCTTTATGTCAGGAAATTATGCAGAGCATTGAGTGTGGCTAATCGCTAGAGTATGAGTCCACGGTGTCATCAAGCGAGTTCTCCTGTATCTCACTGGCTGATAAACTCAGGGCAGCAAACAATGATCTCGTTCTCTGGCCAATTTTTGAAAGACAGTAATAATTTGATATACCTCATTACACAATCCAACAGGCGACTATAGCATATGTCTGTGTCAAGTTCAACACCCTCTTTCTTCTACCCGCGTGGCAAACAGCCGTCCAGATCCACCTCTATCAGAAGAATCAGTCCATAATCCACCACTTATTCAGACCAATTTACTAAATTACCCCAGGTTACGACGGCTAGCGGAGTGTGACTTGCTTCCTCCCCACATATCTAGATCTCCGGATAGAAACAATCTATCATTTACGACTGTCTCTTCAATTGTCTTCGAAAACCCCGGTCAAGAAGCCTACACCACAGGTCTATATTCCTCTTGCTATCGATACCACCATCGACACGGACTTGAAAAAAAGCACTCCTTGCCTTGGAGAAAGAATAAACTGGGCCTCGAATAGAAAGAAGTTCCAAAGTCTGAACCCTTTCCCAACTTCTAGATCCAGGACATGACTCATGTATAAATATATATCTTCGTAGTCGCCATCGACATTCAAAGTTTCCTCACTCAACTCGTCCACCAGAAAGAAACCACTCGTTTCAAAGCTTACTAACCTTCCATTCATCCCTAAGAATTCCCTCCACAACCCCCGCAACAGCCAAAACCTCCTCATCCATAAACCTCCCCCCCGAAAGCTGCAACCCAACAGGCGCGCCCTCAAACCTTTCAGGACCCGTATACTTCCTCCACTCCCTCTCATCAACCTCACTCCTAGGAACATACGCACTCTCCTCTCCAACCACATCCAACTCCCGATCAACAGTCAAGCCAGAGGGAAACACCACAGAAGGCAAATCAACCAGGTTCCAAATAGCAGTGTAATTCCAATACTGCGACTCACCCATCACAGCCGCGACGCCCGGGTAAGGCGGCGAGAGGATAAAGTCCACGCCGCGCGACTTCATAACAGCATGGTACTCATCTATGAAGACGTCGCGCTTGTATTGGTATTCCCAGGCTTCGGGGTGGGTCAGGGCCGTTGGGCGGGCGTAGGAAAGAGCCCATTCTGTTAATGGGCGGATGGGCTCGCCTGAGGCGCGGAGCATTTCTCGTTGTCGAGAGCCGGCGTCCGGGTAGTAGAGGGTTGACTGGGTGGTGTCAGTTGGAATTGAATATTCAGGAGGGGGGGGGGTAAAGGGAGGAGTGCTCACGATAATATCCCAGCCTTCGGCGTGTTTGTACTGGTCCCAGTTTACGACTTTGATACCGGCTGCAGTGAGCTTGTTGCGGGCGAGTCGGAGGGCTCGGGTGATTGGGGGGATGGGGATGGACGATCCTGGATCATCTGTTAGTATGGAATACGAAACACGGAATAGCCACTCTATGGTAAATGGGGGAAATAGGAACTTGAAAACCTACCCGTCATCCCACATAATGGCAATAGTCACATCTCGTGTCGGGTTGACAGTCTTCCACGGCAGAGGGACTAATGTCCTCTCGACAGTCCATGGCTCTTGGTCCAGAACAGCCTTTGAGAATAGTGCACAATCTTCAAGGGAGGTGCTTGCCATCGGGCCCACGACGCCGTGAATGGTCTCTTGACCTAAAGCAGCGACTTGAATTCCGGCCATCGGCATACGCATTGTGGAAGGACGGAATCCGTAGGCACCGCAGAACGCGGCTGGACAGCGGATTGATCCTCCGATATCAGTGCCGATGCCCAGAGGAGCGCATTTGAAACCCATGGAGGCACCCTCGCCGCCAGAGGAGCCACCTGGTGTCAGGGTGCGGTTGTGTGGGTTGACGGTTGTGCCGGTGATATTGTTGCTGCAGCAGAGGTGCTATGCTTTGTTAGTGAGAATTGAGAATATAGAATTCGACTTTACCATCAGAGATTGAGGCTGGTTTGTACGAACGTGGAAGACTGCGCCGGCCTTTGATAGTAATTGAATCAAGTGTGCATCTTCTGGGGTTACCTTGTCAACCCTATGGTTATCAGCATTTGTCGTGGTGGTTGCTTATACATTTTGACCTACCAAGCGACATATCCAGTGTTGCAGGTCTTATTCTTGAGCCCAATGTGCTCTTTCACACTGATTGGTACGCCGTGCTATACAGGACATGAGCCTTTGCTCATTGATGCATATTAATGGAATTTATCAATCAACTCACCAAAGGTCCGATCAATTTCCCCGTCCGCTGGTAGTATTCATCGAGCTCTTTGGCACGAGCAATTGCCTCATCGGCGAGGAACTCCGTTGCGAAATTGAGCTATATTTCCACTCATCAGCATTGCTGCTGTCAAATGAGTCATCCGAACTTCCGTACCAACTGGTGGCCCAAGACTGATCTCTTTAGAAACGCCATAACCACCTCTTCGGCCTTCAATTTACCCGTCCCCATCTCTCCCCACCAGCTCAGTTGCGGACATCTCCGTTATAGTAAGCTCACGGTCACTGAGCAAACCGCTTTGCTTGGGGAACGCGATCACATTCTTTTGTGTGGGCAGCGGCAATTTGTCCGCTGGGAGAAGCCATTGTTTAGGGATGGAGTTGTCGAGGATATCTCGGCCTTTCTGAGCTTGGCGCTCCCAGCTCTGAAGAGACATCTCTATTAGATGATCGATGTTGGAGGTTTGTAATAGTGCAAGCTTTATTAGCTAGAAGTGGAATGGAAGAACAGAAAAGAGCGTGACCCCTCCTGGGCTCACGAGTGCCCCCGCATGTGAGGCACCGTTGTAGTACGAACGGAATCGGAATGAGTTCCAGGAGGGGCTGTGATAGCCAATTCGTGGCCCAGCGCGGGGATGTCCGCAGTGATAGGAAGTGGAGCTCTGGCGCTGCTCTTATCTATAGTTGTAGCTGATGGAAAGTCATTGTTCCCGGAGTGTTCTGTCATTGTTTAGCGGTCGGATGTATATCTCGGCGGAGTTGCGCCCGCTGGATTGCGACACTATTATTATCTTCGGAGGTCATTTCTCCACGGGCGGAGAACACAGGATTGACCAGACGCTGGAAAACCCATGAATTGAGTCTGATTCGTAGACTGAGAAATATACAAAGTGTCAAAAAGAAATAGATGCCCTGAAAAGTAAAAATGTGATATTTTTTTGTGCTGTAAAGCTGCAAGCAAAAAGAAACTCTCCCTCGGGGAATCGAACCCCGGTCTCCCGCGCTTATCGGTGTTAATGACAAGCGGAAATCATGACCACTAGACCAAGGAAGATGTGATAGCCGAGTTACTGCTCGACCACTTGGGTGGTTGATGATAACATTGGCCTTTTTTTAAACTATGTCGCATTGTATGTCGCGCTGTTGCCCATCATCCGCAGCAGGTCAGGGCCTCGCACAGCGTACCACACACCACTTGACACCGTGATTCTCCATCTAAATGCTCCGTTTCCGATATCACTTCTGGTTGGAGAGTCGCTGAATGGATTCCGTACGCGTGGAAACACTCGTTAATGATCCTGGCTGTTTTGAGGAAACTAGCGACGGAGGGTTCCTTGACTACGACATGGACGGAGGCGATATTCTTTTGCTGGTTGAGGCGCCAGATATGGAGTTCGTGGATAGAGTGCACGCCGGGGATCTGAACCATTAGAAGGCTGTATCATATCTCGGTCAGGAGATTGCTCACCTTTTCTAGGTCGTGCTGGACATCGCTCAGATCAACGCCGGTTGGCGCACTTTCCAGGAGAATGTGACCAGCTCTTCGTACTGTATATGTGTGAGTTGAGCTCCAAAGAACACACGGGAATGACTCATACTCAGGGGGGATAGAAGACAGGATAATCATCAACGAGATGCCCATGCTCACTCCCGGGTCGGCGTAGTACCGGCCGTCGTATTTGGCCAGCCAGATGACCAATGCGGCGGCCATGACACCGAGATTGTTGGCTGCATCGCACAGAACGTGAATCAGGACACCCATCATGCCCAAGTCTCCATGGTCATGCCCATGCCCATGCCCATGCCCATGCCCGTGCCCATGGCTATGGCTGTGACTGTGACCGTTGCTGTGATCATGACTTCGCACAGTGACGGAACTATGCGATTTCTCGTAATCCACATGCTTGTGGTCATGATGCTGAGTAATGTCAGCACACCAATAATAAATCTCATCAAGAGCACCTACCTTGGCAATAGAATCCCCGTCGTCACTAATGGGTGACACTCCATCCTCAATCGTCAGAGGTGGGATATGACTGTGGCCGTGTTCGTGCCCATGTTCTGTTGCGAAACACAGAGTCAGTCTCGGGAACTTCTGACCCTGATGGTGAAACACTCACCGTGTAAGAACAAAGCACTGATGATATTCAGACTCAATCCAATACTCCCAATAATGAAAACTAGTTTCGGATCCTCAATACCTGCACCTTGGTTAGTCGTGCATTACCCAATCTAGGGAAGCTTTTTCATCTCACGCTGTAGTGAAATAAACCTCTCAACCGACTGCAACAAGATACTAAGTCCCAGTCCAAAGAGCAGCACCCCATTAAAGAAAGCACCCAACAACTGAGCCCTCTGCCATCCAAAAGATAGCCCCTTCGGAGACTCATCACCTTCTGAGACCTGAAACATGTCAACAATGATCAGAGACCAGCCTTCTTCGCGAACGAACCTTCAAGGCAATCAAGGCAATGACAAAGCCCACAAGGTCATTCAACTGGCACGGAGAAATTAGCAACTCATCCATCACAAAATATAACATCAACATACGTAGTGGAAAGCATCTGCAACTAGTGCAAGAGAGTGTGTGTAAAACCCCACTATCTTTCCGTAAGACACAAAAATCCAACCAGGAAAGACCAATCCCACTTACCCGAAATCTCCCCCAAAAAGAAACACGTTGAGATCCCAATCACCACGCACAAGCGCGTCGAGCGCGATATGCGGAAAGGCATCCCCGCGAGACCGTCTCACTCAATTATCTCTCACTCACTGGTCAGGGTCCTCGAACGATTCTCGATCTAATAGGAACTGATGAACCCGTAGAAGCAAGAAACCAAGAAGGGGCAAATGTAGGCGTACGAATGAGCTCTGAGAAAGATCTGAGAACCCTTTTGATAGCCAAAGACCCAGAGATTGTCACCTCCTTCTCTGGTCGGGTCTGTGACTACCGTGCAACTCCATGTCAGAGTCAGAGCTCCGACCGCGAGGAAAAATGCACGGGTACCCTGGGTGTGGCATGCGGGTTTATTCTAGGGGTATCAAGATTTGATTTTCTTCATACGAGCCGCAAAAGCCATTATGTATTTGAGAATGCTGTCTCCTTCCAGAATAGTAAGAACGAGGGTGATCAATTTGCTGAGAAAGCTTTTTTATGGTAGAGAGGTAGAGGTAACGCTGTGGGCTTGAAGACGACGCCCATGTCAGATCCTAATTCATGAAAAGCACGCGACTTGCGGAGAATTTAAAGACAGCACATCAATTCCACTTTTTACCCTTCTTCTTCTAGTCCCACGCTTTGACCTGCAGAACCTTTGCAGGTGGATCCAAGTTTGGGCGCGTAGGCAAGTGTCGCACCCGTGAAGAATGCAGGTCTTTCACCGTGCTCAAACACAAGCCAGCGCAATGAATGTGAGATTCCTCGGCTGGGAGATGCATTACCTCGTTCATGACATGCAGTACAATCCTTGATCGGACTGCCCTCCAGACTTTTACATGCTGGTTTTCTCGGGCCGTGCAAAATTACGCCAGTGCGTACCTCAGGTAAAGGCGTGAGTAATCTTTTCGAAAGTAGGCGTAAATTTCAACATCACTTGTGCGATGCGCATGGGCTCAAAGAAGTGATTTGGCAATGCCCAAAATCGAAGGAAGCTTGAAGCCATTCAAAAAAGCCAGAGACGGAGCGCTTGAAAACAGCGCGATTCTACAGCCATCCGCCTCCATGTCAACAAGTTGAGCATCAACTGTGAAACACATTTGCGTTCCAATTTCTCTCATTAATGGATTGATCATGAATTTATCGCGGAGCAACCTGAAAATCTTACTGATCGGGCATAAGTGGAAAGTGTTTATCATAGTAGGAGCATATCTATTCGAGTAACCCATAGCACTAGGGTTCAAGAAACGATAGAAGGAAGTATTATTAACACCGGTCTCGGAGTGAATTCTGTGTACAATTTATTATACGCATAATCATAATATTAAGGATGGAACCCATTTATGCCGCAATCTGGTCGGCCAAACCATCCAACTCTCTGGCCCAGTTGCGGTGACGCGAAATGTGCCAGACAAACTGCTCCGCCAAGCCCTTCGAGTCGGGTCCAACATTATCAACCTTGAGACCGTTGCCATCGCCATATCCAGTAACCACACCATAAGACTCGGTCACCGCAGTTCCCTGGGCAGCAACCTCAACCTCATCCAACGCGATCTGCTTACTGATGAATGCCACAGCCTCGTTCACACCGCAGATAGGCTTGAGGTGAGCGAATGATTCAGTAATCCAGAACTTGGCAACACCGTTCTTCGCCAAAGTCTCGATGTGTTTACCACCCGGCACAAAGACAGCGTCGAAGAGTGTCGACCGCATGCCGTTGAAGAAGTGATCCGGAATGACCTTCTCGCCAGATTCGGAAGTGACACCGGCGCGCTGGGCGCCAATTGTGAAGACGAATGCGCCGAGCGATGAAAGAGCTTCTTTCATGGCTGTGTAGGAGGCGTAGTCGAAGCCGTCGGCGATCAGGATGGAAATGCGGCGGGTTTCAATGGTAGGCTTCTCAGGCATGTATTCTAGCTGACTGAGACCCTTTGCTGTAGCGCCGTTGTTGGGCTTCAGAGCCTTGGACGGCTTCTCGCCGCCGACGTTTTCGGCGACGGTTTGGGCGAGCTCGAGGCTGACGGCTGCGACACGCTCGGTCATGCGCTTGTAGACGAGGGGATCGTCGCAGTGGTCGAGTTCGAAGGAGAAGGCTTTAGCCAAGTGCAACTTCTCAATCTCGGAGAGGGAGTTGTAAAAGACTTGGGCTTGGTTGTAGTGCTCGGCGAACTTGTCGGAGAGCAGACGGGCTTTGATACCCTGTTGCTTCTCGGGGTAGCTTGTGAAGCCGCCCTGAGCTGGCTTGGCGGGTGGGTTGGTCTCGAAGCGGTTCGGCCAGTAGTTCACCGTTCCCTTGGTGATCTTGTGCTTCATTGCGCCGTCGCGGTTGACGAGGTTCATGTATGGGCAGACGGGACGGTTGACGGGAAGTTCCTCCCAGTTCGGGCCAAGACGCGAGATCTGGGTATCGAAGTAGGAGAAGTTGCGGCCCTGCAGCAGTGGGTCGTCGGAGAAGTCGATACCGGGAATGATGTGGCTGGTACAAAAGGCGGCCTGTTCAGTCTGCGGGAAGAACTCGTCGACATTGCGGTTGAGCTCCAGCTGGCCAATGTATCGGATTGGGATAAGCTCCTCAGGCCAGACCTTGGTGGCATCGAGAGGGTCGAACTCGAAGTCGTCCTGCTTCTCCTCGGGGAGAATCTGCATGCCGAACTTCCAGCGCGGGAAGTGGCCTGCTTCGATAGCGCTGATGAGATCCTTGCGGTGGAAGTCGGGGTCCTGACCGCAAATCTTGAGAGCCTCGTCCCAAACGAAGGAATGCACACCCAACTCAGGAGTAAAGTGGAACTTGACGAAGCTGCGCTTTCCCTCCTTGTTCACCAAAGAATAGGTGTTGACACCAAAGCCCTGCATCATGCGATACGAGCGAGGAATGGCTCGGTCAGACATTTGCTACTTCGTGTTAGCCAAGGTTCCGTCAACCCTCCAGCGCAGATCACATACCCAATAGTTCATGTGTGTAGTCTCCGAATGCATGTAAATAAAGTCCCAGAAGTTGTTGTGCGCACTCTGACCCTGCGGCACCTCATTGTGCGGCTCAGGCTTGACAGAATGGATAACGTCCGGGAACTTGATGGCATCCTGAATAAAGAAGACGGGGATATTGTTACCCACAATATCCCAGTTTCCTTCCTCAGTGTACATCTTCACGGCGAAACCGCGCACGTCACGCACGGTATCCGCACTGCCCTTGCTACCCTGCACAGTAGAGAAACGCACGAACAGGGGAGTTGTGCGGCTGGTATCGGTCAATACACCAGCGGTGGTAACATCCTCTGCACTCTCGAACAGCTTGAAAGTGCCAAAGGCGCCCGTCCCGCGAGCGTGCACGACACGTTCGGGGATGCGCTCGTGGTCGAAACGCATAATCTACCACGATTAGCAATGTCCTGATAGGCAAGCAATGAGATGAGACATACCTTCTCGCGTGCAATCTGATCTTCCAGGAGCGAAGGACCAATGTGTTTGTTATCGCCAACCCGAAGCCAGTGATCCGGGTCTGAGATCTTGACTCCATAGTCGGTGGTCATATGTTGCTCGCCATTGAGCTCAACAGTGTCCCTGGCCATGTCGCGGAACTTGCCGTCCTCGACGGAGGCATTAGTGGGTGCCATAGTGAATTCAATTCAATTAACGTTATTCGACGCAATGAATTATAAGTTAAGGTGAAAGAAGAGAGTTCCATAGGGGGGGGGGGGGCGAGTTGCCATCTTTATACAACCCCATTCTCATGCCATGCGTAATATCCTGAAAGCTGGCTCACTACCGTCAATGATGTAATCTACCCCAGGCCGCTCTTGGGGGAGAATACCAATCACGGAGCCGGAATTTCCGCACGATGTGAAATCAGAACTGCTTAATCAGGTCGACCCGTCTCGATCACGAGCAGGACAACAGGGGGTAGACAAGCTAGGAGCTACAGTGGGGACGTCGACAACACGACAACAGTCCCTAAGAGGCTGGAGTCGGGCGAGGAGGATTGACCTTGACTGGCGGAAAAGGAAAACAGAGAGTGTTGGATGACCCAGTTCTGGGTCATAGCTTGTCAGTGTGCCGGAACAAGAAAAGCAGACAAGAAATCATTAAGAATATGCGGGCTCTGATTCGCGGGTCGACTTTCCTTTCACATTGATTCGGCACTTGGGACGGACTTCCCCCTCTCGCATTCGTTCAAGTGGCGGATTCAAGGTACAGTGTGGTAGCTAGCTTGTGAAGAACTGCCTGAATAACTAAGCGGAGTGGGACGTCTGGATAGAATAGCAGTGGGATATGGCTCTTCCTTCGATCATGGTTTCTAATGGGCGATCGGATGAGCTTTGGGTACCCATTGGAGACATGCTCAAAGACTATGACGTTGAGGTTCTGGAACCGGGGTTCTTATTAAGACAAGAGCTTACTAAGACTTAAATGGTGGAGTGTTAAAAGGAACTTGGTTCTGGTTGATCGACGTGACGTCATGTGATACTCAGCCTATCTGAGTGCAAGGCCTATTTCACCATTCTTAACTAAGAAAGTCCAGAATGTGGGTGATTGTAATGTGAAAATTCTTGGTGCATGAAGATATCTGATTTATATACACTATGCTCTCTAACAATGCATCTCTACAGGAGAATCTATGTCCAGGAAAAATGCAATACACACACATACAAGATCACGCTCTCTTTCACGCTCGCACAAGGACACAGGATACACCCAAGCCGTTGGGAAGATCAAACTAACCCAAGAGACTCACTCACATATTATCCTCGCTCCAATGACTCCTGGTTTTCAACCAAGCCTCTCTCTCTTCCTTACCCTCCTCGGGCGTCTTTCCAACTCCAAGGCCCCGCTCGACCCACTCCCGACTTCCCATCTCCGAAAGCCGCGACAAAGCGCGTGCAAATGCAAAGCGCTCCTCGTCACCGCTGAAAATAGACGTGTTTTTCAGCGCCTGCACTGACATGCCCAGATCGTCCATCAAGTTGCGCATTGCGTCCGAGAGATCGGGAGTGGTCACCCTTCAGGCCATCCTTGACATCTTTCTCCGAGAGAAAGAGGTTTGTCAGGGGGACTTCGGTTGTGAGGACGAGCTTTGCCTGCAAAACATATTAATCAGAAAGGGCTCAAGGGGGATTTCACAAGGCTGGATACTAAACACGTGAAAGGGAAAAAGGTACATACCCTGCTCTCATAAACCGCGTCAATGAAAGTAATGAACCGACGGGCGAGGTCACGCTGGTTCAGGTTCATGCCTGGGACATCTGTCACGATAAAAGCATCATAGTGGCGCACCAGCTCAAGATAATCCGCTGCACCAGTAGCGGTGCCGATCAGCTCGTTGAAGGTAAATTGTGCAGCCTTGCCGCTGGCCCGAGGCACCCGGATCGTGCGACCCCAAACTTCCTGTGTGGCTGGATGGGGAGGATCATCAATAGGATCACCGAGGAAATCGAACCATTTCTTCGCATGTTGTTCGGCATCTGCGTCCAGGGGGTGGTGGTAGACGGCTGCGGGGGGGCGGGGGATCTTTCGATAATCGGTCGGGGAGTTGAGGTTGATGACTTTCAGTTCGGATTTGAGGAGGTTGATGCAGGGGATAAACGATTCGCGCTGAATGCCGTTCTTGTACAAGTCGTCTGGGTGACGGTTGGAAGTTGTGACGATGACGACGCCGTGAGACATGAGGACTTCAATGAGTCTGTATACTCATTAGAAGTCTGATCCTCTGTTATGCCGCAAAGGGTAAGTAGTGTCATTGATAGGGGCACTCACCTTCGCAGAATCATAGCATCAGCAACATCCGTACACTGGAACTCATCGAAACAGAGCACATTCGCCATCTCTGCAATATCCGCCGCAACCATGGGCAGCGCATCAAAGTCATTGCCATACTTCATCTTCACAACGTGCATGCGCTTATGTACATCCTGCATGAAATTGTGGAAATGAATACGGGTCTTGTTCTTGATATTCGGCGGTAGCGTATCGAAGAAAAGATCCATAAGCATAGTCTTACCACAACCCACATCTCCATACATGTACAGACCCTCTGGCAGGTTCTCCGGGATAGCCGATTTCGCAGCCTTCTCTTTCTTATTACCGAACAGCGAGCCGAAGAAAGACTGCTTGGGTTGCGGGTCAAGAGACTCGACCGAAGGGTGAATGACCTTGGGCGCATCGTAGGTTTTGAGAGCTTCGAAGAGGTCTTGGAGATTTTGGATAATTCCTGTGCTTGTTAGACTTGCATTTCTTCCTTTTTTCTATGGCATCGCCCCTACCTCGCTGATACGGGTCATCTCGTAGCCGGCCCTCTTGTACGCGCGTATCATACTCCTTCATCGGGCCTTCTGTGGGTGCGACGTAGTCCTTCGGGCCCTCCGCGGTAGCGGCGCCCTGGCTCGCGGTAGCCAGACAGCGCCCCCTCGTGCGCAACGGTAGTTGAGCGCCTAGGGCCCGCGCAGCAGTAATCTCATTTTGCGAGCGGTTTGGGACGGTCCGAGACGATCCTCGCTGGGTGGCATAGGTGCGCTCGCGCACAACACCCCGCGGCCGTGCAGCACTTCGGACGCCCGTGGAAGAGCGCAGTGCGCCGGGAAGACAGTCCCTACAGATCTTCACTGAGGCCCGACTCATTTGTGCGGTGGACGTATATACTTTGTGTAGCGCTTCGTGGCGGATCCGGGATGGTGGGCGTAGCCGAGGTAGTGCTGCGGGAATTGTTTGTTTTTGCCGGGACAGAAAGTGCGATGGACGGCGGGTTGGCGTCGCGACAATAGATAAAAAACGCTCAAGGAAGCGCACCGAAAGTACCGACAAAAAGCGCTATGTATAAAAGAACGAGATGTAATTTTGAGGTTTAGTGGCTCCTGTTCCTGAGGCGAAAAATGAACGGGCCGATGAGCCGAGTCATGTGATTTCGGGAATAGATGCAGAACCGAATATATCCATCGTGATGTCTAATTTTGGAAATTTAGACGCAAATAGGTAAAGGCTTTGCTATGTATGCAGAATGAGAGCATATGTACATTGCCATCAGCGTGGCAGGGTATTGTCCCCCAAAACAAGGTATAGATGAGAAAGGAGATAGCCCAGACAGGGTAGTCAAAGACAGATCAGAAAGAAAGGAATCAGAACCAAGGCGGAGAGAGAAAAATGCGTAGGGGAAGAAAAAGTTGACCATAATAAACATGTAAGATAGCAGAAAATAAAAGGCCATGCCATACATCACGCGTCATATTCGTAACATCGCGAACGTCCTCCCCTCGAAACACGGAAAAATCAAGTGCAATCGCTCAAAGGGCTAATGAAGCCACAGGGAAATCTCGAAAAGGTGGATGCCAGAACTCCAAATGCACCGTTACTCGTTGCAAACAAAATGGGGAAAAAAATGAAACACAAATGAACATGAACCAAAATGCACCATTGCGCCGCGCGCTTGTCTGTCGGATTCAGATCCAGGTCCAGGTCCAGGTTCAGGCGACGCTGACAAACAGTGTCAACTTTGTATTGCGCTGCATGGCACCCTCCAAATCTTGATCAGAGACCAGATCGACGTAGGAACCGGATGTCTCATCGCGGTACTGCACGATGATATCCTCCTGGATCTTCAGTCGATCGCACAACTTGTCTTTCAGATGCTGCATGCTGACGCCAGATGGGATGCGGATCGCGATCAAGTCGTCCTGGAAGAATACCTTGACCTTCATCGCGCTCGAATTCGAGGCCGAGGAAACTTGCGTTAGGGAGCTTGCTTGGCGGTTCATCGGTGGGGGCGCAATAGAGCCGGTCGAAACTGAGCCTGAGCTTTGCTGAGGGCGCTGCGGTTGCGACGTGCGGTCCTGGGATGCGTTCATCGGGACCTGGGAAGACTGGCGGGACAGGCTGCGCGAGGGATCTGAGTGGTGCGACTCGCCCGAGTACCGTGCCTCCTCGCCAAAGGCGTTCGGGTCGATTTCAAAGTCGCCTTGGCGCGGCGCAAACAATTGTCGAACAAGTTGGCAGCGGGAGATGTGCGGGGGCATAGCGAGAAGTTTCTTGATATACTCGTCGAGGTTTTGGCGACGGCCGTTGGAGATCGCATCGGTAACGTGGGTAACGGGGCCGGGCATGAAAGGGAGGGTACGAGGTCGGCCGCGGTTGCCGGCCTCGTCTTCAAACTGGGTCAGGAGGGCGATCTGGAAGTCGTAGAAGTCGTGATAGTATCTTGAAAGTTCCCAGCAGCGACCGTCTTCCATCTTGGCCTCGATGATGTACCAGTATTTATCGTTATCGAAGCAATAGCGCGGGATCGAGGCGGCGACCGGTGCGAGGACGGGTTGGAAGTTTGCATTTTGCGTCGGAGGGGCCTGCGACGCCAGTGTCCCCTTGCTGGCGTTGCGCTGGTGGTAGGCCTGGATAGATTGTTAGTATACTTGTGTCGCATTCACGAAAGTGAGGGACGTACGTAAGCGTTGCCGTTCTGGCTCATGTGTGCGCTTTGGTTGGGATTCATGGACATCTGCTCCATTCCATTGGTGACGCCGCTCATGCTGCCGCCAGAGGCATGGCCGCCCTCAATCTTGCCGAGAGTGATGCTACTGTTCTTATATTCGGCAGTCATCTTCTTCCATTCCTCCACCTTGGGGACACCGGCGCGTCGCACAGCCTCCAGCGGGTCGGTGACGGCTTGGCCCGAGGCCATGTCGCGAAGTTCAATGAAGGAGACCGGAATCAAGCCAGGGCCACCCAGACGACCGATAGGTTTAGCGACGAACCATTCGGGATTGGACTGGGCGATGACAATAATTGCCTCTCCAGCCTTCGCGTCGAGTTCATCGGTGCGTTCGGCCTGGAAATCGTACTGGACAATGCCGTAAACCATGGCGCCCTGGCCCTTGCCGAGCGCAGACATCCTGAAGGCGCCTTGACGGGTGGTGTTGTTCGGAGATGAAGGAATGCGGTCGGAGAATCCAGAGTCGTGGTGGTCCTTTTTATGCAGATCGCCGGAACCCCCACTATCCCTTTCGTTTTTGCCGATGACCTCGAAGAAGGAGACAGGAACAAGCCCTCGAGCCTCAGGGATAAGCGGATTACAGGCCTCGTACCAGTCCGAGTCGTCCTCCCTGCTGATAACGTGAAAGAAGTCGCCCTTGCTGAAAGCCAATTCTTGGTTGTTGCCTTCGGGGTGGTAGTCGTAGAGAGCTTTGATCACCTTGTGCGGTCAGCCACATTTTGCTGTGGGACACCAGAGAGGGGGGACGTGTTTCACTCGTTTACGGAGTACACCGTGGGGTTAAAGGGGGGGGAAAGGGAGAAACAAGGAAATACCTTTTTGGGAGGAAGAATCGCGAGCGCAGATTTGGGGGTAATAGAGATGTGATGATGATGCTTGGGTTCTTTTTCCCCCTTCAAGGATCGTCTGATGGCCTGAAACCGCGGGTTAGGTTAATGACACACAATACGGCGCGTAACGTATCCGAGGGGCAGCTTACCTTCATTGTGACCTGGGGAAAGAGAAGGGACGGAAAGGAGAGGGGAAAGAGAGTGATGACAAGTCAGAAAAGCAGGGAGAAAAAGGGGATCAGCTTCCCTTTTTTTTTTCCCTGGCCCTTGAATGCGACCATATCACGAAGTGTACGGTATTGCGGTTCCAACCACAGGAACGGGCGGGTTGGTGATGAGAGGCCCGCTTTTTGGTTCTATCCTCAGCTTCGAGAAAGATAGGACCTATCTATGGAAATCCAAATTGGGGCATAGGTGGCGAGTCCTCAGGTCCTTTGCCCTGACGACAGGAAATCCACGGGCGCATACAGCCCCAATGAACACCCAGCAGTTCATTGAAGATCCGAACATACACGTAATACAGCGTACACGGGCTCAGCATTGGGCAGACATTCAGCTAGGTTCCCTTTGTGTTCGGCGGTTAACCAACGTTCCTCGCCGAGTCCTCGACTCGCATTGGAACACTACCCAAAGACAAAGACCTATCCCATGCTCTCTGTAAAAAGAGGAACATCTTCCCTTACACTCCCCTCAACTCATCTGTGGTTCGACCAGGCGCACCAACCGTGGATCGAATGAGAGGTTCCATTCCCAAAGCCGCTTAGATCGGCATGCGTTCTTTTAGGGCGCACGGGAAATGAACAGAACAAAGCCCCGGGCTAGGCCTAGCCCTGGCAAGGTCGAGTCTTTGCTACTAATGCAAAGAATGATCAAGTCCGGGGCTTCGAATGCGCGGCCCCCGCAGCGTCCCGGTAGACTGTCCTGCAAAAGGCATGCACATTCGGCCCTGGACCACTCTGCCCACGTAACTCGCCGTATAAATAGATCGACGTGGGCTGTCATGGGTCTGGGTCTTTCATCCGCCTGGAGAAAACAGACACAGACTAGGCTGAACAATGCCGATCGCCGATGATGTCAGTGTGGCCAGCCCTATTGACTCTGTTATTTGGTCTATAACCACAGATCCCATACCCTCGGGGGGTTTGAATGACTGCAAACGATGACCGGCTGAAAATGAGTAGAGGATCCGCGTAATAGAGGCCCCGTTCTACTACACCCGCACCCGTGGATATAGACCATTCTCGCTTGAGATGCTAATATTCTTTGGTGTGTGGGCATCCACTCTGTGCGTTGACCATCACACTGCCACCCATGGCTGACGCCGCTGTGGGACCCACGTGGCGGGGCGTTGCCCATGGCTTCCATGGAAGGACAATGGAAGGATATATGGAAGACAGTAAACACGGTTGCGTACGCTGTCTTTGATTTGTCTGTGAGTGATTCACACGACCTGCCAGAGTGTGGGTCCTTTACAACGAAACAATGACAGACTCGGGTGCAAATCATTGTGGAGTCAGTGGCCTGGAGAGTCAGGTGTCAACCTCTCGTGACCACATGAGGGAACTATTTAATTGTTCAAGGTATCCTGGGATGATATGGAAAATTCTCAACTTGACGTCTGTGACGTGCTTTTGAGACTCTACGTGATCTCACTTTCAAAGTGGCGACCTTTAGGTTCATAGGTTATCAAAATCTCGAAATGGGCCATATGCCGGTTATCCCACTACCATAGAGTAGAACAAGTGAAGGTGACGAAATAAATGCCATGCTTGTTTTTGCTCAAATGTACTCCGGAAACGATATATACTAGTCGAGTACTCCAACACCAAACCCCACACTAACACCAAGTCCACAATCCCTGCCCCAAACAAGACGCCAGCGGGTATTAGTATGCGACTGTTGCAGACCTGAAAGGGAGGGGAATGAAGAAGCAAAATGAAATGGGGCAACTCCAAGGGAAAAGGACCTGGGGCTAGCTCGACCCGAAAAACGCCCTGCTGAAAGAAAGGCCGACCAAGGCTACTGGAAAAGGATGACATGACTTTAGACCTCGACCTAGATCTGGCCCTTGATGTCGACCACCGCGTGGGCTGCAGCCTTGGCTTGTTCAAATAGCAGGCCTGCTTTTCCGGTCAGCAGCCTCACAGACCCATTTTTCTCCTCGAGTAACTCGGGCGAGGAATTTTCAAGAATGAACCGCGCGGTCTGCTCATCGGACTCAAAGCCAAGCTCTTCCGTGATGAAGCGGATGTTCACGTCCGGTTTATACCTGCAACTGTCAGCATGCATGTTCATTTTCCTCAAAAGGGACGTAAGCATGAACAGGGTCACTCACGCTCTACAGATAGCAGCCAGAGCAGTCAACCGTTCCCGATCGACGAACATGTCCATAAGATACGCGCCCATGTTCGGGGTATCCAGATACAGCTGGAAAAAAAGGTGATAGTTTCCGAGCGCCAGCGCAGACCTCACATCGAGCGCATGCTTCACAGCAAGGTCCTGCCTGTCGTCTGCGGTTACGTCGGCGAGCGCATCGTTCATGGCCGTCCAGTTGCGCGTGTAAATGAAATAGAGAATACGATACGCCTTGAACTCCGTCGGATGTCCGCCTAACTGCGCTGCGTACAGAACCCGCAGTTGTGTTTGACACTGGTTATACTCACCCAGATCGCCTTTTTCCAGGGCGATGCGCGCGTGAATCTCGTAGACAATCACAGTGAATTCGTTCCGGATATGCTGGACCGTCAAGTCCTGGCGGAGAGACTTGAACTGATCACAAATGTAGCCGTAATTGCCCTCTTGTTTCCATTTCCTCTTGAGTAGGTCCAGGGTATTTTTAAGCACGGGAAGTGGCCGCACGGTGTCAGGGTTCGGGGCTGATGTCAAGCGGAAGTAGTTCTTTTCCAGGGTTTGGCAACGGCCGATCACGGGTCCTTGGTCGACTGGGGGACTGCGGGCCGGCGAGGGAACAGGTGAGGCAGATCCGTAGTTGGCTCCGGCTCCCTCAAAGCGCTTCTTTCTCATCTCCAAATTAGCTTTTGACTTACTAGAGTCATCTGTTGTCATGCGGGGTCTCTTCTCTGTGGAAGGGTGAGTGATCCGGTCTTCAAACCGGTTGCGAGTGTTATTGTTAGCTTTTGTCCAGGGGTGCGTCTCTGCGTCGTGGCCGAGACCCGGTTTTCTCTTGCGGGAGGCATCCACCGGCGAAGAAGGGGTAGACATTCCCCAGTTCGACACGTTGGGGTTGGCCAGAATTTTGTTGCGTTCGTTCTGAATCATGACTTGTGGGAGAGCCAATCTCTCCCAGTCTATGGTGTTGAGCTTATTGTTCTCTGCCGCATCGGTAATGACAAACTTCAGCTTCTCTTGCATTTCCTGCGTGGTCACGCTGGCCATCTTGTTCTCAGGCGCGAAACAGCGTTGCACATACGATCGTACGGCAGGTGGAAACTGCACGCGCGGCGGCGGAGTTGCATCCGCTGGTGTCATGTCGGCTCCGTTGGTGGCTGGGGCTGGTTTGTTATAGGCAAGGCTACGACGTGCTTGAACAGGAATATAGGCAGGGGTCGCTATGAGGTAGGTCAGCATCATATCACACAGAGAAGGCGGAAAAGATTACTTACCAGTAGGTGGATAAGCAGCAGGTGTGGGGTTCGAGGCCGAGGCCGTGGCACGCCACGGGGCGAAGCTCATCCCGAGGGTCTCTAAAAAAGTTGTAAAGTGGCGAAGGGTGACAAGAAGTGAGATCGAAGAAAGAACTCGGAAAGTAAGGGACAAGATAGACGAGAAGGCTACGGAGGAAGCAGAAATGAAAATTTGGGAAACCGTAGATTTAGGAAGTCAGTGTTCACTGACAGCGCACACGGTCACAGTTGAAGATTGAGATTTGAAGTTCAACTCGCTTACCCCGGAGTCACTTTATTCCGGCACCGCGGTCTATCATAGTCGCGCTATCGCGTGCGCTTCCCTATGCCACCTGCTAGATGTTTTTCAAGTCTCTTGACCTAACGACTGCATTGCGGCCTTTACTGTTGCCTGACGAGACTCTTCTCTTTGTCCAGGATGCGGTGGGCTTGTATGAAGGGTACGTGGTTCCCGGGTTCCTGGGTTGCGGGTTGACGCCATACTGATATCCACCCAGGAAATACAAGATCCCCAGTTACCAAAATGGCCATGCATACTTGACGTCGCATCGCGTATGCTATGTGGCCGCGGAAGATCCGCGCAAACATTCCGTGGGGATCGACCTGAAGGAGATCGATCGAGCAGATTATCAGGTACAATCTACGTCACGATGCTTGGTATTGAATCACTAAGTTTTGTCTCATTAGGCTGGCTTCTTGAAATCATCGCCGAAGATCACAATATATCCCAAGCCGCAGAAGAGCAAGGACAATTTGCGGAGCGTAAATGGCAGTCCTGCTGTATCGCAGACCAGCCTACGACCGGTGAAGCCGCTCTCCCCGCATCCTCAATCCGTCGGGCCACATCCAACATCTTCTCCGAAACCAATCAACGCGACATGGATTTGTCCTATTTGCTCATTCTCTAACCCATTGCCCTCAAACTTTGACACTACGACAGCTACTCCGGCAGTTAATTTACCACCATGTCTGGCCTGCGGTATCAAACCACCATTCACGACTGTCCTCAAAGCGGCGATTAGCGCGGCCGCCGGTTCCGCTGGTCGAGATCCGCTTTTACCCAGCTCGGACTCATTGCAGGTCGAAGATAGCGCCATCACGAGAAATGCAAGCTGGACCGATCCTGCAGGAAGTGAATCTGTGTCGTGCCATCGTTGCACATTCGTGAACCACTCATCTCTCATCGAATGTGAGATGTGCGGCGCACCGCTTGTATCGGCCCCGACGTCAAATAGTGAAGTCAATGCGAGTCGCTCAGATTCTCCAGCTCCATTCTTCGATCAAACGCGCATCGCCAATACGGAAGTGACGGAGAGCATCAAGCTTTCATTTCGAGCCGGCGGAGAGAAAATATTCCACGAGAGACTGAAGGGGGCCCTCATTCAGCGGAAATGGCTCCTACAAAATGCGCCACCAGTACCTCCACCCTCGCAAACATCATCAAGTACACCGACTAGTACAGCCGTAGAAAGTCCTCAGCCAGCCTCACGTACCGCTGTGGGTATTGCAGGCTTAGAGCAAAGGGGACTAGAAGCTCGCATGAACAATCAGCTGGTGATAGGCAATGCCTTTGAGGATCTCGAGGCGCTCATGGCGTCTGCAAAACAGATCGTGGCACTCGCAGAGACTCTTGCCAGGGAGTCTGGAATGGCGAGCAACGAGGGTTCTGCAGAGACCAACGCAGTACTATCAGAATCCGTAGCTGCCTTGGGAATGGTGACTACCAAGGATATGCTTAGCTCAGGATCAGAGAACCTCTATCTATCAGAGTTGTCACGCAACCTCGCCGAATACCTAACAGACGACCGCAAGGGATTTTTGCAACGGGAGGGCGGCATTATGAGTTTGATTGACTTATGGGCGGTATTCAACCGATCCCGCAACGGAGTAGAACTCGTCAGTCCCTCCGACTTTGAACGGGCAGCTGAGTTGTGGGAAAAGCTCAAATTACCAGTTCGGTTGCGTCGGTTCAAGAGTGGTCTACTTGTGGTGCAGAGATTCGATTGGAGCGACGACAAGACTGTACGTCAACTTCTGGAATGGATGGATGAACTACGAGTCGTACCACCCGAGGAGCCGGTTCAATGGGACTGGAGGGAATTTGGTCGGGCCGTGACAGCGCAGGAGGCGGCGCAGCGCTTCAAATGGAGTGTCGGTGTGGCTACTGAAGAACTCGAGATGGCTGAAGACCGGGGGGTCCTGTGTCGCGAAGAAGGGATAGAGGGTCTCCGATTCTGGAGCAATCGATTATAGACTTTAGTTCCAGAGTCTAGAATTTGGAGTAAGGAAGGTGTGCCGATGTCAAAAAATGAATAGGTCCGCATGCATGATTGATGACGATGGTTTGCGATATATCAGTGACCGACGATTCGCGGGCTTCGAGTTTGACGTCATGGGTTGATGACATGCGGGGATCCCGTGACTCTTACGCTGTGACTGGCTGACCCCGCGATGATCGGACTCTGCCCCACTCAACTCGGAGTCCATTGCTCCTGCTATGGTGTCCTCCTGCTCACTCCTTGGGCCTGTCTCTATTCTCTACATCGTCTAATATACCTCATCTTTGCTTGCACCTTCACGACTATTCACTCACACCTCTGCAGACTGACGATCTACCTTGAACGGTCTTCAGACGCCTACCGTGGGGTCAGGATAAGCGGACCCGCTCTTATACACCCGTTGCGAGTGGGTATGATCGACGGTTTTCTGGAGCCCACGACGCGAGCTACTTCCAGTCCACTTCTATACAGCCTGAGAGCTACCAGAGACACCTCAAAGCCCACCCTGGGGCATACGTATCCATATCAATCATGAGTTCCTTTTTAGCCACCTCTTCAACGGGCGCCCGCCCAGCCCTTTCACATCTAGTTGTTGTCCACACCGCCAGTCGAAGTGTAATAGGTGCTGCTCGCCACTGTCATAGCAAACATGATGATGTGGAGCGTATCTTTCGTCGAATTGCCAAGTACCACCGTCATCCCCAAGCCAACCCCTCCCGCAAAGTCGAGTGCCAATCGTGGCCCTCTACGGCCCACCATGACTCGAACTCGAGTTTCCCATGGGGGTTGCCTCCTCGCTCTCGCTCCAGATTCTCAGGCTTCTCCGCTGGCCGAGGGAAGGATTTCTGGGATACAGAGCGCGAACAGCTACATCGCCGGATGGCTTACATTAAGAGAAACGCCACCGAAGACCCATATTGTGCCATTTTCGGTCGCCGGTCAGACTCATACCGTGTGGATAAGCAGGACCACATCTGGCCCAGTTTCTTGCGCTCTTTTTTGAATATCGAACCTGCTTTCGAAGAGAATCCTTCTAAAGCTCATCTTCAGGACTTCAACTTCGTCAAGTCTCCCGAGTCGGGTGCGGAAGGGTACCAGTATGACCCTATAAGCGGTCGTATGGCTCCCATGCCGCCGAAACCCGCGGAAAAAGATGCCTTGGCTAGTGTCGAATGTCCCCCTGGAAATGAACTCGAGGCCAAACTTGTGTCCGAGCCGTTAGGTGAGGAAGGCGCTGAGACACCCAATCCCGAGTCCGTCGATTGCGCTGGTGGAAGCGAATTGGAGGCTCTTTTCAATACCGAACCGGCTAGCTTTAAAGAAGCACAAGTGATGTCGAAGGTGCCTCATGGTGAGGAGTCAAACGTGAAACCCAATATTCACGTCGACTGCTCGCCTGGTAACGAGTTGGGTGCTCTCTTCGTGTCGGAATCACCTCGCACGGAGCAGCCCGGCACTGAGACTATGCAGGTTCTGGAATCAGAGAAGAAACTCGATCCTGATTCAGGTCTAACGTCTGGTGTTAATATTGAGTGTACTCCAGGTCACGAGCTAGAGGCTATGTTCGCTGCCAATCATGCCGCTCAGAAGGACCAATCTTGTCCATTGGATACATTCGATGCTCAGCCCAGCAGCCGTGATGATTGTGACTCTGTTGACTGCCCCCCTGGGAACGAGCTGGATGCCAAGTTCGCTGGGCTTGACTCCCAAGCTGCCAGCGTCACTGAGGATGCTCCATCAACCGTTGATTGCTCTCCTGGTAACGAGCTCGAAGCAAAAATCGTTTCTGAATCTATAAGCTTGGGCGTCCCCATTGATTGCCCTCCGGGGAGCGAGCTAGAAGCCAAATTTGCTGCTAATCCCGCTTCTGTCGAGCATGCCTCGTTTCCAATGGCACCCGCTGTGGAGCCCATGACCACCAAGAAAGCCAATGTCAACATTAATTGCGACCCCGGTAGCGAGCTCGAAGCTCTCTTTTTGTCCGATGCAGCCACCACTGGCTCACTCTCTTCCTCAGTCTCAAAAGTCAACAGCACGACCAAGTCCCATAAGTCAAAATTCGACTTCGAAGGCGCCGAAGACCGAGTCGGCGACTTCCTCAAAGTCAATCAAGAAAACCCCTTCCAATGGTCCACCAGTGAATACCGCATCTTAGCCTACGACTCTTCTGTATCAAAGATCAGTGCATCTGAAGTCGACTCATTCTTCGGCACCACCTCAACCACAGCACCCGAAGACATACTCGCCCGTCTACACAACCCCGCCAAGTTTGTCCCCTACTTTCAGCAGATGCAAACAGACGGCTACGATATCGCTACCGGTGGGGGTGATATTCTTGTCTTTCGCCGCTCCGCCAGTACAGCCGCCCACACCTCACACTCCGCCGACAAGAAAGTCAACCAGGACATCGCCAACTCTACCCGCCACGACTCCTACCCGACTTCCCACTCCACCTTTCAGGTGAGTGTTTAAGATAGGTCCCATGCGATCAACCCTCTAACCGGTCCAAGCCCCCAAGCTCGTCCAGCCCAAACTCGAAGCTGAATCCCAGATCCAAACCAGGGATCTTCCGCAGGGTATTGTTCGCTAGTACAGTGACAGCAGCTTCATGCTACGCCATAGGAGTGGTAACTGAATTCTTCCGCACCGGGGGCGATGACGGAAAAGGCATTGATGCATTTACTGTCTTTGAATCTGATCGGCGGCGCGAGTAGACTACGTCTTCCATCTTCTTTTCCTTGATTCCTTGCCATTCTCTTCTTGTATAAATTTCATATCTTGCTTAGACCGCGAGTCGGTCAATCATGTGGTTTACTCTTGTTGGGGGGCAGGAGGAAGGAAGTGGGAGCGTTGAACGGTCCTCTTCCTCGTTCGTTTCTTTACATGTACATATCTATCTTTCTTGGAGCATTTCGGTTGCTATGAATCTATTTGATCTCAATCTAAAAATCTTGATGACTTGTTTCATCCATTGCTTTTAAGGTGGATTGACCCTGAAGTTTGGCTGCAACAATTAATGTGCATGAGTTGCCGAATAATGTCTGGCAGCCCTTGGCTCTCTTCCACTTCAATTTTAACCCCTTAGCGCTTATCGATAAGTAGGTACTATGAAGATAGAAGAGGAATAAGAAAGTATTTTAACGATAATACTAGAGATAAAGCTATAGATTGAGCTATCATGGAAGCCAAGGTAAGGATACGGTAAAGAGGGGGTAATATCCCCAATTAAATGCGAATAGGTACGATTGAGCTCGCCCCTGAATAGCCTGAAGCGTATACATATTCGTGAACTTGTAATTTCCCGTCGATTCTCCTTGTACATTGAGCAATGTACTGCTAAGTATACTCTCGCTACTAATGATGTGGTCATGCATTTTAGTATATCTCCGCCACGACATGGCCTTCACACTTCATGTGTTAGATACCGCAACTTCAAGTGTCGACATTGCCAACGATCATCTCCTCATCGCCTCGAGGACGTCTAGGTTCAGGAAAGAGAATGCACTCATCCTCCCAGACAGAATCCCACCAGTCCCGCCGAGCATCACGAAGTCTACCGATGCGATCATCTTGTGCATTGCGCATACTCTCTCGCCGACGGTGAGCTTCATCGGCCTCCTCGCGCGCAATCAGCCCCTCGCGACGAAGCTCCTCTTCCTTCTCCTCGAAATACATCTCCTGTGCGTGCAACTCATGATACACCCGAGCATCGCGCGCCGGGTCAACATCTGCCCCACTGTCAGGGCTCAAAGTGTCGTCCACGTAGGGATGCTTCTGGAATACTTGCTGCAGGGTTCCGCATCGGGCAAACCCACTCAGGAGATAGAAGTGCAAGGCGACAAGCATTTGGACAGCGGCGGCAAAGTCCTGTTGGTCCCAGAGATCGTACTCACGTGAAGCCAGGACGCGAAAGGTACGCACGTTGGGTTCGTTGTCCAGCTGCTTCATCTTGCTAGCTTGAATTTGCTGGCGTACTCGCTCCATGTTCTCAGTTCCGTAGAACCGGCTGCCGCCGGGTGTGAAAGGGGACATTGCATCGGTGCTGGAAAGTGGGATACTAACATGGCCTTCCTCGTCGACGGAGTCTTCAACGTGTAGACTGGAGGGAGTCTCTGGGGATACAGATCTTAGGGCTTGGACTGTTTCGGATGAGAATACAGGTAGTGGGCTGGAGATTTTGCGACGACACCACAGGCTGGAGATTTTTTGGCCTGGGAAGTAGGTGCGCATGAGATGGAGCTTTGAGCCGTGCAGACCGATCAGGAATACTTCCTGGTCTGGGAGCTTGTCGCCCGGGTTAGGGAGGTATCGCAGGTGTTGCAGCAGTTGGCCGAGCATCATCTTGAATTTGTCTGCGAGGGCGGAGGCAAGAGGCTGTTCTTTGGTGGTCTTGAATTCTGTTAGTTGTGACAGCTGGACATGAAGATTACATGGATCTTGTTGCTTCTTGCGTACCGTGGAGGTCGGAAGAATGGTGTGGCTGGTCCATGAATCAGGACTAAACTTGAGAGAGAGGAAGCCCGCTGTCTCGGGTGCATCTTTGTGTTTCTCACGGTATCCTGTCCAGTACTCCATCTGAGTACCCAGCAAATGAGGCCTCCGTGACACTTAGTAAGATTCGAAGGTGCTGCCGCAGCTCCAGGTCGGGCACGATCACTCACGTCAAGTAGAAGATACCATCCCCATCACAGGTCTCCCGCTTGAGATCAATCATCTTACCAATCTCGCTTAACAACGCGTAGATGACCTGGGACTGAGCTTTGATTCGGCCTGTGAGTAACTCATACCGACAGTCCTGAGATCCATCCTGCCACAGTCCTTTTGTGAAGTGCGGACACTTGACGAGACTCTGAAAGACCCCTCTATAACGGATGTCCACCTTGGACCATTCCATGTCCACTCCACGGGCATATTCGTTGCCGCTTCTGAAGACCCAAGCCCTACGCTGGACATTTGCTGTAGACGCAATTAGCTAGTATGACATTGCCTGCGGTTCGATGTGTCTTTCTTCTTGATTCAGAAGTGAGAGAGAACAACAAAGTTAAGCTTACGCGTCTGGTTTGCCAGTCTCAGATATCTGGGAGGGATGAGCTCCTCGAGGTCGCGGTTCAGGAAGAATCTGGCTGTGATATTTTGGACATCGCACTCGATGGGGCCACTGGAGACCGGGTTGAGATCTGTGTTGAGTGGTTGTAGCGTTCTGATTGAGTTGAGGGTCGGCATTGCGAAGTTATCCAGAGACGAAAGGAATCAGCGACGGCAAACGCAGGAATAGTGAAAGTGATAGAATCAGTGGAGGGTTTCAGGGGATGCAAGATGTTCAGTGTGCGCCTGAAAAGTGAGGAGAGGACTCCTGTGCTGCCAATTGAGACTTGCGTGAGATCCGGTCCTCATTATCTAGGTTGCTGCGAACTTGAAGGCACTTGCTAGAAGAGAATGAAACAAATTGAACATTCAATATTCTAACATCTATAGGCTAAAATTCATGACTCACTGTCTCTTTTTCTTCAATAGCGTAATATTCGAAGCGGCGATTTTCTCGCACCACGAACTATGCGGGCTTTCAGACTTGCCACAAATTTGGTGCAATCGCAGCCGTTGAGATAACACCATTAGTACCTAAGTCTCATTGAGATTGGATATTGGTCGCTCCTAGATGAAAGCCCAGATGCATTTGTCTCAAATTTGAAAATCCCATTCGGACGGATGAAAGCCTTTTTATACCTGTCCTCCGTCTTATTGAACTTGTCGTGTGCGCCCCAGCACCAATTAAATCGATCTCGTGAGAGATGTAGTAGCTAGGCTTCGCCTTGCCGGCGATGATCGTATCACGCAGGCTTCTATGTTACGCCCTGACATTACACTGGCCGGTACCGATTGACAGACTCTATTGTGTGTTCAATCCTGAGTTCTTATAATAATTGTCTAATAATAAAAGCCTAAGTACATGGCTCGTAGCGCATGGCCGTGTTCGCCTCGTAATATAATACTTTCAAGACATGAAGGAAAGCAGCAGCTCGGGCAAAGGATGAGCTCGGAGAAGACTGATTCGTTGAAATTTTCAAGTTGCTCGTTGCAGATACTGCAATGGTACAACTTGAAACCATCCAGAAGTTGTGCTGAGAAATGCGTTATCTCCGCAATCAAAATCTTGGAAGGATTGGCACTGGTTCAATTTCTTGGAAAGACTCGAGAAACCAAAGGGTATTTCTATAGTTTGCATAAGTCCATGGCCTCCAGCCTCGAGCTACCTTTGAAAATGCTCGTTTTCTCAGAATTGCCAAAGCATGCGATTATTTATAGCGGTTTCTTGGTTATTTGAATGGGATGAGACAGAAGAAAAAGCCTATCGCCAGGAATTCGCAGACCAAGACATTGAGTATAGGGTTGTGCTGAGGGCAGACGCACGAGTACTCCTTTGACTATATTTCGGTCATAATAGCCGATGAGGCGTTGTGATGAACTTTAAACCTACTTCATGTTGTCAAAACCCACCCTGAAGCATTCTTCATCACATAACTGATGTACAAGGCTAAACCGGCCGATCGGGTGAATCAATCCACAAATTACAGCAATCCAGTGTCTGGAGTGTCTGTGCAAACTTCATAAACTTAAGCCTAGCTATGCTTCTCAGGGAGGCACAATTGCCGAAGAACGTGGAGCTTTCCATTCATCCATTTTTTGAGTTTGATCGATGGCCGTTCAACTCATAGGGCCTAGTTGTCTAACCAGAAACGGAAGTGATCTTCGCAATTCAAGGTCAGATCTGGGCAAGTCAGCTGAGAAAATAGATTCTTATGTCCCAGATTAGGTCTAGGCCGTCGAGGACATTCGTCAAGTCTTGTGGAATACTCATATAGTTGACATGGGTCGGCGTGGCGGTGGAGGAGGCCTCATATTCCATATCCCCCCCAGGAACCATTAGTCTTGCCCATCTCCACTCCTGGTCCTATTTGTTCATATTCAATCTCAAGCTGTATCCAAACCCCGTCCATTCATTCACAACGACAAATTCACCATGAAGGTCTCACTTCTTCTCCTCTCCATATCCATTGGCGCCGGCCTGGCTCACCCTACCACACTCGCCAAACGTGACAAAGCTCCCTGTTCCGATGCGATATACAATTTCCCTAGCTGCTGCTCTAGCAATACTTTAAGCCTTGCGGATACCAAGTGCAAAGCTGGTAAGTTGGAATCGCTGTTTTGCGACCAGGTCTGAACATCCGCTAACCCACGTTTAATCAACAGCCAGTAATGCGATTGATGGCGCCAGCTTCAAGCAAAGCTGTGGCGAAGGCAGTATTCCCAAATGTTGTGCTCTGAACATTGCGGACCTAGGTCTTCTCTGTCAGGAATTCTGATCAAGAGATGGCTCATGTACTGGGGGCTGGGATTACTCATCGCACGCAAGTCGCGTCGGAGCAGAGCGGGCAGGAATTAATTTTGGGAATTCGCATATATTCTGTACTGTTAAGATTATGGAAGAAGCAAGTCTCATGATTTGCCAATGAAAAGAAAAAGAGAAACCCAACGCCACCCATCTTTAAATTGAATGTACTATACAGAAGCCGGATCTTCCGGCCCAAACTGAGCCTTCCAGTATTTCTTCACCCCATCACAAATCCCGGTCTTATTCTTCCAGCTCTCAAACTTCGTCTCCAACTCACATCCTGTCCACAGGATGTCCGCCCAGAACTGTTTCTCTACATCAACTGGGAACCCAAGAATCAAGTCGTCTGGCGTCGTCCAAGCCCGCGTATAGTTCCCATCGTCCAAGAAAGCCGGGTTTACGGCCTGTTTGCTAAAGACAGTGGCTGGATTGAATTTTGGGAAGTTGGCATGAATGAAGAATGGACGCGGTTGCGCAGCTTTTGACCCATTCACACGCCATTCTCCCTGCTGCGTCAACCTATAATCTTCAATCGGATCGAATTGAGCCATTGCGGATCCAGCGAGGCCGCCTTGTGTCGCGTGGCCCATTGCGCAGATACTTTCGCTGACTTGGTAGAATGGTTCGCCAAGAGAGACTGCCGCGGCGACAAAGGTCTCTTTGTCTCCTTCGCCTGCGGCGCCTTGGGTAAGAAGGCGATAATAGTGCGTCGGGCCCCAGAAGTTATAATATGTGGATAGGAGGAGAGTTCGCAGGTGAGATCTCTTTGAAATGACCACTTCGCCTGACTCGGTTGATTGTCGCGAGTCCATCGGGGGCACTTGCTGCGAGGAAATCTCGTAAAAGAATGGGGAAGCAGTGGACGCCCAAAAATCAGGCCATGTGACGAACTTGGTGTCTCTGAAGGGGGGCTTCCTCGAAGATCAGCTCCGGTTTCAGGATCGGGAACGCATCGGCGTCCAGGAACAGGATCTCTTCAAAGGATGAGAAGAGCATGGCGAATGGCTTCAGCTGGTATTTCTCGATTTTATTGCTTTTTGGAACTGCATCGAGGATATCAGACAGCACAACGCATCTTGCGTCTAATGACGGTAGAACCGTGTCGCAGATATATTCCTCATATTCGTCGCGCGAGGCTAGAAAGACCTCCATGGGAAGAAATGAGCCCGTGCGGCGCAGCATGCGTAGTGAGATTACCAACACTGGGAGATAAGCACCGCCGGCGGTAGTGACAATACCCTTTGTGCCTGGGACGTATGCCAATTGTGGCGGTTTGGTGGTAATGGCATCGACGAACTCGATGTGCGCCCGCTTCATGCGCAAAACATCGCGGGTGGACATCTTCAGGAGGTCTGGTCGGGGATCTGGGTTCAAAGCTTTAAAGCCTGTCGAGTTTGCGTTTGCCAATCGTCGCGGGGGATCACATCTTGGCTTGTGTTCCATCAACAGCGATTGGAACTGGCGCCAGAAGTTGATGTGCTCGGACGCGTCCTGGTGGTACGTGCCCGGCAGGGCTTCAGGCGGCGTATATTCCTGGGATGTGGTCCATCCTGACAAGTACCAAATGGTAGCAATCGCAAGAGCTGATGCGATCAAGATACGGAGTCGGCGCGTCATCTTTGCGACCACTGGAGGTATCGAGCGGACATTGATGGTGAGAATTGTCAACAAAGGTGGAAACGAGCAACAATGGATTAATTAGGTCTGTCGCCAAACATGAGACTGCATTTGGTTTATCCCGGGAACAACACAGACGCATCCGGATCCGCGTCATTCTGGCAATAATCATGCACAGAATTCCAGTGTCGCGGATGAGTCGTGAGATCAGCCGGAAGCGGCCCGAAGATCACTGGATGAGAGGCCAGCGACAACTCGGCCTAGTAGGCTGACCATGACTTTTCCTGCTAGATATCCGGCTTTCAACAATCATTTCTATGTTTTAGATGCTTCGAAAAGGGCCACTCAAAGGGTAAACCACTTTTTCAATGTCGAAATCGAGGTCCTACTACTGGAAACCATTCTGAGTGGTTGCCAAGACTTCCGCATGCGGTAATATCGCACCATTCAACACTATCGACAAATAGCTCTTTAGCTGTTCGTATCAGGGACGGGCGGGACAGGACCACTCTTCTCTTTTCTGAAGGCTCGTTTTACTTTCTCTATGCCATGTTATCTCCATAGCACTCTGGGGCAGTCTCAAGATCAAAAACGTCAAGCTGTCGTGCTTAGTTCAATTCAAACAGCCGCACATCTTGCGTCTCAGATCTTTGACAAAAATAAGTGATTGTTGAGTCCACAGTCTCCTTCCCGCCATCGAAGTTACGATGATAAGGTATCTCCTGTGCAGTCGACATACCTGGTTGCAAGTTCTAACGTAGTTAGGCCGTCTCTTATGCGTGTCAAAATTCTTCGAATTTTGATTACCGCAGCCATTCTGGTCGGAGGATTTGTAAGGGTGGCCTACCATGGTAATAATGCAAATTAATAACACCGATGCGAGATTTTCTAGCTCTTTTGGAAGTTCTTCTCTCTCAACCAACCATATTGGCCATCCTGGGAGACCGGAATAAAGCGGATCCAGCATGGACCATCCGACGGCGAATCAGCATATAAAGCAATGGGTCTTAGCATCCACAGAAGTGCAAGTGTGGCAGCCGAGAAAGTGATGGACACGTTGTTGCCCGACTCACTTCCAAAGAAAAAAGTCGTCATGGTCACTGGTAGCTCTGGTACAAACCGCATGCTTGGGATGCCACACATCAAAGAGATGATTTACGAAAACCGCAAGACATACGCCGAAAAGCACGGATTCGACTTCACGTAGGCCAACATGACGAGCTATAATTTGTCCCGGGGCGCACCAATCTATTGGAACAAAATTCCTGTTTCGAAGGAAGCATTTGCGCGCCACCCCAATGCCGAATGGGTATGGTGGATGGACATGGATATCATCATCATGAACATGACACTAAGCATCTATGACCATAACCTATCGAAGGAAGGATTGGCACGAAATATTCTGCTCGATCACAAGGTGCACGGCGCTGGCGGCGGCATGAGTGGCTTCACCACCCCGGCTTCCTATAAGCACGACGACATCAATTTCATCATCTCGCAGGACTCGTGGGGCGTGAACGTGGGCAGTTTCCTTATACGCCGAGGCGATCGGAGCAAGTGGCTTCTCGATCTGTGGACTGATCCATTGTACATCTCTCAGAACTGGATCTTCCCGGAGCAGGATGCTTGGAAGCATATGTGGCAATACCACGACATCGTGTAAATTGATCGGCAATAGGCTGATGATCCACAAAGGGTGCTTGCGGCCCCACGGCAGTTGGAATGATGGCGCTTTGCTGGAATGCGCCCATTTCAGACGTCCGGAAGCGGTGATCCTACGGGCCGGGTCCAGCGAGCTAACCGAATGATTGAAATCTTGAGTTTCAATTGCTTCATTTGATGATCAATAAAATCTGGGCGCCACTGGACCAACGAAATAATCAGGACGGGAGAAGACATCGAATCAATAGGGACTCGCGGGCACAAATTCGCTGAATGATGGCTGCTTTACTTTTTCCATTTGATGATCACTTTCTAGATGCGAGATTCTTCCGGAAAAGCTCTTTGGAGCATGTCCATATGTGTTCGGACTGACAATCTCCGCCGCCGGGTGTCCAGTATATCACGTTTTCGGAAATCGAACACCTAGTGAACAAATAATCTCTGCATAGAGTGATCATTTCAAGATGATTAGACGGTTTTCTCATCTCTCACTTTGCTATCACCCAAACTTTCGGGCATATGATGGCGCCCCAAAAGCGAGCTGATAATTGGATCGACGTGAGATGCCTTCTACCATTGCTACTAACGCGCGACTAACAAAACAATAAGGGTCTCCGAGGAGTTGCAGCTCTCACCGTCGTTACCTATCATCTATGCTCCTGCTTCGCAAATTGGCTGAATTCACCTGCACTTTCAGAAGAGGGCCCCGTTTCTATCTTCCAGTATCCATTTCTCCGACTCGTGGTTGCTGGTCGTTTTGCAGTCGCGCTCTTCTTCCTTCTTACAGGATACGTGAACTCCTTTAACTCAAGGAAGCACATTCGAAATGGAGATACAACTTTCGCCTTGCAGAGGCTCGCACGGAGCACACTTACTCGCACCGGCAGGCTGGTCGTGCCGACGAATACTGCCATTCTGATGGTTTGGCTTATTTGCCAACTCAACGGGTTCCAAATCGCTAGCCAGGTCGACGCTGGTTGGATCAGAGGATCGGGTACTCAGTCACCAGGTCCAACGTTCTTTGGCGCCATCGATGGTTTGCTTCGAAATCTTATTTTATTTTGGCACAGCGGTACGACTGATTACGACCATACATACTGGACGATCCCGTTCTTCCTGAAGGGATCCATGTTGGTCTATACCACACTACTGGGAACGACATATACACGACCGAAATATACAAAACTAATTTTGATTTTCCTTTATCTTTTTGCTTGGTCTGGTGCGCAAGGTACGTTACTTCTAATCATTGGTGTGCCCGGAATTCCATTAACAGTATGATCGAATAACAGTCGTTGTGGAAATGAACATCTATGCTGGAATTTTTCTCGCTGAGCTACACGCCGACTACGGGTCAAACGCTACTACATTCACCTCCAGACCTACATCTACGCTCATGATTATCTTCGGTCTCCTCCTTGCTTCTTTCCCCGAGGATAACCCAAGCTGGGTGCCATGGAGTCGAGCACTCGACACCGTCGGCCAACTCATTGTACCGAACGGCGGCGAAGTGAACCGATATATCATTTCGTTGGGAACAACATTTTTCGTCTTCGGCGTCTTCTTCTCCCGCGATGCTCGCCGCCTTCTTTCCTCCCCATTCATGAATTTTTTTGGCCGCATTTCTTTCCCTATATACCTTCTTCACAATACCATTATTCGCACAGCTCTGTCGTGGGTTCTCTATCGACAGTCGATTGCGAGTAAAGGATTCCATCCGGTAGATGAAGAGGGCAATCCGATTCATTATGAAGCTGGCGGAACATTCACATTTGGAGTTGCAGTGCCACTTTTCTATCTTCTACTGATCTATGTGGCGCATTTATGGACGGTCCATGTGGATCCCCGCTGCGAGAAGGTTGTGACTTGGCTGTCAAGGAAAGCTTTTGGTGATGAAAGTGACTCCGAGCCGACAAAACAAATCCCATCCAATGGGATCTTGACGACTTGAAAGGGAAGGCTTCTCAGAGCCAGAGAATATTTCCTTTTGCCAATAAATTGGGGGGCAGTACATATTGTGATATGACATTTAGACAAACATCTATTTTGTTGACTATTTTGCATCTTTCTCATGCTGAAGCTTATTATTCAAAGCCAATGTATACTTGAACATGCATCATCGTAAATGCAAGGTCCCTTCTTCGGGCCCTGAGAGCAAGGTATGTCAGCTTGGTGTTCAGTGCCTGATGCTCCCATTGAGCATAGGAGCCTTACTTTCTGTAATTTGTTTCCACTTCTTTGGCGTAGCAGGAAAGCCATGTCGGTTGGACTAACACCTAGTCGCTGATTAATCTAAAAGAATTAGCTTCACAGCGCCGTTTCATTCCAGTGTACTCTTACCACATCGTTTAACGTCGCGGGTTTGAGCTCCAGCTGTTGGGGCCGCGACTGTTGTTCCGAGTACTGATACAAAGACAAGCAGGTGGAGCCGCATCTTGGCTGCCAATCGAGTCGGTGCGTGCTTTGGTGGTGGTTGATCGACCTAGGCGATGTAAGGGCAGAATCGAGCGGATGCCTTGGTGAACTGACGAAACGAAGTAGATCATTAGTAACCACAAGAGTGAGACTTGTGAATCGATCTCAAATTGTTTATGCCATTTCCTTCGTCTGCCGCCGCGACAGGAGTGTTTGAATCCGAGTCCAAAAGCGGTGATCAGCGATTCTTGTCAACACTGATGGGTACCACCGAAGACGACGACGTCCAAATCCGGCATTTCTAAAACCCAGGCCAAAAACTCAGCCCACTTCATAATTCTAGCGTCAATAAAATTATTCAGATGTGCGTTTGGCCCGTCGAGGTTGAAAAGTCCATGTATCTAATGAATCAGACACATAGTGCTGATATGAAGTCGGCTCTATAGAATAAACTCAATGAACGAATATCTACATCGCATGGAAACATGCAGGCAAAGTAACGCTCACATGCACCAAGTCTTTCCAGCCAATTTCAAGAATCAAAGAGCTAATTGTACTTGGACGATGCATCTGATATCTAAGATTCGGGGGCGCCGTCGCCAACCTGGTTTCCAGTGGTGTAGTTGCCGAAGCACGCCTTCTGGTACATAGCCTTCTCCTTCAGATTAGGAACATCCTTCAGGAAATTGTCAACAGGGCAAAATCCGTTCTTGGCGTGCTCGCAGCCAACAAGACCCTGCATGGGCAACGGGGCATTGTTCAGCACGAAGCGGATGTAGTCCTTGGTACCCTTCGTGCCCAACTCAGGGTTAGTGTAGAGAATGGGGTTTAAAGTTTCAAACGTCGTGTTCGAAGGGCAAGTCCAGATCTCGGACATGAAGCGAGCACCAAAAGGAGTCATCTCACTTAGTTGGAAATTGCGCTCAGGGGCGTGGTCTAACTGAACTGGTAAACCCTTGGGTCCGTAATTGAAGTATTCCAGGCCAAGAGCCGAGATAACGGACAATATTATGTCATCATGGGACATATCCATGTAAAAAGGCTGGCCGAAAGGAAACTGATTCTCGTTGTTGTCGTAGGTGTAGTTGACACTGGTATCACTGGATGTGAGGAGCTTCTGCTCGAGACGAGCAGCGAGTTCAACAAGGTAGCCAATGCCCTGGGCGCGGCCGGTAGGGGAACCGTAGGCGTAGTCTCCATAGTATTGCACGTCGATGTTGTACTCAAAGTCCTTCCATTCCTGTTCGGTAAAGAGGGAGCAAAAGGACGAGCCGGAAAGGCTCGTGTACTCGTAAACACAAATGTTCTGCATGGCGAGCACGTCGGAAGCGGTCAGGTTGAAGTCGCCAGGGAAGTAGGCCAACAGGCGAGAGCGAGCGTCCTGAGTGTAGCGAGCAATGAAGACTTCAGCAGCGTTGTCACTACAGCTTCTGTCAACTATTGGAAATAACCGTCAGGGTTAACGATCACATACCCTTCAGTCATGTCCCCGTTGCAAGAGTCGTACGAGGCCAGGGTGTTGTTGAATGGGTACACCTCGGGGATGATAACAAGATCATATTGATCGTAAGAGCTGTTGGCACCGCTGTTGCCAAAGAAACCACCTAGCAGTCAACATTAGTAAATTGCACAGAGGTGTGATTGTCGTTCTCACATACTGAGCCACCAGCGCGCACTCTCCAAGATACGAGACTGGGAAGTTGTACGGAAGACGGGCTTCGGGCGAGAAGTGCCATTGGGCCAGACATTCAGAGATGAATCCCAAGCAGCCACCGTGCTCTTGTTGGTTTGATACAAGAGCCGACCGTACTTGGTCCAGAAATGGGCACCAGAAGTAGCCTCGGTGGCAGCACCAGACTCCATGAGGATGTCCGAGCCAAGAACATAGTTCCAGTCGTTCAAAAACTTCAGGGGGCCAGTGCCCACAGCCTTTCCAGGATGCTTCTTGGAGTAATTGGTCACTTTGGCAGCAAAGTCCTGCATACCCTCTCCATCAAGAGGGTAATTGGTAGGAAAGCGCTCAGCATGGCGATGAAGAACATGCACCTGAGACAATTCGCAGCCTGCCGGCACGCCGCTGGGAACACCGAAGCTATCAGCGTCCTTGTATGGGCTCAGATTGGCCCAGTGCTTTTTCATGTCAAAGCCGCTTGCGTAGGTAGCACCAGTTGGTGCAGAGGCCGGGGCAGACGAAGACGCCGCGGCGGCCAAAGTGGCCAAGGAAGCTCCAAGGAGATACTTCATACCTGTTCAGTTTTTAACAAATTGGGCAACAGCTCCTGTGACAATCGGTGCCTGACTGATGCTGGGCTTATAACTCGATAGATTACGATCTTGCTGGCTCGAGACAGACAATTCCCTTACCTAAGCTTCTTGGGGATAAAGTAACTGCAATGGGCAAGATTTGGCATCATTCGCCTCGGAATGAGCGTTGGGGCTAGCGTTGATACTAGCAGACGTGTGAAATCTCCGCCGAATATCGGGGCATACATTCTCCGACACTCCGAACTGTTTCACTTTGAAAGTTTGAAGGATTTTTGCGTCCGATCTGCGCCGACTACGGCCTCACTAAGATTACCGTGTGTACTTTTCGAGGTCGAGTGGGTAAAGTCTAGTTGTTGCCTAGTTAATTGGACTTGGCGATTCGCGGCTTGGAAAGGGGTCAGCGACGCCAAAAAGCCAAACTAGCTGGTTCGGGCTTAGTGACACCTACTGTTCGTTCAACCGCGCAGACGATCGAGGCAAGTTCAAACAGTCAGCACGACATTATTCGATTGAGTCAAAGCTTGATACTCGTATACATAGTTTCATGGTAATACAACAAGATAGTAATCTGCTTCTAGCCGTGCAGGATTCTCTTCAAGGTCATATCCTTGGGTTCCTAAATCGAAACATATTTTCTCCTTAGAACTTAAGATCATTGGAACAAAATTTATGTTATTACCCAAATCACAGCGTTGTTTGAGACGAGTTCACCAACTCTAAACCAGTAAGTTCGTCACTTGGTCATGACACAGGAAAGGTATCTCTCCAGGACGGAAGGTATGAAGGGATGCCGGTAATGAGATTGGCGAGAACATCTTCGGCGATAGTGGCCGTCTCAGCCCGACCGACAGATTTTTGAATCAACTGAGTCCATTGCGAGATGCTCCGATAGCTATACTCCATCTGAACTTGTCGGTGTGGAATCAGAAATAGACCAAGAGCATGCTTGGCACTAGCTTCGTGGCTGACGAAATAGGTGCCACGATGCATGAAAACGATCGCAGACGTGATCGCGCCTCACGCAGCGACGGCGACCGGGTCCAAATCCTTCTCGAACTCCACGAAGCACATATCCTCCGGCAAGTCGAGGTCAGGGAACCTCTTGCGCGGAAAAGGCGATGTCTCGCCCGTCTTTTTGTAACCGCGTCGCATGTACCACGCGATGAGGGTCTGTCGCGTGGACAGGGCATTTAGCCCCGCCTTGGTCGCTCCCCAAGTCTGATAGCTATAATCCTCAGCGTAGCCAAGAATCTGACGACCAAGGCCTCCGCGATGGTATCGGTGGTCCACGGCAAGCATAGAAAGGCGAGCGCCGTTGGCTCCACGCTTTGACACACCGATGGTGCCCATCATGACGCCGTTTTGGTCGGTCGCAATCAAGAATGCGCTTTCTGGTCCGTTCATGAAGCTCTTTATTTCCTCTACGCTTATGTGGAACTGAGAAGCGAGACCCATATCGCCGGTCCAATCCGATCTGCTGTCCGCTGCGCGGAACGCATTTTGCACCAATTCCTGGAGTTGCGGGGCATCCTCCAAGGTTGCAGCGCGGAAATTGAGATCGACAGCAGCCATAATGAAGACAACGGCTTGCACAGAGAAGCAGGTAGAAAATGAAAAATAATAAGCGGAATATCGGTTCCTTTTATCTGACGGCCGTTGCGCCCTGTCGTTGACACTGGGCGTGCTCTAGTCCCGTTTAGGGTAGACCGTCCTCGAGCCAGCTAGCATTTGAGGCATTTAACTAACTTGAAAGTATCGCCTCGAGGCCGATATATTCAATTCATAGAGAGCAGACGCCAGCCGAATTAATAAAACTCAGGTGCGGGGATTTCAAGCGTGGACTGGCGCAATGGAAGCTCCAAGTCACAGCTTCTATTCTAAGGTCGCAGCCTTGTAAGAGTACGTGATAGCTGCATCATTGAAGGTGAACATTCGCGTAGCAATACCACTCAAATCCTTGCAAAATTGACAGCTAATACCAGCATTTTGAATAATCAAGATATCTTATTAAATCAATATTCAAATACTCCCAGTAGAAAGTCTATCTAGTTCGGTCACGATGGAGGGGGAAATGCATTGTTATGAAGATAATGTAATGGGGTACTTCGGGCTTTTGTATTAGAAATCAAGAAGCTGATTAACGTTTTTCTTCCAAGGAGAATATCTTGTAAATTGCAGTGGCCGACATAGACAACCCGAAATGGAACATCTATCGGCCAAAGTCGAGTCCACCATAAATTCAAGTACACGCAATTTACTCTCGGAGAAAGCAGATAGATGAAGTAGATTGGACTTGGACAATTTGCTCCGCTGGCCTTTCTGAGTCTCTTCTGGGTCATTTCTATACCGCCTTCTCAGATTCTCCGAAAGCTGAACATTCATGCGGAGAGACAAGATCAGCACCGACCCAGTTGTCCAAATATCGTTCTTTTCAGACTGTGCTTGATTAATTCTCGTAAAATAAAACAAGAACAACACGAAGCGTAAAAACATACAAAGAAAGGGATTCGCTAGTGCCACCCAACCAACTACTGTATTGCCGGGAGTGAAACACCATGAGACTGTACAAAACTGCATCAAATGGTGCAAGCAAATTGCCATTTTCTGACGGAGCACAGGGACTGGGTTGATGATTCTTCCGAAAGTTCCAATGCGTAGCCACGGGCACTCTTCAAAGTCTCATATCTATCATTCAGGACATTGACGCATGGGGTCGATGCTAGCATTCTTACTGCCCCTTTGACGAAGCTACTTGGATGCTAGCTATACTGGCGTAATTGCTTCATCAAATACCTGCTGTGGCTATTTAAATTGGATGTATCTCGGATCCACTCCATCAATTTCATTGTATATTAGTCCTCATGCTTTTTGCTTGTGCATTAAACTTTCATTATTTCAAATCTCGTTCAGTTCAGTTCGACGAATCATGGTTATTTTTGTTTTCCCGAAGTCAGGCTGTATCCTCGTGCTTTTACCAGTTGCCACCGGAAAGCTAAGCCTGACAGAGAGCAAGAATTGTCGACGCAGTCGAACACGAAAACATAGAAAACTACGCCCCGCCGAAATAGCTGAGGAACAGCAACGATGTAAGCTTTGAAAGTCTGGTATGATCGGCAATTGTCGTGTGATAGATGATGTGGCCTCTCCCAATCACTCCTCTAGATGAACTTATATTGCTTTCAACACATGGAGAGACCTGGATTTCTAAGAGCTAGCAAGTGGGGCTCGCCCCATCGAAGACGCCGCTTCTCGTAAATCTGGTCGGTCTGGTTCATTCCACGAAAATTCAGAGCCTTGCACATGGAAAGCTCAGGAACACTCTCTACTTTCCCTACTCTAATTTTTAAGCTTATGTCCGAGTCATTCTAAGGCATAATGTTGCATAATTTTGCATATTAAGCGGCTTAGTGGGTTCACAGCAGGATTCCCAGACACAGGCACGTTGCACTTCAAACATATCGCCGGGGAAAAAAGAATTCAATAACGATCTGAATATCACCATGAGACTAATCCTCCACTCTTTTGAAAAAATGCTTTGCCCTCAAATCCTACGCTAAGAAGCTCAAGAAGGTGCTGTCGGCTTGAATTTCCCCAGGTTCCATCGCGCTTTACTGCTTCCCGCTAGATCCGCTCAACTGGTCGCCTATTCTGACTCTCTCCAGTCAAGACCTCCTTTTACCTTTCCTATTGCCACAATTTTAGGTAGGATCTCACAAAAGGCAAAATGGAAATAAAAAAGCCTCGTGGGTCCGTGAAGCCCAAATTCACCATATATATGAGGCAATGGTCCTTGGGTAGGGTAGGTGGTCCTAATTGTCACTACGCGGCGCCAGTCATTCCCTTTTGAAGTGCCGTCCTGATCCCTGCCACACGCCTCAGAAGTCTCTCTGCTGAATTCTATATTTCCTGATTGATACCAGGTGCGTTATCTGTGTAGTTGTCATCATGGAGACCTCGGTCGCTTGCGCAACGCTCGATGTGATCAAGGGTGGTACGTACGGCTACTCGTCGTACTGGTCTATGAGTGCAGGCCCAAATATCGCGAGCTTCCCTACCATGACTACGGGTGGCCCTGCAGATGACACTACCTGGCTGTGAGTGCAGACGATGGATGAATCGAAAAAACGTTCAGAACAGAGAACTGACGAGATGGCCAGAGAGATATCCGACTTCGAGTATGACTATGTCATTGTCCGCCAAAACATCGCCTCCGTCAACGTGGGAGGAGCATATGAAGTGTCTTTAGCTTGGTCAATGTCGACAAATACATCAAGTGATGCAGCAAGTTGTCTCTTGGAGGTCGCTGTCGACTCCACGACCATCCTTGAGACTGGGGCGTCCGCCAGCGGCGTCCGCCCCGTCTCTGGCTCATGGGAAACAGCCACGGCAACCTACACGCCAACTGCGTCGACAGGCATTCCTTTTGTGATCAGCATCAGTTGTTCCGAGGGCCAATCGTCTGACAGCCCGATTATCGGTCTAGCAGACATCTCAATGGTCTCTTCCTCATGTTACACTTCGACCTTGGGCGTGGCTTCGTCGACATCAAGCATGACTTCTGCGACTAGCAATGACTCCCCGGTCACTTCACCTACCTCTTCCAGCGCAATAGCCGCCACTACAGCTGGCCCATCTACCGGTAGCGGCAACAATCTTGTTACCACTGATGGTATCAGCACCATGACCTCTTCGGACATTACTGGATCCTCGAGCGATATACCCGTTTGGTCTAGTGCTATCTCCACCACGGCGTCTTCTACAACCTCCGCAACCTGGACTGCATCTACTGGGACAAGCGTGTCTGGAGACGATGGGACTACCACATTGACTGCCAGCACTACCGATGGTGACTCTCTCTCGGCGAGTGTACCCATCGACACGAGTGACTTAAGTAGTGCAGTCTCTGGAACAGTGTCAGTATCCGATACCACTTCGAAGCGGAAGCGCACAGTAGCACCTTCGTGTACTCTATACGTTTCTCAGAACTCAGAGGTGATTTCCACCACGGTGGTGGATGCCGGATCCTCTGCTCAATTTTCTGCTTGTCTGGCAGCCAAGTCCTCAGGTAGTGTTGAGCTCTTGGCTGTCTGCTCTGGTCCAGGAGCAACCATCGAAGTGTCCGGACTGACTGTGGGCAGCGCTTCGTCTGCGGCAGAGGACTGTGCAGCTTCTACTTCTGCTACTTCGAGCCCAATCGCTTCGCCCTCAACCCCGTTCCCTCATCGCTCTGGATCTTCAACTTCTCTCGGAAGGACACCAGTCCACACCAAAAGCGCAAGGCCCAGCAAGTTTGCCTCCGCATGTCGCTCCCGCTCTTCCGTTCGGATCCCTACGAGCCAAGCCTCTCCTACTGGATCGGACTCGGCCTCGGACTCGGGAGAGTACACCACTTCCACCGTCTTCAGCACTCGCACGGCCACAACGACCGCCTGTCCATCCAACGTCGTCAATTGCCCAGCTCACGAGAAGACCACCTACGTCACCACTGAGACTGTCGTTGTTTCTACTACCGTCTGCCCCGTCACTGCCGAGGCCACTGGCACTGTATCAAATCATCCTTACGTTAGCACTGAGACAATCTACACAACTCGCACTTCCACCATCTACGAGTGCCCCGCAACTGTTACCAATTGCCCCGAACGTGAGAAGACTACTTCCGCTACCACTGAGACTCTTGTTGCTGGAACCATCGTGTATACTGTCAACCCCAGCAGCTCTAGCTCGGGATCTGGCTCTGACAGTACCATCTCTGGCGAATACAACACTGAAAACATCGGTTCTGTCACTTTTCACACAACCATCAGCCCAGTGACAGTGACCGAGACTCTTGTCACGGCTTCGACCCGCTTAGCTGGCTCCTTTGCTTCGGAGAGCACGAGTGATACATCTGCACTGCACAGCACCAACAGTGCAATTTCAACTGTCTCTATCGGAAACTCCCAAATCTCGTCCGGTACAGCCCCATCTGGGCTGATCAATACTTTGTTTAGCCCCTCGACTAGCTCGCCTAACTCCCCCGCCACAGAGATCGAAGGTTCCACATCCACTCTCTTTAGCACCGCCGATACTGCCTTTACCACTGACGCAGGATCCACCCTTGCCACTGCCACCAAAGCTACAGGCGCTGCAAGTGTGAAGGACATGACGAGTGAGGTCAACTCATCCAAGGCCACTGGGGCACAAGCCCTGCAGGTATCTTCTACCTCGTTCCTGTCATCTTTCACCACGGCAACTACGGATGCAGGTAGTGGGCAGGTGTCTTTGGCTTCGTCGACGAGCACGGCCGCCACAGAGACAGGGTCTGCCATTGCCACAAGTGCTCCTCTATTCAACGGAGCTCTTTTGGCCTTTTCTCCTAGTCTCACTGGGGTCATTGGCCTGGTGATAGCTTTCTTCCTGTAGATGATGTACTGTAACCATGGGACAATTCTCTAATACAGATATTCAAGTCTTGATAATTGACATAAAAATCCTTCATGAGAGGTGAAGTCATGTTCATTTCAAGTTCTCTCGTTCTGATACTGTACATGCACAGTAGCTATCAACTATGTAAGGTGGTTGCTTTGACAATATACTATCCACGGGTCATGGAATGTGACCCAACTTCGACCTATCCACGAAATAAGTCTATTGGAGAGTCTCCGCGGGCAAGAATTGGTAAACAGTGAATTATTGAACTGCATATGAGATATTGGGATATAAGGCCCTGATAGTGAATCTACGTGAGACGGCGCGTGTGATACGCGCTGTTAAGGCTACTCAGATGAGTGAGCCCCCCTCACCCGGAGGTAGGGATTCTTACCTATTCTCTCCTCTCATAATTCGATTTCTCGACTTCTCACCCAAATCACCCTCACGAAAACTTCACAGCCGATCTTGCTTTTCATAGAAAAAAAGGCGGTTCTAAAGGCTCATTGGGAATGGCTGTGCAGAATATGTGGCTGAAGGACGGCTGAGCGGACGGGAAGTCCTGTTCTCCACATCCTATGGCCGCGTGCACGATGCGCCATTCAAATTCAATCTACGTAGCTCGTGTCTGCAAAGTTTTTTTTTCCAGCGCATCTGTGCAATGAAGACTGTTCATGCTGCGAGTAAAGTACAGGCAAGACTGGTTCGCTTCCCCACACATCTTCGCGTTGATTTGTGATGGGGCCTTCGGCATGTCACCTGCCCAAAGGAGTTTAGCTTCGAACCAAAAGAGACTCCTGCGGAAGATGCCGCCAGCAACGAGATTTTGAATTTTATCATTCAATTGGCCCCTACTGATCTCTTATGCGCTACTATTCGGATCAAATCGCTAAGTATGGCTTCAGAGACAAAGCTTGCGCTGATCCCCTGGGATGCCAAGTCTGAGACCCATAGAAGATGGCTCTATAAGCAAAGAGTGCTATGTAATTGGGACTGGGAAAAGGTCGAGGGAGAATGGAAAGAAAAACAAATCAAAGGAGAGAAGTGCATGTATTGGATTGTAAGTTTGTTTTCTACCCGGGACTCGTATTCTCTACTACCAGAAACTGTATCAGAGACTGTATCTTAACTTTTTTCGATAGGTCCGCCAATCTCATGATTCGGAAGGCAAAGACCCTCAGAGTGACGAGGGTGAAGAAGTGCTGCTTGACACAGCGGACTCAGTCAATGGAGTCACACGGGAACCCTCGCAAGAGGTCTTTGTCCCCATCGGTCATATTTCTCTGGATTCCAAGAATAAAGACGCAGAGATGGTCGGCCTTGACATCCCATCGGAAAACGTCTTCTGGATCAAAAGTTTTTTCATTCTTCAATCAATGCAGGGCCAGGGTACTGGTCGAGCTGCTATGGATGCAGTGGAGAAAATGGCGTCTCGAGAGCCACTCTGCGCTCAGTCGCTCATGCTAGACACGGTGACGAGCAAAGATCAGATGAGAGAAGACTTTGCAATGTCCACATACGGTGCTATCCCGAAGGTTGTTACATGCACCCATGAAAGTCATTTTGAAAGCGTTGGTCAGTTAACTTATGGGTACAGATCGCAAATCAAGATTGGTATGGCCGCCGGGGCTACGTACCGATCAAGACTGTGCCGAACTATTACGACGTGTGGGATGCAAATGGAGACCGGTGGGATATAGAGATTGTTTTCATGCGGAAAGAGATTCAACCACAGGTTCATATAGCGTGTTGACCTTGACCTTCTTCGATATCTTTCATGAACCTTTAGTAGCGACGAGGGTAGCACAAATCTAGCAGCTCGTGAGCGGTATCCAGATCCTTAAGATCGCGATGTTTCAAGGGCCATGGGCATTTCAAGCCAAAGTAGCTTCTTAGAGACGTGTAAATTGTGAAGAGTCTCGCAGTAATTCACGTTCTAAACTAGGTGCTTTGGACAGTCTCTTCGGATATTCCCGATCGTGAGGGGAGAGGCTGATGGGTCGGCCCAGGCTCGAACGCCAAGACCTCGAGTCCACACACCGCTTCCGAAAGTCTAGAACGATTGGGTGCCCTCGTCAATAGAAGCCGGATTTAAACGGGCAGAAAGCTTTAGTGGACATCACCACATTTTATGGCTTTGCCTCCGACATCTCCATCTCCCTCCAACACATTCAAGATGTGGATGAGGGATACAGGCTGAATATGGACTCATCAGATTCACTACCAAAGGTGGCTTTTTACACACCTTTACAGAATGTCGAGCGAGAGAGAGTCCGTGAACTGTTAAGGTCGGCCTGCGCTATTTCCCCTACAATACCTCCGTCGCTTACTGTGTTATTGCTCCAGGTACTATTGTTCCTTCAAGTATCAGACTGATCCCCAGAATGCGGGATCTGATGCTCCGACGGGAGATGAGCAGCCTATATCCGCCGGTCTCCCCAAAGATATCACCCTCGCCGCCTTGTCGCAACTGGGTGTCTTTCGAACGGGATCGAATCGATGCTTCGTGTCGATCATTGACGGTCAAAACCAGTTCATCATTTCCGAAACCACTAAGTCTATCTCTCTGCGGGATAAGGACAAGCACCTCCCCGGCGATGGTGTGTACATTGGGGTCCGAGCGCTAGATCTGGTGTGGGGGGTGTGCCCTCACACCATCAAGCTGTTCACTTCGATTGATTCTTCGAATGACATCGATACACCCAACGTGACGGCAAATAAATCCCGTTATATCATCCGCGATTTTACAAAAGAGGATTGCTTCAAGGATCGCCCTTACGTCCTTGACTGGCCGCACATGCGGTTCTACGCCGAAGTGCCGCTATTTAGCGCTGCTGGATACGTGCTCGGCTCTTACTGTGTTGTGGATGACAAACCCCGAGATAAGTTCGATGATGAAGAGGTTGCTGTTCTGCAGGAAGTGTCGGATGCGATCGCAGCACATCTGGAGAACGTTCGTCTAGTTCACATCCAACATCGGGCGGAATCTCTCATGAAAGGGTTGACTAGTTTTGTAAAAGAAAATCCCGAGTTCGAACCCACCGAGGCCTCGAGAGATGGCCATCTCGTACCATCTGCTCTCAATATACCAGGCTACATGTCCACCGGCAGCGGCGGCAGTGGAAACGAGTTTTTCGGCGCACATCCAGGCGGACAAAGCGCTTACAATGTCTCGATGCTAGATGATATGTCTTCGGCAGTTTTGGAAACATCATCACCATTATTCTCGCAAGAGAAAGTTTCACGGCCTACCGATCCGTCTTCCTTTTCAACTTCATCGGATAGGCCTAACGTCCTAAGTCCCGCGGAAGAAAAATCTCTTGAGGAGGCATTGAAGGTCCGTGAGGTCAGTCCGAGCGCAACCGAAGCGAGGCGCAAAACCTCTGCAAGGGTATCATTGATGGATAGTGTCTCCATCGCCGAACGGATTGCCATGGTATTCGATCGTGCTAGTGTGTTGCTCAGAGAGTCCATGGATCTGGATGGCGTGGTATTTCTCGATGCAAGTCATAGTAACTCCTCATTGTTCGTATTCCATTTCCTCCGCCCCAGCTCCCTGCTCATGCTGACTACATCATCAGCAAATCGCCGCGAGAGCCTAAAAGTTGGGAGCCGTTCCCATACACTGCGGATAATGGGATCCGAGTCGCTCCACCTCCCAGTCCTTTCGGCCTGGCACAACCCGAAAAGCCCTGTGATATTCTCAGCTTCGCTTTGAAACCCCCGTCAAATAATACACAGGCAGACTGTGATCTCCAGGTACCCGAAAAGCTCCTACACGAGTTGACGATAGCTTACCCCCGGGGTCAAATCTTCAGCTTCGAGGAGAGAGTCGTCGATGACCACCTGTCTCACGGGGGTGATCGGTCAATTAAACTCGGCGTTGGCTTTGAGGCAGCGCAGAATATCTCAGATCGTCTCGCCCAATGTATGCCCGACGCTGAATCTGTTATCTTCCTTCCCTGTGGGACTGGAACAAATCTTGCTGGCTTGCTGGAACACTGATCTGGACCCGAAAGCACCAGCGCACATTGGAGATCGAAGAAGTACATTTCTTCAAGGTTTTTGCGGATTCCATCATCTCTGAAATTTCCCGTCTTCACTGGGCGACCACCGAGAAATCCAAATTTGACTTCATATCGTCAATAAACCATGAGCTCCGCTCTCCGCTTCACGGCATTCTTGCCAGCACTGAATTGCTGCATGCCACTAACCTTTTACCCTCACAAGATGATATTGTAAGGATGATTGAACAGTCTGGGATGAACCTGCTAGATACCACCGACCACCTGTAAGTTTAAACCTTATGAAGACACTTCCTAGCTGTCTTGATGGAAATAGCTGATTCATTGTTAGATTGGATTTCTGCAAAATTAACAATTCGAGTTTGATGAGAAAGTCGCGCCCGGCGAATGCTGGTGAAAACCCCGCTGGTCTGGCCTCCGATTTTGCTCTTGACACCCTAGTTGAAGAGGTCGCGAATATCATTTATACTGGCCAAAGGGCGCTTGCAAGAGGCATTGGTCTTCGTCAGACATACTCATCCAGCGAGGCCAATGGTGAATCCCCTCAGCGGGTTTCCAGTGAGATGGATAAGCTTTCCGTCGTTATTCGTATTGAAAAAGCCTATGATTGGAATATTCGCTCGGTGGCCGGTGTCTGGAGAAGAATCGTGATGAATCTACTAGGCAACGCTTTGAAATGGACAAAAAAGGGATTCGTCGAGGTCTCACTATCCAAGGCCCAGCATCATTCCTGTCCCGGTTCTCTTCTTGCCCATCTCTCTGTCATAGATACTGGTAGTGGAATTGCGCCTGACTACCTCAAAAGCCATCTCTTTACTCCTTTCTCCCAGGAGGATTCGCTTTCGGAGGGCGTCGGGCTTGGTCTCAGCATTGTGCGCCAACTGGTCACTTCGCTTGGTGGCAATATCACCTTGAAGAGTGAGCAAGATGTTGGAACACAGGCCGATGTCTACCTCCCAATTCAATGTCTTGAGTCCACTCCAGAACAGTCTTCTGGCGATACCCTCCTTGAGTCACAAAATCCGACCACGCATATCCATGCATGTCTCGTTGGCTTCAATGCCTACCCAGACCTTCAGGAAATTCCGACTGGGATATTATCCGCTGAAGCAAAGCGAAAGCTCTCGATTCAGAGCACGCTTGCTGATGTTTTCACGACACAACTCGGGTGGGCAATCTCATTGGCCGAAACTCTCCAGGATGGGCGGGGTGATGTCGTCGTCGTTGAAGAAGATTGTGTTGAATCTCTTTCGGATCTTGATCACAAGTGTGATTCAAAATTCTTTGTCATTCTCAGTGGCAAGGTCCCCACCCTTGGCGACCACCTCCCCCTCAATGTGATCCGAGTTTCCCAACCGTAGGTTTATTTTCATGGTCTCATATGTTACGCCAGCTGACCTTCATAGATTTGGTCCTCAAAAGATTCACCAGGCTGCTCAAAAGATTTTGAAGTTGCATGCAGAGCAACGTACAGCTCTTAGCGCTGGTGCCATACCAGGTGTTCCTCCAATAGAGCTTTCAGCTCATCCAGTGTCAGAAGGGGTCTCCACACTTGTCCCTATCGATGGCAAAATTAATCCTCTGGGAGACAATTCTGGTTCCGCAGTTCAAACTACCCTATCCTTCCAACCAGCAGTTGATCACAACGGAATACATGTCCTCATTGTGGATGACAACGAGATTAACCTCAAGGTGAGCCGTCTTTATTCTAATCTGAACACAAGCTCTATCTCTTGTTTCTCTGTCATAATAATATGCTCATACTTGGTGCAATAGATCATGGCAACGTTCATGCAAAAGTCCGGTTGCAGCTATGAGACAGCCTCCAATGGACTCATTGCTCTGGAGAAATACTCAACTTCAAGCCGGAGGTTCAATTTCATTCTCATGGGTATGCTGAGTTTTCCCCCGGTCTTCCGCAAATTTTCCGACCTGACCTTTCCAGACCTATCAATGCCTGTCATGGACGGTATCGTCTCAACAAACAAGATACGCCAATATGAAAACGAGGCGTGCCTCGAGAGATGTCGCATCATGGCGGTGACTGGAGTTGCGTCAGCTCCTATGAAACAGCAAGCATTTGCTGCCGGAATCAACGACTACCTAATCAAACCTCTCTCTCTTCGCCAGTTGAAGACGCTTATGAATATTGCATGATACCACTATGTTTGAATGAGGGCACTTGGTGTTTATTTGAAGCCTTTTTTGTATACGAATATGTCAAAATTTTCAGTCATGTTTCAATATTGAAGTAAGTACGTGTTCTTGCGAACAAGTGGTACATTAGTTCCAAAAGGACTATCTTGGCCAGTGATTATCGACAATACAATCTATAAGACTTGTACAGATAGTAACCAATTAAGTATTATCCATTAGGACATTTGAACACTTCCATGGTCAAAAGAATGTTCCCTGGGGGGGGGGGTTTAGAAGAGGCGGTTCAGGGAGCACTCCAAGTTCAGGTCGAGGTTGATCAAGCCGATCTGGAGGTATTCTATGTTAGCTCGTGCATATTGAGAGATGAGGAGATAATTACCTGTTCCACTTTACCAGTGTCGCAGCAGTAGACTTCACCATTGGAGCAGTTTTCGCCAAGAAGACCGTTGAGGATGTTGCCCAGGGAAATCGCACCACCGGAGACGTCATCGGTGCAGACGACGGTCTGCTTGCTTTCGCAGGTCTTCCCGCTCGTGTCATTGTCCCTCGTGTTGCCATCGCCCATGGGGACAGCAAGAGCGGCGGCGAAAAGAGCAGAGTAAGCAATGAGATACTTCATATTGGCGGAAGATTGCTTGAAGACTCTATGAAAGTTAGTACTGCAGCTGAGAAGCTTTCACGCTCGAGTTGGTACCTGTTGAAGTTTGCGAAAGTGGTGGATGCAGATGGAAACTACGTGCCATCAGCCGAATACTTATAGAAAATGGGCAATTCTTGAAATTGGGTTGGACCCTCTCTTATCTGCGAGGATGCAACCTTCCTGTAACCTTAGGATCATAGACAAAGCGTTGTGCTGCATGCCGTATAGCTACAGCGGAATAAGAGTGGACACGGTTCCGAAAACGGCCTTGGGGCGGCTTCGGGGTCACAGATGGCAAGCCTCAATGACTGGCACATGTTCCAACCCACGAACTAGAGTAGTACCTTAGTGGCTGCGGTTGCGGCTGCGGCTGTGGCTGCGACCGTATTGAGCATCTTCATGTCCTAGGCTGCTGGTGGATTACATGGAATCGATGCCTTTCGACACGCAAGCATTGATAGTTCAGTTCCAATTCGCCGACTAAAAAAAAGACTGTTTCCTTATACGGGAAATACGTACTACCACTGTGACATGTACTTTTACTGTTTATAGAGTAGATACGGAAATGAATAACGTACCTAGATTGCGGTCGTCAAAGGTTACATCTCGACAAAGGAGGCTGACCACGCCTGCTACCACGATAGCCACGCCAAGCGGATCGTTCACGGAACCGTATTTGCAAGCAATAACGGCACCAATCATATAGATCTTTAACCTAATTCCCGTGGTTCGATTACTTCTAAATTCAACTAGACGGAGGAGAGCGCCTATCATGGTGGGGCTGCTGAGGTGTGGAGAGCTGAACGCTCCGTTTTCGGGAATGCCCGCCGCAATTGATCCGATTGAGGAATTGGTCAACAAATTCATGGCGTGTTTGCAGGGAGGTGGTTGTCCGAAATCAATGCTGTGTTTTCGGGTGCGCCTGGGCACTTTTATTGTCTAAGATGCTTTCAATGCTCCCACCAAATAATTTGCAACTACGCCAGAAGAATGTCGAGGAAGATGTCGACGAAAAAGTACAAAAATTGATTAACTTTCTCATACATTACTAACTAGACTTGCCAGCACATCACTGGGACTCATTCGACATGGCTTGAGGACCATGTAGATGGTCGCGATGAATGTCGCTCAGCTGCATTTAAATCACGCGGTTCAAGCTGCACTGAGCGTTCACATCGAGGTTGAGGAGGCCGATCTAGAATTGAAGATTAGTTTAGCATCTTCAATGATTAGAATGAGGAGATTCTTACATCCTCAATGTCCTTCTGGGAGCAGCAGTAAACTTCACCATTGCTGCAGTCTTCGCCAAGGGCGCCGTTGGCAATGTTGCTCAGGGTCAGGAAACCGCCGTTGCTGCTGTCCTTGCAGACCATGCTCTGATCGCTCTTGCAGGTGGTATCGGAGTCGCCAGCAATGGCAGTGGCAGCGAGGGCAAGGACAGCGATGAAGAACTTCATTTTGATGGAAAGGTGGATTGAGAGTTGATCTTTCGGGAACGGTATGTTAGTAGAGAACGGTAGTGCGCAATGGGGCATGTATCTCACTGGTTTGTTGTGGTAATGTGTGTGTGAGCTCATGGAGAACAGCCGGGTGTTTCCTGCTTCTTTATAGCCCTTCGAAATTAACACGTCGTGATAGGCAAAGTAATGATCTGCAATAATTTCCCACTGATTGGAATGTATGTCTGCTTTCGGTTACCGCAGGAGCTATGATGTACTTTGTATAGCATGGATCGACAGAAAGGGATGGGCTCACATACTCAATGAGTAAATGTAGTCGTCATACTGAATGTACGGTATCCGGGGACTCGTTCTATTCTTGGAGACCTCGTTGCCGAACAAGCTTCGAGTACCTCGAACCTTGGAGGTAGTGTTGAAACCCTAAATGACCGTTGCGCGAACATTCAGGGGAGGCTTTTATGGTATGCGCCTCTTGCGTCATACTCTTTGTATCTGCGTCTCATACAGGCTCTTAGTGATTCTAGGAGAATTTAAGCAACCGAAAAAGAGAATGAGAAGGTAGCTCCTAATGATCGAATGAATGTGGCGTCCAATCGGAATACAATTCTGCCAAATAGGGTTGCAGCTCAGCATTCCAGTGCGGAAGCCAAGGCTCGTTCCCGCATCTTAGACCGAGGACCACCTCCTGGTACTTTCTGAGTTTTCGAAATAAGACTTGAGCAGATAGCTTACTATGCGACCAATCCGCTGACCATGTCAAAGCTGCGTTTTGTGATCAAAAGTAAAACTTCCACTTCCGAATGATCGACTCTTAAACGGCGCCAGTGTGCTTTGCGGTGTATTGACGATACCATGCTCCTTGGTACATTCTATAACAAGTAAAACAACTTTGGCATCGTGGATGTTCTTCCATACGCAATTTCATCTCTATTAATTCTGTCTGAGGCAAATTCGACGAGAACATTTCTTACGCAGGCCATTGTAACGTCGATCGCTGCTACGCACGCATCAAGGGATCCACTTCCCTTCACATAGCTCTCAGCCCTTTCGGCGTTTAGCGCAGAGATGAGTGAGCAAATCCATCTGTATCTGTAGAATTACTGCTGGGTTATCACCCGGCATTGATTGAGTTGTTCATATGGATCCTTAGATTGTGCGGTTCCAAGATGGGTGAGCAGTTTCTTGAAGCTCTGCGCACTGGTTCCTGGCTTTTAACTCTCTCTCTCTCTCTCTCTCTCTCTCTCTCTCTCCATATTGTAAGAATCACTCTGTGCATTGTGTTGGTCATTGGAATATACAATATGGAAGTTCGAGGATCATGGGTACTTGTTCGGAAGAATTTACCGTACGAGCAATAAAGTTAATATGCAGTACAAAGAGATAATTCCTGGACATATCTCCAGGCTCGCGACTACTACTTGTGCATTGGAAGCCAGCGATTCCCAGCAGTCATCTTTGGTCCATATCATACTCAAAACCAATGTGGACGGTGGCTCGAGTGTTTCACGTGGGCTACACTGACGCTCTTGTTGGCCAGATTCTGTTTGCTTATAGGAACACGAGCGCTCATGACCTACTCGAGTTCACGAACTGAGCTTATATAAAAGTACAGCTAGGCTATCAAAAGTTTTGTATCTTCAACTCTGTTCCTTGATATCCACTACTCTGCCCATATAAAATCAATATGAACAACCTTCCAAAAATGGAGGACCACGATGAGGCACAAAAAGTCTTAATTTAGGCCTCGTTGCGGTGTTGGAAAGCTCAGTCTCTTACGATTACCTGATTCTCCACTTTTCAATAATTGCAATTTACTATTTTTCACAATCCTTTCTTGAAGAGACTGCAATGGCACGAATAAACCATCACTGGCGGCCCCCGAGAATCTTACTACAGCCCTCACCCACTCGTAGTATACATTCCTCCAAGATCCATTTCTCCGGTCGCAACAAACCGGTCGCGTATATCGCTATCGCCTGTGTGAAGAGCATAAACCGGTACACCAAACCTGCATTTCTTCTAAAGGGGCACATTCCCTCCCTGAAATTCTGGAAATGCGCGCGTCGAGACCACAGCCAAGTAGAAAGAAAACAACGAAACTTGCTCTTGATGGCGCTGGGACACATAGCGCTAGAAGGCCGGAACGAACAGGGGTCTAGACCACCAGCTACATTACAACGCGTACATGCCATTTGCCACCAACGTGTTTTCCCTTTGACTACATCTGCACAAGGCAGCCGCTCATTGCTGATGCTCGCCCAGTGCGCGTCTCGGGCTCACATGGCGCTATCCCAAGCGCGTTGGAATGCTTAAGTAACCGGACATTTGTCTGAGGAATGCCTCCAGTCTCGCCACGTATGGTAGGGTAGGTATGCCAGTTATAAGGCATTCCTTTCTAGGTGGTGTGGCTAAGCGGCACAAGCATACGTCTTTGGTCGATGCTTATTCTTCTGGAGTCAACACGGGTCTGATATCTGGAGTGACAAGTAGGCGCGCATCATCGAGCGTGCTAGGAATGCTGTTGCGACCTTCATCGTACCTTTCAAAGGGTGCCGAGGAGGTTCGTTCGCGGCGAAAGTGTAATGTCCCTTCCCCACAATGTCGATACTTTGAACATGGACAAAGGAATGTCGCGCATGACAGTGATGGAAATTTGAGAAGTGTTCCCTGATGGACTGACGGGGAGAGGGCGGTATTCTCGACGATCACGAGACTGAATCAAATCAGAGCAGAGGGTGCGATCGAGAAAATAGTACAGCATATGCACAAATAATCCCAGCGGAAGTGCGAGAAGAGTATAGTACCCCTGAACGGACGTGGAGAGTTGTTATAGATGAAGGCCACAAACGTAGTACCAGGTCTGTCCGGTCTGTCTATAATTCAGAGATATGATGCAGAGCCTCTAGATATGTCAGGCTCTATCTAATTATTATATACAATCTAAATCCTGGTCTTTTTTTCATCCTCTTCACACTCGCGCTGTTTCTGCTTCCGTACCTTCTTCCGTGCTCGACGACAGTGACTCAGAACTTTGATTCGGCTCCTCTCTGGGACCCAGTTTCTTCGTCCTTTTTCTTTTGCGCAGGCTTTATGGGTGCAAACTTGCTCCGGACCCGAATCTGCTTCCCAAACCTGTAGAACAGGAACGGAATAATTGCCAGTACGGCAGCCACGCCGCCAATTAGACTTCCACCTCCTCCCACGCCTAGCGCATGGAACATCTGGTTCGTGAATAGCGGTGCAGCCGCACCACAGGCTGACCTGGCGATGGTGTTCGCAGCAATCGCAGAGGCAGCATACATCAAATAGACATCCACGAGATAATTCAAATAAGCAACAAAAATGAGAAGAAGCATACTCGAGAGGAAGCAACCGGCGAGTGTGGGGACTATCCAATGGACATTGCTATTTGAGAATCAGCATCGCCTAGTCTTCTGTTTATTGGGGTTTGCAATACTCACTTGTATTCGGCAGACCATGCGAACCAGAACATGGTAGCAGAGAAGCCAATACCACCAATCATAGCCAATGGTAGCCGGTCTTCGGGGACGAAATCTTCGATTTTCTTCTCGCCTCTTTCAATCTTTTTCTGGCGGAGATGCGTGTCCACCAGCACGATAACGCCACCAAGCAAAGCGCCGACAACAGTGCCAATCAAAGGCAACTCTCCCACGCCCGAGTTCCAACCACGCTTCTCCTGGAAAACAATTGGATAGATGGTAAACAGCATATAGAGCAAGGTGTAGACAACTGCCATGTAGATAGCGCAGAGCAGAGAGATTGTGTCGAACAGGATGATCCACGGCCGTATCAGCGCTACCTTGTAGATGCTAACAAGTGTTCGGTCGCTGGCCTCGACCGCAGCCTGGACATTCTCGTAGCCTGGGATCTTTGCCTTCCGAATCCGTTTCGCCTTGTGATACAATATTATAGGAGCGTACGTTTCGGGTATGGTTAGCATGACAATTGCCGTCGCACCGCCTAGCCAAAGAAGCACGTAGAAGCTCCAACGCCAATCTTCCTTCAATTCAAGGAAGCCTGCAACGACGGGTCCGAGAGCGGGCCCCATATAGACCATCGCGGAGAATCCAGCCATCGCATTGGAGCGCTGGAGTGGGTCCCATAGATCGGCAAGAACTCCGGGGCTGTTACTTAAAGGAGCGGAAACAAATGTGCCTGTTAAAAATCGTCCCACTAGCAGTGCACCGAGATTTGGCGCGAAAGCGCAAAGGAAGTTGAAGGCCAGATAAAGCAAGAAAGAGATATAGAAGATCCATCGACGGCCAAAAAATTCGCTCAGGGGTGCGAACACCAGAGGACCGGCGCAATAACCAAGCAAGAATACCGTGATGGTCAGACCTGCCACCTCTGTCGAGATCCCAAATTCTTCAGATATGGACCCGAAACATCCACTGGGGGAACTTGAAGCAAATGTCGCATTCACAACCAGCAGCACAGCGCTCACAGTGATCGCGATGCGGCGGCGCATCGACCAGTTGCGGGGGTTCTCGATGTCCCCAGGGGCAAAGTCGACATAGCCATCATCGTTGAGGTAAGGCGGACTTTCATGTCGAAGGTCTTTGGTGCGATACGGTTTATTCACCGCGTGGGACAGGACTCGCACGATAGCTGCCATGATGAATGAACAGAGTCGAAAGAAACCATCACCCCGCCAGTCGGTGAAATAAAGGATGAGCTATCAAGCACTAGACATGGGCCCTTTTGTGACCAGTCATCTTTTATTAATGCCCATTTTCAGCATGACATAATTTTCACCGACTTGTGATCAAGTTTCGGGCGTGCGTTAATGTCCGAGGTTTATCTCCGCATATCTCCTGGTGGTTCGGTTCTGGTCAGTGGCAGTAAATGCCGAGGCTCAAAACTCTATCGCGATCGCCGATCCCTGACGCCCGATACACTTTGTCATCGGGCAAGGTCGAGCCTCACATCTGGATGTTCTACATCAAAATGAAAGATATTGAAAAATAAAAAGACCACAAGCGATCTTTGAAGTCGGAGATGATTATGTGTTGACCGAAATCGAGCTGATAGATTAGGAGGCCATCATGCCCCCGCACTAATCACCATCCTAGCAAAGGCGAATCCGCGATGCCGTAAAGAAGTTCGGAAAAAGACCACCAAACCTTCCAAATATATTATCTCGAGATGACAGTGACTTCAGCCTCCGATGATTCGGCCAGACATGTTCGGCAAATTTTCCGATCTTTTTTATCGCTTCGGTGAATGGTTGCACAAAGACCACCCAGAGTTATATATAGATGTGAATGGCGCCCAGGTGTACCAAGAACCCAATTCATCTTGTTGTAGAGTTGTTGCAGAGTAAAAGTGCATTACAGAATTGAGTCTACATTGTCAACAGTAACATGTGACATAATCCCAAGGGTATCTGTGTTCCAGGTTTTGTCATCATGGAGAGCGATGATGAAAGCTTTGAATCATTAATGAACATTTCCACCTTGAGCCAAGAGGCAATTTTGGGTAAGGGCTCAATTACTCAGCGCAATCAAAGGTGGGCGTGTCTTCATGGAGAAACGCCTAGGTGCGGGGCGGCCAAAGTAGTGGAATAGGATCACCTTTAGTATAAATCAGTTTTCGACTGCAGGAGAAAAATTCTCCCAAAGTATCGATCACTTGGCATCGCCTAGTATTACTTTGTGATTTTGCCGATCATTTCCAAACTTTCTAGACACATCATCCTATGAGCTCAATCAAGGAAAGTCTGGCAGAGAAATGTGTTTCCAGACAAGACCAGTCTGATTCGCCTAATTTACTGACAGGCTTTGCTTGAGAAAGCGCCCACGAGAAGCACAGAGTTATCTTGAATATAATTCGCACCGTCGCTCAACTCCGTCTTGTTTTTAGAAAATCACCGCAGCAAGTCCAAGCCAACATATTAAGGTGTGGCTTTACTTGCAGCAACATTATTAACGTGAAGGCCATGGCGCCCCGGCTAGCAGGACTAGCCAATTGAGTAGCCCAGCGTAGCAGCGTACGGTGAATAATCGGAATGGAAACAAGTTTCTGAACTGCACTGGCATCTGTCTCATGACGGTCAAAGTCAAGAACATGTGGCCGATTAGGCGTAGTTCAACTTCAAATTCAAGTACCGAGAAGCCTCCTAAACATCAGACAGGAGCGCTAACCAAAGTTGACTTGATCACCATCGATGGAGATGATTCATTGTGGTGAGTCATATATTATCAGGGCACGGATACTCATCAAGACTATCTCCGCCTCTTTACGATCTCTTTCACCATCGAGGTTTGATTGGAAGGTAGTTTCTTTTCTATCAAATGTCGTAAATCTTGCATTTTAATGAAGAAGGGGAAGACTTGGCGAAATTGCCAGGCTCATTTGTTAGAGGCGTAAGCTGTGAACGCGCTCAGCGGCACTGAGTCTTCGTCTGACAGGATCGCAATCCATTCCACCAAGCCGTTTGCTCGACATTGAAAGTAGCAGAAAGGGGAGTGTGAGCACTAGAATCACCAACTAGGACGGTGTATCGCCCATTTTCCTGCACCCACGCATGTTTATACTCGTCCCAAAAGCTTGTTGCATACTTTTTCGAGATATGAAGGGTGACGCGCTCGGACTTGCCTGCTGGAATGAACACCTTGCGGAATCCCTTCAACTCCTTGAGAGGTCTCCAAATGCTAGGTGAATGTTGAGCAACATAGACCTGAACAACTTCAGCGCCATCCACGTCTCCAGTATTGTGAACATCAAGAGCCACAGCGAGCGTATCATCGAACTCTTGAAGTGAAAGCGAGCTATATTTGAACGTCGTGTAGCTCAAGCCAAAACCGAATGGGAAGGCGACATTTCTTTGGCATTTCTCATAGAAGCGGTAGCCGACATAGACGCCCTCACCGTAGATCGTACGTCCTTTCTCGCTTCGATAATTCAAGAAAGCCGGATTGTCTTCGTTGCGATGCGGAAAGCTCAATGGTAACTTGCCGCTAGGTTTCACATTACCAAACATGCAATCGTTATCGACATCGCCTGGTTTTGAAACGAAAGATGCCAGGGAACTGGTTTAACGGTTCTTCAACCACGTCCACATCTATTAACCCATATTGGAAGTAGAGAAGGTTCAGGGATATGTGAGGGATTGTGCTTTCAATGGCCTGGATTGGGATGCTAAATCATGCTTGCTAGTAAGTTCGTCCCAGGCGTGCGACGGATCCGAAAACTCGAAAGCCCTTATTGCAGAAGGTTTTTGCAAGAGCGTCACCTATTCCACCTTCACTGCAACCGGTAATGAGAACTGTCTTATGACCCATTGTTGCGATTAATTATTTGGAGCACAACGATTTTTTTTGTTACTCAGAGTAATGTTGAAATTGAGGGAATGCAAGCGGGATTCACAAGATACGCACGCATTCCTGATGAAGCAAGGAATAATTGAGCGACTACGCCCGGGGACCCAAAGCGTATTGTCTGTCTGTAGATTAGCAATCATGCGTTCATCAATAATCAATTCTGGCGGAGGTCATTGACCTTCGCGAACGCTGACATACTGATGTGGCTGGGTCAACCGTCATTCCCGGTCGTTTTTTTCCCCGGCCTCCAGCTACCCGTTGCTTTCGGCCCACTCCACTAGTCTATTACAATCGACGAACCGTGGTACCCATTCATTTCGCAAGGCTCTCATACCGCAAACTTTGTAGATTGAATGGGTTAGAACCTTGGCGAGTAAGTGTTCGAGAGAAGGTTGAATGAAAAGCAGTCTGCAACAGTGGCCACTAACATCCTCAAAGTACGACTGTCCGAGGCGGTCACCAGGTCAAAACCTACTACGAGTCATCCCATGCACCCGTCTGATCAGCGTTCTACTTAGAAAGAGTCGTCGAGACACAGAGTCAGAGGCTACCGCATCCGACCGAGGGTCCAACACTCACGCGAGGTATTTCTTCAAGTCCCCCTTACGCCACGTGGCGGTTTCCCAGACACAGTATGATCCGTTAGAAAACACCATGAGTTCGTATGATTACTTGAATATTAAACCTGATCGTGTTTTTCAATACACCTATGTGATCAATGGGACAAGAACCAAAACAGGTACTGTTGTATGCATAGACATATCGGGCGTATGTCGGCAATTTATTAATGCTCATATACAAGTAGTTAATCATTACACACAATTTTCGAAGAGCGCAGGGCCTCCTCCACCTCATTGCGTTGAAACCCAGGTGTCCGACCCAAGCAAACTCCTCTGCTGGTCAACGCTATTAAGGTTAGAACAAGGCAGTCATTACGAGCCAGGTGTGGAATTACCTGATATAAACTGTGAGACATTGATGTTGGTCTGCACTTTTGAGAGCTTGGTTGACTCATCAACTGACGTAACCAGAACAACATTCTTGTCTCGAAGATATTCTTCCAGATCTCGCAAGTCAAACCAATCCCCTTCTAGTTGCTTTCGCAGATCAGCATCGACCAGTGACAAGGGGTCCTCCACTGTTGCCCATCTCTCATAATGAGGGACAAAGCCACCCGTGCCTTCGTCCCGTGTCAAGGGGCCGGGATAGTGGGTTCCTGCACCCCCTAACCCGAAAAAGGGAACTTCTTCCCATCCGTCCAGCGGCTTTTGGCTTACTTAAGCATATAATTTTGCTTTGAAGTAAGACGTGAGGTTTTCGCGGCTCATCATTCTAAAAATTAGCCCAAAGGGCCTTTGAAGTTGATCTAGGCCGATAGACGGATTGCATAGAGCAAGATGTCCCTGGTAGAGGGCTGCTAAGAGCAGTCTTTCAATGAATTCGGAAACCTCTATACTGGACGTTCCTGGTGAATTGACAGTATGTGGCAGGAGTTCACTGTTGGAATGAGATAATCCAGTATCAACGGGGGCAAGTGGAGGGGGATGTTGGGTGAGGGGCGCTTGATTGTGGGTTGTTGTGAGGATAGCGAGTCAACAGTCTTATTAAGGTCAACTACCTTGTTGGAGTCAATTGTCTTGTGCGAGTCAACCGGAACCCGTCTCTCGTCGTCGATGTTTGAAGCGGATGCCAGAGAAAGGAATGTTATCATTGTGTCACGTAGATTCGCCGTCAGAGCAGAGTGTGACCTAAGCACCCCACTTTGCACCAGGTTCTCACTAAAAGACAGCATAGCAGAGCTCATCCTCTCCATTGAGGTCTCCAGAAGGGAAATCCGATCCTTGAGGATTGCGACAGAGGCTTGCTGTCGTGAACGATATGCACGTTGTGCCAGGCGAGTTTGCGTGCGACGACGCTGTCATAAGTAGTGGTTCGGTCAGAAAACCCACAACATTGGTGGAGGTAGATTGATGGCCTACAAACCTCTTCAGGGGTTTCCTTAATGTCATGAGCCTCCCGGGGAGCTCCAAGGTTCTTCGCTGACACCACAGCCTTCTTGGGTCCACGTCGCTGGCATTTCTGTGGCCGTGGTGCCGTCGGTTTAGAAACAGGTGTTGGGTTTGTATTTGTCGGATTTAAGTAAGATACGAACCCAAGAGCTAAGTCGCCTGGACTGGAAGATGGCGCACTACTTTGAGCACTCTGTGAATTGTATGAATCGGGTAGGGGTTGGGAGCGGGATGAGAGCAGTGAGGTGATATCAGAGGCCGCGGACTCATGTAATGATGGGCGACTTGGTTCGGGCAATGATGTCTGATGGAAATCTTCCCAATTGAAGAAATTCATATCGCTAGATAGCCGCGGTGATACTTGCTGGTCCATTCCGTGACAAATACGGTCACGAATACGCTCACGGTGAGATCAAAACGATGGTCCGCCTGCCAAGAAGAAAAATAAATTGTATGAGGATCCGACAAATTTTTCCTGATCGACCAATCATTTGGTATCTCAGCAGACAGGCCGTTTCAAGATTAGTTAGCTGAGGGATAAACACATGCTGAGAAAATGACGAGAAGTGGTAAATTACTTTTGGAGTCACAAAGTTGACTGTGGCTCGGCATGATCACTCATCATTCCGTTTGATGACGTAATAAACAAATGTGACTAACGTGGTCGGTAAACGAGTGACGCATGTAAGCGAGTGACGCACCCCAAAACACCATAGTAAATGGGATAACTCACAACCTTATATCTCAACAACCATAGCTTCTCGTAAGACTTCCTCATAAGCGTATATTATTTAAGTTAATTCTAATGTTTTTTGAAAGTCTCAAAGGGTTTTAGGAAGTAGTGGTCAGATAACATATCCTTAAAGCTCAACCACCAAAATTACAGTGTATTTTTGGTAAAAGCTGTCAAATTAGGATTAAACTAAACCAGGCTTTCTTTACCAGACTTTTAATGCACTAATTCAGTAGAATTATGTATATTGAGAAGAATGAGCTTATTGTTGTTGAGATACATTGTTGCATTTACTATAGTGTTTTGGGGTGCGTCACTCGCTTACATGCGTCACTCGTTTACCGACCACGTTATCATTGGATGGATTGGGATACATGCTTACTAATGGGTCTTGCGATAGTAAGGCGGCAAATTCACCCACAGATTAACCATCACGACCAAGACAGCACTGAGCTGATGGGCAACGTTGCCATGGAACGTCCTACTCTAGAGTCATATCAACAATAATTTAAATAATAATTGAATTGTATTCAGCACATAGTTTAAAGTTAAGTTCTCAGCAATTCAGATCAGTCAAACATCCCTTGTCTAATTTGTGCAGGAGAGATCAATCTATTGAAGGTTAGGCCGAGCGTGGCGGCTTAGCGGAAGCTAGAGACTGGAAGTCATGGATCCAAGAATACCATATTTCCATCACTAAAAGACCCATTGCCTAGACAAAATCCGAGACCTGATGACCTCCATGCATTCAAGAGGTCAGCTTGTTAGGATAGCATGCCTAGAAAGACTCTGCCTCTACGCAAAGCACCATCGATATACATACTACATTAAAATGGACCAGATGTGCCTGCCTAGGGCCATGCACGCACTGCATCAATTTATTATCTATGTCGTCGGAAAGAAATGAAGTACAGCTTGCTGGTATGACTCCATCGGTATGCAAAACACTCGCTAGGCGTACTCCCAAGAGGAATCGCAGAATATCTCACCCCACACTGCAATTCTCTTCACCCAGAAGCGTGGACGATAAAGTACCAATCGCGGGTTGGAGCTCAATGCATCAGCTACTATCCGAAAGAAATGCGAATTACTATTTCCCACGGGAGCAACTCGCGATTTGAATTTCGGTGTTTGTGGAACTGATTAGTGAGAGCCATACCACGAGCATCACTAGCGGGACCGGGTGTTGTGCCTATCGATGTGCCTATTGATCCTATATTGCCTGCGATGCCAATCACGACTAATATTTTGGAGGCTACCATCGTGCTCATGGAGAACGTCAAGACGAGGATAAGCTGCGATTTAAGGCTTGTATTCGTCGGCTTCAACCAACGAGGTTTACGGAGCCTGTCATGTCGTAGAAGACTCCTTTTATATATCAGCCTCATTGTTTCTAAGCGTTTCGAGCGAACAATCAATTTATCGATCAGTTGCTTCTTCTTAGCTGCCTAGAAAGAGTCATCACGGTTCTACCCTCTCACCGGCTTCTCACTCTGTCTATCGCGCACACCCCTTCTCACCAATTTGTCACCTGAATGATTTGATTGCCCGAATTCTTTGACAACTATCAGAACTTTTTCTGCTTTTCCTTACACATACGACCATAGGGTGTGGAGAACAGGGCTTCCCGTCCGCTCAGCCGTACTTAAGCCACACGCCGGCAGGTTAGTAGTTGGGTGGGTGACCACCAGCGAATCCCTGCTGTTGTATGTTTTTCTTTTTCCTCCAAATTCTTTTCGATCATCGTTCCGAATTGACTCACGCTTTTTCCCTTTCCAAGCGCTCTCACATCCACGCCATTATGACTTAGCCTGCGCGGCCTCTTTCTACCTCATAAGTTTTATGCTCAGTGGTTCCCCTCTGTTACGCTTCGCAACCTCAACAAAAGTTTCCAATTGGACGCAGGGTCCGCTGAGATGATCTTACAGCACTTTCCGCTGAGAGTACTAAGGAATTGACATGAAGCTCCAGTGTCTGACTTGCTACGGCCAAATTTCGCCTTAAAGTGGTCGTTGGACAGAAGCTCTTCCGAATCCCGCTTCGTCGGTGACCGAATCATGAAACCTCCCGACGGGTTTCCCTCAGCCACGAAATCTTTTTTATCTATGACCTAATCGCAGCAGGCTCGCCCCGTTGACTATGCAACCATCTCTAGCACCTCAGGACTTCCAGCTTCCATGTCTCGGAGTCCATTTTTGTAGCTGTCTTGTCCACGATTTCAATAGACTTGCGCTAAGCCTCAGAAAAATTATATGAACAACACGTTGACCCTAGTAATTGGTTCTAGATCTATCCTTTTCGTTCAAAGTTTTTTTTTTAAAAAAACCTGGACTCGCGCAAACAATCTCAGAATGGGGCCTAACAGGGCTTTGACCTTGTCCTCGTCGTGGCGGGGTGCCTGAGCGGTAGCTGGAGAGCGGACTTGCTCCAGTGTGGTTTGGGGAACGAGACCAGTGCTAGTTTCGAGGACGTACTCGTCCGGGAATATAGGGTTCTCATTGCGTCCAACATAGGGGTAGTTGATGTCAAGTGGTAAGGGCTGTTCTGGAATTTCAGAGTCGCGGCGATTATCTCGCGGTTGAAATTCGGATGGCTTAGGTTCGGCCATCTTGAGTTGAACAATGTGCAATTATAGAATAAAGCTAGTATAATACTTTGTTTTTCAGGTACAAAGCGTTAGGGATTCACAGGCTACAACGATATTTATAAGTAGACTAATTGTAAGGGAGTCGCCCGTGTATGTGGTAGTATATACGTAATGCTTGCACGCCGACCAATCTCCGAGATAGACCGTACATGTGCGGACGCTTGCGATCCTCCGATATCAAGTCTTAGACACCGCCCTTTCTGCTAAATTAACCTATCGAGAGTTTCGGAGTCGGAAGGGTTCTGAAGTCAACTAACACTACCTACCGCGAAGAGAATCTTGTGATGGGTCAGGAGCCAATTCAGAGTTCATCACTCTGAAGCAGGACTCAATCGCTAAGGTGCGCCTATTGGACAACCTCTATGTATTGAGGATATTCGTGTCTTCCTTGGTGCTTTGGGAATGCCTGACCTTGCGGCCAATTCCTCCTTCTATGAAATGGGGAAACCCAGAAACGGCGAAAATATTTTTATCTCCGCTACTAGCGGTACTACAGGTTAATTTATTGCGTAGCTTGCGAAACGAGAGGGGCTAAGAATTTTAGGTAGTGTTGGCTCGGATAGAAAGCTAGACTATCTGCTTAACGCACTGAGGTTCGATAGTGGCTTTAACTATAAGAAGGAGAAGCTATTTAATGCTCTTGCTGCTTTACTCCGTAAGGCCTAGACATTTATTACGAAAAACTTAGAAGGCGAGCACCTTGAGGCTACATTGGAAGCACTGAATTCTTTTGGTCGTATCGTCGCTTACGGTATGATGTCCGATCAGAATAGAGATCGTTCTGTGCAAAGAATTTCCACGAGTGATTACAAAACGCTGCGGCCTTTGTAGCGTTTCTCCTCAGGGAAACCACTTTTCGTAACGAGATTGACTTCTTCCAGCTGATATCATTTGTACCCTTCCGTCTTGACAACAGCAGACTTCCCTACTTAAGAGCTGCCCAAGCCTGGAGAGCACCGGCAATTGCTGTCATGATCCCCCTACCCCTCAGGCTTCTGTGAAGATACGAAGCTGAGCTAGCCCAGGCAATGACAACAATGAGAGCAGCAATTGTACGGCTCAGAGGCTCTTCTAGTGACTTTGGGGTCTGAGACCACTGCATATTGAGCAAGCCTGTACTCGTCCATGTTAGCTAAAAGCAAGAAAATACCAGTAAAAACCTAGTAAGCACACCCTTGATACCATTCAACCGTGCTGCAAGTGAAAGCAATATTGGTAAAGCTTGAAATTGCTCAAGGGCGCTGGAATGGACTCGCTGAGTACTAAAAGCAAGTAAGATTTCTAATTCCTCATCCAAACAATTATCATTTAATGTTTCGAGGAAGCTCACCGCATGCCTTATAGCGACTAGGAAAAGAGCCATATCCCACGACTTGAAGCAGATACGGAGAGGGCATCTTTTGCACATTCTCAATAAAAAGATACTGCGCACATCGAAAGCTCGGGAATGAGAGAGCTTAGGGAAAGCAAAGATATTTCAGGTAATTGATATTTAAATATGAATAACTTCCAGCTTGCACGATAAACTCTGTTGGAAGTCATTTGCTAGGGCTCGGTATTCTTCAGTTGAACGAGCTGACAATGATGGTGGATCACAGAAATAGTGCGGGACAATAAACTGTCTGGCCCAGCACTAGCGATAAATAAACTTTAACCAGAATATCTCGGCATCCAGGCTTACCTTTGGTTCCATGCAATAATGCAGCAATGCAACAGCTGTGACCATGAGTGCTCAACAGAGGCTCATCAAAGACTCCAGAGGAAACAATATTTCTAGAAATATTCTCAATGGTGCACAAATACCTTGGCTGTAGAAGTAATTGGACGGATGCTCGATTCCAGGGTCTAAAAGCTAGATTCCGCGGTGTGGCAGAATAAGACCGAGTTTGGAAAAAGCCCACAGTCATAGGTTGCAATTCTTATCTTTCACCTTACTGCAGATGCCTAAGCTGTGTATCAATTGTTTTAATCCGATCAGTAGGAAAATCTTAGATTTCTTTCTTTACATCTGATATTTAATTGATGATGGTACACCGCGACATCCATTGGCAGTTCTTAAGACAAGGAAACTATTCGCGTATTTCTAAAAGTATCGCTGGCTCACATCTCCATATTCAGTCGCTCCCTAATATTGAGTTCGACATGCATCAGGATACATGTATTCTAACCACTCGTTGAGAGATTGCCATATTTCATTCTGGTATTGGCATATTTTCTCCGCTTTTTCTTGATGAGAGTGACTTTCTGATCGGAATTTAGGACAGGTTCTCTCTCGAGCTGAATTGAAGTGTGCATCACTTTTATGTTCAATGGCCCTCGTCAATGTGGCGCCATAGAAGTAGTCGCGAAGGTATCCATGTTCATTCTTAGTCACTCCAAAATGACTGAAAAGCGCATTCTCTGCAATATACGTTGCACTAACCGGATTCGAATCATCCGTGGCGATGTTAATCGGGAGATTGGCGCGTTTTCGCTGGTCGTGATGGTCCGGCGAAAATCGCAGTTCTTGTTCACCATTGCCCTGAGACTTATTGTCCAATTCGAATGCCATGTTTGCGGACTGAGGTTTATTGTGATTTCCGAAGTGCTGTGGATCGTTTGTGGATGTACATTGACTATCCGGAGAAGCTTCGCTGTGCTCGTGCCGTGACCTTTCGCGGTGGAAGCTGCAACCTCCAGCAAATGGGAAGTTTTCAGAAGTGAAGCATCTATCCCCGGAGATTTCTTGGCCAGGTCGTTTGATTCCACGTAGTCTAAGTCTTTTCAGATCGTCGTCCTTCCATAAAGCTGTGTGGAGGACGGGACCCCTCGAGGCTGAGCCTTGCATTCAGTGTGGTTGTGACCCTGTCGTAATAAGGTACTAAAATATTGACATTGACGTAAGTGTAGTTTTCCGTTGCTGCCTCGAGTATAATTTAAAAGGTGAGGGAACAGATTTTTTCTTTCAATTTTGATAGTCCAGTGCAACGATAGATTCCGAGGTTGTAAATCCAAAATTGGCCTCGGCTAATCGGGTTTAATAGACGAATCCCGCCGAGCGACTAATTTTTTGATGACCGACTGGTCCTCGCTTTTCAGACTTGCACGCACTCTGATAATATTGCATTCGTGAACAGAAACTAAGAATTATGCTCAAAGAGCATACCGAAAACTAGGAATCTGTCGGTCTGTCTTGTTCGTTTGTTCTGCAACGAGATCTTGCAAGTTAGTAATCTCCATGTGGCCCTGATTGGACTCTCGTCTCTTGTTTTCCCAGACATAGAATGAGAAAAGTAAAATAAGGAAAAGAACACCCAATGCAAGTCCGCATAGCGAGGCACGGATACCGGTCTAATCAAGTGTAAGTTTTTGAATGATAAAAGGGTTGTCAATTGGGAGAACGTACCCCATAAACAGGCTCCTCTGAAGCCAAAAAAAAATTGTGGACCCACAATGTTTCCTACGCAATAGGCAGCAAAAACCGCAACGCTGACCGTACTTCTTTTCGTAACACCAGCGACATTTGAGCTAACGACACTCAAGACGAGGGGAATGTTAACAGCAAAAACCGCGACAAAGCACAGTCCAACCATCTTCGCAATCTTCTGTTCGTCACTAAGTGTGTATATCATAGCGGTGCCAATAACGGAGACTATGACGTTGAGCGCCATTGCTGGGATGCGGGAGGACGCGATGTATGTGGCGATAGTCGCAGTAATGACAAGGAAGACAAGTTGAGAAAGACCTAGTGGCATCTGAATCAACAATGATTTAAAAGCAGAGTAACCGAATCCTTTAACAATGATGGCACCAAACTGTAATAGTATTAGCATTTTATGAAGATAATCTTGATCATTAACATACGCTGGTAAGCCCGCCATTGGCAAGATTCACGCAAAAGGTATAAAATACCAAGAGCCACGCCTGCGGGTCTTTTGCTGCATCCATAACTTGGCTCCATTGGAATGGCGTGGATTCAGCGGCACCAGTTTTATTTGACAGTGTTCGTTGCACGGCAATGGTTCGCTCCGTAGGTGTGAGGAATGAAGCCGTGCCAGGCGAATCAGGTAGCACGAAGAAGAGAAATACCGCATAACCGGAAGTGATGGCTCCCAAGGCCAGGAATAAGAGGCGCCAGCTCTGTAGATCCGAGGCAGAATGCCCGATTCCATATGCGACAACACCGCCGATTATGTTGGCGATGCAATTGCCAACGAACCATGCACCTTGGCTAAGAAAGTCATGAATGTTAGCTTTACTCGTTGTTCTTCGCTTTTCTTACGGAATAATTACCGTGCCGGCTGCTCTTCGCGCTTATAGAACATCCCAGTTATTAATCCAAAGCCTGGTGCGACCGCAGCTTCACCAACTCCGAGAAAGAATCGTGCAGTGATCAATCCAGCGAAGTTCTGGCAAGCTGCATGGCACATCAGGACGCCACCCCACAGAAAACTGTCAAGTAGACTGCATCAGAGAAGGGAGTCGCTATAACCAGAGCATTGAGAGGACTCACACAGATACCGCCAAATACTTTCCCAACGGGAGACGGACAATCAAATAAGAAGTAGGCCAGCTCCAAGCCAGGTATCCAAAGTAAAATATCGCGGAGCACCATGTATATTGTGAACCAACGAGATGCTTTCAAGAAATTAGCGTCTGCTGATAGATAAGGAAGAGCGTTACATGAATGGGAGATAGCCTCACGAGATCTGCTCTCAAATTCAAAAGCGTTGCTTGACTTATAGCCAGTTTGTCCATGTATTGAAGCATGTAGCACACTCCCATAGTTGGTATCATGCTAATAGTATGGATAAGCACTCTTCCTGCACTATTCAAGAAGTGACCTTGTTCAAGTCAATTTGCAACTTACAAAAGATCAAGTTTCCTCAACAGTCGACGTTCCTCTTCAGGGGATGCCTGGTATTCAATGATCTCGCCAGTACTGTCATCTTGGCCTATTTCTTTTGCGACTGATAGCCCTTTCTCATTGCCGGTAGGTCGATCCTGTTGAGATTTCTCCATATTTGATAATTTGATTGACATCAAAAGTAGAATTAAGACGGGATGGTAGTGCCTCTGGTCAAGATTAGCAGTCCAGACCAAAGACAAAAGCTGATCTTTTATACAACTCTTCTTCCAAAACCTTGTCTGACTGCTGGACGCAATCCTGTGTCATGTTATCGGGAAGCATTCATCAATGAGTCTCGCTTAGCTGGACCCAATCTACAGCAACACGCATCGACACATTTTCTTCAGGAGGTAAGTGTCCAAGATGGCATCTGATTGACGAATGAAATGACGATGAACAACGCCCCATTCCCATTCAATCCTTCCCCTCTTATCGATAACTGTGCTGTTTCCCGCGGAAAGTTAGATTGGGGGTCAGTCAATAGTCTGGAGAGAGAGGAGGCGTCACCTCGGCAAATAACACCATCATGGCGATTTCAGGTCGGCAATAATCTTGTGTATGATTGAAGGTCGGCAATGAGCTTATTGGTGATTGGTTGGTACTCTAAATCTTAGCCTGATGTCGGCAACTGGGGAATTCAATCGCTCCCCCGCATTCGTGCTCGTTATCTCATGCCGCGTCCGGACAGATAACGATACCGCTATGAAGATAGAGGAGATGTGTTAGTAAAAAAAGGACTTGGATTCGACACATTTGACGACTCTACCATCCAATCCGAGAAGCATGCATATAGTAGATCTAATTATACTAGAGGCATAAATATTGTGCGGACTCATGTCGATAGCATCATGTTGATGTTGCCGTATTTGCCGATTGGGGTCGGAATCAGGGGAGGGCAGTGCACCTCCACAAAAGACCCCATGTGACGCTTAAAACATGGGGTAATTTCAACGAAGCAACCTTTGAAATTTCTCAGGCTCATGCACAAAATCTGACCGACAGCCGATTTCTCCAGAAGATCCAAGAAAATCACTCAACCCCAAACTCTCACAATGTCAGACCCGGCAGTCCGAAATGCGATTGATACCGCTCTGGATAGAGTTGCTAAACAGCTTCGGGAATTGAATCATAATGTGAGAACATCTGATGGAGGTTGACTGTCAAAACGCGAAGATTAACCAGCAGACCACAGATCTGGTCCAACCCGGAACTTGCCTACGAAGAGCATCAGGCGCACGATAACATTTGTGATTTCCTTGAAAGTCAAGGTTTTGCGGTGACCAGGCATGCATATGGTGTCGATACTAGCTTCGAATGCATCAGCGGCACAGAAGGCCGTCTGGTCAACTTCAACGCAGAATATGACGCACTACCTGACATTGGACATGCTTGCGGACATAACCTTATTGCTACCAGCAGCATTGCGGCATTCTTAGCATTGAGCCATCTCAAAAAAGAATTCAGGATCGGCGGTCGCATTCAGCTGCTTGGTACGCCCGCGGAAGAGAATGGTGGAGGTAAAGCCAAATTGCTCGACGCTGGGGCTTATAAGGAGGTTGATGTTTCTTTGATGGCGTGAGTTTACGATTTTTCTTCGATCAATCTGACACAGCCCTGAGACAAATGGATAAAGCTAATGGCCTCTAGTCACGGAGGACCGAAGAAGATGGTTGGAGTGCCAGCCGACGGTATAGCTGGAGTCCTAATGAATGCCCGAAAGGAGCTATGGGTCGAGTACTTTGGAAAAAACGCACACGCTGGAGGAAACCCATGGGAAGGCGTCAATGCGCTGGATGCACTGGTGACGGCATACAACGGTGTTTCCACTCTGAGACAGCATATCCAGCCAGATGAGCGAATTCATGGTGCATTTTTGGATGTGCCCAAGGTTGCCAACATTATTCCGGCATACACCAAGTCTTACTGGCAGATCCGAAGTCCTACTTTGGGTGGACTTGATAAGCTAATTGCAAGAGTTCGGCGGTGCATGGAGGGTGCCGCTACCACCAGCGGCTGCACAGTTAGAATTGAAGAGTGGGTCAACCACCACATTATCCAATGACAATGACAGTGTGTTAATAAAGATTTGTGGCCAGAGAGGGACTGTACACCGATATTGTCCTGAATGATACCCTATGTGAGCGATATACAACTCACATGAAAGGATATGGGAAGGACATCATTTACAAGCATGATCAGGTCTTGACCGGCTCATCTGATGTTGGTAAGTTACAATGCCCAATCCAGAGGCAACATTACACAGGCACCGAATGCTGATGACATTGCAGGAAACGTAAGCTATGCGGTTCCGACACTTCACTCGACATTTGCCATCCCAACCCCCGAAGGCTCCTACCCACACCACCCCTCTTTTACTGCCTGCGCTGGCACCGATGAAGCACACGAAGAGGCTATTATCGTCGGCAAAGGGCTGGCTCTTCTAGGCTGGGATATGTTGACCAATGACAAGCTCTTCAGCGCTGCTAAGTCTCAATGGGAAGGACAAATTCCGAGCAAAGGCGAAAATTGATAGTTTTCGTCAAGGGACTGGCTCGGGAAGAGGCGAGACTACAGGTGAACATCATTTTGCGTCGCTCGATTTTCGTGTAGGCTACCGATTGAGCTAGAAGGCCTAGTCTAAAACTGACACATTTAAGACTTATATGCCCCAGAGATAGGATGTATGTATTCACCAGAATGTTATGGATAGTGGGAATGGAAATCCAAGGATTAAAAAATATTTTCATATTCATAGTATTCTAACTTTGAGTTTAGCTCTGATTTATTTTAACGCGGTCGTCATTGGTCCTCATACGAATGGTAGAAGATGATTTTGGACCTAGATCAGTTAGTCTATGCTGTTTGCATTGTCTGTTATTCAAGAACTTCTTGGAAGTGAAGAGGGAGAGGACTAGCTCTCATTGAAATTTCGTACTAGGAAAACCAGATCTTGAATTAGAAGCATCTCGTGATTTCGCGATACAAACGAAGCAGGCAACAAAGTACAATAAGCGTCTCCCAAAACGGCAACTGAGCCGCAGATGTTCGGCAACTCCCGGGCAGGTAATCCACCCGTCATCTTCAGATGACTGAGCTAAAATCGCCGCGCTCGAGCAACGCGGGGGAGCGACAAGATAACCCTTGTTCAATATTTTGATCCCTAGGCTTTTTTCATGAGTAAATTCGTCATTCCAAAATAAAACTGTGTATTGGAAAGACTCTAGACTTTCTGAAGATGCTGAATCAGAGAAAAACACTGATCTTGAATACATAGTTTGGTGACCGTAGTCCCGTAGAGACTATTTATCGTTTTATCATCTGAGACCGAAAATCAATGCAACTATACAGGATCTAGATGGAACTAACCAGACCAGCCAAGTTGTTTCAATAAACTTGTCATGCTGGGTAGAACCAGCTCAGCATGATGGGGTTCTTGAGTCATTAATTTTGGATTGAAACCGGTCCAAGACCAATACTAGACTCAGTAGCCTGCACGGCATGTACAAGGAAAATCTTCTGCTCTCTCTCAACGTATTCGATTACAGAATCTCAGGAAACCGTGCTAGAGCAAGTAGCTACCCCTAGTCGGCTATCCGAATGGCAAGCCTTCCGCGTCCGAGAACACTCCGAGGTGAGCAAACCTTCCAGTGCCACAACCTAGCTTTATCCTTGGAAATGAAGACCATGGTCTAACTGAAACTACACAGGCTTTGACCACGCTACAGCCTGCAGTCAGAATATATCGAAAGCCTCGTGACGGCACTTTTGGAATTGACTAGCCGGCCGCTTCTTGTCGCTGCGGCAGCAGCGAATGTGTCCCCTACTTCATAAGATGGTTAAAATAAAGCAGGCTTACTGTGAAACATGCGAAATCAACTTGGCATTCTAGCACTATGACGACCACGTCGAATTGTCCCTATCATATGAATGTGAGAGGGCGGACATTTCTTTCTCTTCGCCAGGGGAACTCTAACTTTCAATTGTCGGTATTAAGGACAATGCAGAATTCTTGCAAGCTTCTGGTCATGATAGATGATATTGGAAAGACTTAAATTTCATGAGCCAAACTGTACGATGGCGGCACCGGGTTTAGTGGCCTGAACGCAATAGTCCAAAGCTTGCTTTGTGACACGTTTGTCGAGGCTGATTCCTCTCACGAACCAGGGTGCTAAGGGATGTTCCCTGGATACTTGTCTCCCTATGTTGTGAATGTAACCGCAGCTCAGCACGTGCAGGCTACTTTGGAAATTGCGAAGAGGCACAATTTGAGACTCAACATCAAGAATACTGGACATAACCCCGAAAAGAGGTCAGCTTAAACACAAATATAATTGTTTGTAGCCTACTTAGCCTACTTCTCCCATAGCATTAATTCATCACTCTTACACATATCTCCATATTCAGTCATCCCTCTCTGACAGGTTATGAGTCCCTTTGCCTGGCGCCGGTGATCTGACCATCGCTGGCGCCCCCTGATCATCATCCTCATCGTCTCATCGCCGTGATCATCGTCACCGCCGTCCTCTCTTGGGGGGGCAGGGTAGCCATCCCTACCCGTTTCATCAAGGCTTTGCCCTTCCATCAAGGCTTTGCCCTTCTATCAAGGCTTTGCCCTATCCATCATCGTGTCGACCAAGACCACCGGCTTCACTGAGCCTAAGCTCACCAACCTCGTTTCTACCCTCGTAGGCGAGAACAACTACACTTCGTGGGCTACCAGCCTTCGCTGGTCTCTCGACGCTCGCGATACACAGTTCAACAATGCTTCCTCAACCCAAAGAACCAGGATCAGCGTCCTAAGACAAATACCGTCGACCTAGACGATCCTGTCAGTCTCTTCCTTAGGTCAGCCTAATCATCCATCTATGCCTATCCACGGCATCATACCAATCGCCGGTATTCTTTCAATTTATGCCTATCCACGGTATTATGCCTATCCACGGCAGCCCTTGCCTACACAGACCTCTATCTACACGCCCCTGATCAAGCTAAACAGATACGTTTTGACGGCATGCCTCGCCTACACAGACCTCTATCTACACAGCTCTGATTAAGCTACACAGATACGTTTTGACGGCACACACGCACGCACACACACACACACACACACACACACCCGGGAACAGCTTCAACAGGATCGAGGGATTATCATTCTTCATATGGACATCTCCCACACGCATGCACCATGCTATGGTCGTGGGGGGGTGTTTGTAGCCTACTTAGCCTACTTCTCCCATAGCATTAATTCATCACTCTTACACATATCTCCATATTCAGTCATCCCTCTCTGACAATAATGAAATCGATGGATCATCTGACTGACACTGTTACAGTTCCGCCGATGGAAGCCTGTCGTAAGTAGTTGGTCTAGCTCAGAACCGCCAATGTTTAGCTGACAAAACCAGAATTTGGACGCACCGCATGAAACAATCCAAAATTCACCAGTCCTTCAAGCCTTCAAACTGCGGCACTGCCACCAGTCACATGGCGGCAACCATCGGCGCTGGCATCCAGGATGGCGAGCTCCTCGGTCAGCTCGCAAAGCGCAATCTGACAGCTGTCGCTGGAACTAGCATGGTAAGGCCCAAAGCCCTTTCTTTTTTCGATGAAGGTACACTTACTGAACGATTTCTCAAGGATGTTGGCGTGGCAGGCTGGGCCACTGGAGGTGGTCACGGTGTCTTGACCGGAGTCTACGGTATGGGCGCCGTCAATGTTATTGAGACCAAGATTGTTACCCCCAAGGGTGATCTCGTCACAGCCAACGAATGTCAGAATGAGGACCTACTCTGGGCAGTCCGGGGTGGAGGTGGCGGCACATTCGGTGTTATTTTGAGCCTTACTATCAACGTCTTCCCTATGCCGTCGCTGTTGACAGCCACATTGGCAATGAGTGCTCGTAATGGAACTTCGGCCAAAACGTGGTGGAAGCTTATTGCCAGCACTCACAAGGAGATGGCCAAGATCCAAGACGCAGGTGTGATGGGCTACTACACTGCTGGCGTGTCGCCTTACAGCTTTCAGTACACGATGTTCCAGCCTAACACGACTAACACGAGCTCTATCGACCGCTTGATTGGGCCCCTCACAAAACATGTCCAAAAACATAACGAGACAGTGCAGTACTCGTCTTTCACTAACTTGTTGCCTACTTGGTATGCTATTGAGAAGATTGCTCCGGTTGGTGGGGATGCAGGCCTCAATCGTGGAGTCCGCGCAACTCGACTGATTCCTCGCCGAGCAGTCGAGGATACAGATTCTCTCGCCAAGACTTTTGAGATCATTGGAGAAAGAAATGAAGCCTTCGCGGTAGGTTCCTCGAATCGCCATCCATTAAGCAGATGCTAAATTCGCTTTTCAAATTGGTAGGATGGAGTGTCCAGTCCCTCCATTTCGGGAACCATGACTATCAGCCACAAGCCAGTCGACAACGCCTTGAACCCGGCTTGGCGGGATGCCACCGTTCATCTGATCAGCAGCGTTCAGTGGAATGATCTGCTCCCTGCTTCTGATGCCAGAAAAGCGATTGGGACCGTGACAAATGTGACTGGATACGCCATGCGACAGCTCGCGCCAGACTCTGGCGTGTACTACAATGAGGTATAACTGACCCATTCCTTTAGATACTGCGCACTTATCCGCAAAGAAAGTACTGACATTGACTTGAAGGCCAACCCCTGGGAGCCTGCTTGGCAGTGGGCATTCTGGGGCCCAAACTACCCCAGGGCTCTTTCGATCAAGCAGAAGTATGATCCGGATAACCTACTGTGGTGCCACCACTGTGTGGGAAGTGAGGCTTTGATGCAGCATGATAATGGCTCTCTTTGCCCCGTCTTCTAAATCACTTTCAAAGACTGGATCCTTGCTACAGGGCTTACAATATTCGCATGGCTTTTTAATTGGAGAAGGTTCATTGCCAAATACTGTTGCGTTAGCTTATTCGGATTCATGCGGGCGTATTTGAGTGTCTGACATCAATTGGTTCACCTCCAAAAAGGATGTCTTGCAAAATTCATCTTGATCTTTGCCTCACTTTCTTGAGCGTCAGAGGACAGCGCAGCACCTATTGGCGGGTATAGCTTTCAGCATCTGTACTTGTTGTAATTCGACTCGTTGACCATCGTGGGTGACCCTGTACATGCACACCGTATGGAAGCTAAAGCTACTTATTGAAGCTTTTAACTTGAGGATGAGAAGACATAGAGCATTATCGATTTCAGCAATATTTGAGAGATTGAGGCAAGGCGCTTAGCCACCCTGGAATTTATCTGCATTTACGACATGCTTGATCGCTCTAAAGGTTGTTTATGCACGGAGATCTGCTCTACCTTCTTAGTCAAAAGTCTCATAAATTATGGCAGAATTGTATGATCAGGCATTTCAAGTGAGATATGGGAGGTATGAAAACGTACTTCACAAGAAACAAGAATGTGGTACTCAATGTAAGTTGCTGTGCTTGATAGACCGTGAAAGACGCCTCGATAAATACCTAGCAACTTCAGACTCGCACTCGCCTCCATCTTTTTGCAGACTAGGCCTTCCAAGACATGCGGAAAATTGTAAGTAGAACTTGAGCCCGCCATTCTAGGTCAGGGCTGATATTAATGGAAGACTGTCCCGTTACCAGCACCTATCAGATCTTGCTATGCGCGCATGACCGGGTTTTCGATTTTTTTTTGGCACCCGGATCGAAACGCCTCTCAACATTAAAGTTAGTAGCCCAACACCGGATATCTTGAAAGCGAAGTAAGTCCGTGATATCACCTTTAGTCAACCTTGTTAATGTATATTTTCGTGATGTTTTCAATTGTTGTAGTAGTGTTGTGCCAAAATAACCCTACGGCAAATCAGGAGTATCCTTGTCCTTGGATATAAATAACTCAAGACTGATTACTGTTATGTCAGCGCTTCGAAGATCAACCAGAAAGCGAACACATACTCACCACTTGCTCAAGAAATCTGATTCACATAAAGGACCCTGGACGGTAAATATTTCATGAGTCTAAGCAGAAATGTTCACATTTTGAGCTATAATGGTAATACGCTTAAAATAAGGTGCTCGAGGTTATAAGCCATTTTGTGGAGCTGATTCACCGTGAAGAACTGATCAATGAAGCGCTCGCAGGGCTATGTGCGGATGCCAAGAGACGAGTATCTTAGCGCCCGCAATAATGTACACTGATCGACGATCATAGCCTAGCTGAGAGGCCTATATGGTCTTCGCACCAGTCCAGTAGACTGTAATCTGGACGTGACCTAAGTTTGATTTCTCACCTAGTCTATTGCGCATGGCGACTAACAATTGAAATCATCTGTTATTATCTGTGCAATTAGAAAACTAAGCACATACGACCATAGGGTGTGGAGAACAGGGCTTCCCGTCCGCTCAGCCGTACTTAAGCCACACGCCGGCAGGTTAGTAGTTGGGTGGGTGACCACCAGCGAATCCCTGCTGTTGTATGTTTTTGCCTTTTAGTCCTTCAATTTGAGTGAATGTCTCATAAATGAATCGTGTCTCATCGACGGCTTTTGTCGAACGCCTCTAAACCCGGCTTGCCCTAATTTCAAACACCTACCGACCCACTCATCAATTTTCAAGTCTTGAACGTGAAAATTTACTAATCACAGGATTCCTGAGCCAATTAGGATGAGTATTAAATATCTAAATCAATTGAGTACATTATTGAATACATACCCGTAGGCTATTCTAGCCACCTAGACAATAGCGGCGCCCAAAGTTAATGATGCGGTCGTCATGACCGTGGCGTCTACGACATAAGCAAAGAGTCCAATGGGCCTGAAGCCCTGTAAAGCATAAACACCTGTTCACACTATCGCTGTCGAGCTCACCAATTTACACTCAAGTTTTGCCTCAAAAATGCAAACCTTAGAGAACTTGGATCAAATTTTCTCTGAAATGGGGAACAAGCAATACATCCCAGGTTCCTTTTCTCCGTGCTGAGCCAAAAATAAGTAAGAAAAAAGGCGCTTCTCGAACTTTGCTCGGGTATGTGGGGGCTTGAAATGCGAAATTCCTTGGCTGCTACTGCTATAGATCGACACTTGTGTGTGGCGTGCCTGGATTCCCGGCCTCAAATATATTGCCCAATTCGTTTGCATAACATTCCTTTCCCAGCCACATGCCACACTTTATGAGCAGGACTCAAGCCTCACAAATCCGTGTTCAATCATCGACAATGCTCATTGGCCCGAAAAAAGATGTCATTGGTTTACGCGACCAGGGATTCCTTTCCCAAAAACAATCATCTTCTGCGGCCATTGGATTCGCTACAGTCCAGAGACCTGCTGGCGTCGGTGAGGGTTATTAGTGTTGCAAAGATCGACCAATTGAAAATGATTTTGGATGCTAACAGAGCGATTTTGCTTAACACAGACGTTCCCATTGGCTTGCGTCGTGTGGAATTTTGGCCCGAACCCATTCACTGCCTGCGGCTAGTCCCTTTGTTTTCCGCGAGATGGGACATGAGTGTGACGATCTCAGGAGATCAGCAGCTTACTTGCTCAATATGCAGGTGCTTGATTCCTTCCACGCAACTGACACCCGTCAAGGTAGCACTATCTCGGAGTAAATCGCCATCCCGTTCAGTCCCTCAGTGGCACTACGCCTTAGGAATAGTACTTGCTGTCATATCCGACATTGTAGGACGTAGATGTTCGAATCGTCTTAGACTTAATTTCTCTCGAGTGCTCATTATTTTCGTCTTGCTCCTTCAGTTCTAGTGACTGCCGAATGCGGCGACGACACCAGGCCAGATCCGGGTTGCCCAGGGCAATGCATCCACCAAAAAAAAAACCCGACGAAGACGGAAGATTGTATTGCTCCCCACGGTACGAATCATTGTCGCAGGGTATAGATCTGCATTTTGCAATTAGTTAGTTTCAAAATCTATATAAATGCTCACTGTTCTCTTGTGATATCCCTATCAGAATCAACAAGCATCCCTCACGAAAGAATTTCGATACTTTGAACAATCCAAAGGAAAACCAGCTATACTTTTTTTTCTTTGAAAAAAACTACTACACGATAGCCGACGATGCATTTCACCAATGTCGCCGCCCTTGCCCTCGGCCTCTTCGCCTCCTCCGGCCTCGCCATTCCTGCTTGGGTCAAGCCTGCCACAATTCAGCTCGCCAACGAGCAATCCGGCACGAGCGCCAACGTTGCTGTCCCCGTCGATGGCGTGAAGCGCCCCGTCCAAGAGCTCTGGGGCCACACTGCAGTTGCACATGAGGGCCTTGTCTTCGCTTCGAGCGCCATGATGACTGCTTTCCAGCAAACCACCGTCTGCGAGTTCATTGAAGAGCCGCGGCTGGACGTGAAAATGGATGCTGAGCAGGCATACGCTTCCTTCGGTGGGGGCGTGAAGGATCTTTGTGCCGCCTATGTGGTGTGTAAGTGTGAGGGCATGTAAATTGTCCGTGATGAAGCGAAACCTTGAAAGGGAATGAAGACTTGGCGGTGTTATTATTTGTACATTAACGGGTGTTCTGAAGTGGGAATCAATTTAATAGATCTATACACGTGTTTTGGTCATTATACAAGACTACGTTTGCTGTCTTTCATACTACGAAGTAAACAAGGTGATGATTTGTTCTGTGCGAGTGATATGTTTCCATCCCGAAAAAGACAAGCTCACCACAGGCTGAAAGAATTCTTACCTCATTACCAACAGATCCAATGCATTGGGCGGAGGTGAAAAAACCTCATAAAGCAAATGAAGATATGCAAATTCATCTTGTATTTTCTTGAAAGAGATAAAGCGCAGACCTTGGGAAGGACTAGAGGCATATGGTAGGGTTGCGGCGGAGGTTCGAGTAGTACGATGTGCAACGAAGTAAAATCTTGGCTTCGTCCTTGAGAATGGACTTGAAAGCCATCGCGATGCTTTTTCGCCATCGCGTCAAAAGGATTAAATACACACGCTCAACCCCTTTTTATTGGGAATAGCTGCGTGAGCACTAGACCAAGTTAGGTAAGCCCCCTCTTAAAGCCAATTTTGGCTGTGTTTGGCTCCAACGCGCAGATCTTACGGGTCTGAAAAACAAAAAGCAATGGAACACTTGTCTATTCGGAGAACTCCTTTTTGATGCGTTCATCCCTTCAATGTCATCGCTACAACCCTATATATGTCCTTTCCCGACCCTTGATCTTCGACATGGATAGAGCCGAAGCCTCAGCCTCTTCACTTGTCCTCGAGATCAGCTGTCTCTACGCCGCACAGTGCCTGATCCCCGCGACTCTGCTTATCGCAACAGCGAAAAAGTCGATTTTCCGCTACTTTTCAGTTCCATGTTCACTTTTACTCGCGAACCGGGCAATACACGTTGCTTCCACTTTAGGGCCTGGTTTCTTCTGGTGTGAGCTCGCTCGCCTATTTGTGACGATCATCTTCCAGTGTCTGAACTTATTGCTTATCAATCCAAAAGATGGCAGCGATATCCCTGGTGAGGTAGACCATGGTCTTGTGGCTCGACTCTATTACGCGACCGGCCTCTTTACTCAGCCTCGAGGGATTCACACGGCCTGGCAGGTGAAGAATGTCCCATCACAACCCCAGTATTATCATCGCAGAGGCTGGACGATCCCTCTCCGGGGTCGTTTCTTGATTAGGCAACTATTAATCGCTATTTGGCAATATTTGGCTCTCGATGTCTTCGCTACGCTTGCGTTGCAAGAAGCCTCTGATCAAAAGAAGCACGAAATGCTATCTCCAGTTGTGCAATGGAATCTATCATTTGAACAATGGATTGAGCGAATTGTTTCCAATCTTGTCGCTGCATTTGTGGTCAGTCGAATATTGATCGACTTTCACCATCGTGCTTTTTCTATCATCGTTGTGGGACTTGGTCTTGATGCGCCGTCAAATTGCCCTCCCTTATTTGGAAAGGCAGCAAACGCCTACACGCTTCGAGGATTCTGGGGGTGAGTTTTTTGCGCGCCCTCGTTGTATCGATGGCGCCTCTTTATTTGGGTGAGATACCACATGGTGTACAGCTTGCTAATAAAATCCTGCAGTAAATTTTGGCACCAGCTATTGCGTCAACCTCTCGCCTCCGTTAGCACATGTATTACTCGGGACTTACTGGGCTTATCACCGAAGTCTTTAGCAGGGAAGTACATGAACATCTTCACTATCTTCTTCTTCTCCGGCGCGCTTCATGTCGTACTTGATATTGTGCAAGGGATTCCGGCGAAGGAGTCTGGTGCCCTACTGTTCTTTTCCATGGCTCCTCTGGGGCTTCTGATTGAAGATGGCATTAAAATGATTTGGAAATCCTTTGTTGATTCGAAGAATCGTAGCCAGACAAACAAGACAGGTACGTTGCGAATGTGGCAGAAAATTCTTGGCTTTCTGTGGACTATGGCATGGCTGGGTGTCACATCGACTTGGTACTTTTCTCCACAGATGGTGAGACCGCAGAACCAGGCTTTGGTTCCCTATAGCTTGACTAGTCAGGTTGGGCTGCCTGTAGCAGGGTTTGTAGCTATTGTGGGTGGGGCCATTATAGCATTCATCTTCGAAGTTGAAATTTGAAAAATTGCATAGGTCCATCCCGCTGGTCTTATCTGGCTCATTTTCAGAGTCTTCATTGGTTAGACATAAGATATTATCTTGGGATGTGAAGGATGCCGAGGTCGACACCCCGGACTCAGACGGGAGGGCCCGTGTGGATAACGTCAGCCACTGAAATGATTCAGCAATCCCACGGAATCTCCCCACGGAATCACGACCTCTGCCATTTCTCATACTTTCCGTGTCCTTATTCCTGCAAGCTTCTATTCGCTTCTTCACTCGGTACTTCCCTCTCGCCCGACGATTCATCATGACTACCGCCGCGGTGTTTGGCTGTACCGGAGCTGTGGGCTCCCAGATCCTCGCCACACTTCTCACCTCAGATGTAGCTTCATCTGTCAAGACCATTTCCCGGAGACTTCCAAACGCCCATTCCCCAAAGCTTCAAGCAATCAAGGAAGGCGACATTACGAAATGGGGAGAAATACTCTCTTCCTTTTCCCCCAAGCTATCCGTGGTCTTTAACGCAGTCGGTACCACCCGGGCGACAGCTGGTGGGATCCAGAACCAGTGGAAAATTGACCATGATTTATGCGTTGAGAATGCCAAAGCTGCCAAGAAGGCTGGAGTGGAAACATACGTGTACATCTCCAGTGCAGGGACCAGGGGTCTTCTCTCTAGCTATGTACCCTACTCGAAGATGAAGATTGGAGTTGAAGATGCTATCAGGGATCTCAATTTTGAACACGCTATCATTCTACGCCCGGGTATGATCATCGGAAGAGAGAAGTCGAAAGCTCCTATGTTAGAGAAGATGGTAGAGAGCCTCAAGAATCTGTCGCAAGGTGTTCAGGACATGATAGGTATCGTCGACCTAATTGACAGCAAGACAACTTTCTTTGTGTGACTAACTCCGTGGGCCTAGGTCAAGATCAAACGACGATTGGTAGAGCTGCCGTCGCAGCTGCTCGCATGGCTCAAGAAGGAAGTGCGCCCTCCAAGTACTGGGTTCTGGAACAGGCCGATATCGTCAGACTCGGTACAGACGAGTGGAAGGACTAATGACCTTCCATTATGAGTATGGTGCCATCGTCTCGCTCCGCGACATATGCGAAATTGTATTTGTATCATCTTCAGGATGTCTATCGTTTCCGTCTTATTAATTTTTACTCATGGCTCTCCACTTTCTACCACGAACTTTCTCCAAGTAGCAATCAAATCGTTCCGTAAAGAGCCTCCAATATTATCCAGTCCCGCATCGAAGATTGATTTGAGGTTTTGGTGTATCATGAATTCAACTGTCTTTGACTCCAACTCGCCATTGCTGTCACGTGATGAGCCTGCGGCTCGCTAACGCGCCCCGAAATCTTTCTCTCACCTGGATAGCAGGCTGTGCACACTATCAGCCTTAGTATTATGAATTGTTGATTTCCATGAATTGATAAAAGATGCCTCCGCAAAAAAAGAAGAGGGGCGAAAGTGCAGGGAAGGAGAAACGGCAACCTGTCCGCCGTGACCCTGAGAAAAGACGGCAACAGAATATTGAAGCCCAACGAAAGTATCGTGAGTGACAGATTTCCGTAACAAGTGCCTCTATCGGAACAGCTGACTCATATCCTTGTAGGGGCGAAGCTACGTGAGCGCCTTCAACATCTCGAAGCAGTTGCAGCAGGAGTGACGAGCATGGGCACACCTGAACAACTGATGACGCCCGAAGTACCCACCACTTCAACTGGCCTTATTGCAACGAGCCCAGCGGTCTCTGCTGCCTCGAGCAAATTTACGTCCAGTCCATCTGTGGAGACTCCAGGGATATCACAATATCTCGTTTCCCAAGCCGACAACAACTTTTCAGCACTAGGCCCATGGGAAACTATCGCCGATTCTGAGTTCGATGACCCATCATTTGGTATAGGTGTATGGGATGCATCAACGTATTTTGACCCGCTTCCGAATCACGAGTCATCGGATTTGAATGAACCTGGCCCGACAACATGCGTTGATCCGTCATTTCTCGTTCGCGATAACCATGATTGGGGCGTAGTCAAATACTGGACCACCACCATAAAATGTGGCTGCTCTACCCGACACATTCAGATTCGGACAAGTGGCGTCGAGCCGTCTGTTTTGAATAATGTCAAGATACTGACACTTGGGTTGCCTGCAATGCCAGCAGATCCATATGCAAACAACCTTCGTATCGAGACATTCTGCACTGTCGCTGCTCTACACACCATTGGAATGCAACTTGGTGTTGATGAGGAGGTTCTTTGTGCCGATGAATCTCTGTCGCAATTTTTCCGGTTCACTGCGGGCTCGGTGGACTTAATGAACCAATCGAACATTATCAAGTCCGTGCAACAAACTTTCAAGTCACTGAAGCCGGACTTAAGGCCGAGTAGAGAGCAGATTACGGTCAAGCATCATCCATGCATAGACATTCTACCTTTCCCAACATTACGCAATAATTTCATTACTCATCAAGATGAGTTTGACGAAGATGAGCTTTTCATGGACGTCTTTGATGGCTTGGTGTGCTGGGGAGGTGCAGGTATTGGGAAGAGGGACCGAAACATTAATACTGGAATTGTCTCGACAGGCACGCCGTGGGATGTGCGGAGTTGGGAGGCAAAGGAATGGTTTTTGAAAAAATATTGGATTTTACTAGGTGGAGAGGACGGTGAACTTGTGCGGCAGAGTGAATGGTGGCGCAGCATCAGGGGAGAAGAAACGCTAAGCCTTGGACAGCCTACTTAGATACACTTCCAGTCACCATGAACCTTCAAGTGAGGTACTGGCCTCAATCGCGACAATGGACTTTAGCAATACTGGACCCAGGCATCCAGATCCATGTTTTTGATGACAGTCGAGAACTTGTCTGCGCTCTTCGCATTGCAGACCGTGGACTTTTCTTCATTTGTCACTCGAGCTTTGAGCTTGGTATTAGTATCAATCTCTCCGACATACTCAATGTGGAATACCGGCTTGTTGACATCGGTGAAAGCGGCATAGACGTCACACTCGTCGTATTGTGCACACTGTTCGTTCACAGACCATTGCATTTTTTCGATGACAGAGGCAATAATGTCGCCTCCGTTCTTGAGTCCAACTGACATGCCACGGGAGTGAGCCTCGGACGAAAGAAAATCCAGGTAGTCAATGGAATCAGCTTCGGTCAGACCGAGGCCATTGTCATTGCCGTATGCATCAATATTGTCTGGATCAACACCATCGCAGCCCTTACCCTGTGCCATATCAAGACGGCTTTTCATGATCTGGCGGACATTGGTCGAATGAAGATCGAGCCAGCGCTCGCCTGGCCAGTCCTCAAGACCATTGCCAAAGTCTGATTCGGAGAATTTGCTCGCATCAGAGCGCCAGTCTTCGTATGTTCCGGCGGAGAAATAACATATCACTTTGGATCCCTTGGCGTGTATCTTGGAGATTGTCTCTATGGCATTGTCAAAGAGGTCAATGTCGAAGACATCGGCGTCCATGGAGATGTCATCAACTGGATTCTCCAACTGGATCTGCCATTTGATTCCTGCTTTGGGCTGCCAAATAGCATCGGTATTCGAAGTTTGAGCCTCTTCACCGCCCCAATGGAGGATTCGCTTATAGATTCGGTTGACAGGTTGCTCGGCTTCGATATTCGTTTTGGTCCTGAGGCCGAATGCAAGGAGAATCAGGCCAATAATGCAAGGCAACATGAGCTTCTTGAACAACCCAGGCTCCCGTTTCCAATCCCGAACGAAAGCCATAGCAGTTTCAGGAAGAAGATACACCGCGAAAAAGATAGGTGCTCTTGAATCAGTACCGAATGAGTGAATGTGATAAATGAATGACCTTGAAAATCGGACCAGCCGGCTTCCAAGTGAAGTGATGACTAGGGGGGTTGATTGATGAGTAAATGAATGAGTGAATGCCTAGTGAGTGTGATAGTGGTAGCTGCCAGGTGCAGGACTCATCTTTAAATACTTGAGATTGTTCTCGTTGGGGACTGCTGCCCAGAGGGAGAGACAGGGCTACTGGTGTTTCATGATTTACCAGAGAAAACAATACTGTAGCTAGAAAGAATACAGCCAAGATGCAATCGAGCAAATGGCTAGAATTTCGAGCCATTAAGGGCGACATGAAAGCGCGCCTTCACCCAATTAAATCAGATCCACGACTTGCATGAGAGAAAGTGTGATGGAAACAGGTCATAAATATTCCGAGGATCGATCTTGAAACATGCGCCAAGAACAGTTAGCGCCAGACAGAGAAGACCCTTCTTCCGCCACAGCACTCCCTCAATCAAATCCCAAACACTCTCTTGCATAAGGACCCGATTCCTTTCTGACACTCAGCTTTTATGCCGATACGAGCCAATCAGAGGATACACGGAGAACCAATTTGGATGAATCGGAAGCGATTGACCCCGATAGAAGCCCCATTGTCCGATTAAGACCTTGGCGGGTAAGCCCACGGTCGACTTGTTCAGTGAAAGCACCTGTAAATTATGGCAACTGGCCATATACAGACGAAGATGATAAGTCAGGATATTACCGATCCTGCATCCTGGAAGTCCCGATTCTCAGGCCCATTGCAATATTGTGGTATTAAGGAACGCCTTCTCTTTGCAAGCGCGATCCTAGATCAATCTAAGGGTCCCCTTCGGTCCCAAATGTCCCCGCTCTTACTCGTCAAATTAGCTTGGGCGCCAACAACGAAGGTGCCCGTCCGTGATTACCCAAAGAATCCACTCAATCCGCGACATTTCGTAGAAAAGTCTCAGCGTGCAGAGGAGAGTCTTCATGAAAACGATTAGGGGGTCTGTAGGGTACGCGAAATGGAGGCTGAGTTCAGGCCCTTAATTCCTTAATCTTGATCAAGACGACTTCATAGGCGACGGCTCAGGGCCGATACATTACGGACGCGTAGTCGCGAATACGCAAACCCACTCTCACTTGTCCATCACGTATTCATGAAGTGAAGCAGAAGAATGAAGGAAAACAGAACATCAAGAGTCAAAAAACAAAAACATACAACAGCAGGGATTCGCTGGTGGTCACCCACCCAACTACTAACCTGCCGGCGTGTGGCTTAAGTACGGCTGAGCGGACGGGAAGCCCTGTTTTCCACACCCTATGGTCGTATGTATCATAACTTAGTTTTGCTAAATTCATATAATCATAAATCTGCGTAGAACGGATGAAGAGCCGAAGTCGCGGGCCGATAGAAAATTGCAATAGCACGGTGTCTTGATAGCCATGCTCGATGCAGATTTACGGAATAGTTGTGATACATAGTCTTGATCATTCCATACTTGACCTCTTCGACACAGCCGATGAGCTCGTCATTGGTAATTACTAGTCTGGTAGCAGTATCGACGGCGTGGGTCATTATTGACTATAATCAAACACACCGGCTCTTCCAGTCTCCAGTAATTTTTGGAGGTCTTCCTTGCAGGGATGCACCAAGTACCAGAATTTGAGGCGCCATCAGCACCGGATGAGATCCTAGCGGAGGCAACCGTAACACGTCTCTTACTGATCACGGTAATGGAGCCGAGGAGCTGTCGTAGGACTTATAAATTCCGGAGAGAACCTGAGTAGAAATTTTCAATGGGAGACTATAGAAAATATTCAAATCGCTCTTGCTAGACCACGCAGCGATGAGATGTTGTGCCAGGTCTTCATTTTAACCTGAGGCTCGCTCGTTCGAGTGCTGAAGAACACTGATTCCGAATTAACAACAACGTCCCTATAGATGAAATTTATTTTGACTTTCCAGAAAGCTGCTTTGGTCAATTTACACCGGCATGATGGAAAAACTTACCACGCTATCCATGCCTTGCCGTGGTTCATCTCCATCTCCGCTTGTCCTCAAGGCCGAGTTGGAGTCGAACTGAGCTTCCGAGACAAGTAGTCGAAAATGAGCATTGCCTACATTGGCCACTAATTGTTCGAGATTATTTTCTGTCCGAGCACGCCGATGCGAAATCAAGGATTGGGTTAGCCAGAATTTTGTTGGCTATCTCCATTAATGCCTAAGCTATATCAAATGATTGGAATCATTTGTTTTCACACTACAAGAGCCGCGGAAGACTTTTTGAGTCAAGCTTAGGCTAGTAAGCCTTAATTAATTGCGGGACCATTTGATGCGATGCCTCTCTTTTTAATCACATAGGCATACAAAGTAGCAGAATGTTACTCTCGAAAGTTTAATGCGCCAGATATACGCTTCCAATATCTGTAGATTAAGCTGGAAACACCGCTGGTATCAACCCAACTCTTGATTCTAAGAAAACTTCTATTGTGGAGTTCTTACACAAAAAAGGCACACTGCAATGGCGATAATCCGCATCATGCGCCACACTGTGTGTTTTAATTCTTCAGATATCCATTCCTCTCCATGAACTAGTACCAAGAAGCAAGCCACCGAGTAAAATAAGCGTACAAACCATGCCATAACTATGAATCGTTGACGACCGCCCACAACCACCCATCATACTCTCACCCACCATTTGCATCACCACCGAGTCATCGCCGGACATGGTGCCTACCTTCTCAACGACCTCCCGCGACCCTCTTACTGACGGATCCGCATCATCGCCATCCACCAACTCCCCGTCCCGAACCACGTTATCCACACAAATCACAGCATGCGGCGACACCATATCCCGCGCCACCTGGAAATAAACCCAATTATTCACCTTGTGTCAAGCACAAATACGAACCGCGGCCGGTCGCCTATCTGCACCTCCCGCAGCCGCGGGAGCACGTCCAGCGCAGCACCCTGGATCACCTCGATCCGCGCCGCCAACCCCGCCTGCGCGATGTTCCGCTGTGCCACCGCTGCATGGTGCGCATTGTGCTCAATGTTCGTGACGTGTAGCTGCGGGTTCTCGCTCGCCATCCAGATCGCGGCGTACCCGCCGAGGGTGCCGACCTCGAGCGCGTGTGTCATCCCTGCTGTCCGGATGTGCAGAGCGAGGAACTTGGCCTGCGGCGCGGAGAGCGCCTACCGGGGTAGTGCGCTGGCGTCTGATGTGGCCAGGGTCTCTTGGAGGGCTTGCGTGTTGGGTCACGATGCTGGATGCGCATGCGCCATGCTGTAGGTGTCGACTTCGGTCCAGCGGTAATTGTCCTGCGTGTAGACCAGGCGTTGGGGTGCTGCGGTGGATTGTCTTGAGAACGGCATGGTGCTGGTGATGAAGAAGATGAATAGTCGCTATACCCCGGCAGTGGATGAGGGTATTCATCGAGAGGTTGGTGTCGAGATGAGGGAGCCAGGTCCTTTAGGATCCTCCAGAATTCCCGCGGACGGACAGCGTCCCTGCGAGGATGTCCCTGGTGCATCAAGCATCATGTCTCGGGATATTTCTTATCTCCGCATGCTCGGGCTTCTGGCTTTGTCTTGAGGACGTGGGTCCCCTGTCGAACGCTATCGAGCGCGGTGGAGACCGGGCCTCAAGGGTGTTTGGGGATTGGGCGTGATTTTTAGTTCAGCTGGGCCCGCTCTCCACCTAGTACATCCGCAAATCGTATGGTGCCTTACATTGGTCTGGACAAGCGCCGGGAATGAGAGCTTGATGTTCTTGGAAAACATGAGAGTAAAGACAGGCTTCTATCTTAGCCAAGGAAAGCCTTACAAGGTTATGAGTCGCAACTAGTAGTGCATAAGATTATATCAGGGGATTGAGGTGTTCTCTTAAGTAGTGGTAAGTTAAAATCATCATTCAAGCGTGCGCAAGGCTAGGAAGATGGCACTTCTAAGCGTGCTTTCAACACCTACCCGGGCTGCAGAGTGGGCCTCAATTCCAGATACGCCTCGTAGTTCCCACCTGTTGAATTACCGCTGGCAACTGTACAATATAAATAGAGATATATAGCTTCAAAAGAGATGTTGGGATATACGCGTACCAACACCCGGAGCGGTACGCGACATGGGACTATTGGGGCTGCGGCTGGAGTTGTGTCAATTAGCTGATCAAGCGTTTTGATAGTCTGGTACAAGGGTTTTCCACTCAACAAAAGTGAGGAAGATTGGTCGCATGAATGGAAACGTAAGTTGTGATCGGTATTAGCCTCACTCAGTTGGTTTTGAGTATACACATGTCCATTGATATACAGGATGTACCAAATTGAAGCTTTTGCACTACTTGTTTCTGCACTACTCTACTTCACATCAGGGACATGTCGCCAGGCATTCGGCAAACCACCATAAAACACCTATCGCGTCATATTCGCAACGACCATGTCCCCTCCCTGCCCCACCCATTTGACCACCCCAGCGGCCACCTCCTCTGATACGTGATTCCCCTCGGCTTGGTCCACCGCTCGCTCGATTGAGTCCATGCTCATATGTGCGATCTGGAAGAAATCATGCTTGGCGATCGGGAAATCTGGTGCCAGGTCCAGCTGCTCGAGCGCGTACATAGAGCGGAGGAGTTTGACTGCGTGACCCTCGTCACGATAGACATTTGCCCGATGGAATAACTCCGGCCACCCATCGGTTGAGTGTCGCGGCACATAGTTCACCACTCGATCCGCATACAGTGGGGGACACCCGGTGCCAGCGTACATTACTGTATCCACGCGCACCGTGGCCTCGAGCAGGCGCGCCTTCTCGGCGTCGGAGAGCCAGGACTGGGCGAGGATGGCGGGGAAAAATACCGCCAGCGTGACAGCGTGCAACGTGACAAAGTCCATGGCGGCGTGTTTGCCGGGCCGCTGGGCGGCCGCGATCATGTACGCGGTGGTATGCATTATGTCGGACATCTTCCGCCGCAGGTCCGCTGGCTCCGGCTTGACCTGGAAGCGGGCGAGGTAGGGTACGAGCTGCGCCGGGGTGACGCGCTTCAGGAACCCATCGGGGATTTTGTTGAACGGGTCGGTCTCCTTCGTGCCGGCGGCGATGTCAGGGTTCTCGCGCAGACTTTCCAGGACCTGCAACATGGATTGGGGGGGGCCCGTCAGGGTGGGCATGTACGTATTCTTCGGTTTGGAGGAGAAACGTCTTGGGCCAGTTCTCGTGAACGCAGGCGCCGGCCAGTGCTTCGGCGACCAGACTCGATTGCTGGAACTCGATTCCGCAGCCCAGATGGATGATGGGGTGAACTAGATCTGAAGGGAAGAATGCTGGTCAGCGAAATCTCGGTCTTGGTCTAGATCTATAGATGATGAGGATAGTCGAACCGGCAAACATGCGACCCAGGATATCATTGGCCCGCTCCTCGCCTTGAAGAAGATACTCTTTGACGACCGCCTCCATTCCCTTCACGTTGATTTCATCTTCGAGGAAATGCAGGAAGTCCGGGTAGTAGTCGTCAATGCCCAGGCATTTTTTTAAAGGTGGCAGGGTCTTTCAGACGAAGGTCTGACGAGTTTGCGGAGGAGTCTCCGCCATTCATGGAGTCTTGATAGCGCGCATTGTAGTCCCACATATCCTGGATCTCAGCCGGTGTCGCTCCGAGCGCCCACATGGCTAGATGATGGTGGACAAGGTGATCTGGGTAGTTATGAGCAGCAAAACCCTGGATCGCCCGTGGAGGCCAACCTACTATGCAGGGTATCTTTCCATCAGGTTTTGTACAGAACGTGGTTTTGCGTGAGCGGCTCTGACACGAGCTTTGCGCTTTCTTGGGTGAGGCCCTCTACATGGACATATCCAGGCGTTTCAGGTGACAGAAGCACTTGTGAAGCTGTTGGGGTCGCTTGTTGAGTTTGCCTGACACCCATATTGTCTATCAATGAAGGTGATTGTTGAGGAGTTGAGTAGTATAGTATTGCACGATAACGTTGTAGTCGGGTTCGCAGCTTTCCAGCAATGGACTAGAATCAGGTGATACAAATTTGAAGTCGTGGGCTTCTGTCTTCGTCCTTCGATCGACGTGAGCAGGGATTCGGGGTGAGCCATCTACCAAACCCCGACCTATACGTGGTGGCGACAGTCAACGCCAGGGGAAATCCGGGCTGCACACCGCTGGGTTGCAGACTATGCCCGTCAAAACGGTCCCTATGACGCCGTCTGCTATTTCTCTCAAGGCTGCTCGCTGGCCTCGACGACGGTCCTCTACCGCTCCCTCGAGGCCGCTCTGAACCCCGACAATTCCTCCAGCGAATTGCCCCCCCTTCCTCGCAGCCATCTTTATCTGCGAGGGCGTGCCTCTCCCGGCACTCGAAGACATGGGGCTGCCGGTTTCAGTACGTAACACATGAAATAAACCGATTCACGGGCGCCATAATGAACGAAAGGGCCGGCCGCTTGGCTGAGCTCGCGGCCAACCTCAAGATCATTAAGCGCGGAGTCAGCCTGTGGGATGGGCCGGACGCCCTGGTGCACGATCCTAAGAACAGGCCAGCCCGCAGCGACGTGTTCAGTTTGGATTTCACGCAATTCCCCGCTAGTGCGCGCATCAGGATTCCCACGGTGCACGTCTATGGGTCCAAGGACCCAAGGTGGCCGGCCGCTATCCAGCTCGCGGAGTTTTATGATGATCGGGTCGAGTATGACCATGGTGGTGGCCATGATATCCCGCGGTCGACGGAAGTGTAGATGAAGATCGCGGACATGGTACGTCGGGTAGTGCAGCGTGTGACGCTTCTTGAGGGCATCGTTTTGGAGAATCCGGTCTCATTGAAATCACCAGCTGGTGCGAAGATCGGAAATGTTATGGTGCAGGAGTGTTTTTAGAAGGACCTCAAATTTTGGCAATGCTTGAGCTGGTATGATACAATTGGTAAACTTGCTAGCCTTTTCCTTTCTTTTTCAGTGCAGAAGAGGGAAACTGGATTTTGATTATGCAAGTTTGTACGATTTGATGCAGAGCACTGGGCAATTGAAAATGCATTGAATCCTTGAGCTAAAATTGTATTTACGAATATACTACCAATTCCCTGGATTAAATATCGCTGCAGAGTTACTCTCTGTTGAAGTAAAAGAGTAAGAATGGTCATAAAAGCACAAAATCCTATCTGCCAATTTAACATAAGACGAAAACAAACGAAAAGGAACCTCCATTTGATAAATTCTCTTCGATCTCAGGACTCAGTTCAAAAAGCGAATTTCCTTCCAAATATGGATATACTTCCTGATCACCTCCTCACTCACCGGCCCAACAGCCTGAAGAGGTTTGGAGTGTTCAAGGGTATGCTTCACATCCAAGCCAAGCCCCCCACATGACATGCGAAGGTAGTTGCTATCGAGGAAGTCTAGCAGTGAGGCTGTGGGATTGTTGCGTTGCGGCGCCACCTTCACGCGTTCCACCCACTCCTCGAAGGAAATTAAGTTCTTGATGCCCAAGGCGTCGGCCAATATGGTATTTGTCTCTTTCCATGGCTGGCCGACTGGATTCTCGATGTGATATACCGGATATGGGGTATTATCCGCCAAAAGCAGATCGGACAGGGTACCCGCAATATCATTCACTGGAGTCCAGTACACGGTACCGAGGACGTCGGGCAATGCATTGAGTGTCTGCGACGACTTGATCAGGAAACCAAAGTGCTCCATCAGGTTCCAGTACGTACCCGCTAGTCTTGGATGTGGCAATCTGGCCCAGGCGGACCACCATGGCGCGGAATCGTTTTGGGTGCTTCTGCATGGTCTTATCAAGCATCCTCTCGCAGCCCCACTTGGCTTCTCCATAGCCGTTTGTAAGGACGCTGTCGATGTCGACGCTTTGTTTGGGGACTATGGTCTTGTCCTGCCCGTTGCCGAGGCCGTAGTGGCCAACCACGCCGATCGAGGATTACCATCTAGAAACTGAACTTGAAAGACTCTGGTCACACGGAGCTGACAGCAGAGGCAAAGTCGATGAGGTTGCGAACAACCTGGAACTGTGGCTCAAATCCAACTAAGGCCCTCTTCGCACTCATCGGCCAGGCATTGTGGATCAAATGAGTGACCGATCCGACAAGGCTGTCGTATTGGCTCTTCGCAAGCCCGAGCAGAGGCTTAGAGCTGTCGCTCTGCAGGACAACCAGCTTCGGCTTGAGGGCTTCAGGGAATCGAATGCCCTTCCCGCGCATGGCTTTCAGCTGGCGGGTATAGGGCTCGTCGCGGTTCTCACGGTTCAGGCAGACAACCGTCTTCACGTCTGGAAGTTGGGCGAGGAGATAAACCAGGTGTTCGCCCAAGCTGCCGGAAGCTCCAGTCACAAGCACGACTTTCTCGTTGGTATCCGGTGCAATGGCCGACGGCAAGGGCGTGGGGGGCAATAAATCCAGCGGTGTATTTCTCCACATACTCGGTGACAGCGTCCCTTCGCACTGCGAGTGCAACTGGATCCAATACTGGATGCTCAGTAATGACTTTTTTCTCAAAGGTCTCAGCCACGGCAGGAACAGGAAGCTCAGGCAAGGCGGTTGCAACATCACCGGCAACAGAGCCTCCAACCAAGAATTGTTCCAAATCGGCCACTGTAGGACACTCCAGGAAGAGCGATTCGTGCTGGATGTCCAAATCAAGCTCATCGCGGAATCGACTGACGATAACAAGTGACAGCAAGTCGTTGCGTCGGGATACAATGTTTTCCGACCACCTCGCATGATCGCTCCGCTTTTGCCACCAAGCGTCTTCCTTCTGGTACATCTGGCTAACGATGCTACGGATCCGAAGGCGGAGGTGGCAGCTTGGCAGAATGGTGAAGCATCCTACGCGATGATTGAGGAGGTGACGAAGAGGATCATTCAACTGAGGGAGATCGGCGGGATTCATGTGCGCCTCTTGGCGGTCGCAAGTGCGTCGAATGATACTTGGTTATTAAAGGATCGTCAGAGCAGCTCCAAAGGGCTTCTTGAAGCCTTCGTTGGCCGACGTGAGAATGGACGTCGCGCCGTGATGCATCGTCATATCAGACACAATGGGCATGTAGAGGAGCCTGCGATGTTTGCGGGGGTGGTACTTGCGTGACAAGCCATTGGAGATGGAATTTCAGGACATTGATTAGACTATGGAGAGGTGAAGGCTAGCTAAATTTTCCGTGGTTGCTAAACATGCATTTAAAGAAAAATTGAATGTAGCATTTTCCACTGACTTTAATGTGTCCTGAAACCAAGTCTCCAAATACAAGGTGAAAATGTACCAGGAGTAATATCTTTCAAGTGGAAACAACCCCCGCCTCATTTTACTTAGGGAGGGATTGAGTTGCCTCCACATTATGAAGACTCTCTGAGGTACTCGAAAAGAGCGTTGGCCAGTAATTCCACACCAAAGCAGTTGCAATCGTAGTCGGAACAGCAATCACCCAATATATCCAGATTTGGTTCGAGACAGCCCAACCCTCACCACTGTCGTAATGAAAGAATGACATGCTGAAGAGTGCACAGATGAAAGTGGGAGGTAGAAATGTGAGTGTGACAAAGGCAAGAGTCTTCATAGTTGCGCTGTCTGAACGAGCAGCACGGCTGATTTCAACAGTAATACCTGCATCATGCTGAGCAACGACATTAAATGCTAGCTGAATTTCATTTTGCAGTCTTTTCTCGTTCGAGATTGAGCGTTGCCGTGCGCTGTCAATGTAGCTTTTGAAGAATGCTAGCCTTCGGGAAACTTCTTGGTGAGCTGCTGTCGCCCTGCTATTCTTCCAGGAATCAACAAAGATCTCGTGTTGTCTTCCAATTTGGTCAATATTCTGAACCGTCACTTCGAGAGCTTCGGTCACATGGATCGCATGTCGAGCGATATCGTGCAAGCGTCGATAATCGGGCTGTGGCTTTTGACCTGATTGCAATTTCACTTTTTCCAGCTCTCGGACGTGGTTTCGGATGTCCCATACTGTGGCCTCGTCTAGACGGGCAACATCTTCCAAGATACGAGTGTACACCCAGAAGGGGTCATTCATTCGGTCGGGGTCGGGGTGAAAGTTCGATTTCAACATATCTTCGGACGTGTCAAACAGTATAATTCCCGTTTGGTTAGTCGAGGGTAACCATCGTGTGAATATCTTGATCTTTGACCAGGAGTAGGTCAAATCCTTGGCCAGATGCTTGGTTTCGAAGTAGGCCCAGGTATCTAGCAAATTTAGAGCATGTTCTTTATTCGGGCACATTCCCGAGCCGACTTACTAAATCCAGTCATTGTGTCTTCATTGTGAGTTGCCTCGCAACCAAAATACCCGTTCGCATTGTCGATATAGTTGGACCACCATAGATGCGGCATACAAAAATGGTTCACCAACCAATTTTTAAATTGCACATTCGCGCTAGTATGCTTCTCGTTTACAGCTCTGGATGAAATTAGCTTCCACTATTACTATTGACATATCGAGGTTTTGAAGTTATCCACGCACATGATAAAGACCTGAGTATCTTTTGAGATCATCGGTGGTAGGCATGATGCATTACCTGTCTGGAAGTCTTCGAGAGGTGCATCGTGTTGTTGCCAATCATGGTCTGCACTGTCAGCAACATCCTGAAGAGGGTACTTTGCAAGCCGAACTCGCTGAGAGAACATACTTTCACACCATTGACGAACAGATACAGTAGAGTGCCGATTTAAACTGCTCTTTTGAGGCATGGGGGATCAAAAGTTGTTTTCAACGGGGACTCTGAGAATTGCGTCGAGACCCCCGCCCTCTTTAATATTAGTCGTGTAATGTAATACGAGCGATTCAGCAGCGCTAATGCAGCATGGCTGTGCACAACACTTAGCGCCGGCGATTCTTTGTACTGAAGTGAGGCCTGTCTCGGACTTCACGGTCGCATCAAGTCATTCTAGAATATATAATTTTAATATTTTGATATTGTAATAGAGGAACACACGTTCGAAAGAATTGGTGCACTGGTACTGCTGAGTCGAGTGTTCGTAGAATTCGCCTTTACAGAGTATTCATCTACAGAGTACTCACACTCGCTCAATCCCGGTGTGTTGTTCGGCATAGCCACCTTAGAGCACGCACCTGACAAGTCATTCATTTCGCTGGATGTATATTGTCCAATCATTTTCTTGATCAGGACTCTCCCGCCCCTGGATGAGGCTGAAGGCCACTAAGCCCCGCACAGCTCACCTCGCTCGAAGTCGCACTGCGTCCTTCTGGCGCAACGATGATCGCAGACCGCCAGTCTGACCTCCATAGAATAGAAAGTAAAGGGTATATAATTTCTGTGCTCTTGCAAGATACGCGTGACAAGACTAAAGTGTTTAAGCGCATCTAAGAATATACTCTCACCTTATCTGAAGGCGACAGACGCATAAGGCATGTGGAAGTGTCATATTGAATATCAACATTTGTCTTGTTAGATAAAGACAGTCTTTTAGACTCGAATCAAGAAGATCCGGGATCTAAACCCAATTACGTCATGACGTCAGTGTTTCCGTCCCTTGGAACTTCCCGCATCGACGACATCTCTTCCAATGTTGCTCACAACCTCATCTTCCTTCGTTCAAGGCTCATTTCTCTCGCCATGTCAGACAAACTGAAGGAAGCGGTCCTTGCCGAGGCCAACAGTGTCCGTGCGGCCTCCCAGGATGTTGTCAAATCCGGCGCGTACCTGTACCCGTTCAAGGTAAGTCGCCGCTCCATGAGAACGAGGTTTAAAGCCATAACTGACCTCAAATTGCGGTATTGATCAGGGCATCATCTTCTTCGCAACCCATAAAGATCTTTGGGGTCCATTTGTTTCCCGCGCTGGGCGAACCATCAGTCTCAGGGCTAGGCGTCACGACAGCCATGTTCTTCTTCACCTACGTACCGCAGATGGCCATCATGGCCTTTACCAGTGGGCCACTGGCTGCGATATCCGCTGCCTTCCTCGTGCTTAGCGAAAGTTCTGCGATCACAAACCTCCTCTCGCGCTCCTTCCTTCTCGAAGATGCACTCCTCGACACCTTCGACGGTACCCTCCTCGCTCGCGATCAGGAGCCTCTACTCGCACAAGGGCGCCAGATCAAGCCCCGAGCTGGAGGTAGGACTGCCGCGGCGAGGTTGGGAAAGATGTTGAGTCGACCTTTTGCGCGACTGAAGCCACAGGTGCTGCTACGTTCATTGATCTACCTGCCTTTGAACCTGATTCCCGTGGTTGGAACCATTCTTTATATTGCTGTGCAAGGGAAGCGAGCTGGGCCAATGCTTCATGCACGATACTTCCAGCTCAAGGGTTGGAATTCCGAGCAACAGGAGGCGTGGGTAACAAAGCATCGGGGCGCGTATACTGGGTGAGTGTCCTGTTCTATCCTCAAACTCATGGGCTCATGCTGACTTACTGGTAGACTTGGTATCACATCCTTCGTCCTCGAAATGATCCCATTTGCCTCTATGGCATTTTCCTTTACGAACACTGTTGGCGCGGCACTGTGGGCTGCTGATATAGAGAAGGAGACAAAGTAGTGAGCAGATACACCGAGAGGAACATAATTTTATGCAGATTTGGAAGAAAATGAAACATTATACCAGGAAGTATAACTACAGCCTGCCCTACTAGTCGGGTTCAAAACCGCCTGGAAATGAGTTCGCCGCAAGTACGCTTCCTCGGACTCGAGCATTTTCTGACCAGGGATATATTCCAAGTGATACCATTTTTCTCCTAAAAAATACCGCACCGCACGGATGTTCTGTATCTGTAAATCCCGATTCTGAAACCGATGAAGCTACGACGCACTGACTTCAGGCCAGCATCAAATGTGCTTAAATATCTTCGCAGGCCAGATCAAGTTGGGGAAACGAGCGTAAACCTTATGATGTATTGTGAGGTAAGGCAGAGGTGCTTGGACCGTTTTGCAGTCTCTCCAAGACGACACGCGAAAGAGGCCTCACTACTTTAACTCTTCAGCTTCCTTCTGTCAACCTGTCTACACCTGACGCTTTTTATTTTTTTTCCCCAAGCTATTCCCATCAGTCACCTCTGTTAGGGTCAGTCTCGGTCGCAAAACCCCAAGAACCGCTCGTATTTAATTCTTGTTTCGGCTTAATATGTTTGCATATGATGAATCAAAATTCAGAAGACCGGGCCCACCCACGAGATTTTGTTGGTCTAATTGTGCGGACATGAATTCCCTGGGACCAGCGAATATCGCATATCATGTTGGAATACTGGCAAAAGATTAGCACGTCTGGAGGGACCTGTGTGTCGATGCACATGTAACGTCGTGTCCCGGTGACGTTTCTACAGCGGCGTCTTTTCTACCTGTGGAAACCCAGCATCATGGCAATGATCGGACCCACGGGCGCAACATCCATATAGGGCTGAGACACGTAAGATCTGATAGAACCGACAAACCCTTCAACGGCCTAGAATCGACCACCGGGGCTAAACGGTCCAGCCACCCCAACTCGTGTTAGACCAGAACCAGAATCAGACAGGCCAGCCATGACGTGCAATTATGGGTCCGACCACAGGACGTGGGAACCCTGGAGAGCCTCCACATGCAACAGGTGGTTGACGTTCTTTGCCAGGGCAGATGCAGACGGTCCAGACCACGGCAATCTCCACCTGTCCACCTTTTTGCGCAGGCCAGAACATAGTCACGTGATTTGATGCAAAATGGCGGATGACACAACGGGGGAAACCCACGGGCTCAGGTGGAGCCGATATCTCACACAGATCAGGAACAGGTCTAGCGCGGTGCCTCGTCCGTGGTCCCGCTGATGATCCTGTATTATTGTTTCTTTGAAGAGTTCATTTCGCCGGTTGGGTTCTCTACATTTACTTGGTGAGGTTGCCCCTGCTAACTCGGTAGCATAATCCAGGATAGTTCTGGCGTGTTAGAGCTCAGCCTAGCTTGAATTTTGTCGGCCTAGTGGCGCCATTGTCGCACGAAACAAAGAATGGAGCTAACAGTCCTGGAATATGCTAAATCTAATCACGGGGCTTTCGCAGGGCTACCCCTTCTTCTTTCTGCTACCTTCGCTTTCTTCGTGCTGACTTCGATGGGTTCCGAAGTACCCTATTTCCTGACCAGGGTTCCCGACGACTCAATCATGGACAGGACCGAGCTTGAGCTCAACGCCAATGTTCACTATGTCACGGGCATGAGGGGAATCATGTACCAAATTGCGCAATGTAACAGGTGCGGAAGCATGTGCAGACCGCGCATTGCAGACCATGCCGCACGAAATCGCGAGATCTTGTCATAGGACCCCCACAACAATGTTAAACACAGGAATGTTATAATGACGAGGAGAGGGAAAGAGGGGAAGGCGTACCAGTTGCCCCTTCATTCTGATCAGCTGTCACTAGACTTACACGTGGTACCGGCAGAATAGAAGGTCGGTAATTTTGCACTGTAGATCCGTGCAGTGTACAAGGACCAGCTGGTCAATAGTTTGTGATCCGTGATCCATCCTCTCTACTACTGCATCCTGGTCTAAGCCCTCTTCTTTCTGAGACAGGACTCACCATGGATACAGAGCGGAATTGCTTCATCCGATTGCTCGTCATCAAGCTCTGCAGGAATACGACGTACCAGAGCAGTAAGGTGATGGCTGAGCCCGCTCCGAATAACCCAACGCTGAGACCAACACCACTCTGCGTAGGGCGAGGGGACGGCCCCAGAGAAAGTGAAGGCAAAACCGAGCGCTCAGCACAAAGCTACGCTGATAGGATCTTGTTGTTGATCGCTTGCCCGAAGAAGCCAGGCGAGCGAGACTGGCGCCGCAGATTAAGCCACTAAGACCGTGAGTAGGCTAGCGGGCCCGCGCAGGCTGGCGAAATCCCCGTGAAATATGGTGGTATTGCGCAGGCTCGGGAAGGACCATGGTCAGTGTGCCCGCCTTTGCCCACGCACTTCTCCGCCCCTCGAGCCACGACCAGGAACGCGCAAGTAGTCGCGGCTCCACCACGACGACGCCGGCGGTCTGGGCTACGGACGGCCTGAACCTTTCTGCTGTCCGCTGATTGTGATGTGCACTCGGTGTTGAGCCCCCGAGGACTGATCCTGCGGCTCTCCCCGTCTTGGGTTCAGGAGAAATGGACTGAAAATCCAGACTCTCCCATGCTCTTCCCTTATCTTGCTCGTTTGCTTCACTGGTGCGTACATTACCCACAGACCTGAACAAACTTTGATCGATAGTTCGGCACTGTCGATCGGGATCTGAGTTGGTTGTCTCGTCGTACAGAAGGCAATCACCGGGGGTTCACGGTGGGAAGACGCATCTAAGTCCATTTCGGATTCCTGCATGGCCGCTAGTACCTGCGTCGCGGGCTAGGGGAGCCGTCCGCAGCGGTACCTAAATTGGGAGATCGAGGTGGGAGAAGGGGGCTCAAACTCCGTAACATCGCTATTTAGCTCATTCTACCACGCGAATAGCTCGCCTGAGGAATGAAATCAAACTGGGATCTGTGACAACACTACCATGACAGTACCAGGGACCAGCAAAGCAAAGACAAACACAGAGGACAGGAAAGTGCGTGTCAATACGGAGAGGTGACAACAAGGGACGGCAACGAAGTAGATAATTTACCGTAATTTACAGGCGGGCGTTCCACACGTGTTCCACCGCCCCCATTTTCCATTTCCCCTTTGGCCCCCCCCTAACAGTATCCTCACACTTCATTCACCTTTATTCACTCCTTTCTCTCCTTGTATGCTGCGTCGTCGACGATTTACGGGTTGACCTGGGTCCTTGTCAATTTCACCCCCTTACCGGTCACCTTTCGTCTCGTTCTTTTTCATCGACTCGTTGCCCTGCCACTTTCTGCCTCAAGGCTGTCACTCCCTTACAGAACCACATTCGCTTTTCCATTCGGGTCGTTTCACTCTCTGTCGACCCCTTCCATTCGTTTATCGTGCTCGTTTCGCCTGTTTCACCCTCCGTTGCCTAGACGCCCGGTCTACGTGCTGTTGCGACTGCGTCCCAATAGCTCGAAGTATCCCGCATTTCTTGCACTTGGGGATTTTGATATCGCCAATTTATTAAGCGCAATCGCGATTATACACGAGGTGTCGCCAGACAAAATCCATTACGCGTGTACTGTTCCCTCAACCCCATTCGGACGCCGTTTGAATATCCAGCATAGGATCGATCAACATGCGCCCCGGATCTTTGTCACTCCTCACGGCCTTGGCCATTGGAGGCCTGCAGCTCGTCGCAGCCGAGGATGGCACTCATGTGGAACGCCCCCGTTACTATTTCCCTCGCGAGGTGAAGCGCGTTGTGCGCAATTACACCCATCCCGACCCCGAAGTCGACACCAACCCGCTCGACTCGCTCCTCAGTAGCGCTGACAACCTTCTGGGTGGGACGACCACTTCTTCGGAGCCTGCTGCAACCTCCACAGCAGCTTCGTCTTCGGACTCTGGAAAGGAAGTGGTCGTGGTGGTTTCAATTGATGCTGATGGCCACCGTCACACCCTGACCACGACCACCCGCACCGCCCAGCCGACTGACATGGTCACCACGTCGACGACGTCCGAGAAGCCCGATTCAATTGCCTCAGCTGCTACGACGACCGATGACGCTTCCACCAAAAAGGTTGACACCACCTCAGCTAGCACCGACTCCACGGCCAACACCGGTTCCTCGGCCAGCAAGACCACCACTGCCGCCTCGGCTGCATCCACTGACGGAAGCCTCCTTGGAAGTGTCGGTGATACTCTCGGCAGCGTTGTGGGCGGCGTGGGAAGTGCCTTGAGTAGCGTCGGTGTTGCGGCCACGCCCACTTCTACTTCTTCTGACGCAGTTTCAAGTGACCCAGCCTCATCCGACGCAATCTCAACTGGCGCAGCCTCAGCTGATGCGGCCATCATCAAGGGTTCTAGCTCAGCCTCGATCGCGACTGCCTCTACTACCGCGTCTCCCACGACAACCACTGATGCTGGACTTGTTGGTGATCTTGGTAGTGTTTTGAAGACCGTTGGTAGCGGTGTTGACACTCTTTTGGGCGGTGGCTCAAACACCACTTCGACCAAAGACTCCACCGCTCTGGTGTCTAAGACGGCCTCTATCACCTCTGCATCCGCTTCCGAGACTTCGACTGCTTCTTCCGGTAATGTGCTCGGCGGTCTCATCAGTGACCTCGGCCTTGGTGGCTCCTCCACCTCCGCTTTCCCCATTGCTACTGCTTCCAACGGCGTGTCGGCCATTCCCGTTAGTGTACCGGCGTCAACCACTGCTTTGGCCACTGCTACTGCAATTGCTACTGGTACTGCTTCCTCAGACCCTCTGGCCTCCCTCGCTTCCAGTGTCGGACTTGGCGGACTTGTTCCTAGCACCGAGACTAGCAGCACAGGCATTGGTTTGATCCCCACCCCCGTGGCTCCCGCTAGCAGCCCAGTCAAGTCGACTGCCCTCACTGGCACTCCCACTGCTGGTGCTGGAATCGGCTCCGGCTCCGGCTCCGGCTCTGCCACCAACAGTGTGGGCACTATGCCTACTCCTCACAACTCGGGGGGCTCTGGTTCTGGCATCGCATCTAGCACTGTCTCTGGCTCTGGAGCCATCCCTACCCCCACTGGAAGTGCCCACGAGAGCACCAAACCCGCCACATCTGCTTCCACCCCTGTTGTTGTCGTTCCCGTTACGACAACCAGCTCGACCGAGGTTACGGCAACCCAGACCGCCACGCAGCAGGTTTCAAGCAACACCAATGACTGGATGCCATCCAGTATTCTCGTTATGCCCACTAACACGCCCTCTGAGTCTACCAGCACCGGCACCAACACTCCGGAGACAGCTGTACCGACCGAGCTTCCTGGATCGATCACTCCCTCGACCAGTGTCAGCGAAGCTCCCTCAGACTCGATATTGCTCCAGCTTGGATTCGATAAACATCTTCCTTGGTCATTCGTCGCTACTACTCCGCTGTCTTCATCTCAGATCTTCGAGTACATTCCTATGGCTCTGAAGAACGCCATGCCCAATGCCGACGAGACCATGTTCGCCCTTGAGCCTTACTACTCATGGCAGTCAACTGGTTACAACGCCACCTTGGCTATTTTCTACTTCCCTCGTTCTAAGATGGAGGCGCTGAAGACAATGAAGCTTAACCCGAACTCTGCCCTTTATAATTCTGACAACGAGGCTGTCCAGACCATCATGGCCATGATCGATCCCTCAATTCCCATTGAGTTCACTGGCAACTACCCTACCGACACTGGCAGCTCAGCCACCGGCAGCCCCGGCAGCACTGACGACAACACTGATGGTGGCAACTCTGACAATGGAAGCGACGGTTCCGCCTCCAGCTCCAGCACCAAGGCCAGCTCCGTTGGCATCGGTGTGGGCGTTGTGGCCGGTGCCGCCGCCTACGGTGCCGGTATGTTCTGGGTCGCCCGTCGTTACCGCAAGAGAAAGCAGCTGCATCAGCGCACCCCCTCAACCGTCGACCAAATGAGCCAAGGCTCCAACGCTGGCTCCATCTTCGGCGCCGGTGGCCGTGCCTCCAGCCAACGCTCGCAGATGATCAGCGCCCCGGTTATGGCCGAGAACTCTCTGGGCTGGAACTAGACTCGACTTTAACTTGATAGAAAACGCTCTTCTACCTCCTCCTCAGCCTGGAATGCCATTGACAGTTGGGAACATCGCTATCCTATCTGTCCCCAACCCGGCTCATTCTCGCAGGTGGAGACTGCACAAAATCTTCCCTTCATTGTTCATTTCATCACCTTGAATGGAACTATGTCAATATCACATACATTAACATTGCCTGGCCATTTCAACCCCTCCAATTTTCCTTCTCGACCTCTCCAAGCGACACATCTTTGTCTTTTGGATCTCGTCTTTTTTCTTTTTGGAATATTCCCCCTTTTGTTTCAATTACCTTTCTTGCTTTTTTTTTCTACGGCATTGTGATCACTGAATGAGAACGACTCTTAATTCCTACCTTTGCCATCTGAAAATCTTAACCTTTATTACTGGTCACACCTTATTTTTCGACCTTTGCACGTCCCTAATGGTTTGGGTGGCCTGGATCCTTGATGAGCCGATGCTATGCCCCTTTCCCGATTTCCTTTTTCCTTGTCTGAAACTGAGCCTGGAACTTGAACTGCCTCCCATGGTTCAATCGTTCAATAACTCTCTATCTGTCTTTGTATTTTTTTTTTTTTGGTCCGTGTGTCTTTTATTGTACAGAAGTGTGCCCGGAGCCGCGGCGAGTAGTCATCATTGAGTGAATGAGAGGTGTAGATTTCCTGTTTGTTTTACTGTATTTGTAGATGTAGATGAAGATTTTTGCTATTGCATAGATGCATAGTAGGGTTCTATCTCGCGAGAGGCTCTGCTTGGTTCCATGGTTATCTTCACGGCCCGTCGGCAACCTTGGAAGGGATACATACAATGACCATGGCTACTCGGGTGAACGTCAAATCTACACCAAGTCACTCTTGCAATCTCGTTTTTTGTTATACAGAATGCAATCGATTCTTAAGGAATTGCGCATCTGAAATAACATGATCAAATGTAACATGGACATTAGCGTCCGTACTCAATAGGAACGAGTTCTGGAAATGTGAAGTAGAAGACAATGATTATAGATAAATCGAGAGAGGGAAGATAATATATAAATACAAGAAGGGACAGGGGAGATATCGATATAACCACCACGAAAAAAAAAAAAACCCCCGAGACAGGAGATGTCCCCAGACGTATCACATCAAATCAGAACCCATTTTATCTTAATCTTTCTTGTCTTTACCTGAGCCAGACAAGCTCCCCAACCAACTCGAAAATAGACGATCCATCTGCCTGCTGTCTGATCTCACGCGCCTTTTCACGCTCAATCTTGTACTCTTCCCAGGACAGCTGAGCTACCGAGGCCGTGGTAGCTTGACCGTCAGGATGGTGGTGGGCATGGCGGGGGTAGAGGACGAACGGCGTCTTCGCCGCCATAGATCCGCAGTGCCGTGCCGAATGCCCAGTCGACAGCTTCTTCAACGGGATGATCAAAAAGATAAGGCAATGACGGGACGACCGCGAGACCGAGCTAATTCTATTGTTAGCATTCTCATCACCACCCAGACCACAGATGCAAATGCAAAACGCAAAACGCAAGCGCAAGCGAGAGGAAAACATACCCCGATCGGCAACCAAGTCCGTACAAGCGTGGTCTTCGCCCCCTTCACCATCCTCCCGGAATACTTAACCACACTATGAATGGTGAGAGCTGGCAATCCCATACTGGCAATTCCTTGGAACACGGCGCGCTTGGCCATAACCATCCGATAATCTTCTGCTAGCGAGATTTCCGTCGTAGACCACGGCGCAAGCTCCTGCTCTTTTTCGCCCTCCCCGCTCACGTCCAGCGGACCTGCGATATTCCCCGTCGCCATGCCGCGAATGATCTGGTCTTGCGGAAGCTCGCTGGCATCCTTGTACGTCTCGCCGGGCGGCACGAGCGCGCGCCGGTTGCGCAGGTACGCTTTGTAACCTTCATGGCTTACGTCGCCGATCAGATAGGCCCAGGAGATTCCGTAGGCGGAGCGGACGAGCCAGGGGTGGGCGACTGGGCGGAAGGATTCGCCTATGTCGGAAGTGTAGGCGACATAGCGGTGCGCGGAGAGGAGAATTGTGCGGACGCGGTTGGCGTAGGCGGCGTAACGGTAATTGGTGTCGGTTGAGTCGACGGAGCTGGATTCGGAAGACATAGTTAGTCTGTAGTTTGGGCTTCACGATTTCTTGGTGACTCTTTATAAGTCATGATGCTGCTGGTTTCGCAGTGTACGTCATTGGATAGATAATGCGCCGGGAAGTGGAGCTCGGGCTGTGCGGGAAACGAGAGTTGATTCTAAGTCTTGCTCCGGATTTCCCAGCGCATTGGGGAGTTTGGGACATTAGGAAAGTGGGAAAGTGTCAGAGCTTGGTGCGGGGGTTTGGAGATTATATATCGCGCACGTACTAGGGAGAGTAGAGGTCGTCATAGAAGTCTTCATCTTGGTCGACTAGCTGTTGCAGCTTTGTGGGGAGCCTCTCTCGCGTCACAGGCTGGTCCACAGGTGGGGAAGGAGTGGGAGTGTCTTTCTGACGAACCCCCCCAGACCATCGTGTTCGTGATCGTGTGAGCGTGTGAGCGTGTAGTCGTTTAGAAAAAAAAAAAAGGGTACAAATTCAGTAAAGAAAGGACCGAGGGATGTCAGAATGAGAGCTCGCTGAAATGCAAAGCAAGGGAGGAAAATGCAGCAATGCAGAAAGCCCTAGGTTGAACAGGACGAGAGGTCAAAAGGTCAGAAAGGCAGAAACCATAAGATCGGGCCAAGGCCAGGCACTTATTAAGACTGAATTGAAACCCGTGCAGGGTAGCCGACATAGTGCATAGCCGGGGTATACAGTCCATGGAATACATTACTTCCCCGAGGTTCAGTTTGGGCGTCCAGGCAACCGGGTCAGGGCATCCAGCGCAACTACGGTGTCTACTGAAGCTTTTCTAAGATGAATGGACCGGGTCACTTCATGTCTCTTTCAGCCTCTATTTCAGTTCAAATTCCACAAATAGAACCTATGTATGCGCCTTCCTCGTTCCCGACGCGCGTGATGACTTTCCCGAACGGGTCACATGATTCGGACCAACTCGGAAGATCACCTGATCAGACTGACAGCTGAGTCATCCACTATATGGACTAGCCTGATCAGGAAAGGCGGTCTTTGAGCCGACTTCGTCCTCACTTCGAGCCTGAGGATTCCGCTTCCACATCGCTTTTGACCTCCAGCCCTTCTTACATCCCACTCCCTCAAGATGGTCGTCTACTACCAGATCGCCGGCAAGAAGGTCGGCTCCCACGTCGTAAGTGCCCGATCGATCCCGGAACCACCGGCCGCGCTCCCTCAGCCATCCCTTTTTACGTCCCAGCTACACATGAACCCAGGAAACTGACCGGACCTTTCCCCATTGATCTAGCTCTCCATGGCTGTCCTCGGCTCCATGTTCGCCGGCTCCTACCTCGCCTTGAGCGGTGGCTCCAAGACCAAGACTGCCGCTGGTCCCCCGATCAATGCTTCTTCCAAGGAAGAGGGTGATTTCATCCAGTACGTGACCCCAGATGAAGTACCGAATTGATTCGATCCGATCTATCGTGACAAATGAAGCGAAGGAATCATTCGAATCCGCGTCAGGGGCGTTGAAAACTAACAAACAACAGAAATTTCCTGAAGGAGGTCGACGGCGACAAGAAGTCGGAGAAGCACTAAACTCCCTTCCCGAACGGATTATATCGATGGATCGACCGGTGAACCGTGAAATAGCATGATGCATTTGAGTCGACCATTCTATTCTGTCCCTTTCACGAAAAGATCACCAGATTTGTTGGATTCCGTGGCGACGAAGCTGGCGGACTGATTTCGGAAGTCGGTGGTGAAATTTGTGGATCTGTACATAAGACGCGTGTACGCTGCATAGGAGAATCTCGTGTTTCTTCTGACTTTGGTCTGATTGTTGGGTTGTCCCGGAGGGCCTCTCGGAGCTGCGCGCATCGACTCTCGGAGTGCTGAGGGCCGTGGGCAGTTTTGTTTATTGCTCTACGTGGCCCATCACAGTATATTTGGAGATTTCGAGCTTACCTGGACTATGACCTGATATGTTGTCAGTCACAGTACAGGAAAGCTGATGAGGTCTCCGTGTAGCTCGTAGAGCTTCGCTGAAGCATCGTAGTACGAGCTCAAGTCCTGAATACCAGCTCCGTTGCGCGCATTAGTAAGGGACTGAGGATTAGACTGAAGGCTCTAGTTTATAAACGAGTCACATCTCGCGGTCCATGCAAGCTACAACGACCTTCCCCGCAGTCACTTAGCTAGAACGTGCGATACCGCGCAACGTGACCAGGCCCAAAGAAAATTGACCTCCAACCTCACTCTCAAAACCTCCCTCCTCCCCTCCTCTGTCCAAACCTCATTCCAAAATGAAACCCTTACCATTTCCCCTCCCCCTCCGCATCGGCACAGACATAGTCCACACTCCTCGAATATCCCGCCTCCTCAACCGCGCCGACTACCTAACGCGCTTCACCCGACGCATTCTCGATCCCCAAGAACAAGCCGACTTCACAACGCGCTTCAAAGAAACCCTCGCACCACACGGCACTTCCGTCAGTCCACCAGTCACAGCTGAAATGACGCGCTGGTTAGCTGGCCGGTTCGCGGCGAAAGAAGCGGCGCGCAAAGCTGCGCCCGAAGGCGCGGCCGAGATTGGATGGAAAGATGTTGTTGTTAGGGCGCAAGGGGGTGTTGGAAATAAGCAGGATAAGAGTTCTATTCCGGAGATTGTGTATTGGCCTGAGGGGAGAGATGGGAAACCGGGAAGTGTTGGGAGGTTATCTATTTCGCATGATGGGGAGTATGCTTTTGCTACGGTGATGGCGTGGACTGGGGATTTGCATTCACATTAACTGCTGAAGGGGAAGGTAGAGAGCGATGAGAAGAAGAAGAAGAAGAAGAAGAAGAAGAAGAAGAAGAAGAAGAAGAAGAAGAAGAAGAAGGGAAAGAAGACTGGGAAGGACAATGAGACGGGTAGAAAGCGCAAATGGCCGGAGACGGAAGACAAAACAAAAGATCCGGACGAGTGAAGGACGAAACGAGCGAAGAAATGTGAAAAGAAGCACAAAATGACAGAATAGGACATGGTTGTCTGGAGAAGGAGCAGACGTAGATAGAAGCCCTGATGAGGATCAGGATGGATTTTACTTCAAAGAGCTGGATCTCTGAGATGGGGTAGATGCGTTCCACAGGTGGAGATGCTCCTCTACTCATTGTGTGGTGAAGCTCTTAATACCTAATGTAAATTAACAACCCAGTCAGACTTAACTTTTGAAGTCAATGAATCAAATGAATTGTAGAACGCAGACCTGTAAGCGTATGCTGAGCTCAAATCAATCTCACCTCGGAGCTTTTGAGAGCGCAAATCCTTATCGGGCTCTATCGCCATCTTCCCCTCGATCATCAATTCTCTCGCCAACGCTCAACCATAGTCATTGAGACGCAAGGTAAGTCCAATTGATTGCGCATCCCACATTAAAGATCTCTCTCTCATGATTCCACCTCCAGTCTCGTCCCCAAAACCTGTTTAGCGTTCATCACTGACAGTGACTCAGACACAAGATGCCATTCTCCCACCATAGCCATTCAGGGCAATTCTGCCCAGGCCATGCCAAAGACTCTCTTGAAGATGTGATCCAAGCCGCCATCTCCAAAAAGATGCAAGTCTTCTGCCTAACAGAGCACATGCCACGCCACAAAGCAGACTTCTATCCAGAAGAGGTAGCTCCAAAACCCCCCAAACCCCCCCAAACCCCATGTCCAATCTGACCACCTCGATCAGACCGAATCCGGCCAAACAGAGGAGTGGCATTTTAGCAATGAAGCAGACTACTGGGCAGAAGCCGTCCGCCTCCGCACCAAATACGCCTCTCAAATCCAAATTATCATTGGCTTTGAATGCGAATGGATCCGGCCTGAGTCCAAGACTCTCATTGACCGATCACTGTCCCGCTTCCCATTCGAGTTCTTCATCGGCAGCTTGCACCATATGCACACAGTGCCGATTGACTACGATCGGGAAATGTATGAGAAAGCGCGCGACCTCGCGGGTGGTTCGGATCTGCGTCTTTTCGAAGATTACTTTGATGCGCAGCTTGACATGTTGCAGGAGCTTAAGCCGCTAGTGGTAGGGCATTTCGATCTCATTCGATTGAAGAGTGATGATATGGAGAGAAGCTTCCAGACTTGGGAGGGGGTTTGGGCGCGGATCTTGAGGAATTTGGACTTTATTGCGGGGTATGGTGGGATGTTGGAGATTAACGGGGCTGCGCTGAGGAAGGGCATGAGTGAGCCTTATCCTAAGGCTGAGATTTGCAAGGTATGTTGATGTTTCTGTTCAAGTCCAAGCTCTTGGACAATTATTTTTTTTTTTTGTGTTATGAATCAGGACTGATACAACTGGATCAGGAATTTCTGGCTCGTGGTGGTCGCTTCTGTCTATCGGATGATAGCCATGGCGTGGATCAGATCAGCTTGAACTTCCACAAGGTCCTGGAGTTTTTGGACGTGGCTGGTATTGAGACTCTGCATTATCTGCAGGTAGGGGAGCCATCGGGGACAGTGCCCGACGCTCGGTTCCCGCGCACGCATATTGCTGCTATCTCTGTGCAGGATGTGAAGAAGATGGCATTCTTCAAGGTTGAATAGCGCGTTCATTAGTCGGACCTGATTCGATATAGTTGAAGTGAAGACATCACCGACGAATCAATCTACCTCTGACCTGCATAGTCTACGGAAAATCACGTCCAACAGCTCTGGAGACCCCTCCTCCGTCAGGGTGAGACCTCGGAAGCCACGGGCAAGGCTTGATCGCGGGGGGGTTCTGGAGCACGCGGTAGTGGATCTATGAGCTACAGGACCATTCCAATTGATTAAATGTACAAACCCACGGGGACACCAGATCAGATAATCCGCTGAGGAAGCTCCTCGAGCTATCCCCCGCCTACATCACGAAAGCACTAGAGCAGGGTCCTGGGGAGTTCCCCAAACTGAGTTCAATTAAGATCCCAGTCTTCTCCCCTCGCCACCTTACCAGGGGTCAGACTCTTAGGATCGGCGTAGAGTGTAACCCATCATCATCAGTGTAAACCATTGGGTACAGTAAAAGGAAAAAGGTGGAAGTGCATTACGTCGGGAAACCCCACTCGGAAAGAAAAGTGGATAAAATCACAGCTGCCCCTCGTTTTTTCATCACTACCATCCCCTCAATACCGAATATATCGATCAAAATGGGCGTCGAGAAGACTACTCTTACCCCCGGTGACGGCGTCACCTTCCCCAAGGAGGGTGACAATGTCGCTCTCCACTACACTGGCTGTCTGTATGACCCTAGCAAGGCCGACAACCACTTCATGGGCAACAAGTAAGGCTCCTCCCATCCTGGGTTTTGCAAGACACTCACATTCTGTCAAATAGGTTCGACAGCTCCCGTGACCGTGGCTCCCCTCTGGCCACTCCCATCGGTGTCGGCCGTCTCATCAAGGGTACGTGAAAGCTCAAAGCGACGATACCAAAACAAGTGTCTCACGAGGATTGAGTGTTAACGTGCATGGGACAGGCTGGGACGAGGGTGTCCCCAAGATGACTCTGGGCGAGCGCGCCATCTTGACTATCAGCAGGTGAGTCAATCATCGTGATCAGTGACTCGCTCAATGCTAACCTTTTTACCAGCGACTACGGCTACGGTGCCCGGTACGTAACAAGCGCAAGCTATCCGAGCTCTCTCGAGACCCTCCCAACCTTCGAAATTGAACCCCGGACACCCTTCTATACACATTGAGCTCCCGGGACATGCTTCAAGTACTAATTTCCTCATAGCGGCTTCCCCGGCCTGATCCCCGCCAACTCTGACCTCGTCTTGTAAGCACCCCAGGTCCAACAGACTTCCACACACAACTAACCCGCGACAGCGATGTCGAGCTCGTCAGCATCAACGGCAAGAAGGCCAACTAGATCGCGAATACTATATCTGTGCATTGAGTCGACATGGAGTGCGGATCCCCTCTCCGTGCCGAACTGGTGGAACAGTCCTATCAATAAAAGTTGAGCCGATGCTCTCCATGTCTTCGACTTTGACTTTGAGAAGAAGCATGAGAGATGTTGTCGCACCAATCATTGATTATACTCCGTAGGCTCGGTTGGATGGGCTGTAAATTTCGTAGAACTTTTCTCACAGAGTTTATTGCTAATCCACCGTACAATCCTAGTCACTATATCCCCGTCAACGAGCGATACCATTGATAACATTCATTCCCGTCGCGCGATAGGTATCGTCCTCGATATAGCTCTCATTCCTTGGAAGACGGAAGACAAAGTTCTTTGACTGGGAGGAATATTCCGGCCATTGGGGTACATGCGATACTATCATCGTCAAATCAATAATTACGATCCGAAAGACGCAAGGAACCCTTCTCAGAGATGAAAAGATGAAAACTCACCTCCATGTCCATTGGGATCTAAATCCGTCACAAAAGAAGTCCACATTCTCGCCGCCATCTGCCCCAATTCCAACCTCGTCGGATCGGATCCGAGTGCAGTGATATTCTGCACCGGGTTCGCGAAGACGAACGGAATCTATTTGAAAATCGCCCATCAGCATCATTCTATCAGGTTGACAGTCTTGGCTTCCCAAGAATTATATGAACACACCTCTGCGAAATGCTGCACTCCAATCGTCGAACTAGTATTCAGCGCCGCGACATCCCATCGATACGAATATACATTCTCAAATTGAGCCATGGTGTGCGCTAGCAACCGTCGCGGCGCAAACATCGTCAGATCACCCGCTATGGACTCATAGCGTTTATACTGCAGTCCCAGGGACGGCCAGGTAGTATTGCCCCAGCCGTAGGGACATCCTAGGGCCGGGATATTGGGATACTCTGAAAGAATCTCGGTAGCTTCTGTACGGTTGAGGACCCAGCGTTTAGACGCTACCTCTTAATCAGTCACTCCTGTCAATTCTACTTGGCGAAGGAAGGGTGACGTACAAATCAATTGCTCGATACATTCTTCATCTGTGTTCGTCCCTGCTCGTTCCGAAACTCGTTCCTTCGTCTGTATTGGTCCCTAGTAGAATAGGCACTTTGCTGAGTTTCCCTTCTTTGTAGCTAATCTGAGGATATTGGGAGATGAAGCTGTTGTCGATGGTGGCAAACCATTCTAGACCCTCGTAGGCTGCGTTGTAGATTGTCGAGTAAGGGAGGTCGCGGAGGCATTGTAAAGTGTTTGTGGCATTTGTACATCTGTTCATGGGCTCAGATATAGATTCCATGCATTGTGAAGAAAAAGGAAGGGGCGGGGACATACCCTGCCCGTTCGACGATTCGGTCATACATCGGTTGGTGCCATGAGGTACCGTTGTATGGAGGTCCGACGGCATTGCCGGATTCCATAATTGCTGATATTAGAAGTAAGCTATATGTCAAAGAAATCCTTGTTCGAGAGTGTCTGGGCTCGTACCAGCTCTGAAGAGACCTTCGTTATCTCCACCGTTGGTCACGAGATGAGCTCCGACGCTGTACGCGCCACTGGAAAGCCAGTACTCTCACATTAGTAGAAACCCAAAGTTGGATACACAAGAATTGTCCACATACGCAGACTCGCCCCAGATGGTGATCCGGTCCGGATCACCGCCAAATGCCTCGATATGCTTCTTCACCCATCGCATAGCCGTGCGTTGATCTCTCAGAGCAAGATTGGTATTCCCCTCAGCCTATCGAGTCAATTGACCCTAGATGATAAATAAAGTAGGCAAAAATAACTTACGCGCACTTCCTTTGAATCCAAGAAACCGAAAGCAGCCATTCGATAGTTGATGGATACACCTAGCACTGGTTTCCCATTTAAAGCGCCCTGTTGGACAATATAGCTCATGTTGTACCTAATTACCCAGGGTGCGCCCAGTCAGTCAAGATGCTCCCATCAATCCGTGTTTCATATCAAAGAGAAAGAGAGAAAACTACACATACCTCGGATCAGCAGTTGCCCTTGCTGCCACCCGCCTCCATATATCCATAACATAACCGGCAATCCATCCCCGCTCCCCTCGGGCGAATAATGTTCAAATTCAGACAATCCTCATCCAAGCGAGCCAAGCCACGATCAACAAGAGTCGTCGTGTCAGATCCATACGCTGGGCAGTCATATCCGTATTCCGAGGCGTTGTAGTACACATGAATGTTCGATGTCAATCCTCCGAATGAAGAATCATAGACTCCGGAGTTACTATCGTTGGAGGCGTAGGTGGTTTTGAGGGAGGATGCTGTGAAGCGGGTGGGTTTGTTGGCGTATTTTATACCGAGAAAGTGATCTTGGTCGAATTCGGGCAGGGTTTTACCGATGAAGATTGTCTTTGATAGAGTTGCTGTGGGATGTTTGGTGGTTGTTTTCGAAAGAGGGGTGGACTGGGCGAGGGTGGCTAGGAGCCATATGGGTAAGAGGAGCATTGTCGGCTTGTTTTTATTCAATTGTTTTGAGGTGTTTGATATCTCTTTTGAAATTGGATTCACGCTGTCTGCAAAGTTGAGGTAATGGGCAAAAAGAGTGCATAAAGATGCTTCTTGGGTGACACGATTTCTTATACTATCTGTTACCCCTCTTATGTGGAGAATGGTTCATAACAATTACAATCTATCTCGGAGACTAGTCTGAAGAAGATACTTCCCCGCAATTCACTTGGCTCTTCAGAGAGGAACAGGTAAAGCGGTGGTGATGAGCGCGCTCATAGGTGGAAAATACAGCTGCCCAGGAGGGAAAATCTCGGGGGGAACACGGAAGAAATGGTTCAACCTGCAGACACTGCCAATTCATACATTGATGTTAGGGCGTGACCAGTCTGGGGCCAAAATCCTGACATATCTGTAGCATTTTATAAAGCCTTGGGCCTATCTGGCTCTTTCTTTTGGGGAAAAGCTTGGATTGAAGCAACCGAACCAAAGAATTAGTCCACCATTGGCAAGAGGCACTTGAAGAACTCAGGTTCAAGTAAGAAGATGCTTGTACTGGATCACTACACGTGGTATACGTCTATATAAAGCTGGTTCTATCAAATGTAGTAAATTATGGCACCGGGCAGGAATACCGCCGGGCGATCACTATTCAGATGCATATCAAAGAAAGGCTGATGCCAAAACGGCGGATTGCTGCAAGAGCAACAGAAATGATTATACATCCGACATGTCAAAGTGCAGCAAAATGGGAGATGAAGGGTCCTTATGTCGGGTCTCGTTCAAGACCTGGATCTGTCTCAATGCGACAAAATTTTCCATCCTTCGATTTGCCAAGAGCCCAACCCCGATAGCAGATAGTCAGATGCGAAACTTAACATCGATATCCCTGTCATGCATGCGTTGCTTCAGACAGCCCTGCCAAAAGGCCAAGCAACAATGTCCGCCGCAAGAATAGAAACACTAGGCCGCTTATGAGAAGAAAAGGCAAAGACGCATGGAAAAAAAATGCAGAACCCGTGGATCCTCAAAATAAAAAGGCACAGTAATAAGGCGAAGAAGGTCTATTATGAACGCTGGTCGCAATCAAACAAATCAGTCATCTTTCAGGCGGTCGGTTGAACCCAATTCTGAGCCCATTCCGAGACCATTCACGCGAGACCTGCTCGTCGAGGACGCGGATGCTCCGGTCTGGAATGCAGAGGAAGAGGACGCGCTTTGCTGGTCAGGTCGGCGTGAGGTCCCGAATACGCTGGGCGACCTTCGGTCTTCGGATGCATCGTCCATCTCGATGAGATCGCCCATGCCCCAGAGTCCGATGTTACGACCTCGGTTTCCGGCTTGTTGGGTTGGGTTGCCTTGTTGGAGGTCGTTGATACCGGCCTTGGCGCGTGTTGCAACCTTTCGGACCCAGCCCTCCAGGGCGCCACCGATGTTCTCAAGCCCTGATGCATTGGGTGTACCGGTGGACTCAGAACCATAAGAATATTTCCGGTTATTTTGCAGTGGACCAGGCGGGGCGAGAGACGTCACATGCTTGGAGAGCCACTGGGTGAGACCGTCCATTGCAGGCCCGGGTGCGGTAGAATCGCTATCGAGGGTACCAACCCCGGTACCGGACAGGTTGATGCTGCTGCGTTGTCGGCGGTGCTGCGGGCGCATGGGGTGCGCAGGGCGCGGCTTGGTTTCATCACCGCGAGTTCGAATGCGGGGAGGACGCTTTGGAATGAACCGATTGACGGCGACCCAGCTGGAGATGGACTCCTAGTCACGTTCTGAGAAGAGCCGAGAGAAGGCTCCGCGTCGGTGTAAGACACGGATTTCCGACGAGTGCGAGGAAAAAAATCCTAGTGCCCTCCGAGGAACGCGGCCAATCTCGACCCTTGAGGGGAATCCGTCTATTTGCACCCAGGATTCATGCTTCCAGATGCGATTGACTTGAGATCCACAAGAGCTAGGATTTGTATGGTCTGGTATCGAGTCGTTTGTAGAGTCCGCATGAGGTGTAATAGAGCTGTCATTCGGATCTTCATTATCGTCACCCAAGAGATCGGGTTGCTCTTCTGTAATCCGCCGCCCTTTCACCGTGCATGCTTCCACTGGTAGGAGGACCGTCTTCCTGCTTTGAATATTGTCATTCGGCCAGAACCCGTTGGCTTTTCGGAATACTGCTGCTTGACAGCCATATTTAATGGTCACTCCGGTGATGCTGTCCGTGGCCTGCACATGGTGTATATAAGCAAGTGCCTCTTCATCATGCTCTGGGTTCAGCGGCTGGTCAAAATAATCTCCCGAATCGCGTTTCTTGTGTCGAAAGTTGCGACTTGTGATTGGGTCAGAGTCTGCGAGGAGTAATGCCTCGCGCTTCTTCGCCTGTACTAGTGCCTGTCTTTCCTCCTTGGTCGCATTTCCAATGTCCGGGGTGGAAGGTCCTGATGGACCCCACGCCGAGGGCGTTGACCTCGGGATACTCCGAATATATACGTCTGACCGTGATGGCTTCCTCCGTGTATTTGTCTTGTTCGCATTAGTTGGTGTATTCTGTCCGGCGTCACTCCCTAATACCGATGATGCCAGATTCTGGAGTGACGACCAGGATGAGTCCAGAAAATCGGCAGCCCCTCGTGATGATGAGGCTTTCGATGATCCGTTCGACCCCAGTGATCCCGTTTCGTTGTGACGACCCCGATATGAAGATTCGGTGACTCGGGAAGGATGTGTCATTGGTAATGGTGATGTGCCGCGCGAGGACAGAGGCGAGGGGGTTGCACCGCGGGAACGAAGCGTCCCGCTCTCCGTGGACAGCTTTGTGCCCGATGCAAGCGGTTGAGCGTCATTGTATGAGAGATTGTTGTTCTTAAAGGCCGGGTTGTCAGATTCATCGTCCATGAAAGAGACCAAGCGACGAGGACGCGATCGGACCGCAGAGGCGGCGCTTGTGCTGACAGTGTTGGAGCTCACAGAAGCATTGACGAAGCTATTTTGGGAACTCATTCCTGTCAGAGAGGCCCATGGAATACTTCCTCCAAGGGGGTGTGTCGTAGGCTCCTTTAGGAACGTTTGTTGTTGCCAAGGCACTGATTGCCATCAGTGCATCAGTGGTCTTCTAGGAGAGAGCCCATTCGTCACCAACCACGTTGCGAGGCCTCAAAGCAAGGTTCGAACAACGGTAGTCATGCACCGGCAATTCGACGTAATATAGCAAGATCTGTCCGGGGGTGAAAGAGGCGGGGGAAATGCGGAGTGGTGAGGTGATGGATGCGATAGGAGAGCGCAGGAGGCGTAGGTGGTCGGTGACGATAACGACCCACAAGGCGGCACCTCGAAATTCGAGAACAGCCAAAAACCCAGGCCACTTCGCGAGGGCAATTATCCTTGGTAGATTCTTTTTGGAGTGCAATGGGTCAGAAGAACAGGCAAAAAAGCTTCAGAGAAAAAGGAGTGCTGGAGGGGGTTGTGGATCAGCAGCTGACTTTGCCGCGTCGCAGGTACATGACGTTGGCCGGCGTACTCCACTTGTTGAAGGTATTAGTATAAAGCTAGCTTCACATACATATAGAGATGGAGCAAATATTGCATTATATATTCCCACTGGAACAATTGTACATGAGACTCATCATGTCGCTCTATAAACATAGCCCGGCCCTGCCAGAAGTCACTGCATCACTCGCATCTTGCCACCGATCAGATAATGCGGCCGTTATCAAGATCCTAAGTCTCCGGAAACGCCTTGCCTTTACTTCGAAGATTGAGATCAAAACAAATAGTCGTCTATATCAAACAAAGAATGAAAAAATTATTCTGGAGGCTCAGCCACCAAAGGACGGGCATCCGTGCCATCTTCGGCTTCATCTTCGGTGTTCCACTCGCCATCGTCTTTCTCGGATACGACCTTGCCCGTTGAGACAGACTCCAGAATATGGCTGTCCCGAGGCGGTGGGATGACCTTGATACCCCCGGCGTGGGAGAAGAAGTCTTCTGTACGAAGACCGCGAACCTCCGAAGGGTCGACGGCGGTCATCTGCGTGCCGTCGGCCTTCTTCTGTCGGATCAATTCCCGCACTGGAGCCATGGCTGCATCACGGCAAGCTTCCTTAATGTCACTGCCGGACATACCGGCCATGTTCTTGACTAGGTAGTGCAGATCAAAGTTGTCCCGATCGACCTTGGTGTCCTTGAGGATCAAGCTGAGAATGCGGAGACGCTGAGCGGCGGGGGAAGTGTAACAGGGAATTTCTTGGGCATACGTCGAAGAATGGCCTCATCGATATCCTGGATGCGGTTGGTTGCGCCGAGCACGACGACTCGCTGTGGCTCACCCATGGAGTTGGCCGAGGTGAGACCATCCCAGTGGGTCATGAACTCGGCCTTCACCATACCGCTTGCTTCATGCTCTCCACTCCGCCGGGTTCCAAGAACGGCGTCAATCTCGTCAATAAACACGATGGAGGGCTGAAGCTTGCGCGCGAGGGAGAAAACTGCATTTACCAGCTTATTTGAGTCACCGTACCACTTCTCCGTCAAAGTTGAAATGTGCAAGTTGATAAAGCAAGCGCCACTCTCGGACGCCAGCGCTTTGGCGAGCATGGTCTTTCCGCAGCCAGGCGGGCCATACAGGAGGACACCGGAAGGTGCAGTCAGGAGCGAGGAGCTGGACGAGTAGAGGTGAGGCATAGTCAACGGGTAGATCACGGATTCCTTCAGTTCGTCGATGATATGATCAAGACCACCGATATCTTCGAATGACACCCGGATATCTTCTGGCGCAACGACGTCCATGGCGATAGCTTGCTCGTATTGAGTCAATGTGAGCTCGCCTCGCCGTTGCCGGCCTCCCTTTTTACCACCCGCGCGTCGGGACGATTCATCGTCTGAGTCGTCTCCGCCATCTAATCTGCGCAGGATAGCTGCCGACTTCTTGCGTTGTTCTTCCTTCTTTTGGCTCTCGGGGTCGAAGTCAAGGCGCGATAGGAGGTAGCGTATGAGAAAGTATGCAGAGGCGGACTAAACAAGCTGTTAGACTAGAAGATAATGATGCGACGCATGGCGAAACTGACGGTACCCGCAACCATGATCATCTCCTGGAGAAATTGCTGCCATCGTCGGCCGCCTGCTGAAGCCATGACGACAGCGGTGAGGAGGTGATGAAGGTGAGAAGGGGGTAGGCAGGGTATCGAAGGGGAAGACAAGGCGTTAAAAAGTTGGAAGTGTCAAGTAGAAGGAACGAAGCCCGTGAGTCCGGGGGGGATTTCCAAGACCCAGTCCAAAACTAAGTCAAAAGTCCGATAAATGGTTCGGGCAGCCGTGCCAGGTGTGGTCCCGGAATGTCACATGTTCCCCGGTTGTTGATAGTCGCGTCTTCTACACATATCGAACAAAAAGCCGCATTACAATATGCCGAAACGAAAAGCTCCCACTCAACTCTCGGCCCTTGCTGGCTCGGACGATGAGGATTTGATGCAAATCACTGAACATGAAAGCGCCCCTTTCCCGGGCGCGAGCGATGAGCCCCCCCGTGAAACGCCGACGAGGCCGACCGCGTACTTCTAACGAACCTGCCGCCGAGACTAAAAATACCCGTGGAAAGAAACAGGCATCAGAGCCACCATCTCAAGATGAAGCTGCTGCAGCTAGAAAGCCTGTTCGTCGAGGGAGACCTCGAGGAAGCAGTCGCACGGCCGATAATCCTGCGGGGCAAGAGCGGGCAGCAGTGACGCAGGAGCCGATGGAAGAAGAAGACTCCAATGACCAGGAGAACGAAGACCCGATGGCTACAAAAGGTACGAAGACTTCACGCGCTGCAACGAAGGCCAAGCCAGCTGCGACTGCGACTGCTACTGCGACTGCGGCGCGTCGCCGAGCGCGAGCATCCAGCGTGGCGAAGCAGACAGATGGCGAATTTGAGTACACTCCGACACGCGCCGCCCAAGTACAGCAAGTACAGGGTGAACCCGAAGTGCTCGACTCTCAGATGCAAGAAGCCGAGCCCGAGGTTGACGAGTCGATTCTCCTAGACCCCCCAAGCCGCTACGCGTCCTCGTCTCTTGTGAAGCATGCGCGGGCCCGTATGACCACCGTACGGACACATAATGTGTCACCAAACAAGCGCCAGTCTAGTTTTGGAGTCGAACAAGGCGTTGATCCGGATTTGAGGCGTAGGATCGGAGATCTCACCAAGAAGCACGATGGATTAGAATCCAAGTATCGTAATCTTCGCGAGATTGGCATTGTAGAAGCCAACGCCAACATGGAAAAGCTGCGCAGGCAATGTGAGAGTATCACCGCCGGTACGACATCGACCCAAAATGTATCTTGTTGAGCGTCGCTAATACCCTACTAGCATCGAACGAATTGGTCGCTTCGCTCCGAACCGAATTGGAAGCGCAGCGAGCGCTTGGACAGCAGAGCCGCAGCCTCCAGAAACAACTCAAAGACCGGGACGTCGAAATGGCCCAGATCAAGACCGAGGCCGAGGAGGCTCGCTCTCAGCTTGCGGCAACACAGGCTGAAGCCAAGGCCTTGCAGACCAAGCTCGCCGCAGCACGCAGCACAGCTGCAAGCCTGGAGAGCGTAGCCAAGGTTCCCGGAAGCGCCATGAAGGTTGGAGTCAACCGCGCAACCGCCGCTGTAAGCGCCGAGGCCGCACAAGCAGCCCAGCTGGCGTTGCTCAAAGAGGAGCTGTATACCGATTTGACTGGATTGATCATTCGGGATGTCAAGAACAGAGAGACAGATCATCTATACGACTGCATTCAGACCGGTGTTAACGGAAGTGAGTACCTCTCGCTCTACTATACCAATTCAGCATCTAACTATGCCGCAGCTCTGCACTTCAAGCTTGTCATTCCCAAGGTGGTTTCGTCGAAGTACGAGTCTGCGGAGTTCCAGTATTTGCCCTTGCTGGATGCGAATCGGGACCGTGAGCTGATGGGCATTCTTCCCGAATTCTTGAGGGTGGATATCACCTTTAGTCGTGGGCAGGCGTCCAAGTTCTATACAAGGGTTATCGATGCCTTGACGAAGCGGCGGTCGAGCTCGGCGTAGCACAAGTTAACCTGTGATTTGAAACAATATAGTGAAGGGATCAAATGATGTTAATATACACTGTTGAAACAAAGTGATATTGTAAAGCGCTTCAAGCATCTCAATTGGTTCCTGTTGGTTCCAAGTATTCCCAGGCCTCTTTGCTCCTCAGCTGAATTTATGTGCATCTATCGATGACCTTTCGGTTACCACCCAGATGCCGAGGCCGGCCTCAGTAATTTACGTTTCACTGGCCCTGATAGCAGAGACATAGCCAACCTACCAAAGCTTGTTGAGCCCCAGGATCGGACGATGGTGCTCATAGAATATTTGTCTGTGCCTCCGCGAGCTAATGCACAAACGCACTATTCGCTGAGTACTTGTTATGTCACATTGAGCTGCAGGAAAGTATAAGAAAAGAGTCGAGCGTTTACGGCTTGCGCCAGTCAAGTTAAACCTAATACTGTTACGTACGTGACTTGCACACCAACTTCGAGTAGACCCTCCAGCACTGGAATCAAGCGCACTGTCCTCAATCATGGCAATTCATTGGTCTCTCTCGCCGTAAGTAAGAACGATGTTCAAGGGATATAGCGCTGAAGAAAGATTCACCACTGTGATGGCTATGCGCCTAGCTTTTATTCCAGCGATTATCCTGACTGTTCCCCGGATCTTGAGGATATCGCCTACCATCGGCCTTGATGTCTACCCGGATTATGTGGCTAATTATAGTCCGCGGTTCAGAAGACTTTTTGTTACCGATGATGAGATACATGAAGAGTTTACAGAGATTTTAGGATGTCTGGCTTGCGATCGTGCCTTCAACGACATGTATGAACAGGGTAGACGTAATGAAGGTCTAGCCCTGGCTGTAAACACTTTCAACGTAAACAAGTGGTTCTGCCGTGCACATTTCCTGACCCGTGATTGGTGTTCACCGCCCGTCCTCACTTTCCCCGGTGTCAACGTCTGTAATAGAGATGACCTCCTTTTAGGCCTTCCTGTCTGTTCTACCAGGGGCTCAATCCGCTCATTTTTCATTTTCGAGGCTGGAAATCCCCGAGGACTAGCATCATGGCGCGTCTCGGCCGCGTCGGGTTCCTCGCCATCGCGGTGGTCTTCCACCTGATCTATACGTATTCGATCTTCGACATCTATTTCGTGAGCCCCATCGTAAGTGGCATGCGCTCATATGGGGTCAACCGTCCAGAAAATACTCCAGCTCCCGCCCAACGCCTTGTCCTCTTCGTTGCCGATGGCCTACGCGCAGATAAGGCCTTCCAGGCCTTCCCCGATCCCGCGCCCGCCGCGCAATCCGACGAATTGATTCGCCTGACGCCATTCATTCGCGACAAGGTCCTCGAGCATGGTACCTTTGGAGTCTCGCATACCCGCGTCCCTACTGAGTCCCGCCCCGGACATGTTGCTCTCATTGCGGGTCTGTACGAGGATGTCTCGTCTGTGACCACAGGCTGGAAGCTGAACCCTGTCAACTTTGATAGCGTGTTCAATCGCAGTCGGCATACATGGAGCTGGGGTAGTCCGGACATTCTTCCAATGTTCAAGGAGGGGGCTGTACCGGGCCGCGTGGACGCGGAGATGTATGCGGAGGAGGCGGAGGATTTTAGTGTCGATGCGACGCATCTGGATACCTGGGTTTTTGACAAAGTTCATGGGCTGTTTGAGTCAGCTAAGAGTGATCCGGAGCTAGATCGCAAGCTGCGCCAAGACAAGCTGGTGTTCTTCCTGCATCTGCTGGGATTGGATACCACTGGCCATGCTTTCAGACCTTATTCCAAGGAATACCTCAATAACATCAAGATCGTGGACGAGGGTGTGCAGGCGGTTACTCAATTGGTGGAGGATTTTTATGCCGACGATAAAACCGCTTTTGTTTTCACTGCAGACCACGGTATGAGCGATTTGGGCAGTCACGGCGATGGACACCCGGATAACACACGCACTCCCCTCGTTGTCTGGGGCTCAGGTGTGGCGCAGCCGCAGAAAATTGCAAATGGTGTTGCACCCGGACACGAGGATGGCTTTTCGTCCGATTGGGGATTCGACCAGATCGTACGCCACGATGTCGCACAAGCCGATATCGCTGCACTCATGGCCTACCTCGTTGGCGTTGATTATCCCGTCAACTCTGTTGGCCAATTACCTCTGGCTTATCTCAATGCCGATCCGAAAGAAAAGGCAATGGCTGCATTGGCGAATACGCGAGGTGTTTTGGAGATGTATCGAGTGAAGGAGGAGCAGAAGAGGACAGCGGTTCTCCGCTATGTGCCATTTGAGCCGTTGTCTGGTGATGGCGAGACCTCCATTGAAGGCCGCTTTGCTAACCTGGAGGCGCTTATCTCTAATGGTGCTTATGAAGAGTCTATTGTTCTGTCCTCTGAGCTGCTGGTTTTAGGCCTCGAGGGTCTGCGCTATCTGCAGACTTATGATTGGTTGTTCTTGCGTACAATCGTGTCGTTGGGATACCTAGGTTGGATTGCCTATGCTTTGACCACAGTGATTGACTTGCATGTCTTACATGGGACTTCAGATTCCCACCGAACCGTGGCGAGTATCTCTTTCTTTTCCTCCATCTTGGTGGCTCTTTTCTCCGTTTTCCTATACCAGGGATCGTCATGGCGGTACTACTTCTATGGATTCTTCCCCGTCTATTTCTGGGAAGAGGTTTTTGCTCGTCGCAAGGCTCTCATTGCTGGACGCCAAATCATTCTGGGTCATGTTCATTCCTTTTCTGGATATCTCAGCTTTGGACTGCAGGTTTTGGCATTCCTCGGCGTGCTAGAGGCACTGGTTCAATCTTACTTCCACCGAGAGATCCTCACCGTTTGCTTTGCCTTGGGTGCTCTGTGGCCTCTAGCCTACGGCCTAAGCTTCGTCCGCAATCATGCATTCTTGACGGCGACATGGGCCCTCGGCTGTTGTCTCATGAGCACATTTACATTGCTACCGGTCGTGAAAATGGAGGATCTTACTAGCATGTGAGTTCTTTATGTTCAGTAGTGGAGTTTATGGGTGGATGACTGACTTTTCTTAGTACCTATGGTGGGCTTCTTATGTTCCTCACTGGAATCTTATATCTGCTCTTTGAGGATGCCATTATTGGCCACAGCTCAACAAAAAGCGCTGGCACCTTCAACAGCTTCGGATCTCGGGTTATCATGGGCATGCAGGTTGGCATGGTGCTCCTAGCATTGGTCGTCACCCGATCAAGCGTTACATCTCTCCAGGCCCGCGAGGGATTGCCATTTGGTAACCAAGTGGTCGGCTGGTTTGTTCTAAGTAAGTGATGCATCAGATACATTAAAGTATCCGCCCAATACTGACCTTCCTCAAGCGGCCTCACTCTCGCTGCCATTCTTCCACCGACAATATCCCAATAGCCACTATCTGCACCGTCTCATGGTCATCTTCCTGACCTTCTCACCCACATTCATCATCCTCGCCATCTCATGGGAAGGCTTGTTCTACTTCATGTTCTGCATGACCCTTCTAACATGGGTTCGACTCGAGCACGCCATTTACGTGCACACCAGCTCGACAGTAATCAGAACCAACGGCTCGACCACATCAAAGCCAACAATCAGCACGACAACCGTCGACGGCCGGACATACCACTACCGTGCCTTGACCCTCTCCGACACCCGCGTTGCCCTGTTCTTCTTCTTCCTCCTACAGTCCGCCTTCTTCAGCACCGGCAACGTTGCTTCAATCTCCACCTTCTTCCTCGACAGCGTCCGCCGTCTCATCCCCGTGTTCAATCCCTTCAGCCAAGGCGCCCTTCTCATCCTTCAAATCCTCATCCCCTTCGCCATCATCAGCGCCAATCTAGGTATCCTCAACCGCAGACTCGAAGTCCCGCCTAGCGCGCTCTTCATGGTCGTCATGTCGATTTCTGACGTGATGACACTGAACTTCTTCTACATGGTTCGCGACGAGGGCTCCTGGCTCGATATCGGTATGACGATTAGTCATTTCTGCATCGCTAGTGCGCTTTGCATTTTCGTTGCCGGGCTAGAATTCCTGAGTGAGCAGTTCGTCAGCGGAGTGGAGTTCGGGCCGGCGCTGGAGTCGGTGGAGCGAGTCATTAGTGAGGCTGTGGAATGCGGACATGAGAAGGAAGAGGAAAGTGCTGGGATTGTAGCTTCGCCTGCTAAGAGCAGCAAGAAGAATCGTCGCGGTGCCAAGGGAAAATCAGGTTGATTTGTTAGGCTAGTTTTTGGGAGCGATGTTAAATCCCGTGTATTTTAGGTCTTGGCCGTCTTGTTAATATAGAATACGCTATTGAAGATCAACTTATTTAGTTGAGTAGATCAGATCACTGGATCCTATTTCGGTCTAGTCAATTCAATCTGCATTTCAATTAGGTCAAGTAGATGTTAATGCTCGCCTGTGTAGGCCCTCCCTCATTTCGCTCCAAATATTCCAATCCGATCCCCTAGTTCCCTTCCGCCACCCTCGACCCACCCCAGACATCGGACACAACTTTGTCCCGATCGCTCAGCACGCCCCTAAAGCAGCCAAGCGCCGAAACTCATAGGGGACCTCGCTTGGCAGATGTCAGATCTAGACAGGCACGCGGTCCAGTGCCTCACAGCAGATCCGCCAGTAGAATTCAACCGTGCCGGACATTTGCTGCCTGATTAGGGAAAACATTAGAGTATATCACGGATATGCCAAGTTTTCTGTTCCCGACTCTTCTCTCAATCTCATTTTGATCTACCAAGTAATATAGTGAAGAGACAAAAGCCCTGGATGTGCATGATTTAGGAACACGCCAGGGCGCAATTGTGATTAGCGGGGAGGCTTAGGAAGTGGGGTCCTTCAAGTTGCCGAGGCATCACAAGCTGGTTCCTCTCTGTCAGCCAACACTCAAAAGGCTTGGAGATAGCGAGTCACCTGTTGGTTATTTTGAATTATTTCTGATGACGAGGCTCAGATGCAAGGTAATGATCCCCGCAATTCCACCCCAACTTTCTGTCCCCGCAATCGTCGGCTTGTGCCTCCAGTTCGTTGATATACGCAAACGTAGTGTACGATGCTCACGCTCAGAGGCGTCGCATCTATAGGAATGGAGAAGGATGCGCAGGGATCATGTTGTGCACGGAGCCACGGGGTAGATGGCACGAGCCGCATGAGTCAAGCACTATACACCGAGTATCTGCAGCCTAAAATATAGATGCGTCTCGATGTGGGATGATGTATACCATCACCGTATCGTGATTAAGGTGTGCCTGAGCCGCATCTCAACTGCGTCGCATTTCTGGTGACACCGCATACTTCCGTGCAGAGATAGCCCCCGTGTACTGGAGAACCCTAAACCCCCAAAGGACAAGTTCAACATCCCCCCGGGTCACGTCTTGAGAAAATGAGGTTCCCCATCCGCGACGACCCGCGTGGCGGCCTGGACCTGACGGTCTTTGCACTAACCCAGGAAAGCTTTAGGGGGGTTCCCAAGCTTTGACTCCCAGGACTGCACGAAAACCACTCACCCAGAGTTCGAGACAGGGCAGGACAATAGGCAGACCGTTGCGCCCGAACCCCGGGCTGAGCTGGTATTTCCACGGCGTGGAGAGGTCCCTGAAAAGGTAGGTCCGCCGTGCCTGGACTCAATTTATGGGATGTGCGGTCACAGGCTACTTAGCCCATTTGTTTCTTCTTTTACTCTCTTAATCCTCCTGATGGCTGCTCGCCTAATATTCCTGTTCGTTGCTGGCCTCTAGACGCGACCGTTTCAGAGATGAAACTGTCTTTGCACGGAGCCTCTTCGAAGACCCCAAAGTCCACCTAGTTTTTGGGTCCCTCCACTCCCCTCTCGTCGATCATTCCTAGGCGGGCCAGGCCGTCGGTGTAGATGAGTTTTGGGAGGTGGTGGGTGAGTTGAATGGTAGCTTACGTAGCTGGTGCCGTCGTAGGGAGTGCTAATTCTGGCAATGGGTAGGAGGTAGAATCGGTCAAGATGGCAGGATTAAGGGGCATTCAAGTAGACAAGCCATTGTGTAGGCCTGGCCAGTGCAAGAGAGAGAGAGAGAGGGTGACTTTGCGGACTCCAGAGTCTCTCTCCACAAGTGACCTCAGATGATTTCCTTCCTATTGCCACATCCCTCCCAAGGTCCCTCACCACCCCAGATCCTCTCTACACATCTTCGATATTCTTCCCCTCCTGTTCCGGTACTTTTTCTTCTCTTGATCGCGTGGCTTTTCCGAGCCCCCTTCCTCCCGAATATAATATACCATTCATCGCACAGCGCTTTCCCTTCGCCCGGGATATCCTGCCTCCCACCTTCAAGCTACGCATGGGGACTGCGCGGCCATGAGTACTACCACCGAATCCAAAATCGACCCTCAGGCGGCCGGCAGCCCTGCTCCTAGCGCCACTGGCTCGACGGGAACCTCGGGGATCACGGTGCGCAATGGTCCTGGTGGCCAGCCCTTGAGCTTTAGAAGGTGAGTTTTCTCGATGGCATTTTAGGGTTGTGTGGTGCAAGTGTGGGCGCAAGACATTGGGGGTGAAGGTGGATGCACACAGGGATCGCACAGGACTTTCTAAGCCCCTGGGGAACTCGCGCAAGAGGTCTGGCATTTTATAGACGCTGACCCGGTTTATCTAGACAACGTGCATCACGCGCGTGCGAGGTACGTTCTTGTTCTGCGACGCGGTCTGGACGTGGTGCTGGAGAGCCGAGGTACTCGGCCCCTCCTTATCGCGATGCTCTCCAGCTTCAAGCTCGTCGACGGGCGCATAGGTAAATGGCCCATTGAATCCACTAATTTGCTAACGTTCTATTTCTGGCATATAGACATGCCACTCTCGTAAGGTGAGCCTCTTTTTTTTCTCTCTCGGTCGCATCTCATCGCTGATTCTCATCTCCGCTAGGTCCGCTGTGATGCCGCCAGCCTAGGAGTCCCCTGTACCAACTGCGTCGCCTTCTCCATCGAATGCAAAATTCCTTTCCCCGAAACGAAAGAAAAATTCGACAAAGAGCAAAGATGAGCAGTATGCCGACAGCCCGCCTCACACGGCGTCTTCGCTCGTCGACGCTGCCGGCCCCCAATTTCGACCTGATCACCCCGAGGGTCATGGAAACTCTTCTGGCGAGCCGCAAGGCCAATCCTCGGACTCGGATGATAAAGATGATGCCTTTGGATATCGGAAGGATCGACTCGCTGTCGATGGCATGCCCGTCACTTCCCTCACGGAATCCGAAGCCGCCCAGCAGGCGTCCGGAGACAACGCTTATGCTCAGTTCATGAAGCCCAAGTTCGCCCGTGCTCCTATAAAAGATGCTGGACGGGTGGCATATCTGGGAGAATCGTCGAACTTGTCTCTCCTAGTCCAGGACCGCCACGGGACCACCGATGTCGTGCACTACCCGCTGCCCCCGAACATCAGAGGGTCTCGGGCGCGGTTGACGGATCTGGATAATCTGGAGATCGACATCCTTCACCAGCGAGGTGCATTTCTGCTTCCACCCAAACCACTATGTGATGAACTTGTGGATGCCTACTTCAAGTGGGTGGCCCCTGTGGTGCCCATTATTAACCGCAGTCGCTTCATGCGTCACTACCGAGACCCCAAGAACCCGCCGTCGTTGCTCTTGCTGCAGGCTATCTTGCTAGCGGGCTCGCGTGTTTGCACAAATCCACAGCTGATGGATGCCAACGGCTCGACGACCCCGGCTGCGATGACTTTCTACAAACGGGCGAAGGCCTTGTATGATGCCAACTATGAAGATGATCGTGTCACTATTGTGCAGGCACTGGTTCTCCTTGGTTGGTATTGGGAAGGACCTGAGGGTGAGTGGCACAATACTGAGTAAAAGACCTTTGCTGACTGGCCCTAGATGTGACAAAGAATGTGTTCTACTGGACTCGGGTCGCGATGGTTGTTGCGCAAGGCTCCGGAATGCATCGCAGGTACGTTCACTCTATCCTTCAAGCCCCATTTATGTACTAACATCCTTCAGCGTGGAATCATCACAACTCAACAAACCCGACAAGAGACTTTGGAAGCGGATTTGGTGGACCTTGTTCACTCGAGATCGTTCTGTAGCCGTCGCGCTTGGACGGCCGATTGGTATCAACACTGACGATTCAGACGTGGGGATGGTGACTGAAGACGATTTCATCGAGGACGAGCTTGACATCGTAGCCGAGTACCCACCGGACCCAGTGCATGTGCAGTTCTTCCTGCAATACGTGAAGCTGTGTGAGATCATGGGTCTTGTTCTTTCACAACAGTACTCTGTGGCGGCCAAGTCACGGCGCATGAACGCCATGGACCTGACCCACTCCGATATGGCCTTGGCTGATTGGCTTCAGAACTGTCCAAAAGAAGTCTGCTGGCAGCGATCCCGGCATCACTTCTGGGCTGCTCTTCTCCACTCGAATTATTATACTACTCTGTGTCTTTTGCATAGAGCCCACATGCCTCCAGCTTCCTCCGCTCCGAACAGCTACCGGGTCGAGGAAATGGCCTACCCGTCTCGCACAATTGCCTTCCAGGCAGCTGGCATGATGACTTCCATTGTTGAGAACCTGCAAGCCCACAATGAACTCCGCTTTACCCCTGCGTTCATTGTCTACAGCTTGTTCTCCGCTTTGATCATGCACGTCTATCAGATGCGTTCATCAGTCCCGTCGATCGTGGCAACTTGTCAGGAAAGAATCAATGTGTGCATGGCAGCCCTGAAGGACGTTTCCAAGGTTTGGCTGGTGGCCAAGATGGTTCTCACCCTGTTCGATTCCATTCTCGGAAATAAGGTGCTAGAAGAGCGACTCCAAAAAGCTGCTGGCAGGAGGCATCAACGGCGTCCTCACGAGCCCGCTGCTCCCCCGAAGAGGCCAGATGCCCCAAAGCGCAAGTTCGACGACATGGATCTTGGTGGCCTACCCAATGGAGGTCCCACGCCGCCTGTGTCGTATGAGCGGTCTCGTCCGCAGACACCCGCCGTCACACCTTCTCGCGAATTGAACCAGTCTTCTCTGGGGAACGCCTCCCCCAATGCCCACCGTGCATCACACGACCCTATCTCCGGCCCATCCATCTCTCGAGGAAACACCCGACCCACGACACCATTCAACGCTCAATTCTCGTTGCCCGCCACACCTCCCGATTTCTTCCTTGTGACCCGTGCCTCGCCCAATCTCTCTCCATCGCTATGGGAAAACTTCCAGCCTGACCAGCTGTTCCCTGACGGCACAGCCATCTTCCCCGAACTCACCTCCCCACCTCCCGGAATGGTGGATCCATCGCTGCCAATGCCTGCACAGCCAGGACCCAACATGGGTCAACGGCCCATGATGGGCGGTATGCCTTCACAGGTACCAGGTGGACGAAGTATGTCCGTTTCCCAAGGCAGTCCGCAATTCATGTCGGGCCTGCCAGCCGGTATGGGGATGCAGCCTGGCCAGGGACCGCAGGTATTTGGGATGGAAGGCCAAACATGGCCGATGCAGAATATGGATGGGACTATGAGCGGAGCGGCGCTGGATGCTGCTAGTCAAGACAACGACAACTGGAGCAGCAGCTCTCGTAGTGGCCCGACTGCGCCTACAACTTTGAACGTGGAAGACTGGTACGTTTCAATCGGCTATTTTTTTTTATCTATCATGGGCACTGACTAATTGTTGTAGGTTCCAATTCTTTGGCATCAATGGTGGCTTTGGCGACCTGGCCGCGTAGGCTCCCATCTATAATGTAATTGCGTGTTGTATAGTTTCTATTCTTCCCTGGCTACTCAAAATGGAAGGGGGATCTGGGATTTGCCTGGCGTTTGGGTGCTAGGAACTGGTGGAGAACAATTCCTGTTGTTCTACTATGTAATCTGAAATCAATCAATGAGTTCCTCATGACTTCCTTCTTAAGTCTCTCACACTCACACTCACACTCACTTTCTTTACATTCTTATTTCATGGTATGTAGCGCTGCTAACCCCCTTTGGGACTAGCGCATGACGGAATCACATCATCGCGACTTCGCCCAATCAGCGGTCTGCGAAGACGGAGTCATAGCAATGAGTGTCCGGGGATGCCTCGACGCCTCCAGGCTTTTTGATTCCTATTTACTTCCAATCTCATCAATCCATTGACTTTTACATTGTGTCTTGTTTCACCTGATATTCCCCAACCCGTGTACTCCTCTCGATCTCTACCCCTTCCTATACTTCTTCCCACAACTTCTCTGCCCCGCACCACAGCGATGTCGGCTTCAGGATCTGGAGCTCCCAATGCTGGGCCTTCATCAAGCTTGAAGAAGGCATTTTCCCAACATTGACCTCGAGGGTCATAATCTTCCTCCATCTCCGGCCCCCTCCAGCCCTCACACCGGCCGCCGGTACAATATCGCCACCGAGCTGGTCTACACGGAGAGCAACGACCAATACAATGCTAGCAGCGTGCCAATCTACCAGGTAGATCTATGCCATCCAGTTCAGCATACGAGAACATTCCGAGACTAATAAATACAATCACAGAGCGCTACATTCAAGCAGACCTCCGGCGCCGGCGGCGGAGAGTATGACTACACCCGCTCTGGCAACCCAACCCGCACACACCTCGAGCGCCACCTAGCCAAGATTATGTCCGCCCAGCGTGCTCTAGTGGTATCCTCTGGCATGGCGGCCCTGGACGTGATCACCCGTCTCCTTCGGCCCGGCGACGAAGTCGTAACCGGTGACGACCTGTACGGCGGCACCAACCGTCTCCTCAAGTACCTTTCAACGAACGGTGGGATCATTGTGCACCACGTCGACACAACCGACGTCTCCAAAGTGACCGAAGTCCTCTCCTCCAAGACGACCATGGTCCTCCTTGAGACCCCAACCAACCCTCTGATCAAAATTGTCGACATCCCCACCATCGCCGCTGCCGCACACGAGGCGAACCCGGCCTGCCTCGTCTCCGTGGACAACACTATGATGTCCCCCTCCTCCTGAACCCCCCTCGAACTAGGTGCCGACATTGTCTATGAGTCCGGTACAAAGTACCTCTCCGGTCACCACGATCTCATGGCCGGTGTTCTCGCCGTCAACGACCTCGCCGTTGGCGAACGTCTCTACTTCCCCATCAACGCCTCAGGATGTGGTCTCTCTCCCTTCGACTCATGGCTCCTCCTCCGCGGTGTGAAGACCCTGAAAGTTCGCATGGATCAGCAGCAAAGTAATGCGCAGCGCATTGCCGAGTTCCTTGAGTCCCATGGCTTCAAGGTTCGCTATCCTGGTCTGCGCTCGCACCCGCAGTACGAGCTTCACAACAGCATGGCACGCGGTGCTGGCGCCGTGTTGTCGTTCGAGACTGGTGATGTAAATGTCTCCGAGCGTATTGTTGAGAGTGCAAAGATCTGGGCTATCTCGGTGAGCTTTGGCTGTGTCAATAGTTTGATTAGCATGCCGTGCCGGATGAGCCATGCTAGTATTGATGCGAAGACGAGGGCGGAGCGTCAGTTCCCTGAGGATTTGATTCGCTTGTGCGTTGGTATTGAGGATGTGGATGATCTTATTGAAGATTTGCAACGTGCTGTAAGTTTTGTCACTTGAGATTCATGGGTTTCTTGCTAACAGTCTTTCATAGCTTGTGCAATCTGGCGCAGTCAAGGTGACTCTGGATGGCTTTGAGGCTAACTCGGCGGCTACGACTGCGTAGGTCTAGATGGGATTTCTCGGGTTTTCATGTGAATAGGGCGTTTCGGGGATTGAAATAACACATCACGAATTCTTTCAATTTTATCAGGACTGTTCTCATCGTAGGATTAGCGCAGATGGCGTGCAGTAGTACTATGCAGGGCCAAAGGGCGAATAGGCGCTAGTAATTTACCCTAAAATCATGGAAGAGATCACAGAGGAATCGTGAAGAACCCCGGGACAGGAATTCGGGACGATAGCTGAAGAATTGAGGCGAGGAGATAAGGAAGTAACATTTACCCGGACCGGCATCGGAGACCAGCCCGGGCCTTTCTCGTCCGAGCTCTTCGGGATGTAAGATCGCGCGCTTTTTTGGCACTTCTGCTTCACTGGCAAAACCCCAGATTTCTGTTCTCGTCGTTGTTCATCTCTTCTATAAGATCTTGATGACGTTCCAGTAATCTCTATTTCTCGCATTTCCCTCGCATATACCTCCCATCTCTCTATAAGAACATGTCTCGCGATGCCGTCGCGCAGGATGCGTCATTTCCAATGGCTGTCGATCGCCCTGTTGTGCCTTCTACAAAAGCTCCAGTAGCTGCACCTGCACAAAAACCAACATCAGCATGGAACACAAAAGACCTAGCCCTTCGCCTCGGAGTAGACGTCGCCAGCGCCGCGAGTGCTGGCGCGCTTACATGTCCGCTGATAACAATCATTGACCGGTTCGCAAAGCCCAGCTCAGACACAAAAAAGAAAAACCAACCAAAAACAATCCGAAGCTAACCAATTCTCAATTCCAGCGCGATCATCGAAAAAGCATCCAAAGGCTTCCCAATCCGCCAAACCATAACCTCCTGCCTCAAATCCATGATCACAAAACCCGGCGCCTTCTTCACCAGCACACCTTTCCTCCTCATCTACGCCCTCTACAGCTCAACCTACCTAACAGCAAACACAATCGACACCGTAACCTCAACCCTTCGCAACCAATCCTATGACACCGTCACGCCCGGCCCCGCGAAATTCATCTCCACCACAGTTGTCAACATGGCAATCTGCGTATACAAAGACGCCCGCTTCGCCAAAATCTTCGGCGCTCAACCAAACTCAGCCTCCTCTCCCTCAACATGCCACCCTAAACCGACGGCGACAGGGCCGCAAATCCCCAAAGTCTCGTACACCCTCTTCTGTCTCCGTGATAGTATAACCATCTTCGCCTCGTTTAACGTCCCACCTCTAATCGCACCTTCGATCCCCGATTTCATCGCGAGCACGCCGTCAATGAAATCGGCCGTCGCGCAGTTCTCATGTCCGGCGCTGATGCAGTTCGCTAGCACGCCTATGCATCTGCTCGGGTTAGATCTGTTTAACCGGCAGCCTGTTGGGGGTTTGCCGTGGACAGATCGCATGGCGAGGATTAGGAGAGATTATGTGCCGAGTTGCTTTGCGAGGATGGGCAAGATTGTGCCGGCTTATGGTATTGGAGGTGTTGTTAATGTTCGCATGAGGGCAATGCTCATGGAGAAGATTCAGGGAAAGTAATGAGCAACCTTTTTATGTTCATTCGTGATTGCTTAATTGGCATCATGACTTGATGAGGGAAGATTGACAGGCTTGGTCTGCTTTCTCTGAGCTTAGTTCTTCTTCTCTTTTTCTCTTCTTCTTTTCCTCACTCTTCATTCTCTTTTGCCTGACTTTCGACTCGATGACGACTTCTCCACTCCACATTTGGATCGGGTACATGGCGTTTCTGGATGGCGTCTGGTTTGATCTTCTGTAACGAGGATCACGTTTGCATTAAGTGACTGGCGTTGCATTTACGTTTCTTTTTAGACCGATCCGAGCTTTTCATTTCGGAATTACCTCATATGTTGATATATTGGACCGACTACACGCGATACAGCATCAAGGCTCATGTAGAGGGCCGGATGGGTTTCTTGGCTGTCAATAATAACTTGTTTATTTCATTCAAATAGTTTATTCTTTGACTTGGCGTTGTGAACACGATTCAACATTTTACTTCACTTTGGACGTGGAGGTAAGCCACTAATTGTCAATCTTTTCAGGGCTATGAATCAGCGTGGAAATCATGACATTCACCGAGAAGTTGTCCACATATTTGGCGTGGTCGGTTGCATATACCAATGGTTACCCCCAGCAAAAGATAGAGTGAAGATATATGTTGACCATCTTCCCAGGCACATTTGTAGTGGTCTTTTCTTTCCTGATTGGATCTTTCTTGGGTGGGCCCGTGAACAGATGTTCAACACGTTGCTACATGCGGCTCTGCTTTATACACGCGAAATATGGAGAAACGTGCGATCACATCGATATTGTGATTTTTCGGAGACAATTGATGCCCGGTCAATATAGAGACATCTCTGCACGTACGCATATGAATTGTGGAATGGATGGAAGAATGATAAAAAAAAAAGCAGTTGGACGAGCTATTGACGATCCACTAATTTTGGTTCTGGAAGCTATTGGCCTTGGAAACAACCGTGGGCCTGTATTAGGGTTGGAGCAAACAGATCATATTAGAACCAAGCACAAGATCACAAGCATCTATTTTGGCGTGAGGTCAGAAGTCTTTGAGCTTGCTATGACATTGCCTCGAAGAATTAGCAACATTATAGCAATGTAGATCATAAATTATACAACATGAAAAGGGGGTATTATCATAAGATCAGAGCAAATATCAAGCCAGCAGACACATGCCCATAATCGAGGATACGAGGTCAAGAAATCACCACGCAAATGGCTCAGAGTGCAAGTAAAGCTCCTCGATCTCTCCCTGAAGTGTCCTAGTCTGCGCCACAGCCGCCGCGTTGCGGGTATCGTGCAACAAGGAAGCAGGCCCGCAGACCAATACACCAATGCGCTGCTTCTTTCCAACCTGAGTTCCGCGTGCGTGTGCGCTCGCCACGGTTCGCGCGATCAGGCCTGGGATATCGGGACGAACACTCTGGTGGATATTTAAGCTGAAGGAGCCCGTAGTCGTGATCTCCGGGGATGGCATTTTCTTCTCGGGTGGGTTCTTCGCATCAGGTAGTGTGAAAGACACGGCGGAGTCATTAATGAGATCACGAGCTGGATTGGAAGTGACATGCACCGAAACGGCTGTTTCAAAGCCGTCGCTGTTCTCATTCAGAGATAACATTGTGGATTCCGAGAGCCGGGCTTCTATTTCCTCTGTGTACCAGTCTGCCATTGCCACGTCGCGGGTTGAGAAGACGACTTGGAGGTTGCGACGCCCGTGTCCGGGCTTGGGCTTTTCAGTTAGGCGGAGGGCTTCGTCCACCATCGCAAGTGAAAACCCGCCTCCTGAACCGCCGGCGATCACAAGGAGGGTGTCGAATTGAGACATGTGATGGGGACTTACGCCGCCGAAGGGGCCTTCCATCATGATTTTCTTGGAGATGCCGGGTTGTTTGGCGGCCATTGCGGCTAGACGGGCGGTCACGCCGAGGCGAGGTTTGATATAGAAGACGATTTCAGAGGCTTTGCCGGTTTCATCGGGATTGCGGCACGCAGAAGAGATGGTGAATGGGTGTGCGGTTAGGAGATGTAGATCTGAGGTCAGGAAGCGGACGAAAACGTGCTGGCCGGGTGTCCAGGTTATGACCGTTGGGATGACGACGCGGACAAGACCACAGGGGAGAAGCTCAAGTGTTGCGGTGTGAAGACCGTGCATGAGGTAGGTTCGGACATGAGCCGCACCAAGAGAGAAGAGGTAGATGGAACCTGCAGCGATGAAGTAGTCCCTGGGCTATCTTAGTGAATATCAGTATAGAAAAATGACGCTCAACGTACCATGAAGATAGCCGGAAATCACAATGGAGGAAGAAGAAGACCATAAAGATCACCGCAGCTCCGATATGTGTTGCTTTGAAGAACTCGTAGAAACGATTTCGAATACCAGGAAGGGACATGACAGTCAGATAGGTCTGGGCAAGTAAAGCGATGATACCCGTCCAATAAACAATACTGGTCTTCCACTGCCTGACCATGTCACCCTTCCAGATGTGATATATGATAAAGGGGAAGGTGTGAATCAAGGCCAGAACGAACATGGCGTAGCTAGTCCAACGGTGGAAAACCTGAAGCTTCTCATGAGGAATTCCAGTCAAGGCAGAGATCATGTTTGCCTTGGCACTGAGGGCTCTGTATAATCATCAGTATCACATACAGTGCATAATTAACAATACACAACAACACTGGATGATACTACCTACAGTACAAAGGGAAGCAGTCCCAGGGCCATCCATCCAGCTCGAGTCGCAATCGGAGGACTACTTCCATAGTTCGCATCGGTCGGCCAGTAGTAAGGTTTTGGTCCCAATGTCATAGCTGCATCTCCGTTAGCTTTCATCTGATCCCGATTTGCAAGCCAGCCATACCGAAGAAAAACACCGCGCCAGCAAGACCGAGAAGTATCACACCCAGCGACGGCGACCAGTATCGCACTACGGGGAACCGGTAGCCCCGGTAGGCCAAATACCGCGAGATCGATGTCGTAGCCCGCCATATCTTCGTCCGCTTAACGCAGTCAGGACTGAGCCGAACCAGCAGATTCGACAAAGTGAAGACACCGATCACGGCACACAGGAAATAGACGGTATTCATCGCATAGACATTATCCGCCTGGTACCTAAGCAGCACAACATTTAGCACCTAAACACCTCAACACCTCAACACCTCAACACCCACACAAGTTTCGAAAAGCGTACCAATATCGCCAATGATTATTCCGATAAGCGCATTGCGCTGCAGTCAACTTGCACTTGTCTGCTCTGGACGAGTGAAGCATCACCGGCTGATCGAGCCAGGGGATACCACCCTCGTGCATGTCCGTTCCCATTCCCATCATATTGGCTGGGCTCGTTCAGAGAATAGAAAATGCACCTTGAAGTTGCGCCCCCTCCCTGCGTTATTATTATTATGGAACTCCAGAACCAAGTTCGGAGATCGGCGGGTTCAAATTCCGCAAAGTCGATAGTATCATATTCTGCTCCCTTGGCCTGAATTTTTTTAGATGGTTGAGTGGGGGTCCGAAAACGGGAAATCTAACTATGGAGACGGCGTTACCAAGGGACCCGTCGAGCTTGTTCCCGATGACATTCCAGACGTGTGTGTTGGCCCGCCGATTACCCGCAGGGATCTGCTCGGAATTGAGCAAGTTTGGTGGGGTCTCATGGATGAGCGGCCCTGAGTGAATTCTTCGCGGGGAATTTAGTGGCTTATTAGTGGGCTATGGGTCCTTCGTGGGTCCGCGTTATTGAGTCTTTTCCCATTTGAATCCGGGGTGGCTGGATCTTGAATTGAGAGCACATTTGCGCCCCTGCGGCTCGGGTGTGCCTGAGCGCATGTCCGTAGATCTCGGCATCCTCGCGTGTGGATTCCTATTTCTTCACAATAGCTATGTCTGAAGAACTGCAGCTAGAACATAAAGCAGAGTAGTGAACGGGATGTAGACCTCCAGTCTCCACCCCCCTAGGAGTGGGAAAATTGACGTAGTGATTTGACAATGCTACTCTACGTAATAGAGTCCAGACCTCAAGATCTCGAAGGCTTTCTAGGGTTTCAATGAACCAGCTAGAGTAAAGAATCTAGACCAATGAAAGAAAGAAACGATCAAGTCAAATTTCATGCAAATGAAAAATCTTCCAAGAATATATACAGTCCGCGTTTAGCCTAGTGGCATGGCTCGGGTCCTACATTCTCCCTTCGGCATTCTCTTCAGTCAAGGGGTACTGCCGAGACAGACACCGCCGCAGCAATGGGAAACTTGGTGGAAGACATGGAGGCTTCGCTGCCGATGCCATACATACTCATGGCCTGATGCCCGCCCCGCACACTGTCCGCTTCGAGTCCCTTCGCCCGGAGCACGCTGGTAGCCACGCGGGCCGTGTCTCCATCGTAGCAAACCACCAAAACATGATGCGAGCCAAGCTCCGTCACCAGTCTACCGTCATGGAAGATCTTCTCCAGCTCCACCCACTGCGCTTCTAGCACCGCCGGATCTGAAAACGGCGAGGGCGTGTGTGGCCCCAGGCTGCTCAGCGGTAGGTTGATCGACTCAGGGAGGCTCCATGCGCCAAAGTCTTCTGCGCGCCGTAGATCAATCACTCGGTGCTGCGGCCGGAGACTGATCTCGCTGAGCAGGCTATGTTCTAGGGATCGTGGCGACCCGTACACTTGCGGGAGCACCTCGAGCGCGTCCCGCTCCCATGCCTCGTCGTATCGGTGTAGATCCACCTTTGTCAACCGCTGAACAAAGGTTAGCTCCGGGTTCTGTCTTTCTTCTTTCTTACGTTCTGGCATATCAAAGACCGTGCACTTACCTCATTGCGGATGGGAGGGAATTCTTCGGCTCCGAGTTTTTGGAAGTACTCGCCGATGTACTGGTACGGAAGGTCGCAGCACAGGAAGACGCAGTGCGTCAGTCCGTCGGGGCCTGCCAAATCACCGAGTGTGCCGGCATTCTTCCGTTTTTCCAGCATTTGGAACAGACCTTGAAGGTTGAATCCGGATGATGGACCACATACCAGACCCTCTCGACATAATCTCAAAGACAAAGTGTACGAGTGCTGAGAACCCACTTCCTCGATGCTATCCACGGCTTCTCTCCAGGGGAACTCAACTGGTCGCATGAGTGCATATGAGCGGGGTCCAGGCACTCGATCTCCAGGGGCAGTGCAGACACCAAGTCTCATCACCGACGGCTTGACGCTCTTGAAGTACGTTCCCAGGCCGGTCATAGTGCCAGAGGTGCCCATACCGGCACAGAGAACATTGATTTCTGGTAGCTGCTTGAAGATCTGTGGACCAGTCCACCGGACGTGCGACTGCCAGTTATTGTCATTCTCATATTGGTTTGGGTTCACAATATCATCGGAGTCCGCGGCCATTCTTCGAGCATTCTGGATACCGCCGCGCTTGTCGAGGGGCTCAGGCTGCGAGGGGCCACCGAAGAGGGTGATGTCTCAGGCCGAAAAATTGCATCAACTTCAACTTAGCATCGCTGGTCTTGTTGCTGAGGAACGCCCGTGTATCCTGTACGCCATGCGAAACCCGCGCAACCATGGACATCGAGATCACTGTTGAGCCTGAGCTGTACTCAATGATTGTCTTTGTCTTCTTGGGGTCCACGGTCGATTCGAGCATATTCATCGCTGATATCACAGTCAGCCAAGTCCCTTCGTCATGTATTGCATGTTCATCCCACCTGGCATAGCCTTGACATTGTTCGCCGGATGCATAGTCATCATCTTGGCATAAATGCGAATTCCATCATGATAATAGGGATTCAGGTGCTCCGGCAGCTCAACAAGTGGCAATGGTGGCTGGCTATCCGGGTTGAAGTACTTCTTCAACGAATCCGGGCCGAAGTAAACATTGCGCTCATTCATGTTGGGCGTTGTAGAAGGGTCAAAACCAGTCAATTTTACCAAACCCAACACCTTCAAGAAGGGTGCTATAATACAAACAGGTTTTCCTTGTTGAATCCAGGATCACAAATTAAGGGGGCGATTCCTCGATAGATATACTTCCTCTCTATCCCGGCGCCCCTCCCGATCCCAATGCCTTGGCATCCAGAAGGTATCAATTTCAAAGCGCACGAATAAAGCCCTCAGCTCCACCATGGGAGGTGCATATCACCGAGATACTCTGGCCGTCAAAAGACCCACGGCTGAACTCAATTATACCTCGGACGCTGCAAGCGCCAGAAATATCACGCCGCGATGGTAGTGAATCAGGAAATTTGACCAGACGATCAAGTGCATTTCGGGATAATCAAGTGTAAAGTGGACCTTGATCGAAATTTCCCATGTGCGTTGTTTGTCAAGGAAAAATACATCGCGATGTTTGAAAACGGCAGGATGCCCGCGAAGTGCGTCATGATTCAGTCTCCGCAGTGGTATTCTGGAAACATTAAAGCGCTCGTCCTAGACGCTCTACGCTGTTCGTCTTGTACTATAGTCTGCGATTCTGTTTCTACAGAGGAGACCTGTGGACTTCAAGGTACTCGGAAAATGAAGAAAAACGCCGAGAACAGTTCAACCACGCACATGAGGACCCGTGGTGGTCTCTAATTACCCGTGGTCATGATTTATAATGACTATAGCTCTAAGAGTACCTTGAGAGTAATTGAGCAAGTTTGTTCACCCGAACAAACTCTAGCGTCTTTAGTGACGCCGATCAGCGGCTGTCAAGGGTCCGCCTCGGAGATGCCGATCTATGTCGAATTCAGCATCCGTGCGAGAAAATGCACTGATGCTCAATTCCCTCGTTCCAAGACTGAAACCTATGATTCGGAATCTATCTCCTGAATGCAGCTGCCTTGAGCCTTTCAAGGTCGTATCTTTTGAAGACTCATTTTCCAAGGACAATCCAACCACCAGGTGCTGTACATGATGACTGGAGTTTTGGAGAATCGGTCATGCCACTCGAGTGCAGATATTTCGGCTGGTGATTTGTCGAACACTGCCAAAAATGAAGCCACTGTCGTTTTCAACGAACAAACGAATTATGTGCCTAGGCGGACCATTATCACGGTAAGTGGTTGTCGAACTGATTTCAAGCTATGGGCCCTCTAATCGCGATGTGCTTCTATCAGATCTTTTTGGCGTGCTCTAGCGTTGACTTGTTGGCTTTGATGGACCAGACAACGCTGGCGTCTAGTTTGTCGATTATTGGAAATGCTTTGGGGGCGAGTAATCAGACGTCATGGATTTCTGGAGGTTATTTCGTGTATGATTTTCTTTTTCCGAATGAATCTTGTGTGTCATGGCTCGCTAATGGTCAATCGTGCAGTACATCAACTTGTTTCCAGCTCCTCTATGGAAAGTTGTCGGATATCTGGTCGCGCAAGCTTGTACTTTTCGTCGGTCTGGGGATCTTCTTTATTGGATCACTAGCTGCCTCTCTCGCGCAGACTGCCACACAACTCATTGTTTTTCGCGCCTTGACGGGTGTCGGGGGCGGTGGGTTGATGACTGTTGCGCAGACAATCGTCAGTGATATCGTTCCTCTCCGCGAGCGAGGCAAGTATCAGGGTATCCTCGGTGCTGTGGTCGCTATTGCCAATGGCATCGGCCCTGTCATTGGCGGAGCGCTGGCTTCAATTTCGCAAGACTCATGGCGATGGATATTTCGATTGAACCTGCCTCTGACTGTCGTCACAACCCTGGCTGTGTTTTTCTTTATGCCCTTGCGAAAAGTGGAGGGTGATTGGAAGTTGAAACTGAAGGCAATTGATTTCGTCGGTGCGTTACTGGCTCTGGGGGGGTACTTCTGTTCTACTCCTGGGTTTGAACTGGGGTGGTGGCGAGTACCAGTGGGACTCGGTCCATGTCATTGCGACTCTTGCAGTTGGCTTCGCTATCTCGGTGGCTTTTGTTGTCTGGCAATGGAAAGGTGCTCGCGTGCCACTGGTGCCAATTCATATCTTCAAGGGAAGAATTGTCAATGGTGCCTGTCTTACTATGTTCATCAACGGATGGAATTTCTTGGTTCAGATATACTACATTCCCACCTTCTATCAGTTGGTGTTCGGTTACTCGACAGTGAAAGCGGGTGCCATGTTGCTTCCAATTACACTGATGCAAAGTAAGTCCTCTCCTTAACTTGATAAACGTCGGCTAATCACCCATTCAACAGCGGCCAGTAGCACCGGTTCTGGCCTTATCGTGCATTGGGTTGGTCGATACCGCGAGTGTATTCTATTCGGTTGGATGATTTGGGCTGTTGGACTCGGCCTCTTCTCTACTCTTGATGAATCGTCTGGGGTTGGAAAGCAGATTGGCTATGGGCTCCTTACCGGTGTGGGTGTTGGAAACACTCTACAGCCATCCCTGATCGCCGTACAAGCTGGCGTCGATCGTCGAGATATGGCGGTAGTCACATCCTTCCGCAAGTCAGTTATCTTCCATCTCATCCCGTTATAGATTCTGATCTATCATCAGCTTTGTGCGAAACCTTGGTGGTACAATCGGACTCGCGATTGCTGGAACCATTATGTAAGTGCAGATCCCACACTGGCGCCTACTTTGCTAACGCGACAAGTAATAATATCCTTTCATCATCCATCTCGACCCTCGATCTCTCTGCATCTGAATCTCGCTCTCTGCTGTCCAGTCCGCAAACCTATTTGTCCCAACAATCTGTGGAAAATGCCAATCACATCCGGAGCGTCCTCATTCCGGCATATCAAAAAGGGTTCCGCATTATTTTCATCATTGGCGCGTCTTTGGCAGCTCTTGCTTTCTTCTTGGCATTTGGATTAATGCCCCAGCTCGGTTTGAAGCGAACAGACGACGAAGCTTTGAAGAAGGAGGGAGAGAAGCGGGTCAATGATAACGTGGATGAAGAGGAACGGGGATAAATGTATAGGTGATTGTGATGCTTAAATAGAGTCGTGGGTGATGTCCAAAATACATGCATGGCTGGTTTTGTATATTTATTCTGGCTGAAGCGTTGGCGAGCACGTATGGCATATGACCAAGGACTTTGCAGGCTTCAGTCCCTAGAATGGTGAAAAAGAGGGCTGTGGTTGGTGTGGACGCGCTAAATCCCTATAGAGTTAAGCTTGGGAGTCTTAAGCAAGTCTTCAGTTCAGAACCCAAGATTGAAGATTTTCAGCCTCACTAGCGCCAAAGTCATTGACACCTGAATGAATGCCACGTGAGCCTCAACCCCACAAGGACTCGCTTGAGATTGAGGCCTTATTATAGAGTTCAGTGAGAGAGACCAGTACTGCCATTGGGATGGCAAAATTTAACCCGCATTGGGTCACCAATACGCTGCAGGTGAACGGAGGACTTTGATGGGACTTGCCGCGAAGTTCACTGTGCACTCGTGGGTTTTCAATGATGAGCCAGTCTAGTTATCCATGAGGAGATATTTACGATATTATGGCTATTTTGACTTTTTGCGTGGGCAATTTTGCGTTTTATTCTGCTATATCGGCATGTTACCGAGGCTGGGGTGCTCAGATACGTGTGTGCGACGCGTCTCGGGCGGTGCCGTTCCTTTCCACTAAATCTTAATCTATATCGCAGAACGTCGCAACACCGGCGTATAGCAACTTTGACCACTTAACCTATCTCATGTTCCTCAAGCTCAGCAATTATTCCATCAACACAAAGCTGATCCTCACGATCGCCGAAAAGAAAAAAAAACATACTAGACAGACGGTAATGACTTTATCCCTTCGATCGGTGGGCCGGTACAAGGCTGACGTACGACCGTTGCGCATAGCTGCTGGCGGGACCTCCACAGTCCACGCTCAACCACGGCCTGGGACCTGCGCCAGGAAAAGTCTTTTCAAGGTGGAATTGAAAGACAAAGTCGTTAGTTATCACCGATGCTCTATGAATAGAAATTCGCCTGTTCTCCTAGTCCGATAGAGTCGCTTTTGCACACGTCACGGAGGATTGTCGTTGCCTGTGCCAGTTCTTAGTTTGATACTGATTGCCCAATTTATTGACATAAGTTCTTGTTCGCCCAGTAAATTCTAGTGTCCGTCTTCTAAGAGCTTCATAATATTTGATCGGCCCTGAAATTTCTCTCTCTCCGGTCTCCTTCAAGTACAATGGAGACTCCCACGCCGGGTGCCACCCCTCAGTCACAAATTGCGGACTATTTCGCAGGACACCACCGAGATAGCAGCTTCAATTCAGCTGCAAGCTCTCACGATGTGAGTATTCTTGAGCTTGATCCTCAATTGGTGTAATTGGAACAAGGATTATGAATACTAGCCAAATTTAGCCACGTCGATCACTAGTACCTGGCGTCCGTCGCTATCCAACTCGAAAGATCAAGCTGGTCCAGGGCTATATTTTGAGTATTGACTACCCAGTTCCAAGCGCCATTCAGAATGCAGTTCAAAAGCAGTATCGAAATGGGGAGTTTGCTGAGGAATTCAGCCAACTGCGTTGTGAGTTTTCCGCTACAGGCTTTAGGCTCTGAATTTCCCTATCAGCGACTGACGGAGCAGACACTGCTGCCACCTGCGACCCGGACGAATTCGTGATGAGAAATGGTTACAATCTCCGCCCGATGATGTACAATCGGCATACCGAACTTCTAATCGCGGTCACCTATCAAAGCCAGAACAAGGTTCTCACGGCACGGACGTTGCACGGAGTCATGCAGAACATTCGCGACATCTGCAATCTCAGGGAATCGGAGTTCTGGAACCAAGGAGGCCCGGCCTGGCAGAAGATTGTTGTCTGTCTCGTCTTCGATGGAATTGATGCTTGTAATAGCAACACCCTCGACGTATTGGCTACGATTGGCATCTATCAAGATGGCATCATGAAGCGATCGGTTGACGGCAGGGACACAACCGCGCATATAGTCAGTAGCCTGCGGATAAGCATTTTTGAGCATAGCTAACAGATCAGTTCGAATATACCACACAGCTCTCTGTCACTCCCAATCAAGACTTAATCCGTCCTCGAGGAGACGAGTCCACGAATTTTCCGCCCGTTCAAATGATCTTTTGCCTGAAACAGGAAACCACTAACAAGATCAACTCGCACCGCTGGATCTTTAATGCGTTTTCTCGCATGCTGAACCCTGAAGTAGTCGTTTTGCTCGATGCTGGTACAAAGCCCGGTAAGGAATCTCTGCTTGCGCTGTGGCAGTCGTTCTATAACGACAAGAACCTTGGTGGAGCGTGCGGCGAGGTTCACTCCTTCCGGGAGACGAAAAGTCTTCTCAACCCTTACGTTGCTGCTCAAGATTTTGACTTGAAACAGGCCAGTATTCTGGAAAAGCCTCTGGAGAGTGTTTTTGGAAACGTTTCACTGGGCGAATTCTCTGCATACAGGTACCGGGCCATCATGGGCCGGCCACTAGAACAATATTTCAAGGGTGATTTGACGTTATCAAGCAAACTTGGCAAAAAGGGCTTTGACGAAATGCCGATCTTCAAGAAAAACATGTTCCTAGCCGGTGATCGAATTCTGGGCTTTGAACTTGTAGCCAAAGCCGGCTTTGAGTGGCACTTAGCCCTTGTCAAGGGAGCAAGAGTGGAAGCTGAAGTTGCTCACGATTTCGCAGACTTCATCACCAAACGCCGTCACTGGCTGAACGGCTCCCTTGCTGCAGACCTATACACGATCATCCATTTTGGTAGACTGTACAGCAGCGGGCACAATATTCTGCAGCTTGCGCTTCTGCACTTCCAGATGGTTTATACCTTCACCCGCTTTGTGATGAAGTGGTTTTCACTTGGTAGGTTGAACAATAATTCAAAGATATAACAAGGCTGACTACTGATAGCCTCGTTTTGGATGGTCACCTCTGTCCTTATGGGCCTTGTGGGCACACCTAATGATGCTAATGGCAACCGAGCATGGCCATTTGGCAACGAAGCTTCACCAATTGTAAACAACTTCCTCAAATACGGCTACGTATTTTTCCTGGGCTTGCAGTTCATTTTGTCTCTTGGCAATCGTCCTAAAGGGTAGGTTTCATTGGGACTTCATTTCTGAACCATACTAACATCTAGTCATTGTCAAGTTCTCGCCTTGCCTACACCCTTTCATTCTTATATTTCACCTTCATCCAGTGTTACGTCACAGTGCTAGCCTTTTATATGGTCCACGAGGCTACATCAAGATTCAGCTTCAACTCGGTTTTATACGAGGACGACATGCTGGCATCGACTTGGAACAATTTAGGCTCAAGCATGGTTCTAATGATATTGGTTTGTACCTATGGAGTACACTTGGTTGCCAGTGTCCTTTATACTGATCCGTGGCACTGTTTAACATCCGCCTGGGCATACTTTGCAGGAACGACTTGCGCATCAAACATGTTGATGGTCTACGCTTTCTGCAACTGGCACGATGTCTCAATCGGCAAGAGACCCGCGCCAAAAAAATCATCGTTACCCGAGGCTCAGACCCAGAAAGATGACAAGAACAAGTTCATCGAAGAGTTGGCCAGACCGCAGATTGATATTGATACCATTTTCCAAGCCACAGTCAAGCGAGCTCTAGCTACGTGGGCACCACCACCCGAGGGCGATGAAACCGATGTTCAGGACTTATACAAGGGGTTCAGAACCTACCTTGTGTTGCTGTGGGTCTTCAGTAATCTTATCATGGTTCTTTATATTATGAGCAATGAAGACACACAGCTTTGCCTAAGAGAGCTTCCTGAATCGCGCATCTGGAATTACCTTTTGGCTACTCTGTGGGGAACTGTCGGGCTTTTCCTGTTCCGTTTTGCTGGGTCGATGTGGTTTTTGGCTAAGACTAGCGTTTTATGTTGTGTTTCACGACGTTAGGTATACATGATTGAAAGCTTCGATGAGTTCCAAATGTGAAATAGCTCCGCAGTGTTTAAATGGCCTTAGCAACAGTAGCGAAAAAGGGCTATTACAATCGACCTCCATCTTACAATATACTCAGACAAAGAATAGTGAAAATTCCAGCAGCTGTAGTATTTGAAGACGGCACCGCAGCCTTTGTAGACTCCGTGAGATTGGGAAAGAGGGTCGTTTCCTTTGTGATGTGGAACGGAACTGCTTGGATGGCTGATGCCAGAATCGGCCGCCGCGAGGGCCATGGTGAAAAGCATTGTGCTTGAAGAGCAAATGCGGACTGGGCTGGCACAAATCGTCACTCGGGCTGGGGCGATGAGAAGGCTCCTTTATTGAATAGGGCATTAGGCAATTTATTTGTACTCGAAGAGTTCTTTGAAAATTCAAGTAGATGGGTATCTTCATGGAAGGATCTCTTTCGTTCTGTCTTCCTCAAGAGGCCGGCTGCGTCGAACCCTGCACGCAAGGCGCACGACGATTCTCATGTTACTTCCGGTGTTTGAAAAGAGGTTCGCAGAGTTCCACATCAATATATCACCTTTGGGGGTTATTTAATTTAATCGAGACGTGTATTGAAGATCAACAACTTCAGAAAATCCTAGCATTGAAGGGCTCATGCTCATGAAACGCGAACAAAGTCGTGACGGTCATCAAGTCATCGCAAATAAAGAAGGAGAAAAGACAAAGCCCGAAAGAAAGAACAACTACTTGAAGACGCCGGCATCCAGTAAATTTTGATACTTGATATGAGCCCACGCGCTAAGAGCGGAAACCCACCATGCGCGGTTCGAGGCAAGCCCGAAAATTGCAAGAAAGGAAAACAAGTGGATGAGACTAGACGTCTTCAATCACGACTGTGCGTTCCACGATCCAATTGACCAGAGCCTGGCCTTCACGTTTCCACCGCCCGTCCATCCACACATCGGTGAGCCAGTAAGTCCACGTATTGCCTGGTGTTGGGAATTTGAGGTCCCACAATGAGTTGGAGACGCGACGAGAGACAGGGCCCTCGGTACCGGCGGAGAGGTCTTGATTGACATTCCGAAGGCCAAGGGTGGGTTCGCTGCCTGATGCAGAATCGCCATGCCGGAGGTGCCATTCGCGCTCTGCTTTTTCACCGGCACGTCGGGCAACGGCTTCTTCGTCTTCAGCCTGGTAGAGGTCGCATTTGCTACATTCGGTGCAGCTAGAGCCGGGATTGATGCGGAAGTGTTCGCAGAAGTGCTTGTAGCCTTGAGGTTCTTCGAATTCGTCGTCCGACATGTCATTCATTGCAGCGTTATCTAAGTCATCGGCCGGGCCGTCATAGATATCTAGATCTCTGGGACGTGCGTTGCGGCGGGTGGGTTGGAGAGGTGGACCGAGGGCTTTGCGGCAGAGGTAGCACATTGAGTAGCCGCAAACGCAGGTGAGTTTGTTGCAGCCGGAGGATTTGACAAAGGATAGGCCACAGCGAGGGCATGTCCGTTTCACAGCTGCTGTGCGGGCAGCTTCGACAGTGGCGCGAAGGTCAGTTAGAAGGGGTTCATGGCAGACATGGGGGTCGCGCCAGGACTTTTGGCAGATCATGCAGCTGACGCGTTTACATGAGGGATTGGCGCATGTGAATCGCTTAGGTCGAGTTTTGAGGCAGAGGTGTCGGATGGCGGTCTTAAATATGGCAGTGAGGGAGGATGGGTCTAGGATAAGGAGGACAAAGAAAGGAATAATAAGGATCGGGACAAGGTCGAGAATGAGAAGGATCATAAGAATAGTCGGGATTATATCGCCATCACGACGTAAGCGCCAGCCAACGTACACCGAATGATAGATCGGGTCGGCTTCGGCGTAGGAACAGAATGGGCATCGGACAAGCTTGAGCTGTGATTTGAGAAGTACCTCGGATGCCAAGCGATCTTCGAACTTCCGAAGTGTCTCAATGCCAGCTGTATCCTGTAAGATGGCCTGTTGGACAGCCAGTGGATGAAGACAGCCATCGCAAGATCCGATGGACAATGGTGCTAGACATTTTAATGTGGAACGTTCCAAGTCTATAGACTTGCCCCATCCTTGGCCAAATAAGGCTTCGTGGGTAGTCCGTTGGATACATTGATAGCAAATGACATGGGCATCGGCCGAGCAAGTCGCGATTTCCTCGAAGGTCGCGTCACCGAAGCAGCACTCGCACTCATAGAGAGCATCAGCAGCTCGAGCTTCTTCCCCGTTGATAGAAGCAGCAAACCGGAAGTCTCCGAGCTCTTGCTCCTCGCGTCGTTGTTGTAACACGGGAGCCACGAGTGTGTCGTATAGTTCAGCATCCAACTCCACGCAACCGGTCTCCTTCAATCGGGGCAAAGACTCGCCATCAAGGCCTCGCTGCCACACCACAAGCAGATGTTCCTCTCTATCCTTCTTCTTCCGAAACGACGGAAGAATACTGTTGAATGTAGCTCGCCAAGTTCGACGTGATAGATCTCGTAATGTCGGTCTGGCACGCTTGTAGCTGAAGTTCGCCTCAGCCAGCACAGCCTCAATGACACTCTTGCTCAGACTGCTGTATTCCTTGCTCAAAACCGCCCTAACCATCGCCTTGTAATCGTCCGATCGAAAGCGTTCTTCAAGAGGGACCAGATACTCCTCGCCTTCTAGATCCTCCCCGACCTGTAGACGGTCACCTCGGTCATCCGTGTCTCCCTCCTCGCCCTTGCCCTGCCCAGAAGGGATGTTCCATCTCCCCGACACCCACTTCTCCTTATGTCTCAGAAGCTGTTCAACACAGATCTGCAGCCTGCTGTCACCATCAAATCTCACGAGCAGCTCTCGAAAGACCTCGATTCTAACATCTGGAAAAATTCTTGCAAGGGTCTCCAGTGCCGTGTTAAGCTCATCCTGTTCCCTTTTCTGCTCTTCGACATCCTCAGCGGAGACCTGAACTGAACGGGACCGCGATGTGCTCCCGAATGGGTTATTGCGCAAAGCCTCGCTCAGCGTAACAGAAGTGCTGTTCGAGGATGAGGTTCCGATTCCAGGAACGGGCGATTTCCAGACATTCCGGCTGGACGAGGAACTGGACGAAGATGTGGAGGCGGAGCCGCGATGTCGGCGGGACGAGGGCGCGGTGCCCTCGGCGGGGCGTGGCGGAGATGCAGAGGATCTCGCGAAGCTGGGGACCGGTAGCGAGAGCACCATTTTGTCGATGAAGCACTGCTACATGGTCGGAGTAGAAGTTGAATCGGATAGGACCAGGGTGTTTGTTGAGGGGAAGAATGAAGGATCGCGAGGTGGCGGTTACATAAGGCACTGTTGCCTACGCTCGCTTTGATGGGTTTTGTACGAGCTTTGGGTTGGTTGACGATTAAGGAATACAGCGGCTTTTCTCTCATGTAGAATGATAGTCTCTAGACACGAATTCGACTTTTTTTCCTCGGTGTTCACTCTTTCGCTCGATAAATCAAGTCATGGGTCTAGAACATCACAAATTCTAGACTTCATGTCCCCCGAGGTCTCCCTTGCGTACTCCACTAGCCGCGACATCCTGCACGGGCGGACGCAGAACGCGAGGGTGACGCATCCATCTACGTCTAGAATGAAATCTGTTTTTCCTAGAGCAAGCACAGAATCCTGGAATTCAGTCAAAATGATATCATTCCAAGGTTGAGATCAGAGTCACATAGAAAAAGCGCAAAAGATAAAATAAGAAGCTAGGTATATACAAACAAGAAGCCACAATCTGACCGGAGAATCCCAGCTCGCATGCCAGGAATTGCTTCAATCGAGGTATCCCATATTTTACAGCTTGGCCTTAGCGCCCTCGAGGAGCTCGGCGCCAGCGCCAGAGATGGCGGGCTTGCCGGTCTCAACAACGGTAGCCTGGAAGAGAACGGTATTTCCCTCCTTCCACATCTCGGTCTTGAGGGTCTGGCCGGGAAGGACGACGCCCGCGAAGCGAACCTTGAGGTTCTTGTAGGCTCCGTACTTGGAAAAGACGGCCTTGGCGGCGACACCCAGGGAGCAGAGACCGTGCAGGATGGGGGTCTTGAAGCCGCCGACCTTGCTGAATTCGGGGTCGATGTGCAGGGGGTTGCGGTCGCCGTTCAGGCGGTACAGGGCAGCCTGGTCCTCGGAGGTCTTCTCCTCGACAACGGCGTCAGGCGCGCGCTGAGGGGGCTTGTAGGAAGCGGTAGCACCCTTGGGGCGCTGGGCAGTGGGCTTGGGAGAGCCGCCGAAGCCGCCACTACCGCGGATGAAGACAGTTGATTCGTTGTAGAACAGGTCCTCGCCGGTGTTGGCGTCCTTGGTGGTGAAGCCGGCCACGACGAGGGCAGCATTGCCCTTGTCAACAACGTCGATGAGCTTGGGATAAGTCAAGGTCTTGGCGGCAGTGGGGATGGGGTACTTGCGGACCTCCATGTACTGCTCACCGTGAAGGAGCATCATAGGCGAGAAGTCTTTGACAATCTCGTCCATGTTCCAGGGGGTCTGGGTGTTGAACCAGGGGACAACACCGTATGAAGGCAGAGCCTGGAACTGGTCGTGGTTCTCGTAGACCAGAGGCAGGTCGGTGCGCTTGGCGCCCAAGCTGAGGTTGTAAAGAATGACATCGCGGTCCTCGTAGTCGAAGGCAGTTCCCTCGGTGGAGAGACCCTTAGCCTTCTCAATGGCCTTGAGGTAGTTGTTTCCGCCGCTGGACTCGCCCTTAACACGGTTGGCCATGTTGGCCATGATACGCTCGGTACCAGCCTGGCCATCCTCGGGGTGGTCGGCACGGCCGTCCTCAAAGTCGACAATCTGCTTCCACTTGGCAACAACCTCCTCGGGGGTCAACTTGACATCCACGGGGAAGCCGTGGCCGCCAGAGCGCTGCCAGCGGGTGCGGCCGAACCAACCACTGCCACACTCGAAGAGACCCTTGGTGGAGGGCTCAGGGGTGGCGTCGGAAGAGAGCAGAACAACCAGGGGAGCGACGTAGTCGGGCTTGAAGGCCTGAACCATCTCCTCGGGCATGATAGTACGGGTCATGTTGGTACCAGCGTTAGGGGCAATGGTGTTGACCTTGATGTTGTACTTGGCACCCTCTAAGGCGAGAGTGCGGGAGAATCCCAAGATACCAAGCTTCGCGGCAGCGTAGTTGGCCTGGCCGAAATTACCGTAGATACCGCTGGTGCTAGCAGTGTTGACGATACGGCCGTACTTCTGCTTGAGCATGTAGGGCCAAGCAGCCTTGGTCACCTTGTAGGTACCACGCAAGTGAACATTGATCACCTGGTTCCACAGGTTGTCATCCATGTTGGTGAAGGCCTTGTCACGGAGAATACCGGCGTTGTTGACCAGAATATCGATACGGCCAAAGGCATCAATGGCAGACTTGACGACGGCATCGCCATCCTCGCAGGAGGCCTTGTTGCCGACAGCCTTGCCGCCCATCTTCTTAATCTCATTAACAACATCGTCGGGGTTCATCAGATCATTAACGACGACGGAGGCACCAAGCTTGGCGAACAGCAAGCAATATGCCCGGCCAAGACCAGCACCACCGCCAGTGACAAGAGCGACTTTGCCCTTGAAATCAGGCTCCTCTCCTTTAGGGGCACTAGGCATCTTCAGGCCATCCTCAAGGTAGCTCATGAAGTCAGCAGGGCCCGTGGGGTACTCGGGCTGGGAGAAGTCGTTGACATCGTTCCATTTGCGGGCAATAGCGCCGGGAGTCAGAGACTCGTCGGTCTTGAGGAGAGCTCCCTTGGCACGTTCCCAGCGGAGCTTGGCCATGTGGCCGCCACCAACCTCGTAGATGCCACCGGACTCGGTGGTGTTGGAGGAGTGAACCAGAGCTGCAACCAGAGGAACGACCCAGTCGGGCTTCAGGTTCTCAAGGACATCTGGGGGCATGACAGTAGCAGTCATGCGGGAAGCAGCAATAGGGGCAATCACGTTGGCAATGATGTTGTACTTGGCGCCCTCTTTGGCCAGGGTCTCAGTGAAACCGACCTGGCCGAGCTTGGCAGCAGAGTAGTTGGCCTGGCCGAAGCTACCGAAGAGACCAGCGGCGGAGGCGGTGTTAATAACGCGACCATACTTTTGTTTGCGGAAGTGAGGCCATGCGGCTCTGGCGCACTACATAAATGCCGAGTTAGTATTGCGCGCATAGCGTCACACAATGTGGGCTATCAGACCTTGTATGCACCGTAGGTGTGAACACGGTTGATCAGGTCCCAGTCCTCATCCTTCATGTTCTTGAAACTGATATCACGTAGGATACCAGCATTGTTGAGGAGCACATCGATGCGGCCGAAGTTCTTAATGGCAGTCTCGATAATGTTCTCACCGTTTTCGACGCTGTCGTAGTTGGCGACGGCCTTACCGCCGGCGGCGCGGATCTCGTCGACAACCACATCTGCGGCCTTGGAGAAGTTAGCGGATATTTCAAAGACTTTGGAGGGCAAACACACCTTTGATGACTGGCCCTCGCCCTTGTGAGAAACGCCGAGGTCGTTGACGACGACACTAGCACCTCTCGAGGCGAAGAAAAGGGCGTATGCCTTTCCCAGGCCACCGCCGGCGCCGGTGACGACGACGACTTGGTTATCAAAACGTAGTTCGGACATTTTGTGTGTGTAGAGTCCGACTTGTTCAAGGTTGGGGAAAGAAGGGGAAGAATGACGGAGAGACCGATGTTTAAAGACAAGGAGCTCGGCAGAGCTGGGGGGACCTCGGCACGTTCTGTCCCAGCGTAAGAAAGCGGGCGTATCGTTACACTGGCACTTCACCAGCTTCACATGCCGACGATCGACATAGGTATTGTTTGGTTTGTACATGGCTTGCTACTTCCATGGTAAGCATACATTGCACTACTAGCGATCAATATATTTATGATCCTTAGGTCCCGGTACTCTCCTTTCCGCTGCTTCTCTCACACAATTGTATGTACCGAGCACCGTGCTGACTCAGACATGTGACAACAACGTCATTGCCATGTGCCTACGCCGAGTCTATGCGATTATATTGCCCAGCTGATTTTATCCGTATCATGATGATGTATGCAAGGTGCTAAGCTTCACGGAGAAAAGCCGTTGGTTGTTGCTTTCGCCCGAGACGGGTCAAATGTGTAGGCTGGAGGATCCCCCGCGGGGGAAACAAAACCCCAGATTCCCCCGGCAATTCACCGGCCACAGTAACCGGTAGGGGCCCTAAAACCATACGTCGGACCAAAGATGCCGGAAATAGTCGACGACAAGTCTCAGCATTGTATTCCGTTCCTTCTGGAGCGCCTGCAAGCTCATACCGAGCGGTATCGCAAAGCAGATGGCTCGGCAGATACCCCGCCGTTCTTCCTAGGTCTCAATGGCGTGCAGGGAGCCGGCAAGACAGTTCTGGTGAGTTGAGTACTCGGCCTGGAGTCCTCATCCAACCTCGGGACGGCATGTCAGACGCCTCGGAAATGGAGCTAATGGAGGTAATGCTGTCAACGCTGTGTAGGTATCAACATTGCAAAACACACTCCACTCTACGCCGTATTCGCTCTCCGTCGTGACCCTCTCGCTCGATGATATCTACCTTACCCACGCCGATCAGGAGGCACTTGCTAAGGCGCACCCAACAAACCCGCTACTCCAGCACCGTGGCCAACCTTCGACGCACGATCTCGCGCTAGGCGAAAAGGTTTTTGAATCCCTTGCGGCGGAGCGCCCCACTGCGATCCCGCAGTATGACAAGTCTGCGTTTGCGGGGCAGGGTGATCGCGTGCCCGAGTCACAATGGCAAGTTGTGAATGTGGAAGGGCAGGAGAAGATCAAAGTGGTCATCTTCGAGGGTTGGTGTGTTGGATTCCGTGCCTGGGATGAGAAGACCTTGCGCGAGAAGTGGGAGGCTGCTGTGCGGCAGAAGGAGAGCGGCGACTATCAAGGCCGATTGGGTCATGTCAAGTTTGAGGATGTTCAGACTGTAAATGATGCCTTGAAACGTTATGACGCGTTGACTGAGTGGGTGCTCCTTCCATTAGAGACCGCGCAGCGCGAAGTGGCTAATCGAAGCTTGCAGCAAACTTGACGCCCTAATTCACATGTGAGTATTCAGTAAACAGTGGTCTTTGGAATGATGGGAATTGATAATCCATCTAGTGACGCGCAAGACCTCCGATTTGTCTACGAATGGCGCCAGGAACAAGAGCGCGGCTTGCGAGCCTCCAAGGGCACCGGAATGACTGAGGAGCAGGTCAATGACTTCGTGGATGGCTGTCTGTGCCCCTATCCTGGCTTACCCCCTGGTCGAATCAACAGGCTAATGGTATCCCAGATTATCCCTCCTACGAGCTTTTCACCGATAATCTCCGCAATGGGGTCTTCAAGCCCGCTGCACCCCAGCATTCCAGTCTCACATCATCAGACTGGCAAGGTAGACAGCTTCGCCTGATTGTGGATCGTAACAGAAGAGTCCAGGAGGTGGTCCACATCTGATAGAGACCCGTGGACTACTACAGGAGTGTTTGGAGGGGTAATATCTTTGCATATGGACAGCAAGATGTGTTGTGGTTAGATATTATGGTTTCAAAAATATATATCGGCAGAATCAAGCCTCTCCATGTGATCTTGGAATAGTAGGGTATATGCCTGAAAGAAGGAAATAAAACTAAGAACAAACGCTCAAATACAACAACAATCGGGAAAAAATCAGCTTTGAGAGTTATTCGATCGAACGGGCGTCCCAGCTGATGGAAAACCCCGGGAAAGTCAGATTCGGGTCTCCAATTGTGAGCCTCGGCACGAATTGCCCCACCGCCTTGGCAACCGACGATGAAACCCAGGTGCGACAGATAATTCCTGAACGATGAGTGACTTCCCTTATGGCCTTGGTCAGGTTTTCACGGAGAATTCGCAGCGACAGATGTGTCGTAGGCCACATAGATCTCTGATGAGCGTAAAAGGTGGCCGTGTCTGCGTCCCTGTGTCTACCACATTGATGCTCTGGAATGATCATCCGCTATCATCAAGCAGATTTTGAGGCGACCAGTACTCCTTCTCAGGTCCCTGGGCATCCAACCAGACGAGCCCGTCGGCCAGCAGGTCGTCGATCACAGTTTGCGCTCGGGCCTTTTCCCATTTAAGATTTAGCCGCAACATTGACACGCTAACGAAGCCCAGCACCTGGATTGCTTCTAGAACTATAGCTTGGTCGGTGTTGAGTTCTTTGGGGATGGAACGAATGTATTGCTTGGAGCCAACACGAACGATAGAGAAGCCGGAGGCGAGAGGTTCCAAGGAGCGAACGGCGCGGAGGATATCGTCCCTATTCAAACAAAAGCCATGTTAGCTTACCCCGAATCGCAATGCTAGCTGGATCAGACAGGTCAGCCATACTCGGAAACTTCCAGGCCACTTCCGATCGCCTTTCCTTTGCCCACGCGCGTTCGGCATTCCTCAACGCCAAGCAACCCGCCGTTCTCACTCCTCGTTTCTCGACACAACTCTACTACCCGGACAGCAACTTCAAAGTAGAAGTCATTCATGTCACCACCCAGAATCTGGGTCCAGAAACTGCCTCCCTCGCCGAGCCCGCGTCGGCCATTCTTGCCTTTGATGTTACTTGCGGCAAGGGGATCAACACCTATTGTGTTACACATACGCGCAAACTCTGCGCGGAAGATAGGATTTGACTTGATAGTGGAACTGTGTTCGAGAGCGAAGGTATGTAGCAACGATTGAAACACGGAGAGCTGGGTCTGGAGAGAGGCCGTATGCGTGGATCGTAGGTTAGCGCCGTGGGTGGCATAAGATTGAGTTGTCTGATTACGGTTCACAAAGGCCCCGAGGCCGACGCCGCGACGAGACATGACTGCAGATATAGCAGGTCAGGTAGAGCGTCGCATTTGCGGAGTCGCGGGGCCGCTTGGGAGCGGAGGGGTGAAGTCATCTGACTTGCTAGATAAGCAGACAAGCCCTAGTCACGGGTGATAAGGGCAGACATGATCCAATCGGTATTAGTGCATCTATTCTCTGTACTAATCCATATTGGGTTAGGCTGGGCCCATCCCACAAGCGAACCTTTTTCTTCGTCGTCTCGCTCGAACATTTTCCTCGATCATTCCTCGCCGACCATCTCGCGACAATCCAGCACAATGGCCGCCACTACGTATGCTCACCCCCTCCTTTCTGACTGACTCAATCTCTACGAGATTGTGAGGTTTCAGGTATAGTCGTCCTTCTCGCTGGAAATGCCACGGTCGTCGCCGGCCGCTGTGCACCAGCTCGATCCTTCCCACCTTTCCTGCCTGCTCGAATGACCTTCGCATTGTTTTATGTCAATGAGGACTGCCGAACAGGCAGGGGCCAAGGGAGTCTTGAGGTTGGAAGCCGTTGTGGCCTTCTCCTCCAAATTCATTGTTGTTAGCTATCGCCATCCAGCGCTTTCGATGCGGTAAAAGCAATCACTGCGCCTGGAGCGAACAGCGGCAACAGATACTTCTTGAACATCTGTTCAGGGTATTGTCGGATGAGGGCAGACGTGGCAGAATTTTTTCACAAATTCTTGGGTGGTCAGAAAATTGCGAACCTTTTGCTGTAACATGCACAAGTAGTACCAAGCCTATCCTACCGTGAAGCCCCTGTCACAGCCCTCACTGATTAAAGACATTTCGTCGAGTTTTATTTTTATTTTGCCTTCCAGTTGAGAATGTGGCGCTGTGCTGCAATTCTTACACTCGGCGGATTGTTTCATGTCTTGGTTCTTCCGGACGGACTATACTAACCTCCCACAGCTCTGTCCCCACCGCCGACCAGGTCATGGTCCCCGAGACCCTCCTGAAGAAGCGCAAGTCCCAGGAGGCTGCCCGCGCTGAGGCCCGTGCTGCCGCTGAGGAGAAGAAGAAGGTCAGTGTCTCCCGATCTCATCACACTCCTACCTTCCAACTCTATGATGCATACTACCAACCACACGACTAGACCTCCGGGTCGATGTTGTCGGATTGTTAACCATCTTTCGGGTCTGACAAATGTTGGATCTAACATGAATTTATTCACGTCAACATTTTTGGAATCTCCGACTGACTCGAGTTTCAATAGGCCAACAAGGAGAAGCGTGGCGTTATCTTCAAGCGTGCCGAGTCCTACGTCCAGGAGTACCGCAACGCTGAGCGTGAGAAGATCCGCCTGGCCCGCGCTGCCCGTGCTGAGGGCAACTTCTACGTTGATGACGAGCCCAAGCTGGTCTTCGTTGTCCGTATCAAGGGGTATGTCATTTTCTTCCATTCGTCTCTTTCAACCGATTAATAACCTCTCTCCAGTATCAACAAGATCGCCCCCAAGCCCCGCAAGATCCTCCAGCTGCTCCGTCTGCTCCAGATCAACAGCGGTTGCTTCATCCGCCTGACCAAGGCTACCCAGGAGATGTTGACCATCGTCAACCCCTACATTGCCTACGGTTACCCCAACCTGAAGACCGTCCGTGAGCTTCTGTACAAGCGCGGTTACGGCAAGGTCAACAAGATGCGCACTGCTCTTACTGACAACCAGATCATCGAGGAGCACCTCGGCAAGTACGGCATTGTCTGCATGGAGGATCTCATCCACGAGATCTACACCGTTGGCCCCAACTTCAAGCAGGCCAACAACTTCCTGTGGCCCTTCAAGCTGTCCAACCCCACCGGTGGCTTCCACCAGCGCAAGTTCAAGCACTTCATCGAGGGTGGTGACACTGGTAACCGTGAGGAGAACATCAACGCTCTCGTCCGCCAGATGAACTAGATTAGCTTCTAGTTGTGTTCTGCATGGGGATCAGCCATCAAAATGGAGTTTCAAAAAAAATATGACGAATTCTGTCACGGGTTGTTTGTTTAGCACACGGGCTGTGTCTATCTTGAGTCAATTAGCGATACTATGGTCTGGGATTTCCGGAATTTAATGCTTCGAACAACCCGCAATCGCATCTTCATGCACCGTAGTCATCCTGTATCTGTAAGGTCAATGTAGTCTATCACGCAGCGATGCCCTTTCCCTTGGATTCTTATGCTTTTTTAGGCTGAAGGCTCCTCTACCTTTTGGTCGGCCTTTCACGGATGCAAAGATACATTTCAATATCTGAAATATCATGGTCAAGTCATTTTCATAAGCCCAATTCAATTCACAAGATTCTTTAAGAGCATACTTCAGTAGCCAATTCCTTGATATCTTACTTCGGTTTTCCGACATCATCTTCAACAATTCTTGATCTTCCTCTACATACGACGACCCGCCTTGTCCACTTGCCCACGATTACATATTATTCTACTCAACCCAATCTATCCCTCTCCCATCACCAATGCGGACTTCCTTTCCATGGAAATTCATCTTCAACTATCCCAAGATAAATCTCAGAATGAACCTTTGAAGAGCTTATGAGACTCTTCATAATTTTATTTTCGACACCCTTCAAGCTCTATCTTGGTCGGAATTCATTCAAATCTGACTTCCGGGGCCCACAGCTTCACTCATCCCTCACGCCCATGACCATACATTCTGGCCTCCTTCTCCCCCTTCGCTCCACCCACCGCATAGACTTGCTACGCATACTAGAACCCTAGAAGTGAGTCATCTGAAGGGATAGCCTTCTCACTCGACGCATCCTGTAGCCGTACGGCGGGATACACCCTCTGATCGAGCCGCCTTGCTTAGTCACGGAGATGACGAGACAGCCCCCGGAATCGAACGGAGTTCCTAGACCTTTTACCCTACCTTAGTGTAGACTAGTGTAATCACTTAAAGTTGCTCACAGCACTGCTTGGTTCAGTGGGGAATGCCCCGTCAAACAACCCGAGGAGTCCGATATCGCTCCTGGGGTCTCCTTCAGGTCTCAGACTTCAAAACTTCCTCGCGCTCCGCTTCCCTGCCCACCATTCAATTCATTTGACGGGCATTTCGCTCAGTTCCGAGGTCGCCGATACTTCCCGAAAACAAATAGCCAAGAATAGAAACGATACGCCCGAAACGAAGCTGCATATCTGGAATCATCTCAGAATGAGCATGGAACTTGACCTTCCACCACCATATGAGTCTCACGATCCGCTTCCAATTTCAGCAACATGGAACCGTAGACTGAACCAAATTCAACCCGATCTTTTCAACATCTCCTGCCCCACCACCCGCGACTACCAAGTCCATTCAGACAAATATTCCACTTTATTCGTCCGCGTCCATAGGCGAAATTTCACGAAGCCGAACTTGGTCATCTACCTACGAGATGACGATGTCGAACAGGACATAGCCCACTGCGATTTCAGAGAAAAGATCGGACAATGCGACATGGGCGTATCAAAAAGCTCCAGTGGCGAAAGCTCGACTATTTGGTGGTCTGATACGGACCGCAGCATCCCCGTTTCAAAAATGTACCGATTTTCAGCGAAGGTGCAACCGAGTGGTGGTGGTGAAATCGTGCACAAGATATTTATCTGGAAGCGCACGTCAGGTCTAGAGTTGGTGGATGAAGCTACAAGCACAATCGCTGCTGTAGCCCCCGACATGAGGCTCGACCAGCCTAAGCTTGGATCATTGGAGGTACTGGTGCCCTATGGTCCTGATTTTAACCTGATAGCCTTGACTACTCTTTTAACAGTCTGCGAGAGACTGAGGGAGGAGGATTCATGAAAAGACATACAATCGATGATGAAGAGACTTGGCTCTTTTCATGTTTGTTATTGAAGTCATCTTTTTGGCCATCAAATTTACGAGGGGAGCAGTTCTATGATTTTCCGACTACCAGATCGTCATTTATCTCGTCGTGCTTCGGCTATGTGGGCATTGCCGACATTATCATGGTTCCGTCCGATTATTCTATGCCGTTTGGTTACTACGATCGATGATCCAGACGGAGACGAATTTTGATAGAGCGTTAAGTTCTAGCAATAATGACGACTGTAAAGTTTCCTCTGCATCCATAAATGGTATGAGCGAAGTTGACCGGATGAAAAATTTTCCTTTCGAAGTGCAGAAAGTAGCAAGAATTCAGATACCACTGTCATTGGAAAGGTCGATGTTTTCACCAGTGCATAGTTCTGTTTTCGAATCCTACTTCAAGTCTGTCCTTGTATCTCCAAGAGACTTGCATGGAGTATGGCTTGTGACTAGAGCACATTTGTCCTTCCTGTGTTGGGGCGCCTTATACTCACGCCTTGTTGGCTCATAGATCCTGTCAAATGGATTGGTGTTCTCTGACTCCAGTGTGCCAAAGAGTAAAATTCGGATAAGCAAAAGAGCATAGTTTCGGCCTAGGCCACTTGTTGAAATACCAAATCGCGTCATGAAGTCTCTCTTCTCGTGTTCAGTGCGGTCGAATCCTCGATATTCGGCGCAGCATCCGCACTCCACAGTACAGTGGCCAACGCCAAGCTTGCGTGATTGGGCAATGGGCCGATAGACACAACATCCACAGTCGCGACCACGACATCCTCCTTTTCCAGCGCAATCTTGCACGAGGGACTTGTACGCCAAAGGCTTATACCTCTCGCGAGGGCCAGAAATTGAGGTCTTCCTTGATTTCTGTCTGCCTAGGATTTGCATTTCCTTCTATGGTGGCGAGTTCTTCATTGAGCCTGATTTCATGTTGTACACTCGAGCGGAGTCCGTAACTTGCCACGAAGAGCAACTTGACCGAGTCATCGAGGTCAGCTGAAGTTCGAGACATAATTTTATATCGATAGTTTTGAAGGGTGTTTATGTCTCCTGTCATTTCAAGAGACCTTTCCTTACAATCCCTTCACCAATTCATGGTGAATTCTTTCACAGAGCTTACACTGGTAAAATATGGATTTGAAGGCAGGCGAAATAGTGAGGGAGTTGTGTGAAGTTTGATGCGTGAAACAAGAAAATGTTCAGTCATATATTCAATCGTATTGCCTTTACCAAACTTTTCCTGCCAAACCGTTCTAAGAGCGGAGAACGAAGAACATTCCCCGCAACCAGAACAGGTAAACATGGACGCAAACTTACGAAATCGAGACATATTTGAGTGATGTGTTCGAAGCATTCTAGTTTGCTTCTCCGGTCCTACCACTACCATATCGTATCTGAATTTATTGAATTTTGACTATTAAGCAGTGTTCGAGCCGACTTAAGTTATGAATCGAGTGTCCACATCTCTACTTCTCTCCTTTCTATACTAAATCACAAGTGACTAGGATCTTGCACGGATAAATATTAATAGGATGGTCTGCGGGAGAGTGAACTCTATGCAGACGAGCTGAGGGGCCTCTTTACCTAAGTTGAAGATCGGAACATGGGTTGGCATGAGATTGCACCCTGGCAGAAGCATTACTTGGTATCGCTACTTCATGGACGCGTTGTTGCGCCAACATTGGTAAGTATGACAATTACTTGGCTGATAATATCCGTAACAGCTCGAGGCCGATAGAATCCTGCACTACAATTTCGACCCTTGCTAGGGAGGGAACTAATGACGGTAGAAAAGTTTGCTACCGATGAGGGAGACCAAGAGCGACTTGCATATGCAAATCTTATCGACGCTAGAAAGCTTGGCCTGAATGGAGACTCTAAAGATAGGCAACTGGCACCTCCGCGCTTATTATTGCTCCAAGAAATTGTGAGGATCTGTATTCAGACTAGCGCTCTTCCACTCGGGAAAGAACCATCAAGTCTTCCCTTGCATGAGGCACACCCTCAAGCCGCGCAAGCCGCGCAAAACCCTTCACAACTCAGAGAAAAAGAAGGTGAACAGCAATATTGCATTGACATACAATATGGAGTCTACTCTGCGACCGTTGCTCGGAGAACGCAGCTCTGGATTCATTCGACGGCGACACTTTTCTCTGCCCGAACACGAGCCCCTCATTGCAAGGTGGAGAAGGTCCGCCCGCGATTTTCTAACTTCGCGATGGGGTCATTACCTTGTCCTTCTGCTGATTACTATCGATGTCTGCTGTGGTTTCTCGGAATTTCTCATCCAGTTACATGTCTGCGAGTTGAAGCAGAATGGCCATCGCGTTGAGCGAGAATGGGGGATCACTGAGCAGGCCCTGGGTGTGACCGGTCTTGTAATATCTTGTCTCTTCATGATGGAGTTGCTTGTAGCTGTTTTGAGCTTTGGATTAGGGTGAGTCTTTTCTGGCAGCTTAGGACCTTGCTTTAACTTGTGGGACGGTCGTCTCGATCTTCCCTGAAACTCTGCATACTGGGAACACTCTGACAGTATGGAATAGCTATTTTTCGAACTGGTTTCACATTTTCGATTCGCTGGTGATTCTTGTCGCCTTTTTCATCGAAATCGCACTTCATGGAATGGAAGAAGAACTTGGTTCACTTGTGATTGTTTTGCGTCTCTGGCGTGTGTTCCAGATCATTGAGGAATTAAGATCTGCCAGCGAAGACACATTGGAAGAATACGAAGATGAGCTAGAGAAACTTCGGCAAGAGAATGCGGGTCTCAGGCAGAGATTGAACTTGAATGCAAGGGAAATGAAGACATAGAGTGAATGGACCACCTCATGGTGATCGACTATAGTATGTCTAATCGATCCTACAGCCGAAGCTGAGGTCATGATGTTCCGTGCCAAGGACCTGTCTACCAGAAGCCCGGAACTGGCGTGTAAATCGTTTCGCAACTCGGGTCTCTACTTATTAGTCGGGTGGCTGTTGTTCATGTATACGTTCATCGCGCTGTGCGTGACTGATCTCGATCGATGTGATCCGATGGTTGTCGGACTTCGGTAAAGAGAAGTTTACCTGATAACTGGTCTTAACCCACAACGAAGCGAGGTATAGACCTTTTGAAAAAAAGGAAAAAAAGAAAAAGGATACGCGTCTACAGTACAGTACAGAACAAAAAAAAAACATACAACAGCAGGGATTCGCTGGTGGTCACCCACCCAACTACTAACCTGCCGGCGTGTGGCTTAAGTACGGCTGAGCGGACGGGAAGCCCTGTTCTCCACACCCTATGGTCGTATGTATTAGGCTGCCCACAGATTAGAATTATATCCGTTATGCTGTTCAGCTATTTCAGATCTCCTAGGTGCTAGAAGAGCGCCGCTTTAGCGTCGCGCAACCCGGGTAGTAAAAGTGATGCTTGAAGCTCCGTTACCTGATTGGGTGGCCTACAATAGGCCATCTTTATGATGGCTCTGAGTGCTTAAGGATGCGAATAGTGGGACTCAAACTGTTTTGCTCCAAGGCTATGGGATCCGGGATCATAATATGATATCCCTAGACATACGAGTGCCTGCCCAGTGAGTTGTGATTTAGGATAAAGCTATGCTTCTGTTGTGACTTGTTCCTCCTACTGCCCGTCCCGATTGTGGAGATGCAGTTCAGGTGCCCATGTGGATTCGATAGCCGATACGCGTGTAAACACTTTCTGTGATGTGAGGCAGCAAGATAATAAACCCTGGTATCTGTTTGGTTTGAGCTGAGCCTATTCTTGTGTATTCTGAAATATGGATGTTACGAAGCAAGAAGAGACGGAGTCTCAAAAGGTATCAATGATTGATTCTCTCTAAAGCTATGTCCTGCGGACGTTGTAAATAAGGATGTGACCATGTGATGTGTCACCTGAGGAACCGCAACAATGACCCTGGCATAATGCTCCAATATCCTAAGTCTTTACAAGATTGGCATATTGAACGAACAGTATACGGTTATTTTGATACTCATTCTACCTGTCATCCCTCCTGATGAATTTCTATATAGCCTCAAACCGTCTAAGGATATCATCTAAGTTCATTTAAGCTAAGGTATTATGCTATACCCATCGATATATTCAGAAAATTGTGGAGTTGAAATACTGTCGTCATTTGTCTGAACGGACTAGTACAGTCATGGTCCAGCCTTTGCCAATTTTGGAGCAAGGAGCCCCACTACAAAATGTACCATACTTCAAGGAGAATCTGGGGCTATATGACAAGGTAATGCAGAGCATTTTTAGGTTAGCGGAGCACGAATCAGTTTGGTAGCGCAGGCTACCAGGGCTCTGGAATCCATATCAGGCGGCGGCCAGCTGGCAGTACATGTTCTTCTGCCATTCAAATACCCAATTCTAGATTTCTTTCTTTCTTCCAAACGAACTTCCATCTTCACCCCAATCCCAACTCCTACCATACAAGAATCGTTGAATGATCCCAAAACATGTCCGAATTATCTTTTGACAGCCAAGAACCGGAGACAGTCCCCTACTGCCACGACTGCCCTCCACAATACGAACTATGCCAGCCAAGCCAAGATGTACTCACCTCTGTCATTGAAAATGAGCATGCTCGCCGGACATTACTCAAACGGATAAATTGTCTGGCGACAGAGTTCCTCGACAACTTCGAAAAGAAGAACCCCACCGACACTGATTACGCTCTGCTTATGGAGCTATTTCTGAATATGAATCGGTCATATACAGAGATAACGCAGATGGGTAGAGAGCTGGCAAATGTTTATAAGGAACGCATCGGTCAAAACACCGAACTCTATACCGCTTTGACAAGACTCACTGTTAGTGAGTTCGAACGGACCTATGCTTCTTTAAGGCGGGATCCAAATCGGCAGATACGACACGAGCTAGCTCAGGACCATAAAGACTGCGGCAACTGCTATGACAGAAGTTGTGGATACATTTCTCAACGCTCTTTGGGAACCAAGCAAATGGAGAAAAATGGAGATAGCACGTGCGACTCTCCGTGCTCTTATGACAACTTCTTCGAGCTCTCGGCAAAGATAGATGAGATCAATGACAAACTTTGCCAAAGCACTCAATCCAAGGATACCGCCAGTGTTTCGAAGACGACTGATGATGCTCCCGCAAAGCCACCCAGGAGCTTTTGGAGGACCATTTTCAAGCACTCAGTTCGGCTTTAATGGCAAAGTGGAATGGAGGTCTCTAGAGTGATCAGATTATTATAAGTCTGCTGAATATTGGTATTTAACTTGCTTTATACCAACTTGAATGATCCATGTGGATATATTTGCTTGGTTATTTCTATTCGCTTGATTTGAAATCCCAGTATCGCCTGCTTTTCTGGAAAGCTTCTCTCGCCCTGCGAGATGGAAGATATTCTATTACGGTCTAAAATCCAGGACTCAATAATTCTTCAAATATTTTATAAATCTATCATGACGGTCAATCAATGAGGATTTAATACAAAATCTAACTTTGGCGGACAAAGACTCTACATTAAAAAGCGAAATGTATGTCCACGGGGAAAATCAAGGTGCCTCGAGGCACCAATAGTATGAATTTAGACATGGTCACCTCCGGAGAGGGCCAGTCGACGGAAAGAATCCCAGAATAACAATACAAACCTCCAGAGAGGGCCAGTCAACGAAAAGAAACCCAGAATGAAAATACAAAAACAAAAGATAAAGACAAGACACCTCCCTCTCACCCTCTCACCCTTTCCACCCTTCTCTTCCCCGTCCCCTGTATGTGTGGTACTTCCGTTTTCATTCAGCTCACCTCACTCGGGTTCTCGGAGTGAAGAAAACGGTCAAAACAACAGAGGAACGCCGTCGACTCACAACCTGCTTATTTTACCGAGGCAAAAGTCACCATGGAACTCGGATCCATAGTGGCCTCCTTGACACCATGGGTGATATTGCGTACGGCGGTGGAGGCGGCGGCGACCTTAGCGGGGTCTCGCCACTTAGAGTTGGGGCTGGCGGCAGGCGAGGCGATCGTGGGCGTGGCGGGGGCTATTGGGGTAGACGGAGGGGAGATGGTGTCGTACCCCGAGGGGACTAGGACGAACTTGACGTCGCCTTCAGTCAGGCTATCGGCGGCGGGCTTGATGACATCGGGGCCGAGAGACTCCAACAAGATGGGGAGGGGGCGGCTGGTGTTGCCTTCAACATGATCCACAATTGTCAGTGTTTACTCCTCGGGCATAGGGGCAGTGATGAGGCCCATGAGCCGTAACTTACCTGCAAACCTTTCCCACAGCCACTCCGTAGTCAGGGCCGTTTGGGGGGGTCGCGACGGCCGCAATCCAGTCATCGGAGCTATGCCACGAGATGTCAGCCAATGTATATGAAGACTCTCCAGAAGACCCTCCAATACACCCTCCAGAAGAGCTTTCCTAGGCCCCCTCAAAGAGTTTCAACGGGGATCATGGTCTTTGACTTACGGCCTGCTGAATGTGTACTATGTACGTCGTAACTACGTCTGTAGCTTCCTATTCCGCGACAAGATCAACGAGACGATGAGGCGTTGGATCCGCAAGACTTCTAGCAGGTGCAACGGAGGGTACCTCGAAAGGCAGGTATCTTCTAACCATTTATATTTATTCATTTTGAGTCATCGACTGGCACGAGGAATTTCCTTCGCGATCGGAAATGGCATAAGAAAAAAGAAAACTATAGGAAACAAGTGCAAGGAAAAGAGAAGAAGGCATACCATTATATCAGATCAAAAACGAACCCTTTAAGCCTTGATTATCAGACATCCTAGGCAAAGGCGAAGGCAAAGGCGAAGGCAAAGGTAAAGGTAAAGTGAGAGAAAGGTAAAGGTAAAGTGAGAGAAAGGTAAGAGCGAAATAAGAGAGAAACGAGGTCGAAGTGAGAGTGAGGTGCTTTAGAAGAAGATATCGCACCGCCCAATGCACCACCACCGAACTACTGACCGCCAGGGATGCGGGCATCACCACGGGCACCTCCCCGGCCACCTCCACGAGCACCTCCGCGAGAACAGGGCTTCCCGTCCGCTCAGCCGTACTTAAGCCACACGCCGGTAGGTCGATAGTTGGGTGGGTGACCACCAGCGAATCCCTGCTGTTGTATGTTTTTTTTCTATCTTTGAATTTTCCCATCTACTTTTTATGCTGTTACCGGCCCATGTGAGCCACTGTGAACGATGCTGATTTGACCTGACGAAAAGTGGTCGGCCCTAATCCTAGAGTCATGTACGGACATTATCATTCCTTTACTTTTTCATGCAATGATAGGTCCGTCGGTCTGATTCCATGCCGCAATTACGTATGATAGGAAGCAAATCATGATATATACGCCCGTGGATGTTCACTACATCGGATGACCTAAGCGAGTGAATGTAATGGCACGGCCCCTTTCCTGGGTTCCATAACCCGCCCTGGTCACCATCGCAAGTACTTGGCCCCATGGAGACCCATGTATAAGACCATCCCAATATTACATACGGTTTCTTGTTATATCGTTCTTGCGGCCCTGACTGTCATGTCACAAGCCAAAGCATTTAGACAATCGAGCATGAGGCTGTTCAAAGAGCCCAGGACCAAGATAAGCCGATAGTAATTTTCCCATCAGACACCGGGCCAATCAAAGGGTCTCTTGAGTGCGCCTCATCATGCAGCTCGCGAAGGACATCCAATGGCCTCTGGCGCTCAGTGCGTTCGGTTGGAAGAGTGCGCTTAGCTTCTGTCCCGGTCGGCAATGCACGCCAAGAGGCAGAAACGGTCATGGTGGCCCCGGCCTCAGGGGCCCTTTCTTTTGGACATTACGCATCTCTCACGAAAGACGACAAGAACTGAAAAATGGAAGAGCGAGGTGCGCTACATCTTCAGGATATTTTGCCAAGCAATAATCGTTTGGAAGAAGGTGAAATATCAGAATATGCTGAGCGCCACTCAACTATCTCAAGAGCAAACTCTACGCCGTCGCATGATGAGGAGCTCCCATCCTATGGCCAAGTGCACTCGACAGGCAATATTATTGCAAGAGGACACAGCACCCTACTTCATCGCTCCGCGTGGGTGACCATTGTCACAATCCTCTATATTGCTATGGCTATTTATGCCTGGGTTATGACGGTGATTCTTTCTTTTCGCCCGATCAACGGCAAGTCATGGGGCTATGAAATCAAGAATGCAATCTACGATGACGACGAGTCAATGGCCAACTTTGCACGGTCTGCGAAAATATATCGCTCCGTGTATATAGTGCAGTCCATCGTGGAGGTCGCTACACTTCCCTTAATTACCGCCGTCTGCGCGAGTGCTGCAGTGGTCTTTACACAGAACCAAAACGACAGGGACTTTCGACTGCGCCAAGTTACTGCTTTGGCCGATCGAAGATGGGACGACCCCTCTTTATACTTGTCATTAGTCCGAGGAAGGTGGAAGCAACATGGCAGCGCATTGCTGTTTGGCGCGATTATTGTTTACATCTTCGGTGCTATCACTTATCCCATACAATCGCTGTTCCTTACCACGGAAATTATCAAGATTCCAACGGAGCCTAGCAACAGAGCAGCAATCAGTGACTTCAACACCAAGGATAGCAAGTACATCAGTACTCTCAACAGTCAAGCTGGCCTTGATGTGCTTCAGGCCCGCAGTGCTCTCAGCCAGGCAGATCGCTCCACCTACTACCCTAATATATGGAGTAACGACAGCGGTGTGCAGTTTCTGACGCTTCATGGATTGTCCTCTGACAATTTCTATTCCCAGCTACCCAGTGGATTCAACACAGGTCTGCTGCGTCAATTCGCACCACGCGTGAATTCTACGGCTACTTATGAAACTATCGCCGCAGAACAATTTCCAGCCAACTGTAGCACTGAGTCGGGCGCCCTTTACCTCGATTATCAATCTTCATATGATTTTGATGACGCTGATACCAGCTACTACGGCCTCATCGCCTGCATGCCAGCAAGCAGTACGAAATCTCGCTGGCAAATGACACGCGACCGGCAAGACTTCACCGAAGTTCTCTACCTGAATTTGACTGGTTCAGACATCGCCGCTTTCAGCTCCGCCGAATATTCATACATCACACAGTATCTCTACAAGATTACCGTCAATACCACATCCGGCTATTTTGAGCTCCCCAATTACATGAACGACAACATCGCGGGCCCTCTCCTCGAAACCGACCCCGAGAACTTTTGCGACGAAAAATGCATGGTCCAATCATCCAAATATTCATGGCAGACGTCGACATACGACCGTCGCTCAACCACATCGAATACCACAACATTAGAAGCCGGCTCGTTGTCCCCCCCTAAGCACAACATATAAAGGCCCCCTCCTCATGACCACCCTTGCAACTTTCGGCCCGGGCTCGTTCATCGATACCTTCCCAGCAGCCTACGCTGCCATCGAGGCTGAAAGCAAAGCTACGGGTGCTATAAACAGAAATTTCTCGGGCGTCTGTATCGCCAACCCACCTCTCTCAAATCTCATTCTCGACACATCAGAAGGCAGGCTTGATGACGAGTGCATCTCCTTCAGCATCTGGACCGAGGATGCGTGGAACCCGGCCGGTTCGCTCATCTCCACATGGCTGCAGTGGTTTACCAATGGCGCGAATAGATTCCCGTCAGTTTTCACGGCGGCAGCATACTTATGCAATGCACAGCTGCTTAATGTTCTCCCAGGGAGCTGGGACGTGTACCAGGATCTAGGGAAGGACATGGAGATACCGTCCATTTCCATGGGGGGAATTGTACTCGTCTCTATCCTGATGGGCTTCTATTTGATTCCGCTGCTGTTCTTGAGTCTGTATGCGGGGTTCTCTGTGCGGTGGACGAGCCGTCTGGATTCATTTGTTATGTTGCGGATTGGAGCTGCGGCGGGTGATAAGGTCTTTCCGATGCTTGTTGGACGAAAGACGGACTATGTTACTCAACTAGATGAGGTGTCGGGGGTTGTGCGAGATGTGTCAGTGGCAGGAGCTGAAGACGAGGTCGTTCCAATAGGTAAGTTGGGATTTGGAGAGGGGAAGAGGCTGAAGAAAGGGCGAAGATACAAGTGTTTTGAGGGGGACGATGAGGCGTTGAATTCGCAAGAGTTCCAGCAGGTGCAACGGAGGGTACAACATGGGTAATGAAATATGGGGTATTGAGTAGGCTTGTTCAATTGTGATTGACTTTTGGAATTGAGGGACGATGCGAAAAATGTAAATAGCGAGTCCATGGGCCAGATCCATCAGCAGCCATGGCCAAGTCAGTACCCTACGCCGGGGAACAGGAATGACTGACTGACCGACGATCTTTCCCGAGATATTATAGCTCATCTGGGAGACGATTCAGAATATTCGGCACTCCTCACTTTCAGTGGTACCTTCAATGTTCTGGATCGATTCTCTTAAAACATCAATGTACGAGGAAGGGGGAATAAGAGAGATTCATAAAAATATCAAAACGAGGCCTACGTTCAGCATAGATACTCGAGTCTACTCGAAAGACAAAGACAGGTGTCTTCTAACCATTTATATTCATTCATTTTGAGTCATCGACTGACACGAGGGATTTCCTTCGCGATCGGAAATGGCATGAGAAAAAACAAAACCATAGGAAAAAAGTGCAAGGAAAAGAGAAGAAGGCATGCCATTATATCAGATCAAAAACGCACCCTTTAAGCCTTAATCGCACCGCCCAATGCACCACCACCGAACTGCTGACCGCCAGGGATGCGGGCACCACCACGGGCACCTCCCCGGCCACCTCCACGAGCACCTCCACGGCCACCACCACGGCCACCGCGGGCACCAGGGCCAGACTCGCGCTGGAATGCGTTGGCCATACCCTGGGTACGCTGCTCCAGAGTCTTCTCGTTGGACTCGAGAAGAGACATGGACTTGTCGGCCAGGGTGACGATCTGGGACTGCAGGCGGGAGAGCTCGACGCCCTTGCGGAAGACAATGGCGTCGTTGACCTGGTCGAGGGCGGCGCCAAGCTCCTCGTGGGAGATCATGCGGCTAATGATAGCGGCAATCTTCTTAACGGGCAGCTCAAACATGTCGGCGAGGGAGGAGATGGAGAGGCTGTCGTAGAAGGGGGCGTAGGTGAAGAGGTAGGTGCGCAGGCCCTCCTCCTGGGTCTGGGCAGAGAGCATCTCCTTGATCTTCTCGGGTTGCGGCATCAGATCCCAGATCTTGATAGATGCCAGCATGTCGGCGGCCTTCTTCCAGTCTCCGGCGGCGAGGAACTTGGCGGACATGATCACTCCATCGCGGGTATTCTCGGGGGGTCCGGTGAACACCTGGCGCTCGTTGTAGTCAAGCATGCGGCGGAAGGTCTTGGAGATCATGCGACGGCGCATCTCGGGGGAAGAAGAGGTTTGGGCCATGAGAGGAACCTCGAGGAACATGCTAGAAGTCAGGTAAATGCACTCAAGCAACTCGAGGTTGATGTGCATGTGGAAGGGCAGCTGGCGCTGGCGCTCCAGACGCTCCTGCTCGGGGGAGACAGTGGAATAACGCTGGAGAATGATGCCCTGAGCAAGCAGCTCCTTTTGGCGGCCACTGCCGCAGATCTCACCGAGGGTAGTCTGGGCCTCGTAAATAAGACCGGCGCGGAAGGCGCACAGACCGATCTGGACAAGAGTGCGGTTGAAGAGGATCTGGGTGCTGACGTCGAAGTTGGAGATGTTCTCGGACAAGTGCGACATGAGCATCAGGTCACGAGAGCGGTAGTATTGGTCGTGCAGGGCAAGGAAGTAGATCTGGCACAGCATGGAACGGGCACGAATGATGCCGTCGCTGTGCTGGAACAGGTAGTTGGTGAGGGTCTGGAGGAGGTGGGCCACGTCTCCAGCATTCTTGCGGGAAGTGATGGTTGAGTCAAGGTGCTCGGGAAGAGCCTTCCATGTGGCGTCCTCGAGAATGGAGACAACCTGGGATGGCTTGAAGTAGACGTGCTCCAACCGACGGATGACAACGCGGTTGACATTGTCCTGACGAGCGTCGTTCTTATCATCGGCGATCAGGCTCTCGGCATAGAGCTGGGTGCGAACAATGTTGTTGTACAGCTGCTGCTCGTCACTCAGGCGCTCGATGTACTCAGCAGTGTGGGGGTCGATCTGCTGCAAGGAGCGAGTAAGCTCGTCATCCAGACGCTCGATGTAGGACACGATGCTGCCAGGAATGTAGAAGGTCTCGCCATCAGCGACAGTGGGGAGCTTCTCATCATCCTCCCATTCATCGGCAGTCTCAGAGATAATGAAGTTGCGGTGCTCCTCCAGAACAGACAAAAGAGTGCCGAATTCGCGGTCAGCGTGCTTCCACTGATCGGGGCTCATATAATTGGCGGAGGCCGAGGTCAGGTCGAAACGAGTAGAGATAAGGGTCAGGTAGACACGGATGCGCTGATACGGGGTGTTGGCCACCTCGAGGAGCTTCTCCATGGTGCGGATCTGATCCAAACGGTCGGTGTTCTTCTTTCCTCGGGACTCAACAATGACGCGGAGGTGCTTGAGGATGCTCTCGGGGGTGTACTGAAGAGTCTTGCCACCACGGCCGACGGTAGCGAAACCGTCATCGTCGCCGGCGGCAGCGGCAGCAGCGAAGTTTTCGATTTTCTCGATCCTGGTGGGCTTGGGGGCGGGGGTGGGAGCGGGTTTCTCAACCTCCTCCTCGCTGGCCATGAAGTCGTCCTTGGCGGCGCGATACTTCTCGATCTGGGCAGCATATTCCTTGTTGTTCTTCTTGATACGCTGCTTGACGGCGTTCAGGCTCTTCTGGCTGCTAGCGTTCATCTTCTTGTTGGAGGACTTCTGCTTGCTGGTGGTCTCGTTGACAAAGTCCTCGAGGTCGGCAACGGCCTTGACGTAAACTTTAGGGGTCGGGCCGGACTGGTTGACCTTGATGATCATTTTGTTAAGGTTGTCGAACTCTAGAAATATCCGTTGTCAGCCTCCAAATCCATATCCCAGATCAACACCGGCCGCTATCCCAACATCGGGTTGATCAGGCCGTCTGAATCGGTACAAAAGAACACTCACCAGTCGAGATGACAGACCAGTCACCGATCTTCTGAGCGTTCTCGATCAACTTGATCGTGTTTTCCAGACCCTCCAATCGCTTGTCCTTGGCACTCTTGACAACTGTGACCTTCTCCTCATCCTCGCTCTCCTCGCTGTCGGAAGCATCCCTCAAGAACTTGTTGATACCGGTCTTGCCGTCGTCAGACTCATCGGAGTCGGAACCAGAGTCGGAAGAATCATCGCTAGAACCCTCGGCTTCGCTGCCTTCCTCCTCGGAGTGGTCGTAAACATCCTCCTCCTCGCCGGAGGAGCTGGACTCGCTGTCGCTGCCGTAGAAGAAACGCGACGCCATGCTGGATATGGTGATGCACGAAGGCCTTTGTCAAAAAGTGAATGGAGTTGAATGGCGGGTTGAGCCACACACGAAATTTAAGCGAGGGGCTGACTAAACCCGATCGGGACTAGCGCCAACCGGAGTGACTCTCCGCGACTTTTTTTTGGTCTACTTGATCTATACTTCGTTGATCATCGATTGTCGCGAGGAGGATTTACAAACAATGCTCTTGAATTGTCGTACACGCTCGTTATGCCACGGCCCAACTGTTTTGAGCGAAAGAGCCACACATTAATCTAAGAACCCAAACACGAACCGAGAAGAAAAAGAAGAAATCCCCGAAGCAAATCAAACATCGACGCGCACGAAGGGGATCGACTACTCAGACATAGATAAGCAACTTTGGTGATATCGTTCTTTCATACTCCAGGCTATGCCAAAAAAATGACCACAAAGAACGAGAGCAAAAAAATACAGTAACAATCATTGCAGCCGCTACTTCCGAAAGAGTTATTGCGTTAAACCATTCGCAAGGCAGAGGGGTAAACAGGAAGCAGGAAGTACAGGAACGGGAAGAAAGTGGCCAGGTCACATTTCAGAGAGATCCGACCACACTCAATATAATCCTCACCTCTTCGCAAGCGACTGAGGCGTGTTTCGACACAAAGTAAGGCCGAGTAGCGATTTCTGCCCTCTCCACGGAGAAGCCACGTGACAAAATTCATGCTGGCTTTGGCGCGAGGCAAGTTGCTTGCGAGGCAACAATGATCATAAATGACTCACAGTCGAAGTGACTCATGCTAAGCAAATATCACTTAGCAAGGATCATCGGCAGGAACTGGGTGGGTCAGGAAAGAAGGTGCTGGGGGCATATCGAGCAAGTCTCTAGGCATCAACTAGAGAGCAGAGGGGGGTCTAGCGCCGATAAAAGGGAGAAGGCGCACGCTCCAGGCGTATGATGCTCGTGTGCGAGAGATAGGATCCTAGTACAGAACTAAAGACGGAGCAACCGCAATAGGCACTTGGCAGAGCGAACCCCAGATACCCTGGTCGTACTTTAGTGCCACTGATTCTGATTCATGTACCCTTCGCTCAGGACCCCGTCCTCGAGTGTGCGGATAAAGTCTCGGTTGCGCTGGTTTCCATTTCCTGTTGCGTTTCCGCTTCCGCCAGCTCGACTACCACGGCGACGTTGTTGGCCAGACGCATCGACGTAACCGTCAGCAGGGGGCGGGTAGTAAGCAGGACTAGGCTGCAGGCGAATGGGCGCGCTAGGGTCAAGGTGGCTAGCCACTCGCTGGATTGTCGGCGGAATGCCTCCTCCGTCATGCATCGTAGAGGCACGCTGACGGCCCGCCCGTGTTGTTGCTTGAGCGTAGAGGCTCTGCGATGGGGCATACTGAGGTTGAGGAGGAATCTGGCCTGGTACCATATTCATTTGGTGGCCATACCCGGGCGGTTGTGTGGGGTACGGAGGCGGCGGTGGTGGTGCGCCTTGCTGGTACATGCCGTTATACATTGGTGGGGCCTGAGCATGGGCCGGAGCATGGTACTGGTTCATCTGCATGTTGTACGTTGACTGCGCATGAGCCGCCTGCGCCGCGCGCTGCTTACTAGCAGCCTCAGCCTGCTGCTGCTGCTGAACGCCAGGTGCGACCGTCTTATTGATGGTCGAATACTTCAAATTCATTGGGGGCACAAATGGGCCAGTGAACTTTTGCTGAGTGATGAAAGGATGAAGCTTCGCCTGCTGGGGAGACCATCGCTCAAGAGGGTTGATGGACAGTAGGCCACGCACAAAGTCAATAAATGCGACTCGATTGTTGAGTTCTGTCGAAATATATCAGAATTTGCCATCAGATTGCATAAGAAAAGACCAACCTCGTTCCATCTCAGCCTGCTTCATGTTCTTTCTCGGCATGGGGTAGCTCCGAATGATCTCTTCTAGGGTCGAGGCAGAAAAGTACTTCTTGCTTGGCTGTTCCTTTGTGTTATGCTCTCGCGAGTATTGTTCCAAGCTCTTGAGACGGTAGGTCTTCCGCCCATACTCATCTGATGTCTTTTCAAAGAACTCGCCTGATTGCTTGCCCATCTCAAGCATCCATGTTGGAGGTAGTCCCAGCATCTCAACAATCCGACAGACCTGGTTATATTCAGAGGAGCCGGGGAAGAGAGGGAGGCCAAGGAAGAGCTCGACGACGATGCAGCCAAGAGACCACATGTCAATTGCGGATGAGTACCTATGGGCTGGTCAGACCATGACTGAGATGAAAACGAGGGACTGGATATGCTCAACGTACGGCAAACCAAGTAGCACTTCTGGTGATCGGTAAAAGCGCGATTGAATATATGTGTAGACGGTCTGCCGCTCATCGCATGCAGAACCGAAATCAATGACTTTGATGATAGGGCTCTCGAGACTATTGTCCTCGTGTTAGCGGCGTGTTCAAAGGGGTCCGGGGTTTAAACGTAGACAAGACAGCTAACTGACTTCTTCAAAAGAATGTTTTCCGGTTTCAGATCACAGTGGATAAGGTGCGCTTTGTTGAGAAGGCTGAGAGCGTTCAACAATTGCTGCGCGAAGACACGGACGAGGGTAGTACTCAATCCGCGGAATTGATTCTGTTTGATCAGCTCGTACAGGTTGACACTGAGAAGCTCAAAGGCAAGACACAGATGCTGCCGGTGGATAAATGTATCCTTCAAACGCAGAAGGTGATGGTCATCGTTCTTATCGTACTTGCTGTTGAGCTGTAGGGCGGCAAAGTAAGCAATAGGTTCCTTATAAGATGCAGATGAGATAGAATCTTACAAGATCCAGTACCGAAACCTCCATCATACTCTGGTTGAAGTATGCGGTCTTGTTCTTGATGACCTTGACAGCCACAACCTCTTGTGTTTTCAGGTTCTGGCATTTCACCACTTGACCGAATGTACCTTGGCCCAGGACATCGAGAATGAGGTAACGGTTCCTGTAGACTGATTAGACAAGACAAGACTCGATCGATGGGAGAGCGCCCTACTTATGACCAGCTTCCTCGCTACCCAGAATATCATTGACGTATAAAATGTAATCGCTGTCTTCGTTGTCATAACCATCGTTCTTCACGCCCTTGCTAGGCTTTGTTAATACGCGTCGGGGGGTTCCTGGACGACTCGTAATTGAAATTCGGGTTGCAGATGCGGTACGTCGAAGGAAGGTGCGTAGTCAAGGCTTGGAGGGGCTGTGGAGCACAGCCATTAGTCTGTGAGCTGAGAAAGAAAGGTTTCAGGGATCACTTACGCTAATAAAACCACCCTCTGGGTTCGCACGTCGGTACGCAGGTTGAGTGTGGACCCGCGGTTGCAGCTCCTGAACCGACTTGATCTTCTGAAATTTGGGAACCGGACCACGTCCAGGGATCTGTAATGGCAGGGAGCCGGATCTTGGGGATCGTGTGCCGGGGCCGAATGATGAACTTATGTGGGAGGATGCGGACGGGGGATAATACTGGTCGGGGCTGAGGTCGCCCGCCTGAAGCGGGGGTGGTCTAGAGGCTCGATTCGCTAAGACAGCCGTTAGCAACAGGTAGGGTGAGCTGAACACGAAAGGCGACTTACATGGCGGCGATTGATATCCCTGGGGAGGCGATGCATAGTCGGCCGACCTGGCCGGCGACCGTCGCGCTTGGCCTGGCGCCGAGGGCGGGAAGCCGTAGCTTTGCTGGGACTTCCCGGGGCTCGTAGGGAATGACATCGGCGGCGACAAGACATTCATGGGCGAATATCTGCGGGCGGCCGACGACTCTTCAGTCTGCGAGAGGAATTGAGACGAGGCGCGATTGTGATGATTCGGCCTCGAGGGGTACTTGGCACGGTTGTATGGGTCCGCGTCCTCCATAGTGGCATCCGCATCGGTGACATAATCCCGGTTACGTGGCGTGGCGGTCGGAGACGAGGCCATGGAGACAGGCTTGGAGTTGGGACCGGCAGAGGAAGGCTTGGAGTTGGTGCCGGGAGTTTGAAAGGTCTCATATTGGAACCCGACCGGGGGCTGTGACTGCGGTGGCTGACCGTACTTCGAGCCTAGTTGCTGAGGATGCGACGCCAACCCAGTATCGTACTGCGCAGAGTCACCCATCAGGGGATCCTGGTAGGGCTGCCACCCAGAGTCCATCGTGAGAGAAAATATTCGCGATCAAGAGAGAAAGTAAGCTCTGTCACCGTCACCGTCACCGTACACAGTGCACATGCACTGCGATCGGGGGGTGCGAGGGATCCTAGCGGGGAAACAACACAAGAGGCGCGACCACACCCAAGGCAACTGAAGGCACCGGGAAATGATGATTTTTTGCGACAAAGAGAGAATGGAAAAGGTCAATTTCAAATTGAGCAGCCGCGCATTATCTGAGAGATCGATTTGGATGGATCCGAGCTGAAGTGCAGGGGGCGGTCGCTCGTTGCGCCGTAGGCCACAACTTTGGAAGGAGGTTTAGACCGAGTGTATAAGACAAGAACGTCAAAGAGCTCTGTGAAGAAAAGAAGGGGGGTAACAAGGCACAAATCACAGATGGGGTATACCCAATTCCAACGTGGGGAGGGGAAAGAGGGAAAGTGGAGAGGCACAGGTTGCTCCGTTGACTTTGATGGGATCGTCGCGAAGAATTCTAAGTGACAATTACTGCCTCGTTCAATTACTATGTGGGTGAGGGTCCTATCCCCGGGGCCCTTTTGGGATCGTGATCTCGACTCGGTGATCTCACGACTTCGTCTCCTCGGCGACGCACTAGTTTTGAGATTGTCGCGTCATTGCATACCCAACTGGTGCTGCGGCGTGAGTGCCCGATCTCAATTCCTTCAGCTGAAAGCCTTGATAGCCGTAGTGGGTTTTGCCGTCCTAGCTCATACGCACGGTGCCTTTAGTTGATCAAAGCAGCTGATAGGACGGAACAGAATGATGACGAGGGCCCTAGGATACGAAGTCCACTATGAACGCATCGTACCACCAGCGTCCACCAGCCAAAGTCTGCATATCATATCTACGCCTGGAAGTGGTCACAAATTTGTTATTATTGTACTTTCCCACATGCTACGTACGTACACTCCATAATTTGTTATGAAATCCGCAATGGAAGCCAAAGGCAAGAGATGACTCACACTTTCACGTGACATTATCGGCGGCTCTCCAAGGCGGTGGACTGTTCTGCCCATGGTTGCCTCCGATAACGAGAAGTGGCGTTATCAAGGCAAGATTCAATTGATTCTTCGAAGATGCTTCACTGACTGGGGTTGTCGCCATGTCTACTTGCATCTTCTCTTGACATAGCTATCACGCACTGACCGGAGTCCCTCTTTATTGTTTGCTCTCCGATCTCTCCTTTCATCCAGCCATGGCCACCAACGATACCGAGGCCAGCCGTCTGCAGGAGCTTCATGCAGTCGTGCGCGACCAAGATGACTTAGAAAGAGATATCACCAGCAAGGTTAGTATCTCGTCATCTAGACATTTGTTGATGCTCACTGTCTTATAGGCGGACCAAATCATCGCGGAAAAAGCCGAAGAAAACGACATCAAACGCCTGGAGAAGGCCTTGAACGGAAAAGAGTACGTTGGCTAACACGACACACTTTTGAGCACAGAAATTCTGACTTGACGTTCTTTGCAGGAAGATTGACGCCCAAATAAGATCGGCACGCCACCGCCTGGCTCAGCACGTCGGAGCAGCGACCCGCCACAAGCTCGAAAATGAGCTACACAAGCAGGAGCAGCGTCGAAATGAAGCACAAAATGACATCCGAGAGATCCAAAAGCGTATCGATGATCGGCGCAAGGCCCAGGAGGCTGGGACCGGTCCCCAGGGCCCTGGTCGACAACTCAACGAGTCCCGCCGCGACTACCTTCTTCGGACGGGAAAGATCACTCCATTCGATCTCGCGGCTGCCGGGACTCAGCACGGCGACCTCTCGACTCTCCAGGATGCCCTGGACGATGCAGAAGATGAACAGAAGCTGGAGGAAGAGCGTGCACAGGCGCCGAACGAGCCCACTACGTCCCACCGCAACCTTGCGCGCCCCGGACTGGATTTTGAAGAGGGCAGTGAGAGCAGCGTCACGGCAGGTACAACCAAGCGAAGGAAACTCGCCACAAGCCCTGAGCCCATAAAAATACGCAAATCTAGTTCGCCCGATGCCGACTCTTCTGCGAGCTTTGTTGCCTCCGATGGCCCGAGTGCGGAATCGGAAGATGATGACTTCATGCCCGATACCGAGGCCGGTAACACTGCTTGCAAGCGCAAGCAGACTAACACCGAGGCCGAGTTTGAAGATCTTAGTGGTGTGGATGACGGGAATGAAAAGGTCTACCAGGATCGCCTCCAAAAGTGGATCAAAAAACGCAGCGCCGCCCGCAGACGCGCGAACCCGGGCACTAAAGAGGAAGACGAGGAGCAGGACGAATGGCTCAAACCGCATCCCACTGAACCAGACATGGAGCTCGCAAATGGACTCCGCATTCCTGGAGATATCAGTCGATATCTGTTTGACTATCAACGCACGGGCGTCCAGTGGCTCTGGGAATTACACCAACAAATGGTCGGTGGCATCATTGGAGACGAAATGGGCCTTGGTAAGACAATTCAGGCCATCTCTTACCTTGCGTCTTTGCACCACAGCAATCTTTACGACAAGCCCTCAATAATTGTATGCCCCGCAACGCTCATGGTGCAGTGGGTTAATGAATTCCACCGCTGGTGGCCAGCGTTCCGTGTTTCGATCCTGCACACTTCTGGTAGCGGTATGATGAATCTCAGCAAGGAGAGAAATCGCGAGAGTCGACTGGCATCGGAGATGATGGGCACCAGCTCTTCCCGCCATATGTCGGTCGGCCAAAAAGCTGCCAAGAGAATCATTAACCGCGTGACTGATGCCGGCCACGTCTTGGTAACTACATATGCTGGCCTACAGTCGTACGCAGATCTTCTAGTTGGCGTTGATTGGGGATGTGCTATTCTTGACGAAGGTCACAAGATTCGCAACCCCGATGCTAGCATCACATTCAGTTGCAAAGAACTTCGAACTCATCATCGCATCATTCTATCTGGAACTCCTATGCAGAACAGCTTAGTTGATCTATGGTCTCTTTTTGATTTTGTCTTCCCAATGCGTCTCGGAACCCTGGTCTCCTTTAAGAACCAGTTCGAAATCCCCATTCGCCAAGGTGGATACGCATCCGCGTCAAATCTTCAGGTACAGACTGCTGCAAAGTGTGCGGAGACTTTGAAAGACGCAATCAGTCCTTACCTCCTTCAGCGCTACAAGGCCGATGTCACCTCTGATCTGCCCAAGAAGAGCGAGCAGGTGATCTTCTGCAAACTCACCAAGTGGCAACGAACGGTATACAAGAGGTTCCTTGGCTCGGACGACATGCGCTCTATATGCAGAGGCAAAAGGAATTCTCTGTTCGGAATCGATATCCTTCGAAAGATTTGCAACCATCCGGATCTCGTTGACCATGCACTCCGATCTCACGAGACCGATTACGGCCAGGGTGAGCTGTCTGGCAAAATGCTCGTTTTGAAGGGCCTTCTTGAGGTGTGGAGAGATACAGGCCACAAAACTCTATTGTTCGCACAGACTCGTCAGATGTTAGACATTATTCAGAAGTTTCTTCTGAACCTTGGCGACTTCAACTTTCGTCGCATGGATGGAAATACCGCGATCAAAGACCGCCAAAACATGGTGGATGAATTCAACACCAATCCTGACATTCACGTCTTCCTTCTTACCACCAGAGTTGGAGGTATCGGGGTGAATCTCACTGGGGCTGATCGAGTCATTATTTACGACCCAGATTGGAATCCGTCGACTGACATGCAAGCCCGTGAGCGCGCATGGCGTCTTGGCCAAAAGCGCGATGTCACCATTTTCCGTCTCATGACCAAGGGTACGATTGAAGAGAAGATCTATCACCGCCAGATATTCAAGCAATTCCTGACCAACAAGATCACCAAAAACCCCCACCAACGAGAGGTTTTCCAACTTGGTGATCTCTACGATCTATTCTCTCTGACTGAGGAAGACGACAATGAGCTGGAAACAACTAGGCTCTTCAAAAATGCCGAAGTGACCTACAAAGAAGAAGACCAGCCGACTCCCAAGAAAGGCAGCGCTGGTGGAATGACCAAATCCCTGCCTCCCAAGGCTGAAGACATCAACACCGTCCCAGGAGTTGCCAACATTGAAGAATTCAAGAACAGCTCTGAAGAGGAAAAGGAATCCCAAAACGCCGAACAACGTATTATGCACGGCATCTTTGCGCGTTCCGGTGTTCACTCCGCCCTTGAACACGACCACATCGTGGACGGTAGACGCGCAGTCCGAGCCGACGCCAAAGACATTGAGCGCGCAGCCCGCCGCGTCGCCGACGAAGCAGCCGCAGAGCTTCGCAAAGCCGAGGAGACCGCGCGCACCGTGCCCATCGGCCTTCCAACCTGGACTGGCCAGTACGGAGTCGGCGGACGTGACAATCTGGGCGGTAGTTCCGCACGTCCCGCCCGAGCTGGCCCCTCCTCCGCCAACCTCCTCGCAAACCTCAATCCTGCCGCTGCCCTCAACAATGCCCTCCCCGCAGTCCCAGACCGCATGCCCCGCGGCAAAGAATTCATCCCACTCATCCGAGACTTTCTTCTCAAGCGCCTCGGTCCCGTGTGGAGCCAGGTGATTGTTGACAATTTCAACCACTTCTGCACAAATCAGCAGCGCTCAGTTGAGTTTCAGGAAGCACTGAAGAAAGTGGCTAAGCTTGAGCGGGATCGTGGTGGCCGTGGCAAATGGGTTTTAAAGCCTGAGTACATACCCTCTCCGCCATCAGAGTCTGCGCGCAATGTTCCGAGGAGATGAGTGTTACTATGAGACTTTTTTTTTTATTTGCGATTTTCATTAGAGATGGTGTTTTGTACGATAGGGTGATTAATGATTCGATGACTGAGATCATGATAATGATAATACACAAGACTGTGCTAGTCGCAGCTAGGCACACAAGCAACGCTGCGGCCGCACCTATTACAGACTCCTTCAAAAAAGACGTGACGTGTTTGATTCCGTAGCTCTGTAGAATCAGCTTAAGCCGGTGAACTGAGGTGGACAAGTTGTGATTCTCACCGATTACCAGACGATTGCGACTGTTCAGAAAAGTAGATATTGTCTATGAGCGATAGTTCGGGAGATCTCTCGTAGTTGACTTCCGTTTCGCCATAGATATATTAGGACAGAGTGTATTGATTCAGGATCAGCCTACCCCTATCTTGAGCATCTCCGGCGGGGCGGGCTGACCAGCTTTGATGCAACTCGCACCAAGTGTAGCTGAATGTCCTTGGGTCCACACTGCCAAGCATGTAAGGGTGCGGGGTCTTGTGGGGGGGTCTTGTCCCACGCACGAATTTACGACTGAAGCTAGTGAAAGCCCGCTATTCAAGCCGCAGCTGAACCCGTCGGGGCATGAGATAAGAATGGCATTCACAGGTTACTTCGATTCTGTCTGCTTCGTCAAAGAGTTTAAACTCGAGATGTTTGACTCGGGACGGGCCGGTGGCATGTGTTGGCGCCCTTACATGAGGTTTAGACAGTCAATGAACTTGCCCAGTCGCTGCAGTAGTCTTTGGGGAACTATGCTCGCGTAAGATCTATCTATCAAGTTCTCCATTCTTTTCTCCATTCGGGTTCGATACTCTCAAAATTGGGGCAATCAATGACGAACTGATGTTTCTTAGCGTGTGATAAGTGGCTGCGCGTGCATCATTCACGTGTCGCGTAGCACAAGCAGTTTGTCCATGAAAACAAATCATTTTGAAGATCCACGGGCATGATGTTAGATCCTTGGGTCTTTTGAGCTGCAAGACGCGGCTACAGTCTACTAGATAAATACCGTGACGCCACTATACACATGATTGTGGGGCACTGAGGTGCTTGTTCGACACCTAGCATCTGCGAGGTGACGAAAAAGAACGAATAGCTCATGGATTTGCAGAGAAGAACTATGCGACGTATCTCATTTCCCTCGTGATCTGCATAATCAGACACACTGTGACATCAAGCTACGTTTTTGTGACTGGTTATGGGGCTGGAAGAGAGCCCACAAGGGAATTAGTCTTGGATACCATGACCTTGCTCTATCTAGAAATCCTCTTTTAGTCCAAGTTTCACGCACCTTGAGAAATATCATCATGAAGTTGCAATATTTCATTCACGGCCTGTGCCTTCTTCAGGCTGTCGAGGCACAGACGGCCAAAGACCATTTCGATGCAGTATGCGACTCTCAAAGCGAGCAATCCCTGACTCTAGGCAGCGGAGAACAATTTACTTATATCTGTGTAATGACCGCAAGAGAAGGCCACAGCAGTATCATTGACACCCTTGAGATTATCGGATCTAGCGGTGCTTGTGCTGAGTCCTGTGCCGCCGTTGCTGAATGCAAAGGAAGCACTTGGAACCACGTTTTGGGATCCTGTGTGCTCTTCAAAAACGCCGAAGATCTGGAAAAGCAGAAAAAGAGGGCTTTTCTTGCGTCGTGTGGAGAAAAATTCTTCCGCAGATTGTACGGCTATCCAAAACGAGCTCAAGGGGGTGTGAGGAGGCAGAGGTTGTACTGGAAGACGATCTCATTTCCTGCAAACTCGCCCATACTTCATCAGAGAAGGCGCAAACCGATCTGAAAGAAACACTCGAAGCTTGTGAGTTTGAAAGGGATTTTCTTGAATCCAATACGGCACCCGCACAGGACTGCGAGAAAGCGAATACCCAAATCGAAGATCTCAAGCAAGAGCTGGAGCAGTGCAAGTCTGCTACTTTGTCTAGCGCCCTTGATCTACATGAATGCCAGAGCGCAGCTGCTTCTGGTGCCCTTGAATTGCAGCAATGCAACGCTGCTGCTTCTAGCTCTGGACTCCCTGCATTCAAAGATTGCAATACGGGTGGTGATGGACAAATTGTCAAAATCGGGAACAGGAATTTGAAGCAGAGGTGCAATGCACTGATGTGGAAGAGTCAGATGAGCCTTAGAAGGGTTATGCAGCCGGGCCTCAATCGATTGGAGTGTGCCCTGATTTGCGCCCTTGATGCCGGGTGCCAGAGTGTTTACTTCGTTCAGTCGACGTCCACAGTTGGTGAATGTCAGTTGCAGCAGCAAAATATCGAGTCTCGATAGGGACGAGGCCAAGACATTGCTTACACCCTTATGTGAGCAACAGGTATTTGATCAGGGACATGTTGGACGTTTTCCAATTTTTCGCGGATTCACGGCAATGATGGTACGAGCAGCTAGTGTCAGGTCAAATATTGAGCAATTTGGTCGAGTTTTGGAATGGTCATCTGCAACTGATTCAAGAATGAAATGATCGCCACTATTCGCTGGTTAGTCCTTAGTGTCATTGCATGGGCTGTGCTGGGCTTCATCTCTCAAATTTTCAAAATTGGTTGGTTATTCGCAACCTTATGCTCACGCTATTCAACCTCTTATCACTGGTTCAATGACAGGAGGTCGGTTGTCAAGTTCGAAGACAGTCTCTCAAATCGTATCTATCACTCTACGTAGTCGCGCTGATATCCCGAGGAATCTAAAAGACGTGAACTGTGATCGCGCAGAAGATAATATTTAAGTCGCACAGCCTTGTAGCGCTTATCCATGACCCAGAGGGTCGGACACATGATACGGAGTGTATGGAATGATGTCTTTGCGCTCCTCAGTAATTACTCACAGAGTACCGTCGACAAGTGATTACAATATGCAGTCAAAGGGCAATATGATTAGCCGAAAGCCTAGTTAAGAACCCTCCATCTCTATGCTAAATTTTAGAAATTCTGCTTTCCAATGAGATTCCCAAGCAAGCATCGTGTGTTACTGATTGAAGTTGTTCTGTCTCTTGACGTTGTGTTCTGCCCATCAACACGGCGTCCAAAGTCACATTTTCAGGCGGCAATGATGTCTCAGAAGCAAGCCACATGCTCTCTGAGAGCTAGGATGACCTATCCGATCGGCAACTCTGTGTAGATCCCGTGGCCTTGGAGTCGACACGGTGCGCAGAGATCCAATGGGGGCAGCTTTCTTGCAAGGCTCCGAGCACGGCAAACAGGAAATGGATTGTGGTAAACGTTGGGGGGTTTCTTCCGGGGATAAACCTCAGCATTTTATGCGTGGTGGAGCAGAAAACCAGCAGAAAACCAGTTGCAAGTCCCGGGAGTTTAGGGGTTCGGTGCCAAGTGCGGCTTTCCATGGATAAAGCGAACCAAACTGGATAAATTCAAACACATTATGATTTCATAACCACCTTTTGGTCCCTCAATTAGGAAGAGTGCAGGTACACTATTAATAAATCAATGCGCATTTGTTGTATAGAGCTCGCTATAACAAGAAGATCTGTTCATTAAAGGTGCTCTTGGACTGGGCACAACGGGCAGCAGGGGCTGGTGGGCCAGGATCTACACCCTTCGATCTGCTAACTGGTGCACGAATCCCCGAAACACCTCCCCACTCGCTGGAGAAAAGCTCCAAGCCGATTATCGCCCGTTTCATTATCCCCAAAGCAAATTCAGGATCCGACAGATCTGCCTTGCACTCTTTATCCAAGACAATTATGCGATCCACGGATTTGGAGAATCCTAAAGTGACTATGGAGTATTTCGCCGGGAGACTTGCATCTGCATCCGACAGGCCTCTTGTTCCAGAGGCCAACACCGCCATTTGATTCAAGCTTTGAGGCCGAATATAGACTACGCAGCACGCCTTACAGAGGCAGGGCTACCAAGCACAACTGGGCCCTAAATACAAGGCCCTGGCACTGACATGTCAGCTAAGGCCAGCCACACAGCCACCGCCTGACAAGGTCTCGGAGAGCCAAGGATGCGATCGCAGATCACCAGCTTTCCTTGGGTGCCGCTATACTCCATTGACTCCCCCCCCCCCCGGGCAACCCAGCACCTTCTGTCTCAGGATAAATAGCAGCGTCATTTCCTCGTCACTTTCAAGCAGCACCCTCACTTTCACTCCGATTGACAATACCCAACTCGTCACCTATATACACTCCCTCCCGAGCACGACATCGCTACTGTAGTCTATCAAGCCCATCTACGCTACGCAAAATGAACCTCTTCACCACCCTTCTCCTCGCAACCGCGGCCTCCGCCGCCCCTCTCGAGAAGATCTTCAACCTCGTCACATCGGGTGCCTCCACCAGCCACAACAATGGTCTCTACGTGACCACGGAGTCCACCGGACCCTTGAACAGCAACGCCGTGCTGAGCACCAAGGCCAACGCCGCGAGCTTCTACTTCAGCAATGGAACTGTTCACTATGAAGCCCCCAATGGCGCACCCTGGGCCATGGCTCTTGTCTCCGGTTCCGACTACGAAGATGCCGTGGAAATCAGCGTTGATCCCACAACTGGGAGTGAGGGCTTTAAGATTGCGAAAAATGGCAATTTGTCTGTTGCGCAGCCCAGCTGGGGTGGTTGGTTGGGTAAGCTTTCTTTCCTCTTTGATCTTTCATCTGTGTTCTTCGTGGACATTAGAGATCGGAAGCTGACTGGAATTTAGTCTGCACTGGCGAGAGCGACCCGGCTGTGTACTATGTCAACACCAAGGCGACGAGCGGGGCTTTGAAAGCGGGGTGTGAGAAGGTGCAGCTGAAGGCTGTCACGAAGACCTCTTCTTATACTTGATACTTTGGTTGCGCTTGAAGTGGTAATGCCGATTCGATAATGGTCTTGATTTGAGGGGATTGTGTCCGTTGTCTTGTGTATATCTTGAGTCGTGGGTTAGACAATAGAGGGGTGTTTTAATGATATTCATGATTTTTCACAAGTCCCTCGTTATTTGTCGGACAAGCAGCTATCAAGGATTCTTATCTTCTGATGGATCACTTGACTGAATAATGTCTAGTCAGCACTTTCTCATTGTAAGTCTATGTTGGGCCACGAAAGGCCTCCAAGAATCTGGCATTCAAAATTCGATGTCTCGCCGATCTACGCGGGGATTCTCAGCTCTTTCAACCTCGGTGACAATATGGATTCCCATTGAGTGAAGAAAAACTATGTTCCATGTGTCTATTTGGAGCCTTTCAGGGTTGTGATAGACCTGCCTGAGTTACTCTCTTAGTCCCTTGCCTGAATGGAACACTTTCAGTACTTCCAAGGGTGGGAGTGCAAGTACCATGGCTAGACCGATGTCAATTCAGGTCATCAATAACTATATAGGGATCTCTCATCATTCGATTCTCGAATATAGAGTCAATGCATTGACAATGTTATGATCGGCCTAAAAATAGCCGACTGTCTCACCTCCCTTGAAAGCTATCGCCCGTTTCGGTCTAGCTCCATCATACATCCCAAACACCTTTTCCTTCACTTTCTGTGCCACCCTTCCGACCTCTTGACAATCTCTCTCGTTTCAACTGTCGCTCGTTTGACAATTTCCACCCTTGTTCGCTGTGGTGGTTGTGCATAACCCCGAGACCCGCGCTCCACAGAAGCATCCAGAGCTCCTGAACCCACACTTTCCGCCGATCGACACCACTCAGGGTCCATAGTGGTCACAAGCCCGATAGCGATTTTCCCACGCTCCAGATCTTGCCAGAGGCGCTGAAGTCGAATTCCTCGATCCCTTTCAAACTTCATTATTCCCAGTCAAGACTCTCTCGTGACTTTAGACGGAAGTTCGCTGCAAGGGGTTGTTGATTCGGCTCTATTACCCGCCAAGGGGATCACTCTACCCCTGCTGTCCCTGATCTGCTCTCCTCTACAGCCGGATCTGCATCCACAACACTTACAATGCGGTTCTTCGACTTTTTATCTTTGTTTGTGGTGCTGTTGCTAGGCACTGTGGCCTCGGCCTGGCCATGGGGGTCCCAAGGAGAAGTCGTTGCCCGTGATGCACTTCTGGACAGGCGCGCAGGTACATAACCCGATTCTGATTTTCTCAACAACGAGCTGACCATTTCCCAGCATCGACCACGACCGAAGCTGCGACAACTGACACCGCAACCGCCTCTACGGGCACTTCAGCCTCCGGTACCACCAACACTGCAACCACTGATGCTGCAACCACCGATACTGCAACCACCGATACTGCAACCACCGATACTGCAACCACCGATACTGCAACCACCGATACTGCAACCACCGACACCGCGACTACGGGCGAAACCACTGATAAGAAAACAGACACCAAGACGAAGACGAATACGAAACACACCACCTCCACCTCGATCTCTATCGACCCCGCTGCCGCTGCGGGAGGTATCTCGATGCTCACTCCGTCTGCCCTATCGACCACCTACTACAAGATCGGACAGGATATCACCTTTGTGTGGAACTACACTTCGCTCAGTGTGACTCCCACTGCTGTCGACGTTGTTGCCTCCTGCAGTGCCAACGCTCAGATCTACACCCTCACCTCCAATATGAGTGCCGAGGCCACCGGAACCTATATCTGGGACACTGGAAAATACCAGTCCTCCGCCACGATCCCATTGTTGACCGCCACCTACACACTCTTCGTCTATGACGCGAGCAAGGCCCTCACTGACACCGCCCAGGCTGGCTACCTGAGTTCGAACCAGGGTTACAGCTTTGGCATGTACAGTCCCCAGCCTTATACTCCTCTGGGTGGTAAGTCCCCTTCCATTCTCCCCGAAGTCGATTCAACACTAACATTTGCAGAATTCAAATGTGCCACCTGCAGTGGCTCCATCTCTGACATCCAACGCCAAGGCATTAAATTCGCCCTCGGCATGGCATTTGTCACACTTGCGTCTTTCACGTGGTTTGTCAGCGGCCTAGGGATTTTCTCCTGATGACCCACGACTCACCTCCAGCAGAAGCGGGAAATGGCATTCTCATGGATATATTTTGAGCTGGCGTTGCTATCTTTCAAGCGAAAATCTGGGTTCACGATAATAGCAAGAAAACCGGCGTTTGTTTACATGTGGATTTTGGGATGCTTCATGTCTATGGTTTTTTTGTATTCCTTGCATTTTCTTTTTGTCTCTCTTTGTTTAATTTTGCATCACCCGCTACTCTGCCATTTTTGCGGCCAGCGCAGGATGCAAGTCCAGCCAAAGGTCTCGTTTCCGTCTTGTAATATTCTTTCGGCTCCGGACTCTTACATCCTTTAATACATGCATTCTCAGCACAAATTAAAAGGAATATTCTGCGTGTGCGACGTTGTTTCAACAAGATACTTTCAAGAGTTTGGTGCTGATTCATACAAAGAAGGTGGATGATGTATGTCTCTGATAATGTCAAAGGGCTTGGTAATGCTCGTCGTTATTTGATGCAAAGGTGCTTTGTAGATGGGTCTATCTCCCGCACAAGTTATCCACCCTAAGGGCAATCGAAGAGAGGGAAGAGCCACTTAACATGGACTATCATTGATACAGTACAGTAGTTTTCGAAATCACCTATATTGCGCCGTCTGTTGTATTACTGCTTGGTTGCCGGAAAATCATTCCACTGGACGCTGGTCTCTCTGGCTCACCCCTTATAAGTTCGGCAGAACTGTTATCGTAAATTCTATTCCCGTCAGTCAGTGACAGTCATAGTACCGTACTATTACATGGATCACCTTGGATCGCCGATCTGGCGATCATGCCCGATCGCTCGCTAGCTTACCTCTTTCATATATGCAGCGCAGCCCCTGACTTCGCACGCCAGTTACAATTCAGAAGAAGGTGCGTATGCCATACAGTACAGAACCCAATCTGACCGGGTTTCCGAAGATAATTTAACCATCACAATTGATCTTGGGTAGAACTTCATCGTCTAGCTTGTCCAATGGTTCTCCACCCACGACTTTGAAGATTACCGGCGCTCTTGCTTTAATAGAGTTTTGCTTAAGGTAATAGTGTCAAATCTTCCTGCCGATGACTAAGCTATTCACGTCGTGTTCATGGCAAAGCCAATCTTAGTTTCTTAGAGTGTAAATAGTGAGAGGGTCCTCTCGTGACCCCCTTTTTTCCTCCCACGATATATAAATATATGGTTCTCTTGCAGATACAATCATTCCCTGTAAAGTTGTCCATTCTATCTTCCCCGCTGACCTCACGAAAGTCTTTTTCGATACATTGACAATGAAATTCGCCATGTTCGTGATCGCCCTTGCCGGGCTTGCGCAGGCCCAGAGCCGAGACGACATTGCCTCGTGCGCAGTCCCTTGTCTGGATGATTCCATTCAGAGGCACACTTCTTGCTCTGTTACAGATGTCGCGTGTATTTGCCGCAACTTCGACGCGATCCAGGGTGCTGCTATCGGGTGCATTCTAAAGGAGTGTGGTTCAGACGTTGCTCTGAGTATGACAGCCTTTCATATGATTATACGGAAAACTCAGCAGCAAGCTGACTTACTTGGTTTTTAGACAAAGTTTTGCCCGCTACTCAAAAGCTCTGCGCAAATGTGGGTCGAGGATAGTGGCCTCAGACGAACACGAAGCTGTTCAAGGCCCTAGGTCCTCCTCAAAGCTGCTTGCGGTCTCTAGTCTTTCAGCTTCCTGAGAAAACGAATCATCAACAATACTTGAAGAAAGCTGGTAAGAGATGGAAAGGGTGCCCAATGCAATAAGCTACAATTATGTACTTTTATAGAAAAAGAGGAGAGTCATTCACCTTGGTCATGACTTGGCATTTCCGTCATCATTCTCCCTGTAAAATTGCTGCATTTAGCTTTGCTGTGATATGAGACTGGTGCAGATCAGGTGTCAATCCGCACAATCGTGATTAATCTCTTGATCTTTATACGAGGAACCAAGTTGATTGGAAATCAAACCTTATCTTTTCAAGGAATATATGACCTCTCGTTTCCCTGTGAAAAACACTGAATCTTCCTTTGAACTATAACAGTCTTCGGCCATACAAGATACGATATAGCACTGATTATCTGTCGTATCACGAATAGTTGAAGGTCTGAAGCAGGAAGCCTCAGACCCATGTCGTTTTAAAATTATTTCTCTCTAAATGCAAGACTTGCAAGAGTGATCAAGTGAGGATGGCTGGATGCTGGAGGGTCACGGAGGTAGCGTGCGTACAGTATTGTACTTTCATGTCAACCACCTTCCAGGTTTCACTCTCGTACTGCAAGATTCAGACACAATTTTGAAAGGCGGTCTGACACGCGGAGTGGCCGCGAAATTACCACATTAGAATCAGCGTGGTTTCGATTACTATTCAAGAATTAGGTCGAAAGAGTTTGGAGAGTATAATCAATTTCGGAAAATAACAAGACATGCGTCTTTCATTGCTGACTTTCCTCACTGTACCGGGCATTGTTGCGATGTCTAGGTCAAACCACAAACACAAATTGGCGCAAGCACGCTGTAACGATGTGTCTCGGAATCCGACTCATGTAGATCTAGCGTATAGAAGTTGGGACAATGAAAAGAAATGGCCAGTGCAGGTAATCTGTGCGTGGCTTTCAAGCACTATGTTGCACTATTGCGCTATAAAAAGTTGAATTATCTGGTTTGATTGCTCCCAGACGCCTTATATTCTGTTGGCAGTTTCCCAGTCCCCAGTATTGCAATCCCTAGATCCCTCAATCTCGACAAGTCTCCCTCAAGTACCGCTAATAGCTCATATCTCGTCCCGAGCTCCCACGAGCTCACACCCTCAAACCATGGGTCAACCTCAAACTCTCGGCTGGATCTGGCCAAAAGACCAACGCCCCGGAAAACCCTCCCACTGGTCCCGCCGCTGGCGTTTCCGCGACGTCCTGACGAACAAGGGCCCTGATATCTATGTTGGCGTGATCGGCAGAAACAAAGGATCGGGAGACGGGGGAGGAACAAATTGGCATCGATGGACGAACGATATCACCAACCCCGGTGAGACAGACGAAAATGACACGCCTTTTCCCTGGGCCCGTCGGAATCCCGGCGTGAGATACGACTTTCGGCAGCGGAAGTACCGGGTTCCAGACTTTGCCTCCTGGAGTCAAGTTGACTACTGTACCGGGGCGCGGACTAGGGGACTGTTTTCGAGGCCTGAGGTGCATTATGTGCCGAGGAAGTTTTGGGATAAGTGGGGGAATGAAATTCCGTGTCAGGGGTGGCATGATTGGAATCATGGGTACCATGTTGATCGGTAAAGGTTTCTGGATACTAGATTGGGGAGAATCGTTGCTCTCTGGGGAGTTTGTTGATCAGATGGGAGTGTGTGGGTGGTAGAGCTGATTAAGCGCAGTCGGAATGCAATGCGTCGAATGTGAAGATGCGCTGTTCATCCTGTGATTGTTGGACCGCCTGAACACGGCGGATTGTGGGGAGTTGCGCAGCATTGTTGGTTAAACGAGTGCATCTGATACACGGTGTTGACTTGATGTCAGCGTATGATGAGATCATGTCCTACGAATGAATCAGTATGAGGAGTTTGTGTTTTTCATGTCAGGCAATGTCCATACCAGTAAGAAAGCCAGATCCCATTTGCGCGGCCGTGAACTCAAGCAATTCATTATAGAGTTCTCCAGCCTAGTTGGGGAGCGGCCGGGAGGTGCCTTGGCTCGAACTTGCCATTCAGAGGCACCGGGTGCATCGGCATCTTTCACTCCTTCAATCAGCAGAATCATTCCTGCCTTTGCGAGCGCAATGCCCATCGAGAAGGGCTTTTGACTCTTGGCAACACGAATGCCGGGAATCTGTCGTTGCATGAACTTCTCGACAATAGTCTCCCATTCCCCTTCAGAGGCCTGAGCCTTCCCACGCTCGGCATCCTCCTCTTCTCGTTGAGCCTCTTTTTCTTTCGTCTTCTCAGCTTCGAGCAACTCATTCAGGAGAACGTCGTAATCTTTCTCCCAAATTCCTGTTGGTTGCAGGAGCTCACCATTAGACTCTCTGATTCGAGCCTCTACATGCGACCAAACCGGCTGTAGCTCCGGACCCCGCCACACAGATTGAAATTTCTCAATATTGCTGAGCCTGTTGCGGGCTGATTTGTCCAATTCGTTGCGAAGCAGAGATGGTGTCTCGGCAACTGACTTCAAAGGCGATGCCTTCGAATTTGAGATAGGTATCAGTGGCTCTAGGACCCCATCGGGCACGGACTGGCGCAAGACATGGATCTGAAACTGTTAGTTTGAAGACGCGGTAAAGGAATGTGCCATGATGAGAATCCTATGCATTGCAGAATTTCAAACTTCAAGGAGTCACAATTGGACGTCTGTACTGACCTGTCGTTCAAGCTCTTGAAGCTTTGCCAGGGAAGCGACGAGTTGAATCTCGGACTCCCAGTTGATCTTGTTGGCGTCGTTGCCATTTTGGGACTCGTTTTTGACTCCAGGAATCTGCATGCCTGCTTGAGGTCTCGCAGAGCCAGTGGGAGGCGCAGTTCCAGTCGGAACAGTAGACATGGTTGGAAAATCGTGGAGAGAAAGATTGCTTGAAGACCGATAGCGTTGATCTTTGTGCTCCAAAGCAAGCGATGAGTTGCCCCGGTAAACTCAAAAATTATTTGTTTCACGGGAGCCTGAGTTTGTAATACGATACTGGGAAAGCAGCCAGCTGCTATCTGAACAAAGCGCGATGCCTGTTAGGCCTGTTTTCAATCTTGAAGGGAGGCGGAGGTTTGATGTTCACAACCTTGATGCAAGGAAAGGAGTGAGAAGGCTGATCTTATTCAGAGACAGGCCGATGATTTCAGCAGCAGCTGAAGATCTTATTGACTCTTGGGCAATTGATGGCAGAGTCCATTGATTTTCAGGCTGTCTGCGAACGAGGGAGTCGCGGAACACCACACTAGCCACACCCCTAGCCACTGTGGCGGCGCAGTCACGTGATATCACAGAAAGGCCTTTTCACTTCGGTGCATCATCGGCTTCTGTCTTTTTGACTGGGGTCTAGCTTGTTTTATGCATGGATATAGCCTGGTCCTTCCATAACTAGACTGGAAAATTATGTGAGGTTCCAGTACTGCGATGAGCTTTTGTAAATATATTTTCCACAACCTTTCAATGCAAGAATGTTTTTGGCAAAAGTTTTTCAGGTAATGATCATCTGGGCAGCTTTACATCCAAAGTAACAAAGTTAGATCTAGTGGAATTGCTTAGAAATAGTTGTCTTAATAAATATCGTCAGGCTTAATTAGCCGAGCCTTTAGTGTCTCGTGGAATTGTGGACTTTCACTATCTACTGTCATCCTAAGGCAAGGATCTTCTAAGTCAATTCAACTCACACTTTGATATAAGCGGGGAGTCAGGGAATGTCTTGAAGATCATATAGTCTGATCAATGTGTTTTGAATGAGGCCCGGAGACCCACGAGTGAGGACCAAACTAACGCGCGGAGAGCACAATGTAGAGAGCAACCAATGACCAACATAGTATCAGACTGAACCTTCCTAGTTTACGACACAGTATCAGTTGGGAAGGTACTACATCTACATTTATTGATAAGTTGACATTAAAGTAATCCAGTATGAAAGAGACTGGACTTGGTCTTATTCTGATACAGTTTTGGTTTATTCAAATCTTCAATGATAAACACCAATCAAAATCTGTAAATTGGCAAGGAGTTAAGGTAAGATGAGGTATCAAGCATTGAGCGTTCCGAAGAAGTCTCCACCAATTCAGCTTCTATGGAAGTACTCTGTGCTGTCTACGATCGACAACCACGAGACGAATACATCGTTGGCGAGCGCTGCGCCATTCTCTCAGCCATTGAATTGGAGGATTCTGTTAATAAGCAGTCATTCTGGAAAATATTTCGTAATGATGAGATCAAGACTGGTCAGCGTGTTCTCCTTGCATGGGGTATGCAACTTATGAATCAGGTGGGAGGAATCATCCTCGTTGTCTATTTCGCTCCGAGTAAGTCAATTAGGTCGCTGTCTGTGGGTCAGACATCTCTCATGCCCAATGTTAGGTGTTCTGAGAAACAACGTCGGCATGAGCAGCCAGATGGCTCAAATTCTCGGCGGATGCATTCAAATCATGTTTATGCTCGGCTCCCTCCTACCAGTATTCATGCTTGACCGCATGGGCCGTCGGCGCACTATGATGATCGGCTCCCTCGGGTTGGGCTCTGCATGATGATGGTTACAGCGCTGCTATCACAAGTCGACAAGCCGAATGGTACATCCTATGCATCTGCATCAGTCAGCCTCTTCTTCCTGTTTATGCTCATTCACGGTATGTCCATCAACTCGGTTCCGTGGGTTTATGTACCGCAGATTTTACCTCTCGAAGCTCGTACAAAGGGAACAGCCATTGGCATCAGCTCCAACTGGTTGTGGAACTTCGTGGTTGTCATGATCACACCCGTGGTCATCAATCGCATTCAGTGGAAGGCGTATCTGATCTTCAAGATCAACAACTTTTTCTTTGTTCCAGTTGTCTATTTCTTCTACCCAGAGACTAGTAACCTACGCTTGGAGGATATTGATTTGATCTTCTCTCGTGGTGGAGACCCAGTGAACCAGGCGCGGTTAATGGCTACAGAGATCAAGGCTCACGGGTACATTCAGAATGACAGTCCCATTGGCGAGAAAGATATTGAAGGTATCAATGTGGAGCATGTCTGATGAGCATGTCTCACTTTGGATTAAGGCCTCCGCTTTGGGCATGACCTTGCATGAAATTGTACATGAAATTGAAGTTTGCCTCGATGGGGGCCATGAGGGGGATCGGCATTAAACGAAAGCTCTTATGATAATCCGTAATTGCTGGTGAACATGAACTTTTAAACGAAGTGCCGCCATGCACTTGCAACCTGTAGCAACGCCACCCCTACAACACCACCCCTTCATATCATGCAGCTAGGAGATCACACATCCCTGCAGTCACTTGGCAGCCTTAGGCGGGTACTTCTTGCCATCCTTCTCAACCTGGGGCGAGCATGAGCACCACTCGTCCTCCGGGATCGAGTCCATCACCGAAGGGATATGGGCACCGCAGCCCCACCAGGTGACCTTGTCTATTCACGATTAGCAATGCACCTTTCGTACGACTACCGTGAAGTTGAACATACTGCAGGTAGAGCACTGAGCCTTCATACACATGCTGGGCAATTCTCGGAAAACCGATGTTCGGGAATCTCAAGGGTGAATAAATGAACAAGAGACGGACGGTGATGTGGAGAGATAACAGCGAGCGGGACGTGGTTTTATACACTTTTGCATTAGTAATAGCCCGTAGCCAGGAGACGCCGACCAGTGAAGCCCGAAAGCCCGATCTCGATCTTTCGGCCTCCACTCCGGACGCGTTAAGGGTAAGAAACCCAGTGGTCTGAATCAAAATTCAAGGATAATTTCGAGTTTTGTCAGGGTTGAGCTTGTCACAACCTTGGTAAGTTTGCGCTCTCTCTGTGCAGGTGAAAGAGTCAAGCGAAGATTGAAACCGTGGGGCTCGCCGCGGGGTGGAACCCGAGTCTGGACTTCACTCTTTGCCCGGTGTTCCTGACTCGATCGGGTTGGTATATCCTTTGCGCAATCGAACTTCAATCTTGTCGCTCTTATTGATAATGGCTGTCGTCGCAGTTGCTGGGGGTACCGGAGGAGTGGGGAAGACTATTGTCGAGAGGCTGGTGCAGGAAGCCAAGTTCGATGTTTTGGTGCTATCACGGAGCGTTAGTACTTGTTTCATCATGCGATAAAGTCAAGCTCAAGTGTTTCTAGACCCCAAAACAGGACGCTACTCCTGGACCGGGCCGCTTTGTGCAGATTGATTACAACGATATCACGTCGATGACGAAAGAGCTCGAGCGCCACAATGTGCACACCATCATATCTGCCCTCGGGCTTATCTCGGATGCAGCAAGTCAGTCTCAACTCAACCTGATAGACGCCGCCGAGAGATCTTCTGTGACAAAGAGATTCATTCCGAGTGAATATTCTTTCATCCAGACACCAGAGTGAGCCCCTAGACCTGGAGAATCTATTATCGAGTATCTAACAACTACCTCTTTCCCCAAAGCTTACTTCCCATCGACCCCAGCATTCAATGGTGGCTTGACGCAGCCGAAAAGTTGAAAGCCAGCTCCTTGGAGTACACGAGAGTGATCCCAGGATTCTTCATGGACTACTGGGGAATGCCGAATATCAAAACCAACCTCTCCCCATATACATTCGGTATCGACATAAGCAGCGGCAGTGCGGCCATTCCTGGTGATGGATCCGACGTGATTTGCATGACCTACACATATGACATGGCGACCTACCTAGTCAAAGCACTTGACCTGAGACAAGTGGCCGGAATTCAGCGTCATCGTTGGCGACCAAGTGACCTACAACCAGATCTTGGCCATGGCAGAGGAGATTACCGGTACGATGCTCCACATCACTTACGGGGCTTACTTATTCACGCTAAGATCTTGTTGTATAACAGGCAAAAAGTTCAAAGTCAGCTACGATACTCTCGATCAGATCCAGGCGGGAGAAGTCACCGTGCCCCCTATGCCGAGGGGAATTGAGTACCAAGAGGACGAACTGAAAGAGACTACCGCTCTAGTCAGTCGGCTGACTGTGAATGGGGTTTTTGACCTACCCAAGGAGAATCGATTGAACGAGCGATTCCCCAACGTGCAACCTATTACAATGAGGAAGCTCCTGGAGAAGGCTTGGAGAGGCTAGCGAATGTCAAGTGTGTGTAAAAATATTATTATGGGACTGATGTGGAGAAGACCGCTCAATTCAGGAAGCTTCCAGCACAGGGATTTTCAAAAATAGACCAAACCAGTTCACAGATGGCCAACATACGCTCTACATTCTTCCAGATAAAGTAGACGATACGACCGACCCTTCACAGTACATTGGGCTCTCAACACCAACGCAGAGATCGCGACCGGGAATCAAGTTCGAGCAGTTGGAGTTGATATCGGGGTTCCAACACATGAGCTGCTTCATGTTGAATGTATTCCCGTTGCGAGATATAATGTCCCAACAGGTATCACCGGGTTGAACTCGGTAGAGCAGAGTACCTTTACGCTAATGTGAGCTGTAGTGATCACAGGACAGTGTGTCACAGACTCACAACTGGGAGAAATTTGAGCAGGCTCAGCGACCTTGGCATCACGACTTCGAACAGAATTATCGTTGATGGCGGCGGATAGGGCCAAGGAAGCCATGCCGAGCATCAAAATCGTGGCTCGCTTGCAGAAGACGAACATGATGGCGCGAGAGAGGTTCAAGAAAAGACCCAACTTTTTCCAGATAATGTAGGTCGCGAATTAGATGTTGATCGATGAAGTCAATATGGCAAGACATTTGTTTACCTGGCCTCACTTTATATCGGGACAGTCCCTCTCCTACCTGACAATCAGCTCAGACCACCATTTGCAAAGTCTCAGAAAGTAGTAGGCCGCTGAAACAAGGTGTAACTTCGTTACAGCATGAATGGCCTCACCTATCTTAACAACAGGTTGCATCCACCGGACAAGTTTGCAACCTTGATGCCATGTCGACCAAGAGCGCATGTCTAGAAGATAAACTTCGCGCAAGCCTCATGAAATCCCCCCCAATAGTTGACACCCCCAATGCACCCATGGTGAACTGGGATCATCGATTTGATGGTCACTGCAGATGTTTCGGGTAGCTGTGGTGTGCGCTGCTTCACTGTTACATAGCATATGAAGAGATGTAGTTCCACCACCAGAATCACAGTCACTTCTTGTCAGGGAGACTGCCTGGTCGAGGTGCATGGACGGTATGACCAGTTTTCTAGGCGAGGTCGTCGGGTAACGATGGGTGAGATTGCCAGATAGAGTCGATTTGTGTAACTGTTTGGTTTAAACGTCTGAGTGGATTGTTTTTGTAAGCTTTGGGCTTGGCATGGCTTGAAGTATTATGTTTTGCAGGATTGTCTGTGCCCCGATCGGCTGGAAAGATTACTACTGAGCCGTGCGGAGTAACATTATGAAAACTTTGGGGTTGATTGGTGAGTCTGGAAAGTTCAGTACACGGGGATGTAGATCGGTATGATAAGTGTCGAGAATGTTTTTCATTGAGATATGTACTGGATAGCTTCGAAGTGATTAGTAGGTCCTAAGCATATCAAAATGCCTTTTGGAGCATATCAAATTGTATACAAAGCATGACGTGTAAGCAAACACGGGCCAGATACTGTTACAGGCCTTTCTTATCACCGAGGAACTCTAACCCGTCAAGCGACCCATTCTTCGCAAACTTCATATCATCGAAATAGTTATCCCTTGGAAGCCAAGGGGCCCGATCTGCCGATTTCGGGAAACTATTCTCCGCTTTCAGCACATACGTAGAGTTCAACGATAACAGCCTTCTAGGCTGCAACCCTTTATCAGTCACTGGATTCAATCTCGGAACGGCAGCCTTGACCCCGCGATCGCGCATTGTCTGAAGCAAACGACAAACAAATTGCGATGTGGCATCTGCGCCGAGCGTCCACGACGCATTGACGTAGCCGAGCAAAAACGCGGCATTGGGCAAATCCTGAAGCATCATTCCGTGCCAAGCGAATTTATCGGGAAATGAAAGGGGGTTCCCGTCGATGGTGAGCGAGGTACCGCCGGCGAGTTGGAGGCGGAGGCCCGTGGCCGTGACGATGATATCTGCGTCAAGCTTGGAGCCTGAGTTTAGTTCGATGCCAGAAGTTGTCACTTGACTGATTGTGTCGGTTTTGATGTGTGCGCGGCCGGCATGAAGAGACTTGAAGAAGTCGCCGTCGGGGCAGACGCAGAGGCGCTGCTCCCAGGGATTGTAGCGTGGCTTGAAATGCGGGTCATAGGGGATGTGGCTTGGGAGTTGTTTGGTGGTTCCGCGGCCAAGGAGCCAGCGGGAGAAATTGGGGAAAGCTTGACAAAAGAGGAAGAAAATACGCGTCGTGTAGAGGTGACGGGCGCGTTGGAAGCGGCTGTTCAAGGATCGAGGAAGGATATAGCTTAGCCAGGAAGATGCTCTGTTCGGGAGCGAGAGGATGTAGGTTGGGCTGCGTTGGAGCATTGTGACTTCCTTCGCCTTCTCTGCGAGGTTAGGAAGTAATGTGATTGCTGTTGCACCGCTGCCGATGATCACCACTTTCTTGTCGGAATAATCCAGATTCTCGGGCCAGAATTGAGGATGGATCACCTGTCCTTGGAATTGTTCAATGCCCGGAATTTCGGTCTGCAAAGGCGTGTTGTAGTCGTAGTATCCAGTTCCAAACACCAGGAATTGGGCCGAGATGGACTTGGTTTTGCCATCATGCTTGACGCTCACGGACCAGGTGCTCTCAGGTGATGACCAGTCAGCGCCTAACATGTGGTGTTGGAACTTGATGTGCTTCTTGATTCCATGTTTCTCGGCGGCACCTTCCAGGTACTTGACAATGGAGGGGCCATGAGCGATCGGGTTATCCGATTCCCAGGGGTGCCAGGCAAACCCGAAGGTGAACAGATCCGAATCAGAGCGGATTCCGGGGTATTTGAAGAGATCCCAGGTACCACCAAGATTCTCGCGAGCCTCGAGGATGGTATATCGAAGCGTTGGGAACTGAGACTGAAGGCGGTAGGCAGCGTTGAGGCCGGAAATCCCAGCCCCGATGATAATTACGTCAAAATTCTCATCCATTCGGATCGAGGGATCGATTGTGAGAAGGAAGATGATGCTTTTCGTGAGACTAGGCCTTCTCGGCGTCTTTTATAATTGAGAGGGATCTGCCTCGGGTGCGTCCCCGAAGTGAAAACTTGCGGGGAAAAAGGGACGACCGGTCAGGTATGCTTACGTCGAGATAGCTGTTTTGGGGAGAAGCATAAGTGGAGATTTCTGGGGAAGCCGAGGTGTTCCCCCGTAGAACTCGACTCGAAGCACTCAAAATAAGGATGCCTTTGCACGCGAACAGGTCTCCTGTTCAGGTTAGCATCCGAGCCGCAGTAACCCATTTGGCGATGTTTGCGAGTTGACTCCACTCGGCCAAAAGTTCGCCTGAACCTCGGCCCCATTTCTCCCGTGTGGTTGGTTAATCCGACTCTTTGGGATCCGACTCTCCTTACGGTTAGCTTTGCGATAAGTCAACGAACAGATCGATTTCTATAACCTCAGAACACAAGGATATCTCTAGAATGATGACTGAGGTTTTATACGTCGTCGTAGTGAGGCGCATCCTTCCGTGACAATTGCCCGCTTGCGACCGAGCTATCCGAACGATGGGACGATTCCTTCGAGAACTCGACTTCACAGTCCTCCGGCGTCCTTGTACCAACAGGCTTCGAGACTGAGCAGACGCAAGGAATATCGGTACCAGGAATCTTTGATCCTCCCTCTTTCCTCAGACGGTACATCCCTCGCAGCTTCAGATATAGAGGTCGGACTGTCAGCGCCGTGGCACAGACGTGGGCGACGGATGTCTCGGCACATGTCCAGTAGAACACTCCTGGGTTCGTATACGAGGGATCTTGGATCGAGACCACGTGTGCGAGGCTCGGGATACGCGCAGATGCGATTGCAATAACTCTTCAACAATCGTCAGAGGGAGGTTGGGTTGACTGGGGGATAGTGGTGCGGCCTACAGGATTCCGGTCCCGAAAATCGCGTATAACGCGGCTTTCTTGGATTTGGACACACGGAGTTTTTGAAGAAGAGGAAGAGGAAGAATGAGGATTGCAATTTCCGTTGCAAGGTTTACGCCTGCGTTGGCATAGGCCAATCCGATCACATCGAGGCATCGGGCATCGCCTCGGTGAAGGTCCCAGATGCTGTGAATCGGGACGCATTGCCAGATGATCATCGGGACAAGAATCAAAACAGAAATTGTCAACAGAACCATCGTGATGATGAAGTATCGATGGGAACCCGTTTTGGGGAAAATTCGAACGTAGAGGCAGAGGATTGACATTTTGATGAAGTAAATCTCGACACAGTAGAAGATTTCGGCCAAGTAGTCTACCAAAGGTACAGTTAGCCTACTGCAAGTGTATCTTGTGTGTGTAAAAGGGATCCACATACACCATATGAAGAGCTCTCGAGCCTCAGTCATCGACGAGAAGTTGATATCGTACATGTGGTACCCCATGCCAAAGGTGACACCTAAAGTTAGGGATTAGATCGCTTCGCAGAGTCTCCGTGATTCGATAAACATACAGAGATTACTGAAGATGGCCAGAGGTATGGCAAGCGCCTAGTCACAACGTCAGGAAAAAAAAACCACTTGTTCCCAGTTTGCTTCCCCTCAACTTACCCCAGCAGTGAGATGACACCAGTCATCCCACCAAAATCGTATCGTACAGAATCTCGCTACTATGCGAAGCCCAACCATGAGGAACGCGGCAATAGCGCTTCCCACTGCCGCTGATCTCAGGGCCGCGTTGTGATTATTGTGCGGTAGATCGCATCGTTGCGCCCATTCCCTGGATAGTTCTGCTTGCTCGTCAACTTGATGATTGATGGACATTTAGAAAAAAACCGCCTTTACCGATAGCATCTTGGTATGTGCAGTTAAACACCACACACGTTGATACTCGATTCTTGATGTCCGGACTATCGCATTGACATGCTGCATCTGAGTACGAGCAATTCGCAGCTGCAAAGCCCTGCGCCCAGCAGGTGGACTAAGAGTGTCAGTAGTGAATGATGCAATCAAAAGGAACCGGACTCACAGCGCATGGTGACAGTTGGCTGCCCGCCGCGTCTCGTAATCCTAACTCAGGGAATGCGACGACAGAGCTGAGCAGTAAGAGCCAGACAACGAGGAGCGGCCCGAACAAGCGCCTCATTCTGCAGACAGCATTGAGCTGCGGGAGAAGCAAAGAGCCTACATCCTGATGGCAAGACAGAAGTCATCGCTATAATTGCATGAGTTCTAGAACGAGTTCCGCATCTTCCCAGCCGCATTTTCGCCCCCCGCCAAATGGTTTCTCTTACCGTCTTCTCTATGAAGAGGCAACCAGCTACGAGCGAATCAGGGTCATGAAAAAAGGGTTATGTTCAGAATGACTTTAGCGGGACCCAGCCAACATTGACTCATGCCCCACTATCTCCAAGTCTCGATCTCTCTCGATCAAATCTCGAGAAGCAGAAGGTCAAGCTTCAAGTCAACGACGTAATGGCGAACTCAATCAAACTCCGAAATTCACCCAAAGACGCCAAGACTATCACCACGAGGAGGTTCGGCCGAGATCCGCAAGATCTAACTCAGTTCTCATAGTTGCTGTCATTTCACATGTCTCTCTGGAGTCGAGTACTGCTTGGTTGAGTTCATCCTCAAGTTTTCGGGGATTTATCTACCCGCGGACAAGCATCCCGGCTCAGGCTACGAATTCGGGGTGATCTTCGGTGCCGACGGTCGGGCAGACACAAGACTCCGGAAACGACGCCTCGATCGGTATATTCGCCGTGCACAACCTAATTTGACGTACCGAGGTTTCTTCGAATGTGGTTTTCCTCATCGATAAGAATGGGATATAAATACGATTAGCTCGAGAGGAGCATGTGAAAGCCACATTTTTGCGCTCCGTCATATCTCAATTTTCAGGTCGAGTCACTAACAATGGCCGGGGAGATTCCTGCCTCTATGAAGGCCTTGGTTGGCAACCGGTCGGTTTTTTCTCGAATTGCAAACTTCGCGCTCGGCAAAGCGTCGGGAGATGGTGTGCTCGTTCAGAGCGTTCCGGTGCCTGAGATTTCCGACAATGAGATTCTCGTCCAGGTTTCCTGCGTTGCCTTGAACCCAACCGATTTCAAGCATGTTGATTTCCTGTCACCTAAGGGTGCTATTATTGGTTGTGACTACTCGGGAACAGTCGCGACAATAGGGTCCAAGGCCCCCCGGTAACTGGTCCATCGGAGATCGTGTTGCTGGCGTCACCCACGGCGGACTCTACCACGATAAAGGCTCCTTCGCCGAGTACCTGAAGATCCCCGGGGACTGGGCCTGGAAAGTTCCTTCGTCTGTGACTGACGAGGAAGCCGCCACGTTCGGTGTATCTGCAGCCACTGCCATGTTGGCCCTGAATACTCGCCTGGGCGTCCCTTGGATTGACGGTGGAGAGAATCAAGGATCCAGAGATACACCGATTCTGATCTACTCCGGAGCCACCTCGGCTGGACTTTACGCCATTCAGCTAGCCAAGCTGGCGGGACTGACCGTCATCGCCACTGCATCCCCACGCTCACATGACCTGGTGAAAGAGTACGGCGCAGATGCTGTCTTCGACTACCGATCACCAACGGCCGCCGAAGAAATCGCCCGCGAATACCCAAACATCGACAGAGCTCTGGACTGTTTCTCCGAAGGGAAGTCGACCGATTTCTGCGTCGACGTCGTTCGCAAAAATAGAGGCTGGGTGGTGACCTTGTTAGACAGCAAGAAGACGGAGTCCCATGGCGTGAAGATCGAGTTCTTGCTCGCATACTCGGTCTTTAACTCGGAGTTCCAATGGCTTGCACCCATCGGGCCCAAGTTCCCCAAGAAGCCTGCGGATAATGAAGCTTTGCGCCGGTTCTATGCTTCATTGCCGGAAGTATCAACGAAGCTGAAGACGCCACCTCTCAAGAAGATTGCATCAGGACTCGAGAATCTGCGCGTTGGACTTGATATGCTTCGCCAGGGACAAGTCTCTGGTACAAAACTGGTAGCATCCTTGAAATGATTGAGGACCCAGGGCGGGAATTATGAGTTGTCTTTTGATGGATGTGTACCTAATCATCTAAATAATACCTTCCCATCTTCGTCGCTGAACTACACCTGCATGTGCCGTATTCTTAAAAGTAGAAATGGTAATTTTCAGAACCATCAAATTAAGCACATTACCTTCAATATCTTGGCGGAGTGGGCCATGGCATGAAGTTATTACTTCCCCAATTACCTCCCAACTCTGCGGTTGTTGGTGCCGTTCGCTCCCCGTCTTCTCATTCTGAGTCCGCTCACTTAGCGTGACTGTAATTCAAAATAGACATTTCTGATCATTCAGATCATGCATGTGCTCCCCACGATCCTCATCGTTCATGGTGCCTGGCATATGCCTCCCTACTGCCAAAGTTACATCTCCGCCCTGCAAAAATAGGGCGTTCAGGTACTTTGTCCGCATCTTCCAACCTGCAATTTCACTTGGATTTCAAATTAATTTTCAAATTAATTTCAAATGGATATGCTGAAAATGAAATGATCGTCTCTCGTTCATATGTTCATTTGTGTACAGATTTACATCTCATGCGTATGTGCAGTTGTATCCGTATTCACAAGCGCGGACTCCGATCCAGCGCAGCCACCGTAATTTCCGGCCCAGATTTCTCCACAGAGTACGATAGAACAGGTCTATCCACCATTTCATATTCTTCGTCTCCCTCAATTTCTGCCTGATCATTGTCCCAGTCCAGTGCTACCCTCCGTGATGATCTTCCAGGGACGGGTGTATCATCGAACTCTCCAAATCGATACCGTCGTCCGAGGGCCTCGAGATGAGCGCGCCGTTCCTCTTCGCTCCAAGTTGATGTCCCTTTGAACTCAGAGAGCATTCGGCTCTGTGCGACCAAGGGAATAAGTGAACCGATCGACTGGGGGGGTCGGAGGACCGTTGTAGTACCGGTAGCGGAACAAGAAGACAGCCATCAGAACACAAAAGTCGATGGAGAGGAGGACGATCATGATCAGCAGAACGGTATTGGAGGGAACAATGCCCCATGCGGCTTCGGCAAGGGTGGCGTTGATAGTGGTGGGCGCCGTGGATGGTGGTAAAAGATCCAGGTACATGTGGCGCCACATGCTTGTGTGGAGGCTGAATGCTGATTGATAGATTGATCGGATAGCGCGGAGTTGAATGTTGTTGGCGTCTGTGGACCAGGAGTGTGTTGCATTTCTATCTTCAAAGGTATCGTAAAATTGCTTCGTCAGAATGGAGGGCCAGTCTAGCTGGTGTATGAATGCTTGCGTGAAGATAACAAGGGCATCTGTCACGTTCTGGAACATCGGGCCGCTTGTTATGGCGGTTCCTGGCACTGGCCAGTGAAACTTGATCAGGCCGGATGGTCCCAAGAGGATTTCATGATCTTGGATTTGAATCTGGGGCTCACAATGGAAGCCAGGGGGGGCTAGAACCAGATGCCGAGCTTGCGAAAGCTCCGTAGTTGATAACCGCAATGGACCTTTGGCATGATGCGTTGTCACCCTCAGGTGCGGCAAGATAAACGGAACTGTTGAATGAGTGGTGGCCATCTATCGCTCTGTCGAAGGTCACTGTACAGTTCGTGTCGGCCGGATCATCCCTAGGTTGGTATGTCCAGTTGTATGCCCCAGAATGACCGGTTGAGGGAGCCGAAGAGATCTCGGAACAGTAAAGATCAACGCCGATACCCCGTGTGCGGACAGTATACATCATCCAATCAACGATACCCTCGTCGACGGCATCAATTGTATACGGAATGAAGGAAGTATTGAAACTTGTCCATGAAAGCAGCGGACTGTTGCTGGTCAACGTATCTTGGACAAAATTAAAGCCATGAAGCTCAAGCCGAACATCTGGATTCAAAAACCGAGAATCGTAATACTGGGCGGACAGATCTGTTGTCGTGTCGTTCCAGTGATACACGATTGGCTGGAACATTCCACTGCTGGCAATGATAAGGATGAAGTCCAGAAGACAAACTGAGGATAGAACCATCAGGAGGATCGGTTTATTCAGGCGAAAGAGTTTCCAGATAGTGACGGGAGTGTAGGACGAGTATTTGGTTGTCAGAGATTGCCCAGCTGAAGCCATGCCTTCTCGGAGGTGGACCCAGGGTTCAATGTGGCACAGATGGCGATGAACAGAAGTAAACAAGGTGCTGATCACCGAAGCAATCACTGTTGGGCCGTAAATGAGATAAAGATAAAGAATTGTCACTCCCGTACTGAAGTCATAGTCGAATTTATCAACGCGAATATAATTTACTGATATTCCAAATGCGCTTATAACGCCAGCGATTAAAGCGCATTCAATCAGAAACCATGTCGGCTTGAGAAAATGTGGTCTGGGAAGTCTTCGTGTCCGTGTACCCTTTCTTGTAGGAAGAGACCACCATCGAGGGGACAAGTCGGCATTTTTGAATGGGATTATTGCGATCTGCTTCCCATCAGGCCCATCAGGCCCATCAATCCATCGGCATGACATAGTTTTGCCAAGTCGGCGAAATTCACGAGGTGTGGTTTTAGAAAATTCCATCTCGGAGTGAGTTATTGGGTCGGTTGAGGCAAACACATCCGTCATCAATGCGCATTGTGCCGCGATGGACCCGGGGTCGCCGTGAAGGAAATGAGGTCGACGCCGATATATGAAGGCCAAAGAGACAAGCACCGCAAAGGCAGCCAGGAAGATAGCTTCGGCGATAATGGCGGAGTCTGAGTCGACTCCAAAGATGATCTTGTCAGTGGTCTGTTTCGCGTAGACGTGCTTCGGGTCAGACGAGGTATCAAAGAAATTGTTCATCGACAGAACAAATTGCTGTTTCCAGAGACCAATAATCTCCCGTTGATAGTTCGCAATACTAACTGGACTTTGAGCATCGATAGCGGCGCCATCCAGACCAGTTGAACTGGTCAGTCCAGGAAGTAAATATGAATGGTTCGAGCATAATGGTGCCAGGTCGTTTTTCAGATATTTTGTGAACAGCAAAGATTGGAATCCCGTTGCACTGAATTCTTTCGAGGTCAAAGGTATTTTCACAAGAGAAATGTTATTCACAGTGGCGAATGAGGTGTTTGAGGGGAGCACGACATTTGCCGTCGAATGTAAGTATGTACTGCTGCATCCGAAAACGGTGGCAGTGGATGATATGTTCTGGAGTGATGAAGTATTGAAATCGAAGGTAACTCCTAACAAGGAAAACGCCGCGCATCCTGTGTGATTTATAGTCGATGTGCCAGAGCTGTTATCTGCAGATAGAGGCTCCCAGTGGCGTATTTGATGGGGGCCATGTGTGGTCGGCACAAAGCCGCTGACAGAGAAGTTGGCAGAGCATTTAGAGCTCGATGTGACACCGGCCGGATTTTGGAGGTGGATATTGCGGATATTCCATGTCAGCTCAGTCGGCGTATCTCGAGCTGAAACTGTGGAGTTCGCAATTGCTTGATCATGGGGAATGAAGTCGTACAACGTGGTCGCTGTACAGGTCAAATCAGCCCAGTATATAGGGTGTTGCAGCTCCCACGTCGAATCATGGTGGCTCATCCCATGACTTGGCCTTGAGATTGGAGGTATGGCATAGTCCGAATTGCGGTAGAAGAAATATGTATTTAACGTTGTTTCTGAGCCATTGTGAGAGCGAGCTGTTTCTCCTGCCAGCTGGGCATTCTGAGCGTCCAAGCTCACGACATTAGGCCATATGTTGACAGGGTGCCAAGAGACGATGTTGGTCATGTCAAGATTGATGAGCCCCGATAATAGCGACGGGAGTAACATGCGGAGAATCAATCCCATCGATGAGACACATGCCACAATCCAATGCTTGTTCCGAACCGCCATGATCGGCGCGACAATGCCATAAAAGAAGGAAAAATTAGTGAACAACATGGTGCCCGGGCACCTTCGGGGTTGGCCAGTTGGTAGTATGGCTCCAGGCGAAGTACATCCAGGGCACAGACATTCCATAATGCTGCAGCTATCACAGCAAAGGCCGTCGGAGCATAGGTATACATGCCCGAGGTGAATTGCCCGAGCAGCGTATATGATTTGAGATGGACAAGGCCATGGTTGTGCTTCGAGTATTGGCGAAGAGATTCAATGGCGATAGCGACGAGCAAAAAAAAAGTAGCAACGCTGAAAAGAAAGGGACGTCGCAGTGATGTTGGCATCCATCGCGTCTTCGCTGACGTGGATGTCATACTGGGGTTTCGGCATAATCAGCTCCCGCCAACACCTCCTGATCGTCCAGTAACCACCTCCGTGAAACTGTCAGGGCTTTCAACCATATATTAGACTGCCATAACTGACTTGATCACCCGCTTCAAGATCGATTCGGCCAGCTCGACATGAAGCGAAGAAAAGCCTCGCTGACGGTCGGAAATTTCGCAAACCTTAGCGTCACGTGTCGTTGGAGCCTCCAGGGCTATTGGGCCTCGCCGAAACGTGGGTCTGCGGCGGGTCAGTCTGTTTATAATCCCGCCCACGGGGGAAAGATCTCCACTCATTGACTATTTCTTTATTGTCACGCTCGACGCATGTAGCCCTTTGCAAGTAGGTCCTGAGATTGTGTCACCTTTCTACACTCTTCACCCGCTTGGTGGTACTCAGATCCTTACATCAAAGTATTCCTCTACTGTCCAAAAATAGGAGAACCTCGCGCACTACACCCAAGTTCGACTTTCATGGTTCAGCTCTATTCACTGCCCCATCCTCCTCGTGCGTGACCTGGCTCCAATTCTTCCGGCTGCGAACGTAGTCCCAGCGTGGGCTTACGTTTGACCGTGTAAATTATAGCCAGCAAGGGGACCTTCGGCGATGAAATAGTTAAATTAAGCTTGTTTATATTATAGAAATGTCTAGCGCTAAATCCGGACGGACTTCAGTAGGTCTAATGGAAAGTAGACCGTGAAAAGGGCCTATCCAAAGAGTGATCAGCCGCATAAACCGGGGTCAGAAAAATCAAAAGATGAAGTCCAAAAGGTGAACAAAAATGTAGCTGTATACAAGAATATCATGAAATGTAAACACACAGCAGTTTTCTCTGAAGTGAGATCATTGAACTGTTAGCTATACAAGGAAAGCGGCAATACCCCATGCAACCAAGCCCAAAAAGCCAGATTGAGCGACCTGGAGAGATGCAGCGCCATTAAAAGCAGGAACCATCGATGTAGCTGTGGAATGATAAGAATAAGAAGCGCTAGCAGCCGTAGCTAATGTAGAGGAGGCTACCGCTGCTTTGGTAGTGCTAGGAGTGTGTGAAGCTCCGGCGTAACCACGAGAGAGACTTGAGGGAGCGCTCGATGCTCCACCGTTGCCATTCGAGCCCATGCCACTTGAAAATGTACCAAAGGAAGTAACGGAGCCAGCAGTAGACACAGGAGTAGCTCCAGAGTCAATATTTGAGCCTGTGGTGGTTGCCATTACACCAGTGACAGTCGCGGAATGACCTTGAGAGCCTGCGACTTCCTCCTCATTGCTGGTGGTAGGTTGGGCAGCAGTACTATCGGAGACACTGCTCCCTATAGAGACAGTGTTCAACGCTGGGACACCAGTAATGTCTGGTAAGATCGATATGGTAGCGGTCCCTGCGCCGATATTCTCGTAGCCTACAGAGCTAGCGCTCTCAGGCTCATTAGCTGAGGCAGTCGATTTTGTGACCGCCACGCCCGTTTCCGTGTGGGTAGAGTCCGAAATTGTCGGGAGGGGTCCGGCAGTAATGACAGTAGTCCCGGCGACCACGGTCTGAATGCTGGTATAGGTCGTCTGGGAGCGCGCTGGGCAATTGGTTACTGTGGCAGCGCACAAGGTTGTTGTGACTGTTCGGGTCGTCAGGATTGTGGAGGTGTATGAGCCATCAGATGAAGTTGGGGTTGCAGTTGGAGGCGATCCTTCAGCCTCGGTAACAGGGCAGACTGTAGTTGAGACCACGATCGTTTCAGTGATCACATATGTGGTCTTAGCTGTGGCTGGACAGTTTGTCACGGTTGATGGGCACGCTGTGATAGTGCTTGTTTGAGTTGTAAACACCGTGGACGTGGTCAGATGAGACCCCGATTGAGAGATCGTGAGATCGTTTGCTGACGTTGACGTCGGCAGAGCCGATGCTAGCGGTCCTGATGAGCAGCTCGTCACGCTATCAACTGGTGTAGATGGCGCTATGGTTGAGTGCTGCCCTAACCCAGGGATGGTAATCGAGGATGATGTCGAGTGATTCAATGTTTGGGTAGAAGTGCTCGAACAATCCGTATGGGAGCGCGCAGAAGACACAGAGGCTTTGATTGGCATGGAATTTGGAGCTGTTATGTACCCTGATGAGGACGAGCCAGTCGGGGAGGACCCTGATGCCGTGGGAACTGATGCCAAAGAGCCTGCTGGCAAGGAGCTCGATGTCCCGGAGACTGACGGCTTGCCAGTAGTAATGGATACAGAGCTCGAAACTGCAGAGCTTGTCAAGGATGAACTGGAGAAGCGGCTGGCAGACTGCAATGGAGCCGAGGAGCGAGATGATGAGGCTAAGGAGACGGAAGAGACGGTGACGGACGAAGAGATAGCAACAGAGGAGACAGGAGTTGACTGGGGGATAGAAATCGGAATCGTGGTGGGAACTGTGACAGGGGTGGTGTACGGTGTCGAGACCGGAGTAGGAGGGGCAGAAACTGATGGAGAGACTGGAGTTGAGCGGATCAAAGGAGTCGAGCTGACCGAAGACTTGAACGGCGTGGAGCTGGCCACGGACGAGGATGAAGGAGTCACACAATTTACCGTCTGGAGATTGAAATGGACATCTGCGATCTCCATGTTTGGAAGGTAGTTGTAATCGTCGGCCGTGCATGTAACAACTATGTCGACTATTACCGACGAGACAGTTGCGTTCCAGGTGCCATTGACAGACATCCACCCACTGTCCGTGGTTGTCAGGCTGTATGTCATATGGGCAAGATCCAGGAGAATTTCATTTTCGAGATCGACGATCTTGAAGTCAAAGGAACAAGTTGGGATGTCCACTCCGTTGGCCACGGGTGACATCACCCTCCACATCGCACTAGCATGATAGGTCTGGCCAGCCTGGGCATCCGCGATGGTCTGGTTCAACTCATAGTATGCATACTCGCCGGGGATAAACCTATTGCACGGATTAGCTTGACCTTCCAAATGTATGCTGCCGTCCCTTACATGCATTGACCACCACCCGGAGCATCATCATCGGTCGCATACGCGTAGCCTGCGGTGCTCCAGTAGTCATTGAAGTCATCTTGTGAGAAATCCCCATCTTGGATGAGCTCACCGGAGGTCCTGAGCGTGGAGACGGCACACTGAGAGGTGCAGACAATTTCAGGACCTTTAAAGGAGATGTCCTTGAACCGCACAGTTCCAGAACCACCGATGCAGACGGCTTGAAACTCCACCGTGATGTCAGTCGCGGTAGATTGCCATTGTCCGAGCACATTGGTCCACCCAGACTCTCCTGCTGAATCGATTCTATAGGCACCGGTTATATACCTGGAATTATCGTCGTAAATTGCATAGATGCTCAAGTCGCAACGGAAATCGTCATCGGGAACGATCACATCCCAGTAAAAGTCCATTTGGTAATAGGGCCCAACGTTGATATCGGACACGGCTTGCTGGAATGACACGGTGGTGGAGCTAGAGTCATCGGCTGTGAACGGGATATCTCTATTATTATTTTCAGTTAGGCTATGACGAGAAAGGCGGCAAAATTGTTTGACTCACATATACCCGCTGTCTGATCCAGATTTCGTGACGATGGTGTAGTCCTCTGATGCAGTCCAATCGGAATCGGTAGTAAAGTCACCATTAGTGATGTACTGCCGGGTCACTTGAGTGCAGACTTCGATGTCCTTCGCCTGGGCATAGATGCTCTGTGCTAGCAGCCCGGCAAGGGGCAGTAGCGAAAGAGGAGCTCTCATTGAAAACGCGTACCCCGCTATAGAGGGTGATCAAACGAATGTGATTGAAGAATAATGAAAAAAAGGATTTGAAGGATGAAGGACCGAATGCAAGTTCTTGCCAGCAACCCGAAATCTTCCACTCCGCCTGGTCTTAATCCTCGCTAAGTACAGATGGTTCATCGGCTCCAAACTCCGTTCCTGCGCTAGGCGATTGCTAATTGTAGACAGCATCCAATCTTGGTAAGCTGCTCATGAATGATAGCTCGATTAGGATTAGACTAATGGGCTAGCGATTCCGGAGGCCCTGCCAGGGAAATTTAGCCGACTGATTTACCAGTCCCGAAGCAGCTTAATCGCCAATTCGATGCCTTTTTTTTTCCCCAAGAAAGTCTGACTTTGGCAAGGATACCACATTATCTCTCCGGCTTCACTACACGACCTTGGCGATTGGAGCGTCAATATAGCCAAATGAATGGAGAAACGTGCGAAAAAAAAATCGACGGCCATTGATATGACAAAGTTAAATTCTAGCGAAACTAACTAACCATGCTCCATATCAACAAGTAATCATTGTGTGGCTTTGCAGCTGGTACAGTAGTTGAGCGTGATATGACAGAAGTTTGACAGATACGTGGATCCGCACTTCTTGACACTGTCGTTCTCGAACATATACTCAACGCTATTAGAAGTGTCAGAATGAGTCTACGGAATGTTTGAGGGATATTGACTTACGCAGCTTTAATCTGGCGGCCCGTCATGCCGAAACCATAGTCATCGTTATCGCAGGTAAACATCGCGGCACATCCCGCCTCGCCGAACGTCGCATCCACGATGATACCACTTTCAATATTGGCCGTGTAGGATGTGTACGACGAGTAGATTGTGTCGTCCTCATACTGCACATAGGCTCTTGTACAAGCGTCGTCGATACTGTGACATTCGCCTGAGCCCTTATCATTACCACTGGTTTGGGTGGGCGATGGGGTTTGTAATGTCACAGGTGTGCCTACGCCCTCTGTCGCCGAGTCGGTGATGATTTGCGACGGATAAGAGATGATTTCGCCATCCGTTCCGGTGGTGACAAAGGGCACGGGAGTGGCAGTAGGCGTCGTTGGAGTGGAGCTCGGCGTTGGCGTGACCGTGGACGGGAAGCTGGTGTACTGCCAGCACTGCCTGAGATGAGCGGAGCTGTAGCCCAGTAGGTCTGCTCCGCGGTGACTGTTGAGCATTCACAGTAAGGCGTGCTAACTTGGGGCCCTCCGTGGTTAAAACACATATAAGAAGTAGCGGTCGGTGAGAGTGTTGACGAGATGGAAGTAGTTGGGTTTTTAGATGGCGAGGTCGTTGCCGATGATGACAGGACCTTCGAAGATGAGCTTGTTCCGGAAGATGTGGCTATTCTGGAGGATGAGGCCGCTCCTGAAGAGAGCACTGCCGACGTAGATGAGGCCTCCGAAGAAGAAGAAGAAGAAGCCATCGATGAATACCTTGTTGCTGAGCCTGATGACGAGGCCGTGGATCTGATTGTTGATGTTCCGACAGATGGTGGTGGTGAAGTTGAAGACGCCATTGAGGTAGTAGAGCCACCCAAGCCGGGAGAGGCGGCGCTGCCAGAGCTAGTGGACGAAGACTCTGGAATATAGGGAATGGACGAAGGATTATTCGAGTACGTAGCTACAAGCTTGGTGGTCCTCCTGACCTTGCATGATCCAGCCTTGGTGGTAGTGGTGACCATGGAGGTCGGGGAAGCATTGCAGGCAGTCACAGTACTGCAAGTAACTGTTGTAGATGTGCTAGTTGACGGAGAGGCAGAACCATCACTCCCAGTGGAGTATGTTGGAACCAAGATAGTCGTCGTAGTGCAGTCTGAGAAGGTTGTGCTTGAGGTGCAAGACGAGGAGGAAGAAGTTGATGAGGAGGTCGAGGATCTAGACTCAGAAGAGGAGTTCTCATTCTCGTCATCCTTTAACTTGTTCTCCAGATCGGTAACAATATCGCTGATCTCATTCAGATACTCAGCGCCTTTCTTGACTGTACCCTCGACATCATCTGTGACCTCAGATATATCGTCTGGAATGGTCTTGATCATGCTGTCGGCGACTGGCCCAATGCAGCTAAGTGCATCCTCCACAATGCTTGTAGCTTCATCCAAGGCGCCTGTGGCAACATTGGCTGCACTAGAGGCGAGGCTTCCAATAGCACCGAACAAGGATCTCTTCCTAAGAGACCCAGAGCAAGGAGACTTGCTCGAGACGTAGTTAACCTTCGACAGGTAATCCTCGGACTCTTTCTCGACATCCTCGAGATTGCTCTTATAAGTTCCAGGGTCAGTCTTGAGCTGGCCAATATTGTTATAGAAGCCTTTCAAGAAAAATGCAATATTTGTAGCGTCCGAGTTTGCCGTCGTTCCGGTTACAGTTCCCGAGGGAAGAACGGTCAAAGTGCCCCAAGGCTGAGCAGATGGGGAAGCTGTAGCACCATACTTAAGGATTGCAGATTCTGTAGCCGAGGCGCTACCGCTTGGAGTCATTGAGTCGAGATATGGAGCACCCGAGAGGTCAGCCGACGAGTATGTATAGGACGGCTGCTGAGATGAGCTCAGACCACCTGAGGGTGAAGATCTCATAGTTGATGACGTTGCGGAAGAGGATTGACTTTTTCCAGACGAAGAAAGTGATGAAGCCGTAGAAGAAGAAACACCGCTTGTACTGGGAGTCAAGATGGATGAGCTCACTGATGGGGTACTAGATAACCATGACGAGCGTGAGCTAGAAGGTGAAGCTGTGTTCGAGGGTGGGTTGGAGCTGGAAATGATCAAAATCGGGCTACTAGAGCCGCTGACAACTGAGCTAGAAGAGCTTGTGCTCGATGAATACGAGCGACTTGAGCTTGGGATCAGTCGCGTGGAGCTTGCCGTTGTGCTGGATATAGACGTTGAGGAAGCGGGTGTACTGGGGCTCGACGTGCTGATAGCAGTGTTGCTGGCGCTGGTAGAAGAGATTTTGGATGAAGTTGAGCTTCTCGAGGAGACCAGAGGAGTAGAGCCTTGAGTTGAATGCACAGGGCTGTAGCGGATCACAGGTATCATGCCATCGTGGACTGTGACAACCGTCATGAGCTGTTCCCGATAACTGTGCTTGCTGTCAAAGCTACTCAAAGGTGTCGAAGAGGCTGGAGTAATCGAAGGCGTTGACAAACTTGGGGAAGGTGTCGTGGTAAATTCCACGACAGGAGCAAGCCCGTGGGACACGGTAAGGAGAGTAGTAATTGTTGTAGTCCAGTCTGCGTGGACTCCCTGCATGAGGGAGACAACTAACAATGCAGTTCTTTTGGGAAGCATATTGACCATATCAATTTGCGGTTATGGGTTAAGAACAAAGATGGAGGAGATCGAGACAAGCCCTTTTATAAATCTCTTTGTTCGGGGCCAAGTATCGAGTGATGGGTCTATTAAATCCGGCAGACGGGCCAGTGACATGTATTGCAGTCTATCTGGTGAGCCTTATACGGCTTGTTTAGTGCTCAAACTCACACCGGGCTAAAGGCTAGGTCCCGCTGCAGGTACTGTGTTGATGTGGGGGCGAGTTTCATCAGCACAAGCCACCATAAGCTTCGCCCGGCAAAACCTGCAATTATACTTTGAGCCAAGCGTCTAGGCTCTCCACCTAACGGGCCATCTTGTGTTTCCGGGGCCAATGTCAAACTGCAAAGCTTAATGTCGTCTGGTCCTTGCCGTAGCTGTGCCAGTCAATACCTCCAGCAATCTCCGCCCCCATCTCTGGATCCATCCAATTAAACCTAATGCGATTTAAGATCTTCCAATCTCACTTCTTAGGCGTCCAGTGTCACTATATTGGAAACCGGGTCGTCGAGTTGACTGGTTCGGTTCCTGAATAGTTGGCTATATTTGCCACTAGGATCCACCACGAAACATACGCCCGAAAAAGTTTACAACTCGGAGAGACGATCAGGGGAAGTAAGCTGACGACTAATTCTATCAGTCAGAGTAAGACCTGCAATAGACTGTTTCGCACAAAAGCGCTTCTGGTGGGTAATTCTGGGGGCCAACGGGAAATGAAATCTCATGTCCTGATAATAAAAGAGATCGGGACGCTAATTCTATAATGTCGCCTCTTCAACAACTTTACTACTATCTCGTTCGGCATTTTCTGACTTGAAGTCCCGCGAACATGCTGTTAATCAAGAATTTTTCTCTTGCTTCAGCCGCTTTGTGCTGTCTCCTGGAAAGCAGTCTTGCTGTCCCACACCAGCCAGCCCGAATAGTCAAACGCGACGAGCCGGATTTCATCCTGAATTGGGACCTATTTCGACGATGGCAACACATGCAGGAAAGCATTGCTGAGATGGAGGTACCTGAAATAGATGATGTGACAATGGCAGAGTGGGACCCGAGCACGAAAACCCTCACATGGGAATGCTATACGCTTGTGATGGGAGCGCAAATCGCAGGAGTCGCTGCGGTAATCAATAAGGCAACACTTGATCCATACCCTGAGCCGACTGTTATTACCAAGCGAAGCTCCGGCGAGGCGAATCAGGTCATTTATGGAGCTAGTCTGCAGAAGAAATGCAGCATTAACCCAAACGTGCTTGCTGTGATCGATTATGTTTACTCGGAAGGAAGGCGAAATTACGGATGGTCGATCATGCCCTATATTTCTGAAGGCTCACTGGAAACGAACTTCGATTCCTACCCGGATCAAAGCTCGATAAACGCAGCATTTAAACAGATGCTGAATGCTGTCGCTGGGGTGCAAAGTGAAGGCATTATTCATCGTGATATCAAGCCCGAGAATTTCCTGAAAGACGGTGATACTCTAAAGCTCATGGATTTCGATCAATCAAGAGAAACCTCCTCCTCTGCCCAATTCGATGTCGGCACACCATCCTACATTGCCCCAGGTATGCAATCTCTTTTGATCCTGCAATAATTCCAATTCTCACATATTTGCTGCAGAGATCATCGCCATGAAATCGGATACAGGTACAACGTATGACTACAAGGTGGACACATTCTCAATCGCTATGAGCTTCATGGTCATGTCAGTCTCAGAACTCAGGGATTCGACCACTCGATTCCAGCTGTGGAAGGATCTCATTGAGCCTGATGGTAAGACTCTGTGGCCTTCGGCAGCAACCGTGGCAACCCTTTTGAAGGCAAGAAACTATGCAGTCTTCAGTGGTAACGACGACCTTCTCAATGTGCTCGCTAAGGCTCTGTGTAAGCCAAGCGAGCGCTACGATCCACAGGGTTTCAAGGCGGCTTTCGCTACAATAGCATAGTAGGCTTTCGGTTTGTTGGAGCCTCGATTCAACATTATACTGAGGCGTAGGCTACATACAACATATCAGTGGCATGCCAATGATAGTACTTTGCTCACTTTGTGCATGTATTTATTTCTCTCTTCTCTATTGATGGGCTTTTGTTCTCGGTCTATGACCTCACGATAGAGTTTTATCAAGTTGTGAATCTGGGAGCCTTTGGCTAGGCAATTCTTGAATCACAAAAACAGAATCCATTCTCATCAAGCTTAAAAACATACCATTTGCTGGTCTTTTCTATCCGTCATTTACAAGCGAGATGGTGACGGCGATGATATCATAGCGCAAATGCTTACGCTGGAGATCAAATGAGAATAATGTTTTCATTATCATTACTTTGCGTAATATGAAATTCTTTTTCCAAGTGATTCTAGAGGCTGTGTAATAACAGAGTGTCAGCAAGGTGCCCGGGCACATAAATAAGCCCGGCCCTCCCCAGTAACGGCAACGACTACTTCATTTCCAGCTCCCGCCTCCGCCTCCATTCAATTCTCACACACCCCTCAGCGCTTTGTCCAATTGCGACCGAGCAAGGTACAATAATTATGGCCCCAGAATCATCGGATCCCAAGACTATTTCCCTACCACGACCAAGTGAGCCAGGAGTGAACAAGCCCCTTTGGCTGATTGACGATCGCGCCAAGACTTCTCTCCGCGAACTGCAAGAGTGTGAATTACTTCAACTCGTAAAAATCCCCACATTCAGTCACTTGAGCAATGAAAGGCCGGAGAGCTAAGACCTTATCATTCGCGCAGATGATTGATTATCCAGAGGAGGAAATCCAATTCGCAAGCTCCAAAGAACAAGTTCAGCCCGACTCTCTCGCGGAATACTTCGCCTCTCCCACACCGCAGACTGTCTCTTTCTACAGATACCCAGGGATTGATGCGGTTGTTCTGATATGGACTGGCTATCATTGGACAAAGTCTGCTAAGTACACCAAAATGCAGAATCGCTTGCGGAGAGACTTGAGTCTGATTGCTAAAGAGGAAGGAATCAAAATTGCACACATGGTACGATGCCCAACTTCAGCACTGTTCCACGTCGCAAAACTCACAACTCCAGATGAAAGTCAGTTCACAGAACGAAATAAGCGGAGAGCGCTTGAAGGAGATAGTCCTTTGCCCGCCAGCGCCAGAGGATCTATCCCATCAACTATAAAGCACAAAGAGAGCTATTCGTACGATCCATACCTGTATATATAACTTCATCACCCCAGGCCGATGGATACTTTATTAGGCTCAAGCAAATCGAGAGTAGAATTTTTCACGATGGGAAAGTAATCAGGGATTTGACGAGGCGGACCTGGCATTAAATCCAATAAATAATCTCGTGACTACTGGATGTCGAAATTCCATGGGTGCTTTCGGAACATGCTAGAGCGCCAGCCAGATCAAACATTGCTTTGCGCCTCAAATGGAAGCCTTGCGAGGCTCGTTTCTTTTTTGATTCCCGCCTGGCCCGATTAACAAAGAGGGGGGAAACAGACCCACCCCGTTTCATAGACAAACCATGCAGGTCAGCCCAATTACCGCCCGAAGCCAAGACTGGATCAAGCTAAATGCCTGGCCTCCTGAGGTGGCTGATATGTCAGACCCGGTACTTTGTCCGTTGAAAACGACTCACACTTGTCCTCCAAATAAAAAGTCTCTCCAGCTTGACGCCGAATATGCTAGGAGTCAAATAATAAACCAGATGCCCGTGCGTGCATACTTACCTTGGAGTTAAATGAAATGGTAGCCACCAGAAAGCTTTGTGTACTCTTACCATTGGGCTTCGGTCACTGCTTTGGTCTAATCAGACTTTCTCTTGTCTGCTGTCTTGCAAGATAGCTGCTGCAGCATCATTTGGCAATGCATTGAATTTCTCTGGCTTTCACATGAAGCTTCCTGGGGGGTTCGAATAAGACTTCCATGAGACTCAGCCCCTGGAACCAGACTCTTCTTCGCTTGGACTATTGAGCGAAGAACATCGTCGCACTGGGCATGGGTAGTGCGAAGTACAAAGGATTTGATGAGGCAACTCGTAGTAGATCCGTGACAATGGCTTCATAGATTGTGCATCGCACCTTACTCAAGTTCCATAATGTTTGAAAGGCACTTAGCTATGGGTGATATTACTTGATGATATCAAATATCGTAAGTCGTAAGGCTACACTATTAAGCTTTGGAAAAATTTCAGGATTCCGCCTCTCGATCTTCCTTATCCATTTTATACCAGTCATCGGCACTGGGCTTCAAACTGACAGTATAGTTCCCCATCTTACTAACCTCTTGCTGGTCAGAAGGCACATTGTCGGGTACTGGGACTGTAATTTGTGGGGGCTCCGGGTCGTCTATGCTAATGTTAGCCTATTGTGCTTCATATTTGTCTACCAATCGCCCTTGGATGGTGCATCATGGTTTGTTCAACGAGATTCTTGCATTTTCCGTGGCTACACAGAGGCGGACCTATCACAGACATACGCCATATCGCCTTCGCCATGAACCGATGAACACAGCTTGAACAAAGGAAAATCAAGTTTTGACCAGAGCTAGGTTCGATATGCGTATGCGGACTCCGACCGGCCGTCACGGAATGCTGAGCAAGCCTCACGAGGAGAAGAAAAATCCGGTGTAACGAAAGACCTACCGCTCTCCACTTCCCCCAATCCCAAAGACTCGGCATTGGCGCCCTCTTCAGGGGCCATAGTGGTGGCTACTTTCATTGAGTTAGCATAAGCCCACCAGTCAGCGGAGCTTTACTAAGAGAGCTCACATTTCTTTCCCTTCCCTTTGCCATGGTGGGCGCACTTTCGTTCCCGCTTCTTCTTCTTGGCCTTGTAGCTCGCGCGCTTGGCCTTTTTACGGGCTTTCTGCTTATAATACCATTCATATCAATATCCTCGTCTGCAGCAGCTGAATGTCTACTGAGAGAGATGCTTGGACTTACTGCCTCCGTGTGAGCACGGGGCCCAGCGACGGCGGGGGCCAGGGGGCGCTGGGGGAGTGCCTGCGCTCCCCAAAACTTGGAGCGAAGTCGCGTTCGCCGCCCCGACGGCGAGGACGACGGGACAATAGCTAGGGCTATGTTTTCCAGGGCAAAACAGGCATTCACTCTATTATAGATCAGTAAATATCAAGTCTTTCCTTCAGTATGTTCGTTCCTCGCGTGCTGGATCCGATGGATCACGTTTGGAGAGGAAGTTTAGCGTCAATGAAACGTCGTGAGCCAACAAATAATTTAGATCGTTCTGTGAGAATATCCAGACGTTGTGAAGTGATTGCTGTCTGGTATGGGGCCGCGGGGGTTGGGGTTGGAGATATTGGGTTCCAGGTCATGGTAACACTGATACGTCGCAGCATGGTGGGATCCGGTCATGTAAGACATTGGTTCAATTGAATTTGAGTCGATCCTCTCTCTTTAGTTGTGGGAAGAGCAAGGCTTTGTGGCTTTTGCGCGTGGGAAAATCCAGAGAGTGCAGTCCCGGAGGATGTAGTAATCAGTGTCATACTTACCACAGCAGCGACTTCCTTATTCTCGGTACTCATAGTGAAAAAGGAAAAGAATTTGCGGCGCAAAGAAAGAGAGGAATTTCTACCGGGGGTGGTGGTTACGGAAGAAGAAAAAAGTTCAGGAGGGGAGGGTAATTTCAACTGTTTACTCCAAGGTCACCACGACAGCTAAGCTCAGAACCCACAGAGCTGCAGCTGCCTATCAATACCATCAGTGGTGTGAGTGTCCACTTCCATTTGCTTGATCAATTCATTTCCGTATCTCATCCCCTTCATCGTCCATATGTAAACGACCCTTTTTCCTGGCACCTTAGGCAGCGTTTTTCACTTGTTGATGTGAATTTATTGCCCAGTCTCTGTCCATCCACTCACTTACCATCCTACACTGGTTCAGAATCGTATCACCGCAAGCCATGCAGGACGAATCAATCGAAACGAATCTTCCAAGAACCATTCCAGAATGGAAAGCGAGAGCAAAGACGCTCAAAGTCCTGACCAAGTGTCCAAACGATTTGAAGATTCTCAGCTCGGGATCGAAGGTGACCTTTAAGGAGTATTTGACCATGCGAATCATCCGACCTGAAGTGCAGGCGATTGAAATATTCCCGCATGATTATTCTTCGGAGGCTGAAGCCAAGAAAATCATCAAGGCTGATACCACCTTCGAAAAATGGTTCTCGAAGGTCGAGACCAATATCCGTCCCGACAAGGACTTGCTGGGGATGTTTGCGCTGGTGAAATTTGCTCAGCTACAAGTGACAAAGCACGAGTCGCTCGAGTCGCCTGAGCCGCCTTTTGAACGGGCTAAGCTACGCCCTCGGCCTTCCGTTCCGGTAGAAGGCAGCTCTGAGGATGCCCAGCATGAAACCAGCACTCCGGCAAGTGCAGGCACGAGGGTAACGCCAGCAGAAGACACTCCGTGGGCCAGGTTCTCCAGAACGGATGCAGAAGAGGAGGTGAACTTTTTTCTGCTTAACCTGCTGAATGCCTTCACGCTGAGCCTCAATCCAGATATTCGCTGTGAATGGTCTGCTCACCGTAACCCGTTCCATGCTGTGTCCTTTGGTGAAATTGACATGACCACACATGTCGATGGCTACTTGAGGGCTATCGGTAAGGACGAAGCCTTTGCAATCCTAGAGGTAAAGGCGGCCGAGCGAAATCACCGCAACGCTCCTCAGGTGATGTGGCAGGAAGGTGCAGAGATGGTGGCATGGATCTTGTGTGATGAAAGCAAGAACCGGGAGTATCCTTTTTCCAAGTATGTAAGATGAATACCTTTCGAAACCTTCTGCGCTAACTAGCCATTATAGCCGCCTCCTGATCTCGCAAAACCGAAAAGAGATTTTCTTAACGCTCGCCAGCTATACCTCGAAGGATATCTACCCCAAATTTCTGAAAGGCGAGCTTGGGGCTTCGAATAATTATTCTGCGGATAGATTCCTCACCATGCAGGAGTATGGACCGTGGCTTATTGATAAGAAGACCCATATGCAGGACCTGGCCCTGATCATAATGGGCTTTTGCCTTCGTGTCTCTGGTTGGATTGAGCATCATACTTGACTTGACCCTCTGGGTGCAGTAATAAGGGACAAGGGCGATATGGCGGTTAAGATGCTTCGACCTGATACCTTCCATGGACGAGATATCGGTACGCTCCACAAGCGCCTCCTTGACCGTCGATGAACGAGATGTTGGTATGCTTCACAAGCGCCTCCTTGATCATCGATAGACGAGATGTCGGTACGCTCCACAAGCGCCTCCTTGACCGTCGATGAATGATATGTTGGCATGCTTCACGAGCGCCTCCTTGGTCATCGGTAGACGAGATGTCGGTACGCTCTACAAGTGCCTCCTTGACCGTCGATGAACGAGATGTTGGTACATTTCAAAAGGGCCTCCTTGTGCAAGCTTTACGGGTTGGAGCATCTCAATGAAGATGCAGTGACTTCCGGGGTACCAATGACACTGGAATTCCTCCTCCCAGTTGAAAGCGTGTTCCTTTGTTTCTTTTTCTTCTCCCTTATGGGGAGGGGTTTTTCCAGAATTGCTCAAGGCCGTCTGCAGCCTTTGAGCATGCAAACAACAGCTATGAGCGTGGGCCTCTTCGTGGCGCTATTGACCAGTAACTCTCAAAGGGGGCGAAGCTAACACACGCTCAACAGAGGGTCGCATGCTTGCCAGTTTTCTGATATCTGTAAGCTGATGCCTCAGTCTCTTTGGCTAACAAAAAGACATAGTTTTAACAGGTGGAGAGGAGGGGATACCGCCCGTGTGAATACACACGCAGAATTCCTCAGCACTAACAACCGGTCCAGGAGTGTTTTGCTTCCCAGCCCTTAGATACCGCGGACCTCAAAGTCACCGAGGTGATTTGAATTAAACGTTCTTGATGTGGTCAATGCTTGGTCCCTATTTTCTCAGTGCGCACGGAAATGCATCGATACACGGGTTTCGCTCGTCATGAAAACGGTGAATTTATCCCGTTCTCCTCAAGGCCAACACACATGATTTATACAATTTTCCTGCAAGAGAAGACAAGTAGAAGATAAGGAAAAGCAATGCTGACGGTTCAGCCATTTCTAGGCACCAAGACACTCGGCAGGCATTTCTTAGTGGCGAGCGTTGAAGCCGAACCCAAAACCAAATATTATCCAAGGCAAACTATCGGCAGATTGTGAGCCAGTATACGTGTACCGGTGGAAGAAGCAGTGGGAGAGGGAGAAAACGGCCCGGCGAACGAAGTGCTTGATCGAGGCACCGACGCGGAAGGCTTTGGAGCTATACGAGGAGTTTTCGAAGCCATACGCATCTATCCTTATTTAATTGAGGTCGATGCGCATTGGATTGGGCCACTTCTTATACAAAATCAAAGAAAGGAAATCAGACCGCTCTCCTTGCGAGCAAGGGTTTTAGACGCCGAGGCATATCCTGCTCCAGTGTGCGCTGTACAGCAAGGTGCGAAGAACCATGCTTGATAGGGTCGCTCGCACCGACCTTGGCAACACCACGGACTACGATGCCATCTTGTCCGACTAGCGCGGGGCTCGCTTCGCCGTTGCGATGATGTACTAAACGGTTCTCCTTGGAGGAGCCGGACGATGATCATGACGACGACCATGAACAAATCGGCCTTACGGCCATGGGAAGGTTGTGAAGACGCTGTGTATTCACCATTGAACATGAAGGCCGACCATCGATAGTGATCGATACTTAACCACTTCCAATTCACCACGCACAGCAATCAATTGAGGACCGAAGCACTTGGAGAGGACTAACGAAAGAGAGGCGAGAGCACGCGACGGGGATGAGGAGACACAGAAGAAGAGGAAGACTGTTGGCATTATTTATATAGGTTTGGTTTTATGTGGGCTTTGTTATGTGTAAGATTTGGATTTACAACACTCTTTCCTGTGCCGTCCTCTTGCAAAGGCTGGTTTCCCTTTGTATCTGCTGTCTATTGTAAGCCGCGAGTCTGGAATTACGGACACAAATTCTGCTTCGGTCTGGACGAAGCGCCTGCATAGCCTCAACACATGTAGTTAGGCTTTATCAAGTTGCTAGAATTTGATTTAATTTGAGTATACGTTTACCAGAGGCAGCCGTTTAATCGTTAATACCAACACTGAGCGTTAGCTGTTTCCTCGCCCACATATACCAGCCCAAATCCGAGCAAGTTCCGAGCAATCTCCGTTTAAAGTCATCAGCCGATCCCTTATTCAACACATCCATCATACAAACAGTTGGCGCCTGCGGGGTCAGAACTGAATTATGGAAATTCACGTCCCTTTTGGTCTGCAAGGCATGTTATGAGGTAGCGGTAGCGTGGACCAGATTGTGGTGACGTGTGAAGGCAGAGGTGGCAGAATATAGTCGAAGGGGTTGACATGTTATGTGGTCGAAAAACAATCAAGTTGTCAACATTCAAGAAGGAAAGGGAAAGGGAAAGCAGTGGAAAATGTTTTGTCGCATGATCTGATCACTAATGATGTGCTTGCCAATACGGTGTGTATGTGAGAATTATAGCTGAAAACCTTAGCATTCATGGACTTCAAGTGATTTATTGATAGCATATCATTACAGCCTAAGGCTCCAACAGTGGGGTGCATTAGAGATTCCAAAATTGCCCCCACGGGTTAAGAACTATGATCACACCACATCGGCATAACAGTATCAAACCTTCAGGCTCATGTATGCGACAGAGACACTTTCAAGGGTATAGTTTATCATCAGGCTGTGATGCTTATGTTGAAGTTCCTTGGCCCATGCCTGAAAGACACAGCTCTTGACAATCATGTGCCTTAGGGACGGACGACCACAAGGACTCTTATATCTCTATGAACCATGCACACATGTTTCGGAGTAGTATAGGTGATGATCATTATTTGGATCCGATGCAGGATCCATGGGGTTTCGCTGGATTTAATTTGATTGAGATGGCAACGCGCCTTGAAAAGACACCCATATTCTGTTCATCTTCTACTCAATTGCGTCCCACAAGTTTTCGCACATGGCGTTTCCTGGTGACTCGATTTGGAGTTGAAGCCGCACAATATTAATGCATGAAATTTAAGAGCTATTTCAGCTGCATAGACGCAACAGGGTCCACGAGGGAATCGATGGCAGGATTTGGCTTCTCCCATCGAGGGACCTCGACTAGCTGGCTTATCCGATAGCGAATGAAAAGCTCAACCGGTGCTTTTTGTTCGTCTGCGAAGCTCCATAGCGGGGAAAACTGCAAAATTAAATGTTCTCCATGTAGCGAAGCCTGAATTATTCTTCCGTGCTTTTCTCCTGTGTAGGAAAGAACCAAAAGCTATAGAAAATATACCGGTCAGTAGAGCCTTGGCTGTAATGAAGTAAAATGTTCTTTACTAACCGGGTGTAGGGGGTGGCTACAGAATGGTCTATGGGATGTCCGAATAACCATGATGCCCAGGATAGCTCGCATTTCATGTAGAGTAAGGCAGTGCCTGGCATTGTTTGCCGGAACATCTGAGGTAAGTGTTATAATCGCATGTGGGGTGAGTAGGCTTTCATGAGAATCCTCGTAGAAGTCGTGAATCCGCCAATAAACCCTTTCATTACTACAAACCTCAACTGTTGGAGGATCACCACTTGCAGGTTTTGTCCTAGTAAAAATTAAGACCTTGGAATAGAAAACCCGTAAAAGGAAAGGACACACTTACCGAAAACCATGTAGAGATCCAAGATTCCGGAGAGAAGAGCCATTAGGTAGTCCCATTCGAGCGTAATCCAGATGGCATTCCATATAATACTGTGTCTCTCTAGCATGATCTTGCCACTCATCCGGTCCAAGAAGCTTCTCAAGTGAGTTGTAAGTGGCCCTCGCAGCCTCATTCTTAACCCCTGTTTCCTCTTCCATCTGTATCATGGAAGTGACCTCAGGGCGGTTGGTCAGCGAGGCAAGGGTCTGGGGGGGATATATAGCAGCCATCTGGAAAGGGTCTGGTGGGTACTTTTGGAGGACTCTTTCGGGGTGAGGACGAAAGAAACACGGGTCAAATTCTAAAGTACCATCACCTGTGACGTCAATTTGGAGGGTTTGAATTCCGAGGCCTTGGAGATCACCAGGGGAGAAAAACCAGGGCTTGGATACCCCGAACTTTTGATAGAGGTGCTTGACAGCCGCAGAGCGTCTGATCTGGGCTTGTGTATCCATTTGCATTCAAAAAGAGGAAGTGACTATTGTCAGCGCGTCATGCGCTGGACGAGGATCAGAGGAGAAAGAAAAGAGCGCAAGAGTACAGCTGTAGTAAGAGTACAGAAGGAGTAAGACGAGACAAAACAACACTGTATTGTGAGGGTTGTCGGGGGGAAGAAAAAGGAAGAAGAGGAAACAGCCCTGATCTATCGGGATAGTCATGTGATCTCTGACAACTGTCAACAACTTTAGTCAAAAACCAGGATTCATAAATCGGAAGTCAGGACTCGATGTTGGTTTGTGTAGAAATGTAAAGAGTAGAGAATACAGACAAGTCGGCAGCCAGCCGATCATGCATGAAATTCATTTTCAAACGACGACACGAGTTTGAATCCCGGAGACGTCAAACGTGACATCGCATTAAGGCGACGGAAACCTGCCCCGAGGTCTGATGACCATATACAGGTGTTGGACTTGATTTTTGAGCAGAAAGGTTAGAATTTACGCAAAATCACTGACCATACAAAACGTGTGAATCTTGATCAAATCCGGTTTTTATAACCTCCGACAAATATTGATAGATCACATTTAGTATGGTACCCAAAAGCTTCAATCATGTGGTTCCTTGCCCCGTAAAGCGGCCGATTTTGACCAGGTACAATCAGTTTCACAATTTACAGTAACCTATCATCATACATGTTATTGACAGTTATTGACATGCATTTTGTGTTCAATGTATTCTAGAATGAGGACTAGTGAACGAGGGAGAACACGGAAAACATATATGGTGAGTTTGCCCAGATTGCCTTTTCAAAAGGTGAATTGCGCCTTTTGCTTTATAGATTGAAACTTCAGGTTGGTGAATGTTGCCCGAAACCGCCTGAATAGGGCCGCTGGAGCGGCGAGCCGCCCACGACACGGAATTGTGAGCGCTAGGTGACCTCGGCCATGGTAATGCTGTTATATGTTTCTTTATCTGTATTTGCGATGCTTGATAGCTACGCTAGATTTATTTCTGTTCAAAAATTTGGCTCGCAAAAGAAATGAAGAGTTTATTGAGATGACTAAGCTTTTAATCGATGTAGAACGCAGAGATCAAAGGCCAAACTCATTATATATCTTCAATCTCCCACTCTGTCATTTTGGATCACTTCAAAATCAATGAAACAGCAACGCATTGAGAACTGAAGTAATGAGTGAAAGAACGAAATCAAAACAGCGGAAATCAATGGACCAGGTGCAATACACCAAAGCGCATTTCCAGATTGCCCAATGACGTGCATCCGCTATGACCTACGGGCACTCTCCCACGTTGATGTCTACAGTCCTCATTAGTATAGCCTCTTGTGAGTTTTATGCAGTGGAAAAGAAAACTCACTACACTGATAAGGCTTGTAATCCTCTTTAACCCGCCAGCCCTTCGAGTTCTTGTACCAGTTTCTGTAGATTTTGTCAGCATCATCATAGACCGGATACAAAGCAGGTCGCGGAGGTCGTACTGGTACTTGCAGACGGGAGCAAAGGTGTCGCCCATGTAGGACTGGCGAACAACATCGCTGGAATCACACGGGTATTTGCGATACCAGTAGGTTTTCTGCACTTTACAATAGTCATCGGGACGCTGGTGATCATGGTCATTACCGTGTCCATTCCCCCATGCTTTTCCACCACCACCACCACCTCCTCCTCCTCCTCCTCCTCCTCTTTCTTCGAGCGAAAAGTCGCTGGGCTCAGCAACATGGCTGGCCATAGCCACCTGCGAAGCAAGCGGAAGGATGGCAGCAATGATATAAATAAAAGACTTCATTGTGAAAGATGAATTGAAACTGAAAAGCTTCGAACTGTAAGAGCGAAGATAGTTGTCTGTCGATGTTGTTGCAGAAGAAACAAGACGAAGACATATGGATTGCTTTTATATTGCTTCGGGCAGGTCTTTGGCCCCTGCCAAATGAGAAGCAAAATCATCAAGCTGTCCTTGATGATGCCTAGATTGAATTGATACTAAATGAGAGGACACAATGTTGCGCATTCCATGGTCATTTAGGTCGTAGCAAAGCAATTGCTAGATGAGGTGGTCTAGTCGCTGCAAGCGGCAAGAACGATGAACAGCATTGCTGATATGAGGCACGGTCTCGGCCAAAACAAACAAATACGCCCGTGGAAAGGTTACACGAACAATAGAGAGCATGGATCGCCAAGATCTTGGCAATCGATGATTTTCTCACTTTGAGCTATACTAACATCGCACTAAACCGAATGACTTCAGTATGAGCAGAACTAGACCAGATCTTGCCAAGGACCCCGAGTTTCTTACTTGGCGAGACATGAACCGTGGGAAGTCTGAGACCAAAAATAGATCTCAGAGTTCTAATTCGATCGCCATCATTTCCTTGGCGACGATGAATCAAGTCATTTTTCAACATCAATAAGTAACATCATGGCATACATCCAATAGTTATTGTGGAAGTAGTTGTGTTTACGAGCCTGTCTGCGAAATTATGTTGGCGGTCTTCCCCAGATTGCTTGGCATTACTTGGCGTACGCCAACTCCCTCGTAGGTAACTTACGGAAACTCATCTGCGCCTTTTGTAGAAAAATTAAAAGCTTATAAGATCCTCAGGTTCAATATCCAACAGCCTATTTTGTCATTTACGTGGGGAGTCTTATATATTGCGCTTACAGTCCTTCTCCTCCGCGTGTTTCAAACGAACCGGGTGTGGTACAGAATTATTCGCTGGTCTCCGGGGAGGAGCGGAAGCATATTATACTCAAAAACGGGATTTTGCAGGCGCAAGGTGAAGATTGCGCCAAGCGCCAAGTCCCTGGGATATCAATGCCAATGACGGACAGCCATATGCGACAGCGAGAGAGCGGCGGGAGTAAGACTTGAGCCAAACAATGCTTTTGTCTGGATACGGTTCCAAACCAAGAGCCACTGACCCGTGGCGATAGTTCTCCGCAAGCCACTACCGAAGCACTGTTCAACATGATATTTGACCCCGTTTCATGAGATTCCCAGTAATGAATATTCTTAGAACGCACTTCTCTGGTAATATTGAAGAATGATCATGGAGCTGGCACCGGTACACAGGCCCCTTATTGGGCTTGAAAAAACTCAACTTCACATCCGCGATGATGATTATATACGTTCAGTCAAGTATGAAACAAGCTCGCGAATGATTTTGAAATGCTTTCCTCTCATTCATAGATTAGCCCATTGCTGAGTACGTGAGGTTCTATATGGCCTCTGCATTTCGATTTCCTCTTGCGTGAACCAGTTGCCATGGAATCCATAGGGCACTCTCTGGGGTAGTAAGATCTTCGCCACCACTGTTGTCATGTCGCACGCTTCAATGACCCAAAGCTCGCTTCTGGCATCCTCCGGAGCCTCTCCATCTTCATGCAGCTGGGACTCATCGAACGTTAAAGTGAGGAGGTATCCATCATCCTCGGATTGAGCGTCATGCCGAGGAACAAATCGAGGCTCTTGAGCGTACCATCCTTCCGGGGCTTGAAATACTCTGATAGGATCTTCAATGTCATCGTTTTGCAAAATCTCAGCAATGCATCTTTCATCAACACAGCCATCGACTGATTTGATTTCTTTTTCAATTCCTTGCCGGATCAAGGGTTGAATGTCAATTTTAACAAGACAGTCGACTTTCATAGGCTCGCCTGTGCTTGATCCAAACATTGCATCCTTTGAGGAGCATCCGTATATGTATTTGGGTGCAGTTGTCGAGCAGGAGGGCGAGATGACAGGCATCTCAAAGGGAATAGCAGATAAGGCCCATTGATGAGAGATCAAATTCCGTTTTGTGTCCGACAGTAAGAATCTATAATAGTAAAGTCGACTGTCGCTCCCCTGTTCTTCGGGAAATCTTGGACTCGAAATTGTGTCAATGGCGCCCATAGAATATAGCATATCCGCACTGGTGTAGCGACATGCAACCATATTTACAGCCTCAACTTCTTCATCTTTTGCTGACTTTGGTGCAAATTCATCCCAAGTGCTGGCGGTGTGGAAAATGAAGCAAGCTTCTGTTTCAAACCATCGCACTCTACCGGGATCGTGACGGGGGAAAATACCAAATCGTGATGGTGAGTACTGATCATAATGAACAATGGGTCTCCCTCTCAGCATATTGACAGGGTCCAACGACATTGGAAGATCCAAGATGACGGTATACTTGGGTGAGACGCCGAAATCGTGCATCAATTTTGGGTCTGAAATCCCCGGTACCGAGGCATGTAATGGGTGCTGTTGTGATTTTGCTTCCCCTTTGCTGGGAATGACCGAATACCAGACGAAAGGAGGTAAGAAAGATGTTTGAAATGAGATCAGCTCCCCAGTATTGTAATCGACACGCGGCTAATTTCGCAATCAGTGACCATATTCCCACCCAGTATGGACGGCCACTCACATGTGCGGTGGTCCAATCTTTCAGAAACCCAAATAGTCCACTGCGACCGAACAGGTTATCATCGGAGCCCGAGGTTGCATATTCGTGATCCGCTGAGGATCCATTGTACCAACCGACAGTCTCTAGATGTGGCAACTGTACCCTCATCGGCGGTCCGGTTTGACAAGTTGCGAGAGTTCTCTTGTCGTGATATAAGATTGCTGTATTTGCGACACTGATTTTACGCACTGATGGTACGTGCATATTAAAGTGGGACCAAGTAATGAGGGCTAAGAAGCGACAAAGTTCACAGAATGTTGAAATCACCGAGGCAAGAGGGTGAATCAGTGTCGCGATACTAGGCAATATCGATGAACGGACTCTGGGCATCGACTTTGTTGCAAGGAAGACATCTGTCAAGATGTATTTATTAACAAAGCAGGGCTCAATTTTCCCGGATTGTCCAGTTGTTCGAAACAATACACCACTCAGCATGCCGTCACCGTCGAACATGTGCATATGGCTGCTATGATCGTTTCCAAAGCTCGGGTTGCCGCCATTTCGAACATACTGACCACCATGAAGCTCGACGGGAATAGTTCCCGTGTATGTACATGGCTCTAGATCAAGCTGACGATGGATCGGTGCAAAGTTGCCTCTCAAGCATCTTTGACTTGGTAAGCTTGTGTTCCTTGTTGGTAGAGGTAAGACCTTTGAAGTTACCGATGTGGTTTATCCGCGGCGCGCATCTTGCCTTTTGCCGCGTCTCCCATGGCCCCAACACGATGTCAACTCATTAGAAATATCTCTAAGAGGGCTGTCAAGAGAAACATGAGTTAAGTCACGTGGCAGGTGTGTCTCGGTAATGCTGTTTGGCGATGAGAACGTTTTTGAGCAAAGCGCGTGAATGCCGGCAGGAGAGTTGACGTCACATCGACAATAGCCAGATTGAAGCAAAATCAGTGTAGTTTTGCTATTCACAAAGTCATTTATTCATCGAATCTACAAGAAATAGCACTTTTGTCAAGCAATTGCTCACCATTGGCCGATCGAGGTATTATTCTCAGGCTTCTGACGCACATAAGCGAGGCTGAAAGCACGTACGAAAACGAGCGATACGAAAACGAGGGCACAACAGTCTATGATCTCAATCACTCCTAACTACTCATGAAAGGCCATTGCAGGTCTCGATTTATCAGCCGCATCTGATATGCCTGATATCGCTGGAAGTCAATCTTTAGATCGCGGCTCTCCGCGATTCCAATATTTGATTACCATCAGTGAATACGGCCAATTTCCAATTCCGCCAATAAACGGCAAGGGGACCTTATCCTTCTGTCAGACCGACTAATCCAGATCGGGCAATACATCGGCGTGTATTGTAACATCACGTATTTGGGCGTACGATCTCTGTAAGCCCGGTTTTAATGTTCACGACTAAAACATTGTGAGATTCCTTCAAGGGCAACTTGAAATCTGAGGATATTGGCTATTCGGGGAACAACTATATTCAACCTGAAAATGGTTGACACGCAGAGAAAGAAAGTGATTGTGATTGGTATGGTAGCAAACGTTTTACTATCCTGCTTTCCTGGAACCGAGCTAACTGGGTATTATCTAGGAGCGGGAGTTGGAGGTGTCGCAACCGCAGCCCGACTGGCAAAGGCTGGAATAGAGGTATCAGTGTACGAGAAAAATGATTTTCACGGTGGAAAGTGCAGTAATATCGTTCACAACGGCTATGTAAGCAATTGTTGATTGAATATTGGAGACTTTTGTTGACTTTCCTCCAAGCGCTTTGATCGTGGAGCATCAATCATGCTCATGACCGAGGTCTTCGAAGAAACTTTTCAGCATTTGGGCACATGCATGTCTTCACAGGGCATTGATCTTCTTAAATGTGAACCAAACTGCAATGTCTGGTTTCAAGATGGAGATTGTTTTGCGACTTCCACTGATGTCGCTCACATGAAAGGTCAAATCGAGAAGATAGAAGGCTCACAGGGATTTGATCGTTTTCTAGCGTTTCTCCAAGAGTCTCAAACCCATTACGAGCAAAGCTTGATTCACGTGTTGAAGAAAGACTTCCCTAGCTTTCTGTCACTTCTCAGGCCAGCATTCCTGCCTTGGTTGTTTAGATTGCATCCCTTTCATAATGTCTGGCAAAGAGCAGCCAGCTTTTTCCGATCCCATAAACTTCGCCAAGTTTTTACCCTCGGGAGTATGTATCTTGGAATGTCTCCGTTTGAGACTTTTGGATACTTACACTCTCCTACAATACGCTGAGTTGGCAGGTGGAATCTGGTACCCTCGTGGAGGGTTTCACCGAGTAAGTCGACGTCCATCAATGATGAGAAGCGAGCCTAACTTTGAAAGATTGTTGAATCCTTGGTTGAGATTGGTACGAGGCTTGGTGTCAAGTTTCATATGTCGCATCCTGTGAAGAAAGTTACCATATCGCCGGATGGGAAGGCTCTAGGTATTTCGTTAGGTGCGGACAGATTTGTCGAAGCTGACGCTGTTGTTATCAACGCCGATTTACTTTATGCCCAGAGAGCGCTTCTCCCATCGGATCGATCAGGGCGAGCTGATATGGGCAGGAGCAAAGATGTCTCTTGCAGCAGCATCTCATTTTACTGGTCCCTTTCCAAGAAGGTCCCCCAGTTAGAGACTCACAACATCTTCGTGGAAGATTCCTTTGGACAGCAATCCAACCAGATACACATGCAGCAGCAAGATTCACTAAAACCATCATTTTACGTCCATGTTCCCTCCAGAATAGACCCGTCAGCAGCACCAACAGGAAAGGATGCTGTCATTGTCCTTGTTCTGGTCGATAATCTTGGCACTTCAGATCCAAGGAACAATCCTTTGGTGAAGAATGAAATAACCAAATTGGTTGTGTCTGCCCGCAAGCACGTGATATCCTCCATCGAAAAGCGAACCGGCGCCTCTGGCTTCAAACATCTCATCGATCATGAGATGATCAACACGCCATTGGCTTGGCAAGAGACATTCAACTCTGAGAGAGGCGGACTATTTGGTCTCGATCACAGCTTCTTCAACATTTTGTCTTTCCGACCCAAGATCAAATCCGATGACTTTGACGGTGTATACTTTGTTGGTGCCAGTACGCACCCTGGAGCTGGAGTACCGACCTGCTTGGCAGGCGCAAGACTTACCGCGCAGCGAGTCCTAAAAGATTTGGAGGTTTCCATCCCCTGGGAGAGTCCTACTCCAAAATTCAATCGTGTGGCCTCGCAATTCTCTGCCAAGATCATGGGTACCCAGTCTGTGTGGAAGCGAGTTTTCTTTGCTCTAGCTCTCTACATGGCTATCGGGATAGCTTTAGGAGGAACATTGTGGGTATTGTAATTTGGGTCTTTGTTTATATTGTTTGTGAGCTATCAATCCATAATGAGTAATTTTTCCACAATTGTAACGACGTGTCGCCCTATTGTTTGTATAGCCTTCCTAGATCACGGCCCTCGAACCTGCTTTGTCGGAGCCACATCGGTGGATGATCGATCGATCGATCGCCCGGGACCGGCTAACGGACAGCCGACAAAGACCGAGCCCAACATTCACTTTCCCTGCTTTTCCCGCTTTCACTGGTCTTACATGCGTTAGTGGTGCCTAGCCCAGAAAAGTGCACCAAGGCGCTTGATTTAGTGACCAATTACGTCGTCATTACACTTTTGGATCACTTTGGGACTCTGTAACGCTGCGGATGTGCTGTCCCGGCAGTCCCGATACGGACACTTCTGGGTGGAGCAACTCCGTTTTGGGCCAACTCTATCGCTGTTTAGTGTATCTCTAAGCCAATATTACAACGAGCCATATATGATTGTGGACTAAGAAACTCCATTTTTGCGGGCTGTGGCTGGTAACTGTGTATTACTGAGTCGTAATCATCGTTACTCCACGCATCCTCCAGTGGAAGCGCAGGCCCCCCGTTATCCTGTTTAGAATTACAACACGTCCATTCCCAGCAAGGGATGCGGAGCTTCACGCAAGCTTCTTCCAATTCGGCTGGACTTTGGATCGGCGACTTCTTGAGTCAGCAAATGATTGGATCCGACATTTATAGAGAATGTCTGGTTCATTTTCTCTCCACCGCACTCCTACACTGATTTCGAAGACCCTGTGCTCGGTCGGCAAAGGCAGTTGCACACTCGACATTCGGCATAATGGGATATGATTATTGGCTGGTGTATGTTGTGCAGAAAACATGACAGAATCCCGCAGGTTCAGTGAGGCCTAACACTCTCTGTAGCCATTTGACCTGGACACTTCCGCCCGCTGTTTTACTCACGGCGGCCTATTGGCCGTTTTTCACAAGGCTCGAAGTTACCAAAATCCTAATTCTAATAAACGTAAGAGAGTCATAATATTGCTTCAGAATCACTATTGACAGCATCAGATCGCCGTTCTCGCTACCATACCGTGGGACTCGTATCTGATCCGCAATCGCATCTGGTCATATCCAGCCGATGCAATTCTTGGGCATACATTATTTGACATTCCGTTTGAGGAAATTTTCTTCTTCATCATCCAGACATACTGCACGAGCTTGCTTTATGTCGTTCTCACTAAGCATCTGGTCCTTCCGGCGTATTTGCTGCCACGGAAGGGCAATTTCACAAAAGCCATTGGAACTGCAACATTGATGGTTGGAACTGCTATGGGCATTATTTTCATGTTGAGCAAGAGCCACTTGACATACCTTGGCCTGATCCTAGCATGGGCGCTTCCTGTATTGACTTTCCAATGGTGAGATTTTGAATTCCCGATTGATTTTACTGGTCGGGTAATCCTAACATGGTTGATTACTAGGCTCCTTTGCGGGAATTTTCTCATTTCCTTGCCAAAGAAACCTCTTCTTATTTCCATCTTGTTGCCGACCTTCTATTTATGGATTGTTGACTTTTTCTCGCTGCAACGAGGCACATGGGTGATTGAACGTGGAACCAAGGTGGACATTCGGTTTGGGGGATCATTGGATCTAGAGTAAGTCTGGATGAAGTTGACGTCGCAATTTTCACTAACATAGCTTTTTATTATTATCAGGGAGGCAGTCTTTTTTCTGATCACCAATGTTATGGTCGTTTTCGGTCTGGTCACCGTGGATCATGCTCTTGCAATCGCCGAGTATGACACGGTCATGTCCAAGCCGGCGGACAGCCGTCAACCCTCGGTCGCCCAGATCTTCTGGTCTTATATGACCAGCCAGTCGAGGTCTTTCGATGTTCGGTTTCTCGAGGGATTGAACGCAGCCATTGAGAAGTTGTCTCAAAAGAGTCAAAGCATGTACTTGGGTAGCGCGATGTTCCAGGACAGATTACGCATCGACCTGGTTCTCTTGTATGAGATTGACCCATTCAACGAAAAGGCCATTTTGAGTACTAATTATTTTGCAGATACTCTTTCTGTCGAGTTATTGATGATTTGGTAGACGAAGCCCCAGATCGTGAGACTGCGCAGGCGAACATCAAAGAAGCATCGCAAGTTTTGCATTGGCGCTTCTCAACGAAGCGGCCCACCAAGCCTCTCTATGACTATCTGGAAGTCGAAAACAGTCCCGAGCAGCCAAGCTCTTTATCTCCACTACTCTCCTCCATTGCATTGCTGCCAGTTTCTCGTCTCACCTTGACACCACTACTCGAACTTTTGACCGGATTCGAAATGGATCTCGACTTCTCCATCGAAAAGCAAGCGTTCCCGATTGCGACTGAATCAGATTTACAATTATACGCCCATCGTGTCGCGGGCACCGTCGCATCTTCTCTCCTTGAGTTGGTATTCAGCCACTATGCAATGGATCAAACAAAATATGATCGCGCTCAACAAGAGAGAATCATCAACTCCGGGCATTGTATGGGCCAGGCATTACAATATGTCAACATTGCACGTGATATCACGCGTGATGCCGCGATTAATCGAGTCTATATTCCTACTTCCTGGTTGGCCGAAGAAGGACTCACGCCGACTGATGTACTAGCAAGTCCGCATGATGACAGACTTGCCATCTTTGAAGATCGCATGTTGCGAAAAGCGAACGATGCCTATGAACAGAGCGTGAGAGCAATCGATGAGCTCCCCAAGGAGGCTCGTGGTCCTATTAAGACGACAATTGAAAGCTACATGATGATTGGGGAAATGGTTCGCAGGAGACGGCAAGCTGGGATCAAGGCGGAGGGAAAGTTGAAAGTCCCTTTGTGGCGGAGGCTCCGGCTTGCGTGGTGGGAGATGAATGCTAGTTAATTCCTGAGCTTCATTTAGCCAATAGCCTTGAGTTACAAGAGAAGTCTCCCATCCAGCGAGTCTACTACATTCTATTGTACATATACCAGGTGAAGGTGAAATGAGGGCTAATGGACATAAATTGGATGAACTGAGAAAAAAACGGTGATTGGGAGGGGAATGGGGTAGTAATGGAAGCCAAAACCCGAGGTCAATCCTAGCAAACGGCTTCAGCCAAGGCGAAAGGGTTCAAATAAATTGACGACTGTAATCTGGCCATGATTGCAGATTCCAGAATTCCCGACCATCGAGGAATATTTACCCCTTGTTGAGCGAGGGTTGGGGGACCAATGCCCAAACCGGTATTCTGTTCGGAGCTGTAAGGGAATACATAGTGTGCTTTCTCCATTCTGACTCATGGGTTTCGGTACTATACAATTATGGAACAGATCGCGATAATCGCCATTAGGTCCGACGTGAAACCTGGAACACTGTTAGAAATACCGTACATTATCCAGATCGGGAATTGTGGGGCCCGATATGGAGTCAATAATCGCTCCAGGAATTTGTCACCTGCCAAGATGAGGCCCAGGCCTCAGCCTGCTTAAACCCGTCTCTCGCTGTGTTGGACTGTTCGGCCTAGGAATCCGTGTCTAATATTTACAGCCTAATGACCACTCCAAGCGCTATTGTTGTGGGTAAGTAGAGCAATGGCGATAAATGCTGCGCAATTTACTCACATATTCTAGGAGCTGGTGCCGGCGGCATAGCCACAGCTGCTCGATTAAGCAAGGCCGGATACAAAGTCACCGTTGTCGAAAAGAATGGCTTTGTTGGCGGTAGATGTTCCCTCATTCATCATGAAGACTACGTGCGTTTGTCGAGATTCTCAGATTCTCTCTTCGTATCGTTTGTATTCAGTTCTAATTTAATCTTAGAGATTCGACCAAGGTCCATCCCTCTTGCTCATGCCAGAGGTCTTTCACCAGACCTTCAGCGATCTAGGCACATCTGCAGAAGATGAGAAAGTACGATTTCTGAAATGCGAACCTAATTATCGCATCTGGTTCTCGGACCATGATCATTTTGAATTGTCGACTGATCTTTGCAAAATGAAACCTCAAATAGAGCGGTACGAGGGCCAAGATGGCCTGCAAAATTTGTTGCGATTCATGAGAGAGTCCGGTCAGCATTATGACCTCTCCATGAAGCATGTTTTATCCAAAGACTTTCCCAACCTGCTGGCTATGCTGCGCCCGAAACTACTTGTGTCTTTGATGGCCTTGCATCCATTCGAGAGCATGTGGAGTCGTATAGAGCGACATTTCAAGTCGGACAAGCTTCGGCGCGCCTTCACTTTTGCTAGCATGTATCTTGGTATGAACCCTTTTGAAGCTCCTGGGACATATTCTCTGCTGCAATATACCGAGCTAGCGCATGGAATTCTGTATCCTGAAGGTGGATTCGTGAAGGTCAGAGGCTTTACCTGATCATTTTTTTTTGTTTGTCCAATGCTTACTTCTGCTTATAGGTCCTTGAAGCGGTGGCCAATGTCGGCAAGCGGCTGGGCGTTGAGTATCGCTTAAACACCGAAGTCGCATCAATCATCTACTCCCCGGACAGCGAAGCTAAGGGTATACGACTGAAGTCAGGCGAAGAGCTCTTCTCCGATGTCGTCGTCATCAACGCGGATCTAGTCTACGCGTACAATAACCTGCTGCCTCCCAGTGCTTACTCTCGAAGCTTGACCAAACGTCCGGCGTCTTGCAGTAGCATCTCATTCTTCTGGTCGTTCGACAGAATCATCCCGGAGCTGCACGTACACAATGTCTTCCTAGCGGAAGAATACAAGGAGAGCTTTGACGCCATATTCCACCGCCACCAACTCCCCAATGAGCCATCGTTTTACGTCAACGTCCCAAGCCGCATCGATCCCACTGCAGCTCCCAAAGGAAAAGACGCAGTGGTTGTGTTAGTACCGGTCGGGCACCTGGTGGACGACCCTTCTAATCCCCAAGACTGGGACTATTTAATAAAGCATGCTCGTGATGTCGTTTTCAAGACTATCGAATCTCGAACAGGGGCCTCAGGATTACGCGACAGCTTAATCCATGAGTCAATCGAGACACCCACCAGCTGGAAAGCGAAATTCAACTTGGATCGCGGCGCGATTCTCGGACTTTCACATTCGTTCTTCAACGTTCTGAGCTTCAGACCCAAGATTAGGCACCCTGATATTCAGGGACTGTACTTTGTGGGCGCAAGTACACATCCCGGGGCTGGAGTTCCTGTTGCGCTTTCTAGTGCAAAGATTGTGAGCGAGGGCATAATAGCGGACATGTCTCGGAGAGGAAAGGGAATCGTATCCAATCTCTTGATGGGGCTTTGTTTTTTGTTCCCGATCTTGGCCATGTTGTTTTACTATAAAGTCCCGCAATAAGTGAAGGGCAGAGAAGCATTGGTCGTGTCCTTAAATTGGAATGATATTGGCCCGCCATGACATGATATAACAACAGTTGCCCCAGAGAACCCTTGTACTTCTGACTCTAGCTGTCAATTGCCCTTTAAACATGAAGAAGGATGTTCAGGTATATTGCGTCATGTCGCGATCAAAACAGCAACAGCCCATGGCGCCATGGTCACCGAATAATTTCCATGATCACCCTTTAGATTAGTAGTAACCGGCATGACCGTTACATTGAAAGGCTGATTACCCTCGTTCTGAGAGCCAGCCAGCATCTCCAGCCTCCCTGACTCCGTCTTCGGAATACTGATAGTGACGTTCTGTTCATCTGGCCCGTAATTCGCAACTTTCATAAAGTATCTGGAGTCGGTCTTCGTGGCCACCCAGTACAGTGGGCCAAATTCCCCCGTTGAATTGACTGGAAGAACCGTGTTTCCCTTGTTTGAGGAGAACATCCGCTGCACATAGTAGGACGTTGAGAGTGTGATTGTCTCTGGGCTCGAGTTGAAGCCGTACATGGTGGGCTGTACCATATGTTAATGTCGGCTTTGGGCATCTAGTATTGCAATACAAACTTACCGACCACGATATGAATCCGAAATGTTCAAGCAATGGCGCATACGCTGCCATTTTCACAATATCGCTGTTCCGCTCCATGCCCATCATGTAAACAGCCTCACTGCAGCTGCCTTGCATAAATGACCAGTAAGTTCCAAGGGCGCTCGACGTATTCCGACACCCGTATTCACCAACCATGAGGGACTGGTTTCGGGGCTGGTTGTCAAATTGATTGAACAGGGCCACAAAATCATCAGGCTGGCGATACAAGTGCAGATCGATGATGACATTCTGTGGCAGTGGCGACGGCAGGCACGAGTAGTTGCCATTAGAGGCGACTAGCGTGATGTTCGGGTATTTGTCGTGTATCGTCTTGTAGATCTGGTTGAAGCGATCCGGGTAAGTATCACAGCCACCAGTGAGATCGTCCTCGTTGCCAATCTCAATAAAGTCGACTTTCCAGGGCTTCTTTTGGCCGTTCTGAACGCGCATCTTTCCGTAATGGGTGTCTTCACTACCAAAAAGGTATTCCATCTCATTCATGATATCATCAATGAAGGGTTCAAGATCCGGGCCAGAAACAATATCGCCATAAGACTTTCCAGCCCAGACAGCCAGGAGAGGAACCATGTTCATATCTTCGCACCACCATAGGTACTCATCAAGGCCAAGCGCGTCTGTGTTTGGATAGAACCAATCGCTTTCGCGTCCGGGGCGCTCAACGAGAGGGCCGATCGTGGTGTTCCATTTCCATCTACTGTCGACCTCCAAGCCCTCGATGTTGTTTCCACCTGGAAATCGAAGAAAGGCTGAGTTGACGTGCTCAAGAGCTGTGGCTAAATCATGCCGCAACCCATTATCTCTGTCATTATACGTCGGTGGGAATAACTGGATTAAGCCAAAGTTCAATGAGCTGCCAGCCACTTTCGATCCATCGACGGTCAGATGCCACTCGTTATCCCCATCCGGAGACTGAGTAGAATTGAATGACGTTTCAATTTCTTTGAATTTTGAGCTGGTGCTCTGAACGGTGAGATTGTGATCGGCATACACGACACCGCTAACGGATCCGAGGAGTTGCAAATTGACCGTTCCAGAGTAGTTTCCTTTCATCCAGAACGAGCTCCTGTACGTGTGATTCATGACCGGGACACCGAGGTAGCCGGTATTTGCGAAGCCGACGTACTCGGTAACGCCATCAGGCACAGAAACCTTGAGCGAAGACGTGATCGCTTCGCTCACAGGGTTTGACATGTCCTGAGAAATCTCGGCATCTCCGACCGGTGCGTATGAAGTCATTCCAAGACTCGTACCTTGGAAGCCGTTATTTTGTAGCAGCTGTCCGTGTATGCCACCATCGCCTTCACAGCCTGTTGTTAGTGCTGGTTCGCTAGCTTCATAGGGTCTGGCATACCAGAATGATCCATTTCCTGATAAAATTTGATCCATCAGCAATTAACTTGTAGACGTTGGGCTTTCCTGAGCAAACTACCTCGAACATTACTCCGTACAGTAATGGGCTTGATCTGTTCCTCCCTTCCCTCCCAACAATGAGGGTCACCGGCTCGGAATTATTGCCAGTGCTGATCCCCTGCACGAGGCCGATCATCGATCCAAGGCAGAGGTAAGCCACACATCCTGGCTTCATGATGCTTCAGGGTTCAAATACCCGACGTGGAGATGGCCTGTGAAGAAAGAAGAAGTCCTCTCAGGGGATTGGGGGCCTGGGGGCCTGAACGACCGAAGTGTTCCTGGAGAGGCACTTGACATCACTGTCGGAGAGTCTCCGCCGCATTCAATCTGCGTCACTCGGCTCTAAATTGAGTCGACATCATGGATCTTAAGATTTGTGGGGTGCAAATCAAAACCCTTCGTAGGCGGCATTAGCTTTTCTTCCTTTGCCCCGGTCGATAGGGACGCTCAATGAAGTACAATACTGCCTTTGATCGTCCAAAATTGTCCAGCATTTTCAATCATTCCTGATGAATCAAAAAACGTTATCATAGGGCAATGGGTTCGTTTGGGCTAGGTGGAGTGCAGGATCGCATGTTTGAAGTCATGACGTAGGGCATAATTTCATCCGGCGACCACGCGCGATTGTACAATCAACGATCCAGTTTGCAAGAATCAACAACTAATATGACTTGAGACAAAAAAAGTTTGAAAGTAAACACAATTATCAGAATACAGTGTGGGAAGGCGAAACGTGAGGAGAAGTTGTGAGGGTCGAGTTCGAACACGCCAACTAAAAGCGGATGGCCGCCGAATGCCCTGATACATGGGCGATAACTTTCCATGAAAAAGACCCACAATAAATTAATATACTTTTTATTTTTGTAAATGTGTAAAGTACGGTTTTAAGCCTCAAAGATTGGGGTCATCGAGGATTGAATTTATTACCAATATGAAGGGTGCTGGAGTCACGAAAGGGCTAACAAAGCATTGAGTATCTGTGGTTCCTGATCAAAACTTTAGCAATAGTGTTATAGTAAAGCTAATGAATTGGAAGCTAATCTGGAATTCAAAAGTGATCGAGCACAGCCGCTATAGAGATGGGTACCATACGTAAGACAATCAGCCGAAGGAGATCAGCTGTTACTTTCGTGGCTTAAGAACAGATCCGGCCCGACTCTCGGTGGAATCCGCTAGTCGAGTCTCGTCGTTTCATCTTTAAACGGATGCATCAAGTTCCTGTGGCCCTCCTTCGCTCTTGTCGATCACAACCTTGTGTTTGAATCCCGCGAGCCTCGCTCTTGTCTCATGGTCAAGCTCGGCTGTCATTTCTGGCATCGTGCCCGGTGCCTCAAAAATCCCTTCATTTCCGGCTTCAACTGGTCCATTGTTAGGTTCAGTGGTTTCCAAAATGCTTTGTTGGCGACGGCGCCGTTTGAGGATGATGAGGATGAAGGCTACTCCAGCGATGACCAACACACCAACCCCCACACCAACCCCCATACCTGCTTTGGCACCAGAGGATAATCCCGACCCTGAGGTCGAGGGGTTTAAGCCACCATTCGGAGAGCTGGAAGCAAGTGTTACATTCGAAATGCTGGGCAGAGCCTGAGTTGTTGTCGCGGTTCCGTTGGATGAACTTCCGTTGATTATGAACTGACGCGATTTGGCAACGTAACTGTCCTCCCCCTTAGCACCCATCAGAAAGAAAAATTTGTCGGAGACTGATAGGTTTCGCGCAGTCTTAACAGTCCAGTCGCACGATTGAAGGCCAGCAGCTGGTTCTATGGAATCCGAATGAGCGAAAAATGGCGAAAGGGGGAGTGTTTCCTTATGAGCGTATGAACTTACCACAGACAAATTCTCCTACAGTGTTTGGGATCGCTTGCCACAAAGCGATTGAAACCGTGTTTGATTGTGACTCCTTCCACTGGATGTCTATGGTGGAACCAACATGGTAGATTGGGTCGTCTGATTGGTTTTCAGGACCATTAATGTGATTTTCCGGGTATGTGAAGACGTAGAGAGCATTAGCGGGTAGACAGAGCAGCAAGACAAGCAGCAGCTTCTGCATAAAGGTCGCGACAATTGTTGGTCGTCGTGACATATTCATGTTGGCGGCTGCCTCCCCGATTCAGGTAGGGGAAGGACGGTGTCATGAAGAAGTTCAGTCCATAGCGCCCAATATAAGGAAGCACGAAAAAAAGAGGATATTTGAGCTGTCGCTTTCTGTGTTGGTGAGTCGGCCCCAGATCTTCAAATGATTGACTGCAAGTAGGAAGGGTCTTAGCGGCTTTTAACTTCATTGAGTAGAGATCCTCGACTTCTTCCCGTTTTCGCTTATGCCAATCAAATAATGTATCTTGAGCACTTCGGAAGTCAGCTTCTTAGGCTGGAGATTAGGATTCAGAAGCATGAAATCTATTATCAGTTTGTCAGGTTCCCACCCAGAATCAGACCATATCAAAGCAAAGTATTGAAGATCATGGTTGAATTACGGATGGCCGATCAGCATGGCCCGCGTCTGTGCGTTATGCGGCGCCTACAGAAAATCCCCTCTTCGTCAAGCTCCACAGTGATACAAAGTACGAGCTGACAGTGAACTCGAGGCCTGAGTATCGTAAGTGACCCCATTTGATGTGGACTCGAGACAGGAACTTCCGGGCGTGGTCGATTAAAGAAAACTTTTCCAAGGGATGTGAGTGTCCGAGTTTAGTGAACATGTTAGACGGTGCTGGAGTCGATGATCCCCTTATTGGCGTTGATTGAGGCTGTGTGTCTCATTAGGAATAAGGTTTGGGTCAGTCAAATCCCGTCAGACCCAATTTGATTTACGAGGCTGAACTGCTAAACGTAGTCACTGGGGCCCGAGCTCACAGCGACCTCCGCCTCTTCAACAATGGAGTCGCGGAGGCCCGTAGCCTCGAATTGACAGAACCCATTGACCCGGTACAGCTCGTGTAGTTATGTACCGCAGCGCGGGATGCTCTGAAATGGGCCCAAGGCGGCAGGAGCTAAATATAAAGACGCCTATGGTCACGTTGCCCCTATATTTCCTCTTATACGCGCCTTTTGAGTATGCCTCTTTCCTTTTGTACTCTGACTTGCTAAAACAAATTCTGCCAGTAGGAAACTACAGGGAAGAGGACCACCGTACCTATTTTCGTCCTGTAGTAGTACGGGAATGGAACTTAGGACCCAACCCAGTCACATGGGAGTCTCATACAGATGTCTAGCCATGATTTCAACATCAGATTCAATGCCCTGCATCTGTCAATGCAAATCAGCAAGTAATCTATCGTGTTCTTCTATCGGTAGCACATGGGTGTCAAGCATTCATAAACGAAAAAAGCAAAAGGATCCTCAAATCTGGGTTTGAAGGAAACATAGAATCCAACGTATCTTAGGTATAATGTCAGACAAGACTTTTCAAGCTTCTATCAAAGTTCATGTCGCTCCAGCGCATACTTGACATCCTAGGCGATCCAGAGCTCACATTCACAATTCTAGTGGCGCCCTTGGGGTTTTGCTTGGAAGCTTCGATGATCTTTGGCATGATCAGGCAGGTAAAAAGCCAGTGTCCTATGTGGTTGGTCGCGAAGTGCATTTCGATCCCATCCTCCGTGAGGGTTCGTTCTTGTACACCCATGACACCGGCGCTATTGATGAGAATATTGACGGATGGCACGTCTTCCCAGGCCAGGACCTCGGCAGCGGCAGCGCGGACGGACTTCTGGCTGGAAAGATCCATCTGCAGAGCGCGATAGCTCACGTCAGGCCAGTCTCTCTTCAGAAGTTCGATGCATTCTTGGATCTTAGAGGGGCTGCGACCAGCGACAATCAGGCTCGCAGGAGACTGAGAGGCCTGTTACACAATTACCATCAGTCCAACTCATGCTCAAGAATGGGAGAGTGTGGTAATACTTACAAGAGCTTGCGCAGTGGGGAACCCGATTCCACCACGATTGACGCCAGTGATGATGACTGACTTGCCCCGAACCTGGGATGAAAATTTCTCCGCAACTTCAAAGCCCTCGGTGTTGGCATTGAATTCTGAATAAGTCGTAGCTGCCATGGTTTCTATGGTAGAGCTGAGCGTAGAGTGTTGGACGAGTTTCGGTACATGGATTGGATGGTAATGTAGAGCTGAAGTGATCGACCTCAATTCTCGAAGCAGCACCACAGCCTATTTATGTTCTTCTGTAGGTCTCTACCATACTGACTTGGATACTATACATGACGTTGTGATCCTACATATAGCTACCGACGGAGCCAATGGGAGATTGATTGCCAGATTTGGAAAATAATATTAAACCATTTTGAACGGACAGAAGTGTCTGGCCAATGTGAGATTCACTTCCAATTTGAGTCAAGTGAGAGAGAGTTCCCCTGTATATTCCTTCGGAGCTTTGATCTGACCGAGACATTCGTTGGGGCTTTCGGACATTAGCACGGAGGTTCCCTAACTCCGCACCGCAACAATCGAACGGTAAGACTTGTAACAATGGATATCGTGCCTTGGAAGATGTGCTGCCACCTTTTCAAACGTCTCGTTGGACTATAGCGAGGATGTCACAGTCGACATTTCTACCGTCTTTGATTACGTGAGAAACCGAGGTCGGAGAAATAGTTTGAGTTTCCTTAATCTCCTCACGTCTTCAACTAAGAGAAGACGAAAGTATTTGACGCTCTGAATCTAGATAGCTTGCATTTCTCAGCAAGACACGCGACAAACGAGTGGCACGGGTCGTCTGCTGGAAATATTTAGAATCGGTGAGAAACCATATCGTGGTCGAGTAATCTCGATTCAAGGGACGTTTCCCGTCATTCCTCACAATGCACTAATCCATGATCACTTCCATTGAACATCACGGAGCGGGGTGGTCGAGTCTATGGTACGTAGTTGAGGGCGAATTATGGGACCGAGGCAAGGCATCTTCAGCCTTAGTGGATAAAATAGAGCAACAAAACGATCTTCTCGGCTCTTTGAACCCAAATAGCTCGAGAAAGAAAGCAATTGTTCCAGCAGGGTTGTCCCTGCGTTGGAATACTCGCCAAATGGGACTAACCACTGATTATCGAGGTAAGAGAGTTGCGGACGGGGATATGACGTGGTCATGTTAGCACTGCACGGATATGACGCCTACGCTCTGGAGATATCGGAAACGGCTGTAGAAGGAGCCGAGACCTATGTCTTGACTTAGATGGAGAGCCCACCTGCTTATCATCTTGGATCCGGGAAGCATCAACAGGGCTCACATGGTTCTGCGACCTTTGTAAAGGGGCATATTGATGATTCGACGAACTTTGATCTCGCGAATGATTATACTGTGAGTTAAAGCCCCTTGAACATGGTCGTTGGAGTCATTGACAGTTCTTCAGTTCCTAATCTCATTCCAATGCTGTGTAAAACAATACTGAATTATATCATCTAGTCTCCTTGTTTAACCGTTATCTTAGTACGTTCAGTTTCTCACATTCTCTATTCTTTCATCTTGATCTCATCCATGTCATGATCTTCGCCGGCCTCCAAATCCAAGCGCTTTGCGTGGGCCAAGTTTTCTACGCCAGCGACAGCACTCTCAAAACGGCGGCCGCGTTTCTCGGGTCCAATGGCAGTTGTAAATATGATTCCGAGCGCGATGATGGCCGTAGCGACACCCATCACGGGACCATAAGCTGATGCACGAGCCCCCGATGCTGTGGTCACCCAAGTGTGCTCCGCAATAGCGTTCACAATTTGCGCCGACGGGGAGCTGATCATGTTACCAAGTTGGTAAGTGAGACCTGGGAAGGAAGATCGAAAGGCGGGGGGAGAGCTCGTTCAGATGAATGGGGATGACTCCCCAAGCCCCCTGGATGAAAAATTGGATGAAAAATCCGGTCGCACTCAATGCACGTTCACCTTCTGGGAGGATCCATGCCGGGATCATGATTGCAGAAAGCAGAGCTGCGACGACGATGGCCCGCCGGCGGCCCACAAACTGCGACAAGTATCCAATGATGGTCCCGCCAACGCATGCTCCAGTCTTCATGAGAATAGATGCTCGGGATGCACCAGAGTTGTCGAGCTCTTTTTGAGTGAGCATAAAGGTCGTATATGAATCTTGCGACGTGTGAGAGTAGAAATTGAACTGACAGGGTCTCAGTCAATTTGCCTTGCACCGAATCATTGTTCACTCACCCAAGTCATGAGAATGACACAGTATACACACATCCGCCATTCCTTGCCCACCATGGATTTTGTCTCTTTCCAAAAATCACCCGCGCTTGTGTGCTGCTTGCCAGCTTTTTTTGCCTCAAGAAATTGCTTGGACTCGGGAAATACAATGCGCAAAAGCCCAATTCCGATGGAAACACCGGCTAAGCCATGTTAGTATGGAGCAGTTTCATATTCTCCCTTGTCAAGTCTTGCATTACCTGCAATCCAGAATACGGCCTTCCAACTGGCCGTTGAGCCCCCGACACCCAGGTTGGCACAAGCTGCAAACACATATCCTAGTGAGTACCCTTGCTGGAGAATACCGGACATAAGGCCTCGCGCATTGACCCTGTGTAAAAACATCAGTTCAGTCCGGGTATTTCTTATTCAAAAGTGAATAGCTCACGGGCAATGCTCCAGCGCCATGGCTATAGCGTTTCCATAAACGCCTCCCATGAAAAGACCAAAGAGACTTCGCACTGCCAAAAATTGCTGGAAAGTGTGGCTGTAGATCGTGGCAATCTGCAGCACTCCAAGAACAATCATATTCACCACCATCGGCCATTTTCGTCCATACCTGTCACCAGCCAGTCCGAAGAGAGCCGCACCAACGCTTCGGAGGAGGAGAGTAAGCGTGATGGCAGTCGTGACATCTGTCTTGGAGCGATCATAGTAGTCGGAAAGCTTTTTGGTCTGGATGGAAAGGGCATGGAAGTCAAACGCATCGGCCGTCCATGCTGCTAGCCCGACTAAGAAGAAGAGCCAGTCTCGAGCAGATAGCTGGGCCATTAGACTGATCGGATTCTTGAGGGGCTCAGGTGACTGCCATTCTGAGTGAGATTCGCCAGACTCATTGATGACTTCCACGCGCTGCTTCCAAATGAAGAGATCTTTGAAAGACTGCACAGCTGTGGGCAGGATACCGTTGGCGATAGGCTCTGCCCGATCATTTGAAGGCATTCTTTGAGGTATGTACAGAGCCAGTCGAAGTGAGGGATGTTCTGGGTTAGGTCAAACTCCCAGTGAACTTGAGCCGATCTTGTACCATCTGTGGGATCATGCTCCAAATCGCGCCTTCTATTTATACACGTTTTACAACTCTTTAACCCCGCATCATTCTCATCATCTATACCAAAGTACCGACTACCCCAGACAGTTGCCGAGATAGCACGCGGGGACATGCCACTTCGGTGGTAGGCCAAGATGGGGCCAAGCATCTCGGCCATCCGTGCCCCTCCAATACCAGCACACCATAAGATAAATATCCTGGGCATCCTTCTTGGTCAATGGCTTAGCGTGGAGGAAGGCTCACCCCGAGATCCTTTCGGCCTAGGCTACCCTGGGGAAGAGATGAACAGTTGGGTGAGATCAGGACCTCGGTGTTGTTGGGCCAATGATGCGAGCGTCAGTCAACATATAGCAAATTCAAAAGAGGTGTCTGTGCAAGCCATAGGTTCTGTCGACACATACTTTGTCCGTTAACTAACAAAGACTTGGGGGGACAGAGAGATAGTCCAATGGGCATGTGGAGAGGCAGTGTAAAAGAGGCGATTTTGCGGTTCGTGAGTACAATTTGCCCTCATTCTACTGACGCAAGCATATATGAGTGATTGTGTTCAATTCTCAATATCATCTCGGTCACCATGAAGGTGCAGGTCTGCTGTGTGGAACCAACCTCGCGTGGTCTGTAGGGTCAAGGAGAGGCGAGGCGTGGGATGCCTGCCAAGAGGCTCCGAAGGCCCACCCGCCCCTATCACGATAGAGCACCGGGTTGCCAGATGGCAGGAGAATTGATCAAGGTAAGTATAAATCATGGAGAAATTTACCAATTGGTATCCAGTCTGGAAAGCTCCCATTATATCCCCAGCTCTCCGTTGTACGAGACTCGAATGATTCAACTCTCTGGCGTTGGAGAAGTCTACGGTGGATCTGCGATTGACAGGTTTATACCAATCTTGGAACAGCTTCCCGACAGTGTTTAGCTACCCCAACCTTTGAGTGAAGGAGTAGATTATATTGAGCACTATTTCTGATACTCTTGATGGTGCGTTCTAAGACACATTCTTGTACCCCGTTGGAAATGCCCTGTCCGCGTGGAAGGGAGGGAGCTTGTGGCGGCGAAGGCACGAGGTAGTTTAGAGTCGAGACCGGGTGAAAGAATAGACAGCTAGGACTTCTCAGCCCGGGATAGTCTTTTTCACTTCTGAAATTCGCTGCTTATCGAGCCTTTCAATCGAAATTGGAGAGTTCTTCATCTCCTCTACTTTGCCCGGCACTAATCGCATTTGTTTCTCATTCTCATTCAATGACGCAGCCCGTGCCCCTGTATCACGTGACACCCCATAAGCGACACCTCAGCAACGACAACAGCGGCCTCCTGAGGTCACTTCCGCTTCTTCAGATTCCCTACCCCCTCACTCTATTCCCCCCATCTTCTCGTTCTTTCTTAATTCCCTCCTTACCACTATTTCTCCTTTCCAATTCCGTTTTCTTTGCGTGGCGTTTCCTTGGGTGGTCAAGGTCGTGCTGCGGCCTAAGTAAATATGGCACCTCTGCCCATCAAGTTCACAGAACTGGTCAATGTACGTCGCGCTTCACTTGTGCCCCAACTTTGAAACCCTGAATACTAATTAATTCCCTGTTACAGCTGACCGCCGTTGGTATCGATGTATGCTCGCTTATGCCACCCTCCCCCAAAGTCCCGCTTCGCGACCAGCTCCCGATGCGCGACGGATACCCCGGTCGCGCCCGGAAGACTGCCCGATGCCATCTTGGTCCTTTACTAACATCTGCTCTGCTCAATAGCCAGGTTCCATCGGATTCAACCAATGCGTGAGTGATGAACTTCCCGATGCAAAATAAACGGCGATGAAGAAGTGGCTAATGGGGCGGTTATCGCACGGACAGACTCTCGAATCCGATCATTATGTTTGTGTTCGCCAGAAGCTCGAGACGGACGAGAAGCCACAAGTCATCATTGTTGACTTGAAAAATAACAATGAGGTTATGAGGCGACCGATCAATGCTGACAGTGCTATCATGCATTGGAGCAAGAACATCATCGCTCTCAAGGCCCAGGGCCGCACAGTTCAGATCTTCGATCTTGAGGCGAAGCAAAAGCTCAAGTCCGCCGTCATGAACGAGGATATTGCATACTGGAAGTGGTTCAGCGAAAGGTCTCTGGGTCTGGTCACCGACAACGCCGTTTACCACTGGGACGTCTATGACGCCACTCAGCAGAACCCGGTTAAGATATTTGATCGACTTCCCAACTTGGCTGTACGTTCGCTCTGTACTCGTCGGTCTTTTGTGGTTGTCGTACATACTGACTGTGGTTCTATTACAGGGTTGCCAAATAATCAATTACCGTGTCAACTCCGAGGAGAAGTGGATGGTCTTGGTTGGTATCAGCCAACAGCAGGGTCGCGTTGTGGGTTCAATGCAGCTGTACTCGAAGGAGCGCGGAATTTCACAGTTCATTGAGGGCCATGCTGCTGCTTTCGCGGACATTAATGTCGAGGGCTCTGCTCTCCCTCACCACCTCTTTACCTTCGCCGTCCGAACCCAGACCGGCGCCAAGCTTCAAATTGCCGAGATCGATCACCAAGAACCGAACCCGAGATTCCAGAAGAAGGCCGTGGAGGTATTCTTCCCCCAAGAAGCCGTCAATGACTTCCCTGTGGCGATGCAGGTCTCCACTAAGTACGACTTGGTTTACCTCGTTACTAAGTATGGCTTTATTCACCTATATGATCTCGAGACTGGTACCTGCATTTTCATGAACCGCATTTCCAGTGAGACTATCTTCACAACTGCTGCGGATAACGATGGGGCAGGTCTGGTCGGTGTCAACCGCAAGGGTCAGGTTCTGTCCGTCAGCGTTGATGAGAGCACAATTATCGATTACCTGATGAACAACCCCGCCATGTCGGGTCTTGCCGTTAAGCTCGCCTCCCGAGCCGGACTCCCCGGGGCCGACCACCTGTACCAGCAGCAATTCGATACTCTCATCAACTCAGGCAACTTTTCCGAGGCTGCCAAGGTTGCTGCCAACTCTCCCCGTGGATTCCTCCGTACCCCGAGACGATCAATCGCTTCAAGAACGCCCCCCAGACCGGTCAGATGTCGGTCATCTTGCAGTACTTCGGTATGCTGCTTGATAAGGGCTCATTGAACAAGTATGAGAGTGTGGAGCTGGTCCGACCTGTGTTACAACAAAATCGCAAGCACTTGCTGGAGAAGTGGATGAGCGAGAAGAAGCTGGAGGCTTCAGAGGAGCTTGGAGACATCATTCGCCCCTATGACATGCCTTTGGCCCTGACAGTCTACCTTCAGGCTAACATTCCTCACAAGGTCGTTGCTGGCTTTGCTGAGACCGGTCAATTCGACAAGATCCTCGCTTATTCCAAGCAAGTTGGCTACCAGCCCGACTACACCCAGCTTCTGCAGCACATCGTGCGGGTGAACCCTGAGAAGGGTGCGGAGTTTGCTACCCAGCTTGCCAACGAAGAGACTGGTGCTCTCGTGGATCTTGACCGGGTTGTCGATGTGTTCCTGTCTCAGAACATGGTACAGCAGGCTACTTCTTTCCTGCTGGATGCCCTGAAGGACAACAAGCCCGAGCAGGGTGCCCTGCAGACCCGCCTTCTGGAGATGAATCTGGTCAATGCTCCTCAGGTTGCGGACGCGATTCTGGGTAATGAGATCTTCACCCACTACGATCGCCCTCGCGTCGCACAGCTTTGCGAGAATGCCGGTCTCATCCAACGTGCTCTGGAGAATACCGATGACCCGTCCGTCATCAAGCGCAACATCGTTCGGACCGACAAGCTGTCTCCCGAGTGGCTGATGAGTTACTTTGGCCGTCTGTCTGTGGAGCAAACCCTTGATTGCATGGATACTATGCTGGAGGTGAACATTCGCCTAAACCTGCAGTCCGTGGTCCAGATCGCGACTAAGTTCTCCGACCTTCTGGGGGCCAATCGCCTGATCGACCTCTTTGAGAAGTACCGTACTGCTGAAGGTCTCTACTACTATCTTGGCAGTATTGTCAACCTCAGCGAGGACCCCGAGGTGCACTTCAAGTACATTGAGGCTGCCACTGCTATGAATCAGATCACCGAGGTCGAGCGTATTTGCCGTGAGAGCCAATACTACAACGCTGAGAAGGTCAAGAACTTCCTGAAGGAGGCTCACCTGACTGAGCAGCTCCCTCTCATCATTGTTTGCGATCGCTTCAACTTCATCCACGACCTGGTCTTGTACCTCTATCAGAATCAGCAGTTTAAGTCCATCGAGGTGTATGTGCAGCGCGTCAACCCCTCCCGTGCACCTGCGGTCATTGGTGGTCTGCTTGACGTCGACTGCGATGAGAACATCATCAAAGGTCTCCTCAGCAGCGTGGATCCCGCTTTGATTCCTATCGATGAGCTCGTCAACGAGGTCGAGAGCCGCAACCGTCTCAAGCTGCTCCTGCCCTTCCTCGAGGCTACCCTTGCCACTGGTAACCAGCAGCAGGCTGTCTACAATGCTCTCGCCAAGATCTACATCGACAGTAACAACAACCCCGAGAAGTTCCTCAAGGAGAACGACATGTACGATACCTTGACTGTCGGAAAATACTGCGAGAAGCGTGACCCCAACCTGGCCTACATCGCCTACCACAAGGGCCAGAACGATCTAGAGTTGATTAGCATCACCAATGAGAACTCCATGTACCGTGCCCAGGCCCGTTATCTTGTTGAGCGTGCCGATCCCGAGATCTGGACCTTCGTTCTGAGCGAGAATAACGCCCACCGACGCTCCCTCGTTGATCAGGTTATCGCTACTGCTGTTCCAGAGTCCACTGAGCCTGACAAGGTTTCAGTCGCTGTCAAGTGTTTCCTCGATGCTGACCTCCCCGGTGAGCTTATCGAGCTGCTCGAGAAGATCATCCTGGAGCCCTCACCCTTTAGCGACAACACCAGCTTGCAGAACTTGCTGATGTTGACTGCTGCCAAGGCTGACAAGGGTCGTTTGATGGACTACATCCACCAGCTCAACGAGTTTTCCGCTGATGAGATCGCCGAAATGTGTATCAGTGTTGGTCTGTACGAGGAGGCCTTTGAGATCTACAAGAAGGTCAACAACTACCTTGCTGCCGTCAACGTTCTTGTTGAGAACATTGTCAGCATCGACCGTGCCCAGGAGTTCGCTGAGCGTGTTGAGCTGCCCGATGTTTGGAGCAAGGTTGCCAAGGCTCAGCTCGATGGTCTCCGTATTTCTGACTCAATTGAGTCCTACATCCGTGCTGGTGACCCGTCCAACTACAACGAGGTCATCGAGACCGCCACCCACGCCGGCAAAGACGAGGATCTTGTCAAGTTCCTTCGCATGGCCCGCAAGACCCTACGTGAGCCTGCTATTGACACTAGTCTCGCCTTCTGCTTTGCCCGTCTGGATCAGCTTAACGAGCTTGAGGACTTCCTCCGCTCTACCAACGTCGCCAATATCGAGGCTTCCGGTGACAAGGCGTACGAGGAGGGCTACCACCAGGCCGCCAAAATCTTCTTTACCAGCATCTCCAACTGGGCCAAGCTGGCGACTACCTTGGTGCACCTCGAAGAGTACCAGGCTGCTGTTGAGTGCGCCCGCAAGGCCAACAGCGTCAAGGTCTGGAAGCAGGTCAATGAGGCCTGTGTTGACAAGAAGGAGTTCCGTCTTGCGCAGATTTGTGGTCTCAACCTCATTGTCCACGCCGAGGAGTTGCAAGCCCTGGTTCGCCAGTATGAGCGTAACGGCTACTTCGATGAGCTGATCGCTGTCCTGGAGGCTGGTCTCGGTTTGGAGCGTGCTCACATGGGTATGTTCACCGAGTTGGGCATTGCTCTGACCAAGTACCACCCCGACCGCGTGATGGAGCACCTCAAGCTCTTCTGGTCTCGCATCAACATCCCTAAGATGATTCGTGCCTGCGAGGAAGCGAACCTTTGGCCCGAGCTAGTCTTCTTGTATTGTCACTACGATGAGTGGGACAACGCCGCTTTGGCTATGATGGAGCGTGCTGCCGACGCCTGGGAACACCACTCCTTCAAGGATATCGTCGTTAAGGTTGCCAACCTGGAGATCTATTACCGCGCCCTGAACTTCTACCTGCAAGAGCAGCCCCTTCTCATCACGGACCTGCTTCAGGTTCTCACCCCACGTGTCGATGTCAACCGTGTCGTGCGCATCTTCCAGAGCTCCGACAATATTCCTCTAATCAAGCCCTTCTTGCTCAATGTCCAGACCCAGAACAAGAAGGCCGTCAACGACGCCATCAACGAGCTGTTGATCGAAGAGGAGGACTACAAGACTCTGCGCGACTCTGTTGACAATTACGACAACTTCGATGCTGTTGACCTTGCCCAGCGTCTAGAGAAGCACAATCTCATCTTCTTCCGCCAGATTGCCGCCAGCATCTACCGCAACAACAAGCGTTGGGAGAAGTCGATCGCCCTGTCCAAGCAGGACAAGCTCTACAAGGACGCCATCGAGACAGCCGCCATCTCCGCCAAGTCCGAGGTGGTGGAGGATCTCCTCCGCTACGTAAGTCATGTTTTGTTTTTTAAAGCTTTACTTCCTCACGCTGACATGTAAACAGTTCGTCGACATTGGCAGCCGCGAATGCTACGTCGGCATGCTCTACGCATGCTACGACCTTATTCGTCCGGATGTGATCATGGAGATCTCATGGCGCAAGGGTCTGCATGACTTCACCATGCCGTATATGATCAACTTCCTGTGCGAGCAAACTCGCACAATCGAAATGTTGAAAAAGGACAATGAGGAGCGCAAGTCCAGAGAGAAGACGCACCAGGTTGAGGAGGACAACACTCCGATCCTGGGCGGCTCGCGACTGATGCTGACGCAAGGCCCAGTCCCGCCCGCCAACACCATGCCCTACGGCCAAGCCAACGGCCTCAACCCGCAGGCCACCGGCTACCGAGCATTTTAGACCCCTTGAATCCTCTTTCTTTTTCCTATGTGTAACATAAAGCGACGTGATGACCTCTTGGTGCGAGTAAAACGAGATGGGGGACGGGCAGATCACCAGCTGGTGGAGGGACTTCATGCCCGTTAATTTGGTCCTTTTTTCTATTCTCTTTTATTACTTACTCCAATGTATTTGATAGGCTTTGTTCTTGAAGCTACCCGGCCTGGACCGTGGTTTTCTTTTCAGTAATAGCATTGCGTTCTCGACTTCCCCTGTCTCTCTCTTTCTCTTTCTCTTTCTCTCTCCCGGGCTCACCGTTACTTGTGTAAGAGTGCCAGTACCCAAGTGCCGGTGTTACATGTGCATCAAATTTGCAACCGCCAAGGACGATCAGATGAAGAATCGCCCACTGCCAAGACGCCAGGGGCCATCATTTGCAATAATTTGCACGGAGACAAATAGTTAGAACCGCGAGGGATGCCCAGCCCGGTGGGTTTGATGTTTTATTCGCCCCACCGAGCGTGGGACATCAATCTAGTCCGCTTGGCCAGTGGAGTTCAGTCACCTCGGCAAGTCGCACTCAATCCAGGCCCATCTCTTGGCCTATTTCAGACTTCTATCATTCAAGATGGGAGTCACGCGTACATTTCCAGTGTCCCAGAGCCCGAAATTCTTTCCTCTGGAATGGAATCGTGCATACTCAGCCCCTATCCGGACCGGCTAGATGGAACAAGGGAAGGTCCGGGGGTGTATTTTATTTTCCCCGTGGAGAAATTGAGCTATGTGCATAGCTGAGAATGTCGATAAGCCATGCACCTGGGAAAATAGTGGAAGAATCGTGGCAGTGAATTTTTCCGTTCCCCGCTACCGCTGTTCGCGGCGCTTAGTTTCTTTTCCGTAAATAGCGCAAATCGGAGGTAAGCTAGGGGCCTCCTTGATAGAGTTATTGCTGACGTGGATGCGATGATGACGTTGTGGACTACGGACTACGGACTACTTAGAGCTATGAGAGTTGAGTTAAGTGCGAGATAAGGTGGTCAAATCTCGGACGATGATTGAACGAGATGGCTCGATTCCAGGTGCCTTATCGTGGGGTATTTAGTCTGTTGAAGGTGGCAATCTGGTTATAAAGGATCTTGGACAGGTCGAGATCCGCAGCTTCTGGGCACGGCGATCATTCGCCAAATTCTGAGGATCATTGCGTCTACCATATATTCTACGCCCCGTATGCTTATGTATCTATTGCCCGTGGTTCTTGGTCTTTCACTTGGCCACTTTACTTGGCCCGCCTGACTGTATTTCTGACTGGAGGAAATATGTCATTTAGGAGACCACCGCAGCGCCAAGTTCAACAGGAGTAAGGGGATTGCCCGGAGTTTGAAACGTGACTCTCATGGTGGCTCCTCATTGCAGCGCGGTCCTCGCGGTCCTCATTGTCGGATGGGGCCACCGAGACGGCTGGTCTACCGCATTTTAGTTCGGAGATTGAGAGACTAGGAGATCCCTTCCTCGAGAGATTGGCACGCATTACCTGACCTGAAGTGCTTTTGCGGGACCTTTTTTTTTTTTGGCGGGACAATGGCCTTAACCTGGGACGGAACAAATCGCTCCCATGAGTCAAAGTCGGAGATGGGATCGGAGTGGAACTCCTAAGTTTAAAGAAGATGGGAAATCGGAGTCTGGAGTCGGAATGACTTTCCCCGAGTTGAACCATTCAGAGACTGTCATGTCCAGCACGGCGTGAAGAATTGATAGATTTGATTGGTAGTATGTGGGGGTTTGGTCTGCACATGTCGAAAGTTCTCCGAGTCTGCCCCGGACCCTGCAGGTTTTCCGTCGATATCCGTGCTAGAGTTAGGTATCTAGACTCGACTGAACTCGTAACCTAGGGCTGATGGGGCCCGAGGACCCGAGGTTGTCCTGGGCCTAATCCACCCGATCATGTCGAGATGTAGGCAGTAGCCTCGATGAGATCATCGGGGAAGATGGAGCCGAAGTCGCTAGTGAGGGAATGAGGGGGGTTGGGGGAGGATCACGATAGAGCTAATAGAAATACATAAGACCCGCCGGAAAACATAAAAAAAGAAAGAAAAAACAAAGTCTAGAAAAGCTGGGCAAACCCTTAGAGTCGAACGGTGAACCGGTGAAGAGAGTTGTTACCTCATTGCGGGAGTCACAGCGAACCCCCCGGAAAAGCTGCAGATCGCCTCGTGATCCTATCCCTTCTATCCCTTCTCTCTCTACTTTCTCCTCCTTTTTATCTACCCCTCCTCGTCCATTTTTCACTTTTCTCCTTCCGAGCTCCTGTTTGCTTCTACTGTAATCTGATTCCAGGGAAATCAATCCTTTAATACCCTATCCCTGGAGTGATTGGCCCTACTTCCTGCCAAATACGGGAGTTCAGAGCTTCGTCCCAGCTTCTAGGTGAGTCACTCCGGCTATCGCTGCGATTGATTGGCATTGCCGATGAATGATTCGAATTGACTGACTCTCCTCCAGGCTCTGTGTGAACTATCGCCAGTCTCTCACTTTCACATCCTCCCCCGCCTTGCATCATGGCTGCCCCGCACCGCCAGCCGGAGAGCGCTATCAATGATGCCGAGTTCATCGAGGACCACGCCGGGCACCACCAGGACTCCGTCCACCGGCGCCTGCGTGCCAACTCGACGATTATGCACTTTCAGAAGATCCTGGTCGCCAACCGTGGTGAAATCCCCATTCGTATTTTCCGAACAGCTCACGAGCTGTCCCTGCAGACGGTCGCTGTCTTCTCCCATGAAGACCGTCTCTCCATGCATCGTCAGAAGGCCGATGAGGCCTACATGATTGGCCAGCGTGGTCAGTACACCCCCGTCGGTGCCTACTTGGCCGGCGACGAGATCATCAAGATCGCCCAGGAGCACGGCGTGCACCTGATTCACCCCGGCTACGGCTTCCTTTCGGAGAACGCCGACTTTGCCCGAAAGGTCGAGAAGGCGGGCATTGTTTTCGTAGGCCCGACCCCCGACACCATTGACGCCCTGGGTGACAAGGTCTCTGCCCGTCGGGCGGCCATCAAGTGCAATGTCCCGGTTGTTCCCGGTACGGAGGGCCCCGTCGAGCGCTTCGAGGAGGTCAAGTCCTTTACGGACGAGTATGGCTTCCCCATTATCATCAAGGCCGCCTTCGGTGGTGGTGGCCGTGGTATGCGTGTCGTGCGCGACCAGTCAGAGCTGCGCGATTCCTTCGAGCGTGCCACCTCCGAGGCCAAGACTGCCTTTGGTAACGGTACCGTCTTTGTCGAGCGCTTCCTTGACAAACCCAAGCACATTGAAGTCCAGCTGCTCGGTGATAACCAAGGTAACGTCGTTCACTTGTTCGAGCGTGACTGCTCCGTTCAGCGTCGTCACCAGAAGGTCGTCGAAATTGCTCCTGCTAAGGACCTCCCCGTCGAGGTCCGTGACAAGATTTTGTCCGATGCCGTGAAGCTGGCCAAGTCGGTCAAGTACCGCAACGCCGGTACCGCCGAGTTCCTGGTCGACCAGCAGAACCGCTACTACTTCATTGAGATCAACCCCCGTATCCAGGTCGAGCACACCATCACGGAGGAGATCACTGGGATTGATATCGTTGCTGCTCAGATTCAGATTGCTGCCGGTGCTACTCTGGAGCAGCTCGGCCTGACCCAGGACCGCATCTCCACCCGCGGTTTCGCCATTCAGTGCCGCATCACTACTGAGGACCCCTCCAAGGGCTTTTCCCCCGACACCGGTAAGATCGAGGTCTACCGCTCTGCCGGTGGTAACGGTGTCCGTCTGGACGGTGGTAACGGTTTCGCGGGTGCCATCATCACCCCTCACTATGACTCCATGCTGGTCAAGTGCACATGCCGTGGCTCTACCTACGAGATTGTGCGCCGCAAGATGCTTCGTGCTCTTGTGGAGTTCCGTATTCGCGGTGTCAAGACCAACATTCCCTTCCTCGCTTCCCTGCTGAGCCATCCCGTCTTCATCGATGGTACCTGCTGGACCACTTTCATCGATGACACCCCCGAGCTCTTCGCTTTGGTCAGCTCTCAGAACCGTGCCCAAAAGCTGCTCACCTACCTCGGTGACGTTGCCGTCAACGGCAGCAGCATCAAGGGTCAGATCGGCGAGCCCAAGTTCAAGGGCGAGATCATCAAGCCCGTCCTCAAGGATTCTGCAGGTAATACCATAGACGTTTCGCAGCCCTGCCAGAAGGGCTGGAAGCAGATTATCGATTCCCAGGGCCCTGACGCCTTTGCCAAGGCTGTTCGCGCCAACAAGGGCTGCTTGATCATGGACACCACCTGGCGTGATGCCCACCAGTCGCTGCTCGCTACCCGTGTGCGTACCATCGACATGCTTAACATCGCGCACGAGACTAGCCACGCTCTCCAGAACGCTTACAGTCTGGAGTGCTGGGGTGGCGCTACCTTCGACGTCGCCATGCGCTTCCTCTACGAGGACCCCCTGGGACCGCCTGCGCAAGCTCCGCAAGGCCGTTCCCAACATTCCCTTCCAGATGTTGCTGCGCGGCGCCAACGGCGTTGCCTACTCCTCTCTTCCCGACAACGCCATCTACCACTTCTGTAAGCAGGCTAAGAAGTACGGTGTTGACATCTTCCGTGTCTTCGATGCTCTGAACGACGTCGACCAGCTCGAGGTCGGCATCAAGGCTGTTCAGGAGGCTGGTGGTGTGGTCGAGGCCACCATCTGCTACAGCGGTGACATGTTGAACCCCGCTAAGAAGTACAACCTTGATTACTACCTCTCCCTGGTTGACCGCGTTGTCAAGCTGGGCACCCACGTTCTCGGTATCAAGGATATGGCCGGTGTTCTGAAGCCCCAAGCTGCTCGTCTGCTGGTTGGCTCCATCCGCGAGCGCTACCCCGACCTTCCCATCCACGTTCACACCCACGACTCCGCTGGTACTGGTGTGGCTTCCATGATTGCCTGCGCCCAGGCTGGCGCTGACGCCGTCGATGCCGCCACTGACAGCTTGTCCGGTATGACCTCTCAGCCCAGCATCGGTGCCATCCTGGCCTCGCTTGCCGGTACCGAGCAAGACCCCCAACTCGACGCGGCTCACGTCCGCGCCCTGGACACCTACTGGGCTCAGCTCCGTCTGCTCTACTCTCCCTTCGAGGCTGGTCTCACCGGCCCCGATCCCGAGGTCTACGAGCACGAGATCCCCGGTGGCCAGCTGACCAACCTGATCTTCCAGGCCAGCCAGCTCGGTCTCGGTCAGCAGTGGGCCCAGACCAAGAAGGCCTACGAGCAGGCCAACGACCTCCTTGGCGACATCGTCAAGGTTACCCCGACCTCCAAGGTTGTCGGTGACCTGGCCCAGTTCATGGTCTCCAACAAGTTGACCCACGAGGACGTCATCGAGCGCGCCGGCGAGCTAGACTTCCCCGGCTCCGTGCTCGAGTTCCTCGAGGGTCTCATGGGCCAGCCTTACGGTGGCTTCCCCGAGCCTCTACGCTCCAAGGCCCTCCGTGACCGCCGCAAGCTCGAGAAGCGTCCCGGTCTTTACCTCGAGCCTCTCGACCTTCCTGGTATCAAGAACCAGCTCCGTGAGAAGTTCGGCGCCGCGACTGAATGCGATGTTGCCTCTTACGCCATGTATCCCAAGGTGTTCGAAGACTATCGCAAGTTCGTGCAGAAGTACGGCGATCTCTCCGTTCTGCCCACGCGCTACTTCCTCGCCAGGCCCGAGATTGGCGAGGAGTTCCACGTTGAGTTGGAGAAGGGCAAGGTCCTCATTCTCAAGCTTCTCGCTATCGGTCCCCTCTCCGAGCAGACTGGTCAGCGTGAGGTCTTCTACGAAGTCAACGGTGAAGTTCGCCAGGTCAGTGTCGACGACCAGAACGCTTCCATTGACAACATCGCCCGCCCCAAGGCCGACGCCGCCGATAGCAGCCAGGTCGGCGCGCCTATGAGCGGTGTTGTTGTCGAGATCCGGGTGCACGACGGCCACGAGGTGAAGAAGGGTGACCCTATTGCGGTGCTGAGCGCCATGAAGATGGTAAGTGCTCGTTTCTCTACATTATCAAATCTCACAATTACTGACTTGACTAGGAAATGGTCATCTCTGCTCCTCACAGCGGCAAGGTCTCCGGTCTTCTTGTCAAGGAGGGTGACTCTGTCGACGGCCAGGACCTCATTTGCAGGATTGGCAAGGCATAAAAAAGAGCCTAGATGGTTTTGGCTTCTGTGTATAAGACGTGCACGACCTTGATGCGCAAAGATATGACGATAGCTTCTAGCGTTGGGTGTCCCTGAGGGGCTTGGTTTTGTCATGGTTTTTCTGTTGGTTTCATTATATCTCAATGTTGAATGGTATTTTAGCTTTTTATCTCTATTTGGTATGTAATCGTCGCATTGTGTAATACCTACCTAGTCCATCGTGCGGCTGCGCCGATGATAAGCAGTCACGGCCTACTGGGTTAGCTTGCCCAAAAGCCATGCCGGATGGAACAGCGAACAGGGACGAAAAGCATCAATGTCTGGGGATACGTCGGTGTTTCAAGACAGCTGGGCTCCACATCCGTGAACCAAGCCACCACTAATCGATTCCGCAATTCAGAGACTCCTCAGGGACTCTGGAAGTCCGCAACTGCTTTCTCGGTACCAGATTTAGTCGCCGACCCCAATCATCTCCCCGCAAACCCCCAAAACCAAATTGCCGATCCACCCGTCTGCATCACCAATAAACTGCTTTTGTTTCTTTATCTCGGCAATGCGTATCATCGCATGCGCTACTGCGGAATGCCCTCCGAGGGCAGATAAAAGCAGATTTCGGTCCTGATCGTCGAGCACGCCAGCCAGGGTTCAGGAACCACCCCGAGTCCAAAAACTAATACGATTTGTGTTTGCTTCAGGAACACTCTGTCTCACTTGAAAGACACACGCGTTGACTACCTCTCGCCTTTGAACTGCTCACCAAGATGGAAACTACTCGTCGTCCATATACCCTCTCCCTCGCACACCGCGGCGTCATCCAGGGCTCCACCATCTCCGCCGGTTCGGATTTATGCCATTACTTCGGCGGCGTGCGATATGCTCTCCCGCCACTACAACGCTGGCGTCGGGCCCGTAAGCTTCCATCATCCTTTACCTATGGCAGCAAAGATGTGCCCGGTGTTTGCGATGGTGGAGCGGGACTATGCCCCCAGCCTGGATTCCTGGATCTCTCGCCAGAGAAGCCTGAAGCATGGGACGAGGATTGTTTTCAGTGTAACATTTGGGTGCCCACTGGAACACCTCCACGCGGTGGATGGCCGGTTATGATTTTCATCCGTGAGTGGCCTGCAATTGGTATTTGGACGAGGACAATGACTAATATGTATAGACGGTGGATGGCTTCAGTTCGGCTCGCCAAATAGCTTCAATGCGGCGGCACTGATCGGCGAGACGGAATTTAAAGCTGTTTTTGTTCTACCTGCTTACCGAGTCAATCTGTTTGGGTTTTTGTACTCTGCGGAACTCGAGCAGGATGCGGCAGGTGTGGGAGAGACTGTTGGCAATCATGGATTCTGGGACCAGAGACTCGCTCTGGAATGGACGAAGGAGAATATCAATTTGTTTGGTGGAAACCCGGATCAGATCACTATTTCTGGATACTCCGCAGGTAAGTCACAAAGTCATATGTAAGTGACAACCTGGACCACCCATCCTAACACCCCCCTCCCAGGCGCAAACTCCGTATTCCACCAACTCGCCTACGACCTGCGCCAACCCACCACCCACTCGATTGTCCGTCAAGTCGTGATTTACTCCAACAGCCCAGCCGTCCAACCCAAATCCCCCCGCCGAAACACAAACCCAGTTCAACGAACTGCTCACAGCCCTCTCAGTCCCCCTCTCCCTCTCCGCAGCCGACAAATTGGCCCGTCTCCGCTCCCTCTCCTCCAAGACCCTCCTCGACGCAAGCAAAACAATAAACATCCACCAGTTCCGCCCAACAACAGATGGCACCTTCATTCTGCCCTCCCTCTTCACATCCTTAGACAATGGCACCTTCGCTCAAGCCTTGCTGTCGCGAAATATCCGCCTCATACTAGGCGAGTGTTCCGACGAACGCTTCCTCTACGCCACCTGGTTCCCACCCAAAGCAAATACCCTCGCGGCTTTACGCACTCGTCTAATCGCAGACTACCCAACGCACATCGTCGATGCAGTTCTACCACTCTACTACCCCAATGGAACCCTACCACAGGGTATCAAGAACTGGGACGAAGATGCCTGGGGCCGTATCTACGCCGATATGCAAGTCTACCATATGCAACGTGGACTAATTTACGCTTTGACGTGTAATTCTGGCGGGGTTGATGCGTCGGCGTTGATTCATAGGTATAGGATTGAGTTCCGGGCGGAGTGTATGAGGGGGATTCCGGCTGAGTGGGGGGGTTACGCATTCGAGTGATTATCCCTTGTGGTTTTGGGGGAATGGGGATGTCCTGACGGAGAAGGAGAAGATGGTGACTTGGGAGGCGCTTGTTGGACCTTTGAGTCGGTTCGTGAAGAGGGAGGAGCAATTTGGCTGGGGGGGTAAATGGGAAGGGGGTCAGGGTAATGAGGAAGGATGGAGGGGTTGAGATATGTGGGGATGAGCTTTGGGAGGAGGGCATAAGGGTGTGGAAAAGAGCTAGAGATGTTGATGGAGGGAAGTCGAAGCTTTGAGCTTGATGACGGTGGATAGATGGTGATTTTGGGAGGAAGGAGGAGTGGAAGACCTAGATACGTTTTAGGTACGTGTCTTTTTTTTTTTTTTTGATTTGAAATTTCGAGCGTAGTATCGCCTCTGATGTCTGGTCACACCCTGTCATTAAGTACTCAAGTCTCCTTGACACAGGCGATCCAAATCATCGTGATCGTGAATATCCGTCTAGCCCTTGCTAGACGGGACGAGAAGTGATCGACGCGCTTGTGGGTAGCTAGTACTTCGTCTACGCGCACTTTTCCACGCTAGACCAAAGTACCGGATACCTTGACCCACCGCGAACGGGATGTGCGCATCGAGCTCTCCCCGCATTCTTTCTTACGTCAAGCTGCAGTGCATCGACAAGCAACATCATAGATCATGGAAGGTTAGATCGGAAGTTAGATATCTCAGATTATCTCAGATCCGATGCATCAATTGCGTAGTGTTTATGACTGATCTCCCGATCCAGACTACGATAAAATAGCATCACCACTCCCGACCTAGGACTGATCACCAATCATCGTAGATACCAGTCAGCTTTCAAATCCGCCCGATGAACCAGTTAAACCACGGCCCGAGGATTCGAGCAACACGCGACACCTGACCCTGGCTCTCCAGTAGCAAGCCTCATAAAGCCGAGCTTCCCCTCCTCCCCATCACCTCTGATTTTTAGTTCATTATCTAAAATCAAAAGGCAATCGGTACGTCCTATCCTTCACTTTTCTTCTACCAAGCATACCCAGCAGAGGTTATGAGTTATATATCACATCCGCCCCAAATGGCCACCGTCTATCTCTCACCCCCGGCTCAATGACGTCTTCGACTCACCCAATCCTCACCTCATCCAATCTCCATTAACACATGCCCACTCCTCCTATTCTCTCCCATCAACCTTCCTACTAACATCATTTAAAATTGACCAGCCCCTAGCCCAAAGACTAGGAACCAAACTCCATTACGGACTGCTTCCTCTTCGAGATCTCAAACTCCAAAATGACCGACAACACCCCCCCGTCACTGGAAAGGCGAGCCAGGTAACCGACACGAGCACGGCAACCCCTGGGGCCACGGCGGAGCCAAAGGCCCCGCTCCTCGTGCTCCGTGGGCTTTGACGCCGGAGATGACGGCCAACTTGAATAACCGTCGAGTCAGTTTCTCATTTCCCTTGGACACTAATATGCAACGGTCAGATGGAACATAGATGCTGATACGGTAAATGTCCAGGGTTCGGATACTTCCACCTCCTCGCAGAATGCAAACGAGCCCAAGAGCCCGCAGACTGTTAGTGAGCGGCGTCGGTCGAGTTCCGGGCGGGTCTCTTCTCTAACCTGCAGAATGTGAAGCGGGAGAATACCGATCCAAATATGGCGGGTCGACGGGCGAGCTGGAATGAGCAGCGGGAGCAGGGAGGGTTCTTCTCGAAGTGGTGGGATGGGTATACTCGTGGGCACTAGGAGATTAAACAGACTAGTTCTGGTCTTGACTTGATGTCGTCGCCTTACCTTGAGCTTACTGTGTTTTTTACTTTCGATGCTTGTATTTGGAATATTCATGAATGAAAATGATGATTCATATTGATGATACTTCTTGCAATTGTAAGATACATCACACGGTCTTCTCACGCAGATAATTTGGACGTGTGGATCAGATGCCCTTAGTTATGATCTCTTGTGTGTATATATAGTGGAGACATGGGGAAGGATATGTGTGCCCACGGAAGCCAACCCGATCCGTATTTTATCACTTGCATGCGACAGTTGGGGCGACCTATGCATATAGATGACTATCGTCTACTTAACAATAGAAAGACTTTTGCTATGGTGGTTTCAGCTTCTGGCTTGATTCCTCGCTTATCTCGGATTTCGCGGCGGCCGTCGTAGGCTAGAATGGATGCAGTACTTTCAGGAATAAGCTAACGTTGAATGGTGTTTTAAAGGCTTTGGAAGCGTAGAAAAAGACCGCCTATTTCTTGAAATCGATAATGATATAGTGATGGAAAAATAGAGGATGATGAAAATTCTCGCTACATAACCGCGAAGGAGGGAAAAATAATGTGCGGTTACAATTCGACTTTCAACTTGACTGGGATTCTGACGCTGAAAACCGATCAGATCTCTAGGGAATATAAAAGGTGCTCTATAAAGTGGATTGTTCGGGATGAAATTGGTTCGGTCAAGATGTAGAACAGCATGCACAATGCCAAGTTGCCTGGGAAAGTTAGCAAGGAAGTTCAAGTGGGCCGAAGGCAATGGCTGAAGCTAAGAGAGTACGACTACAAGCTACAAACTACTGCTACGCAAAGGGCACCAGGTGTAGACAGTAACGACAAGAGATAGGCCAGAAGGTGGTCCCTCCCACCACAGCAAAGCTGGGTGGGAAATAAGACCCGACTCTTCAACGAGGTCAAAGACCAGTCAAGCGAGTCGTGGCTGCCCAGAACAAGTCCAGTGCAGCCACCCTTTTCAAACAATGGTTATGCGGAAACAGCACCTCATGTGCAGCCTGCATTGTGAAAAGGAGAGCAAAAATTGGTTCAAGGTAGTGGATTCATGTCTCTAACACGCCTATCCTGGTTGCCGTGGTAGAAAAAAGAAAAGGTTTCAGAACACCATATCCGACGCAGGGAACAGGAGCGTCCTGGGCCGTTTTTTGTTTCGGAGAAATTTTGGGCTCCCTTCGATGCATCGTAAATCACAAGGTTCAACCGTCCCCCATCATCCTCACATGTCTTGGGACATTTACCGAACGATGCCGTCGAAGCGGTTCTTGAACCACTTGATGGTCTCGCTCTCGCTGATCTTGTGGCTGACACCGATGGGGGTCTTGCAGCGGCGACGCTTGGCAACACGCTCACCAGGGCGGGTCCTATTTGAGAAGAAAAAAAATGTCAATTTTGCTCCCCATCATGGGTTATTGCTGAGACCTCCTTGGGTAGAAGGCTCTGCTGGGTGGTGCACTCACATGCAGCAGTAGAAGTCCATGCCGTAGATACCGATACCGGGGTCGTACTTGATACCGAGATCGATGTGCTCGGAGATACCGAAACCGAAGTTGCCGGTCTCGGAGAAGTTACGGCGGCGGAGCTCGTACTCCTTGACCTTGAGGCCACGCTCGAGAATCTCCTCAGCCTTGGGGCCACGGACGGTAACGTGGACGGCGATCTTCTCGTTACGGCGGATACCGAAGGTACGGACGGTGTAGCGGGCCTTGGAGTAGACGGGGGTCTGACCAGAAAGCTGCTCGAGCACCTTGGCGGCACGAGTAAGTCTGTCACCAGACTCGCCGACGGAGATGTTCAGCACGAGCTTCTGGATGCGCAGCTCGCGCATGGGGTTTGCGCTCTTGTCCTTGGCGTCCGACTGCATGTCCGTTAGACTGTGCGATGCGATTGAGAGAATGTGTTGGGGTGGTAACATACCATGGTGTTGGTGTGTGGGCGTGGAGGTGGTTGTCGTCGAGATCGAGAAATCTGCAACACACAAAAAGTGGTTTGTGTGGGCTTCTGGTCACGGGACTCAAGTCACGAGATGCGAGAAGCGAGAGGCTTGGCGCTTAGCTAAGGGGGCCGTTTGCTGAATCATCCTCGCTGACTCATCAATCATCCGGAGAACCTGAGTCCACCAGCTCAAAGCTAGGCTCGTGTAAAGGATCCCGCGTCTCGCTCGATACCTTCCTGTTAAGAGAGCCTCGTCGCTGTCTTCCTACTTTTTGGGCCCCAAGTCGCATTCGTGCGCGCAACTCCAGGCAAAATGGCCGCCAACAAGAATGGAAAGATGGTGAGTATTAGGGCCTCTTTGGGAATCCCAGACTCGTGTGCTCAATGGCTGTCGCTAACTACTCTCCTCTAGGCAAACCTCGTGAGTTCAATTCAACGACACTCATACTCCCCTACAAGACCCTCTAACATGCCTGTAGATCAACTATCGTATGCGAGTCACACTCAACGATGGTCGACAGATGACCGGCCAGATGCTGGCATTCGACAAGGTCCGTCAATTCTGCCTCTCACAAAAGTTCTGGGGCTAACTTTCGATTCTTCTTATAGCACATGAACCTCGTACTCGCCGACACGGAAGAATTCCGCCGCACCAAGCGCAAGTCAAAGGCGGCCCCCGGCGCGGCCAACACTCAAGTCGAAGCAGAGGAGAAGCGAACTCTCGGTCTCACTATCGTCCGCGGCACTCAGGTCGTTTCCTGCTCCGTTGACGGGCCCCCTCCCGCCGATCCTTCTGCGCGACTAGGTGCTACCGGTCCCACTGGTGCTGGCGCTGCCGCGACTCTGGCCGCCGGCCCTGGTATCAGCAAGCCCGCTGGTCGTGGCCTGCCTATCGGACTTGGCGGTCCTGCTGCTGGTGTGGGTGGTCCTGCTCCTCCTATGGGCGGCTTCCCTCCCGGTGGTTTCCCTCCCCCTGGATTCGCCGGTCGTGGAGGACCCCCCCGGTGGACCTCGTAAGTGATCTCTGATACTGTGCAATAGACAGATATATACTAATTCTCTCGGGATGCAGCTGGCTTCGCTCCCCCTCCTGGATTTGCTCCTCCCGGTGGTCCTCGTAAGCTCTCCCTCCTCGCATTGAATATTTGCAATAGTCCAGCTAACCGCTTCATCTCAACAGCTGGCTCTTTCGCCCCTCCTCCCGGATTCCAGCCCCCGGGTCAGGGACGAGGATACCCCCCGCCGGGCTTCGGCGGTCGATGATTGGTTAATGTACACTGAGGGGGGTCCACCGCTTCAAATTAGCGATATTTGCAACCTGGAAGGAGAAATAGCAATGGTTCAATGCTACGGGACCACGGTCTTTATTTCGGAAAAGAGAACACAGCGCGTACGGGTCAAATCAACCCAGTCTAACGGGCCAGGCGTTGCGGCGAACGTGGAGGTCATGTCAAGGAACAAGTCATGACATCCTTTTTAGATTGACATTTAGTTACCAGAATAATGCTAGCTAGCTCCTACCTTACGTCTCGAAGCTGGTGTCGCGACTTATCCTCTTCGATCGTTTCTCGAAACTTAGTCGCCAAGGCACACTAGTATTTATTCGGAGATTTTCTATAGTATACCTGTCCGGGATCTTGGAACCCTCAATTCTCAAGTAGTTAAATTTCGATGGAGCCCCACCGCACCTCTTCAGGACATGAGATTTCTCATGACGTGGTTCGTAGTGTTGGAGAGTCTGTAAACAACAAAGGTGTCATCCCTCTCCCCTCGAGTAGTCTCAGTTCCACGTCATTCCTGTAGATCTAACTCCATGTTCTCCAAGCCTGAGTTCTATCTCCAAATTCTGGGCCTGAAAAAGCCCTGACTTGGCAACATAGAGAGTGTTTCGAGAGGAATCCGGAATCGGGGTTCATCTAATTTCCTTGATTGTGCTGACTTGGCTGGTGCGGGAAAGATTTATGTTGTGTAAAACACCCAGCACATGAACCTTGCCGTGACAGGGTCGAAGCGCAACTCTAATACGGCAGCAAAGTTGTCCAACATCAACTGAGCAGGCTCCTTTGCGACCTCTCTTGTAAACACCCTATGGTTCATTGATTTCTTAGAGCAAATGGCCAAGAACGTAGTCGGCTTCGCCATCGCTCTTGCAAAGGGTTTGTGCACCCTGTCACTTAGAATTAGGGTGAAGGAAGTGGTCCATTGCATAGACTGCTCATCTTTTTTTTTTCTGTTACTTATCAGAATGGATGATATTGGTCAGTTATAAAAATTTATTATGTGGCAGAAACTTGCTGTGAACTAGAATGTAGTATTGTCCGTGTCGCAGTGTTTCTTCCTCCTTGAAGTACTTGCATGCCATTCAGGCTAGTCCGTGAGATCTATGTAGCGATGACGATACAAAGGCGAGGCCTCGTATATAGTTGGGCTATCCTCGAAAATTACGGGGCCGCACTGACTATACTTTCTACCCGTCAGTTTGGCCTCTCGGTCGCGAGCTGTGCGTGTTTCAAAAGAGAAATATGTGATCACAATCCTCATGAAATCCTGCCACCATCAAGGAACAGGGAAGAAATGGTTTCCATCATCGATGTCGTTCGGCCACACCGCAACAAACATCAGCGGTCTATTAGCAAGATAGCCTGATGGTTGGTCAAGAGCCAGTATATTGACCATGAAAACCTTTATAAGTAGCCTCCAAACCATATCATCTTTTTTTTATCAAGAATCCAAGTGACTTAGCATTCTACAGAAGACAAGCTCAATTCTTCTATGTCTTCTTCTGACCCTTGCCAAATTTTGCTGTGACGAATACAAGATGGAACAACGATTGTGTGATCGAGCCAATGAAGCGAGTGACTCTCTAGCCGTGATTGATGGAGAGCTTCATTTCACATACCGCGATCTCTTGACCAAAGCCGACATCCTGGTTGTTGACTTGATGAAGAAAGGAATCGAAGTGGAAGAGCCCGTGGGAATTGTGATAGGGACAGGCTGGCAGCAGGTCATTGCCCAAGTCGCCGTGTTGAGAGTCGGGGGGGACCTGTACGCCGCTCGATCCAGCTGTGCCTGACGACAAATTCCACGCTATGCTTGGTGATTTGGAAGTGCGAATAGTCATGAAATCATCTAGCAGCCACGCCAATGAAGACAAGAGCCTCTTCAGCATTATTGCCGAGATATTAGAAGAAATCCTCGGCGTCAAAAATTTAGGCACCAATGACAACATTGTTTCTCTTGGCCTATCGTCAATACAAGTTGCTCGATTTCTTGGCTTGATCAAGCAAAAGCTTGGGAACCCGCTATCAATCAAAGACATCTATGTGAACCAGAAAATTGGAACTTTGGCAGAGCATCTGAGTCAAGACAAGGCAATAAACTATGGACCTTCTGAGATCTTGCAACTTGAAGCCGACAGTCATTTTGCGGACGACATTGAGCTGATCCCGAGCTGGTCATCCGAAGGTCGCGTCTTCCTTACTGGTGCTACCGGATTTGTCGGTGCTAATCTCTTGTATCGCTTGCTCTCCAAGCCATCCATGAAGGAGATAGCATGCCTCGCTCGGGGTAATAAACATCACTCACCTATGGACCGAATACAAGATGCTCTCAAGAAATACGACCTTTGGAATGGAGACATCGCGCAGAATATAAGAAAAATAATCGTCTTGGATGGTGATATGACACAAGTACGTCTTGGGCTATCGCAGAGTCAGTATCAGTGGCTCACTAATTGGTCACCAGCAGTTTTCCATGCAGCTGCCAAGGTCAATTGGTATGGAAAGATTATGCAAACTCCTCAACCAGGCTGGCTTCTCACTCAAGGAAATCCCGTACTGAGAGTGGCTGGGAAGATTGCAAGCCATGGATGGTCTTGAATCGAGCCCTTTGCTATCTATGATGCCCTTGCTTGCAGAACCTGTTCTGCGTGGTGCAACCCGTCTCCAGACAAGCAAATATTCTCCGGCTTACGAGTGTGTGAATACTTTGAAGGCAATCAGCGGCCGCGACGACATTTCTTTTGTCCAACTTAATCCGGATCTAATCCAAGAATTCATCGAGTTCTGGACCCGCAAAGGATTTCACAGTTTTTGAGTTGGGGTTGACTGCTAGACATCTGTCCATCGATGGCCTTGTTTCTTTCGACGGTATCTCCTTTGCAGCCTATCCATTGCAAACAGATTAGTTTGGCACATCTAGTGTCCATGTATAGCCTCATATTAGCTTGACTTGAATGCCTATGCTGTGCGATTCTTTTCTATCCGGCGCCCACTCTACTCATTTCCCCCCATCCTATATCTAGCCTTACAGCTTGACTTGGCCTCGATGTGTATTTCGATCGAATTGCAGGCGCTAGTCAGTGATTTGCTATCTGCCAACCTTGTACTTCCGCACACAATCGAGCAGAACTTTTACCGGGTGAGTGTAGTGCTCTAGGTTGCAAGTGGCTGCCAGGTCGCTGCTAGGAAGGTGTCATACAGCACTGGGGAAGATAATGCTATGGCAAATAGGGCATCTTGATGAGTAAGATCATCGATAGACGAACACTAGGGACGATATGTAGGTGACACTTCCCCCTGCGTCTGTCATGTGATTGGACAAAGGGAGACCCTCTGGATGAGGGTCGACAGCAGAAAGACAAGTCGCGTCATGGGATAAGTGAGCGCCTTAAAATGCAGGCTGAAGGACGCGCTTGAAGCTAGACCGAAACAGGTAACTATTATGTGAAGATTCGAGCGATCGTCCTTTGCGCCTATTTGGTGACACCAGCGTAGTTACGACGAACCTCTTGTCGCAAATTGCTTTATGATCAATGTTTTTCACTAAACCCTACTGAATCCTCGACATGGAGATATACGTCCAAGCCCGAAAGTAATTGAATTTACCTGTGAACTCAGCTCAGATGACCCCTGAGGCTCATTCGCAAATGTATATTTTCGTCTGGAGACCCGCAGTATTGTGTTTCTCAATCTCCAGACTTGACGCAAATTCACTTTCTTGATCTCTCTTAATCTACCTGTTTTCCTTGAACAGACACACCCCATGACTAATGATAATTGATACGAATTTACCCAATCCGAAAAATGGATTTAAGAAATGAGCAGCCGGTGTTAAGGCACGTGACCATGGTCAACGCCGGTTGAGTCGACTAATTCCGCACCCGCAGACCCCCAACCCCAACCTAGGAACATCACACCAAATTGCCCCGTGTGTCCTCCAGAAACTCATCATGGCTGCTGTCATCAAGGCGATCAACGCCAAGATCCGCTCCAATAAGGTGGCGGATTACATCTGCTCAACCCGTACGTCTTGAACCCGCCCCGAGTTTCCCGCCGCGCCCCCGGACACCGAGATCGGCCATGAGATTCTCTACCCAACAAAGAGGACGAGAGGACGATCGCGAGGTCTACGAGACGGAGCCATATTTGATTCTCAGTTTTGAGCTTGGGATCTGCTTGCTGAACAGATGACTGACCATTATGACGCAGACTTCTGGGGCCCTGTCTCCAACTTCGGTATCCCCATTGCGGCTGTGATGGACACCCAGAAGGACCCTGAGATGTAAGCTTGACACACATGCTATGCGATCATTCACACCCGTCGTCCCTATCACACTTCCGAGCTACATAAACGTCACCTGAATCGTTGCCCTAACTCATCTCCGATACCCAGTATCTCCGGCCCGATGACCGGTGCTCTGGTTGTCTACGCTGCTACCTTCATGCGCTACTCCCTCGCCGTCACCCCTGCGAACTACCTCCTCTTCGCCTGCCACTTGACCAACTTCGGTGCTCAGAGCACACAGGCATACCGCTACCTCAACTACTGGAAGTACGTATCCTTAAGTCTTTCATGTCCCCCTTCTACAACATTTGCCCTAAAAACCTAATCACCAAACTAACCACATTGTTTATCTGCAGCTGGGGTGGACGGGAAGCTGCTCTCGCCGAGGCAGCCAAGAAGGGCAAGGATGCCGCTGAGGCCGGTGCTTAAACGCCCGACTCTTGTATTGTTTCATTAACTTGCATGTTTTGTACCTCTCGCATCATTGCATCTCTACACACCTGATTTCTGTATCGCGCCAGGATGACTGGTCATTTTTTGGCCTGGGAAGGGAAAAAACGGGTGTATGGAGAAGGAATTGCCCGAGGGATGATGAGTTGCAGGGTGGACTGGGGATGCTTTTGACCGCGAGATACACATCGGACGTAGTGGCTGATGTGCTTATCTCGTTACTGTACATAGAACTCTCGGAAATTGGAATGCTTCGAAAAGAAGTTCATTTATCAGCATGTTCATTGTAAATAGTACACTGCAACATTAAATGACTGGAAAGGATCTCAAGGTGTGAGATCACCCGGTTGATTCGATCTTCAAATCCCCCCTAAGATTCACAACGAAAGACTTATCTATACAAAAGGGCTTCAAAGCTCAAAGGCAAAGCCACCAAATACACAGGCCACAGAAAGACCTAACACCATGTTTCAGCGATATCCGAAGAACACAGTAAAATGCTATGCCACATTCTCTTTTTTTGAAAAATCTCAATTACACCGAAGCTGAATTTGCCACAATCACTTGGAATCGCAGTATCCAGGGCTGGAGGGCTGCTCGGCACCGCCGATCCAGTTTTGAAGAGTCATTGTGGTCGTGTAGATGCAGCAAATGACTCCGAAGGTGGTAAGGGTAATGTCAGCGATTACTTGGCGTCTAGAGTGTGCACAAGCGCGGAGGTGGAGTAGGGGCTAGATCGATGTTAGTCTGTGGTGATTGAAGAAGGTAGGTGGGAACATACCGGGTACACGTAAATCAGAGGGACACAAGCAAAGCTCCCGACCAGGGAGACGAATTTGTCCAGACTATCGGCACCGCACCAGGCGACAACTGCACAAACGACGACCAAGAAGAAACGGAACACGTTCTTCTTCCACTTGATGTATGGGTTGTATTTGCCGCTCCGGGTGAAAAGCTCGTTCTCCATGATGCGGATGGCGGGAAAGAGCTGCAGGGGTGTACTGAGAAGGATGGCGAGCGAGTACAGGAATTGGACCACGTTAACGAACTTGTCGTCCTGGGGCATGTTAAGGAGAATGACGGTCTTTGTAGAGGATCCATAGGCAGCGTAACTCAATCCACCCGCGGAGAGGAAGATCAGTGTGATGACCACCATCACTCCTGCAAGTACACCAGGGAATCGATGGGGCTGCTTCATCGATTCCTGGATTGGGATGATCAAGCCGATACCTTCGTATGTGAAGATGGCGGTTCCAATGAACATAGACCAAGTTGACGGATTGAAGGAGATGATGTCCGAGACTCCACCATTACCAATCAGGGTTGTCGCATCATAGTAGTAGATGTATAGCAGACCCAAGAGGATGAAGGCATCCGCAATGAGAGCAGTGAATCCAAGCTTGCTGATATCGCGAATCAGCGAGAGGGGAAGGAAGATGACCAACTGCATCAACACCATGAACTTGATGTCGATGAAGGATTTGCACTTGCTCACAGCCAGCACGAATGCCTGCAAGTTCTGCGAGACAAAAACTATGTATGCTGAAACGAACCCTAACTGACTCAACACGATCGATCCGAGGATGATGCGTCTCATGTGCTTTCCATATAAAACGCCACCAATATCGCCGAAAGAGCCCTCGATCTTTATGCGAGTGTTGACAAGCAGGATGAAGGCGTAGTAACTCAAAATTGAAACTCCAAGAAGCACCATGCTACTGAACAACATGCCACCACTCAGGAAGGCTCGGGGCAAGAAAAGGATACCCGTTCCGACGAAGGACTTCAACAGCAACATGACAGCGCCTGTGGTAGTAGTGTTTCCGGGAGGTGCGCGCTGCTTGTGCTTGCGCTTTTTGCGACCAGCTCCATCACGCTGAAGCAACGCCGCATCTTCCCCAGCTTCTCTGCGCTCATCTTGCTCATCATAAGCGTCAGACGAGAAGTACTCATCCGGGCCCAAGACCTCATCGTCCTCTTCCAGTTCTTCACCAGCAAAGTGACCGTAGAGTGTCAAGAACTCCAAGAAGCTAGTTGTAGGCAGCTGAGGCTGCGCACCAGGGGCTGCTGAATTTGACCCTGACTGGCTTCCACGGTGGGGACTCCCAGCTGTTCTTCGCAGGAAATCTCTCCGAAATCCGCCTGGCACTTGGATCGTATGCATGTCTTCCGTGTCCGCCTCCGGAGCAGGACGACTAACACTGAAACTCTTACTCCGAGCAAAGCGACCCGAGTCAGCATCCTCCGCCCAGCGGTAGACCTGACGAGTAATATCACCACCCTGTAGCTGCAAACTCGAGAATTCATCGTCGCCGAGGCTGGTTCCAAGCTCCGAGCCGGTGTCGCGATGTCCCCCACCGTTCTGCGGGAGGACGAGATGTCTCTTCACAACCTCTGGGTCCTCGTATGGGATCGCGTCAAGGCCGTTACCGTTCTTGGTGTCGATCGAGCCGTACTGGGAAACCACCGGTCGGTTCTCGAGATGGGAGTTTAATGCGGGGGAGCCAGCCATGCGTGAGGGGGTGCCAAATCTCGGAGGCGAGCGACCGAGGCTTTCTTGCAGCTGGGATGCGATCATAGATTGACCGGGACCTGGCAGCGACGATGGATCGTCTACGTAACGGAAATTCTGTTCAGAGGTGTTTGTCGCGGTGGTCATAGGCCGACTTGTGGGGATACCCTGGCGAGATGAGAGAGAGGCACCCAAGGATGGTGAAGGAACCGGTGAAGCCAGTCGAGCAATTGAAGCCTGTCTAATCCCCGAATCTGGAGGAGGAGAGGTGGAACGAATGGAGGAGGTGGAAATAGGCATTGAGCGAGGCGGGTTCAATGACGAACCCTCACCGTTGTCTGCCATGATAGTTCAATCGTCTCTCAAAAGAGGTCGAAAGAATCAAAGGACGTGAGATGGGCAAGATCAAGACCCCGGAAGAAGCTCCAGCAAAACAAGACAAGGCTTACCTTGGACTCGGGAAGGCCAAGGAGGTGTCACTATTTTTGCACTGTTTGACTCTCCCCCACGTCATTCGATCGGACGCGCAGTGACGCAAGTCGTCGACTTTGCTTTTCTCTTCTTTTGTAAGAACATTTCACTCTTCCCCCTTTCTTTCTACTCTATCAATTGGAGGCGGTGGCCGTGCTCATGCTCTTGTGGTGGTTTTGCCTTTAGACGGCCGACAAAGGAGATCCCGCCATGTCCAGGAGACGACCGAACTTCGCGACTCGAACGGCTCAGGAAGATGTCGCGCGTCTCGATCCCAATGAGCAGACTGGTTCGTCTCCTGTCGACCGAAGTCGCTTTCTGCAGTGGCGCCCGAACATCTGGTCTCGTTCTCAGGAAGTGAACTCGATAGAGAACTCAGGACCTCAGAACGATGCAGCACCCTCGAACCCGCTCGAAGGCTTATCTCGACTGTGGCATAGGGAAATACAAAACGAACGGGAACTAGATGATAACCTTGAGGGGGTGGCACCGCATATGCCATTGTCGGCTGGACCTCTGCGCGATGCCAGCGCCGACAAGAAGGACAGGCATTTACATCGAACTCGGTCGACAGAAGAGTCGAAGAAGCTTGGCACCTTCTCTGGCGTGTTTGTGCCTACGACGTTGAATGTTCTTAGTATTCTGATGTTCATTCGCTTCGGATTTATTCTGGGTCAAGGGGAGTACTGGGTATTCTAGGTGAATCTCCCTGGAGAATCGGATCAGATGAGAGATTTTGGCTAACGTGACCAAGGACTGCTTGTTGTTTCCTACATGATCAACCTGGGGACCACAATGTCTCTCTCCGCTATTGCAACCAACGGCACAGTCAGAGGCGGCGGTGCATACTACCTGATCTCTCGGTCACTGGGACCCGAATTTGGAGGCTCTATTGGAATAGTGTTCTATTTAGGCTCCGCCTTTAATACTGGCATGAACGCAGTCGGTCTGATTGACTGTTTAACTCAGAATTTTGGAGTCGTTTCCGGCAGCATGGCCAAATTCCTGCTGGAGGGCTTTTGGTGGCAGTATCTGTGGGGGACCATCATTCTCGTCCTCTGCACGGCCATCTGCTTGGCAGGGAGCTCAATTTTTTCGAGGGCGAGTAATGGTCTGCTGGTTATTCTTCTCGTGGCAACGTTCAGTATACCGTTGTCTGCTCTCTTCATGAAGCCTTTCGCTTCGCCTAAAGAGGGAGTGATGTTTACGGGCCTAAGTGTGCGCACTTTGATGGAGAACCTTAAACCCCATTTGACGAAAGGTGCCGCGGGGAGTCAGTTGGAGGGGAGAGAGAGCTTTCAGGATCTGTTCGGCATTCTATTTCCCGCTACAGGAGGAATCTTTGCTGGCGCGAGTATGTCTGGAGATTTGAAAAACCCAAGCAAGTCTATTCCCAAGGGTACCCTGGGAGGTCTTGCTTTGACTTTCGTCACGTATACATTGGTCATCCTGGCCATGGCGGCTTCTATCACCCGAGAGTCTTTCTACAACAACGTGAATGTGATTCAAGTTGTCAACTCCTCGGACACGATAATTCTACTTGGAGAATTTGCGACCAGTTTCTTCTCCGCGCTCATGGGGGTAATTGGATCCGCGAAACTTCTTCAAGCAATTGCTCGAGATAGCTTGCTCCCGGGCTTCAAAATATTTGGTCAAGGTACAAAAAAGAACGACGATCCCGTTTATGCCATTCTTGTAACCTACATCTTTGCGCAAGTCACAATGCTATTCGACATTAATCGAATCGCATCTTTCGTGACAATGAGCTACCTGATGACTTTCTTGGTGACAAATTTAGCCTGTTTCTTGTTGAAGATCGGTTCTGCGCCCAACTTCCGTCCCTTTTTTCATTACTTCAACTGGCAGACTGCTCTAGCGGGAACACTTGTGAGCGGCGTGAGTATGTTCTTCGTGGATGGCCTGTATGCGGCCGGGTGCATTGGAATCCTACTCGTGCTGTTCCTGTTGATTCACTACAGCTCGCCGCCTAAGGCATGGGGTGATGTCAGTCAGAGTCTGATTTACCATCAGGTTCGCAAATACTTGCTTCGCTTGCGCCAGGAGCACGTCAAGTTCTGGAGACCACAGATTTTACTTTTTGTGAGCGATCTCGATCGACAGTATAAGATGGTTTCTTTTTGCAACTCGCTGAAGAAGGGAGCCCTATTCGTTCTAGGCCATGTGCTTGTGACCGATGACTTTTCAGCAGCAGTTCCAGAGGCACGCAGGCAGCAGACAGCATGGACAAAAATTGTTGAGTATTCCAGGATCAAGGCATTTGTGAACATTGCTATTTCACCCTCTGCAGAATGGGGCATGCGGAATATTGTTCTGAACTCTGGTCTCGGAGGCATGCGACCCAACATTGTCATCATTGATCAATTCAGAGACGATCAGTCTTTGGTAGAAACATTCTCTCTTTCTAGCCATCGCAGAGAATCATCAAAATCGAGACGTCGGTCTTCAGTTGTTGGCTCAACTGATGGCCCTGATGACTCCACCCTGGGAATCAAAGGAATGACCTGCCAAAGCTACGTCACAATTCTCGAGGATCTTCTTTTCAAGCTCCGGATTAATGTCGCGGTAGCAAAAGGATTCGAGGAACTCGAAATCCCGAACCCGAATGGTCGCAACACAAAGAAGTACATAGATTTGTGGCCCATTCAGATGTCCGCCGAGATTGGAGCCGACAATGAAAGCAAGAAAAATGTCCTGACCACGAACTTCGACACATACACTCTGATTCTGCAGCTCGGCTGTATTCTGAATACAGTGCCTTCGTGGAAGAAAACCTATCGACTACGAGTCGCCGTGTTTGTCGAATATGAGACAGATGTTGAAGATGAGAGAGGCCGAGTAGAGGCTCTTCTGGACAAGTTACGGATTGAGGCAGAAGTCCTCGTTTTCTGGCTTGCCTGTGGGGATTTGAAGGCATACCGTATCCTTGTGAATGGAGATACATCCGAGGAGATGGATGATGTGCAGGAGAGAGTCCATTCTGTACTCCGAGAGGAAGAATGGTGGCAGGGTGTCCTCAAGACTCGTAGCCCATTGTCCACCTCTGAAGATCCGGAGCCGGTAGGGAATGAAACTCAGCAATTGGACCGGTCGCCGACCTGGCAAGGCCCTGCCTGTCAAGACAGTGAAAACCGAGCTTTTCATCAAAGAGTGAACGGTCTCCGGAGATTGATTCAATCTACCAGACGCAGAAGATCGGTCTCAAGCTTCCGAGCCCTGGGAAGTGTCAATCTGGGAATGCAAACCCACCGTTTACTGGATGCATTCGTCGACTACGATGGTGACAACTCGTCGAGCTCGAGCGATGAAGACGACAGTGATTTGGATCCATACACAAGCGACCCAGAGATCGACGGAGATGACGAGAATGACAACCTTGAAAATGCTCCCATCAGTGGCCCCCACAGTGAGATCCCTTCTGGTCCTTATCAGCCGGTGGGGGTCACTGGTGATGACCAGAGCTCCGGAGTCAGTCCATCAACACGGCCAAAGGGATCATCGGAACCTTCCACCCCCCCAGGCTCGATTCCACGCCAAGCAATCCCCTCAATCATCACCACTAGCGACAACACATCCCCAAAGAGCAAATCTCCCATGCCTCGCCCAGCCATGACCCGTTCTCCTTCCAGCAACCGCTTCAGCTCTTCTCCAATCCCCGAAGCCAAAGTCAACACTGAAGAGGGAGCTGGCCCATCAATCATGTTCGCCGCCAACGCCAGCCCCCCGCGCTTCCAGAACAAGCTCGACTCCATCTACGCTCGACGCCCATCGGCGGTCTCGGCCACCTCCGCTAGCGGCAACGATGGTAACAACGGCAACAGCGGACACAGCAACCAAACCGCCTCCGGCTTTCCCAGCTCTGCGTCCGTCCCGCTGTCATTCAATGACCTGCCCAGCCGAGCCCAGCATTTAATTTTGAACGAGTTGATCGTTCAGCAGAGTAGCGAGACGGCTGTTATCTTTACCACGCTGCCCACCCCCGTGGAGGGGAACATGCCGCCGGGAGGAGGATAGCGCCTCCTATTTGAGTGATCTTGATGTGCTCTGGCAGGGGTTGCCTCCTTGTTTGCTTGTCCACAGCAACAGTATGACTGTCACGATGAACCTGTAACGACCGTTTGCATATTCTGTATAGCGTCATTGATTATAGAATAGATACACTATCTGACTCATTGAATAGAAGCAAGTTCTTTGCTTTAGTGTCGACAAGGAGTGCCTACGGAATAGAAGTTTTCCCCATGTTCTAGGTGAATTACATCACCGACACAAACTGGATGAATAGCCTGACATGAGCATCTTGTTCTCGAAGCAGTCATTCCAAAGTAGCTGATACCTTTTTTACTCTGCGCTGATATGGCAACCAATCCTGATCAACATGGTCCATCCATGTAGCCCGGCCGTAAGCTTAGAGAAGCATTTTCACGTGTTCGTCTAAAGCTATAGAACTTAAAATCGCCAGCTAAAGCTGTCACTAAGCATCGCGTCTGCATGTCATCGCCGCCACAACGAAGATCAGCGGGGCAGCAGAGGAACCAATGGTCCATTCTCCCCCCAGGTCCCTGCGGAGACCCAAGCTGCACAAAGGCCCTGTGATGCTCAACACCTGATAAAGAAAACCCTCAGCACAACGTGGAGCCGTGGGTAAGCGAAATCTCGGCGCCACCAAGGACACGACACTCCGAAAGAAGCAAGTGTGGAGGGTGCAACCGATGCGAAGACAAATCAATTAAGACAAAAAGAGCCAACCAAAAAAAAAACACGGGGCGATGACCAATGGGAATTGCAGCGAGCATGATTGGATGAGAAGCGTGCCCTGGTATACTTTGTACAGAGTATCACTTCACTTCCTTTGTCTCTTCTCTGTGTTCATTGTTGATTATAGAGACGAAAGGGAAAAGGGAGATTGCATTGCTAGGTTGTGCTGGTGTTGGTCTACTTTCTTACTCCTCACATTTTCTCTTTTCTCATTCTCCGCCTCCTCACTTCTCTCCGGCCCCTGAATTACCGATCGGGCCATGTCTACCCCTGCCATTGCGCGATTCAATGGCAGCCTGAGGGCCTCTGATACTCGCCCTGTTGCTCATTTCCTGCCCGACCAACTGAACGGACTTGCGGATCGTACGCGCGCGAATGGCCGTAGCCCCGACCAGGATTCTTCAGACGCCTCTTCCACGGGCTCCAACACAGTAAACGGCACCGAGACAAAGCGACCAAATATGGCTCGCAAGGCCTCTTCGCCCATGGCCCCGGCCTTTATGGTGTCTGCTCCAGGCAAGGTCATTGTCTTTGGTGAGCATGCCGTCGTCCACGGCAAGCCAGCTCTGGCCGCCGCAATCTCCCTCCGATCCTACCTCCTTGTCACCACCCTCTCGAAATCACACCGAACGATTACTCTGAATTTCCGCGACTTGGGCCTCAGCCATACGTGGGACATTGAAGCGCTCCCATGGGGCGTATTCCACCAGCCCGGCAAGAAGAAGTTCTACTACGACCTGGTCACATCTCTTGACCCCGACCTTGTCGCCGCCATCGAACCCCATCTCGAAGGCGTCTCAAAAGGCGTCCCCGAAGAACAGCGCAAAAACCACGTCCGCTCCGCATCTGCCTTCCTCTACCTTTTCCTCTCCCTCGGTTCCCCGCAAAGCGCAGGTGCTGTTTATACCCTTCGCTCCAATATCCCCACCGCCGCTGGTCTGGGCAGCAGCGCCAGTGTCTGCGTCTGCCTGAGCTCTGCGCTGCTCCTCCAGATCCGCACGCTTGCCGGCCCTCACCCCGATCAACCCGCCGAGGAGGCAGAGACCCAGATTGAGCGAATTAATCGCTGGGCCTTTGTCGGCGAGCTCTGCATTCATGGAAACCCTAGTGGAGTGGACAACACGGTTGCCGCAGGCGGCAAAGCTGTGATCTATCAGCGTGAAGACCCAGAGAAAAACCCGACCGTCATTCCCTTCCCCGATTTCCCCGAACTGCCTCTTCTCCTGGTCGATACTCAGCAGTCGCGCTCGACTTCGACAGAGGTGGCCAAGGTCGGCCAGCTGAAGAAGTCCCACCCCATTGTGACCGAGACGATCTTGAATGCAATTGATGAAGTGACATGCTCTGCGCGCCGACTCATCGAGAGCCCGGACTTTGAAGTCAACGATGACACACTCGACCAACTCGGCACCCTGATCCGCATCAACCACGGCTTCCTCGTTTCACTGGGTGTGTCACATCCCCGATTGGAGCGCATCCGCGAACTTGTCGATTATGCAGACATTGGCTGGACGAAGCTGACCGGTGCTGGTGGTGGCGGATGTGCAATCACCTTACTCAAACCAGGCGTCAAGCCAGAGGCTGTCCTCGAATTGAAGAAAAAACTCGCAGAGGAAGGCTTCAACAAATATGAAACCACCCTCGGCGGCGACGGCGTTGGCGTCCTCTACCCCGCTGTCCTCCGCAACGGCTCCGATGAGGAAGGTGGCGAGGAAATTGACCAGCAAAAGTTCATTGAAGCCGAAGGTGCCGAGGGCATCGAGCGTCTCGTGGGCGTTTCGTTCCACGAGAAGCGCGAAGGCTGGAAATTTTGGAAGCGCTCTCCCCGCTGATGAACCCTTGCTGCTTTTGGCATATGGGCTTGTTTTCGCATTTTCCAATTCCCTTACTCCTGCCTTTGGTCCTTTCCTCTTGACTCCCTTTGTAATGGATCTTTAATGACTTCCAACGGTTCCCTGGTCTCCCTCATTACTTTTCACGTCCCATTCTATGTACACATTTCCCCCCTATTTGCATTATTCAACCCACTATGTGAACTTCGGAAAAAAAAGGTGCCTGCCGGACATCTGTAGGCTCTTCTCTTCTCTTTTTTTGGGCTCTTTATCTTGATATTTGTGGGTCTTTGACATCAGCATCTCTTCAGCGATGATGTGTCCACGGAGGCCGAAGCCGCTGAGATACAATAATACAATACCATTGGATAATATTGCTTTCTTCTTTTCCTTTTGTGTGTACATGCGTCAAGTACCTTATTGTACAGAAATACTTGCACTTTAATATTATGATATACACCTGAAAGGAATAATGGCCCTGAGCAATGAGGAAGTCATGACAAACGCGCATATCTCCATCGTTTTTTACATCATTATATGCCTCGATCGGTCTGCCTACCCATGGCAAGCACGGGAATCACCCCATAGTAGTCTCCCACCCCTTCTCAATCATCACGTCAATCCAATACGCATCCGTCTCTCCCCTATCCATCCTCCTCCACACCTCCTTGACAAGCCTCAAACAGACATTGATCGGCTTCGGCGGAAGAACGTGTAAAAAGGATGTCAACCTCCCAAGAATGAAGCGCCGAGTTTGCGAGACTTCAATAGCTTCCATCGATACGGTTGGTGGTTCCGTGGAATCGTTGGTGCTTTCATCTTCTTCGTGGTGAGATTGAGGGGGAGACGGAGTTCGCTGCATGAAGCGACAAGGAGGAAGGGCTGTAGACAGCGGGTGCGGGATTCGAGGGGGATGGTTTTTAGGCGGCTTATAGTTGTGATGGCGAACTCAGTGAGCCAGTTGTTGTGAAGACTTTCTGGAGTCTTGTCGTCTTGTGCTTGGTGGTAGATACTCGGGGGAGAAGAGAGTGGTGGCGTGGTATGGGTGTGCGTGTGATTTGAGTAAGTGTTGGTGGCTGTGTTTGGACTTGTATCAGAGAACCCCGTGGACATGTTCATGCTGTCTAGATTGATGGGGAAAAATGGATCGCGATTTGAGGTCGTGGTAGAGTATTGTGTGGTTTGGGTTGAAAGTCGGTTGCGCAGGAGATCAGGGAAGACTCGGTATAGTTGCATTAGACCTGTGCAGCGGTAGACTTCGGCCATGGTGAGCAGGTGCCAGACTGGAGTTTCGTCGTCGCCTGGGCTAACTATTTCGGCTTCACTGGGATGCGCGAGGCCCAAGAGGCGCTTTTCTAGTTCCTGAGCTTTTTCGATGGCCATTCGTGCGCGGTTGATATCTTCTTGAGAGGTGAAGTTTCGCGAGCGGACGCGTTTGCGCTCGCGTCGGACGAGGCGGCCGACTTCGTGCACGGTGAATTGGGTATCCTTGGCGATCCCGGTCCATGGATGCGGAACTCGTTGGAGGACGAGTTGATCGTCTGATGAGTAGGTGCAAGAGTCGGAAAATACCATGGAATTGCTATCTGTCACGAAAGAAAGGAGCATTTCCCAGTAGATAAGAGCCTCTTCAAAGAAGCGGTAATTGTTACTACAGCTCTTGACGAACCCGTAGCTTGGGCATTCCGAGGAGGACGATAAGGAGTTGAGCTGCTTGCGGAGTAGGTTGAAGAAAGATATCCCTAGGTCTTTTGGGTCATGCCAACTCGCGGTTTGACCGAGCATGAGTAGTGCAAGCAGGGACTTGTCATCCATGACCGCCTCCCCGGTGATGATATCGACAGCCTCGTCTCGCATCTTCCGACCCAGAGGCCCAAATTGAGGGAAATCATTGACTAGCGTTGCAGCTGCCATACTTTGCATTGTGCGGCACATGGCTAAGGATGAGCCCCATAGACGGGAAACGGTGGTGCGGAAAGGATTCATCTGGCTGTCGTAGCTGGAGAACAATGCAGCGACTTCCTTGAAGTAGTATTCAATTAGAGTCCATGATGGATTGTTCAGCGGACGTGAGATAGACATAAAGTCTCGCAGAGGAGCTCGCTGTGAGTTCGGAGGGTAACTGCGCACGATAGCTGAAGGCGAAAAATCTCGATACATGTTCGCAGGCTGTTCTTCCTCGTCAATAGGGCCGATCAAAGAAAAGAATCGAGACTGATCCGCGGCTGTATCTTCAGACGCAAAGTCAAATGGCGAATCTCGCGGCGAGAAGCCTGTCCCCGGTACAGGAGACGGCGGACATAGATCTGCCAAGTCTGGCAGTGAGGCATTGCCCCTCAAACCCCACAGGTTATCGAGTGTATTTGAATCAGCATCTAATCCGAACGCATGAGGCTCAGTGTCATGTGATGGACGAGCATTAGTGCCATCTAGCGGCAGTACATTCTCTGCCGGATCATTTACTTGTACCGGAGTTCTCTCTGCAGCCGGACTCATGGGTTTCCCATCAGATGCGTTGGGACTGGGCTGCTCATGCTTCGTGACCCAGCGTAGAGACTGGACATAGCCGGGACACCGAACACCTAAGCGAGTACAGCGGCTGCAATGCGGTTTCTCCTCTCCGCACTTGACCTGTGGCGAGTTAGATAAGTCGATCCGAATCGGGCTAGCACTAACCCTCTTGCTTTTGCATCGCGCGCAGCCGTTACGTGACTTTTTGACTCGTCGCATCACTGACACTATGATCGAGAATTGTCGAGAGGGACGAGGTCCGACATGGTGAAGCACAGTGTTGGGGAAACACGAACGCTCCGTGCGGGGAGGGGCTTATCTGCCTGGATAAAAAGCGGCTTCCCTGTCATTTCAGGGATACTTTTGCCCTTTTCGTCTTGGTCGCTGTCCATCATGGGCCAATAAGAGCCACCAAGTGCTTCAATTGGCTGAATTGGTACTGCATAGTTGGCGACGAGTGCCAAGGATGTGAAAGCCACTTTCAATTACTTCAAAATGAAAAGTGAATCTCAAAGATCCTCATGATTGCAGTGATGGAAGTATAGCTGACTCAGCATATTCGGCCTCGGGCCTTGCAATCGCGACTTTCTGAAGTTCTGACAAATTGCAGAACCATGGCTTATCTGCTTCGCTCCCAGGTGATAAAAGCTCAACTTAATTGGGATTTATGTGATGAGAAATACTAACAAATGAGACAGTCACGAGCATTTAGTCTCTGCTCACGGGATTTGTTGGCATCGAGACCAAGATCCATTGCCCTGCCACAGACCAGACGAATAGCCTCCATATATCCTCGGGAAACAGTTCTGAGAAGACCACGGCTGCAGCAAAGATCACCGGGCACGCCCATCCCTCGCTCTTTTTACTCTACCCCGGCAACCATGAACGGTGTATCTACCGATCTCAAGCAGATTCTCACCCCTGCCCTCTTAGAGAATGTCCGCAACTTTTGGTTCAACCACTTCAGCAGCCAAGATGCATTGATTCTTCCTAGTCAACCCGAAATGATGCGGTGGTTCATGCGCGATCCCGAGTTCGACCAACAATGCGTGTAAGTCCTTCCCTGTCTCGACCACCACGCTCAAGAGTTGACAAAAGCAACCAGCGCTCAATTCCAACCGGCATTAGAGAGAATCATCTCATCCGGTGCATCGGCCACAGATATCCTGAACGCAGTTGATCAATCATCCCCATTGAAATGGCTTAGCATCATCTTACTTCTGGATCAGGTCCCTCGAAACTGCTTCCGCGGCGAGGATTCCAAGCTGGTTTTCGGCCAATTTGATCCTCTCGCCGAGGAGATTGCTGTTCGCGCGATAGACGCCGGCATTCCTACTCAGGATTCACATCTAAGGTACCGACTTTCCTATCGGGTCTGGTTCCACATGCCTCTGATGCACTCTGAGAATCTTGCTGTCCACGAGAAGGCGGTTCAAGTGCACGACGAGACCGCGAAAGATATGAATGAGTTCATTGAGTGCGATGTGTCTACTTTGAACGAGGATGAGAAGATTTGTCATGATATTTTGTCGAGTCAGAAGGAGGCCCTTGATGAGTTCTTGAAGAGCAACGCCGACTTTGAAAAGAAACACAAGGATATCATTGAGCAGTTTGGAAGGTATCCCCATCGAAACGCACCTCTTGGTAGGATCTCGACTGCCGAGGAGGTTGAATACTTGGAGAATGGTGGCGAGACATTTACATAAGCATCATGCTTGAAGTATATGGAAAACTTGGTGAACGAAATGCATTGTTTATACGCTTCAAAATTGGATCTCACGTCGTATCTATAAGTTGATGAGGCTAAATTTTTTGTTCATGAAAATCTTACAGGAGCCCAGTGGAGTAGGGAACCTCATAGCCCGGCAGGGCAGGGAACTCGTAGAGGTCTGGGTTCTCCTTCCTCTCGGCAGCCCATGCACCCAGGGTGCCGAAAAGCTTCATAACGTTCTCTTGCACAGAGAGGTCAATGGGCTGCAAGCCCTTGCCCATCTGCGAAATTTGAAGACCAGCCGCACCGGCAGTGGCACCGAAGTCCAGCATGTCCAACTTCTGAAGCATGGCACTCTTGACCTGACCGGACAGGATCTGCGCGCAAAGGTTGGGCTCCTGGCAGAGAGCACGACCAAGACCAACTCCGTCAACGGTGTCAAGAGCCTTGACCATGCCCTCGACGGTCTTCAGGCCTCCAGTGACGTAGGTCTTGGTCTTAGTCAAACCGGGCACGATGAGTTTGGCGAAGTCCAAGAAGAACTGAGATCTGTCAGTATGGGTTGAAAAAGAAGATGTAAATTGGAACAAAAACTCACAGCTTCACGCTCCAGCGTGGACTCCCGCTTCTGGTTGGCCAAAGGCCAATTCTCATAAGTACCACCCGACAGTTCAACAAAGTCGAAAGCATGCTCCTCAAGAGCCTCGCACAGCTCCTTGGCCTCTTCAGGCTGGAAGCCCTTCTCCTGGAACTCAACACTGTTGACCTTGATGCCGACAATGAACTCCTTGCTAACCCTCTTGGCGATCTCATCCCGAACCTCCAAGATCAATCTCATCCGGTTCTTCAAACTGCCACCATACTTGTCGGTACGAAGGTTTGTAGTAGGCGACAAAAACTGACTAAGAAGATAACCGTGCGCACCATGAAGTTGGATACCATCAAAGCCAGCCTTATCAAGATACTCGGCAGCGTGAGCAAAGCCATCAATGATGTTGGCAATATCTTCCTCCGTAGCAGCACGGGGCTTTCCGAATGTCATACCCATAGGATCACCTTTGACTTGAACATCACTGGCACTGATCGGGTTCGGCTGAAGATACTGAGGAGTCTGACGGCCAGGGTGTCCAACCTGGGCGACAATGAGCATGCCAGCAGCCTTTCCAGCTGTCGCGAGCTCCTGGAAACGCTTGAACCGCTCACCTGAGAACGGCGCATGCTGAGGGATGACTGGGTTCCCGGCTGCCTCGAGGTGACCGGGATCGATCATGACATTACCGGTCAGGTTGATTCCAATTTGTCCCTCACCCCAGCTCTTGTAGGCCTGAATTAAGGCAGGCGAAGGAATACCACGAGCATTGAGGTCGTTGAAAGAGAAAGAAGCAAGACGCTCACTCATGGCTCCCTTCAAGAACCGGTTTGGGGCTGTACGGCCCGAGAACTCAAACTTGAGGGGCTGGCCCAAGGGACTGGGGTCGACATCGGCGCATTGGAGTCTCGGAGTAGAAGACATCATGAACGTTTCGGGGTAAAGAAACTGGATTGAGCGTATTGGGAAGTTGAAAAAATGTCTTTCCAAAAAAGGGTTCCAAAACGAATTGAAACCTGGGGAATGTTCAAGGAACAGTATCTTCGACCGAGGTCAGTTTCCAAGGGTTCCGCAATTCATACCAGTTTTGTATTTCTAAGCCGTGCTCCTCAAATTTTTAAGCACAACTCAGCGGCAAAAGTGGAGCTTTCACTGAGCGGACAGATAATCGTACCGAAGCCGATCCCATGGTCTTGTTTATAGCTGGATTGGCGCAATATGGCAATTGGGGGCATGTCCGTGGCCAACAGAGTTCAAAACAAATGCATGGAATTGAAATGTAGTAGTAACGAGATTGAAATGTAGTAGTAACGAGAGTACACTCCGACCTTTCAATGCAATAGTTCGCTGTCCAGAGACCGGCGAATCAGGATTTTAGTTAAACGGCGGGACCAGATCACTAAGCAAAGTTTCCACCACGCAGAAGGGGGTTTCCCGAGAGATAAGAGAATCATGTACTCTCTAGGTTTCATACAAGGTGTCCAAGTCACTGACAAGGGGGGGCGTAAGCTGTAAACTGGACGAGTGCGCGAAGCTTGACTCAGATTATAGGCTTCTCATGAGCCAATGTCTCATCTTGACCGAAAATAGTATCGAGTCTGCCACGAAAGACCTGAGGCAGGAAGTACAATTTGACGGGAACACAGTTTGATTAAGCTCACCGGGATTCTCAATGTGATATGCACCACAGGATGGTTGTGCCTACAGTAGTACCACACCCAGGCCACCGGGTACCCCGATTTTCCCCGCCATTCTGCACCATTCTGCGCCATTTTGCATAGAACGATGTGTCTGTTTTCTCCTGCCGCATTAAACCCCGAGATGGACATTCTTGCCTCTCGTTGGAATGTGGACCGGATCGATCACTCTATTCGGCAAGGGAGCACACGACCCCTTGACAAAAATTCCTGGGCTGTCCTGTTCTCATCTTGCTTTGCCTGAGCGCTTCCAATTCGTGTGGAGCCTCTACTTAGCCGGCGGAGGGCTTACACTGAGCAAATCGAAGACAGAATTCTCATAATAACGCTTCGATAGCTGTTCCTTCTCCACGAAGAACGAGTTCGTATGAACACCTCCCCAAACGCCTTGAAGGAATCCCGTAATTTTCCAGATGCAAAGCAACTTGGACTAAAATGTGTAATACCTTTCACGAGCAATCTTAGCGAAAATTGAGGCCTAACTAGCTAGGTGCCATATGTTCAAGATGGACCCTTCCATAAGACCTTCCTGCATTTCGAATCTCATCTTTAGCACGACGAAAGCTTATTCCTTCTTTCCCCACATGTTCCGCTTTGATTGCTCATTCATGTAGAGAGTTTCGCAAATATTTCAAGTGGCTCCATGAAAAGGCCGAATGCAGATAGAAGAAACCCAGAGGCACCGCATCTGCTCACACATATGACCACGAGACCTAATCCAAGTCTCTATAATGTTTGTTTCCTCTGTCACTCTTTCGTAGAAAATTTTGCAATAGCATATCTACCTGTGGTAAATAAGCACCGGTCTTTATACGCTAATCAGCTCTTTATTGACATTCCACCAGTTTGGTAGATCAACCTTGCTAGTCTTCGGAATCTCCAAGTCCACGATGCGTGCTCTGTTTGATATTAAACATCACCATGATCACCCCTCGCCAATCCTTTATTCGACCGTTTCTTTTCTCGCTCCTCGTTGTGTCGGCCATCTCCTCTAAAGCACTACACCTATACCAGCACGGCGGTTTGCTCGATCGCGCGCGGCTGATACTTTACTTTCCACCATTTTTCTTACAGGAGGGTGTTCTTTTTTGCAGCTGCTTGGATTCTCCTCCAAAGATCGAGCGTAGTGCGATCTGTCGCGGGAACGATAGCAACGTCTTCCATCGCGTAAGTGTACAGATATTTCAAGACCACTAGGAGAAGAGTGTCCGACAAATCAAAGATTTCTGACATTCATATTGTCATCCTCCCAAATCGGATTTTACCTTGTGACAGGTAGCGAAGTCCGTTGGGATGCAGCCACCAGCGTGGGAGATGATCCGGAGGGGCGAAAGCTCATGCTAAGCGGGTTGCGATCATTTCTTGGTGCAGCGCGACTGCTTATGGTTCTATCGTGGTTCTGCACTACTGCGATATGGATGATAGCCTGCAGCTTGTTTTCAGCTATTCTCGCCACGCAATCTGCCGCAAAAGCCGACGAGGAACTCCCACTTGACCATCTACGACAAAATATTCGAAGACCGCGTCTGATTCGGCTCTGGGCTCTTGTAGCTGTCATGACGACTGTCGGACTTCGCCTGATGCGGTCACAAGTGCCGTACAACCATATGTCCGGGGCTCTTCCATTTACCTTCTTTGAAGCACTGCGGTCGAAGTCGAAACCGGATCAGCTTGGTGATCACGACTTCCCCTTGTTGGACTTAGTTGGGGAGGAGTACTGGGAAGCTCCTCGTGGCCATTACAAAGGCCGGGCTCCTGGAGGACATGACAAGATCGATACAACTGGCCGTCCTGAATGGGCTTCTAAACTCTTACCACATGGCTTTCAGCGTTGGGAGAATGGGCCGGAGTCAGTGCATGAACCCGAGGAAGGGCAACAGAAGCCACCGCAAAATTACTACAAGCCAGCAAATGATCCTCTAAGAATCACGAACCTTGATCAAAATGTCGTTGAGCCAATTGCTCAGGCTATCAAGAGCCGCAATGTGCCGATCAATCATGTTTTTCTGGTGATGATGGAAAGCGCCCGGAAAGACATCTTTCCTTTCAAAGCGGACTCCCACCTTCATCATGAGATTCTGTCATCATACCACAATCCCGACCCAGCAATTAACCAGCATGTGGATTCGAAGCTCTCTTATCTGACACCGATTGCGGAGCAATTGACAGGTGAATCGAGCGGCTTCCGAAATAGCGGCAATGGGTCCGACGGCCTGTGGAAAGATACAGCCGAGTTTGGAATGGGTGCTATCAATGTCAACGGTATTCTCACTGGTAGCAGTCTCTCCTTCAAGAGCGCAGGCATGAATCATTGTGGCGTTGGGCCTATCCCAGTGGATTTTATGGGTGAAGTCAAAGCCCAGATCTACCAGCCATGCATCATGCAAGTATTGGATCTGTTTAACAAGCTAAAAGAAGACTTGACCGACGACACCAGGCCCAGTATCCGGTTGAATGATGCCCAAAATCGCAACTGGACATCTGTCTTCCTGCAATCTATCACTGGTCTCTACGACGACCAAGATTTACTCAACAATCAGATGGGTTTCAAGAAGGCTATATATAGTTAAGATATCGGCCTTTCGAGTGCAAAGCACCATAATCCGGGTATGGAGGAGGTCAATTACTTTGGGTACGTCGCCAACCAATACTAGGAAGAGTTTCTGGATAAGAAAATTAACAACATACAGCTACGCAGAACGTGAGGCATATCCATACCTACGGGATATTGTCAACGAAGCGATTGAGAACAAAGAAAGTCTTTTCCTTTCCCACTTTACTAGTACAACTCAGCATCCGTGGTCCACGCCCGCCGATTTCCATGACGAACAGTACTTCTCATCGGACGGCCTGATGAGCAAGCACGAGGATATGAACAATTACCTCAACCCAATTCGCTACGTCGACGGCTGGCTTGGAGATATTTTAAAAGTCCTAGATGACACCGGGATTGCCAATGAGACACTGGTAGTCTTTGTCGGAGACCAGTACGTTACGACACTTTGATCAAACTACGCACTCAGCTAACCCTAAGCAGCGGCCAAGCCTTCAACGAAGATTCACCTGTATCAGAAACGTACGAGAATGGACACATCAGCAACTTCCGAATTCCCCTCGTCTTTCGACATCCACTCCTCCCTAAGATCCAGATCACCGCTAACGCCACCTCCATGTCCGTCGTCCCAATGATTCTAGATCTGCTAGTACAAACCGGATCTCTCAACGACAAAGACTCGACAGCCACACTGGACCTCCTGAACGAATACGAAGGGCAATCTCTGATCCGCCCATACGAAGCTACGCACAATGGTCGACAGGCATGGATTTTCGGAATCATCAACGCTGGCGGCACGATGCTTAGCGTCGGGTCCGCAGCAGTGCCTTATCGATTAATCCTACCATTAACGGAGGATTTTGAATTTCTATTCACCAATCTAAATTCGGATCCCGAGGAACTATGCCCGTTACGCGGATGGTCCGCTGAAGAGCTCATCCCGCGTGTGAGAAGTGGACACGGCGAAAAAGCTGCGCAGTGAGTGAATGACGCAGAGAAGGTCGGACGATGGTGAGTAGCAGAGCGAAAACGGCTGTGGAATTTTGAGTAGTAAATAATCTACATAAAGGAATGTGTATGAATATGCAGAGAATAAAAAAGAAGAATATCAAAGCGATCTGATTGTTCTCTTTGTTTCCCGCCTCAGGCCAAACCCCCCACGCCCCACCTCCTCGACTTTCGCGACTTCCTCCATCGCATACGGAATTCCTCTTCGCTCGGCTCGTGTATGAAACAGAAGATTTCTTGCATCAGATAATAATTTATCTTGGGTTCATCAGGCTTGAACTCGGATCCCGCCGCGTCCCGCACCCAGGAGTTCACCCCGCTCCGATTTCCAACCCGGTCCCCATGGCAGACACATACGCCAGTGACCCGGAATGGGCAGATGTCACACCAATCCCTCTAAATGATGGATCTGAATCAGGCGCCATGCCACTGGCCACTATTGCCTACCCGGACGAGTACCTCGAAGCGACCTCGTACCTGCGGGCCGTGATGGCTGCGAACGAGATGTCTGAGCGGGCATTGAAGTTGACGGAGAATGTCATCTCTATGAACCCGGCTCACTACACCGTCTGGTAAGGCAAATCAAGAACCCAAATTCAAAAAATTATTCTAAACGTGCAATTCAACATAGGATTTACCGCGCCAAGATCCTCTTTGCACTCGACAAAGACCTCCTGGAAGAGTTGGAGTGGCTGAATGGCGTTTCGTTGAAATATCTCAAAAATTATCAGATCTGGTACGTGTGGTTTCTCTTGTCAAGTCCATAAGAAAGAACGAAAAATCAAACTGACACAATCAGGTCCCACCGCCAAATCCTTATGGCTTCAGAAACACACTTCCCAACTTTGCCACCAAAGGAATTGCCCTTCCTCATGGAAATGTTTGCTCAAGACTCCAAGAACTATCATGTCTGGACGTACCGCCACTGGCTCGTTCGTCGCTTCGGTCTATGGGACCATCCGCGAGAACTCGAAGACGTAGACGCGCTACTGAAAGCGGACGTCCGTAACAACTCGGCCTGGAACCATCGGTACATGTTGCGCTTTGGACCGCGCGGTGACGAGCCTGATGCTGGGATGGTTGGTTCAGTGGCGGGTGCGAAGGCCGGTGTTCATAATGTTGTGGATGAGGAGGTCGTTGATTCTGAGCTTGAGGTTGCGAAGAATGCTATTCTAAAGGCGCCAGAGAACCGGAGTCCATGGTGGTTTGCGCGAGGTGTGTTGAGAGCTGCGAGTAGGGACTTAGGGGAGTGGGAGGAGTTTGCCGGGTTATTTGTGACGGGGGTGTGATCAAGAGTACGCATGCTGTTGAGTGGCTGGCGGATGTGTATGCAGATGGGAGAGAAACGGAGGCGGTGCAAATGTTGACGCTTTTGAGGGAGAAGTATGATCCTGTGAGGAAGAATTATTGGGATTATCGGATTAAGATGTTGGGGCAGGTTGCTTGATTGAATACCTGCGTTATGGAAGTGTTTATCCTATACGGCACACGGGGAATAATTTGGGTTGTCAAGGTTTGAAAAATCGATTGCAATTAATCTTTTATTTGATTCTAGAGCAAGTGATGGCCAATATGCAAGATAAAATAAATGACGAGATGAAAAGATGACCAGCCGTGAAGAAAGTAAGAGACGATAAGAGGTATATCTGTAAAGGCAAGGAAAAAAAAAATGAAAAATCATAATACATCATCTAGGCCATCAAACCCAACCCTCAGCCAGCAACTTCCGCCACTCGCCAGCGGTCTCAATAGTGACATTGGACCCTCCACAAACGACGATGACAACCCGACTGTTTTCGTTGAGGTCAGGGATAAGCTGCTTCATCTTCGACTTGAATGCTGGTGATTTGGCAACGGCGACGTCGCCGACCTCCGCCTCAGGCTCGGGGTCCGTTTCATTATCATTCTCCGTCGACGACAATCGGTCGTCTCCGTAACCCTCATCACGGTGGCCAGTATCATTGGAGCCCCTCTTTCGTTTCTTGGGGCTTTGGCCCACGGCCACGGGATTCGCCGAAGCAGGGGTAGCGGTGGCAGCATCGCCGATGGCCGCTTCGATACACACACCGCAGGCCAGTTCAACGAGGAACCGTTCATCGTCGACGAGGCGGAGACAGCCTCGGGCGGCCTCGGCATCTGTGAGGACGGCGCTGTGCACTTTGATTCCCGGCGGGGGAGCTACGGCGTATTGGAAAGTGGTTTCCGATACACGAATGGCGCCCAAGGAAGTGGCTTGGGATGTGATCTTAGGAAGGGAGACGAGGGAGTTGGAAGCGATGGCGGCGGCCAAGGAGTCGGTGCCGTCCGTTTCGATGGCGAGAATGTTGATGGGTTTAGTGGTGGCAGGAGCATTCTGGAGTTTTTGGGGTCGTCGCTTCTCGAGGCCCATGACCAGGCCGTTCAGAAGACCGCCGCCGCCGACACTACACAGAACGGCATCCAGAGGGAGCGCCCGCCCGCGGTAAACTTCCTCTTCTTCGGCGTTGGCGGCCGGAGGTAGTTGCTTCTCGAGCTCGTCAATGATCGTGCTGTTTCCTTGCCAGATAGGCTCGTTGTCGAATGGGTGTAGGGCTATCTTGGCGACATTCTCGTCGTTTCCGGAGCTCTTCTTCATGATGACTTCCTTCATATAGGAACCGGCCTCGAAGAAGTTCTCGCCATGGCGAATGACATCCGCAGCACCGGCTGCTCAGGAGTTTGTCGACCATCAAAGGCTTTGTGGAGGTGGGGACCACGACTGTGCATGGATATCCCAGGCTGCGGGCAGCGCAGACGGCTGCAAGTCCGGCGTTTCCACCGGACGAGGCATAGAAATGTACAGGGCGGCCGGCATTCTCCGGCTTGTAAAGGTGTGAAAGAATCTGATTGCCCATTGCACGGGATTTGAAAGAACCACTGGGTTGGACATTCTCCAGCTTCAAAAAGATCCTACATCCGGCGGCCCGAGAAAGGCAGGCGCTCTCGACCAGGGGCGTTTCGATCCATGGTGTCTTGAAGCTCTGCTTCGGCTCGCAGACAATAGGTTCGTAGCTTCCCATGGCAGGTAGAGAAAGCGAAAATAGTCGGTTGAAAGGAACAATTTGTCAAGTATAAGATAGTCCCACGGTAGGAAGATATGGTGTCGTTACACGGGGGTCCGGCGAGATATAAAAATAAAACACAAATAGTGGCGAGGAATCCGAGCGACCAAGAACTAATCAAATAAGTTCAGCAGTACAGACTTCCAATAATATACAAATAAGAGGTGTTTTGATATACATGGTTGGGTTTTCCGACGGGAAACTTGCCGTTTCCCGCCCCGACTTCCCAAAGGATGATAGGAGGTGACCACCCACGGTTCTGGCCCATCTTTTCCCGCCGATAACCTTGTGGGTATGGCCCACGGTGACCTCAGCCTAGGGACGGTGCGTAACATTTGGAAAACCTGACTGCACAGCGGACTCCGTGTGGAGAGAACCCGGTAAATCTTCTCAATGGAGATGTAGCACCTGGCGGAGATGATGCAAATCTCTATCCAAATGGGTCTCGTCGGTCATGATTGGCCTATGGGCTATTCTTCTTATCAAATCGAAAACGGGCGTGGAGTCCATTGTAGTCAGATTTATTCCTCAGTGAGTAGAGGAGGGAAAAGGATACCTTTCCTAACGCCCTCACCGTAGTCCATGTCGGCGCCATACACCGCGGCCGAGAAGGTCCGCTTGCTCGGGTTGGATGTATCTACGCGAAGAAGTTCCAGCAGCTCCTGTGACTTATCGGGCATAAACGGCTGGAGCAAGATAGCGGCGATACGCAGCGACTCAGCCGAGTTGAACACGACCCATTCCGGGTTGGGGGGTTTTCCACGGCTCCGCCGCATGGAGGTACTTGTTGGTCTGCGGTAAAAATTGGAGTCAGTCAGGTGTCGTGCGGGGAGGGTCTATGCGTCTTACTTTCTCGATTATGCTCATAATTTCCTGCAGGGCGGCTCGCGGATTGAGCCCGGTCATATGCTCGGCAACCTTGGTTGGGGCGAGCACTAGCATCGCCTGATGCTCCCTATCGGCAGCCGTTGTGGCCCCAAGCCTACCAGAAGTGGCATCCAGGATGTAGGAATGCAACTTGCCCTTTGCACATCCAATTGTGCGGGAGGCAAGGTTTCCGATACCTCCAAGAAGCCATTTCTTGTAATCGCGAGTGATGAAAGAATTGTCGTAGTCCGCATCGTCGGCGAGACCACCCTGGTAAGCCAGGAAGAAGCGCATACCATCAACACCGAATCGATCAATGGCGAAGAACGGATTCACCACGTTTCCAGTGGACTTGGACATCTTCTCGCGGTTCATAGTCCAGTGACCGTGTACTAGCACATTCCGAGGAACAGGAAGATCTAGAGCCATCAGGAAGGCTGGCCAGTAGACACAGTGGAATCTGGGGGTGATTAGCGGGCGACGGCGCGTCGGGATTAGTGGGCTATGGCGTGTGCTTACCGTACGATATCCTTTCCGACTACATGTACATCGGCAGGCCACATCGATGAGTTCTCTTGCCCCGGAGGGAACGGATACCCCGCTCGGGTCAAATAGTTCACAAGCGCATCCAGCCAAACATAGATCGTCTGTGTGTCGTCGCCGGGGACCGGGATGCCCCATGTCAGTCGTTCGGCGGGTCTGGAAATGGATAGATCTTGCAAGCCGGACTCAACCGACTTGATGACGTTCGTCGCATACTTGGAAGGCGTGATAAAGGAATCGGGACGACTGTACAGTTCCAGAAGACGTTCCCTAAATGCGGACAGGCGGAAGTGGTAATTGATTTCTGAGGACCACTCAACCTCTTTACCTGTTTCAACCGAAACCTGACACATGTGAGCGGCGACAACTATTCAAATTCCGACATGGTCTTACCATCCGCTTCCTGCCGGTCGATGGATCAAGGGAATTTTGCACCTGGGTTTCCGGGTAAAATGTCTCGTCACTAACACAATACCAACCCTCGTGCTTGGACGTATAAATGTAGCCTCGGTGTTGCAGCATTTCCTATGACTTGGTGAGTAGTACTCGTATGGCGGTGGGCTATGTACCTACCCAGAAATACTGGACGGCCTCTCGATGCGCCGCATCTGTCGTACGGATAAAGTGATCGTTGGAGAGGTTCGCAGCTTTTGCCAGAGCCTATTGATCGAGTGCTATGTCAACAATCTCTCCGAATAGTTCCGCGCGCCCTGATATTTGTACCTCAAAGGTCCGGCAGTTCATGTCGCAAAAAGCTTGAGTATCCATTCCAGCCGCGAGGGCAGCTTGTTGAATCTAAACATCGCCATCAGACATGTTTTGAAAAACAATTCATTTCCACTTTGTACCTTCATTCCGTGCTCGTCGGTTCCGGTCAACAGCTGGGCGTCCGTGTTTCCGAGTAAGACCTGCCATCGCTTCAAGATATCGGCGATGACCATCGTGTACAGATGACCGACGTGAGGAGCTGGCAGAAATTGAAATGGTTCAGAGGGCACGAGTAATACAGCTTCGAAAAACAAACTCACCAGCATTGACGTAGAAGATCGGAGTCGTCACATAGTACGGCTTCTTGAACTTCCCCGGGGTCGCTACGAATGCGCGCCGCGCAGGAACAGAAAGCGCGTGCCGGCACATTGAGCATTTCCATGGCCTTTGAGTATTGAGGAGCCGAGTCGCCCTCGAAAGGGTGCTCAACGGTGCCTTGAATGCCATTGAGGATGGGTGGAGAAGAAAAGGGCATCGCATGTTATTCCGCATCGCGATTCCGCAAATTGGTCAAAGCTCCTCCGCCCGTCATTTTTCTTTTCCTCTCCGGATCGTTTACATCCATTCACCTCACTGCCTTGAGTCGCGGATTAAAGCCCAACCTACTTCTGAGATTCATCCCTCATTGTCAACTACCGCATATTATCTCCGCGCTTACACGTTTCTACCTCACGCGCGGCCTTTCACAATCGAGATGGCCGCCTCCAGCGATACTCTGACCAAAGTGTCTACGGATGGTATTTCGCCAGACCACCTTGAAATCTTCTGTTCATTGATGATGCTAACTCGCTCTTATCTATAGCTGCCACCGAGCTCGTCAATTCCTTCTACCCAGCCCTTGGAAAGAACCGCGACGCCATCGCATCCTTCTACTCGACCACTCCAACTTCGATCCTGTTGAACGGCAACCAGATCGAAAGCGGTGCCGCGGTGCAGAAGATCTTTCTTGAATTGATGCCAGCTGCTCACTACGAAGCGCAATCTTTTGACTGCCAGGTCATCAACCCCGCCTATCCCACCGTTACCGCCAACGGCGTCAAGCCGCCTTCCGAGATGACCGTCAAAGACATGTCAATTCTCGTCATCGTGAGCGGCTACGTGCGCTACGGCGAGGGTCGTGATCAGCCGCATCGCGGTTTCAGTGAAACCTTCGTTCTGGTCCCAAACCCTTCCACCGAGCGCGGCGGTCGTCGCAAGGGCTGGCTCATTCAGAGTCAAAACTTCCGGCTGGTGGTCTGATTCGATCGCCTTCATTCTGTGTTTTTTGGAAAGACATGTTTGTGAGATTATGATTTGTGAGATTGATGGATCTTGGACAAAAAAAAACTGCACTTCGACACAGATTACGCCGCATACAAAAAGTTGGAAGGAAACTTGAAAGATTGGATATCACTGTGCCTTTTTGGAGGATTGAGACACGCCCACCTGATCGTGATGATCACGCTGCTGGGGCCGACTTGCGCGGAATGCGCAGATTGGCTTTGACTCGCTCCAGCAACTCGTCCCGCGTCGCATTCTCATGTGGCATGAGCCCTCGCTGTGGAGTTGTCAGCGGGAGATGGAAGATGTTGAGGAGTTGATTACACATACTGCCCGAAGCCATCGTCTCATATCTTCGGCTGTCCAATTTTCAGGATCTGTTCTCGTTAGACTTAAACTCGTCCATACTGTGAAGATGATTTACTTCCGGTGGGATCGGTTTCGGCGGGAAACACATCGGAGCCCCAGATTGAATAGGCCGCTACTGCTGTGACCATGCCCGCAAACCCTGCATTTGCAATCATATTAGACAAGATTTTAGATTATTGAGCAAGAATTTGAAGTCAATCTATACCAAGGAAGAGGTTCTAGATCCAGTCAGTTTCTGAACCGCGCGGTCACAAGTAGTGTGAGGTACCTTGGAATTCAAAGCTCGATCGAGCGGGGTAGGCATCCTGGCTGGTGATGAAGGATGATGTATGAACAGGATTTTTGGATATATATAGGCTTTTGTAGGTGCCTTGAGCTTTCAAAATTGATGACACTTCTCAGGAAGCGATCAAGACAAGTAGCTTTGGACGACCCGACGTGCACCGCCACCGACGCCACACCGCGGCTGCCTGTGCCGATCAACTTGAACTTGAACTGTACCTTCCAACATTCCCATAGACGCGTAACGTAGACTTCGGAGGGCATCGTTTACAAAATATAGACCTTCCTTTTGGCGCTTGTTGTTGCTCTCTCTGGCCCTCTTTTGACTTTTTTTTTTGGCTACATTCTGTCCCTACAGCATTGGTATCTATACAGCCGTCCCTTCAACGCCGGGCGGTCGATGAAACGGATCATGCGGCAATGGAAGCCGGAGCTTTGTTGATCCCTGTGCCTGTCGACATTGTAGTACGACGGGCCGTAATTCAAGGGTGCGTGGTACACATGCTGTTGCGAACGACTCTACTGGCCTCCCAATGTAGCCGTCTGGAGGCTTAGAAGCCCCTCAAGTCTCAGCATCCATGATCTGAGAAGACTGTAAAATTCGAAACATGGAATGATACTTCCGATATGAGTTCCGGCGCGAGCCAGAGCAGGGGGCGACATTAAGTAAGTCCGCGGTGGCCGGCGTGCATGTTCATGAGGAAGACGATGGAGCTCATCGTCTGAGCGAAAACCAGCACCGGCTAATAATCTTTTCCACGCCTTCTTTTCCTTGGGTCACGACGATTGAGATAGAGAGGTGTCCCACCCCCGCAATCGCTCATTGCAGGATCAAATAGAGGACCCAGTCCAAGAGCCACGTGACCATCAGGGCTTGCCATAGTAGAAACCCTAATCCGATCCACACAACTTCCTTCCTCGTCGAGCTTTCCTTCACCGTCACCTTATCGCCTCAATACCGTCACCATGCCTCGCGAAATCTCCGATATCAAGCAGTTCATTGAGATCTGCCGCCGCAAGGACGCCTCGTGTACGTGACCCGTTTTTACGACCGAAAATAGAGAATTGGTGGACTGACACGCCTTTAGCCGCCCGGATCAAGCGCAACCGCAAGTCCCAGCAGATCAAGTTCAAGGTCCGCTGCGAGCGCTTCGTCTACACCCTGGCCCTGACCGACTCCGCCAAGGCCGACAAGCTCAAGCAGAGCCTTCCCCCTTGTACGTCATGACAACCGCTATACGCTGCAAATCTTCCGGGTCCGACTGTGGGAGCCTGGAGGGTCCCAGCATACGCCATTGAATGCCTCGAGCGAACACTAACAATCTTCGAACAGCCCTCAAGGTCGTTGACGTCTCCAAGGGTACCAAGAAGTCCCTGTAAATTCGATAATGGAATGAACGGATCGGAGTGCGACGCGATTGGTCGATGAGGACCAACTGTTTCAGGGATACATGGACATGATCTCTCTGCGAGCCGACACGGGGACAGACTCTTCGCGTCTACCGCCATATCTCGGTCAGACGACTCGCATTTTCATCACGCACTCGAGGAATGTCTTTGTCGGAGCTTCCTGTCTACAATGAAAAAAACAGTTGAAACATTTTTACTGGTATCCTCTTATGAGGTTCCTTTACCCTATTCATTATGGGACCCAAAATCATTCCCGGCATACTGTTTTGTTTCCATTCAACTGTAGTCTTCCGACTTGAAGTTCGACCCACTCGTTACATCTGTCAAAGGCTTGACGGGAGAAGCTTCCAGTAGACAAAGCTCATGAGACGTATGTCTCTGATAATCCCATTCTCCCTATTTTCAGGATGGTATGGTCTCATGTACCCGAGCTACCAGACAATGCTCATTGTAGACCACTTTTTTACACACTATTTGATCTCCTTCCCATACTCGGTTTCGGGCTCTTCTGACACAACCACTGACTTTGTTGACAATGATCAAGTCGTCAAAGGCATTGGGAGCCCCCTCTCGACATCTCTTGGCTCTCTCTACAAAAGGAGACAAGATGCCTTCCCGGTTCAGGCATAGATTGTTAGTAAAGTTCCAAGACTTAGACCATGTCGATTCAGATCAATTCCCAATCCCTCCAGAGTAATGAATCTGATGATTCTATGGGTTTGACTACAAATACGCATACAGCCTCAGCCTCATTACCTGAGCATCCCTACTCAGCAACTGATTGGATTAAGTCATGGTCACTAGGATTATTTGACCTCCTGCCAAGCGAGATTCTCGACATGATCCTCAGTGGCCTCTCTACGGGAGATAACAGTGGGAAATTAACCCATCAAGACTTCTGCGCTCTACGCCAACTCAGACACGTCAATGACGCAGGATCCTGGGTTGTGAACAGGCATATCAATCGCCCGATGTTGTCATCATGTTTCGAGAATCAAATCGCCGCTGTCACAGCTGAAGAATACCGAATCGCAGAATACCCACTGCTTTACGCTGAGATACTGGAAACGTACCCTCTCATGCATCCACTAAATGAATATAGCCTCATCGAACAGGCCATTCGAGACGATTGCATCGAATGCTTTGAGCTGTTATCCAACAACACTGAAAATCGCTCCCTTTGCGCTCGCGCATGTAACGAACGCGGCTGGAGCTTTGTTGCCATCGCCACCTGCTCACACTCGTTCCGTATCCTCGAGACCTTTTGTGCGAAAAACCCGTACGGGCCACCTATTGAGCTCCTCAAATCGCCCGCTAACCATAACTGTGCACACATGAGCCCTTTGGATATCATGGCGGAACGGCATGATCTATACTTCTTTCAACATCTGATGGATGTGGTAGTGCCTTACCTCCGGCCTCTTGGTCTCCAGAATCTGGTCAGAGATGGACTGAGTACAAGAAGTCGGCTCGAAATCTGCCAATTTGCCACACCTGACCTAGTGGTGCAGCTTGCAAAACTGGGTGTTCACCTTTGTGATACGGTGACTCGAGAGTCTAGTGCATGGAACGCTGGCGTCTCAAATGGTCCTGAATTCCTAGAGTATTTATACGAGAAATGTCCACAAAGAATTGATGGAGCCCCTGTGGACAGAGAAAGCCCGTTGTTCATTGCCGTGGAAGCTGACAGGCTAGATTGTGTCGAATGGCTGCTACATCACGGTGCTTATGTCCATGCCTCATCCTACGATGGTCCCCGTCGTGCCCCAATCCATCGCGCCGCACTTAAAAGCACCGAAGAGAGCGAGAAAATCCTTAAATTACTTCTCTCAGCCCCGGGCCTCGGCCACCCGCCTAATTTTACCACGCTGGATACCAATACTACAGGTAGGCTATTCAGGTCTCTCATTGAAGGCCTTATATTCACCTGTGGCCTTGAAGATGTACAGAGCGAGATTGACGTTGATGAGTACATTCCTTGGGCTCGAGCCCATCAAGAACGTGCTATCCGGAAGTGTGAACTCATCTGGAATGTGACTGATACTATTCGTCTTGTGGAGCCTGTTGATTTTGACTTGGCGTGGCATGACGACGCTGTGAGACTGGCTAGGGAGAATGGCTTTGAGAGACTTGCTAGAGCTTTGGAGAGGGCTCTGACGCATGGCTTCAATCGTTCGCCCCTGAAAAAGTCTAGTGACTTCTTTTGACAAGACGATTAAATCCACAATATACCTCTGGTTATCGTCTTCTTTGCTAGGATGGTATCTTCTCGGTTGGAGAGGCTTTGACTCCCATGCGCGTTTTTCTCTTACTGATCTGCCCTTTTGAACCCTACTGCTTCCTTTCATTTGTGCCTGCTTTTAGTTTGATAGACTTATGCGCAAGCCAGAACCTTGATTTGATGTTGATCTTAAGCAGCTTCATGTAGTCTCAACACAGCAATCTGTACAAAAAGCCGGATTTCGGACGCGGATAGAGTCATCAATTGAGAGCTGTCAACTTCACAACCACTCCACAATAAGTTTCAGAGATAAGACATCAGTGGATGTACTAGCAACAGGCACAGATCATCTCATGTTGAAAGAGCGAGACTGAAACAAAATGTCGCAGCTTGAGAAACAGTTAAATAGTTGAAAGTTGTTAACATCGACCTGGTATACAACAACCGGAGTTCATCTTTGTGTCTGCAGCTGAATCATCACCGAATGCTGCCAAATCTCAATCGCTCTGACATGTCAATTCTCAATGATCACGCTGAACAGAAAGTGAAAGTATCCACGAATCATCAAGTTCCTGAAACTAGCCGTGGCGATCACTTCTCTTCATGCCACGGGAAGTGGGAATTAACTCCGACTCCGTGGTGCTTGGCACGTCGTATCCTGCTTGGCATCGTTTCATTTAGCCAGTCGAACAAGGTTGTCATTCGCAAGTATATACTGTCGGCCCGTTGCCCCGATGTGAATTGTAGGAATCTGCTTTCCCTGCGGTAGCCATCGCTCACATTCGCAAAGGGCCTGTCTCTGAATAGTAATATTGAAGGGAATAGGATCATTGTCAAGATGCCTCTCATAGTTCTAATCGTGGCGGACCCCCTTCAGGGACGTGGCCACAGAAGTACAGGATGTGGACCATAGACCCACAGCCTAAATGTATGAAACTTATGGAATTTCAACTTCATACCTACAAGGGTCTGGATAATATCCATGAGACCATTCCAGTCGCAGAACGGAGCTCGGTGAAAGGTCATGGAAGACGAATTATAGTCCACACTTCATCTGAATATCATCGGAAAGTTATAAGAGGCAGCTCAAGTTCGCCGATGTTGAGCACGAACAGACTCTATAATCTGATCCATCTACCACAATGTCTTTCTCCAAGCTTGCAACCCTTTCCACCCTCCTAGTCTCAGCCTCGATGGTTGCAGGCCACGGCTATGTCTCCAGCATCGTCGCTAACGGCCAGAAGTAAGCCCCTTTCATCGCACGAGCCCAACATCATACTGAGCTTTGTCTCCAGTTATACCGGTTATATCGTGAACGAGTACGCCTACCAATCCAACCCACCCAAAAGCGTTGGCTGGGCCACAACAGCCACCGACCTTGGCTTCGAAGATGGTACTGAATACCAATCTCCCAACATCATCTGCCACCGCGACGGCACCAACGCCGCCCTCTCCGCAACTGTCTCTGCTGGGTCCGACATCGACATCCAATGGACGACCTGGCCAGACTCTCACCACGGACCCGTCATCACTTACCTCGCCTCCTGCAATGGTGACTGCAGCACAGTCGACAAGACCAAGCTTGAATTTTTCAAGATTGACGCTGTCGGTCTTATGGATGACTCGAGTGTTCCTGGGACTTGGGCCACAGATAAGTTGATCGCTGCTGGGAACCGGTGGACGGTCACGATCCCGAGTTCTATTGCAGCGGGCAACTATGTTATGCGACATGAGATCATTGCCTTGCATTCGGCTGGTACGAAGGATGGGGCGCAGAACTATCCTCAATGTTTGAATCTCAAGGTTACTGGGGATGGGAGCGATGTTCCTGAAGGCACGCTGGGCGAGAAGCTGTATACTGACACCGATGCGGGCATTCTGGTGAACATCTATACCACCATTTCGAACTATGTTATGCCTGGTCCGGCTTTGTTCAGTAGCTAAGCGTTTAGTCTAGTATGAAAGTTGACACGGACTGTCCTTTTTCTTTTTTCTTAGGTTGCAATCCAGTTCTGCTCTGTTTTTCTGGAAAACATTCTCTTCTATAGTTGATCTAGCGCGAATTGCATTTGCTCTCAAAAGCACCCCATCTCGACTTTATATATCCTAATTATTCCTTCCGCTCATAAGCAACTTCTTTATATCCCTCAACCCCCGCCTCTTTCATAGCCTCCTCCACCCCCAAATGCGCTCTCCTCAACTCGAACTCGCCGAAGAAATTCGGCTCCTTTTCAATTTTCACAAATCCAAGTCCCTCAAACAGCCTCAGGCTCCTCTCATTCTCCTTTCCAATCTTCACACTCAAACACGCAAACTTCTTCCCCTCTCCTCCAACTTGCCCTTCATCTCTACGTCAAGACTCCCCACAAACTCCTCACAGATCAACTCTTGCCGCTCGGCAATGTACTTCATAAATGCCAACAGCGCGGCTTTTCCAAACCCACGACGCTGGTTGCTCTTCTCGGCGATCATAAGCTCGATCTCGCCGACGATTTCAGGCGGCGAGAGACCGTCTGCACCGTCGTCGATGCGGAGGAAGAGATTGATATCTCCGATCATGTTGGAAGGAGAGTCGCTTTCAATATTGAGTTGGGCTGTGGATATGGGTTGGCAGGCGATGAAGGTTAGTTTGTCTGCATCGAGGCGCCAGCTACGTTGCATGGAGTATTCTTCTTCAATGGAGAGGGGCTCTGAGGCTGTCGCTTCTTGAATTTCCTATTACAGGGTTAGATTGTGGGTTTGGGGGAGGGTTTGTATCACATTTGGTGGAGAACTTACCTCGTCTTGCATCCATTCGTGGTAGCGTGGGACGTGCCATGTTGAGTAGGGGACTAGGAGGACTTTGGAGGTTGAGATGGCTGGTTGGAATAATGATTTTAGTATCATTCAGCTAATTCCTTCTGTATCTATTGGTCCAGGGACAGAGTGCATTAATTTGCAAATGTGGGATTGGGAGGCGTACCGGTCTCGGCGTTGAGAAGCATAGTGACGAATAGCCAAAACAGGGACTTGATGTTCCTGGAAATGTACAAAGTGCAGCTTGTGCAATTCTCCAACGAGCTCAATTATCACCAAGACTGTTGTATTTGTCTTGTGTCTCGTAGAGAATGTACAATGGCACGAGGTCGCTGTCCCGCCGCCGATTTTGCTAAACTGTGGGGCTTGGCATCGGCCGAATCTACGTGCTGCTCTACATTTCACGAACATAGCCCTCGACAATTTCTGAAAGGAGCTCGAGAATGTAGTCTGAGTTCATATCATTAATTCACTAGTGATGAAATGCTATTTTGTCAACGCTTCACTTTTTCTCTTCTTGCCCAGCAAAAGTACCAAATCGTATCACCTCAACATCAAGAGTCTCGGTGTCGACAAGAACCAATTCTCCGGTTTCCATAAACTTGGGAATTGATACCAGACGTACACGAGCCGCCGTACTACCAGGGCTATCGGTCATCTCGGTATCACCTCCATCAAGGCGGAGAGGAATCTCGCTCTCAATCACAGTGGTTTTGAAGCTGGGTTGGTTGCCAGCGAAGAAGATATGCGGACAGGATTCAAGTACAAATGGGTCAACTATTTGAAAGGGGTATGACCCTGCATATACTGTTAGCGGGTAAGATTCTTAGGAAAGAGTTTAAAATGCTTACAGATCGTATCAGGGGCAGTGGGGACGCCGCACCGCCATCGCAGCATGGCTTCCATGATCTGTAGCCGAGCCCCCGAGTCATCTCTTTTTGTGACAAGGCTGCTGTCTTCACCAGGGAAATCCAAGTACCGGAGCACATCGTCGACGTTTTGGCCACTGCAACCCCACACACGCCACCCTTCCACGTCGCCCTCCCATGGATTAGTGACACTGTCAAACCAGCCCGGCTCTTGCTTATCATCGCCGGATGGCGGAGGCGCACAGTATGCGCGAGACTGCGGGAACATGGCGCGGTGAATGCCTTGCTGGGGAAGAGAAAAGTTTGCTGGGTCTTTGTCACCTGGCATGAGTGTCACGGGAATACTGGGAAGGATTTCCGCAAGGAAGTTGTCGAGTGTTGTGATGGGAGATGCATTGTATGCTGAGGCATCGTAGCCGTACTTCTTCGGTGCAAGCTTCTTCTTTCCGGCAGCGTCAGAGCCCGCCGACGCTGCTTCTGTGTTGATGCTGGCTCCGAGAGAGTTACCCGCGATGATGAGACGAGTGATCTTGGATGCATTCGTAGAAGGGCTGTTTTCTTCGCTTTCTGAGAAGCCGGTGTATCCCAGAAGATAATCTGTGAGCAGTTCCAGTGCGACTGTGTCACCCGATGTCCCGGTGATGCCCAGTCCACTGACGAACGCAATCTTGCCGCCTTCCTTTGAAGACGCATCCGCTCCATTTTGTTTCGTGTCTGCTCCCTCTCTCTCCCACCTTTGAGGCTGCGGGGGTAGATCCGGAACTTTAATGTCGAGCACCTCGAACTCACCATCCGAGTTCTCGGTTCCCAAAGCCGCGACGATAGCACCCGTGGCCAGCTGTACGGATGTGAGCATTGCACCAGTCAGGCGGAGGCGACCTGATTCGTCCTCCATCATGACCACGGTAGCAGATGGGTTCGAAGGATCGACGTACGTGCGGCGCGGAGGAGGTGCGGTTGTGAAGTTCTGGCGAAATTAGAGGAAACTCAATCAGTCAATGGGGAAAGTACCGACCTCTTTAGTCAAGTCGTCCAGAATGTTAGGCTTCAAAGGCATATCCATGTAGATCGTGCCGGCTACCCAGCACAGCTCACCCTGTCGCACATCGAGTACTCGGTCTACGCGCCGCGCATTCTCGCCTGCAATCTGAATCGCAGCCCAGTCAGATAAAATCCAAGCTCCAGGAAAGTCCAATGGCAGAACTCTTACGCTGAATCCATCCCAAGCCGCCGCAGCAACTTGTTCGACAGCCGGCTTCAGTTTCGCGAGGCGCAAGAAGTACATGTCACCATATTGCTGCTGGTAGTGTCGTTCACTTCCCATAGGCAGCCGGAAGGTGTGAAGGGGATTGTATGACGAGGGTGTTCGGTAGGAGGGTTCGTATTCCTCGTTGCTAATCCAGATGAAGCGCTCAATTGTCAGCTTAAGCTTGATCGCCATGAAAAGGTCTCGGGCGGCTCGCGCAACGACCGGATAGGTAGCAGCTTTACATACCTAGGAGGCCGTAAGAAACCATAATTTTGATCCGATGCCATTTTTCAGAACGGATCGGGCGATCCTTGAGCAGTGGAGGAGTTGGGTGGAAGACGGAAGCAACTATTTGACGCGAAGCCCCACGCGAGGCGCGTCTAAATTACATTCCCGCTTTGGGACGAACTCCTCAGGCAGGGTCCTGAAGTCGGAAATCTCAGCCTTCAAAGCTTATGTATGTGAGATTGTACGATTTCTTTCACTAGCAACAAGGCAGTTCTGAGGCTGTCAGGATACTCAGTCTCAATACGCCGTAGATGTACACATGGAATACGCCCAGTTGCCAGGAGCTTCTTCCCATAGCCCTCTTAGAATCTTCGAACATTCTTTCCCTTCATAGGCTAGGCAGATCACTTCTGGTCTTGTGTTATATTAAAGGTATCCGAGCTTTTCGGAAAGTTCCCTGATTTATAAATCGGCTGTATAGAAGCAAATCGCACGGGGTCCAATAGCTAATATCCTTTCGCGTAAATTGAAGTCGATATCCTTGAACACCCAATATATCTCGGGAGATATTACTCTACATTGCAGAGTAGACTTGTGCAACATGGGAAAGGCCATGGAGATATCTACTGTAAGCTCGCACCCGAGAATCCTGCAAGAGACCTCACTAGTTGGTGTCTAGGCAGTGCATGCGCCCGCGTACGAACAAGCATCCATCGCATGTGGTGAGAACCAATTCGGCTATATGGAGGGAAACAAGGCCAAGTCAACAAATTCAGCCATGCGATATAGCCCGTGAACTAAATGCCATGAATTTGGCCAATCATTGCTGGTAGAGCTAATGTATAAAAGTATGCGGCGTTCATAAAGCGACAGCGGCGATGCCTCGGTCCGGCGCAGAGCTTCCCCGCATTCTTCAACCAGCACAAGTATAGATTCCAGATTGCGAAGCTCTCCAATGCTTTAAGCATTGCTCGACCCTAGAGCCCGCTCATCTGATCCGTGACATTCATTTACACAAGATCCATCTACCGTAATTCTTCCACAAAGCTCTATCTTGTATCCTCGACCACCAACATGTCTCTCCACACACCCCTCTGCGCCCTGCTCAAAATTCAACACCCAGTCCTCCTGGCAGGCATGGCCCGCGCCTCTGGCGCCGAGCTAGCCGCTGCAGTCTCAAATGCAGGTGGTCTCGGCACAGTCGGCGGCCTGGGTTACACACCACAACAACTATCCGAGATGCTGACGGAGCTCAAAGCACTCCTCAAAGATCCTTCACTGCCCTTCGGAGTGGACCTGGCACTTCCTCAAGTCGGCAATGGAGCCCGTGCTACAAACCACGACTACACACATGGCCAGCTAGACGAGCTGGTCGAAGTTGCCATTTCGCACGGTGCGAAGCTATTCGTCTCTGCTGTCGGTGTGCCGCCTGAGAAAACTATCAAGCGGCTCCATGAGGCTGGCCTTCTTGTGATGAATATGGTAGGGGCGCCGAAGCATGCGGAGAAGGCGTTCCAGCGGGGCGTGGATATTGTATGTGCGCAGGGTGGCGAAGGGGGTGGACATACTGGGGAGATTCCGTTCTCGGTTCTGATTCCTGCTGTTGTGGATGTGGCGAAAAAGTACAAGAGTCCGTTGACCGGATTGCCGGCGCAAGTTGTTGCTGCTGGTGGCGTGAATGATGGACGCAGTTTGGCTGCATCGTTGATGTTGGGGGCATCGGGTGTGTGGGTTGGGACACGGTTTGTGGCTTCGGTGGAGAGCGGTGCGAGCCGGCTTCACAAGGAGGCTGTCGTGGGTGCGAAGTTTGGTGAGACGCAGCGGACGCTGGTTGTTTCTGGGCGGCCGCTACGGATGCTGCCGAATGATTATATCAAAGAGTGGGAAAGCCGGCCGGCTGATATCAAGTCGTTGACGGATAAGGGGATTGTGCCGATGATGGATGATTTGGAGAAGGAGAAAGATGTGGATATGCCTTTCTTGATGGGTGATGTGTCGGCTGCTGTTAACGAGATTAAGCCTGCTGGTGATATTGTGAAGGAGATGGTACAGCAGGCTGTCGAAGTCTTACGGGTGGGCAACAGCTTCATTAAGGCAAATGGCTCGAGTAAACTTTAGTACTACAAGCGATAATTCACCCGAGGGGACGCGTCGATACAAGGGTTTATCCTTAGGTATTTAATATGACACAGCTGTACGTGTACAGAAAAAAATTGAACTGAAAACAAATCCATGGTGAACTGTAGACGTAGACGAAGTGACCAAATCTTGGAGAGAAACATGACTTGACATCCGAGGTACGATCCAAAGCAACGATTGATGTCCCTGCAAGAGTAGTCAGGTAATAAGCCGTAGTCATACTGTCCATCATGTAATCGAGGTGGCTTTCCCGGCCAGACCGAGAGTGTTTTCACAGAAGAGTAAGGCCGTTGGACGCGTCGTCACATCGGAATTGCATGAAATTGGGTAAAAAATGAAAACGTCAATTAATGAACCCCATTGAGAACGGCATTCTTAGAGGCCCGGGCCTCCAGCAGATTCGGAGGCGGAGGGGGGTCCAAAGACAGGTCGCTCAGTAGGGCCAGCATGAGGGATGCCGCGATCGGTGTCGTCGAGGTCACCGTCTTCACTCAACTCGTCTTCATCCTCGTAATCATCGTCATATTCGCTCTCAGTGCCTTCGTCGTCGTTGTCGAGATGATCGTCGCCTTCAGCGAGACCTTCACCACGTCCCTGAGCCTGCATTCGGCGGCACAGGGCTTCGAGGTGTTGACATTTGCGTTGCCAACTCTCCAATTCCTCTTTGTTTTTCGTGCGTTCTGCCGCCATCTCGAAAATGTTTCGATTGGTTTGCTCGTGCTTGCGGGTGAGGGTGTTATTTTCCTTCTCCAAACGCTTGGTCTTTTTGGACATTTCTTCCATTTCCTTGCGGAATGTTAGGAACAGCTCATTGCTGTTGTTCAAAGTATCCTCCACCTGTGAAGTTTGTTAGCCACCCACAGAATGGAAAAATCTCAGTACAAGACGTACCTGCTTGAATTTTTCCACATAGATATTGAGCTGACTGCGTAGCTCTGCTTCGGTGTGGGAGAAGGTGGAGACTTGGGCGCTCAAAGCACGTCCTCGGGTGGTCTCACTCTCTGCCGTTCGGCGCTGTTCCTCGTATTTGAATGTCAGGCTTTGGATTTCGGAGTCCTTGCTGCGAAGAAGAGCTTTATAGTGCAGTTCACGGGTATCGAACTGCTCGCTAATGGTCTTCAACTTGACACGGAGCCTTGAGCACGGAAGTTAGCAAACATGGCGCAAATCAATACATGCATCCACGACAATAGAGCCATGTGAATGGCAACGAGGGTGCGAACGCGAGGGGTGAGAGTTGAGAGTGCGTGGCTTACGCTTCATCCAATTCCATATCCGCCTTCTCGTTGCGAGGGTTTCCTTTCGAGTTCATGACGTCTTGGATGTCGTACAAGAGGCAGTCGAGACGTTCGTTGACGATAAGACGAGCTTTACTCTCTGTGTCTTCGAGCTTTTTATTTTCATCCTGAGCAGGTCAGCACTGCGTTTCGCGTGGAACTGCCCGCACCTGTGCCTGTGCCTTACCTTCACTTTCTTGTTTTCCTTTGTCAATTCCCGACACAATTTCTCAAGCTTATCCTTCATCGTGACCGTCTTGTTGAGTTCCGACTTTCCCTTCTCCTGGTCCTTCTGCAGTTGGTCGGCTCGCTTCTTGCTTTTGGCATAATCCCGGTCCAGCTTCTTCATGTCGGCCAATAACTCAGTATACTTCTTGTGGACGGTTTCCAGGCGGGTCATAGGCGATTCGATGTTGTTCAGGAGCTGATTGAGATCTCGAGTAGCTTTCTTCACCTCACGTTCTAGATCATCAGGGTCATGTTAGTCGCAATTCAGAGTGCATACATCACGCGATACGCTTGTTGAGCCGGGAAACCCCCGCCACATGCCACAAGGATTGCCTGCACGCACCGATCTCTTGTTCTTGATCTTTCTCGCCGGCCGCATCCTGCTCCAGCTGCGAGATCTTGGCAGCCAACAGTTTGGATGTCTCGTTCGGATCGGCCGCTTTCTTCCCCTTGTTCTTCTTCGCCATCGTTGTTGACGACATGATGCGCAAGTCTTCAACCTCTCATACGTCTTTCTCCAACTCGATATGCGGCCGTGGTGGTCGCGTGTGTTGTCCCAGATGTCGAAAATTTGTGACCGACGTTGTGGCAGTCACGTACGCATGGGCCGAACTCAATCGGGCAAAGGGCGAACGTATCTGGATCCCAGAGGCTCGGCGGGCTCAGCAAGAAGATCACCTCTGGGGTCGATGGAGAATGCGCTTCTTGAACAGGCGGGTGCACTTTTGTACAGTTCCTTCTTCGACTCAGAACTCGACGAGGGGGTCCTTAGTCATCGAACCAACCGCCGTCAAATCTTCCTCTTAACCACCGCAAGACTCGAGCGAATACTCAAATTCGATCTGAACTTTGCGTTACACGACAGTGGATCTGATCACAGCGGAGTTCCACTTGTCCGCAAGTTCCTTCTACAGAGTCACGAGGGTAGGAGCGATGACATAAGCTGTGTTCTCGGTCCGATCTTTCTGCTGCTTTCTTTTCCGACACTCCGAACATCACTTCTCTCCTTTTCAGCTTTGGGTTCTTGTGCTTATTGGGTTGACGGCTTGCGATGAACATTTTTGAGCTCGCTTAACTTTTCGACACGATGTTACGCTCTACGATGGGCTTGGGCAAGACCCGAGTCCCGGTTTTGCGCCAGCCGGCATACAGTCGCCTCTCCGCGTCGAGCTCTACGATCCTACGGACACGAACCACCGTACGGGCGGCTTCGACCGTGACCGACATTGAAAGTTTCCCTGGAATTGGCGAAAAGCTTCACGGCTTCACTGTTCGCGAAAAGAAGCACGTACCGGAGCTGCACTTGACCGCGGTGCGGTTGACTCACGACAAGACCGACGCGGACTATTTGCATGTCGCAAGAGACGACAAGAACAATGTCTTCGGTATCGGATTTAAGACAAACCCGCCCGATGCCACTGGTGTGCCCCATATTCTGGAGCATACTACCCTCTGTGGCAGTGAGAAGTACGCACAATTCTACCAAGATTTGTCATTGCGCAGCTAACATCTATGTTAAAAGATATCCAATTCGCGATCCCTTCTTCAAGATGCTCCCGCGCTCTCTTTCCAACTTTATGAACGCCTTTACCTCTTCCGACCACACTACCTACCCATTCGCCACTACCAACTCGCAAGATTTCCAAAACCTTCTATCCGTCTACCTTGATGCCACCTTACATCCACTTCTCAAGGAAGAGGATTTCCGGCAGGAAGGATGGAGATTGGGCCCTGAGGATCCTCGCGCTTTGAAGGCGGCTCCCGGTGAGCCCGAGCAAAAGGCCAAGCTGGACGACATCGTCTTCAAGGGCGTTGTCTACAACGAGATGAAGGGCCAGATCTCGGACGCCAACTACCTTTACTATATCAAGTTCAAAGAGAACATAATTCCGGCTCTGAACAACTCAGGAGGCGACCCTGAGTATATCACAGACCTCACACACAAACAGCTCACCGACTTCTCGAGGCGTAATTACCACCCCAGCAACTCGAAGATCTTGACCTACGGTGATATGCCCCTCGAGCGTCACCTGGAGCAGATCGGAGCAGTTTTGGATGGATTCAACAAGGGCCAGGTTGATACCGATGTGAAGATGCCGCTGGATCTCAGCAAGGGACCTTTGAATGTTACAGTTCCTGGCCCTATCGACACATTCGCGAGCGAAGATAAGCAGCACAAGACCTCAACTTCTTGGTACATGGGTGACTCAACCGATGTTGTGGAAACATTCTCTGTCGGAATCATCTCCTCTTTGCTCCTTGACGGATACGGCTCTCCCATGTATCGGGCTCTTATTGAGAGCGGCCTTGGCTCTTCCTTCACTCCCAACACCGGCCTTGATGCCTCCGGAAAGGTTCCGGTTTTCTCTGTCGGTGTTACCGGCATCGGCGAAGCGGAAGCTCCCACAGTAAAATCCGTTGTTCAAGATGCTTTCCGGGAGTCTGTATCGACTGGCTTCAGCGAGGAGAAGGTGCGTGGCTTCCTTCACCAGCTGGAGCTTTCGCTGCGTCACAAGACTGCGAACTTCGGAATTGGAGTGATGGAGAAGACCATCTCTTCCTGGTTCAACGGATCCAACCCGATGAAGGAGCTGGCCTGGAATGACGTTATCGAGGAATTCAAGAGGAGGTATGAGAAGCCCGGATATCTCGAGTCACTGGTGGAGAAGTACCTCCTTAACGACCAATGCATGACGTTCACAATGGTTGGTTCTCCTACATTCAACAAGGATTTGGATAAGGCGGAAGCTGTGCGCAGAGAAACCAAGCTCTCCCAGCTTATTGAGCAGCACGGATCTGTCGAAAGCGCTGTCGCCAAGTTGAGTGAAGAGGAGCTGCAGCTGCTCAAGGTGCAAGAGGACGCCCATAACGCAGATTTGAGCTGCCTTCCGACGTTGCGCGTGAAGGATATCTCAAGAGAGAAGGAGCGTAAGCCTGTGCGTGAAATCAGGCTCGATGACGTTGACGTCCTATGGAGAGAGGCCCCGACCAACGGGTTGACCTACTTCCAAGCTGTCAACGCCTTTGAGGACCTTCCAGACGAACTCCGACTTTTGATGCCATTGTTCAACGACTGTGTCATGCGCCTGGGTACCGCCAACAAGACCATGGAGCAGTGGGAGGATCTCATCAAGCTGAAGACCGGAGGCATTACGACCTCCTCTTTCCTTGTGTCCTCACCTACCCACTTGGACCAGTTCAAAGAAGGAATGAACTTCTCTGGATACGCCTTGGACAAGAATATCCCTGAAATGCTTGAGATGCTGTCAACTCTTGTCATGGAAACGGATTTCTCCAGCCCTGCCGCACCGGCTATGATCCAAGAGCTTTTGAAGCTGACCACCAACGGAGCGCTGGATAGTGTCGCAGGAACCGGCCACCGCTATGCTGTCAATGCCGCAGCGGCTAGCCTCTCTCGCGTCTTCTGGATCCAAGAGCAGCAGTCCGGACTTGAGCAGTTGCAAGCCACTGCAAACCTTCTTCGGGATGCCGAGACATCCCCCGAGCGTCTCCAGGAGTTGATTGAGAAGCTTCGTCTCATCCAGTCGTTTGCCATCTCCAAGTCTTCTAATCTCCGTATTCGCATGGTCTGCGAGCCGGAGAGCGCTGCTCGCAACGAGTCTGTCCTGCAGAAATGGATGGCGGGTCTGCCCCAGGTCCGATCGCCCTCCGGACTTGCTGCCGCATCCCCATTCAAATCGATCGAGAAGGCTTTCTATGACCTCCCTTACAAGGTCTACTACTCCGGTCAGGCTACCCAGACTGTCCCTTTCGTCGACCCCTCCAGTGCTCCACTCACGGTACTGTCCCAGCTTCTGACTCACAACTACTTGCACCCTGAGATTCGCGAGAAAGGCGGTGCTTACGGCGCAGGAGCCAGCAACGGACCCCTCAAGGGGATATTCACTTTCATGAGTTACCGTGATCCCAACCCGATGAACACTCTCAAGGTCTTCCAAAACAGCGGGGTTTTCGCTAGAGATCGTGTCTGGTCCGAGCGAGAGATTGAAGAAGCTAAGCTCGGCATCTTCCAAGGCCTCGACGCACCCGTGAGTGTGGACGATGAGGGCGCTCGCTATTTCCTGAGCGGTGTCACTCACGAGATGGATCAGCGCTGGAGAGAGCAAGTCCTTGACGTGACCGCCAAGGATGTTAACGAGGTCGCTGATCGTTACCTGGTGAACGGCTCGCGCAGGGCAACGTGCGTTCTCGGTGAGAAGAAAGATTGGGCCGGCGCCGACTGGGACATGCGAAAGCTGTCCATGGGCGAAAGCGCCGCCTCCGAGTAAAGGATGCCCTTCATTCTTACCTAGGGGAAGTGCTTCACTTTATACCCTTTTTCATTTCCCCGTGTAATTCTAGCATTTGCATCTGTGATATGACCCGGATTCTTGCATTCCCCTGTACATATATGTATTCTATCTCCGCATCAAGCACCGGTCTCCACTCTCTGTGCCTTTCTCTTTTCCTTAACTTCCCCACGCGCTTCAAGATCTACCGTGCTTCGTGCACCAGAGCTGTTCTCATATTTGCCAACCAGTCTCCTCCCTTGGTTGATAGATATGGTGTCTTTCGGGTTACTGAAGACGCAAGCGCAAGAACAAACTTGCGGGAATGTGAGCCCTCGAGGCACGCTTCCTACCTATGATTCTCGGAACCGCTCTGAACTTTCAGCCTACGCAGAGCGGACTAAAATCATGCGGACAATATTACTGTAGATTTCGACTGTATCTAGCCATCAATGGATCTAATAAGACCTTATAGTTCCTCAATGCATAAAAACAAAGTGTCAAGTGGAGTTAAACCCCGGATCGAAGCGGGCCCGTGTCCCCCCTCACGTGGACTGAGATAAGAAGCGTGTGCTTCACTTCCTCAATGTAACCATCTGCATACACCATGAATAAACGAGACATGATGCTAGGTCCGAGGCCGACCAAGGCCTGTGGTGTGTGCATAGAAAACAACCGTCCCAAATACGAAGCTAACGGAATGTCCAGTCAATTGCCGGCGATTAAAGGCATGCGCGATAAGCATATTCCCAAAGACTCCCGATTAACTTCTTCTAGATGCGCTGTGATGTGTCAGGGGCACCTCCTTGTCGTCGCTGTCGAAGTACACGCACAGCATGTGTTTTCAAGCCCCGGGCTAATGTACGTATTTGGGTACGCAGATTGAGTTGCCAAGGGTTTGTTTACATCCGTTTCTAGGCGTCCGCTCTACACGACATGCGGGATGAGAACCAGGAAACAAATGTGTCGAGACCATCGATGCATGATCATCAGGCGGTTCTGGATCGGTTAGAGAGAATTGAGGCTGCGCTGGGAATTGGAGATGCACCCGATGAAGCTCCCGTGTCTCATGAAGGCATAGATGAAGATGAAGGTGTCCCCTTGCGAGGAGTCTGGAAAGCTGTTGCCCATCTAAGATCGATTACACGGCCGCCCCCGGACGAGAGTATTTGGTCACGACCTATTGTTAAACGACTGTGGAGTTCGTAAGTATCTAATCCCGAATTGCCACCATGAGTTCAAGGTTCTGATATTGAATAGCTTCTTGACTAATTTGCCACTTCTTCACTTCTTGCAAGATCGTGATGCATTTGCCTCGCCAACACCCCTATTGCTTGCATCTATCCTGTACATTTCAGCCCTCCACAACCAGTCCTCTGAGCTAGCAGCAATGGAATCAGGCTACTTTGCAGCGATGTGCAGCACAGTAGCTGGGCTAGTCACTCCATCGTTCCACCCAAGATCTCGCATCACAGAGGTTCATATAGAAGGGCAGGATTCTCCACCGGTCAAAAGACACAAAGCATTCCACAACATTCTCGGCTTGATCATGGCAAGCCTAAGCTCAGAAGCTTACATCGAAGCCACAGGTTCGTGGATTGCTATGGCGTATCGCCTTTGGCTCGATCATTGCCCCTCTGAGCTGGATGATTCTATTACAGATTGGCGAGGCTTGTTTTCTGGCCTTCAAGTAAGAACTGTATATCGTCGAGTGCTTGAAATCCTGATTTGCTAATATCTTCAGGTCATTGATATCGAACACGCTTCAATGCACATGTCCTACCCTCTTCTCCCTCGCCAGCCTCCAACACCAGGTAGTCCGCGTCTTGACAGCTACCAAGGCAACGCTTTCCAGGGACTTGCGGAAATGATGCATTACGGTCTGAGCCACTTTGTCGGCAGAGGCCTGCCGACAATCTGGTGTTCGATAAATACCGAATTCGCTGACAGGGCGCCCATACCTCGAAATTCGTTCACAGAGCATGATTCTGAGGTCATTCGTCTCTGGGCTCGTAAGCTTGACGACTGGCTGGTTAAGTATAATGGTGCCTCTCAGCCTTCTCCGTCCGATCGACAGGGAATCTTAATCTTGCTGCAGTATCATTTGCACAAGCTCTATGTGCTGTCTATCTATCATCCCGCACGAGGATTTGATATCAGTTCAGCGAATATTGGCTCTGTTGAGAGGCATGAATTGCTGGTCTCGGCACGGGCTGTCTTAAGATTGAGGCATAATGATGCTAGCATTTGGTCAAACTGGGATCTGATAGTAGGTCTCGTTATCTACCTAGGCCAGCTACATCTGCTGATTATCTGGCAGATGATCACTTGGGCGGCCATTCTACTCCTTCGCGGCGTTGAAGATGGAATGACACACCAGGACGGTAAGATCTCCCAAATCAGCAGGAGCCACCTTTCTAACTCTTTCTACAGATCTACACCTAATCCAAGCTCACCTCCAAAGTCTGGAGAGAAGCCATCAACCAGCAGCCAGTATTCACACCGTTCTTTCACAACAACTCGAATCTAGCATGCAAGCAATGCACACGCCTCCAGATACAAGCACGGCATTGGCACTCCCAGGCCCCCTGGCAGATGACTCGTGGACACTATTTGACCAGGAAATTATGCCCCTCGCAAACCCACCATGGCTATTTGATGATTGTACCTCGTTCCCAAATCAGAAGCCTTCAAACGAGATACAAATGCAAGGCTTATCTTCGGTTGAGTATGATTCTAGTATCTCGAACAGTGTGCAATATGCATCTCATGTGCAATGGCCCTCCACGGAACAAATACAAAGTGCGTTTCCATCGACGTTGAACAGAATATTCGGGAGTGAGAATTAAAGTCACAGAGATGGCTTGATGTGCCCATTTGGCTGGGTTGAAATGCAAGAGATGCTTCCAGCGCCCCTCAGCGCCTCAAAATTAGACTCTTCTCACAACAAACCTCAATTTGAAGGTCTCCACGCCTTCGTGGTACTTTCTGAAGACATGATCCTGACCGGCCCACGTCTCCATCGTGGACTGAACCTCCCACTTCGACCCAGTCTCTCGACCAACCTGGTCCCAGAATCTCTTCCACGTCTCAGGACTATGGCGATAGTTCTTGGGTGCATTCTCCTTGTCATCTGGATCCACCGGATCCGCATATCCAACCTGTCGCCCAATCACCAGGGATCCGGGCTGAGCAACCAGAAGCCCCACAACACGCTTCGCAATGATGACTTGCTGATCCCAATTGAAGAGATGGAAAAACGAGGCAGCGTTAACAATGTTAATCTTACCAGTCAGCTTCTGGACCAGAGCTGAGTTGTCATCGAAAATGTCTCCCTGGAAGAATTCAGACTTGAGCGTGTCGCGGTCTGCGAATAGATCATAGCCTATTTCGTAGAAATCCTGACGGAGGTCTGAGCTGTAGAGATTCTCAGAGGGAACGCCCTCAAAGACCTGGGTTCAAGATTTAGATTAGGTTATATTGAAGTGCGGGCTTGGCTTACCAATTGGCGCAACTCTTGCCCGATCGCGCATCCCACGTCCAGGAGCTTCTCCCCCGACTTTAGCCGCCGAAGAACCTCAGCGTAGACAGGCGATTGAGGGATACTCAGATCCAGGAACCGGAATGAGCCAATGCAAGGATACGGGAACTGGGCCAGGTCAGCATGCACCTTGACAGGTTCTATGTTTGACTCACCACTGCCCAAGCACGTTCTCTCTTAACACAACTTGGATCAGCAAAGACTATCTCCATGCCGTAGATTCTGATACTTACCATGCCATTGACATGCTGCACCACTTGATCGGATGGGATCCTGCTGTATTTCTCCAGAAGAGTCTTGGCCGGTTCCGGGACCTCCTCGAGATCCGACTCGTACCAGGCTAGGGTCCTGGAGTCCACGCAATTGGCAATCATGGACTGTAGGTCTGTTTCGGATTTTGCCATTTTAAAGGACTCAGTGTAGGATGAAGGACGAGGATGAGACCTGGTGTAAGGTGTGCATCGTGGAGACGTCGAGGAATGAATGGCGGAAGCGGCATCTTAGCCCCCGGTGCTGACGAGTCCCCGCGGTGGGGTGTGGAACCACTTGACAACTACAAACTACATTTTCCCGACAACGGAAGATTGCGTTTATCCTAAAGAAATTCCATATGCCTATGAGTCTAGCTGCCTGAAAATGTGAGGAGTGTATTGATTTATGCTCAATATGATAGGTATGACTTGGCAAAGGCAATAGCGCGGGCATATCTTGCCGATAAAATACACACAACAATGTGACGATTCGCGTCCTGATTTTGATTTGTAGATAACTTTCAGTCAGAATAACAGAATTGATTTGCCCTTACGGCCGAGCAAATAATATCTACATCTAGTCTTTCGCGCAGGGAAGTCTGAGGACTGATGCAAAGCCATCTGCTAAGATTGTCTTTGGAAGCTATGGCGAGAAGAAGTCGCAAAAATTCTCGAAATCCAACGCTGAGACTACTTTGGCGCATAGTGACACTTATAGAGTCCACAGAGATTATCCATACTGTGCAACGTGCAACAAAACCCCAAATTCCCTTCCAAATTGAGGATATTAGAATTGCCGCCTTTGGCTGCGATCTATTTGATTCTGGTGACCTCAAGCTCATCCTATAAATTATTTCAGCAATCGCAACCCGTAGTCCCTCGCCAGCAATACCTACCTCAAATGAACCGGGCATGATCAGCCCCGGAACACCCCAACTCTCAAACTTCTCATTCTGGCGAACATACTCCCGATACGCCGGGGCCCCAGGTCTCATCACATTATCCGCAACGACCAAACTTCCACTTTTCAGCAACTTTAAATCCTCACAGACCTTGAAATCCTGAACATACAGCTCCTCACAGTGATCCAAGAACACAAAATCAACGTCGGTCACCTTTCCCTCCTTCTTCAACCGCTCCAGCGAATCCGCCGCAGGCCCCACCACAACCTTCACAATATCACTCAACCCGGCCAAATCAATCAAATTCATAGCAATAGACGCAATGAGAGGATCGAATTCAAGACTCCAAAGTCTAAGTCCGTCCGCACTCGCCGCCGCTCGACGCATAGCATCCGCAAAGAAGATGGCAGAGTAGCCAACGTACCCTCCGAATTCAACCAAGACCGTAGGTTTCTCCTGCTCAATCATCTGGCGCACTTTCTCACCCTTGTCACTGCCGATGTTGATGAGAAAATCTTGCTTGGCAGCGAATTCGTCCATGACACGACAGATCCCAGATGGCGAGTTGCGGAATTTGTCCAGGTCTGGATGGGCATAGATGTATTTTAGGAGCGTTATCTCGCGACCATCGTGGGACTCAACATCATAGAGGTCGGCAAATGGGAGGAGAGCTGGGTATCTGGTAGTGAGGCCTTCGGGGAAAGACATGGTTGCTGCTATTGCGGGTTGGGGTTGTGTGGATTTGGAAGGTTGGGTTTTGCTCTTAAAAAAAGACGGATATTTGTGGGGGGTGTCTGGCATGAAATAATCTAGTAGAAAGGAAGTATAAGCACTAAGAACAGAGGGATATAGGGTGGTAGCAGTACTTATAGTCTGAGTTGGGGAATTTAGGGCTCTGTGGTTGATCTAACCAGATTGGGCGTGAGGGGCGGAGTTGCGCTTTCTCCGTTGTCTTCTGTTTCATGGCTCTTGTTGTTGTGTTATGAATCGAATGGGGAGCGTGCAATACAATATTGCATGCATATCTCTTTCATTGTCTTAGCTCTTGAGAAGAGCATTGTTAGTCCCGGCACCGTCGAAGGCAAGTCAGTCCCTTTTCCCAGTTCCTTTACTGCAGCTCTCCACGTTACAACCGAGTTCGAGGTTGGCAAGGTCAGAGCTTACGCACGTGCACATTTATTTGCTCACTTAAGTGTCCAAAGATTCAAATCAGCACAAGGAATGGGATAATCTATGAAGCACTTGAGGTCAGTCCTTGTGATCACCCCCAGCTTCATTTTAAAGCCTCTTTGTTTACAGACTTCACGGTGGCTCCATTCATGATTCCAGTACAGTAATTTTCGAAATCAGTTACATATACCTCCACACTCTTTACGAATTAATTCCGGAACAATATTCAAATATGCGCTGATCCTAATTTGGTGATATCGTCGATACCGCGCTTTCCAGACCGCTTTCTAGATTAGCAATGTATTTTATAATACGACTATGAGACCTCGAGAAATGTATTTTACAGGAAACTGCTATACACAACGCTACCTCCATACTCCCCACCTTCCCGACTATCCCCCTTCCCAAGCAACAACCAGGCTTCTTCACCCATCACTCTACGGTATCTAGGATTTGACCACATGGCATCGCTCTAAGGCTTCCCGCCTCAAAGTTTCGTTGCATCCGTAACGTGCTGGAGAGCCAGATCCTTACCGCATCTCAAATGGCTTAGGATGCTGAATGCAGTACTCTGAACATTATCAATATTCGCAGGGTTGCTAATTATTGAGAGCCATCATGCACGGTTATGTACATGCTATTTGATTCAGAGCAACGCATGACACACCTTAAACATGGCCCCAAACCGGCACTATTGACGTCTGCGCTATCTCGGCTAAGACGCTGGAAAAACGCACAGTTTGCTTTCTTGCTTTCGCTCAAGATAGCCTCACGGGGGAAGAAAAGTATCTCACTAAGTTGAAGTTGATCTTTCACAACCCATTGAGCCCATGAACCAGAAGATTCTTGGCCTGTACTTCCTCCGCGCTGTGTTGCAATTCCTCGACATCCCAATTTGCCCAGATAAATCTGCCTCTGAACGCATTTGCACTCTCTGACGTGGCGAGCCAGACACAGAGTGATCCCGGCAAACCTAAATGGAAATTTGTCAGATCCGTGCGGAAGAAGGAGTTGACTAAAGAATCGGAGCCATGAGAGGTGAAACATACCGATATTGTCGGGAGCAGCTATATCACCCGCTTTTGCTTGCATCTCGGTAGCGATAGCGCCTGGGTTGATGTTGAAGACACGTAAGTGAGGATTCTCATGGTGTACGTATTCAACGATCTTTGCCAGACTAAGCTTTGACGCCGAGTAGGCAGCATAACCCGGTATGTACGGAATATGGCCTGCACCTGATCCAATGTTGATCAAAGTGGCGCCCGTTTTGGGCGCCACTTTGAGGAACTCTTGAATTACCGTCAAGCCGCCTTTCACGTTAACTTCGAACGTCCGCCAAAAGTCGTCCAAATCCGAATCGATAACGGATCGATGGGCATCCAGATACCCAGCATTTTGCACAAGAACATCAATTCGTCCAAAGGAATCGATCGCTTGTTGGATCGCAGAGGAGACAGCCTGAGCATCCGTAATGTCTGCGACACAGTACAATACCTTTGTACTGCCTGCAGATCCGGCATTTGTGGTGAGGATTTCCTCCGTAGTTGTCTGCAAATCGTATTCGTTTCTTCCTATCAAAACTATCCCTTCGGCTTTGGCAGTCGCGAACGATTTGGCGATTGCGCAACCAATGCCACGGCCACCACCGGTAATGAAGACCATCTTACCCTCACAGCTCAGCTCAGGATTTGCTTCTGAGATGGCGGCATAGGTGTCGTGATGATATCTAGTCACGAATGAAGGTTTGTAAGTTGTCATTGTCCAAACAACAGGAAGTGCAAAATGATACGTTTGAATGAAGCAATCAACTGAATAGAAAACGTCGAATCAAGGTGGCTTGACTCGAGGGTGACCTCAACTCTGGCTTACATGACCTCAACTCTGGCTTACAAAATCTCAGTAGCTGCTTAATGTGAGATATATAGTTTTTATCCAGCAAGCCCAGAGCTTCCGCAGGCCATGCGGAAGCTTGGTGGGGTGATTCATACCGGATTAGTCAATAAGAGGTCAATCCCTTGGTTTTCCTTCCCCCGAGACCGTGGTTACGCCGGATGTTGCATCGTCTATTATTCACAGATGAGATAGAAGTAGGAGCTTAGTAGCCGGGTGGTCCATCCCGAGTAGGACAACAGATGGTCATTTTCCAAACCATAATCATCATCAGCACCGTGTACGATCGAATGTGGGTGTTTTGAGCATGTGCGGCGGAACGCGGAACTCGGAGTTCCGCCGCCTGTTCCGCCGCAATGGGGATCAGTGACGTCATAGGAAATGTCGTGTGTCGGGTCCGTCACCGCTCGATGTCGGGGCGTGACTCATATAATTTGAAGTTGTTTAGGTGAAAACCGTCACCAGACCGCTATCGGCACAAGGAGCGATGCATTACTGCACATGCCAGTACCACCAACGGAACAGGAGAAGGCGTGCACAACAAATCAGAGAGAATGCCAGTACCGTCATAAGTTCCGCAGGAAACCTACATGGACTCCTCCATCAATGTACAATTTAGCTTTCTGCCACCCTCTCCCTGGAAGCTTTTCAAGTCGGCCGTGGGGTTCGGTGCGACTAAGCGGTGCTTCACCTTTCCATAGGGGTATCTTCACAGGATCACACATTTCCATGACCTCCGGTTGCCAACTTCTCAGCGATTGATATTTCATCTGTAAGCCAACGATGACTGAAAACATCTTGATTCAATTGGCTCATGGCTAGTTCGATTATTCACTGGTACTTTTTTCAGCCAGACGATATGGTGTCAAGTCTAGCATTCATTCGCGGGTTTAGCCATGACATCACAGTCAGGTACAACATCGCTATTTGAGCAGATCCAATTAGGCCTCCTGACTCTACAGAATCAATGGAAAATGTCTGACACACGATGAATTCCGGCACGCAATCGAAGATACTCACGCCAAACACTACATATCAAAGCAACGAAACGATGAACTACTCCAGTCGAAGACCGACCCGAAGGGCAAAGGCGGCTCGGTTGCCCAGCTTTCTCGTTACTTTTTTGATTCACCTTGAAGGACAAGGCTACCGGGCACGATATCAATTCATCGACCGTAATCTTAGCCACGACCGAATGGGTGGAGGGGAAACGGGGTTTGACACAGTTGACGGAAGTATGAAAGTAATGGATCAACGTGAGTGAATGTCTGACGGTCCAGTTGCTTTGAGCTTCGGGGGGGTTATCATTAAGATTTTCCTGTTGGACCTTGGCAAGTGAGAGCATCAAGTCCGCGGTCGACGACTAGGCTTCGAGCTTTCGGCTTAAACAATAATATTCACTTAGCCACTGCTATAAATGATGATGCCTTTCTTCCTTCAGGCACCAGTCTTCATGGATTCGCACGTCCCAACACTCGTGTCGAGAAGGTCGAGATGGCGTAACCTGGTTCCGGCGTTCATGCTTTCGAAACCATGCAGCTCTTCTGTGGAGAATGTCGTTACCGCAGATATTGAATGCAGAACCACGACTGATGAACTGTCTTGGCAGCGGACAAGGTAGAACCGAAAGCCTCTCATCTCCTTGAATTAATATTCCTGTTCGGGATCACGTCACTTGTTATCTCGAACAAAACTCCATCGAAAAATAAATATATATATATTGTAGTGGGAGAATTGGTGACATAATGAGCCTATGTGTGGCCTCAGGCATGATTTAATGTCTGCAGTGCATAGTACATCTCCAGACACACTTGGAGGGAGACAAGTCATCTACCTAATTCATTCAGGATTCACCCAATTTCTTCTATCTATGATGCAGCATTAAGATTATCCCGCACGGCCGTAATAGGGCATCAGTACGGCCTCATCCAGCATCCTCTACACCAGACAGGCAGTGTGTGTGTGTGTGTGTTGTCCGGTCTGTATCGCCAGACAGCCATCGAGCTGTTCCTATTTCATATTGGCGTCCCCGGGAAGGCTCTTTTGTCAAGGCACATCACTATACGAAGAAACATATACCTAAAGGGTGGGGATCGCGTTTGACCCTAAAGGCTACAAGACTGTCTGAGACCTTAAGCGGGAGACTATATTCACCAGTGATTACGACGGCATACAGTCGGTGCGGACAAACGAGTAACTAGCCGAGATATAGTGTTCTCCTAAATATATTTAGTTCCTACGAGGAATACTATCGGACTAATATACGGGAGATACGGCGGTGCTTCAGATACTACTAAAGATATAGCCTATCCAATTAAATACGGTAGCTAAGTAGGGGTACCTAGGTATCCGATAGCTATAGCACTCTACTATATAGATAATATTAATACAAATAATTCTATATTATAAATTATAAGAAGAGGAAGCGGCCTCAATAAGAAAAAGGGAAGAAGAAGAAGAATTATTAAAGAGATACGATCAAAAGCAAAGCGCACAGAGTTAGCATTTCTTTTTAGCCGAAAAGCTATCTCTTTTCTATAAGTAAGTAATAGCGCACGGTATATAAGGTATAATAGCTCCTAAGCTATCGGACCCTAAGGGTATTCTAACCTTCACAGATTACCGTGAACCTATACCAGAAAGATCCGAATCGACCCTAAGTGATAATAATTATATAGATAATACGGATTATAAGTATTAGCTACTATCGTCCTTAGCCGAACCGCCTAGTAGGGTATAGGCTATACCTTATCCTTACACAGTTTAAGTGCCTTATTTCTTCGCATTACTAGCTCTAGGATCCCTAGGAGCACTATACTTTAATAAGACCGATATCTCCGAGTTCCTGGAGAAGCTATAGGATACGTATTTTAGATATAGCGTTAAAAGCGATAAAGATATTATAGGTATATTACCTCAGTACTACGCGAAGGTCACTAAGTCTTAGGTAAAGAGATAAGACTCCTAGCTAAGAAAGGACTAGGATACCTTTAAGGAAGCTTTCTTGGAGCACTTCTATAATAACGATAGCGAGCAGTAAAGGTACACAAAGATATACCTTTAATCCCTTATATAGGTTAAGCGGATAATATAGGATAATATCCGCTCGTATCTTAATAAGTTCGATAATATCTCTGGCCGTATCTACTTAAAAGGCGAGGTTAGCGATATAGATAGGGTAAGTCTCCTTATCTAAGGACTTCTATAGTAGCTTAAGGAGAAGGTTATTAGAAGGTATTCTCGTAAGTAGTTACCGAGAGGGACACTAATCACTTATTTAGAGGCATATATAGTAATTAGGTTATATATCAGAGAGGAAACTGATATTCAGAGAATTCTTTCGACTATCGAATCTTCTCCGAGTAACCCTAAGCGTAACCAATAACTTTATCCCCCGTAATAGTCGCTTACTACTATTACGAAGCCTTAGGAAAATCGGTAACTAATCGCTAGTTAGGTCTAATATTAGGACGAATAGGATAGGAAGCTCAGAGAAATATAATTACAGATAGAGGCACTTACTCTTAAGTTATAGGCTAGCTAAGATATAAGGAATAATATTTAGTACGAGCCTAATAGAAAAAACCCTTCGAATAGCCTCGGCGCTAATCCTCTAATAAAATACTAGATATACGGAGGTACCTACTTCTCTCGACTAGATTAATATCTATCTATCCGCGATATATAAGGCTATAGTATTATGCACTATAATACTACGAATCAGATAGTTTTAGGTACTATTAAATAACTAGGCCCGAGACTACGCGTGATCCTAGGATAATTAAACTAAGAAGCCTTCTAAGCGCAGTATAATAACTAGAAGAAGCAGGAGTTATACAAAGTATCTATATAGCTAAGCAGTAATATCGCTTGTGTCACTCTTCCTGCTCCTACTTATCTTACGAACCTAAATATACTTATCTACTCTGTTACTACTACGCTTCTTAGTACCGCGCCTATATAGGAGAAGCTCGAGGAAAGCGAGAATAAGGAAGCAATTATCCTATTCGGTACCGTTAACGCTATTAAAGGCTATCCTGTAAAGCGCCGCAGAGACTAGGATATTACTAGAACAAAGAACTCCCAGACTAGCAGATTCTAACCGTATATTACTGATACTAATAATAACGATATAATATAAGACGGATAGCCTAAAGAGACTTAAACTATATAGCCTTAGTAGGAAGCTACTCCGCTATATAGCCAGGTTCCGAGAAGAGTCCGCGGCCCTATTAACCTAGATATTACGTAGCGAAGATCTTAGCTTTCGGATATTGTGATACGAAAGAGATATAGGAAACCGAGATCACCCTTACGATCGGTGAGCTCGCTAGGTCTGCTCCGAAGATATACGCTAGAATAGGCAAAGGTATTAGTATAGACGTTATTAATTAGCGTATTAATAAGGTACTCTCGCAAGCATATACTTAGTCGAACTTCGTAGACGTCTCTCTCTCAAAGGAAGTGGAAGGTAAGATCAACTAAATCGCAAGAGATATTACTAAGTATTATCGGGAGATAGGTAGTCCTATTAATATAAAAGATCTGGCCGCGAAAGTGAGCTACCAGAATACCTAGATAGCAGATACCTCGCCCGTGTCTTCTCCCCGTGAATACTCCAGAGACCTCCTATTTATAATAGTTTCCGTTAGCGGATAAGTAGTTAAGGCGTATATCGACACTAAATCGTTAGTCAATATCATCCGCAGAGATATCGCCTAATCTATATAGGCGCAGATATAGCTAAAGCCGAGGCTAAAGCTTATTCCTATCGATAGCGGTGAGTTCGTAGTTAGTACTTATATTAAGAATCTGCTAATTAATATCGGTAATATCGTGACTAAGTCGCATATTATAGTCGGGGATAG